TGCTCAACACCAGTGGTCCAGTTGGTTATTGTAGGTGGTGATTCACACCAGCGGTCCAGTAACTCCCATCCTCTGTAGGCAATTAGCAAATCGCAGTCCAGACGACATCCAAGAGCATTATCAACAGTACTATGAACACTCATACTGTAGGGGAGGGTGTAGCACCCACTCACCAACAAACAACATTCATGCTGTGCAACCTCTGAATGGAGTGTTCAAGGTGGTCAGTCAAGACTTACTAGGCGACAACGCTTGGTTACGTTTAGGCGAATCATATCGAGTAGTCCTTACTCAATCAACCTCAGTTAGTCTCTGGCGCGCAATCGCTTACAGTGGTGTCTAGACACCTGTGGTCCAGTGCCTCCCATCATCTGTAGGTGATAATCTTATTGTGGTCTAGGTGATGACAAGAGCATCAAGCAGCAGCACCATGAACACTAGTGCTGTGTTAGGGAGTTGTATCTTATACCATTCTCAAACCAGTGTGTGACAGATGTGCCACATAGCCTCTGAATGGAGTGTTCAAGGTGGTCAGCCAAAACCTACCAGAACTCACTTGCCTGGTTACTTTCAACCAAAACATACCAAATAGATCTTACTCAGTTGATCTCACCAAAATCAACTGGAAACACCCAATCTGGTTTCAGGCACATGACCGCTTACAACATCCTGCTCCTCCTGAGAGGTGTGAGCACCTCCTCAACACTGCTTCTCTTCCTCCTAATCACTGCGGCGATCTTCTCAACACTATCCCTGTCTTGTGAATCCCCCTGACCTCGTGGACACCCCTTACTGTCTGTCAGCAGTTGCATGCCTAGAACCTGAAATATGTGGTAGAGGTCAATTAAATCCAATCTTGGCAAAACCTGCCATAGAAGCCTTCTATTACTGTTCCTGCCAGAATCGGCTGTAGAAGCCTTCTATACTCCTTTTTGCTCAAATAGCCTGTAACTGAGAGTTATCACAAATTCCAACTAACTGCCATGGACACTCCATTCAGAGGTAGCTTGGCATGATCAATGTCCAATAGTTTGCCTTTTTGGATAACACCAAGGTCTGGTGTGGATGAGTTTGTTGTCAGGGGTCTCATACCTGAAACCTGATATCTGTAGTAGAAATGCATCTACTACAGATCTTATCAAGTTATTTGGTAAAATGCTATGTATTCTTATTCTTGTTGAGATCTGTCATAGAAGGCCTCTATGACTTCTCTCACTTGAATATGTAATAGCTTGTTTGTTATTGCAGGTTTTGACTGACCACTGCAGACACTCCATCTAGAGGTAGCTTGGCACAATCAATAACTATAGTTGTGTGGTGAGCACCAAGGTCTGATGCTGGGGAAGTGTTGATGCTGACACAAGTGTCCAGTGTGTTGACTGAGTGCTTGAAGTGATCCCTGGACTGCAGTGGACAACTGCCTTTGGTTCTATGATTGAGACAGCCAGACTGCAGTATGAACCACCTTTGGTGTCGATCAATATCTGGACCACAGTTAATACTGCCTTTGGATGATGTCAATGAGCAGTGATACAACACATGTGCTACAATAGGATCAATGTCTTGCAATTGCTACTGTTGATGAACTACTAAGTATACTTATGTGAAAGTTATAGCTAGTATGATATGGTGTAGAGTGGATGGGGATCCACTCAACTACTGCAATGAGGAGCAAGTGTGTATTATATGGATGTCCTTGCCATATTGCCAGCAACACTGCTTGTATCCCTTGTGGTCTCCTCCTACACTGCTCCTCCTCCTCTCAACTCTTCCTCCTAGCAGTCTTACCTGTTCTGCTCCTTAACACTGCTTCTCTTGCTCCTAGCAGATGGAAAGCTCTCGTGCTGCTTCATTACTGATAGGGGCCTTCCCCACTTCATCAGAGTGGCAACTTGCACCCTCCTTCATCTCTCCCATCCTCCTGCTCCTGAGTTCATTGTCGAGTCAGCCCCCCTGCTTCATTAGGGTGGTGACCCAATATCCTCAATGTCTGCCTTGTGGTGAGATTCACAAGATTGGCATCACCTGCAAGATCTATTGTACAATCATGATACTACAGAGTTTGGTGGGCTTTGCTGTAACCTCCTGTTTGTACTGATTTGGTTGAAATCTGCCATAGAGCTTTTTCAACTACAGATCTTGGTGAACTCTGCTTTAAACTCTTGCTTAGCCTGATCCTGCGATTCCTGCACTCCTCTTCATATGACTTCGGATCTTCCTGCTTCCTGCACATCCGGTCCCATGACATTTGTCTCGACACGAGTGTCCAGTGTGTCGATTGATTGATTGATTGATCTCCAGACTGCAGTGGATGACTGCCTTTGGTATGAGATCGAGAGGGCCAGACCGCAGTATGAAACTGCCTTTGGTGTTGATCGATATCTGGACTGCAGTATGTACTGCCTTTGGATGGCGTCAAGTAGCTGTGATACAACACACAGGCTAAGTAGATGCAATGCTCTGCAATATACTTGTGTTGAAGTTATAGCTAGTAATGTATAAGGTAGAGTGGATGCTCCACTCAACCACTATGATGAGGAGCAGGTGTGTGTTATATAGATGTTCTCGCAGTGTCACCTGCGACACTGCTCTTTGTTGCTAGGGGCCACTCCCACTTCATCCAAGTGGCAAAGCACACCCTCCTTCATCTTGCCCCTAGTGATGGCACCCATCCTCTTGCATTGAGTTCATTGTTGTGCAGGGCCCCTACTTCATCAGAGTGGTGGGCCCAATGTCATCACCATATGTCCCATTGTGAGGCCTTGTGGAAGCAGCACCCTCTAGCCAGTTTTTGCAAGATCTGTTGTACAAGTGCAATACTACTGATCCCAATGGACTTTGCTGTAAGGTCTCCCTTGTACCAATTCTGACAAATTCTGTCATAGGACCTTGTTACTACTGATCTTGATGAACTCTGTCATAACCCTTTGTTTTGCCCAATCCTGTGATTCCTGCACAAGGTCTCTCCTCATATGATTCCAGTTCCTCCTGCGCACTCGGTCCTATGACACTGTCCTACTCCCGCTCCATGTGGTCACCCCTATTGTCCTGTTCCCGCTCCATGTGATTGTTTCTTTGACATGTGTGGGACCATTTCCCCATGTGGTAACCCCACACATGCTCCTGGGCTCAGTCCCCTTCCTTGCATGTGATCACCTCCTGTATGCCTCCTTTGCCACCAATGATGGTGACATCCTCCTCCAGCTATCCCATTGCCCCCATGTGATCATTTGACCTGCTATGCATTGATGAGGTCTTCTTGCAGTATGTTTGGTGAAATCTACTGGATGGGCTTGTTCTGATTGATTTCAGCAAAACCAATCAGAAACCTGCAACTTGATTGTTTTCACATTTTGTGTGCACAACACACCCAATGTTTGTCTAGGGTCTTCTGCGCAGACCCTGTGACATCCTTTCCATTCCATTGTCTGATCTGAGTGTCTTGAGCTTGTGACCAGTTTGAATCTTGACATAGTTAATCCATTCCTTTAGTACTTGAAGCACTTCAGATTTTGTTCATAGCAGTTTGACATATGTGAAGCTTGATGTGTCATCCACTGCTACTGGCAGGCATGTAAACTGTGTCTTTGTTGAGAAGTGTGTAGCTAAATTGATGTGCACTAGTTCTAATGGGAGTTTGGCATGCTTCCCACTACTTTGTCCCATATGAGCTTTCATTGATTTGCTTGCCATACAGTCTTGGCATTTGCAGGGTTTGGTCCTGAGCTTATAGATCTTCTCAAGCACTTGGGTCTTGTCTGGGCCTGGATGGCCACACCGTTTGTGGATAAAGTTGTTACTAAATTTGCGTGTTTTGGGGTCATTTTCGGGGTTTCGGGGTTGAATTGCTCCAGTGATTCTCACCCTGGCAATAGTAGCACCTTTGTCGTCCGTCAGGGCCTGGCTCCGGCAATGTCTTGATGACCGCGAAATCAAGGATGTTAGGCCGACTGATGGTCACAACGCGGCTGATCTACAACGGACGAATCAGGACAGCTGAAATGCACACAACGTGCGCACGTGTTGCTTCACACCCAAGTCATCTCAGCAGCTTCCAAATGAACAGTGGGCCAGCTCTTCTCTTCGGATGGGAAGCAACTTGAACGCTGACAAGCCTTCCCAGGGCCTTGTCGGCTCTTCGGTAATAACCCTGCACTCAGACTGTCTTGCTCCATGTCGGAGGCGTGCTGCGATTGATATCGGAAGCCAAGGTCAAGAAGGCAGAACATGACACTCTGGACCCTAACCGGCGCACAATCCGAGTGGTGCAATGCAGCCTAGTGTGATTTTTCTTGGGCTGGACTCTAAAGAACATTGCGCATGGAAGCTCTAAAAGCCTGAGGAAAGCGAAAAGAGGCACCTCAACTGTGAGCACGGTGCAACAGATTCGAATCCACTTGGCTCGTGCACGCACGCTCACCTTCAAAAAAAAAAAAAAAAAAAAAAAAAAAAAACACCACGCCTTCTGCTGCCTGTTACAAAGTGTCCCGGCTTCCATACTCAAAGTTGACACCGGCCAAGCCTTGGTCTTGTTGGTGCTTCTTCCGTCTTGATCGTCTTCCGTCTCCAACACCTACCGCCTTCAGCTCCATCACATACGACAGCGCCCATCGTCACCTTGCCCTAGCTCAAGCTTCGAGTTTCAAGTCCAACGCTCCGGATCATCCCAAGTGCACAACGCAACCGGCGGTCTTCTTCGAGCAAGCTGCTCTCGTAGCACAAAGCTGCCCTTATCGGCTTGCCGCTCATCAGCACGCTTCTATCACACCACGAATACCCTCACCTTCACACCATGAACCTTCGTTAAGCTGGCTTTATCACCAAGCGCACCATTGCCGCTGCCACCGCTGCTGCAACTACTGCTGCTTGAGCTCAAGTCGTTATCCTGGCCGTCTCGGAACACTATCCTCAATCCCTACCATTCCAGAACCGCCCCTACAAGCCGACATCTTGCATCCTAAGCGCTTCAAGTACTAAGCATCACCTCTCAGCCGCTCAAGATGAAGTTCGGCAAGTATATCCTCAGCCAGCAGATTTCCGGCTGGGGTGCCTACTACTTGGACTACAAGTTCCTCAAAAAGATCATCAACTCGCTCGAAAAGGGTCGTCTCGCCGACGCAGCCCTCTTCGCAACTGGTGTTCGACCCGAATACAACGCCAATGGACAATCCACCGTCTCGCCACAACCCCAGATCCTTCCTCACATCCAAGGCTCTGATGAACTCCAGATCCACAAAGCTGCCTTCTTCTTCAAACTCGAACGAGAGCTCGAAAAGATCAACAACTTCTATCTCCAAAAGGAAGCAGAGCTCAAGTCCCGTCTTCAAACCCTCATCGACAAGAAGCGCATCATCTTTGAGTCTCGCAACTCATCCAAGCTTTCCAAAGAGTCGCCATCCTACGTCGCACTCTACGAAGGCTTCCGTTACTTCGAGAAGGATCTTAGCAAGCTTCAGCAGTTCATCGAGATCAATGCCACCGGTTTCAGGAAGATTTTGAAGAAGTGGGACAAACGTTCCAAGTCCCAGACCAAGGAACTCTACTTGGCTCGTCAAGTCGAGGTGCAGCCATGTTTCAACCTCAAGTTCATTGCCGAACTGAGCGATATTGCAGCGGCTAACTTGCTCGAGCTCGAGAACCTCTCGCATGGCCGATCGCTTGAGGAGAGGCTCAGCACAAATGGGACCAGTCTGTCGTCGGATAATAGGCTTGACTTTGCCGCTGCTCAGAGCCAGGACTTTGATGTGCTGGCTGATCTGGAGGTCAACCTCGCCCACGCAGTTAAGGCTGGCCGTGTGGCTCCAGCAACAGAAATGGTCCGGATCGCGGCGCAGAACGAGGATCCCACCAGTGTCTCCCGCATCGTCTGGCGTGCATTGCTACAAGCACCTCACGAGGCTGTCCGAGCTGCGTTGGAAAAACACCTTGCAGACTACAAATTTGTCGACGACATCAGCTCTCGTACCTGCCTACACGAATCATCGATGGCTGGCAGGCTCTATCTCGTCCAGTCGTGCGTCGAGAACGGTGTTGACGTTGCACAGCAGGACATCTACGGCCGTACAGCCCTCTCCTACGCTGCAATGTCCGGTCACACCGATGTCTGCAAGTACTTGCTTTCATTGCCCAACATCTCGGCGGCCACCTACGATCTCGATGGCTTTTCGCCCTTGATTCTCGCGGTGATGAACGGCCGCACGGATGCAGTTCGGATCCTCCTCGACCACGGCGCAAGTGTCGAGCCCCGCGACGCCACCGATCTGATTCCCCTCTGTCTCGCCAGCTCTGGCGGCCATGCCGATATCGTCCGGTTGCTGCTGCAGAAGGGAGCAAAGATCGCCTCCAACGCTGAGGGACTCTATCCACAAGCGCTCGCAGCACGTGCTGGTCACGCCGACTGCGTGCGCCTTCTCGTCGAGTCCGGTGGGGACCCTAACGCACCCGAGAAGGGTACACAATGGACTCCGACCTTCTTTGCTGCCGAAAGCGGACACGTCGACTGTCTCAAAGTGCTCCTCAATGCAGGCTGCAACGTCAACATTGTCGATGAGAAGGATCGCACCGCTGCCTTCTACGCTGCATGGAACGGAAAGATCGCCTGTCTGCTTTTGCTTCTACAGGCTGCACAGCAGAGTCAAGATCCAGTCCCCGGTAGACATTTGTCCAAAGCTTCGGCTGCCAAAGCCAGCGCAGTAAACGACCGAGGCGATGATCTGGACCTCGAGATTGACGGCATACCTAATTTGTCGTTGCCACCGCCCATCATCCCCTTCCGAACCTACGGACACAACTACCTTGACAAACGCGCCCTCGTCTCCGTTTCCCTTACTAATAACTCGGTCAAGCTTTACAAGCATCAAGATCCCAACCGTCCCGAACAGTTCTCTACTTCTTCGCTCAAACTCGTCATGACTTCTCGACCCGACACTTCCACCACTGCCATTCCGCACAACGTCGTACTGCCACTAGCTGACGAACGCGAAGTGTTCTCGTTCCAAGTCAACAGTCTGGAAAGCTTTTCGATCGAATGGGAGCTCATGCCTACGTTTGGTTCAAAGGTGATCGGTAAGGCGGTTGCATTGCCGAGCTCGTTCGAGGGTATGACGGGCAGGAAGCGGTTTGTGTTGCCATTGCAGGATGTGTATCTCAAAGTGGTAGGTGAGGTTTCGTTTGAATTGGACTTTGTCAAGCCCTTTGACAGTGTGCAGTTGGAGATCGGCGGGAGGGTGGAGACATATTGGAAGAGTATGTTGCCTGGTGTAGGGGCTGCTTCGACGGTGGGACCGACTAGGATGACGCCGAATAATGGAGTTAGTGGGACTTTGAGTAGTGCTGCTGCTGCTGCTGCTGCTGCTGCTTCAGGTACACCGAAAAATGCAGACAAAGGTACAGCTGGAACACCGCTAGCTGGGTCTGCTGGTGCTACCTCTTCCTCCTCTGCTGCTGCTGCAGCTGCCGTCCAACCAACGCTTGTCACCGGATCCTCTCTCGCCGGCGAGTACTTACGCGTAGTCGTCCAAGTGACAAAAGATGCAGTCGCCATCGTTTGGCCTTCCCCCTTCATCCCCCTTCCCGGTCTTCAAGTCTACGTCGGCAGTGTCAAGTCAGACGAACTTCTCTCACTCGCCACATCCACTCACCACGCACTCAATTGGACCCCTAGCCAAGCAGCCTCCGCTTCATGGCAAGACTGGCAAAAAGCCCTTTCCACCTCCGTTGTCACCCTTGGAACCCTCCTGTCCCTCCTCCCGGTCTCCGTCGGAATCGATATCGACGTAATGTATCCCTCCACCGCCGAAGTTCGATGCAACCCAGGCATGCCCAAAATGGAAGTCAACCAATTCGTCGATACAATCCTCCACACAGTCTATGCTGCTGGTACTTCCAATCGAGAACAATCCCGCAAGATTCTCTTTTCATCTCGGTCGCCTACAGTTTGTACCGCGTTGAATTGGAAACAACCCAACTACGCCGTCTTTTTTGCTTCTTTCTGCGGGGTCGACGGAACCGCCTCCCTGGAGAGAGGAGAATTGGTGCCTTCGGCCAGACACGAAACGGATCCCAGGAGAGAAAGTATTTCAGAAGCGGTCAGATTTGCCAAGTCAAATAATCTACTGGGGATTATGGTCGATGTTGCATTGCTAAATTGTGTTCCTCATCTGGTGGAAAGCGTTAAAGCCAGTGAATTGTTGTTGATTACAATAGGGAAGTTTAAAAGGGGAGCGATAGGAGGGGAAGGGGAGGAAGTGGTAGATGTGGATGGCGAGGCGGAGAAGGGGATTGTTGTATGTAAGAGCTAGAAGTTTCCTTTTTGTGTTAATTTGATTCGTTTGCATGTTCCTGTTTGATCGAGGCTGTGTGTTTGAGTGAATCATAAGCTGAGTCGAGAGACTAATGGTGAAGCAGCAATGGTTGATATTCGACAGATGAGAATGAGAGAGGATGAGGTATCTATAGTACAAGATATAAGAAGCTGAGGGATTGGAAGCAAGACATAGTCGAAGATCGCGAAGTCAGAAAGAATGCGAGAAAATACTGCGAAGAGGAAAAAGTCTTATCGAAGGCGCTCCAAACGTTGACGATTGAAACACAGGCAGAGCTTTTGAACATCGCCAAGATGCTCGTCAGCCCGCCCTTCGCTTCCAGTTGTGGCAAAAGGGCTGTAGTGAGACCGATGCTACAACCTTACTTCAGCGCAAATCCACTTCCATAATCTTACTGCCTCCATCGAATCCAACCAAGTCGAATGCTATGCACTCATCGCCTCCTCTTAGGCTTACCACCATTCTTACTCTTATGAGCATCAAACAAACTATTGCCACCTTTGTTCTTAAACGGCTTCAACCCCTTGCTCTTCCTATACGTCTCTCTTCTCGAGTCTCTCGCCCCTGATGTAGAAATCTTCTTTGGCTGCTCTCCTTCCTCGTTCTTCTCCCCTCCCACTTCAGCGACATCTTTCATTTCTTCTGCATCCTCTTCATCATTGCTGCTTTCGACAAGAAGTTTATCTTTCTTCAACCCAGCTACCAGACGAGCATTAAGAGCATTGACACGAGCTGCTTCGTTGACAGCATAATCTGATTTAGGGTTGGTACGCTTTTGATTGCGCGCTTTGAGTTTGGATGCTGAACGAAGACCTTTGGCCATTGTGGACGATGTACTCAATGAGGATGTGGTTGAGAGTTAGGTTTATGGAAGGGTTGGTGGCTAGACACAAATACGTCGAAGGATTCGAGACTGGAGGTCTGTACGATGGGATGGGGGTCGAAGATCGTCTGTTTGTACTCGGGTTCGGGTTGGAAAGCTTTCAGCGACCAGGGATGAAGGTGATGGTGAGGATAAGAAAGTAGGTTCGATAGCAAGTGCAACAACGAGGACCCTTGTCCGCTGGTTTTTTTTTTCTCCAGAAAAGCTGCACTCTAAAAGTGAAATTTCCCAAGGGTACGTTTCTCGGAACGCGGAAACCAAATCGGCTTCTAGATCGCGAAACGATCGGGAGGAAAAATCGGGTCAAGCTGATACCTTTTGCTACATGTTACACATACACAAGGTGCAGTCTCGCACCCTAACCCTAACGGAACTCTCAAACTGTGGCAGCACCATACAGCTTTGCAGCCAGAGCTGATCTTGTGGGGCATTGGAGGGAAAGATAAAAGCAAGGCTAACCCCAACCCCAACCCTACGCTACTCGGAGCCCTAAGGAAGGAAACCTAACCCAGCTCTAAGACGAGGTTGCTAGGTCTAACCAGCTACCTAAGTAGCCCTCGACTTCACCGCCCTAAGTCGAATATTATCAGGTTCGAGCTCCGAACAGTTATCAGTAACACGGGTTTTCGTTGTACGGAAGAGCGAGGAGTACTGTAGGAATAAAGTTGCCCATACCCACATGCTTTTTCGATGCAAGCGTGCGCTGTGCCTGCGTCTCTTCTTTGGGCTTCAAGTCCAGAACACAAAGCTTGAAGCGGCCATCCATCTATCTTGAGAAGCCGAGGATCCGGCTGACATCGTTACATGTTGCCTGTCCGACAAATTCGGATCATGTTGTACAAAGTTGTGGTGGTGTGGGCGGCTAAAGCGATTACACAAAACGCGGATCTGAGCGAAGCGATTTTCTCGGTTACGCCAGGTTGTGCCACAGTCGACTTCTTTCAAAGGGAGCCAGCATATAGAACAATAAAGCTTCAAGGTCTTGCAAAAGCAGGGCGACAGACCTCGTGACATCACACACACATTGGCGTTGTCGCCACGACTACAAGGAACGGCAGCAGCAACGGCAACAATGGTTGCTTCGATTGTCGACGTCTCCGCTTACATACAAGGTTCTGAGTGAAGATAGATGGCTTGCGAAAATAGAGTTCTGCGGTTCAACACCGCTCTGCTGCTTGCACTGGATGGATGGATATAGCCGACTGCTGGTGCGAGGCTGTACAAAGCTAAAAGAGCACTCCTGTCGACGTTGTTCTGTTGACATGGCACCCTATCGTACAAGCTTTTCTTTGATGTCAGCATGCCTTTGATAGTCTTGCTTCCCCGATGTCGTTGTTCCGAAGGGATGAACGGGACAAGTTCCGCGGGGCAACCACAACCTCTCAGGGAAAACAAGCGTCCAACACACACACACACACACACACAGCCGCTCGTTGGAAGGAGATTCCAGGTCTTCTTCTGCGCATGCAGTCCCGTGGCTCTTTACTCTTGTCTGTGTTACACAAACTGAGCGAGACATCCCAGCTTGAATCAGATGCAGAGCCACTTCTTTCGATCAAGAAGGGTCCGGATGCGCTGCTGCTCGTGGTGGTGATTGTCTCTCCGCACTTCTTACTCTGAAACTCGCTTCCTCGCTTTCTTTCAGGGTGTCATTGTGCTGACAGCAATCATACAAAGCTTCCCTCCCTTTCTTTTTGCCTTTCACTTCCTCAACCTCTCGGGGGCAACACCTTTCGGCTTCTTCTTCTTCTACCTCCCTTCCCCTCGACTCAAGTCCGCCTGGCTCGCCATCTCGTTCCTGCTTCTCTTGCGCTCGTTACGCTGCCACTGCATTGCTTTCTTCGTCTCCCCTCCTCCCGGTCATTTGTGCGGCGTCGGCATCTATCCCATCGCTTCAGCTCCAGTATACACTGGATTGCCGTTTCTCTTTACCACTATCTGTACACCAAACGGCTGGCCTGCCAAAGCTCATCTCTTGATGCTCGACCTCCTCGCTCCCATTCACACACTCGCCGCTGCACCTCTCCATTATCCTCGCCCCATCCCGACAACACTGCTCGTCCCGAACCCACATCTCGGCTACACCTCTTAGCTTTCTCTGTTCCGTGGTCACCACCGCTCGCTCCCGCTGTAACTTGCTTCGCTACCGTATGCAATAGCTCTCGCTCTCGTTCCTACTTTCTTGCCTCTTCCCTGTCACGCTCTTTATCTCCAATAGATCACCTTTGTCTCATCACACCATCAGCTGCCAATAGCGTGCAGTTGCATTAGCAGTACCTTGGCTGCCTACGGATATACCAACGATCAGACTCCATCATCTCGACTTCAGTTAGAAGGCATCGTCTTTCGACAAAGCATCGCACTTCAGGCTTTTATTATCGCTTACTGCCCTACTCGCTCATTTAGAACAAGCATCGAGCACTTGGGATCTCTCTTCGCACCCAGTCGATCCTCAACGGATAAGCTCAGTAGCATCTTCAAGGACGCAGCAGCTTCAATCCCTTGCTTGTCCTGGAGGCCGATTCCACGTCTAGTCACCAGGCTTGGTGCCTTGAATACCAGCCTCTTTCGACCGGTTGACCAGAGCAAACGACTTCCAACTTCTCGACGCCAACCGTACTAACACAATTAAAGAGACTTGCGTGTGACCTTCACCCGCATCTCCCCTTTCCACCGCCAAGATGAGAGAGACGAAACTTCACATCCCAATGACGATCGCCACAGGCGAGACCATTGGCATCGTCGGCATCCTCGCACAAACCGCCTTCCCACCTCACAATCCACAAGAACACGAACCGCAACCCATGTACACCTCCCGTTCCACAACAGCATCTATCGAACCACTCCGACACTCTCAACACCCCTCTTCCTCACGACACGGCATCTCCAACGATCCCTCATCCTCTCGATCCGACAACCGCAGTCTCAGTGTCGAAGATGACCCAGCTACAATGCAACGCTTGCGTCAAAAAGATCAAACGTTCAAACGTCGAGGTTACCCCATCTACCCTATCGACAAACGCGATACACGTGGACTCAAAATCGCCATCATCCTTCATGGTGTCCTTGCACACAAAGATCAGATCTATCACAAACAACTCGTGCGTGCACTACCGGTTGATTCGTTCCGATTCGATTTCCGCGCTAACGGCGAAACTCCAGGTACTTGGTCTATGGGGAACTTAGCTGATGATGTCGAGGATCTCGTTGCTGTTGTTGACTACCTTCGAACCAATTTGGAGTATACGGTGGAGATCATCGTGGGACATAGTCGTGGTTGTTTGGACGCTTTTGCTTGGTTTGCAAAACATTGTCCTGATGCTCTACCGCCGTCGTTGAGGGTTCCCTTTTTCGTGGGATTAAGTGCAAGGTTCAATATGTCCAACATCCACGAACGGGATCCGATGTATCTTTCCGCTTTTGCACGAGAAGGATTCTTTCGATGGCAAGCACGCGTTGCAGGTCAGGATAAGGAACTTCGAGTATACCCTGAACAGGTGGAACAATTCGCTGCTTGGCCCACACGAGAGATCGCTCTTGCTTTCCCTTACAATACCGACGTACTGCTCATCCACGGAACAGCAGACAAATCTGTGCCTGCATCGGATGTCACTTCGTATGCCAACATACTTTCCGGTGTGCACCGCAGGCCGGGTAGTTGTTCGATCAAACTCATCGACCATGCGGATCATCTTTTCCGTGGATTCTACCCACAGGTAGTTGAGGCGATCGTAGAGTGGCTACAGGAGAGATCAGAGTTAACAAAGATGGGTCTGAGTGCAGCGGCGATTCGAGATAGAGATATGTTGGGGGTTGCGAGGTTCGATCCTTCCCATTTTGGTCAGGGGAGGATGGCGCCTCAAATGTGGGATAATAATTTGGCGTCGGCGGCGGGTAGTGCGGGTGGAATTCAGCAAGTACAGAGTTCGCCGTGGATGGATAGTGGGGCGAGAAGTACGACTGTGTCTTCTTCGACAATGCAACCACAACCACCAGCAGGAGGAGGAGGTGGTGGTGGTAGTGGTGGTAATGGTGGTGTTGGAGAACAACAGCAGCAACAACCGCAACCATCACCATTAGCGCGATACTTGGCCTCAGCGGCACCAAAACCTGTCGTTCATCATCAACATTTTGGTCCTGCAACACCAGCACCAGCAGACCAACCACCAGCTACTCAGTTGACACGATCAAATCCGAGCTCAAGTCTATCAGCTTCTAGTCCACCTTCTCGAAGCAACACGCCTTCGCCTTCGTCGACAGAGCAAACCTCGCCAACCTCTCCGCTTAAAATTCAGCCTCCAACACAACCAAAACCTTCCTCGTCACCCGTAGCAACATCGAAAGACCGCTCCCAAACCCAACTCTTAGTCTCAGCAAACACAACCACCCCCTCACCTGCACTTATACTTGTCTCTTCTCACCAGACAAAGTCTCGGCTCTAATTTTTCACCTTTCTTTCTTTTTGGTTCTTGTGTTATTTTCTCTGTCACCCTGTTGTTACAACGTTATCGTTGCACTTTCTTTTCTGCTGGGGGAGTGTGAGGGTAAGAATGAGAATGGGTGTGGGAGGGTATCATTCGTTATCGGAATCTTCGCTTATGGTTATTGCTGATATCCTCGGCTTCCGAGGTTTGGCATTCTGACGAATGGCGCTGGCCAGGGTTGCGCCGAATAAACGTGTTGGGCGGGGAGGGATGATTTCACCTTTGTCGTTGTCCATTCCTTCTTCCTCGTCTGTGGATGGTTCTGCTAGTGCGCGTTGTGAAGGTGTATCTCTCCTTTCTCCTCTTCCGCTGTCGCTTGATACAGTTTTGGCTGGAGTCTTGCTCTTTCTCGGTGACTTGTTCGAACTGCTTCCCTCTTCGCTGCTGTCATCGGTGGGAGGAGTACTTGGTCGACTATGCACCTGCCTTTCATTCCTGCGTGAAGAAGAGGAGACAAGCTCTCCAAGAAACTCGATACTTGAATCACCCTCTCCTTCTTCCAAAGCTGGATTTGCTGGCATTGAAGTGATTTTTTCCACCCCTCTTCTCCTGCCCAAACCTAAGCTACGAGTGGAAGCGAGGAGGGGAACAGATTCAGTCCGACGCATGAGTCCACTGGGTATGCGCAGTTGTCTTGATGTTCTCGGCGTCATCGGCTCTTCTCTGGGAGGTTGGGATTTGGTCGTTCCACCATGAGCAAAACTCCTCGTAGTCATGCTGGAGAGGGATGGCTTGGCTCCGGGCTTGACGAAAGACATCAGGCTCATCTGACCTTTCTTCCCTCCTCCACCGGCACCGGAAGAGGGCTTTTTGGCACTTTTAGCTGCGTTCTTCCTCTCCAGATCTTTGATGAAAGACTGCAGTTTGTCCCCTCCGCTAACGCTAAGCTGGAGTAGTGGTTCGGGAATCCACATCAACAGAGGCTCCTTGCCGTCATCCACCTTTCCGCCTCTGGAAGGGCCGTCCTCAACATCCTCCACTTCAGTCTCGGATTCACCGTCTTGTTGCGTTCGACCGACTTTCAACTCAGCATCGAAGCTCGCATCAATCCCTTTCTCAGCCGCCAGTGCAAATTCCTCTACAGAAACCAGACATCTATAGTCCAGAAAGGGTGCTAGAGCTGCATGTCGACGCTGCAACCTGATCGCTTTTATATCGAGTGTCGGTGTTTGCGCACCTTCCATTGAGACCCGAGGGAGAGTAGTGGGGAGTTGAGAGGTGATGGCTGTGCGTGAGAAAAAATCGGTTATTCTGGTTGCGTTGGGACTTTCGTGCATTGGTTTTTCCTTTCCTTCCTTTCCTCCTTCCTCTCCGGCATCATTAGGTGCTGCAAGCCCAAGCCTGTACCGCCTAACACCCTTACTACTGGGACTGTCAACCAAAGCTCCCCATGGACCTTCGCTCCCCCCACCATCCACCACCTCCACTACTTGCTGTCTTAACCTTCGCACTACTACTCCCGGTCCTAACACCCTTCGGAACTTGCCCAGTATTGCCTCTTTTGACCATTGAAAATATAGCTGCACGAGCGAGGCCAGTCGTTGAAGGTCTGGTTCTCCACCTTTACCCTCCATCTTGACGCTGCTCCCTTTGTTGGAAGTGAGAGGGTAGACATAGAATGCGAGCACGCGGCGGGATTCGGGGGTGGCCAGAAAAGAGTCTTTGATTGTAGACGCTAATTTTGGTCGACGAGAGGGGAGGAAGCCTAGGTTGTTCGTTCGGAGTTCTTCCCTCACCTCTTCCAGCCAGGTGGAAAGGAAAGAGGCGAACCGGAAGCATGTTTGAGCAGCGGAGGTAAGAGTCGGGTAGGAAGATTTGAAAGCGGAGATGAGACTTGTTCCAAACCCACCTCGGGCGAGAGCGATGGCAATTTTCACACCGCATTGTAGTAGTCCTGTCGTATCATAGTCCCCTCCTGACATAAGCGCTATCAATATGAGTCCGTTCTGATCGAGTCCGAGGTCGGGATGGGAGAGCATATCGGATGCCTTGTAGAGCGTTATTCGGAGATCTCTGTCTGATCCGGTGAGCTGCAACCCTCCTCCCCCTCCTACTGTAGTGGAACTTGATTCTTCATCCTGGAACACATCACTACCACCCGAAGTCGTCCTATTAAAAGCCTTAGTCCCAGACAAATTCCTCCCCCAGTTCCTCACAACCGTTTGCGCACCGAACAACAACGCATCACTGTCATCCGTCAACACCGCATCCACCACACCCTCCGTATTCAGCCAAGCCAGTTCCGCCTCCGCCTCTCCTCTCGCTCTACACCATTGAAAGCCGAATGCTTCTATAAGTTGGGTGAAGGGATGCTCGATTGCATGTTGCTTGCCTTTGACTTGCTTTCCTCGCTTCCAGGTGGGGCGTTCGGATCCGTCGAATACGAACAAAGGTAGGACGGGCAGGGTGAGGAGCTTGGCGAGTCGGTAGAAGAGGAGTCGAAGGTAAGGGTTGGAGCCTCCGGAAGATTGTTGTGCGTGGAAGAGCCAGAGTGAGGCATCGATGCCAAGGCGAAGCCCGCGGGAGGTGTTGGTGTTGGTGGTGAAGGAGGTGAGACAGTAGATGGGGAGGGTGGTAGTGGTTGCGGAGGAGGAGAGCTCGGGCCAGAGATTGGGGATTCCCATTACGATGCCATTGCTCGCAGAGCGGGAATCTGGAGTGTTGTTAGGGCTCCTTAGGGATGTGAAGAGTCCGGAAGAGGTGAAGGTTGTTAGGGTTGATGTTGATGGGAGTGCGGGAAAGTGTTGGTGTGTTGTTTTGGTGGCAAGCGCGTACAGAGATGGGAAAATGTGTAGCGGAATTGGAGGACACGAAATTGGACCCTGAGCTCTCTGTTGTGACACCTGTCACGAACGAGAAGAAACCGCACGCTTGGACCAACACCTCCTTAACCGAACACTCCTCACACCTTCTCTTCTTCCACCACCATCACCATCTTCTTCCTTTACATCCCCTGTAGATTACCACCAAAATGAACTCCAAATATACCGTCAATCTCCCAAACCAAGGTCCCATCACCCCGCGTCGAATCCATCTCCACCCCTTCCACCCCACCTCCTTCCCCGGCAGCGTCCTTGCATACCTCGGCATCCCATTCTGCCAACCACCCCTTGGCTCCCTCCGATGGAAACCCCCACAGGGTCCTCTACCCCACTGGACCTCTCCTCGCCCCTCTTCATGGCGTTCTGACCCACACCAAGACCCAGCAGCAATGGAAGGAATGTATCTTCCCCGACGCAATGCCAGGAATTCCATCCCTCGTTCCGAAGATTGTCTTTACCTTAACATTTGGCTTCCCGAAACACCCCTTCCTGCTGGAGAAAGGAAAAGGCCGGTGCTGGTATGGGTGTACGGCGGGGCATTTGTAGTGGGTAACTGTTCGAGGCCGATCCATGATGGCGCGAGGTTGGCAAATGAATCTGGCTGTATCGTCGTCTCTTTGAGCTATCGCGTTGGACCGATGGGCTTCCTCGGCTCGAAAGCGTTAGCGGAAAATGCAGCGGGTGAGTGGCCCCTTATCTCGCTGGAAGCATTGAAGTCGAAGCCGGAAGGGGGGAAGGTTGAGGTAGGAGCGGGGAATTGGGGACTATGGGATTTGATTGCCGGGTTGTTATGGGTGCAACACTCAATCTCTGCTTTCGGAGGAGATGCGGATAATGTGACGTTCTTCGGCGAGAGCGCGGGCAGTATCTCTATCCATTACCTTCTCCTCTCACCCCTCACACCTGCTGGATTGTTCCACAAAGCAATCCTGCAAAGCGGTGTGGTCGCAACACTTCTCCCACGCACGACAAAAGCCGCACAAGCAGCATACGACCTTCTCGTCCACACCCTCTGTCCACCGCATTTGCAAGGTGACGAAGCATCACAACTAGAGTGGATCCGAACGAAAGTTAGTGCGGATGAAATCTCTGCTGTGTTCCCTCCACTGATCGGCAAACGACCCCGATCGGAATACACACCAACAGTGCAGGATTGTGAAAGGTTGCCCGCGGCACGAGAAGATCTTAAAGGGGAAAAGTTCGCGGTGACTAACCAATGGGGTCCTGTTTGGGACGGACTCTTGGTCGATCCGAACTTGATCACTCGTGCTTTAGCGCCCCTTCCACCCAAATCCCAGCTGAAGAACGGAAGGGCAGGGGTAGTGGTAGGAATGTGTGCAGACGAAGGGACAATGTTCAACTTCCTCATTGCTACCACTTCTGCCCTTGCCGAACATCAGAAATTGTTTCACCCCGCACTGTCATCCGACTTGGGTAGTCTCTACTCATTCAACTCCGCCGAGCTGGCGACAGTCAAGCTCGGTGGGAAGGAAAAGGCGAAAAGGGACAGGCAAGCGTTCTACACATGTGCGACGTATACTGGGGACTCGCAATTTACTGCTCCTATCCTGGACTATATGTCCGTACACAACAACGCTGGAGGAAAGAGGGAAGGGGAGAGGGTAGATGTGTATGGGTACCTTCTGGCATACAGACCAAGCTTGGGAATGCTGGAAGGATTGACGATTGTGCCGGAGATGAGTGAGGAGTGGGGTGCGTTTCATACTTTGGATATCCCTTTTGTGTTTGGTGCCACTGGAGATGGGGACCAGCACATTTTTATGGGGAAAAGTGAGGGGTATGGTGTGGATCCAACCCAAGACGACGTCGATGGAGGAAAGAGCAAGGCAAGAGAGGCGGGAGGGAAGGGAAAAGGAATGACAAAAGAGGAGAGAGAATTGAGTTTGTTTATGATGCAAACTTGGGCTGCCATCGCTAAGCTTCCCAATGATGAGCCCGAAAATGACTTGGTGCTTCCTGATGGAGTAAGCTGGAAAACGCTTGGTTCGGGATCGTCAGCGACGACAGGTGATAGTGTGGGAGAAATCAACCTAATAGCTATCGGGAACGCTCCTCAGATGCACATCCCATCCATCACGAATGCAGGCGAACGGATAGCTGTCCGACAGATGAGGCTGGCAAAACATCCCTTTGCGCAGCAAAAACCTATCGGAGATGCTACACTGCAGGACAGGATCCGCTTTTGGCTGCACGAGTCCATTAGTGGAACTTCAAATTCGGACAGGGAGGGGAGTGTGCCGCTCTCCAGGGCGACACAGAACTACTATGGCTTCATCGCCACAGCTCCTTGCTTCATTCCGTGGCTGTAGATGCCATTCACTCTGCTACATCTACGATGTAGATTGAGTAGACGCTATTATTGGAATAGAACAAATGAAGATCGTTAATATAGTGACACAATAAATTCGAGCGGTTCTGTGACGCTACGAAAATCTCACACTTGAAAAATATGTCCGCGGAGCTAGGCTTCCGCAGTTGAAGCTATACCGTGCACCTCCTCGTCCGAGCCACGTTCTAGCTCTTTCGTACTAGTGTGTTGTAGATGTAATGCTTAGTATTTTATTGTGCACTATTGCTACAGGGTTGTGTATATATACCTTCATCCTGTTAATGAGATGGCTTGTTGTTCTCCTTCAAGTCATGCCCACTTTGTAGTATCTCGGCATTTTCCTTTCATATGCTTCTCCTGATTGGTCGCCACTCAACTTAGTATGCATGCAGGGGATCAGTCTGTCAGTTACTTGCTTCTCTTGCATATTGGTTATCCTGGTGACTCTTCAACTCCCCCCCTCGCCAGCATGACCAAACCCATTGCTCAAGCTAGGCGTGTGGTCTCTCCTCCTTTCAATGGCTTTGTGAGAATGTCTGCCAAGTTGTTTGCCATTCTGACATGTTTGATCAGAATGTCTCCCTCCTGCATGTGTTCCCTGACGAAGTAATAATGCGTGTCGATGTGTTTAAGCTTCCAGTGTTTGGCTGGGTCTTTACTCACCTGTATGCATCCTTGGCTGTCAGTGTGGAGCATTGGTCTGATGTTATCGATACCCAGGTCTCACAGCAGGTATGAAAAGAACAGTGCCTCTTGTGCTGCTTCCGATGCAGCAATAAACTCTGCTTCTATGGCTGACAGGGCCACGCATTTTTGCACATGAGATCGCCAACTCACCGGGCTCCCATATAGATACATGATTGCTCCCGATGTACTCCTCCGACCATTCGTGGGGTCTGATGCCCAATTTGCATCGGTATATGTCATTAATGTCTCCTTCTCCACATTTTCTCTCCCTCCTAGTTGGAGATGATATTCACTTGTTTGATTTAGGTACTTTAGAGTGTGGATCGCTGCACACCACGCTCCTTTGACCGGAGTTGTCATGTGTCATGCTAAAACTCCTACCGTGAATGAGATATCTGGTCGCACTGTGTTGGATACCCATAATAGCTGTCCTACTAACTCCTGGTATTCTTTGCTTTGTGATGATGAGCATCTCTCTCCTCCTGCACTTGCAGTTATGCTTTGCATCGGGATCCAGGATTTCTCAGTCTCCTTCTGTAACCATCTGCTTACCTTGATTTAATATATGCTGTTAGATCAAGAGATATGCTCTTCTGGGTCCTGTCTCTCATGATTTTGATTCCAATAAACTCTTTGATCTTCCCATTATCTTCTGTTCCCCACTTATTCATGATCTCCTTCTTGGTGTGATCTACTTCTTTGCGACTTGGTGAAGCTATCATCATGTCATCGACGTATGCTGTGATGACTGTAATGTTGTCTCCAGTTCCTCTTGCATACAAGCAAGGTGTGCTTGGCATACAATGAAAGCCCATCCTCCAAAGGTGTGAGTCCATCTCAGTGTTCCACTCTCGCCCTGACTGTTTTAAACTGTATAATCCCTTTATTAGCTTGAGAACCTTTCCCAGTGGCATCTTTGTTCTGACTGGTGGCTTCAGTTACATGTCATGCTGTAAGTTTGAATTGAGGTATGCTTGTTTGATGTCGATTGAGTCTACCTCCCAATCTTGCACAGCTGCCACAGCCAATGCTCCTCTGATTGATTGAATCAGTGCCACTGGTGTGAAGATTTCAGTATAGTCGATACCTTTTCTCTGAGTGAATCCCCTTGCAACGAGTCTTGCTTTGAACTTTGTGGGCACCAAGTTTGCATCCGTTTTCACTTTGAGTACCCATTTGGTGTCAACAGTGTTCATGCTGATTGGGAGATCTGTCACTTCCCACATGCCCATAGCTTCTAAACCCTCAAGCTCTTTTCGCATTGCCTCCTCCCACAGCCTTTTGTCTGGCCCTGCCATTGCCTCTCGGACAGTTGGGTTTAGGTTTCCTTCGCCTTTGTTGTCCATGGCTGTGAGTCTGAAGGACTCACCATTTGTCCACCCTTCAAGGTCTTGGCCTTCGTTTGTGTTCATAGTCGTTTCCATGTCCATGTACTCATTTTGTGGTTCCTGGTCCATTTCATCAAATAGGTTCACTTCTGAATAACCTGAGTTTTCAGCATCTTCTTCATTCATCATTGTTTGTGGCAATTGAACTTTTATCAGTTTCCACTCGGTCCAGTCCGACCAGCATTTGGATTCCATGAACTTCGCTGAGTTACTCCAGAATAAACTTGGTTGATAGTCCAGACTATAAAATAGCCAACCTTTCCATTCCAGGCTGTATCCTATGAATATAGCTGCCACTGCTCATTGGTCCAAGTTCTTGTTGTTTCGCTTTGCCTTTGGGATGTTTACCCAAGCGAGACATCCAAAGACATGGAGAAGCTGCATGAGTCATTCAGGTGATTTGTTGAACATCATCTCATATGGGAGCTCATTGTCGGCATTTGGAGTAAGGTTTATCTTGAATGCTGCTGCCCTGATTGCATATGGCCAAAAGATCTTTGGTAGTCCACATTGTACCAGTAAAGTGCACATCTTCTCACTCAAGCTTCTGTTCATTCGCTCCACCCTGCCGTTTTGTTTGCTATTGTATCCCACTGTTGTTTGCCACTCTATTCCTTTGTCCTGTGACCATTCAAGAGCTTCGTTGCTCCTCCACTCTGTTCCTTGGTCTGATCAGATTGCTTTTAGGCTCCTGTTGGTCTGTGTCTCAAGGAACGAGATGATTCTTCTGAGCTCTGTGAAAGCTTGGCTCTTTCACAATAATGGTTGTGCGTAAACATATTTGCTATGATCGTCAATGAGCACCAATATGCAGGTGTGTTTGGTCACATGTGATGCATCAATGATCAGATCTATATGCATGAGGTCGAGGGGTGCAGTGGCTCTCTTGCCACTGCCTTGTTTCATTCTTGCAGCCATACTTTTGGACTGTATACACTGCTCACATGTCAGAGCTGTGTCTGGGTCTATATCCATTTGGGTGGTACTTCCCATCTTCTTTATAATAGACTTAGCCTTATCTCTTCCTGGATGTCCAAGGCACTCATGCCAAAGTTGTTGTATGGAGATGGTGGTCCTCTTTGTGGTTGGTTCAAACTCTTCATCAACATCATTGAGCAGCTGTGCTGATGTGGTCATTGTGTTTTCCTTCCATGCCTCACTTCATAACTCTAGCAAGCCTTGCTCTCTGTTCTTTGAAACTTTGAATGAGATTCCATTTGCCATGTGTATCTGTCCACTGGCATGGTCCAAAGTCACTCGTGCTCCCTCGTCTGTTAATGAGTTGGTTGACAATAGATTCACATTGAGATTCTTAACATACAAGACATTCTGGAGTAATGTTTCTCCATGTGCAGTTGATATGTAGAGATCTCCTATAGCGCTTGCATCCAGAACCTCCTTTCCAGCTGTGTAGATGCGTTTTCGGCAGGTTCTTGGGTTTATGAGTGTGCTATAGTCATTCGTCATGTGAAAGCTAGCTCCTGAATCCAGTATCCAATGGGTCGTTTCTTCTGGGTTCTTCTTCCAACTTGGGGTGAGGGAGCACCAAGCATCCTATTTGGAGTTGGTGAGCGGCAAATCTTTGGGAATGGTGATGATGGCATTGCATTTGCCTGCACCATGACCAACTCACCTGCACACAAAACACCGGATTCTTTGGCGTCTGTATCCAGTCTTGGCAGTTTTGTTGTCATCATCGTCATCAGTTTCATGGGCCGATTTGCCCTGGTCACCATCGCCTGCTGTCCTAGCATGACCTTGCCAGGGATCGAGCTTCTGGGTGGGAATGCTCTCTAATGCTGATTGACATATGCTAAGTGCTGTGGCCAGCGCTTCAAAGTTGAGTTGGTGGACAGTGGCAACCATCTCCCTGAACATCGGGTGGCGAATCGTGCATTTCTGGAGAGCAGAGAAGAGAGTATCATCTGCAAATGGTCTTCCCAGGATGCTTCCTTTGGCCTGGATGGTCCTGATTTCCTGTATGAGTTTCCGGATGTTGGAATTGAACATCTTGATATCACCCAGCTGAGTGATCAGAGCGAGCTGGCGAGAGGTTCTGGTGGCATCGTCGCCTAACCTTGCTTCTATCTTGCTCCAGACTTGATGAAATGTGAGGTACTCTCTTATTATGTCCAAAAGAAGATAGTTTACATTGTATTCTCCCATGGTGTTGATGGTCCCTCGTAGGGCATTTGTTAATGTGTCATTGAATGAGCAACTCCATCTGGGGTGGTTTGCATCAAATGTTCCTTCGAGGTGTTCCATAGCATATGGTACCAATCGGAGGAAAGACTTTACATGTGCATTCCAGCTATAGTAGTTCTGGGTGGTGAGCTTCGGCACTGGTTCGAGGAGTTTGCTTAACATACGGAAGCTGTATCATTTGCTGTCATTATCATCATCTGATTCATCTTCAGGGTCATCGTCGATCTCATTGTCATCGTTTGCTGTTTGTGTCTGCCAGACAATTGTCACCTTCTTGGTTCTTTTAGACCTCTTGGCAGCTTCGCTGGCCCCAGCTTGAGGGTCAGTGTTGTCTACCATGGTTTGCTTTGGTAGAGGTTTCAGACTCTTAATCAGTTGAAGCTATACTGTGCACCTCCTTGTCCAAGCCACATTCTAGCTCTTTTGTACTAGTGTGTCGTAGATGTAATCCTTAAGATTTATTGTGTGCTATTGCTACAGGGTTGTGTATATATACCTTCATCCTGTTTATGAGATGGCTTGTTGTTCTCCTTTGAGTCATGCCCACTTTGTAGTATCTCGGCATTTTCCTTTCATATGCTTCTCCTGATTGGTTGCCACTCAATTTAGTATGCATGCAGGGGATCGGTCTGTCGGTTACTCGCTTCTCTCGCATATTGGTTATCCCGGTGACTCTTCAACTCCCGCTCTCACTAATTTTGGCAGCTTTTTGGCGCGCGATGCGGCTGCCGTTTGATGCTGACACCAGAAAAGTGGAGGAAAAGTAAGCATTTTTAAAAAAAAATAAATTTGGAGTTTTTTTTTTTTTTAGTTTTACCCCACAATCATCATGACATTTCTTGCTGCGATTGCGAAGCTTCGTAAGACGAGCAGTTGCAACCTTGACCAAGCTGAGCTGCTATAAGCTGTGTGCCTGGAGGGGCTAGGCAGTTTCTGAGAATGACGAGTAAGAAGCCACGATGAATGAGCAAGGTCCATGTTAGAACAGGAACGTGTTCGAGTGTGACGAAGCGGGTGAAGCTGTCCAAATGAAGGAATTGCGAGCGCACGGTCACCTGGATTACAAATCGAAGCCATCTCCCACGATCGTGACCGCCAAAGGACTCTTGCTGACTCTGTCGACCTCGTGCTCACATCCAGAGAGACCTCACAGCAATCCTGTCAACTGCTTCCGTCAGGCCCGGCGCTTCTTGCTTCTTGCGCGTTTCTGGACAGCTTCTCTGCGCCAGTGGATTGCTAAGCCTCGAGTTGAAAGACATATATCATCCAGCACCATCCCTCCCCTTCCCACCTCTTTTCACCGCTTCCACCTTCCAGCATTACCTTCCCACCTTGGACTCGTTCATAATGAGGATTGTAACCCCCACGGCGCTCGTCGCCGCCCTCCTCGCTAGCACCGTCAGCGCTGCTCCTGCGATCGAAGTTGAACAGCATCTCACATTCAACTCTCCCCCAACCTCTGGCTTTCTCAGTCTCACCACCAAGCTCACCTCCGCCCTCTCCTCCGTATTTTCTTCCCTCACCCATCCCACGCCCACCTCCAACTCTGAAGATCAAACCATCTGGGACCTAATCAACTCGGACCCTGAGTTCTCCCAGCTCGCACACATCCTCAACTACTCTTCCGATGCAACGAAAGACATCCTTCGCAAGAAAGAAGACTTGACCCTCTTTGCTCCTCTCAACTGGCACCATCACCGCGACGGAGGCGACCACGATGGGGAGAAAGAAGCTTACACCGACCTGAGCTTCGGTCCCGCCTCAATCCAAACCTGGACCGGAATGGAACGTCAAATTGCCGAGTACGAGCAAGAGTTTGGCGCTCACTCTTTCCACCACGATGGTGACAGCGATGACGACGATGATGAGAAGAAGAAGAAAAAGCACAGACGTGAGGCTATTCAACACCTGATCGATGCTCATGCGCTCTACCATCTCGTTCGATCTCCTCATGTCCTCGACGCCAAAGCTATTGCGGATAACTCGTCAGTGGCTACGTGGTTGAACACCGGCAAGTCGCATCCTAACAACGCTGGGACTGATTGGCGTGTTCGTATTGGTAAATCGCTTCTTCCTTTGCCTGCGGTCTACTTGAACTTTTACTCTCGAGTGGTCAAGCCTGATATCAAGACCAAGAATGGACTGGTTCAGGGAATTAAATACCCCTTGATTCTGCCACCTGATGTCCTGCAGAGTCTCTTTTACGGTCAGACAACGTTCAGCACCACCACTTCGGGTCTGCAGAAGGTCCATGCGGCTAAATACCTCAGCTACGGACCTGACTACCATCACCACGAGCACCACGGACACGAGGGTGGGAAGCACTTCCAAGCTTGGCACCACCAAGGCAAGAACGGTAGCGATGGAGACCACTTCTCCGGAGTCGCAGCTGAGACTGTGTTTGTCCCCACGAACTTAGCTTGGTCCCGCCTCCCCTTCGCTCTCCGCGCCTACCTCTTCTCGCCATGGGGTTATCACTTGCTTGAGAAGGTGTTTATGTTGCACTCTCTCCCCCACGATATCGTCTATGCTGACTTTGTACACCACGTTGGCGGGCAGAAGAAGGTGAAGCCCACTTTTTCGGTCGAGGGTGGGGCGAACAAGACGAGTTATACTTTCGACTCGGTCCTGCCTGCCATTCATGGGAAGAAGGGAGAGTTGGAACAGGTGGATGTTGATGTTTACAGGTACTATCTTGTGCCGGGAAACAAGGGTCCGCTGCAGACGAGGGTGGTAGTGCAGAACGTAAGCGTCATCTTGCAGGACATTCCGGCCAGCAACGGAGTCTATCACGGAATCACACGATTCATAAAGCCAAAGGGACACCCTGAGAAGGGAGTATGGGCTGAAGTTGCAGAGGCGACCGACGCTGCGGGTTACGGCAAGGTTGATTTGGTTGCTGAAGCACAGGCTAATCTGTGGTAATCCGTGCAAGCAAACGTTGCAAATTGAGGCTGTGCACATGGAGGAAGCCCACTTTGTCAGACCAGATGACGATCGTCGGCGTTGGGAAGAGGTGATAGTAGCGTGCCTCGTGCCCAGACTGAAGCCCTGGTCATGTACCTATTTGCACTCTCACGAATTGTACGTGCCAAGTTGACTGACGTCTCACCTATTGCTGTATGGAATTGTGCTGTTTGAGGCTCGTACGACTTTGATTCAAGGAGAGGAGAGCCATCTATCGGAAGCTTCAGAAGGTCATGCACGAGGTCGAGTTTGACAGCTGTCGAGAAGAAGCCTCACCATTGCCTTGTGCAGTTGAAATTGAGTCGGTCAAAGTGGGTGCGGTCTAACAACGCGGAGAAATCGCAGTCAGAACCGAACCATCTTCGAAAGCAGGTTCTGGTTGAACGGTAGACGGGGCGGGGCAGTCACGCAATCAACCCATCACTTTTCGCAATCAAAGCGGGGCAGCCAATCACTATCACCCCTATCGCCCCTTCGCTGCAAACCAGCCGTGATTGGTCGCCTTTGTTATAAAATCACCGTTCTAAGCGGCGCTTTGTGCGGTCAATTCCCATCTCTCTACCAATCAAACTCTATTCCACATCCTCGTTGTGCGATGCCAAGTTCGACCGTCGATGGGGTCGGAAATGCAGAGTGACAGATAACGAAGGAGCGAGATAACGGTGCACTGGTGAACGGTTTGTTCGTTTTTCCATGTGTTATTCGCTTGGTACGTGCACTTGTGTCCACGGCAGAGGTTGTTGCTCCTTGCTCACCATACGACGAGCGAGTTGATACAAGAGAAGTCGATGAAAAGCTTCGAGAGAGCGAGACGAGTCGGAACCGAAAAGTAAGGCGCATGCGACCAAGGTCGAAGGTCGAGTCATCCTTTTTTTTTTTTTTTTTTTTTTTTTTTTTTTTTTTTTTTTTTTTTTTTTTTTTTTTTTTTCTCTTCCATTTTTGGCGTGTAACTGTGCATCTGCCACATGCTGTTCTGATGTTCAGGCACACAAGCACACGCTCGGTCCGTTTCCCGGAGCGTTTCTCGTCTCCCTTGCCACGCTCTTATCAGTCTTGGTTTAGAGAGAGATCTCTTTTGTATGTCTGTGACACCAACTCACAGCCTTAGCAGCTCATACAATGTAGAACATCCGCAACGACAATGGTGACGTGGAAGGAATCGTGACGGATCGGTCGATTCGCAATGATGGCAACGGCATCGAACACATGATCATACAGCAACATCGAGTGTGAGTGAGAGAGTGGATGACTCGACCTTCTTCAGAAGCTTTAAAACATGGGCGGGGTTTTGCTTGGCGGCACCGTGCAGTGCTCGACACAAACGCGACGCAAAGTCGACGTGTGTGATCCGTGGAGCGGCGTGGCATTCATCACCACTAACACCATCTGCAATGGATCGCACGCCTGACTTGTTATTGAAACTTGTTTGCAGATTAAAATTGACGCTCAGCAACCAACAGGAAAAGCTGGCTTTCACCCCTGCACTTGCCTGTCACTTGGGTACTCCTTCTTGCACCGGCAACATCGCCCGTGCCTTGCTTCCTGCTCGGCTTGAAACCTCATCACTTTTGAGGTCCTTGTCGTTCTAGTAGCGACCGGATAGTGGCAGCATCATGATTGTGACACGAACCAAAGATAGTGTGTGTGGGCCGTTGTCGTGAACCATGCCAACATGAGTAGTGCAATGAGACGAAAAAAAAAAAAAAAAAAAAAAAAAAAAGAAAAGGTTTTACGAATAAAAGGCGAAATGCAAGTCGAGTTTCGACCGAGAGATGCTCTTGACCAGTGTCTGCTGTGTGTGTCTCTCACGGTCGCTGCTGCCGCCAACCTAGGCAGAGCCGCCAATTTAGGCCCCTTTTTTGCTGATTGTTCTGAGGCAGTTTCCCTGTCTTTTCCATCCTTTCTTTCCTTCGTTCCTTCGGCACTGTACCAGTCTTTGCTTCCTCATTCTCAAGGCGATCCCCCCCCGTTGATCTTGACAGCAAAACCGAGGTTGTAGGCACAACAGCTGTCTCTTCCTGAACCTTTTTGACCATCAACAGGAGGCTTCCGATACTGCTCTCCCGCCCTGTTTGCAGTCCCCTCTCGTCGTCGTTTTCTGCTCCTCTATCGCCTGCTGCTACCCTTTCCCTTATAAGAAGAAGCATCCTTCTTCCCACGTCATCCCGCGCATCTCTCCCTTCCCATATCCATTCCAAACCAATCATCCCTCATTCTAATCTCTTCATCACTTCTTCATCGAAGACTTGCCTCTCAACGGAAATCATTCCACACACAACAACGCTATTGATTTCCGTCTTTAGCCTTTCACCTCTGCTGAACTCTCTCTATCGCCTCGAGCGGTACCACTATATCTTACAGCTGCTTTCTCACCACTGACCACGTAGCTGGCCCACCATGCTCTTCTAAACGGTATTCCCGTCTAGACTCTCGTGTTTTTTCCTCGTTACACAACGAAGAAAGGACTGACTCGATAACCTCATCGTTGCCCAACCCCTCTTTCCCTTCCACCACCAACATTTCGCCGACAAATCTCCCTTCCGGGTTGATTTCTACGTTGTCTCCTCTGACCAACCGTACCCAAATCTCTCCGACAGCTCCCAACAAGCTGTCTTATAATCTGCCATCATGGTTGCCTCTTACCTCCAGCGCAAGCCTCGCCTCGGCCAACAACATTCCTCAAGCACAACACAAGCTCCCCGACAGTCACTCGAACAGTGCCAAAACACCCTTTTTGACAGGTGTCAACCCCCCGACCAACGATAACGCGTCTACCCAATCGCAACCCTTTTTGAAGAACACTACTACTACATCGAGTAAACCCATCTCTTTGCGAGCTCACCTCGAAGCCGCCATCTCGAACCCTTCGTCTCCGTCTGCGCAAGCCAATCTTCTTCGGCACCTCCAGTCTACTTTGGCCGCCATCCGTCCTTCCTCGTCCTCCCAAGCCGCTGCTACTACTAACAGCTCGGCCTCCACCTCGTCTCCTCAGCAACCTACCTTTGCTCTAGTCCCCAGCATTACTCCTGCTGCTGTCGCCTCTGCTTTGGCTGCTACCGCTGGTCGTTGTAACACTCTGTCTTCTACTCCCGCTGCTGCCTCTACCCCAGCCAACGTGACCAACATCACCTCGGCTCAACAGACCCAGCGTCTAGAACAGATCCAATACTATCAACAGCTCATCGCTCAGCTCAACGCTACGATGCCTGCTAACACTGCTGCGGCAGCTGCAACGCTGCCTTTCGAGGCTTCGCGTTACACGGACTCGGTCAAGACCGACCTAGCCAGTGGTTTCAACGCCGCCGCTTTCGGTCTTAACCCCATGTCTGCTGACGACCCTTCGTGGATCGGACACGGATTCCAGGCCCAGGCTGCCGAGGACTTTCTCTCTTCACCAGAGTGGACCGATCCTTCGCCTGCCTTGACTGACTCGATGTCTTTCGAGATCGACTCGTGCGGCCCTAGCCCGCTGCTGCCTTTGGATAGCTACGAGGATGATCTCGGAGTGCCCGGTATTGCCGGCGCTCCTCTTTTCCCTCCTATGGATGGTTACGCCTCGTCCAACGTGAGCCCGCTGGAGCTCTCAAACAACGACTTTGGCGCCTCCAACACTGTTGGTGACTTTGGTGCCCCCGAGATGGGCTCTGATTTCAGCCTCTTCCCCGAGACCGCCAGCGCTCACAATCCCGCTAAGGCTGCCAAGCTGCCTGTTGAGATGGCTTTCAGCAAGCTCAGCAAGCCTGGTGCAGGTAGCAGCGCTGCCTCCTCGACTGAGGATCCCGCTATCACTCTGCTGCGTGCTTTGAGCAGTGCTGCCCTCTCCAACTCGGCGGCTGCTACTGCCAGCGTTGCTGTTCCCACCACCACCAGCGCTACTTCAGCACCGGCACTGACTGCTTCGCCCCTGGCCTTCACCACTTCCTCGGCTCCTCCGACTCTTGCTCCTGCTCCCGCTTCCACGCCGGTTGCCACCGCGGATGAGTCGAAATCGAGTTCGGCCGCCGCTATGGACCGCAGGACTTCTTCGTCGTCGTCGTCTTCCACCAAGACCGACTCCACCTCGCGTGGTACCAAACGTCGACTCGACACCACCGAACTCCTCCCCCTCGACGCTCCCATTCAAAAGCGTACCTACTACGCCGTCTCTGCCACCTCTCGTCGCGATACCAACGCAACCGATGTGGACGAGTTCGCTGAAGAAGAAGCCGCCATTCGTCGCGAAAAAGATCCCCGCGTTGCCAAGCGTCTAAGCAACACTTTGGCTGCTCGTCGATCTCGTCATCGGAAGGCAGAGGAACTTCGTCTGCTTCATGAGAAGATCGAAGCCCTAACGGGTGAGGTCGAATCGTGGAAACGACGTTGCGAATTGGCTGAGAAGGAGAGGGACGATGCGAGGGCTCTTGTTGCCTGAAGCATACCTTCTTCTTATGCTTGTGCTGTACTGTGTTTCGCGTCTTTGACGTGATCACTCCAAAAGGTCTCTCTTCTTCGGTGCTTTCCGTTGCTATTTACTTTGACCAGAACCGATTTCCATGCTCCCGAGTTTGTTATCTACATTCCCTATAAAACCCCCCAAAAAAGCTCTTGTTGTTCCGTTGTCGAATCAAAGTTGTTTTCTAGTTCCCGCAAGCATATTTGGCTGGTCTGACTGTCAAGTTGTTGTTTGGAGTGAGATTGAGATGATGTGAGTGCAAAGAATTGATCGTGGCGACGAACACGCACACAACCGACTTTAGTTGTGAGGACTTGATTGATTAGTAATTTGCGCGATCGGGAGATTGTGCTGAGCTTGGGAGGAAAGGTTCGGTGAGAATCGTTCAGAGGCCTCCACCTCGATTTTGTGCTGCCAAAGAGCGTGACATCTTTGCACTTTGAGTTCCTAACACCATCACCATTATCATTGACTTCGTAGCATACTTTGGTTTGCAAGATGACGACATTTTTCAGACAGAGTTATGGTCTTCTCGTAAGTCCCGTCTCCCTCTTCCCTGGCAAGAACATCGTGTCTTGGTCCCAGCTTTCATCGCTGTGATCTGAGGTTGGTTGGCTATCCGCTCGTCTTCACTCACACGGACTCTCTCCTAACTCCGACTTGCTATCATCGACAGCGATCGGCACCAGCCAGAACATCAATCATGTCCACGCCCACCCTCCGCAACATCACTCCGATCTACACCACCTTCTCCCGTCTCCTTTCCACCGAAGCTCGCTCGAAAATCGACTCGGCAGTCAAATCCAACCCTCTCGTAATCTTCATGAAAGGTACACCGGAAACCCCCATGTGCGGCTTCTCCCGAGCAGTAATCCAAGTTGTGCAAGTCCAAGGTGTAAAGCCCGACCTGCTCAAAACATTCAACTGTCTGGAAGACCAGGAGTTAAGGGAAGGAATCAAGGAGTACAGTGATTGGCCTACTATCCCTCAGGTTTATGTCGATGGAGAGTTCGTGGGTGGATGTGATATCCTTATCAACAGTAAGTAGAGACCGAACAGTATCAGGAACGGTAAAAGAGAGAGGGATTGCTGACTTTATCACTTTTGCTCTGATGGCGGTATTGCAGTGCACCAATCGGGAGAGTTGGAGGAACTGCTCTTGAAACATAACCTGCTTTTGCCGCTCGAGGAGAACAAGAATGCTCAGCCCTAAACAGATCGAACCCGCGAATCTAGAACACGATGCGGTCAAGCGACAAACGTTGCGCTACTTCAACACCGGCAGCATCTCATTCGATGTAATCCTTGTTCTTGCTCTAATCTCGCTCTTATCAACAAACGCAATCACGTCCTCATCAGAAGCGGGCAAAACTTTGACTGTGGTCCCCCGCTTGGTGTGTGCAAAAACCGGAATTCCGACCAGTTCGGAAGGAGGTGTGTCGCTTGACCGTCGAATGTGAGAGAGTTGCGCGCTGAATTCTGGTGTGGTTCACCTGTGTTTTGCTGCGATTGCAATATTTCGTCCACAACTCCGGTGCATGTGAAGAGTCGCTTCTGAATAGACGCTTCTGTTTCACACTCTTATCCTCACCACTCAGACTTCAGCTCGCAAAGCTCTCGCAACCAGATAGTGCAACTGGATAACGATGAGAATGAGTGGTCACAACTACATCTCGATCCCAGCGTGAGCCAACGCAACAGTCATCTCAGCATCCAGGTAACTTGCCACCGCAACATTATCCGTCAACCCCTTCCTCCTTCTCGTCTTTAACGTAAAATCTTTCGCCAATCCCAGTGGTGGAGCTGGCTCCAACGGTCTCAACTTCACCCCTGCATCGGTTGGGTTACCTGGGACGATACTCCAATGGCTGAAAATCATCATACAAAACGCCGCACCCTGAGTTGCGATCCGTAAATCCGTTTCGAATCCATTTGCATCTATCACCGGGACAAACGCCTTAACCGTGTATAGCGTCGATCCTGGCTTCGGTGTGTCCTTCACCACATGTCCTCGTCTTTTAGCAAGGAGGGTGTAGATAGCAGCGATATGGAAAGCGGGAGTTTCAACTTCCACTTCGAATATGGGTTCCATTAATCGCGGTGTTGCGAGTAGGAAAGCGGAATAGCAGGCGCGACGCGAGGTGGGGATCATTTGACCTCCTCCTCGGTGGATAGGGTCGGGGGAGAGTTGGGCGTCGAGGATGCGGAATTTGACGTTTCGGATAGGTTCATCGCAGAGTGGACCTTCGCGTGTGGCCCATTGAAAGCCTTGGATTATGCTCTCCTTTACCATGTATAACAACTTCTTGTCTACCTCGGAGGGGAGCGTATCATCCACTAAAACATTAGCACCATTTGCATCGGGACCAAAAGCCCATACGCTTCGACTCGCCAATAAATCCCAGCCATATTTCTCTTGTAGAATCTTCCCCAAAACCTTAGGCGGCATCTTTATATCCACCACCCCCGCTTCTATATCCTCCGCTAACCCTTTCTCAAGTGGCTCTGCGATGATAGTGATCTTGTTCCGCTTGTTCGGTGTAGAAGCATAACACTTTACAGCACTAGTCTCCACAACCGTTTCACAGAACCTAACCACAGGATCACTAACCCGTACCTCAATCTCGGCAAACAACACCCTCAAATCATGCAAAACACAATCCAAATATAACTCCCCCGTTCCCATCACAACATGTTCCCCCGACTCTTCCACTTTCGTCACCGCCAAAGGATAACTCTTGTTCACCTTCCTCAACCCTTCCAACATTTTGGGAAGTTCGGAAGGGTTGAGTGCTTCAACGGAAACTTTTAGCACTGACTGAGTGACGTGTTCGACCGGAGCGAAGATGTGGAGGTCTGAGGTGGGGAGAGAAGCGGGGTAGATGGTTCCGGTTTTGGTTAGGGAGGTGTCAACGCCGGAGAGTAGGACCCATGAGCCAGCAGGGACGCCGGTTGTGGCGATAGTGTAGCGAGTTTCGGAGATAGAAGTGCAAGTGATGGTGCAGAGCGACATTTCTTCTTCGTCGTCTTGAGAGAATCCTTCGCCCAGTACTTTAACCTTCATGTCTGGTCTTGCGGTTCCAGACATAATACGACCAAAGGCGCGGAACTCTTGCGCATCAATGGTTTGGTAAAGCTTCGTCACTTGAACTACAAGCGGCCCATCAGCATCGCATGCCAGCATAGAATCATAGATCGCACCTTCTTTCGGTCCTGTGTAGCTCTTCTCCAACCTCGTCTTGGCTGCCTCTCGGGGTGAAGGGATGTGGTCGACGACTAGATCAACCAATCCTTGACTTGGACCAAAGAACTGGTTCAATACGATCTTAAGTAGCGGTCGAACATCCGCCTTATACACCGCTGGTTTCAAATGTATCCCCAGCCCCGCCAACGTTCTCTTCAGCGTATCCATATCACTCGACAGCACTGCGCTATAGATCTTGTACAACGGCTCGAGCACAAAATGAACAAAAGATCTTTTACTTTCCGCATTCTGCGCTTTCCTCGAAAAGTTCCTTGATTCGGCATTGTAGTAAATATTCCCCCAAAGTCGTTGCGCAAAGGCATCGACATCTACCCCAGCGTTATACGTTTCCGCATACAGCTTAGCGAAGCTGCGTAGTGTGAAGCAATAGCCCATCTGCGTGCTCGCAAATGCGACGCTCCCGCGTTCAGGCCCGAGCTGGAGGGAAGGGTCGGAGTCGAACGAGGCAATGCAGTTGTTGACTTCCTGTATGGCGTGTCGGATCTTGTAGTATGCTTCGGTTGGCGGCAGACGGAGTTCGAGGATGAGGCGATCGATCTTGTTAAGCACCAAAACGATAGGTAGGCTTTGGCGGATGCAGTGGCGAATGATTTGGACAGTGTTACACATCACACCTTCGACAATGTCTACGACAAGGATGACTCCGTCAGCTAGGCGACATGCAGAAGCTACTTCGTCCAGAAAGTTAGTATGTCCTGGAGTATCGATCATGTTGAGCAAATACGACTTTCTCCTTGTTCCCTCCAACACAAGTGAGAGGGGAGCAGATTTGATCGAGATGCCACGATCTCGTTCGAGGTTATGCGAATCGGTGTAACGGAGATGCGTGTCTACATCGTGTTCCATCTTGTGTGTTTCGTATACCAGTGTGTCCAGTAGACTTGTTTTACCGTGATGCAAGTGTCCCACCACCGCAACATTCCGGACCATGTCTGGGAAGTTCATGAGACTGGACAGGAAACTACGATCGAACCGTGTTTCGGGTAACCCTTCTTCTTCTACCGCGAATTTTCGAATTCTGACCGGTTCGACAATGGGAACGGATAGCGGCTGTGCGTCTTCCTCCTGAACCATTGTCTCTACTTCTTCGCCATAGATTTCGGATGCGGAGGGGTAGTACTGCTTGTCTTCGTGGAGAACGACGGCGTTGGAGGGTCCTTCATCGACGCGTATCAATGCGTGGTTGGGGATGATGTTGCCCTCTTCGTCCAATTCCATGTTTGCGATACGTTCTCCGTCGTCGGCTGCTGCGTCAGCATCATCGCCGTATCCTTCGAGAGGTGCGGATTGGGAAGGGTGTTGTTGCGCAGCATCTTCAGGGTCTTGGGTATAGTCATCTTCGGATCCAAGCTCAGAGTCGGAGAGGGGCCCGATGTAGTTTCCGAACTCGTCGTAGTCGTCCATGATGGGCCAAGCAGCTGATTGCCGCGCAGTACAGTGGCCTGGTGTGTGAGTGTGTGAGGACTAGGTATAGACGAGTGCTGGTGTTAAATGGAGGGAGAAGAGGGGAGCGTGAGGGTTGGGTCAGGAAGAAAGTTCGAGTCCCTGTAGGCTGCAAATTGGCCGAATGCCGAAGATTTTGAATTTTTCAGCCAAAGAAGAAGCCGGTCTAACAAAAGCTGAGTCTGAAAATGGCATACACAGTGACGTCTGTGATACGTTTAACCGATTCAAAAGCCTCAGAAATCGCTTCATCCATGTTGTAGGGCTTGTGAGGGCGCGCGGCAAATAGCGTTGATCACCAAGTATCGATTGCAACAATATGTAAGAACTAAGTACAAGATGATGAACAGTATATATGTGTGTCTCTCAGCACTCTGTGTATGTGTGTACGATAGAGAGGTGTGCTACGGCTGAAAGGTAACGGGGAAACTATCTTCTCCTCCTTCGGTATCGTGCAGCCGATATGCTGACGCCTGTTGCGACAGTCATGGTGAATATCCGAATGAGCGAAGGTGGCGAAAGTGTGAGATCGAACTAGGGCTCACATGCTTTCACTATCCAGAAACGTCTGTGCGCCCTATGCGGTGAAGGGTGGAGGAACCTATCCTTCCTTCCACCATCACTTAACAAGCAAGCATCACCAAACAACAGCATCTCACGGCTCAACTCGTTCAGCTAGCTCGACATCCACCAACACCGGTTCTCGTCAGTCACCAAAGGACCTACTTCTCGAGACGCTGATCGATTCAAGGACACTCGCATTCCAACCCCTCTCACCTCATCTGGACGGCCTTTCCCCTCTTCCACGCTGCTCTCTCTCACGCTCCTATCTCTCCCTATCTACCCAACAGCTATGATCTTACCCTAATCTACTACCTCACTCTGATACTCCTTTATCGACCGCAGCACGAACCAGTGCACTTGCTTCCTGACGCGTACAAGCAGCACCACCTCTACCAATCATGAGCTCACGAACCCTCTCCCCTCCCGACGAGCCGGGCAGTAGCTCACAGTCCACCCTCCAACCAACCTCATCGGAAATCCGCATACAAACCCCCGAAGCACCTGCAAGTCTCGATGACCTCCTCAAATCCTCTCACAACCCTGCCCTCTCCCACCTCATCCAGCCAAGCTCCACACTCAAAGGTGCTTCCCCGCACGACCAACGTCGTCGCAATGGCTTTCATCTCTGGCAAACTGAATCGGAAGATGCTCGCAATGCACGGCTACGAGAAGTCGTTCAGGCAGCAGAAGCACAGGCCAACTCTCCACGCACATTCACGGATGGTATACGGGATGAGGTTAGGAGTGCGACGAACTGGATTGGCTCACGACAGATCTTTAGTCTCTACCGACGGGTTAGGTTGCCTGAAGGCGAAGAGGGATTGAATGGAGATGCATTTGCTGCTCTGCACCAGCCGAGGTTGAGCAGGTTAGGGTTGATCATTCTAACGCTGAGCTTGGCGGGTGCACAGCTGGCATGGACACTGGAACTTGCTTATGGTACTCCATATCTTCTTTCGCTTGGGCTTAGCGAACAAAGTACAAGCTTGGTCTGGTTGGCGGGGCCATTGAGTGGGTTGATAGCTCAACCTGTGGTGGGGTCGCTTTCGGATCATTCGACTTCGAGTTTTCGAAGGAGGAAGTATATGATCATTTCCGCTGCGCTTCTCACAATCTCCACCCTTACGCTTGCTTACTCTGTACCCATCTCCACAGTACTTGTCGACTTATATGGCGGCGGGCTAGCGAATTGGGACCCACACAGGCACCAACTCGTACACTCCACCACGCAAGCTATTTCGGTGCTCGCATTCTGGATTCTCGATTTCGCGCTGAATGGTCTCCAGGCCGCGTCCAGGGCGCTGATCCTGGATACAGCCCCCAGCGAGCAGCAAACGATTGCAAACGCTTGGCAAGGGAGAATGACTCACGCAGGTAACGTCGTCGGGTATTTCTGTGGTTGGGTAGATCTAGCCTCTTGGAAAGGATTAAGGTGGTTAGGTGGAGGACAGTTCAGACGGTTCGCGATGATTAGTTTGTTGGCGATGATCAGCTGTGTTAGTGTTACTATTTCTGCTATAGCTGAAACTCCGGCAGATGCAAGGTTTTCAATAGGGGGGCGGGAGAGAAGAGGGTGGGAGGGGGAAGTGTGGGGAACAGTCAAAGAGACAGGGCGAGATGTTTGGCATGCGATTAAAAGGCTACCGAGATCGGTTAGGAGGATTTGCTTGGTTCAGTTGTTTGCATTTATGGGTTGGTTTCCGTTTTTGTTTTATAGTACGACGTATGTTTTACGCATTGCGGAGTATGAGAAGGATTTGAAGCGACAGAGGAGACATCGCGATGATGCATTTTCCTTTGCAGCGCTCTACAGGGAAGGGGGGGAAGGGAGTGGGGATGATGGAGGACATGGAAGTTCGGATAGAGATGCAGAAAGAGGTTCCTTTGCGATGTTGATGTTTGCTGTTGTTTCTCTCATCTCTGCTGCTCTACTTCCCTACCTTGCTCTTGCGGGGGAGAAAAGCCGCGACATCCGCAAACCCTCTCCAACCTCGCCCTCCTCCACCGAAGAGGAGGACCCTCTAACACCTCCCATCCTATTCGACACCGAATCGCACCCACACTCTTCCCGTCAACACGATCCGGAATACTCGGAGAAACTCTCCCGAGCAAAACGCATCGCTCGAGGCCTCACTCAAGGTTTAACCCTCCGCACATTCTGGACTTTGGCTTCGATTGCATTTGCAGCCTTGATGCTGGTTGGTACAGCCTGGGCTTCTACGGTGTACGAAGCGACGGTTGTGATTGCGTTGGTTGGTGTTCCCTGGAGTATTGCAGCGTGGGTACCTTTTGCGATGGTAGGAGAGTTTGTAAGGGAGGCAGAGGATGGAACGAGTCCGTTTGAGTTTGAGGATGATCATTGGTCTCCTGAGCGAATCAGGGCTAGGGCGGTGGAGGAAGGGTGGAGGAGAGGGAGGCAGAGTGTGAGAGGGAGCGTTAGTAGGGTTGATGTTGATGAAGATGAGCACCTGGGAGGAGGGGTGGTGAATAGTAATGGGGAGACGATTACTTCGCCGAATGAGTCTGCGTTTGATCCAGCGGTGGGTAGGAGGGGGTTCAAGTATATCGATGCTCCACAGCAGAGGGGGATGAGTGGTCAGTATAGGTCGACGAGTGGGAAAGGGGAACAGGTGGCAAGGGAGAGGATCAGGGCGAGTCTTGCTGATTGCGCTCCTCTCCCACGTGCGCTTACGAGGACTGATAGTGATGATGCGGACTCGATCAATGGGTTACGCCACTCTGATTTACACTCGGCTCACCACGCACACGACAATCAAGGAACAGGAGGAGCAGGAACCATCTTGGGCATTCACAACCTTGCCATCGTTGCACCTCAGTTCATTGTTGCGATCATTGCTTCGCTCATTTTCAGTGCCGTTCATTCTTCGCATAACGGGATCCATCTCGTGCTTGGCAACCCTATTGCTGGGTTGAAGACGGTAGGTGTTGGAACAACAGCCTTCGCTCTTGCGCGAGATGAAGGAAGAGAAGGGCGTGGAGGGTTGAGTGGTCACCCAGCAGAAGGAACAATCTGGGTTCTTAGGTTTGGAGGAGCAATGGCATTGTTCGCTGCCCTGGCGACTAGGTTCGTTCCTTTGACGCTTAGTGAGCGCAGGCGGAGGTATGCTGGTCATGAGCGCAGAGAGGATGATGAGGAGGCGATTGAGGACGAAACTGTGGTTGATTAGCTTCGCTTCTCACTTGGAATGATCAATCTGCATTTATGGATTCCTGGACATTGCAGAATGTGCGTGCGAGACTGTGATTACAACGTTTCAAGCAAAGCATGGATTTCAGATGGGAAGATGCAAAGATGCAATGATAGATTGGATGTAAGATAGAAATACAAAATGCGATAGGAACAAGTACAAATGATGCAATAAAGATGTGTAGAGCAACGAGGCAGCGGCGACCATGAAGTGTAGAGAGGAGGAAGAGGAAATAGAGGTTACTGTTCATCCTCAAACTGAGCCAGAATGACTTCTTCCCTCCAGCACTCATCCCCCTTCTCTACTTGCCCTTCCTTTGCGGGGACACAGCAATCGTTTTTGCAGGTGAAGACGAAAGCCGTGCTCCAAACCAAGCCCGTCCTCGCGTCAAAGCTTCCTTTAACCTCAGCATTGTTGTTTGCAGAGGGGAGGCGACGACCGAGTGCTTGCTCGATAGCAGCTTTCCTCTTCGCTTCCTCATCTCCCTCCCCTCCACCGAGGGTACAGGAAGAATCGATGTCTAGGGAGCCATCCACAGCCTGAATCTTATCCGCCTTGAGCATATTGATAAGATTCGGCATGAGTTGAGCTTCAAACACCCTCTCCGCTCCACATTGGGGGCAAGGGGGGACAGCACGAGAAGTGAAAGCTCGTTCTCCAGCTAAAGGTTCTCCAGACTTGAACTGGCCTTTGGTCACAGGAACTGCTTCGCCGGCTTTAGCTTTGCGTTCTTTAGGCCAGAGAAGATCGTACACTTTGCCTTTGGCATGGAACGCAATAGGTTCTCCCCCAAATTCGTAACGGACTGCTTGACGAGGTTCGACTTCAACACGCTTGAGGAATCGCTCAAAGGAATCGTCGATGCCGTCGAGGAGCATCTTTTCGTAACCCTCTTTGGCAAAGCCTTTGAGGTCGGCGTCATCGGCAGCATTGTCCGAAGTGGTAAGGGTGCCAGAGGCGGAGGCGGATTTGAGCATTGCTGCTTCTTCCTTGGAGAGTTTCTTGGAGATGGAGGAAGAAGAGGGTTCGGGAATGGTGTTGAGATAGAGAGGTGGGTATCTGGTGGAAGATTTGACCCAAGACGACTCGGGATTGGAAGGTGTGGCTTCGAGATCGGATTTGAGTGCGAGCTCTTCTGCTAGTTGATCGTCTTCGTCTTCTGAGTCTTCGTGGTCAGAGTACTCTTCTTCGTTGTCGTCTTCATTGTCGGCGGAGGCAGCTGCTGTGGTGGTAGACTCGGCAGCAGGTGCAGGAGTGGAAGTCGCAAATGGATTATCCGCGCCACCGCCGAAAAGCATTCCACCTAGACCGCCATTGGCACCACCAGCATCAGCAGAAGCAGCGAAAGGATTGACCTTGGCCCTCTCCTCCTGCTTCTGCTTGGCCTTAGCGGCTGCAGCCTGGCGTTCCTTCTTGGCTTGTTCGCGAGCAAGACGCTTAGCCTTTTGCTTTTCGAGCTTAGCCGCCCAACGACGGTTGAACTTGAGCGTTCGAATCACTCGCAATCTATAAGCAGCGACACAATCAATGATGGAAGAAGAAAGAGTCAGTCGAACTGATTCTCATCAGCAGTGCAGCGGGAGAGAGGAGCTATCTCGAGTGCATGTAAACGTGTGCAATGCGTGCGTACGGTGGGGGGGGCATCATTGTTAAAAAGCTCGGTTGTCAAAGTTGTACTTATTTTCAGAGCCCGAAGGGGCGTCAAGTGAAGAAATTGATACTAATCCTATGCCCCGCCAAAGTTTGACACTTGCACATATACACACCTGTGATCGCTCCAGGGAGGTGAAATGAATGAGACTTACGAAGAGACATCTTTGCGCTGACAAGCAGGTCTTGCACAACCCCAGACCATGAGACACCTGTCGTAGGCGGACTCGACGAGAGGAGCAAAGATCTGAACGAGGAGCTGCATCTGTTGCTTGCACGAGTTGCAGGTAGCGACTTGCTGCGTAGGACTGGACTTCATGGGAAGCCAAGCAGCTCGACCGCCGATGCGAGAGACGAGAGGATTGGCTTCATCGTCGCCTTCGAGAGGGCCGTCGGCGAGACCGAGTTGGACATCAGAGGCTTCGAACTCTGAACCAGAGTCGGAATCGTAGGCGTCATCTGATGGTGGACGTGGCATCTATTGCAACAACAACGAATGGCACCAAAGTGACCAGAGAGAAGGAAAGAGAGAGTCAGTCAAGCTGATGCGCTTCTTGTTTGGAAAGGGATTCAAGAGGCGACGAGGGCGTGAGGTTGAGGATGTTTCAGGAGTAGGTAGCCTAGGGTTATAAGCATTGAGATCCCACAGGCGTCTTCACACCGACGTGCTACAACGTGCCTCCCGTTTATACTGGGACCCTAAGACTCGTCATCTAGTTTTTGTCATCATTGTAAAGTGGGGGAGGCGCGAGAAAGAGAAAGAGCGAGCCCGCCGCAAAGGCAATCGAAAGGTCCAAAGAAGGGTTGTTGTGGAACGTACGATGATATTGTGTGGGGGGGGATCGAGTGTTCTGAAAGCAAGATTCAGAACGGGTATATGGGGGAATAGGATCGATGAGGAGAACAAGGAAGGAAGAGAAGCTGGCCAAGCACTCTTTCTCAACGCTCTGGATCAGGAGGAGAAAAGAAAAGAAAAGTTGCAGCCAGACGACACATTTTTTATTTTATTTTTTGCTGCGGGCGAATGGATTAATATTATTTTTCGGGCGCGTAATGTAGGTTTCCAAGGATCTGACAGAACAGAAATCGCTCGAAATCGATCACCGTCCTATCCAACACCCACACGAACTTGCCTTCTTCTGCTAGGAAGCATCATCACGCGGCGGCTGGTTCTGAAGTCAGCCTGACCATGGCTATTTTTTGTGTGCGTCGCTGGTCCTACTGTCTCGGTGAGATAGGTACATGGTCGCCTCTCAAGCCAGTGTTGGATGTGAGAAGCGAATGGACCAAGGTTGGGTCGGAAGAAGAATTCAAGCAAAAAGAACATGGCTGCATTTGGATCTCACACGTATGGGCAACAGAAGCAGCGTATCGCAGTCACCCTTTCTCGCGTGAATTCTCCACATTTGATAGGCCGCTCTCTCTCTCTCTCTCTCTCTCTGCCATTGTGACACTCAGCGCACGGAACGGCGAATATCCACCATCTCGCTTTCTTCTTCCTTCCACACCAACATCGCCTATCGCAACACACGCAACCTCTTTACCGTCGAACATTGCCAGCATCTGCACGAGACTCGCGATAGCAATTGGTTTCAATCGCGACTTCCGGCTGCTCTCCTCCTCGTAACACGAAATACAAACCCGCTTCCCCCACTTTGATCCTCGATTACTTGCCAAGATGTCGGGAGAAGGTACGCTGTTTGCTCGTCCGATGAGCTTCCTACGCCTTTCCAAAGACGTCGGCTTGCAAAATCCGGCTAGGACCGCCTACTGACACTACTCCTTGTCTTTCCTCTTGTTCACATCTGAACCCTCGTACCACTCTGTCCGTTCACCTGCCTACGACGGACTCGGCTGCTCTCAATCAATCTGTCTCACCCATACCCAACGCGCACACGATGACAATGTCGAACAACAGGTTGGCTCTTCCTCCTGTCGGTCCTGCTTTCGGCGGTCCTTCTTTTCACCATGGTTTTCTTTGTACGTAGTTCCAGCCTCTGCAGCCACAGCGATTCGTCTTTCAGCACATTGCTAACCAACATCCATTCTTTCTTCCATCCCAAACCCATCGCTTGCATCCATGCGCGCAATACACCGTCTCCACATCTTGCTCATACCACAACGGCGTTGCTTTCACCCAACAGATCATTATGTTCTCCGATCTCGAATGCGACTACATCAACCCAATCGACCTTTGCAACAAACTCAACCAGGTAAGCCCAACCCCTCTCCCCCCGTCTTTACCTCCTGCATCCTTACTTACACCCCCAGCACTCATTCTATCTTGGCTTGGAATTTGGCAGTTCATCTTGCCGGAAATGGCAGCGCACGCAGTCCTCACGCTCTTCTTCCTACTCAGTGGACAATGGCTTGCTTTCCTTCTAAACGCTCCTTTGGTCGCATTCAACGTTAACAAGGTCATGAACAAGAACCACACCTTGGATGCTACAGAGATCTTCAGAACACTCTCGGCACACAAGAAACAGTGCTTTATCAAGCTAGGTTTCTATTTGGTCAGCTTCTTCTATTACTTGTACAGGATGATTTTGGCGTTGATTGCCGATACCGAGTAATCCTTGCCGACCAAGCATTTACCAACATTTGCCCAACAGATGGCGTACGACCGCTACACAGGCCAAAAGAAGGAGCTAGCCAACTGCAAGAAGATGCGGCAATGGCCCTTCGACCTTTCACTTTCATACCTTTTAACTCTGTTTCATCTTGTATCATTTTTTTCTTTATCAAATGACATTATTCACTTGTATCAACCCCTGGAACACTCTCAATTGTCGTGCCGAGTCAAACAAGTTCGGGATGCCTGTGCTCTCTCCTCTCCTTTGAGACAAAGGATCTGGATTCCGCGCTGTGCTAGAGGCCTCTGTCTTGCTCACCTTGTTGCTCGTACACAAGCTCCCTTACACCCTCTCAACCCGACTTTCGCACACGCACCAGTCGTGTTGCTTCGAACTGAACCATGATAATGTACATCAGGAATACAAAGGAAGGTCTTACTCGGATCCAGCAACCAAAATCGCATCACCAGGATTGACACTACTTCCAGGCGGCTTGAGGACCGCCTTAATCGTCTTACATCCATCAGGAGCTACTACGTCGATTTCCATCTTCATCGCTTCCAAGATCGCAACCTTCTGCCCTGATTCCACTTTATCACCCTTCTTCGCTAGAACTTTCCATACATTCGCGGCTAGACCAGAGGTGATTGGAATAGCCGACGCATCTACAAATGAGTTAAGAAGAAGAGTTCGGGTCAGTAAAACATCCTTCATCTCAATTCAAGGTAGGCAGATAGGCGGGTTGGTGCTTACCATGAGCAAAGTCTTCAAGAGTAGCTGGTTGGCCATCGCCAGAAGTTTGGCCTGCAGCTTTACGTTTTTCTGCTTCTTGCACTTCTTGTTGCCATTCTGCAAAGAGTTTTTCTTCTTTCTCTTCGGCTTTCTTTAGGGAGACAGCTTGTTGTTTTCTGAATTCTTCCGTTGCTTCTTTGATCGATTCTAGGAATTGCGATTGTTCGGCAACATCGAAGACAGTTTCTTTGACTTTCCATTTGTAGATGCCTGCGTCGAACTCTCGGAGAGCTTGATCGTAGGACGCTTGGTCCACCTTTTCGAATTGAATAGTGTCAAAGTTTTCGAATAGGTAGGGCTGGGTGGGTTTGAAGCCTGGCTTATCACCAAACGTCGACCAGCAGGGGAGAGTGCGCCCAAGTAAAGCGTATCCACCGGGACAACTGACGGGATAGATGGCGAAACAACTGCCTCCGTGACCCAATGCACCGGCTGGGGTGGTGAGTCGAGTGGGGTTGTACTTCTGGCATCGCATACGTTTGCGTGGGTCCAGAGGTAGCAAGATCGGCGTCCCCATGAAGAAACCTACAGAGACGGCAAGCTGACGGCAGCCCACGACAGCTTCTTCCACCTCTCGAGTGCTTTTATACCCGTTTGCTTCCGCAAGGTACTCGCTGTTGTCCGGCAAGTACACCGCCTTGGATCGCACAAGCTCCATGTACTTCTGCACCGACAACTTCACCTCTCGATCCTCGAACGTGACCGGCAGCGTAAACTCTCGTGTGGGGATCTTGACATCCTTTGCGTTTGGGATTTTGGTCTCTAGCTCCGCAAGCCAGTTGACCAACCCCTGAAGATCGTTGACCTTGGCCGGATCAATCTGGATCGTGACACTGCGCAAATTGGGGTTGAGATTGACAATACCAGAAGTCGACTTGGTCTTGACTAGTTCTCGAACAAGCAGCTCAATCCTGCATCGATTGATGATGTCTGCAGTCATATCGCCATACTCGATCACGATGAACCTATCACCAGCAGAGCGGATCTTAACCATGGGCCTTTCACCCGCGACCTCGTCAATACTTGCGAGGATCGAGTTGGACTGACTAAAGTCGCCTTTCGCGTAAAGATGATCAACCACTTGCATAGACAGAGGCTCGACCTCTCCCCGGCCATCAACAGCGTTCTTGATCTGACTCAAGTACTTCTCCACACGATCGCTGATCTCGCGGGCTTGATCGTAAGTGACGGCGACGAAACGAAGCTTGTCGCTCGGCTTCATTTGCCCATCTCTCCACTCGCTCGAGATGATGGTGTTAGAGATGAGCAAACCGCCAAGATCAGGACCGTCACGGCCAAGGATGACGGGTACGTCACCGTTCATGTTGATACCGCGCGAAGAGTAGCCGAACTCGAGCACGTTACTCGGATGAGAGCCACCTTCTCCTCCATCCTTGCGAGCCCACTTGTATCGTGGACCTTCGAGACGAATACCAGTACGACTGGCCTGGTGTGAAACTTTCCACAATGTTCCATACAGCTTCTGACGGTCTTTGGTCGTGAGAAAGCCATCGTCATCGAAGGGTCCTGCCATGCACAGCAGCGGCCAACCATAGTCACTGTTGCTCTCATCGAATAGCTTCGTGAGACGTGCATCTTTGGGCAAGCTGTAAGGCTGAACCTTGCCGCTAGAAGCAAGCTCGCTGGTCGCAGGATCCATCTCGAGCGTGTCACCCGCCAATAGAGCTCGTCCTTGGTAACCACCGAGTGCCAGCGAAGGGCAAGTCGACTTGGAGTTCAGATAGATCGCCACCTCTGGCAACCCACCTCGGATAGCCAGGTAGGATCGACAGCCAGCTGCGCCATCTGCGACTTTGGTGATCTTGAGCTTGGATCCTGCTTGCACGACAATGCGTGTGTAGCATTCCACAGGCTTGCCATCGAGAGTCATGTCCATCTCGGCACCTGCAAGAGCAACGACGGCACCAGCATGGAACAGTAGCTCGGGTCCAGAGAGAGTGATTTCAAGCGCTTCAGTTCCAGCAGGGTTGCCGACGATGAGGTTGGCAACTTGCAGGGAAAGTGGGTCCATGGCACCAGCTTCGGGTACACCATGACCGACGCCCTTGCGTCCGTTGTGATCTTGCACCGTTGTGCTGATACCGCCAGTGATCACCTCGAAAGCGCAGGGCTGATACTTGAAGCCAGAAGCCGGCGTCAAAAAGGAGGTGAGTGTTTTGCCAGTAGCAAAGAGTTTCGACGCTGTGATTGCACGCAGTAGGCCGAGGTTGGTGGGTGTGCCTTGCACCTTGGACTTGTTGAGCAGGGTGCTCATATCTGTGATGGCTGCATCCCGTGACTCGCCCCAGACGCAGATCTTTGACAGCATTGGATCATACGATGCTGATACCTTGGTGCCGCTCGAGACCCATCCATCAATCCTAGGATGCTTCACATTACCGGTCGCGTATTCGATGTACTGAAGCAGACCTGGCGTGGGCGCATAGTCGCGGATCGGGTTCTCGGCATAGAGACGAGCTTCGATGGCTACTCCTTTGGGGCCCTCCTTCTGCCAAGGATTGAGCGTCTCGGCAGGAATGCCACCCTTCCCATTCAACTCAGCATCGGCCTGCATCAGCATGAGCGCAACAAGGTCAATATCGTAGCACAGCTCGGTGACGCAATGCTCGACCTGAAGACGAGCATTGACCTCGAGAAAGTAGAAGCTAGCTGTGTCATCATCAACGAGCATCTCGACGGTTCCTGCGCTTCTGTACTTGGCTGACTCTGCCAGAGCTACTGCGCACGAGGCGACCTTCTCACGCAATCCTGGTGTCTTGTGGACGAAAGGCGAGGGACACTCTTCGATGACCTTCTGGTGTCTACGTTGAATACTGCACTCGCGCTCGCCAAAGTGGATCGCTTGTCCTTGACCATTACCGAAGACTTGTACCTCGACGTGGCGACCCTTTTCGACGTACTTCTCGAGAAAGACGGAAGCGTCACCGAAGAGCGCCTTTCCTCGCGATGTGATCTTGTCGAAAGCACTCTTGAGCTCTGCGGAAGATTTGCAGACTTGGAGACCCAGACCTCCACCGCCAGCTGTGCTCTTGAGGATGACAGGGTAGGTGATCTTTTCGGCAGCCTGAAGAGCCTCGTCGGCACTTTTGAGGAGGTTGGTACCAGGAACGCAAGGGACGCCAGCCTTTTCAGCCAGAGCACGAGCTTGATGCTTCAAGCCGAAAGAGTTGATTGTCTCGCTGCGTGGACCGGCAAAGATTAGACCATCGTTTGACTCGACGAGTTTGGCAAAACCGGGGTTCTCGGACAGGAAGCCATAGCCGGGAAGTATGCAGTTGGCGCCAGTCCTTTTGCAGATATCAATGATGGCTTGCTGGTCGAGATAGCCCTTGCCGTCAGACTCTTTGCCTTCTAGCAAGAAGGCTTCGTCCGCAGCCGAGGCATGAGGTGCAGCTGCATCGTCGTTTGTGTAGACTGAAACGGTGGGCAGGCCAAGCGCTTTGCATGTGCGAATCTACGGCAGCAGCAAACCGAAGAGTGTGAGAGAACAAGTCGGATATATCAGAGGTCAGCGCTGAGCTCAAGAACCAAGTTTCATGACATACCGAATTGCACTCACCAGACGTAATGCGATCTCGCCGCGGTTGGCGATGAGCACCTTTCGGAGTGCTTGGGGCTGGAATCGTGGCTGGCTGGCGGTGAAGCCCTCTGCTACAACGCTAGCCATGTTTGAGAAGCGGTTGTTGAGGTGTTGTATGCTAGTGTTCGACGAATACTAGTGGACGGAGGTGAGCTATATACCAAAGGCTATCTGTTGGTGGCTAGCACGCTGATGCAAGATAGCAGTGATACTGAAGAGAGAGAAGGGAAGAAGCGAGCCCACCAAAGGTTGACCCGCGAGGCCAAGAGGCAAAGGGCAGCCGCAAACGCCGAGCTTGAGAACGAAGGTCAGGTGTCAGGAGACCTTGCAAGGGTCGACTTTGTCCTCTTGTGTAACCGAAGGCACATAAATGGCCACATGAGCTTATCGTGCCTGACAACAACCCGTGCCTAGTATGTGGAATAAGAGATGCACAGGCCACCGACTTCTGCTTTGTGCGCCCCTCGATGTCGTTTTGTTGATGCGATTCCATGTGCGAAAGTAGCTGCGGGCCTTCATCGTATTGACGCTTGACCGAGCGATACTTTGCGCCCTGAAGTGGCCGAACGCAAAGGTCCGCTGCGGGTGTGTATAACTTACCCCACAAAAACGAGCAGCGGGTAGATTTGCGCTGGAGCAAAAGGGAAGGACGCGGTCGGTCAACTTGACTACGCTTCCGCAGCAAAGACAAAGATATCTCGGCGTCGAAGAGCGCATCTCAAACAGCGCACAAACCTCGCTGGACTCACCTGAGCAACCTTCCCTTCCCATCTGTTGATCATAACATCAACAACAGCTCCTCGTCTTCACCTCAAGACTGCACATCAGCGCTGACGAACTGAAGAAGACCAACATGTCGGCGAAGTCATTGCCTCGAAAGATTGAGGTAAGAGTGTCAACAAGTTCCTTCGAGTTTCTTCCCTCGAGTTTCTTCCCTCGAGTGATCCTACTGACAAAGACCGAGCTTTGTGTTGTTGTTGTTGTTGCTGCAGATCAACTCGGACATGGGCGAAGCCTTCGGACGTTGGCAGCTAGGACCTGACGAAGAGATCATGAAACACATTGATGTGGCCAACGTGGCTTGCGGATTTCATGCTTCTGATCCTGTGACGTTGCACAAGAGTGAGTTGGAAGAAGCAACGCTGTGGTAGGTGCAACACAAGACACTGACCACTGGTTTGGATCGTCTGACCGCCTCCATCGATAGCTGTCAAGCTCGCCAAGAAGTACAATGTGGCGGTCGGCGCGCATCCCGGGTTTCCAGACCTGACAGGATTCGGTAAGTGCCGGTAAAGTGGAATCAGAAGGAAAAGGGGACGCTCCTCCTGACTTGTCCTTTGGTCTATCTTTGTTCGAGTATCAACCAGGCCGCCGTCGTATGGAAATGACCGAGGAGGAGGTTGCGGATATCATCACATACCAGGTCGGCGCTCTGAAAGGGTTCTGTGATCTGGAAGGTGTTGCTCTGAATCACGTCAAGGTAAGGCAGGCTGAGGCGCAAGAGGGAAGGTCGGTGGCTCATTTGTGACGCCTGAAGCTGACGGAGCGATGACGCTTTGATGCTATTGTACAGCCTCATGGAGCGTTGTACTTCTACCTCAAGAACTCTCGAAAGCACTGCGTAGCGGCATACAAAGCTATCAAGCCTTTGAGCGTTCCTATCTGTAAGTGCTTTGCCAAGGGGTCTCAGCACGGTGCTCGATCTAGGATGCTTACGCTATTGAATCCTCCTCGATCTCTTTCAGATGGGCTGGGAGGTACGGTACATGAAGAGGTAGCAAAGGAGCTGGGTATCCCTTTCGTGCCCGAGCTTTTCGTCGACATCGAGTACAGCAAAGAAGGAGCTCTGATCCCTCCGGCGCAGAGCAAGAAGATTACGCCAGAAGAGAGCGCTGAGCGAGCGCGAAAGGTAGCCGAAACGGGCAGCAACTTTGCACAAGGAGGAGGTGAGGTCAAGATGCCCGAGTTTGGACATGATGAGAATGAGGGAAAGTGTAAGCCCTTCTCGATCTGTATCCACAGTGATCTGCCTGGTGCAGAAAACACGGCGGTGGTGTAAGTGCAAAGTCAGACCGATCGTTCTGTACAAAGTGAGATCAGCTGCTGACAAGGACTATATTATTCTGTCGATCCTTTGTGCCGAGCAGAACACGCAAGATGGTCGACGAGCTCAACGGCAAGCTGTTCCCTGGTGTGTAGCATGCTGGCAAGGTGATCGTTCAAGTTTATGCCTGCCGCTTGTAATGTCAGTGATCAAACCAAAGACAAGGAGAATCAAGCTCATGAGAGTGCGATATCGATGATCCGAGTGAGAATTGGCTGAGTCGCGGATCGGCGTGTGCGAAAGAGCAAGATCTTTACTGAAGCAGATTAGAGAGCGAAGAAGCAGCCAAGCTGCAAAAGCGAGTCGGATGAAGGGATAAAAAAGGCAACCCTAGGCCCTGTTGTTGCTCTCTTCTGTAAAAGGCTGTATGTACACGCTCAGCGTCGGCGCATCGAGGCCTCTGTAGCGAGACCTAAGCATCTCGAGTATTCTGCTTCGGCTGAAGCCGAGAACAGAGAGACAAAATATCAAGCGATCGATAGATCGGAAAGAGCCGTGACTGCGACAAGGGCTAACTTAGCTCACAGACTGAGCATCGGCAAACGTGATCTGAAGGGTCTGAGGCGTTCTTAGCAGCCGTGCCTAACTATGACACTGTTTGAGAGAATCAAACTTGCTAGGAGACAAGCGACATGACTGAGTGACTTTTGCTTAGCCGAAGCCGAGCTTGTTAGCCATGAAATGGTCATGGAAATGGTCATGGAAATGGTCATGGAAATGGTCATGGAAATGGTCATGGAAATGGTCATGGAAATGGATGAAATGGATGGCCCCTATGCTGCTGCCGAGAAGTTGGCGGATCGAGGCGACGGCAACGAGTGCATTGCTCAGGTGTTGGTTTAGGCTCGACTCGACCTGATTCAGGAATTCGAACAACTGCTTGACAGCTTGACAAGTGTGAATCTTACACACGCTCACACAGTTTGGCAGCGCGCGCGTGTGTTTGAGGTTGTAAACCGTCAAAGTCGGAAAACGGGCATTCCGAAGCTGCTGTTGCTGCTCTGACCGTTGACTTGGGCACACACGCGGTCTTTCGAAAGGACGCCTGAGAGATGAAATACGATTTGTGAGCAGTCCCTATTCGCGCTTTCTGTATCCACTATGCCGGTTTGAAGTTGAGGAATTTTAGAGATTTCAAAGTGTTCTTTTTGGAGAGAGAGAGGCGGACGCGTTGGTCAGTGCATCGAGAGGCATCTCGAGAGAGACAGAGCTGCAGTGTGGTCCGAAGCCTTTTCCCAAAGAAGGTTCGTTTCAGAGAGAGAGAGAGACTCGACTCGCCGTCTGATCGCGCCGTGCTGCTCCAAAAATACGCGGCTTTGAATTGAACTCGAAGTTGAGACTGGCCCACAGCCTTCCTCTCTCTCTCTCTCTCTATTGCTGTGGTGGTCAAGCCAGGCCTTTCGAAATTGGGCTGGTTGGCTTGAGGGACGAGCTTCTGCCTGTTTGCTGCTGCTCGAATGGCACTTCTGTCTCGCACACGTCCGCTCTCGCCAAGTTCCAAGAGGGCATCCCTTCTCTGTCTCTCAGCGACTGTCTCTCAATCGCTGCCTGTGTGGTCGACTGTTGGTGCTCATCTCGCGCTCCGTTATCGAGATTGTCACAATTTACACTTCTGAGTTGAATCTCCAACTCATCTCCAACTCAGATCAGTCCAATCCTCGCTCTCACCATCATACTCACACCCAACATACCTTCAGCCACAGCATTGTCTCATCGCCCCGGCATTTCTTCGTCATCGCTTTCGGCTTCCCATATTACGCCGCTTGACGACACTCGCTGTGTCTAAGCATTCGACAAAGCGCACGCCTCGAAGCTCGGCCGTCGACACATCCTTGCAACCTACAGACACACATATACACACACGCACATACACACAAACACACATACATACACACATACACACACACACACACACACACACACACACACACACACACACGAGAGTCGTCTCCGTCACGTCCATCATAGCACTCTTCTCTTCGCTCCTCGCCTTTGATACGCTCAGCTTCAGCATCGCAACCTCTCGCGAACGCAGTCCGCTAGAGTTAGATTCTTTAGATTCTTCTGATCGCCAGCAACAAAGTCTGCACCAACTTGGCATCTCGGTCCACCTACACTCTCTCAGCGACTATCATTTCAAAGCGCTGATACGGAATCCATCACAAGCACATTTCAAGGCCCGTCATCGCACACGCATCATAGCCTGCCCTCAGCCTGCAAACCCCATCCATCCAGCATCATTCTTTGCGTCGTGATCTGCTTTGATCGACTTGAACCGCAGATTCCTCATCTTTAGCCCCCCCTGCCATCGAACAATCACACCCAGCATCAATCACCGCCCTCCCGTTCAACAACAACATCGTCACAATGAAGGGTCTCAAGAAAGCTATGGTATGTGCATCACCAAGTCCATCGCTGTCGAGCCTCGCTGGAAACGACATCATCGGCAAAACTTCCTCGATGCTGACAATCTTACTGACCCTCTCCTTCTTTCTTTCTCTTTTGCCTCTCCTCCCGCTGATCTCTCTCCACTTCGCATCGACTACTCCTCGCCACCATCATTTGCATGCAACGCCCATCTCCACCATTTCTCTTAATCCACTCTCAACAGAACCTTTCGCGTTCAAAATCAAATGACACCAACGGCAACCGCAACAGCTCGGCAGGTGGAGGCACCGTTCCCGTACCTCCTCCCAAGGGCGGCACTGTCCCCTCCACTCCAGCCTACCAGGGCTCGCTCAAGTCAAATAACAGCAACAAGGATGCTTCCAGTTCAGCCTCGAGTTCTTCCAACTCGCTCAACAACTCGAGAGGCTCTGCTGGCTCAGCACATGCACCTTTCAACAACCCTGCTTATCCTCCTGGTCAAGGTACGCCTGAAAGAAGATTCCCCCCAACCGGTGCGAATCATTTGGCTGACAAGACGCCGCCTGCTCCCCCCGTCGTTGTAGTTTCTTCAGAGATGCCTGCGGATCCCATTCCACACTCTGTTGCAACCACCTCTCAGCCCTCTTCTTCCATCACCCCTTTCCATCACACAGGCTCTCCAGGTTCCCCTCCTCCGCCAGGCGCTGCTATGGCTTCCTTGAGCAGCACCGGCATTGCTGCTTCTGAGCTCGCCACTCCTCCCAAAGCCGGAACCCTCAACCGCATGCGTGGTGTTCCTTCCACCGCCGGTCCCAAGGATACCATCCCCATCACCGCCAAGACCCCACCACGCAAGCAGAGGAGTTCTCGTTTCCACGTCACAGAAAAGGTCGAGCTCGAAAAGCTGCCCCACTTCAACGGTATGTTCACATCCTCTCTCCAGCCCTTCTCTCTTCCCTCCTTCTGCCACTTGCTCACCATTCACCCTTCCTTTTGTCTCTCATCCTGACCAACAGAGGTTGTGCCTGCCGATCGAGCCGAGCTGTTTGTAAGGAAGCTCAGACAATGCTCGCTTGTATTCGACTTCAACGATGCCAGTCAAGAGCTCGAAGGCAAACAGATCAAAGCTGCTACTCTCCACGAGATGCTCGATTACATCACCACCAACCGCAAAGTCATCACAGACGAGATCTACCCAGAAGTTGTCGCCATGTTCTCCGCCAACTTGTTCCGCTCCATCCCACCACAAGTCAACCCAATCGGAGACGCATTCGACCCAGAAGAGGACGAGCCAGTCCTCGAGCTCGCATGGCCGCATCTTCAGATTGTCTACGAGTTCTTCCTCCGCTTCGTCGAGAGCCCCGACTTCAACACCAACATTGCCAAGAAGTTCATCGACCATCACTTTGTCTTGCAACTGCTCGAGCTCTTCGACAGCGAAGACCCACGCGAACGTGACTTTTTGAAGACGACGCTCCATCGCATCTATGGAAAGTTTCTCAACCTCCGAGCTTTCATTCGACGATCTATCAACAATGTCTTCTTCCAGTTCATCTACGAGACAGAACGTCACAATGGCATTGCAGAGTTGCTCGAGATTCTTGGGTCCATCATCAACGGCTTCGCGCTACCACTCAAAGAGGAGCACAAGACCTTCTTGACACGGGTCCTCATCCCACTCCACAAGGTCAAGAGTTTGGCGCTCTATCACCCACAGCTTGCCTACTGTGTCGTTCAATTCTTGGAGAAGGACAGCTCCTTGACAGAAGAGGTGCTTCTTGGCCTATTGCGATACTGGCCCAAGGTCAACTCGCCTAAGGAAGTCATGTTCCTCAACGAAGTTGAGGAAATCTTGGATGTGATCGAGCCCTCCGAGTTTGTCAAGATCGAAGTGCCCCTCTTCCAGCAGCTTCAGCGATGCATCAACAGCCAACACTTCCAGGTCGCCGAGCGTGCTCTCTACTTCTGGAATAACGAATACATTGTCAATCTCATTGGCGACAACGTTCAGGTCATCTTGCCTATCGTCTTCTCGGCTCTCTACCAGAACTCAAAAGCGCATTGGAACCGCACCATCCACGGACTCGTCTACAACGCACTCAAACTCTTCATGGAGATCAACCCAGCGCTGTTCGAGATGTGCACAAACGAGTACAAGCAGCAACGCCAGATGGAGAAGCAGAAGCTCCACGACAGGGAAGAGGCATGGAAGAAGCTGCGCGACACTGCTATCAAGAACAGTAAGGCGATCGGAGTCGAGATGCCCGCTTCTCTCAAGGAAGAGACTGCAGCACCGGCAGGGAGCGTCAACCCATATGACTTGGATGCTTTTGACTCTGCTGCTGTTGGTGCTGAGAGCCTGTTCGAACAGATGGAGCAAGGCATCGACGGCGAAGTCTCGACAACCGAATATGACGATGTCGAAGCCAATCGAGTTGCACAAGGGACAGCGCAAGAACCCGAACAACAAGCGGGTGAAGATAGCGTCGACGATATGGTACGTTGATTCTATAACAGCCGACCCCACACCACCACCAGCTGCAAGCTCGGCAAACAAGCACAGAGCCTGACTCCCTTGTCCTTTCTCCGCCTCTTGTCTTGTCTTACAATACCCTGCTTCGTTTTCGATCTCTTGTTGACATTGCAACGGTAGAAAGAGTTCCCAGAAACGGCTCGACAACAAGTTGGAAAGCAAGAGTCTCCTCATATTCGACGCAAAAGCGTGATACCCATGGATCCCACTGTTTTGGCTGAACTTGCCGGTCATCAGAGCCTTGATGGGTGAGTTTTCCGCCACTTGACAATGCAATTGCGGTTGCCATGGATCTTGTTGCTCACGATTTGCTTCTTTTTGACTTATCATAACAGAACGGATCTCCGTCAGCCATCGGGTGATGCATAGACCCCCTTTATTTCCGAGACGATCCCTCCCACTTTCGCCATCATCGTCCCTCTCTGGGGCGCGGCCTCTCCCCCCCATCTCCTCCGTAACATTACTTTTCTTTGTTCTACCTTTTTCCTCCGTGTTCTTTATGTTTTGTTTTCTTTTGGCATTCCTGCGCCAATCATATGATTCTCTCTTTAAATGCTTGCTACTCGAGCTCGCGATCGTGCTTGTGCTGTGCGACATGGGCTGTGATAGTCGTCGGTGGGACGATAAAAGGTCAAATGAAGTTGACAGCACATCGAACCCACACTGTAGCCCTTCCTTTCATCTTTTCCTTCCTCGTACTGCCCCCTTATTACCCCTCTCTCCCTCTTCCTTCCGCTCTACAACTTTCTAACCCTTAGCATCACCACCACCAATATTAAATCCTTCAGGGTAGTCAGCAAGATGTTCAACCGAATCCCAATCCTCGCTCTCGCCCTAACTCTCGCCGTCCTCTTTAGCAACCTGATGATGGTGGTTGAAGCTAAAACTCAGAGGGTTGGAGACGAATGTAACTGGAAAAGGAACTGTCAGCAATACGCTGATGGTGTAGGTCCAGATTGGGCAAAGGGTGAAATCACTTGTGCCGTTCCCCAGGGGAACAGTCCTGAAACTTGTGGTTCTGGCGATGATCGTCGAACAGATTTCTATGGGTATGTATACTCAAACCTTTCCTCTCACTTTTCCTGGCTGAAGGCACTGACGGATGTGCTTTTCTCTCGTCGATATACGGACGCCTCTTGCTTACAACTCGCTGTTTGTTGGTGTTTCATCTGCGTTCGCTACACCACGTTCTCGCTACGCTTACTCTTGCCTCACCGCAAACAGAACCTGCAAAGCAGTGGGAACCCTCGAAGCGACAGAATACGGTTGTCCATGTGGAGTCCACGGTGCTGATTGTCCCGCTACTAGCCCTTTCAGCAGAATCTTTTGGCCTCAGGACTGGATGAAGAATGCTTGGGCTCAAATTAACTAAACTTGTCCTCCATGCTCCTCTTCACATCAAATCTTTCTCTGCATCTCAAGCTCTCGCACATCAGCCTTATCACAGACACATCGCACACATATGTGTAGAGATAAAGCTGTCAAGTATCGTCGACATTGTATCTTTTCTACCCCGCTACCAACACTACGTCATGTTCGTTCGTAATACATTGCTTCCCTTCCTTCCGCTGCTCAGTTTGACCAATGATACGAGCGAATTGTGTGCTGGAACGGACTTAGGGTTAAGGCTTGGGTTCTAGTGTGTGTGTGTACCGACTCTGATTGTGAAAGGGTACGTCAGATCTGGGTTTTGAGAGAAATGGTGATACTGTGCTCGCAAGGAGCTGTCTGATGATATACAATTGCGAGAGGTTGCTGATTATTGTACATCGAGAGATGCAAGCAGGATACTCGACTAAACGGACATAAAGCATGCGGATGCGACCCATATCACGACAAAGCACAGTGCAGAATTGTAAACGAGCCTGCTGGTTGAGGATATTGGACAGCACCTGCCCAACCGGTGTCTTCCAGCGATCTAGCTTGGACGAGGTCGATTCGCCGCTCTCTGCGAAGGATCGAGTGGCATAGGCGTGATCATCAGCCTGCCGACACCAGAACCGTTGAAGACGGGAGGCGCCATCGTGAGCCTCTTTAAAGGCGCCGCTGCTGCTGAGGTCGGCTTTGGTTTGTCATTCCCATTCGCATTTGAAGCAGTGCTAGTCTTGAGGATCGTCGTCTTTGGCGACACGCGTGGAGTTGCGCGGTTTGTTCCTCTCGGCGTTGCAGCTGCCTTCGTCCGATTGCTTCCAGCATCACCCTCTTCGTAGATAAATCGACCGAGATTGGCCGCAACAACAGTAGCGCTCTTGCGTGGCGCTGCTGTCCGATTCCCCCGCGGTGTACCTGAGCTGCTATGGGCAGATGGAGCCGCAGGCCGTGAGCGCGGTGGCTGTGGCGGTGACGTTCCTCCCCAAAAGTCACTTTCGAAATTCGACCCTCCAACAGCCGGTGTCCTGTTATAACGCTGGCAAACCTCGAAGTAGCATGGAGCATACTTGGTGAATTCTGCGTTCTCCTTTTCCAGAATCGATCGCGCGAGAGCTAAGCTGTTCGGCCTGAAGACAGCCATATCCCAGAGGATACTCACATTGACCAAGAAGTCTTGAGACCTGTTCTCCTTTCGTGCTAGGTCTGCATCCACCTTCTGCAAGTCACGAAAGCAAGAGTCGACCGCATCCGTGGACTTGCCCTCATCGATCTCGAAATCGCCTTCATCCTCTTCTGCGGGCGCGTTCCCACCGTTGCGAGTATTGCGGGCATTCGCAGACCAGCTTGTAGCATTAAGCGGCGCGTCGTCATCCGTGTCGTCGTCGGGGTGAAAGTCCTCGTCAAACATCTCAGCAGGGATCTCCTCGATGGTTCCAGTGTCGCTTGTCGGCTGGCCTCGAGCATCTTGAGGGCTGAGACTGACGTTCGAGATGTCGTGAACATCTTCGTCGTATTCGGCAAAGTCCTCATCTCTTGCTTGCCTTGGTTGCTTGCTGGGATTCTTGGCTTTTGCAGCCCCCGCATTCGAAGCCCCAGTCTCGAACTGCATATACACCTTCCTCGACCCATTCAGGACCTTGTGAGCGTGTTCGCCGACGTGCAGGTAGCTGGTGTTAAATCCTGCTCGGTTTCGTACATCCCGGAGACGTAAGGCCTTCTCAGAGACAAGATGCTCGAAGAGTCGGTGGATCTCAGCCTTGGGTAGCTTTGAGCCAGCACCGTGCATCTCAGCCTTGTCGTGGCCTGCTTCGCGGACCTTCTTGACTTTGCTACCGTGGAAGACGTCAACGCAGTGTGGCAGCGTCCAGGTGCTTCTCTTTCCTGTGATGGCTTGGACCAGCTTGACGGCCTTGATTGCGTGCTCGGAGACGTCCTCGGTGCGGATAGATCCGGTCTTGCGACAGCAATTGTCGCACGTGCTCGCGCATCCCTCGGGAGAGAAGTCTTCGCCAAAGTAGCGCAAGACCTGAACGCGGCGACAATCGATCTCGTTCTTGCAGAAACGCGAGATCTGGTCGAGCGACTCGAGCGCCCGGTCCTTTGCCTCTTGTGTCTTGCCCTCCTCTTTCTCGATCATCGACCGCATCTTCGAGATGTCGCCGAAGCTGTAGTACAAAATGCAGACAGATTGTTTGCCATCGCGTCCTGCTCTGCCCGTCTCCTGATAGTAGCCTTCGAGAGACTTTGGTACCGAGTGATGTATGACGAACCGTACGTCGGGTTTATCGATACCCATGCCGAAAGCGATGGTGGCGACGATGACCTGAAACTCGTTCTTCTGCCATCGTTGCTGCACCATGGCGCGATCGTCGGCGCTAAGCTTAGCATGGTAGTGGTGCGCCGATATGCCATATTGGGTGCTAAGATCGTGAGCCACTGTCTCGCATGACTCGCGGCTGAAGCAGTAGATGATACCGCACTGCCCCTTGTGAGATGTCAGGATGAGACTAGAGATCTCCTCCATCGCCTTCACATTCGTCTTAGGCTTTTTGCGCACCTGGTACTCTAAATTCGGTCGGTTGAAGCTTTGCGAAATGTGTTCCACATTCTTCATCCTCAGGCACTCCTTAACATCTTTGATGACACGTGCATTAGCCGTGGCGGTCAGGGCCATGATAGGCACGTCCGGGTAGCTTAGGCGCAGCTCGCCGAGCTCGGTATAGTGAGGTCGAAAGTCGTGGCCCCATTGACTGACGCAATGGGCTTCGTCGACAATGAAACGGGCGATCTTCTTCTGTCGGTACAGGTCATTGAAAAGGGTCTTGGCCTGTCCAGACTGACGAATGTACTCCGGCGTTAGGTAGAGCAGTCGTATATTGCCAGCGATAGCGGCTTGGCACACCTTGTTCTTGTCCGCTGACGACATGTCTCCGGTGAGTTTCGTGGCGGGAATTCTCAGAGAGATGAGGTGCCGCACCTGATCCTGAATGAGCGAAAGGAGCGGGGACACGACAACAGTGAGGCCATCGGTCTTACCCTGCATTACGCAGGCAGGAAGCTGGTAGCAGAGCGACTTACCGCCGCCTGTTGGCATGAGTACAAAGACATCTCTTGCGTTAAGGATGTGGTTGATCGCCTCGAGCTGATGCGCCCGAAAAAGTTTCAACTTGAATCTGTGCCGCAACTCGTACCAGACGCTCCTAGTCCAAGGATATGTAGGCATCTGTAGCCTCGCCTTCTTGGTCAAGGGTTTCTGCAAAGAAGGGCCTCGCTCTGCAATCTGTACTTCAGCAGGGAGGTCTTCGTCGTCCTCGTCATCACAAACATCGTCGACCAGGTCCTGCACTTGCACCTCGTTGCGAGCGGTGCCGCCAGGGGCTTCCTCTTCAAAATTATCAGCGTCGTCAATGACGATAGGTGTGGGCCCGCTCTCGCTGGTTGAATGCGCCACACCTGGGTTCGCGGGAGGTAAGCGGTCGGCTTCAGGTGAACGACTGCAGACCGACGACCAATCCTCGTCATCGTCGCTGTTCACGATGCGAACACCGGGATGCAGAGCGGCGAATGGGTCTTGCGGTGCTGGGTTTTGTACACTTTTGTCTGAAGGAGTGGTGGCGGCTGAGGCTAGTCCAGGAAGAAGCCAAGAGGACGAAGCGGAGTTTGTTGCGTCTGTTGCATTCTCCCGGCTAGGCGCGGTTACGATGTTCCCTCCAACGACTTGAAAGGAGCTAGACTCGGCTCGGGTGGTGAAGCTTAACTGAGCAGGAAGCCCGTTTTGCCCGTCAAGAGAAGATGCCGGGGTAGGTCGATTGGATGGTAGAGGAGTAGTCGGCTGCCGGGTGGCGGAGGATGGTTTCACGGATAGGGATGCAGAAGGCTCGCCAGCGGGGTTACGGCCCAAGAGGGCATCTGCGATCTTCGCAAGCAAGTCCTGGAAGCGTTTGATGCTCTCCGCGTGATCGATCCACCGGCACCAAGCATCCTTTCCATGCCATCCTTGCTCCAGCTGATCGAAACTCCGTACACGATTCATGAACATTTGTTGGTGGCTGCGGAACAAGTCCATCAGCTCTTCGTCTGAGTAGTGATCATAGGAAGGATCATGGGCTGACGAGGACGGGACCGGGGATGAGCTGCGCATAGATGCAGGCCGATGAAGTGAGCCGCTGGGGCTTGGATGCGGATCTCGTTTGGACGTAGATGCCGGAGATGGGTGTAGCTCGCTGCTGCGGGGTCGCTTCGGGGCTGATGCGGGTTGCTCAGCCTCTACGGTGCTTCTTTTAGGAGAAGGTCGTTCTCTAGAAGCGCATGGCTTCACATCAGCGAAGTCAGTGTCATCATCGAAAAGGTCTATCGTTTCAGACCCGCTGTGCTCTTGCCGACGATAGGGAAAGTTCGGTGGCGCCTGCAGTGAGGACATAGCTGCTTGACGCCTTCAACCGAAACCGCCACGGCTTCACCTGTAAAGACGAACGCGAGAGGCTCCGTACTGTTGGAAGGCGGTGGAAGTCTCAGTAAGAGACGGGGGGGTGTGCAGATCACGACTTTGGATGCCCTGCCGATGGTGTGTTGTTGGCTGCTGTAGACGTCAAAGCGAGATGGTTGGCTGAGCAACCTGGTTGGTGCGCTGAGCTGAGCAGCTGAGTGAGCGGAGAGATGGTGACTGCAATGATACGAACTGCGGAAGCAGACCAAACCAGAGTAAGGATTGCTTCCAGGGCCTTCCAAGGACGATGAAGCAGCTACAGTCGCGGAGAGAGCTGAGCACCGGCGGGTATCTGAGCGGAACAGCAGGGCCAACGAGGCTCGCAGTCAAGACTTGTGCCGCGCAGGTTGGTCGGAGAAAGAATACAAGCGGATCTCAGGGTTGCAGGAGGTGGTGTTGCCGATACGGAGAAGCGCAGTGTCGAGACAAGGTGTTGGCGGGCTAGCTGTCTTCGGCGTGGGATGATGGTGGTTGGAAGAAGGGTTGGCGGTGGTCGCAGGCGTTGCTTGAGTGTTGCGAGGTGGAGAGGGTGATGAGGGAAGGGTAGACAGCTCGCGAATCGAATGGTGAGTGTGATAATGACAAAAAGATCGTCTGACGACTGAGCCGGTGATGTTCGGGAAGATGGATGTGAAATAGCGGAAGAAGGCTAGTTAATTAAGCTGAACTGCGTTGCAACTCATATGTTAATGTGCTGCGCCTTGGAACGGCCAAAAAGAAGACAAGGCCGTGTGTGTGACTCGCCAAAAAGTGTTAATTCCGGACTTGCCACTAGAAAATAGTTGAAGATGCGTCGGCATCTCAAGCAAGATGCACATGTTACGGCCGAGACATTGAGACACGGGAGGCTCACGTAAGCGAGAAGTACAATGAGGTACGTAATTGTTGTCATGGTGACAGCACAGTGGCACCCGGTATCATAGCAACACAGGAGTACAAATGAAGAGACACATCCTGCCTCGAATAGGACCAGAGCAGTGAATGGAGTATATATATGTGTTTGTCATTCAGTCTCACACCATGAAAACCAAGCATTACATAGAACATACGGCTGTGGTAAAGGGAGTCTGATCGTGACCCTGATAACGCCGTATATTAATTGTTATCTTCATTTGATTAAGAGTCTGAAGAAGCTATCACCGAGCTAACTGAAACTCGCCAACAACCATGGTAGAAGACACCGAAACGAGGACCAAAGGAAGCAGAAAAGGCAAGAACACCCAGGTTCGGGTCGACAATAATGCCACGAGCGAGAATGAGCCGGAGGCCATCAACGATGAAGCCGACGAAGACACCGATTCCGACTCCGACTTTGATGATGGCGACAAGCGATATAACTTTCGCACCCTAGCAAAGCTCCTCGAACCCGTGCCAAAGCTCACGTCACGAAACTATCATAGCTGGAGCGCTCACGTGAAATCTTTCCTCCGATCCATGCCTCATGCGATGAAACATCTCGAGGGAACGTATGACAAGAAACACCCGAAATGGAGCCGCTCCCTCGACGATGCTTTAATCAACGCCCTGCGTGGAACAATCGACACTACCGGAGAACACAATGTAAATTACCTCGTTCTAGATGTAATCAAGGAGTACCTTACTTTCAACCAAGTATGGAGAAAGATCGAAAATGGCCTCACGAATGAAGCCACCAAGACGTCTTACAGACTTGTGCTTATCTCGCAACTCAACGATACAAAGATGTTTAACTCGGACACCAGAAAGCTAATTCAAGAGATCCGGTCCATACAAACTGAAAGCAGTCTCCTCGGCAAACCATTCGCCGATGATACATTGTTCTCGGCTCTGCAGAAATGCACGATCCGGCATCCGGTGTACAAGGAGACAGTTGCCACCGTCCATCAAATCGATTTCAACGCCCTTGCTACTGCACTAAGCATCCGGCAGACCGCTGTTGAGAGCGTCCCCGCACAAAGGATCGACCCTCGACAAGCCAGTGCTAGAACCGCCGGCAACGACGATCAAAACGAACGGGCCGGAGAGACCGAAGCCGAAGCCGACAACAGCCACGCGAGCTCGAGGAACGCAAGCAAATCACGCCGAATCCGATGCTGGGTCTGCAAGCAACCGGGACATGGTATCAGTCAATGTGACGCCTTGGTTACCATTCCCAAGGACTCCCCCCTCGCTGAACCTAAATAGGAAGCGTGGTGCTCCCTCACCCTCCCAATAAAATGGCAGGACCCCTCGAACACAAAAGAAACAGCTCATTGGATCTTGGACTCGGGGGCGAGTTACCATATGGTGAACGACTACAGCATGCTCATCCACCCGAGAACTTGCCGAAAGCGGATAATTACCGCCGGAAGCGAGGTCTTGGAAGCGGCAGCTATAGGAGATGCAAGCATATCAACAGATTACGGGGAAATCTCTCTGCAAAATGTATTGTATGTAAAGCACCTTAATGTTAACCTTCTGTCAACAAATTCATTAACGGATGAAGGAGCACGAGTGATATTGGACACAACTGGCAGCCAAATTTTTCTAACAAACGGCATGACACTTAAGATTGCAAAGAATCGCGAGCGAGGACTTCTGGAGTTCCGAGGCGACACATGGCAAGAAAGCGCAATGGCCACATCAGCACCATTGTTTGAAGGTGTTGATGAGGAGTTCGAGCATATTGAGAATGAGCCGAAAGTTTCAAAGCAACAACTATGGCATGAGCGTCTCAGGCACCCAGGAAGAGATAAAGCTAAGGCGATCACAACCAAGTTAAAGGATAAGCATACCATGAAATTGGATCCAAACACCGCTCTGACATGTGAGCAGTGCATACGATCCAAGAGCACAAGCGCTCGGATGGGGAAAGGTAGCGGCGAAAGAGCCGTAGGGCCCCTGGATCTTATCCACGTCGATCTAATAATAGACTCGTCCCATGTGACAGAGTACGCATGCACGTTGGTGCTGGTCGACGATCATAGCAAGTATGTGTATGCACAGCCATTGACACGAAAGAGTCATGCCTTTATGCAACTTAAAAGGATTGTTTCGTTCCTGGAGACACAGACGGATCGGAAGCTAAAAGCGATCCGATCCGATCAAGGAACGGAATGGAAAAGCAATGATGCATTAGAATGGTCTTTAGAAAAGGGCATAGAGTTGCAAACCACCGTAGGGTACAACAGCAAACAAAATGGATGGGTAGAAAGAATGAACAGGACCCTTGGAGAGAAGATGAGAACGTTGCTAATGCAGAGGAGACTACCAAAGAAGTTCTGGCCATATGCGATCAGAGCTGCGGCGTTCAAAATAAACCTCACTCCGAGCATTGATAATGAATTCCCTTATCAAGCAATGTTTGGCAAGTCGCCGGAACGAGCTTTAAAGCTCCTACGAGTGTTTGGTTGTCTGGCATGGGTAAACGTACCCAAAGTTAAACGGGACAACAAGAAACTGGACCAGCGAGCCGTCGCATCCATTTTCTTAGGGTACAGTCTAGAAAGGAAGGGCTGGCTCTTCTACAGCCCGGACTACAATCCGAACATCTTCTGGAGCAACTCAGCAAAATTCATGGAATCAAAGTGCTGGTCAGACAGAACAGAGTGGCGACTGGTTGACACAAAGGCACCCCCAATGATGATGACAGAGGAGAATTTCGAAGATCTAGGATACAACAAAGAAAATATATTCGACGAAACAGATGAAGAGCCACTACGAGAATACATGGATATGGAGACAGACTCGGAAGAAAGATTAAGCGAAGGAACAGCGGAGGTGATGGAACAAGGACCAATCGCCGAAACTCAAATTGACAGCAAATTCTATGGACTCATAGCGACGCGACCGGAATGGAGAAAGAACCTGGACCCAACCATACATGAAGCAATGAGTGGAAAGGACAGAAAGCACTGGGAGGAGGCCATGCGAAAGGAGCTGGATGGATTGGAGGCGATGGGCACATGGGAGATAGTCGACCTCCCAAAGGGTGCAAATACCGTCGACACACGTTGGGTACTCAAGATCAAAACCGATGCAAACCTCGTGCCGACAAAGTTCAAAGCCCGGCTCGTGGCATGAGGTTTCACTCAACGCGAGGGCATCGACTATACAGAGGTCTTTGCACCAGTAGCACCCATCCAATCCATTCGAGGGGTGATCGCTGTCGCAGCAGTACGAGATTGGGAAATGGATTCTATTGACGTAAAGCAAGCGTACCTGAACTCCACTATACACCATGATGTATACCTCAAGCCCCCAGTAGGAATCGAAATACCACCCGGAAAAGTGTTGAAGGTAGTGAAAGGACTGTACGGTCTGAAACAATCGGGCCGAGAATGGAACATTGAGTTAGACTCACATCTCCGGACGATCGGATTCCATTGCATGCCGAGCACACCATGCCTATACTCAAGAGGGACAGGCAACAAGATCACGATCATCACAGCATACGTGGACGACATGCTAATAACATCACCCAGTCGTGATGAAGTAGACCGCGCAAAGTGAGAGATCATGGACAAATGGGAGACGCAAGACAATGGAAGAATCAAAGAATTTCTGGGTATCAAGATCACACGTGATAGAAGACAGAGGAGGATATCTCTGGGTCTAACGGCATACATTAAGGAAATGGTGAACAAATGGTTAGGAGGAGCAAACGAGAAATCTTGGGTACCCATGCTGAGTGTAGCGAACGTCGCTGGAGGCGAGCGATGTGAACCTCAGCGAGCAAAGAAGTATCAAGAATTGGTCGGCCAACTATTATGGGTCTCCAACACAGCCCGACCAGATATTGCCTTTGCCGTCGGCGTATTGGCGCGATATATGTCGATCCCGATTGACAGTGCATGGAAGGCAGCCATCCACGTGGTAAAGTACCTGAACCAAACGAACGAATATCAGCTGCACCTAGGAGGGGAGACAAACGAGCACTCGGATACACTGGTAACGACGTATACCGACGCAAACTGGGCATCCGACCCCACAAATGGACGAAGAAGCACCTCGGGGTCGATAACATATGTATATGGGTGTCCAGTGAGTTGGAAATCACACGTTCAGAAGTGTGTGGCATTGTCGGCAGTCGAAGCAGAGTTTGTCGCCGCTTCCGAAGCGGTGCGAGAAACCTTATTCTTCTCATATTTGCTCCGGGATTTGGAGACCATGGACGTTCGGCCCGTACTATACACAGATAGCCAGGGGTGCATACAGGTGAGTAAAGACCCAGCCAAACATTGGAAGTTAAAGCACATCGACACATGGTATCATTTCGTTCGCGATCATGTGCAAGAGGGCGATGTGGAAATCAAATATGTCGGAACGGCAAACAACGTTGCAGATGTCTTGACAAAACCCTTACAGGGTCTTAACACCTCACGATTGGCTAGGATGATAGGACTGGAGATCCCGCCGAAGGGGGGAGTTGAAGATGCGTCGGCATCTCAAGCAAGATGCACATGTTACGGCCGAGACATTGAGACACGGGAGGCTCACGTAAGCGAGAAGTACAATGAGGTACGTAATTGTTGTCATGGTGACAGCACAGTGGCACCCGGTATCATAGCAACACAGGAGTACAAATGAAGAGACACATCCTGCCTCGAATAGGACCAGAGCAGTGAATGGAGTATATATATGTGTTTGTCATTCAGTCTCACACCATGAAAACCAAGCATTACATAGAACATACGGCTGTGGTAAAGGGAGTCTGATCGTGACCCCGATAACGCCGTATATTAATTGTTATCTTCATTTAAAATCCACGCTCTCGAAACGCGGAACGCGTCTTGTGGTTCTAAGAAATCACAAGATTTCAAGTCTTTTCTCTCGTCTGCCTTCCTAGTTGGTGTGGAGGCCGAGCTGAGCAACTCACGTGATGAGGCTATTTTCCAGCGCTCTGGAGCCTTAGAGAGCGGGAAAAAGAAAAAGAAAAGCCAAGATTCGCGAGACGCAACTTTTTCTTTTTTGACCGAAGCCTCTTCTAATTCTCGACATCATACTCGACAGCTCTACAGCATCTGATCGCCATCATCACACTCCTTCTACCTCCATTACAAGGGGGTTTAACCTCTATGCGCTTATACCTACTACTCTACGGAATCTGAAGCTGTCCTGATAGTCGATTGTAGACGATTCAACGGCGAGCTCAGAGGAGAGGAACAAGTCCAGGCGGATGAACGCATCGGTCGAAGCGATCCTCAATGGCGAAGCTTCCAACACGCCAGAACTTCAACACTCGCAGCATATGACTGGGGAATCCGACGATGACTCGGCTCATTCTACACCCTCGGACATGACTGTAGCTGCTCCAGGCAGTTTAGACGAGTCGTCCGCCACCACGAAGCCGGTCCGTGTTGAGGAGGAGGTACGCAAGATTCATTACATCGACACTCCTACTCAGGGCCCTCCGCCACGATCCGCGCCATCCTCGGCTCTGCCTAATGAGCAACGCCCACCCAGCACAGCGCCGATGTCGCCCTTTCGGGTTGCGGATGGATCACCTTCACTTGCACCTTCAGCTCCGAACAGCATCCCACAACCGACAGCAACAGCAACAGCAGCATCACAAGCCACACAAGCCACACCTTCGGAAACGCCGACATCAGCTTCCATCCCTACACTCCCAACCACCAGCACGGCGACCCCGGCTGCCTCTCCATCCGCACCTTCGGATCTCCCGTCCGCTGCTCTGCTCGGCAAGGCATCCGAAAGCGGTGCCGAAGTGCTCCCATCCCATCTCGCATCCACAGCACCATCTTCCGCAGCATCCACGCCCGCCTCAACGCCAGGAGCAACTCCTCAGACCTATGCTCGCAAACGAGGCAGGCCACGAAAGCACCCACTTCCCCATCCTAACAACCCTGCGCCACCTAAGACTAAGCGCAAACTCAGTACGGATGCTGCTGCCGCCAAGAACAAGGCATCCGCAAACGCTGCTGCTCGCTCTGCTGCGTCCAACGCCGCATCGCTTCTCTCTGTCCCTGATCTCGGTCGCCTCATCCCGCAAGGTTCTACATCCGAGAACGCTCAAAGCTTCATCCAGAACAACCTTCGTCTCTTTGCCGACCTCTTTGTTGCCCTTCAGAAGCAGGCAAGCACCGACAATGCAGCGCCTGACGAGGCCAACGCCGAGCTCAATGGTATCGCTCAAGCCGGCGCAGGTCAGATCACCGGTTCGGGAACTCAGCTCCCAACCTCCTCAGACAAGGCTCAAGCATCGTCCACCGCTGATGAGCCGATGCCATCAACCAGTGAGGCATCCGCAACCCCAGCCAACCCCTTAACAGACGCTGCTGCGCATCAAGCTTCTGGCAGTTCGACAGCAGCCTCCGCAACTCCGCTCGGCAAAGTCTCCGGCCCCAGCGATGCCATCCGGGACGAGATCAAGAAAAAGATGGTAGAGGTCTCCAAAGGTCGAGAAGCCATCCAAGCAGAGATGCTTCAGATGAGAGTTGATGCCAGCTTCTTCGAAACGGCTCAAAAGACGGTTGACGAGCGCATTAGCATCCTGCGCGAACGCATCGCCAGGAATTCTGCCATTCTTGAACGCGAGCGTGAAGCTACTCGCAAGGTCAGGGAAGCTACTCGCATAGCAAAGAAGGACCGCAAAGCCAGAGAGAAGAGCCTAAAAGACTCGGAGAGGGAGGAGCGTCGCCTTGCTCAGACCTTCATCCAACTCGAAAAGGAAATCGCTGCCGAAGAAGAGGAGCGTCGACGACTTGAAGAGATTGATTCAGACAACGAGGATGATGAGCAAGCGGCTGAAGCCACCGTGCATGGCGCAGCAAACGCTGATGCTCGCGCTACAAGCCCCTCGGAGGGCAGCTCTGCATCCGACATCGCAACCCCACCCGTCGGTACCGGCACTCCACCACCAGCCGATCGATCCATTGGATTCAGCGACGAAGAACTCGCCAAAGTCCTCGGCATCTCGACGAGCGAGCTCGCAGGCTTCAGTCAGACGCTTGAGCTCACCTCATTGCAGCCTTCTTCTGATCCCATCAGCCTAGAAGCCGCAGACCCAATAGAGCAATCAGACCCATCTTCCTCCATCGCTCACATTCTTTCTGCTGGGTTGGACAGTAATGAACAGCCTGCCTCTTATGCTCCGGATGCCACAGGCGACAACTTTGACATCGCTGCCTTCTTGGAGATGGCTTCTTCGTTCGGCCAAATGCCTGACGAATCGACTGCTGCGCAACAACAGCACAGCTCTTAGCTGAGTCTACCGGATTGCGCTGCTTCCACATGATATCACACTCTAAAACGACAACACGAAGATCGACACTCATCGGTTTCAACCGATCCAAAACTAGCTCTCATGCATCTTGTACTTTTACGCATTTGATCATCTCATTTTCAATCCTTAATGGCTTGTCTGATATCCCCTCCAACCCTTGTCGCAAACTGTTGCCTCGCTGGCTTAAGCAGCTTGTTGCCGTCAAGAAGACTGCTGCGGCTTTCTGTGAAAGAGCCGCGATGTTACGAGAATCACAGCTCACAAATTGGGTAGTATGCTTGTTTGAAATTGTTGCTATTATGAACGACTTGATAATCTAAAGTACAGGTTACGGGTGGCAGAGAGATCTATCGAAGTGGCGAAGCTTGGGCGAGGGGCCATGGGTGAGGGTAGACTTCAGAAGTCGGTCGCTCGTCCACCATATGTCCACTCCTTCTCATACTTGAGTGGATCGTTCTTAGGACCGCCGATCTCGCCAGTATCGGGGTTAGTCTCACCGTCGAACTCGGGTCGAGGCTTTCTTCGTGCGTCAGGATGCATGTCTCCCTTCTCTGGATCTGATGCTAGGAATGGTGATGCGTCTGTAGTACGAGAGTGAATGCGATGGAGTTCAATGTCAGCAACTAGTTGTCGAGCCAGAAATAGAAAAATCTGAGTGACTTTGACTTACTTTGCTTCTTCTTGACGAGGTTCTCGAACTCCTTCTGCTCCTGAGGTGGAAGAGGCGGTGGTCCTGGGCGCTTGAACCCGCCTGACGGCCTCAACGCCGTGGTGGCGATACCTCGACGTGCTGTGCTATAGAGCAGCGCTCTTGTGGAGATGGACGATGTTGCTGTCTTGAGTGTCAGCATCATGATAAAATAGAAGTGCGGTGTAATCGTGAAGGAAGAGGCTGAGCAGGAATGTGAAACGAGCAGAAGGCTTCGCAACCTAGTGTGGAGGTGGCGGGCTCAAATCGGGCAGAAAAGGCGTCAGATCTGCTTACGTGATGGAAGCCTAGCTGGAAACGCGTCTCTTTTTGCACAAATCGACACCAGTGCCGGATGAACCCTCTTTCACCTAGAAAAAGAAGCTTGCTTCACCATTTAACATTTGAGAGAGTTCAATGGACCTGTCAGATTCAGTATCGTCGGACTTCAGGCACAACCCAGAGATATGAAAGTTAAGATCAAGATCACTAATAGTCCCAAGGAGAAAACCCTAGACACGAACAGCAATAGAGAGATCAATGCTATATGAAACAATGAGGAGGAATCGAAAAGAACCCAGGACATATGGGAAGCAAAAAGAAAACCTAGCGATAGGGCACGGCGACAACAGATGTCATCGTGAACGAGCATAGCTGGGTCTGCAGTCAGCTATTTTGAAAGCGGGCACGCCAGCGCTTAAACGCGCGAAGTAACGCGAGCAGCGGGGCTCTGGGCAAGAGCACCGATAGCATCGCCCTGGATGTCGTTGGGGCCGAACGAGTCGCGCTCCTGGTACTTGGCCTCCTTGATGTCCTCGGACGTCGACTCCTCGTCGCCCTTGAGAAGGCTGGTGTCGATGGCCTTGGGGTTGAGGGAGAAGGAACCCTTGGGGATGAAGGTGGCGACGATGATGATCACCGAGAGGATGGTGAAGTGAACACCACCGATGTACTTGAGGCAGTCGCGGGCCTGGTTGATGGCACGGGTACCAGAGAGACCACGGAGCTGCTTGTCGACCCATCGGCCAAGGAAGGTAGAGATGACCGAGTACATGATGATGTAGAGCACGTAGAGGAAGGCCATGACAGCACCGAGGGCCGAAACGTCCTTGTCATTGGCCTCCATCCTGGCGAGGGTCGACTGGATGTAAGCAGCGAGCGAAACGTCACCAGCAGCCCAACCGTAGGAAACGGCGATGAAGACGGCAGCGAGCTTCCAGGCGGAGGAGACGGCACCCCGGACGTAGGGGAAGAAGGGCATGACCCAGACAAGGTTGAGGAGGAGGGCGTCGAGACGGAGCCAAGGCATGGGGGTGGGAACAGCCTGGGTAAAGAGCATGACGGAGAGAGCACCGAGGAGCTCACCGAAGTTGGAACCACCGACGATGATCTGCGAGTAGGAAGAAACACCGATGATCGACCTGGCATAGATGGGAGCAAGACCGTTCTCGAGGTATCGGTGACCGTAGAGAGCCAATGTGTAACCGGGAACGAGCCAGATGAATCGTCGGTCGGTAAGGACGAGGAAACCACCGTACCAGAAGGCCTTGCCGAAGGCGCGGACGCCGTCGACCATGGACATGAATATACCACGCTTCTCAACCTCGACGCGAGCAAGGCAGGACTCCTCCTCGTTGCGCTGGCTCTCACCAAGCGACGAGATGAAGATCCAAGCGCAGGCAGCGAGGGTGAAGAGGACGGGGGAGAGGAAGGCAGAGTAGTTGTAACCGAAGTGGCCGATCAAGGCAGACGAGGTGAAGGCACCAGTGGTACCGGCAACCTCGTACATGACGTGGACGAAGGCGTCCATCTTTCTGAGACGGTCTACATCACCACCAACAATGTCACGAGGGATGACACGACGGATTAGTTCGACGGTACCGTAAGAGATACCAGAGATGAAGTAGATGGGGAAGAGACCGTTGGGGCTCCAGGTACCGTACTGGGTCTTGTTATTGGCAGTCTTGTACTTCAAGACACCACCGGTGGCAGCATCAGCAATGAGGGGAATGGTAGCAATGAGACCGAAGGTGAGGACGGCAACAGCAAGGACGGAACGAGTGGGGAAACGCTTAATGAGAGGAGCGACAATGATCGAACCAATGCACTGAGCGGCGTAGTTGGTACCGGTGAGGATGGCAATCTTCTCGAAACGACGGGCGCCGAAACGCTCATTCGCCTGAGTGATGAAGGATCCGCTGTAGTACTCCAAGCCGAGCTTGTAGCACATGATAGCACCAGTATAGATGGCAATATTGCGGCGCTGTTCGGCCGTGAAGGCACTCCAGAGAGTAAGACCCATGTTGAAAGACTTTGCTGGTTGAGAAAACTTAGACTAGCAAGGTCAGTAAGGGTGAGGCGGCTCTTCCTGTAGTGAAAGGAAGATGTGATGCCGAAAGGGTGAGGTAAGGTAGGAGTGTGTGTTGAGATTGTTGCCTGGGGGGATGGAGATGGCAGGGTGATATGCTCCGGTACTTATATGTTCTGATGTCTCTTCTGGCTGTCTCCGAGGAAGAGATGCGATAGAGCTTCCTGTAGCGTATTGCTCAAGATACGCTCACCTTGCCACAGATCTGTGCGTTACAGGACATGCCAACTTTGGCCAGGATGGGGGGGGAGGACGCAGGCACAAGAGCTGAAGAATGTGTTGGAAGCGGCCCAGCAAAGGGCAGGCAGACAAAGAACATGTGGGGAACCACAAAGTTCGACGGAGTTGATGGATGACCACGTTCTCATTCTGGCAAGTCTGTCAGTTGCCTGTTCGCATGCTTTGCGACGACAGGCTGCATCAGGACTAAGCGATGCAATGTGCATTGTTGCACAGCGATACAGGACGTTTGCGAAGCGACACGGTCAACTTTGGAAGAGAAGCGGAAAAATATCAAGGACGAAAGGAGACAAGGTTCTACAGCAGAGATAAAGGCAGTTTGACAGCGAAGGGTTTGCGCAGGAACAGAAGGCAGAGCGGTATTTCGATCCGGGTTTCTTCATCGAGCTTGAATTGCAAATTGTGGAAACCTTTCTGACCACTTCTTCTTAGCTTCTAACTTAGCCCCTCTATCCTCTCTCGAGCGTAAAGAGGTCGAACTCCTTAGCATCACAGCATACTTGAGTACTAGAATTCCATAATTGATTTACTGAATCGCCTAGCGGCCCGTCTGCCGAGGTGGACGGCGTATGGCGCAGATTGTACGAGCGCCGCTAGGTTCGGGATCTACGAATGGCCGTTGGCCTTCGTGAAACCGACATTTTGCACGACACATGTCTGTGCGACCAGGAAGAAGTGATTGCGAGGTGGGTTTTGCTTTTTCGTATCCTCATTGGCGGGAACTCGGATGGAGAGGTGGCTACGAGAACGTGCGCATGGCAATGGCGAGATGGAACTTGCTGATAGGTTTACTGAAAGCCTAGAACAGCGGGGAAAGGACACTAGCATCGTTGCGTGGCTCCTGGGTTTGGCCGTCACTGGAGCAGTCTCACACTGTGAGGGCAAGGCTTGAGCCGTGGTGTTGAGCGGAAGGAGGAATGATTGACTCGTCGACACTACCAGCGAAGGATGAACTCGGGAGAGGGGAAGAACCAGACCCAGATTTTTTGTTGACAGCCAGACGTGCTTGGACCCTTTCGCAACTTGCACTGCGGTGGAGGATAATCATGGGTGTCCTGCCCACGTTGGCTTCTTGGCACTGGAAATTGCTCCTGCACTCAGCCCAAGTGACCCGCGACTTGGTTCGAGATGCGCCAAGACACACATCGTTTGGCTTGGCATTCCTAGACGCCAATTTGCGGTAAACTCTGACTCAAAACTATTAATCATTCTCGTCTGAGTCGCGTCAGGGCCCATATATAATTAGCCAAGCACGCTTGGGTCAAGGCCTCTCGCTAGACCCTTCTGCATTCCCTCCTCTCGTGAAAACAGAGCGACAACTCGTGTAACTGTGGCCTCGACGGACAGAAGCGGGGCTGAATCTCAAGAGGGGAAGATCTTTGTCCAGACTGAAGTCAGGCTCTCAGTCCTGTGGAGAAATTCAAGAAGTCTGAATAAGCAAGCAAGAAAAAGAGCGAGAAACAAAGGCAGGAAAAAGAACATGTTGAAAAAGAAAAACTGCAGCACCTAGGATTCCCGCGTGGTCCCCCACCGCAGTACTGACTAGGCGATACCTTGCTTAACTTCGCAGATCGGACGGGATGCGGTGCTTTCAAGGTTCTATGGCCGCAGATATTCAAATTAGCTTAAAATAATAATATGATTGATCTAGCCAATCTTCTTTCATTGCACGTTCACGATACATTCAGACTGCATTCTACACACACAGGAGATCGCGAAGCAAGGGCTTTGACATCCAATCGCTACGTGGCTGTAGGGTATATATAAGTGGGCACGAATGCAAAGGACAGAACGATACATGGTGAAGAGCTGATAGTCGACTGCGGGGTTTGCTCGAATCGAAAAAGCGCGCTATGCTGGCATGGTTCGAAGACGCTTGACCAGCTTGGCTTGTTCGTTTGCTGCTGTCGCTTGCTCGAGGATGGACTATAACGCGTTGCAAACAGTGAAGATTGGAAGATGACACATAAAGATGTAGAGTCAGTACGGGTCGGCTTGTGGGGCCTGCTCTTTGACCAAAGCCCGGGGGATGCGGCACTTACAACCTGGAGACTGGTGATGTCGACGACAGACTGTGTGAGGGTGTTTGCGACCTCGGCTTTCCTCTTGAGGTCCACAGCCATTGGCTTGCTCTGTTCGCGTAGCTTTTTAGCATGCTCTTTCTCTGCTACTCTTCGTTGCTCCTCTTTCCTAGCCTCGAGCGCGCGGACGACTGCTGCTCTCCTCTCCATAGCCTGTGCTCTGCGTGTTGGGAGCGCCTTGCGATAGGCAATCACTTCGGTCGTCAGTGTATTAGCCTGGTCGTTCAACACTTGCAGCCGTCGCGAAAGATCTTCATCGAATGGCTCGACTTCTGTAGCATGGAAAAAGGAAAGAGACAGCCAAGTACATAGCTCAGCTAGCATCAGTGAGCATCCCAATAAAGCCATCCTCAACGTCGAATGCCTGCTTCTGCTTTCGCAGCGTGTTCGGCATCTCGTGCTACGTTTTACGTACCTTTGCTATGCCTGGCATATTCGCTGAGTGACATGCCGTTGTAGAGCAGGTTTCGTTCGATCTTGGCTTTCGTCGCACCCGTTAGCTGTGCAGAGACGGAGGCAAAGGAATGCGACAGAGCGAGTCAGAGCTTGCCTTTCATATACTTTTCACCCCTCCGACACTGAGCATTTGAAGCCCAGAGATACAGCCAAAAACCAGACTTACCCTCTTGATTACTTTGACCACGACTGCTTTCAGCGCCTTATCACGCTCCAGCTCGCTTCCAAACTCCATTTGAGCCACTTTGTGAGCATGTTGATCGATCACTTGAAGCACATGCTCCAAGTCTGCTGGCTTGTCCAGGTTCAGACGCGGAAAGTGGCCTGACATTGTGTATGTGATTTATCCGCTCTAGCGTGATCGTAGTGGTGAGTGTCCCTGGATTTGCAGTGAATCCGATGCGCGGCTGGGCCGAAGAGCAAAAGTTTGAACGAGGCGTGGGAAGTTCTGCGTGGCGTGGGACTCTGGAGGGCGTAGACAGAGGTTCGTGATACTTGTGACGGTCAGAGGCGAGGGGTGATGGTAGTCACAAAGGTCGAGCATCATCGGCTCAGCCGACGACAACGACACTTTGGTTGGTAGAGCACACGCGCTGTTCGGAATTGCCGCCGGACGCTGTTCTCTGAAAAAGTGACATTTTCGAAAAACACGCATCTTTTTCTCACGCGTCGGATGTACCTCTCTGTGCGTGGAAACGACTCTTCTCCTCTGCTCCGTGAAGGAATGGTAATCAAGTGATTTAAAGCACGTGATGTGATCCGTGGTCGGAGATTCTGCCAAGTCATCGCGCAGCTACAAAATGCCCCTCTCTCCAATCCACCATTCGCGCAGCTGCTCGCTTAGCAGAATCTCGCCGTCTCTTTAAGTGTTTTGGTTAGCTGTATTCTTGTCTTCCCGCTCTCTTGCGCTCATCCGGCCCTCCCTTACGGCGGTCCGGGAGCCTCACGTGCCTGTGAGCACTCTCACGCTCATCCCGCAATCTTAGACCTCTCTTATGATTTCCAGTCGCCTTAGTTTATGGTATGAATTGAAGGTTCGGATTGCGGAAAAGGACCCTTTCTTTGTGTGTTCTTCGAGATCAAGCTTTTCTGCTGCACTCAGACCTTCCGTGGTCAGAACGTTTCCGCTCTTCAATCTTTTTTGCTCACCATTGTCTTCTCAAATCTCGACATCCATCAAACGAGCGAGTCTCAAGGCTCGGGCTTCCTAACAACTTCGCCAGCATGAGCGGGGACAAACTAATCGCTTCGACGCAGAAGCAGAAGAGGCCTTTCATACAGTTGCCACTCTCGTTGGCCCAGCTCGTCGATGACCGGTTCGACGAGGACCAACACGATCAGGCAGTGGATCTTTTGGAGCAGCTCACCACCGAAAGGATCAAGCCCTCCAAAAGCTTGATACAGAAGCTCGTAGCTCTGAGCCTCTGCTCGCTGGATCCCGGCCAACTCACTTCCACTTCGAGGTGGACGCTCGATCATCAACTCCATGACATCGCCGCACGGCTTTTGACACACTCGAAAAGGAACAAGAGCGATCGCGATGTGATAAAGGCCGCTTCCGCAGCGTCGGATAGACCATCGCAGACCGCCGTGCTGAAAGCAACATCACTCCTTCTTCTCCAACGCTGTAGACACAGCTCCTCACTCGATGTCAGCGGGCACGACAACTGCATGTTAGCGCGGCACGTTCTCGAAGCTTTCCCTTCTAGAAGAAAGCCGCTGGAAACTCCTATGGTTGAATCATCGAAATCGCCTCGTCGTGCCAATACAAGCTTGCCTCACTCCGACCAAGGCCATGACGATGGCTCCTTCGAACAAAGCTCCATCGAACGCTGGATTCGTACCAACTTGCACCGCGCTGAAGACATATGGGACTTGTTATGCAACCACAGATTCTCCTCTCCTGTCGAGAGCGAAGAGGTCTCCCCGGATCAAGTCGCCGAGTTCTGGATGAACGATGCAGAGCGAAGGCGATATCAGAGGCAACTGCAAACCGCAACGTCCAGCCAACAGCGTCTCGAAGATCAGCTGAGGCAGCTTCAACGTAGAAGGTCGGATCATGCATCCCCTTCTGACTCGGACGGCGAAGACACCTCCGCCGACGACGACCTGCCCGACCTTCGCATCCCCGGTCGCTCCAAGAAGCGTCCGCTTCAACCCAAAACTCAGCGCCAAAAGAAGCCTTCCCCCGCCAAACCACTCAAGCGAGCGCGCTCAAGCAAGCCGGCCCCGCTTGATTCTCAGGGCAGAGAGGCAAGCAATCGACAGATCTGCATGACCGAAGGTGCATGGCGCACTCTGGCGGTCCTTCTTGTCCTCTGGCGAGACTCTTCTCTCCTCACAACGTCGGCGAACGGAAACATGAATGACGACAAAGCCGATGCTCCCCCTCTGCTCTGGCAGTTCCCTGGCAGTCATGCAGCTCAATCGACGACTCGTCTGAAATCCAAGGCAGCCGCCAACTCGGATGGCACTGACGACATCGATCGAGCCTTGGATGTCGCATTTTCATTCCCCCGCGTCCTTCCTGCATACGCACTGTCGTCTTCCGAGACAAAGGCGGCCTCCGACCTGTTCGACACAGCCACGTCGAACGAAACTCGTGGCGACGCCCGGCGTATCTCTTCAGTGTCGCAGGCGGAGCTGCTGCACAGGCAGAGACTCACGCATCAGAAAGAAGAACGGAGCATGGCAGTACGCGCCGAGACCGCTGCACAACTGCTCTTGTCTGTCTATGATCTGGTTGAACGAAGGTACATCAACCCCGTCGCATTCGTAGAGGGAATCACGGATCGCATCAAGTTGCTACGTGCCAACGCGCTCCATTATCTTATGCTCCCGCTCCTCGATTGCCAGCCATTCGTCGTAGCGAAAGTTCTCAGCAGTTACCTGCGTGAAGCAGCTCGCACACATCCGGACCATCAGAAGACACCATCTCGCTTCCAGTTCCAGGTCCGCAGAAATGATGAGGACACGGTCGACTTCCATGCAGCGCTGGCGTATGCTGTTCCGCTCGAAGAGAAGACGAACGCGAGGCTGGCCAATGCACGAGGCACGGACCGAGACGCCAACTCTGTCAGCGACTTTTTATCACTTAACAGGCTTGAACTAGAGAACTCAGCAGAATGTAGCTTTCCATTGACTATGCCAACACGTTCCGAGAGCCGCAAACGTACCTTCGTGCAACGTCAAAGACAAACGGCGGTGAAGTCCGAGTCGAGCTTACACAAACTGGGAAAGACTTCGAGCAATGCCGACAGCAAGAATGTGGACGCGGCCGTTCTGACAGAAGAGATGAAGAAGGGTGGCTTAATAGCGTTCGCGTTCGTTCGAACATTGCAGATGGAGGCACGGGACCGTATCAACCAGGTGAAGTTTCTTGTTGCGCGGGCGATGCTTATGCTGCATGCAAGCGATGCGACTGCCTTTACGCAGCAAAAGGACGAAAAAAAGAACGAGTCGGGAAGATCAACTGAGCAACAAGAGCCCGCTTTCAAGGCCTTCCTTTCGGAACTAAGTGAAGCGCTTGACCAAGACGCTGTCGAGTTCAAGAACTGCTTGTCAGCAATGAAGTCGCACGTCTCCAGGGATAACGCTGTGCGACATCAACTTGCTACCTCAAGTCAGGGAACCCCCTTCGGCACCAAGTCCGATTTGCCAGCTTTGCCATCGTTCGAGGCAATGGTGAAGCGATGCGAGGGTTGTTGTGTTGCTGCTCAAAATCTGGCTCTTTCCACGCGGCTAATGAAGGAATCTGTGCCTTAAGCATCATCACATATAGTCAAGATCAAACAATCCAGTGCTGCGACAAGCATTTCTGTCACTACACAAAAGCTCAAAGAACGGCAGGCTGCCGCTGTGCCGAATGAAGAAAAAATCCTAACTCTGTGCGTTAGTTGGCCGCAGGTCCATTGTGCCAAGAGCTTCAGATCATGTGAACAAGAAAGTTTGCAATTACGAGATAGTGATAAGAATACATGTTTGTGGCCTGACCGGTGAACGAGAAACCAAGAGATAACTTAGTAAGAGAGAGGATGTCGCTGATTGCATGAAAAGCCCATATCGGTGGCAACTCGAGATGACGGTAGACTGCCGCTACAGCATATGGCCAATTCCATGAGCTTATACACGCCTGAAGGGACTGCCGCCCCCGCTGCCGATCCGTCATTCAGCCCACACGACCCAATCTACGTTCGATGGCGCCGACAACCTTTGCCCAAGCACGCAGACACTGGTACCTAGCAGCAGGAGCCAGGTCTCCAAACGTTTGCAACCACAGTTGCCTGTTGTATGCGCGGTGACGGGCAGCATTAGCCTTGAGCCAAGCCGAGTAGAAGGTGGCCAGCGAGTCCGAATCCAAGTCCAGTTCGGACTCTTGTCCCTGCTGCTGAGACGTAGCAGCTGCTTGATTGCCATTTGCTGAGGATGCGGCCGGTAGTGTTGCAACCGCCTTGCTCGAGCCAGTCCGCGATCGGAATTCGGAGAGTGCCCGAATGAAGCGGGCGTTATTGTCCTGCCAGAAGCGTTGGTTGAAGTTGTCTGCCCTTGCCATACGAAGCTTATGCGCCAGCTCGGCTTCCTCGAGTTTTGCAAGAAGCCGTTCGAAGTAGAGTGAAGCTGACTTGGCTTTCCTTCGACGAGAGTGTGCGGTGCCAGACCAGCCAAGGCTAGAATCTCCTGACGTAGTGAATTCGTGGAGAGAGTAGGGATGTGACATGCTCAGCGCTGCTGATGAGCCAGAGGCGTGCGCAGCCAAAGAGGACGTATGGGATGAAACCTCTTCGAAAGCAGAGCCATATCGGATGGGCCGAAGATTGCTGATCGGATCGGCTGGGCCGACCATGTCTGCGCCGGGTCGAGCTGTGAAACGTGCAGATCGACGTGATAGTCTCGCCGATGAAGAAGAGGAAGTTGCTGTCGATGAAGAGGCGGGAGAGGAGGCTGACGATGATGATGCAAAGGTGCGACATGCCTCGAGATTGGCAGCAGCTCGGATGAGAGTGCGTGTGCTTGTCATCGAGGTCAGCGTGGAGGACGACATGTTGATCCATGTGACGGTTTCGCGACGAGAGGATGATAAAAGGTTGAAACAACGGCAAGTCAAGTTAAAAAGGGAATGTGTATTGCGCAGCCCCTTGTGGCGAGACGACTGAAGTTTATGTGTACGTCAACCTAAGGATGATGACTTCCCTATGGAAAGAAGGGTATACGATGGATGATAGGATGGAGGATGAGGGTGAATGCAGGGTCGGAAGGGTTGACTGGGTTAAGAGTAAGTCCATGTTGCAGCGCTCTTTTTCTAGCGAGTTTGAATTCTTTCCATGGAAGTTGCCGACTCGCTTCACTCAGAGTTGTGCTTTAAATGAAGATAACAATTAATATACGGCGTTATCGGGGTCACGATCAGACTCCCTTTACCACAGCCGTATGTTCTATGTAATGCTTAGTTTTCATGATGTGAGACTGAATGACAAACACATATATATACTCCATTCACTGCTCTGGTCCTATTCGAGGCAGGATGTGTCTCTTCATTTGTACTCCTGTGTTGCTATGATACCGGGTGCCACTGTGCTGTCACCATGACAACAATTACGTACCTCATTGTACTTCTCGCTTACGTGAGCCTCCCGTGTCTCAATGTCTCGGCCGTAACATGTGCATCTTACTTGAGATGCCGACGCATCTTCAACTCCCCCCTTCGGCGGGATCTCCAGTCCTATCATCCTAGCCAATCGTGAGGTGTTAAGACCCTGTAAGGGTTTTGTCAAGACATCTGCAACGTTGTTTGCCGTTCCGACATATTTGATTTCCACATCGCCCTCTTGTACGTGATCGCGAACGAAATGATACCGTGTGTCGATGTGCTTTAACTTCCAATGTTTGGCTGGATCTTTACTCACCTGTATGCACCCCTGGCTATCTGTGTATAGTACGGGCCGAATGTCCGTGGTCTCCAAATCCCGGAGCAAATATGAGAAGAATAAGGTTTCTCGTACCGCTTCAGAAGCGGCGACAAACTCTGCTTCGACTGCCGACAATGCCACACACTTCTGAACGTGTGATTTCCAACTCACTGGACACCCATATACATATGTTATCGACCCCGAGGTGCTTCTTTGTCCATTTGTGGGGTCGGATGCCCAGTTTGCGTCGGTATACGTCGTTACCGGTGTATCCGAGTGCTCGTTTGTCTCCCCTCCTAGGTGCAACTGATATTCGTTCGTTTGGTTCAGGTACTTTACCACGTGGATGGCTGCCTTCCATGCACTGTCGATCGGGATCGACATATATCGCGCCAATACGCCGACGGCAAAGGCAATATCTGGTCGGGCTGTGTTGGAGACCCATAATAGTTGGCCGACCAATTCTTGATACTTCTTTGCTCGCTGAGGTTCACATCGCTCGCCTCCGGCAACGTTCGCTACACTCAGCATGGGTACCCAAGATTTCTCGTTTGCTCCTCCTAACCATTTGTTCACCATTTCCTTGATGTATGCCGTTAGACCCAGAGATATCCTCCTCCGTCTTCTATCACGTGTGATCTTGATACCCAGAAACTCTTTGACCCTTCCATTGTCTTGTGTCTCCCATTTGTCCATGATCTCTCGCTTTGCGCGATCTACTTCATCACGACTGGGTGATGTTATTAGCATGTCGTCCACGTATGCTGTGATGATCGTGATCTTGTCGCCTGTCCCTCTTGAGTATAGGCATGGTGCGCTCGGCATGCAATGGAATCCGATCGTCCGGAGATGTGAGTCTAACTCAATGTTCCATTCTCGGCCCGATTGTTTCAGACCGTACAGTCCTTTCACTACCTTCAACACTTTTCCGGGTGGCATTTCGATTCCTACTGGGGGCTTGAGGTATACATCATGGTGTATAGTGGAGTTCAGGTACGCTTGCTTTACGTCGATAGAATCCATTTCCCAATCTCGTACTGCTGCGACAGCGATCACCCCTCGAATGGATTGGATGGGTGCTACTGGTGCAAAGACCTCTGTATAGTCGATGCCCTCGCGTTGAGTGAAACCTCATGCCACGAGCCGGGCTTTGAACTTTGTCGGCACGAGGTTTGCATCGGTTTTGATCTTGAGTACCCAACGTGTGTCGACAGTATTTGCACCCTTTGGGAGGTCGACTATCTCCCATGTGCCCATCGCCTCCAATCCATCCAGCTCCTTTCGCATGGCCTCCTCCCAGTGTTTTCTGTCCTTTCCACTCATTGCTTCATGTATGGTTGGGTCCAGGTTCTTTCTCCATTCCGGTCGCGTCGCTACGAGTCCATAGAATTCGCTGTCAATTTGAGTTTCGGCGATTGGTCCTTGTTCCATCACCTCCGCTGTTCCTTCGCTTAATCTTTCTTCCGAATCTGTCTCCATATCCATGTATTCTCGTAGTGGCTCTTCATCTGTTTCGTCGAATATATTTTCTTTATTGTATCCTAGATCTTCGAAATTTTCCTCTGTCATCATCATTGGGGGTGCCTTTGTGTCAACCGGTCGCCACTCTGTTCTGTCTGACCAGCACTTTGATTCCATGAATTTTGCTGAGTTGCTCCAGAAGATGTTCGGATTGTAGTCCGGGCTGTAGAAGAGCCAGCCCTTCCTTTCTAGACTGTACCCTAAGAAAATGGATGCGACGGCTCGCTGGTCCAGTTTCTTGTTGTCCCGTTTAACTTTGGGTACGTTTACCCATGCCAGACAACCAAACACTCGTAGGAGCTTTAAAGCTCGTTCCGGCGACTTGCCAAACATCGCTTGATAAGGGAATTCATTATCAACGCTCGGAGTGAGGTTTATTTTGAACGCCGCAGCTCTGATCGCGTATGGCCAGAACTTCTTCGGTAGTCTCCTCTGCATTAGCAACGTTCTCATCTTCTCTCCAAGGGTCCTGTTCATTCTTTCTACCCGTCCATTTTGTTTGCTGTTGTACCCTACGGTGGTTTGCCACTCTATGCCCTTTTCTAACGACCATTCTAATGCATCATTGCTTTTCCATTCCGTTCCTTGATCGGATCGGATCGTTTTTAGCTTCCGATCCGTCTGTGTCTCCAGGAACGAAACAATCCTTTTGAGTTGCATAAAGGCATGACTCTTTCGTGTCAATGGCTGTGCATACACATACTTGCTATGATCGTCGACCAGCACCAACGTGCATGTGTACTCCGTCACGTGGGACGAGTCTATTATTAGATCGACGTGGATAAGATCCAGGGGCCCTACGGCTCTTTCGCCGCTACCTTTCCCCATCCGAGCGCTTGTGCTCTTGGATCGTACGCACTGCTCACACGTCAGAGTGGTGTTTGGATCCAATTTCATGGTATGCTTATCCTTTAACTTGGTTGTGATCGCCTTGGCTTTATCTCTTCCTGGGTGCCCGAGACGCTCATGCCATAGTTGTTGTTTTGAAACTTTCGGCTCATTCTCAATATGCTCGAACTCCTCATCAACACCTTCAAACAATGGTGCTGATGTGGCCATTGCGCTTTCTTGCCATGTGTCACCTCGGAACTCCAGAAGTCCTCGCTCGCGATTCTTTGCAATCTTAAGTGTCATGCCGTTTGTTAGAAAAATTTGGCTGCCGGTTGTGTCCAATATCACTCGTGCTCCTTCATCCGTTAATGAATTTGTTGACAGAAGGTTAACATTAAGGTGCTTTACATACAATACATTTTGCAGAGAGATTTCCCCGTAATCTGTTGATATGCTTGCATCTCCTATAGCTGCCGCTTCCAAGACCTCGCTTCTGGCGGTAATTATCCACTTTCGGCAAGTTCTCGGGTGGATGAGCATGCTGTAGTCGTTCACCATATGGTAACTCGCCCCCGAGTCCAAGAGCCAATGAGCTGTTTCTTTTGTGTTCGAGGGGTCCTGCCATTTTATTGGGAGGGTGAGGGAGCACCACGCTTCCTATTTAGGTTCAGCGAGGGGGGAGTCCTTGGGAATGGTAACCAAGGCGTCGCATTGACTGATACCATGTCCCGGTCGCTTGCAGACCCAGCATCGGATTCGGCGTGACTTGCTTGCGTTCCTCGAGCTCGCGTGGCTGTTGTCGGCTTCGGCTTCGGTCTCTCCGGCCCGTTCGTTTTGATCGTCGTTGCCGGCGGTTCTAGCACTGGCTTGTCGAGGGTCGATCCTTTGTGCGGGGACGCTCTCGACAGCGGTCTGCCGGATGCTTAGTGCGGTGGCAAGGGCGTTGAAATCGATTTGATGGATGGTGGCAACCGTCTCCTTGTACACCGGATGCCGGATCGTGCATTTCTGCAGAGCCGAGAACAATGTATCATCGGCGAATGGTTTGCCGAGGAGGCTGCTTTCGGTTTGTATGGACCGGATCTCTTGAATTAGCTTTCTGGCGTCCGAGTTAAACATCTTTGTATCGTTGAGTTGCGAGATAAGCGCAAGTCTGTGAGACGTCTTGGTGGCTTCATTCGTGAGACCGTTTTCGATCTTTCTCCACACTTGGTTGAAAGTAAGGTACTCCTTGATTACATCTAGAACGAGGTAATTTACATTGTGTTCTCCGGTAGTGTCGATTGTTCCACGCAGGGCGTTGATTAAAGCATCGTCGAGGGAGCGGCTCCATTTCGGGTGTTTCTTGTCGTACGTTCCCTCGAGATGTTTCATCGCATGAGGCACGGATCGGAGGAAAGATTTCACGTGGGCGCTCCAGCTATGATAGTTTCGTGACGTGAGCTTTGGCACGGGTTCGAGGAGCTTTGCTAGGGTGCGAAAGTTATATCGCTTGTCACCATCATCAAAGTCGGAGTCGGAATCGGTGTCTTCGTCGGCTTCATCATTGATGGCCTCCGGCTCGTTCTCGCTCGTGGCATTATTATCGACCCGAACCTGGGTGTTCTTGCCTTTTCTGCCTCCTTTGGTCCTCGTTTCGGTGTCTTCTACCATGGTTGTCGGCGAGTTTCGGTTAGCTCGGTGATAGCTTCTTCAGACTCTTAATCAAATGAAGATAACAATTAATATACGGCGTTATCGGGGTCACGATCAGACTCCCTTTACCACAGCCGTATGTTCTATGTAATGCTTAGTTTTCATGATGTGAGACTGAATGACAAACACATATATATACTCCATTCACTGCTCTGGTCCTATTCGAGGCAGGATGTGTCTCTTCATTTGTACTCCTGTGTTGCTATGATACCGGGTGCCACTGTGCTGTCACCATGACAACAATTACGTACCTCATTGTACTTCTCGCTTACGTGAGCCTCCCGTGTCTCAATGTCTCGGCCGTAACATGTGCATCTTACTTGAGATGCCGACGCATCTTCAACTGCTTTGCCGCCGCTTTGTTTTCTGTTCTTGGAACACAGCAACAGCGCCACCACACACGCGACTTGGGCAGTACAAATTCGGCGCGTTGGAAGTGGGCATCTCACAGCTCAGAGCAGAGTTCCCAGTAAGTGTCACTCTGGGAATTTTTTTTCTCCTTTTCTCTCTCTCTCGCTCTCCCACATTGCCACCAAAAATGCGGGGAAGGCAGGCATGTCGGGTCTCGACCGCTTTGATGCTTTTCGCACTTCTTTATCAATGTTAAAGCGCCCCAGCTTCTCATTTTTCTTTTTTTTCTTTTTTTTTCGATCGGAACCGAAACATTCTTCTTGCTCTTCGGGACTTGCGACTGCCACACGAGCTCATTCTGAAGAATTCTGGATGAGGCTCCACTTGGGACTGCGCCAATCTTGCACAACACACCATCATCATACAAGGCAACTCGACCAGCCTTTGCGCACTTCCTCCCCCATCTGCATAAGGCCGTGTAGCATAGCTGCAAGCAAGCTCAGACAGGTGTTGCTGTGACCGTATCATCGAGTTTAGCGTTACGAAAGCCAGTGCCTTGGTGTATGCTTTCAGAGCACCAGACCAAAGCGTAATCTTTGCATCTTTCACAGGTAGTCATCGCTCTTGTGTGGTCTGCGTTGCGCATCCGCTCTGCTTCTCTTAGCCTGCTTATTTGCTCTGTTCAGTCTCAGCTTGTGCGCCCTCAGCCTTCGGATTGCCCCGAATACGCCTGGCTGTCACGCACCAAAGTGACATCCATCCTCAACCACCTCGTAACGCCACCTCGACACTGTTGAGCTGTCCACGCGGGCACAAAGAATATCAAAATGGCGGGTCCACAAAGAGGTTCGCGCGTCGTCTTCGGTAGGTACCAATCTGATCTTCTTTGGCGTTGACCGAGTGATGAGTCCTGACTTTGAAACCCTCTTCCATTCCATTCATTCACGCCAGTCGGAAACATCCCGTACGACATGTCCGAGGAGCAGCTTACCGATGTTTTCAGAGAGGTTGGAAAAGTTGTCGGTTTCCGTCTCGTCAATGATCGAGAGACGGGCAAGTTCAAAGGATATGGATTCTGCGAATTTGAGGACCCCGAGACAGCCGCATCAGCAGTGCGAAACCTGAACGAAGTCGAAGTTGGAGGTCGTGCGCTCCGCATCTCGTTCGCCGACATTGACCCACTCATGGAAGGACGATCTACACAACACGGTCAATTTGATCAGGAAGATCTTCGCAGGAGAGCAGCAGCCGTTGGACGTGCCGGCAGACCGGGAACCTTTGGTCATGGTGGCGCAAACAGGGGCGGAGGTCAAGCTGGAGGTGGATGGCAGCAGCGTGGTCCTGCAGACAACGGCTTTGGGCAAAGGCAATTTGGTGGTCAGGCCTACGGTGGCCAGGGTGGTCCTCAGATGGGCGGACCTGCAGGCGGTGCGTACGGTGCGCCAGGAGCTGGGCCAATGGGTGCTGGCGGTGGACCGGTCAAACTTCCACCAAATCTTCCCACCGGCGTGCCACTTCCTCCTGGCGTCGGCTCGACGGATGCTATCACACAGACGCTCGCGACGCTGCCACCCAACCAACTGCTTGACATCATGAGCCAGATGAAGTCGCTTGTTGCTACTTCGCCCGATCAAGCGCGCGCTTTGCTATCGGGCCACCCGCAATTAGCCTATGCCCTCTTCCAGGCCATGCTCATGATGAACGTGGTCGACCCTGAGATACTGCAGCGCATCCTCGCTGCTTCTGGAGCCATGCCTGGTGGTGGCGCCCCCGCCCCCGCCCCCGCCCCCGCCGCTGTTCCACCACACATGCAACAGTCCGGCGCCAACAATGGAGGCTCTGCGACACCTCCTCAGCACTACGGCGGTCCATCTCCGGGAGGTGCTTATCCTCCCAGCGCACGACCACCTCCTGCACCCTATGGACAGCAAGGGTACGGCGGTCAACCTCAAGGAGCCCCGGCCAACGACCCAGCAGCAGCACTCGCGGGACAGAACCTGCCCGAGGAGCAAAAGGCGCTCCTTATGCAGGTTCTTCAACTCACACCCGATCAGATCAATGCGCTCCCGCCCGATCAGAAAGCCAGCATTCTCCAGCTCAAGGCCCAATTTGGGCAAGCTTGAGCTCAGAACGTTGTTGCCGTCGTTGACCTTCTTCTGGATAGTTTGGGCCATGTTCTCCCATCTTCCTTCAGAACTCACTCGCTTTCTGCTTTCTAGCTGCTTCATTGCTGTAACATTATGCCATCATGCCAACATTCAATTTCATCTGGACAGCTACCGGCTATTGTTTGTGCGCGCCTGAGATGATTCATACCGTTCAACGCTGGCAGAATTGGAAGGGCATCGTTTGAATGAGCCACTGGCTTCGGATCGGGAGGTGACATTGTGAGTAAGTCTATGGCGCTTCTTTTGCGTCAACAACATCATTCGGAATGTTGGACATGGCGTTTGGCGCGAGCGAATCGTCATTGTGCTTCTTTGACCATCTAGCTTCGTTGCCTACCTACCCCACGTTCTAATCGCCGCATTGTCTCCACAAGCTTGGACGCCTTGTTGCTCTCATTTAAGCGAGATGCGCTCGTCAGCGCTCGCCTACGGAGCATACCCGCCAGCCTGCCATCGTACATTTGGATCACCTGAGAACAAGAAGAGGCTTGGTTACCGGACGGCGCACGGGATGATCACTGAATTCGGCATGAAGAAACCACTGAGGTCACCGGATAGCTTGTTTCAAGCCTGCCAGACAGAGTCAGTTCCACACGAGCAATGATCGAAGAGGCGGGGCGCAGTGGAGGTGAAAGAGTTGAAGATAAGTCGGAAATTTTCCAGGGTTTATCCAGAATGCCGAGAGGGCCAAGGTGGTGCAAGCAAACGCCCGCTTATTCACGAGCTAACTGAGGCACGTGAAGTGCATCAAGGTTGACATGGCAACGGCTCAGGAGCTCAGCAGGAGAGACACTCGACTCACCTAAGGTTGCTCGATGTTCTCAGAGAGGATGTGAAGATATATATATATATATATATATATATATATACTCATGTTTGTAGCCTTAGTTCACTTCACTGCAGTTGCTACACACCTGTACGAAGGGAGCCTGATCGTGGCCTCAAACAAAGTGGAGTCTATATTTTCAACTGAAACCGACGCAGCCGCCGCGATCATCAGAGAATCAGAGAATCATCCGCTGCAATCCATGCAGAAACACGCTCTTGCCTCGCTTCAGGCAAAACGCCAAGCGTTTCCTTTGAAGGCTTCTTTTGTTGCGCCACCAGCTCGCTTGCTCGCTTGCTCGCTCCATTCAAAGAAAAGCTAACGGACAAAACTTGACTTACTGCTACAGGTGAGAGGGATCGACTGACACAACAGGCATCAGCTTGTCGGAGTTCATTCCGATGCAGCATCAGCGCGGCAGACAAGAGGAACTGCCAAATTTCGAGCTCAGACCCGTCAGCAGACCCGTCAGCAGACCCGTCAGCAGACCCGTCAGTTTTTCCTTTTTCCTTTTTCCTTTTTCCTTTTTCCTTTTTCCGACCTCCACCGCGTTTAAGCAGAAGCGATGGATGTGTACCGCTGCCGCTGTTATGTTTTTGCTGCTCATTGTCGACAGCAGCATCTTTCTTGCTGTGGAGCAAAGTCTTGAGAAGGTCAAAGTGGGATGCGATGTCGACAAGCTGCGAAACACTGCGTAGTTGCAAGACATGCACCGACAGGGCTCGCTTCCCTTTTCTAGCTTGCCGGCGTTCCTGAATCTACATCTAGACTCTCTTGATGAAGTTGACCTCTCAAAAGCAATCGTGGATGCATGCAGGCAGATGAGATGTCGACACGCTACCAAACAACAACGCCTCTAAACTGAGTGGCTGAACTTCTTCGGGGGGCTGGACGATGAGGACAAGGAGCATCAATGAAGCCGGTCAAGTCAGTCATCGCTGCAGGCTCTGGCAGGCATCGAAAGCATGCACCTCTCACTCAGCTTGACAACCAAACCAAGCCAATGTGGGTGTGAATCCGTGGCTCATCTTGGGAATGTGTGGTGCTGTAAGGATTTGATTTCTCTTGAGTTTTTTCAGCCCATCGGATGCACTGTTTGATCCTTGCTGTTCGTTTTTGTGATTTTTGGCTCGCTTGCCCACTGCAACACCTGACTGCTCTTCCGCCTCGAGACACAACCATCCGCGGTCCACCCTGACCCTCTTTTGGGCCCTGAATCAGCTGAAACCTGCCTTTTATTTTATTCACTTTTATTTTATTTACTTTTTTTTCTTTTTCTTTCAAAGTTGAAGCTCAAGCTCGGAACTCAACAGGGTCAGCAGCAGCAGCAGCAGCAGCAGCAGCAGCAGCAGCAGCAACAGCAGCAGCAACAGCCAACATCCTGACAGGTTCAAGCTGCAGTCGGCTCTCCTTTGATGGTTTTTGCTGTCTCGCTCCTCGTCAGGATCATACCAGCTCCACTTTGTGTTTCGTCGCTTCTCATTTTGCCTCGTCTCCACTCGCCATCTCGCGGACACTGTCGCTCGTTTGCATCTTCGAGATGCTGGCCCATTCTACCATTCGCTCCTAACAACAGCTTCATCCCGAGCCACCGCCGACCGCGACTGAACCCCTCGCTCTTGTCTTATTTGCCTTCGCTACGCTTCAACGCATCAGTCTGGAAACGTCCCTGCTGCTCAGAACCGGTTGCCATCGTCAATATCCATGCACCATACGCACTGCAACTTCTAATACTTGTTCGGATGAATCCACCAGTATTTGTTCATCACCGCTCACGCCAGCAGTAGCAGGCGACGTCTGCGCTGGGACACCGTCGACCCTGCCCTTCTGCCCAACATGGCGCCAAATCACATACGCCCTGCTCAAGTGGCAGCCCTCGACATAACACCACCGCCGCCGCCGCTTCCTGAGAAGCCACGCGTCTGCCCTCCCGGCGCCGTCAAATCGATTTGTACCTTGTCAAACTCATCCATTCCAACTCTCTCATCAACATCTACAATACGTCTTGCTAGGCAGCCTTCCACCTCCTCATCCAGCATCCCAGCCTTTCAACAATCGCCCTTCTCTTCGGCTCGCAAACCTGTCCGGTCCGCCATTTTCCCCTCTTCTTCGCGTTCGGCACTTCCTCTTCCCGCGCTAGATCCAAACCAAGATCATCACCGAAGCGACTCGGGCAGATCTACCGGTTCCTCGCGCTCCACTGCCACCACCGACAGCTTCTTTGTGCCTCAGCATCCCCACGAACTTCATCGGCGCCTCAAGGATCTTCCAGCTCCTCCTTCCTCCTCCTCGCTAGCCGATCTCTCCAAGCAAGTCGAGCCGTCAGATGCCCCCACATCAGCGCTTGGCTTGAATGTGACCATCGAACCTACTGCTGGATCTGCTGCTTTACCTCCTCACAACTTCTTTCGCAGCAAGAGCTCCGTCAGCACCACACCAACTAGTCCTGAGGAAGCTGATCGTTCACCCTTAGCACCGCCAGAGTTGGCGGATTTTGATTTAGTTGACAATGACGAGCCTCGAGCTAAGGCCAAGTCGGTCGCAGGCCCTCGCGACGGCCTGGACGACTTCTGGAAGTCAGACTATTCGTACGCTCGACCTTCAGCAGATCTGTACGAGCTCTCCTTGCCTCCCCTGATGCGTTCCAACGCCCCAATTCCACCATCACGGTCCCAGTCGCTTGACCCTTTCTCTGCACCGATCAGTCCTAGCGATGTTGGCAACAGGATCGCAGATTCGTCCCTTTCCCGACACAATCTTACGCTGGAGGAACAAGTGCCGCTGCCTGGCTCTTCCACGCCCCTCGTTGCCGCCAACCTTCGCAAGCTGGATTCTCAGCATCTTGTCATCGACGCCAGTCCTTTGACCGCCTCCCAGGAATCCAATGTCAGCTCGAACCCTGCTGTCTCACCGGTCAGTCCAGCTCAGACTCTGACAACGCGCGGCCATGGCGTCAATCGACTTGCAGTTCCCTCCGCCTTTCCCTATCCTCAACCGACCGCATCAGCCAGCTCTTCCACTTCCGCCATCGATCAGAAGTCGCAGCCAAACAAGTCCACATCCAGCCTCTCCACTTCCTCGACTCATGAAGCCGACAAAGCGGCACTGACAACAGCATCGAAGCGCTCATCTGCATCCTCCAGCAGCTACTTCCGTATGACACTGTCCAGACAGGCAAAGACGTTGCGCAATTCCTTCATGTGGACTCCTTCATCCGCCGCCCAGCCACTCGCCATGAGCCAGGACCGCATCACTTCTCATCTTTCACTGACTAGTCCTGGAGGCTCTTCTACTCCCCTTTCCCACAGCTCAAGTCCACGCTTGGGAGTCACCAGCCCAAGTCTTGCGACCCAGGACTTGCCTCCAGCGCCGAAGCCCCCACAGATCGAGAAGCAGAGCATCGCCTCAGCAAGTACCGAAGCAAGTCGTGGTCATGCCACCAAGCGAAGCACTGCAAGCACCTCGCTGTCAGAGAATGTTGGAACCGCCACTTCTCAGAAAGTCAAAGCTGGGTCGCCTTGCGCGACGCACAGTTCTGCGAACGCCAACGTCTCATCCATGTCAAGGTTCAGTGCCTCCTCCAGCTCGAAGCAGCCGCCAACAGATTATGGCAAGACTGAGGATCGTCCACGATCCCGGCTTTCTTCTCGCTTCGGACTCCACAACAGCCATTGGTCCATGAAGATCTCGAGCCTCAAGCCAAAGAAGGCGAACGATGCCATGCTGGACAAAGCTGCAACGCCTAGCCTGACAACTGCGCCCCTGCCCCGAGCTTCGACCCGGCGGTCAAAGAGCAATGCGGCTATCTCAACGGCAAGCACAGTGGCCTCGACAGCTATCAACACCGCAGGTACACGTGGCGAGACGAGCTACACGCCTACTGTCAGAACTGTCAAGCGGCCAGGGTCTTTGGTCATCCCACCCAGCTCAGTGCTAACAAGTGGCCAGAAGAGCGCCGATTCCCAGCTCTCGCCGTCCTTTGCCGAGACATTTGCTTTCCTCAACGGTCAGATCGATTCTGCAGAGCCTTCGCTGCCTCTGATGACTGTCTCTATCCCACCGAGCAAAGGTGGCAGGGTTGCTTTGAGCACTCCACCATTGAGCGGTGTCGAGTCCAAGCCTTCCTCTGCCGCGTTGCCAGCGCGACGCCGCTCCGATGCGAACCTGCAGACCTCATCAGCAGCCTCTGCGGCCTCAAGCAGCCTCAATAAAGCTGGCGCGAACGGAGGGGGACTCCAACTTGAGGTCGTCCCGAAAGCAGATGCAGAGAAGCCGGAGACACCGAAAGAGACTCTGTTTGATCATCTCGCAGACTCGCCCGAGGCCGTCTACAAATCGCTTACCTTTCCGAATCCGACGCCGACATCGTTGCCAGCTTCACAGTCGCTGGACAGTGTTACACCGAAGCCAACAGGGAAGGGCGGAAAAGCCTTTGGCCACAAGAAGCAAATATCACTTGGCTCGACAACTCTCATCTCGAAGTCTGATTCTCGTAAGGCGGCCGATGACCTGGAAAAACGTGTTAGCGATGCGCCTCTGGCTAACACCAGCCTGCCATTAGCCAATGGACGCATCAGCACGAGATCCAGCTTCTCGAACCTTCTCCCGGCGTTTACTCCTGTCAACGAGGAGAGCTGCTTCTTTGATGCTCTGACATCTCCGCTGGACGAGCAGCCACCCACCTCAAACTCGAGTCTGTCCCCGGATGACTCGGTGCTTCCGACGTTCGCCACCGCTGCGGACTTTTTCTCTCGCGCAAGTACCAGGCCTTCCAGCCCATCAATGGTTCGCCCTGTCGCTTCGAAGAGCACCACTCCAGTCACAGGGGTCATGCCAAGTACCTCAAACTGTCGGACATCTCTCAGTCGCCGTCTGTCTATCGCCTTGGAGTCACGCTCTGTGAGGAATGAAGTCGTACCATCTGCGCAGACTCCTCGAGCAAAGACGGGTCGTGTCGATGTACTGCCTGCCAGACCAGAGACCAGCCTTGGCTTCCATCTTCGTAATCCTCTCCGCAGAGACCGCAAGACTTCTGTCACCAAACTGGCTGACGTAACGCAGAAATCGACAGTATCTGATCGCAATGAAAATGCCGACGCCAAAACAACTGCTTCTGCTTTCCGTAAGATCTCTTCGAAGCTCGATAGAACACCGCCTGCGACCAAGGAATCAGCACGACCTGGAACGTCGCTTGGTTTCTCGACCTCGACGACCGGGCGCACAAAGGCCGGACGAGGCTTCAGCAGCAGTGTCCTGGCCCCAACCAAGAGCTCTCTGGCTCGAAGTGCGCAAGCGTCTCCGCCTTCCACCGGCCGACCCGCTGTGCGATCGGTTTCCGTCTCGTCTCTAGCGACACCCTCGTCGGTCCGTGCATCGAGCTCAAGTCAGCGCTCGCCTCAGCGTCCTGCCAATCCCCCCTCTTCCTTCCGCGGAAGTGGTGTGCCCGGGCTTCAAAATGGGTCTCCGATGAAAGCGTCTCTGAGCAGACCCATGCTCACGCGCGATAAGATGGGCTCTGCAAACCCGAGTGGTCCTCAACTTTCACCCTTCACTTCAGGCTCACGGGCCCAAGAGCAAGGATCGCAGTCGTTGACAGCGCTGCCACAGCCTGATAGAGCCTCCGATCTCTCAACTTCGCCTGAGGAAACCGATGTGCGCCGTCGGCGTACACTCAGCAAGCCCATACTGCGTCCCATCCGTACACCGTTCGCAGAAGATAAGCAGTTCACCCAGCCATCAACGGCGATGGGCTTCCGCAGAGCGATGACCGGCCAAGACCGCAAGATGAGCCAACCCACGCTCGATATGGTCGATGATCGCGAGTTCCTTGAGGCGCTGGAACAGGTGCGTCAACTACACCGCGAGCGCATTCAAGCTCAAGCTCAAGTGGTCGAGAACAAGACGCGCCTTGCTCGACTCGGTATGATGTCAGGCAACTACCTCAAGACCAAGGCTGGATCCATGCTTGACGATGATGAGCCTGTCGACGAGAGGAATGATGCGAACGATGGTCATGCCGTAGTCCCACGAGGTCGAAATGCAGGCGTGGCCTCGTTGAATGAATCTCAGTCTGGAATACCTCAGGGCTTGTGCTTGCGACATAAGCGCTCTGCCAGTGCTGATGCGAAGCTGGGCCGCTCTTGGTCGGCTTCATCCACCTCCAAGAGCCCCGACAAGGATGTCGATCAACGACAGAAAGACATTGTCAAGGCATACGCTGACAAGGTCCAGCCTGTTGGCCCTCCAACAACCGGCCTGGAATGGGGTGTCGGCAAAGCCAGTGGCAAGCTGCACGATGGCACGTTCGTCAACGACGACGACTGGAAGAAAGAGGTCAAGGCGCTCTTCCTTATCCGAGAGCTTGTGCAGACGGAAAGAAGCTATGCTCGACACCTTGGTAGCCTGCTCAGCGTGGTACGCAAGATGCAGACAGGTCCGACCGGCGGTGCTACTTGTCTGACCAGCAAGCGCAAATCGACCAGCAATCTCTTTGCAACCTACTCGGCAGCCTACAGTGGCAAAGGGTTGTCGAATGCTGCACCGCCCAGTCATGTTGCTCTGCTCAAGACGTATCTACCTCAGCTCATTGCCCTCAGCAACGCGCTTGTCCAACGCTTCGAGGAGAACCCGACGAGTGCTGGTGTTGGTGCTGCTTTCGATGCCTTGTCAGCTCAGTTGGAGTCCACCTTTGTCGGCTGGTCCGCCGCCGCATCTCAAGCCCTGACAGACTTGCGTTCGACCGAGCTCGCGAAAGGCAAGTCGCCGTACAAGATCGGCTTGGTACCACTGATGCCTCACGAATCGACTGAAGTGGGCGCTTCTTCGACGACAGATGCTTCGAGCAGCCGTGGTCGTTCGTCTCCGGGCTCTGTCTTCCGCAACTCCACGCTGCGCATGACTTCGCTGACACGGCCAACTTCGCCTGTTGCTGCACGCCACGATGCGGATGCACTGTCGCCGAGCGAGGCTGCTGCTAGTGCTACGCTGCCAGCGAGGAGATCGACCAAGCGTCGTAGCACTATCACAAGCACATGTTTCATTCCTAGTACCAGCTATCTTGCGCCGCGAGTGGCCGTCACTCCGGGTCCCGTCCTGAGCACGAGTCCCGAGGAGGAGAAAGGGTTGAACGCAGCAGCAAGCCCGGATGATGCGAGAGCTAGTGCTACATCTTCGCGCCGTTTTGCCCACTCAAGAAGCCAATCGACGCTGATCACTCCCCTACCCACGTCTACTTCTTCACATTCTGCCGAGCCATGGTTGGCGCTCACCATGACCTCGCCAGCTTCTCAGGCGCCCCAGGCAGTTGTCAAGACGAGCAAGAGTCTCACACCGATGGACATCGCTATCATGCCCACGCAGCGCATTCCGAGGTACGGGCTGATGCTGCGTGATTTACTCCGCAACACTCCGCCTGAGTCTCTCTCGCATGCTCGTGTCCAGCGGGCAACAGCGCTGATTCAGAAGGTGGCTCTGTTGTGCGATTCGGCTGCGTTTGTGTCGGCTGCCCCGGGATCGGGCGCTGCTACACCTTCGCGTGCGGGTAGCGTACTCGGCATGACAAGCGACGAGTCGAACAGTGTTCATGCTTCGCCGTTGCTGACTAGTTCCGGGTTCACGTCTGTCAAGCGTAATTAAAATCCTTGTCTTCAATTGCCTCTATGCCTCTATGGACCCTTCTGGATCTGATGCACCTCCCCTCCCCATCGAACAATCTCTCCCTTGCTCCTTTGTACTGCGTTTTATCGCTTTTCCGTGGCTCTTTCACCTCATTGGATCGGTCTGCTGTATTTGTACGAGTATATCCAGATGTCTTTTGCACACGAATCGAAATTGTCTTTTGCATCTTATCTGCTGTCTGATTTAGCTGCTTGCATTGAGTCGCAGTCGAGGATGGTATGGTACATGGGCATGAGTTTTGGCTTGTTTCTGAAGAGGAGGCTAAGACGATTGTTGAAGTTGCTGTTGACGGTTTACGCTGGAGAAAATATCTTTGAGGTGTGCTTGTGCGTCTTCTCCTTGTTTTTGCAGATACTGTCAAGTCGCAGAGACATAAGACGAGGGAAAGTGTAAGAAGGTGCTGGAAGGAACGAAAGTGGTCGAAAATGAGATTAGGAAACGTACCTTTTGCTTCTTTTGCAAAGCTTCGATATCTGATGTGATTGCTTTTTGTTTCTGATCCAGTTCTGCCAATACTACTGGTTGCGACTCTTGCATGAACCTAGGCCCCAACAATGAGCTCGTTAAAGAAGTTCAGCCGTCTTGCTCTGTAAGAGAATATAAAGAGGGAGGAGGGTGGACACTTACATCTTGCCAACAGAACGGTAAAATGGCGCATTTGGATCTTCTACCGCCTTCAATTCTGTGAGAGTGAGTGTGTTGAGTTTTGCTTCTCGTTCACGAGCTGAGATCTGAGCGCGGAGAGCAGCAAGTTGTTGGTTGGTCTGGTAGACTTGAAGTTGGATCTTCTCGAGAACTTTGGAGAGCGTTTCGTCTGGGATACGGGATGACATCGTGTGCGTGTTTCTCCTTGTGTTTCGCGTGTGCTGCTGATGGCAAAATCTTCGAAGCAAGTCTGAACCGGCTCTGCTGGTATCCAAGCCTTGTCAGTCCGTTTGCAAACCGAGTTGTGAGTTGCGTAAGATAAAGGTTGCGATGCTGATTGAGAGTCGAATAGGAGAGTGCCGAGAAGATGCATGAGTAGGCTTGATTGGAAGAGGTGTGAGCAGTGTGGAGCTTGACCCTTTCCACTCTGCCGAGTTCCGCGACTTTGCAGCTGCACACGCTACTTTCTTTAAAGTGTTGCTCTCACCTCAAGCCGAAAAGGAGTGGAACAAACGCTCAAAAGCTTGATGTTGCGAGCCTCGCTCCGCTCTTTGACGGAGCCATACTTTTCTGCTCGAGTTGATGTCGTCTTTGAACCCTTTAGTCATCTACGGCAAGCTAGATCGCGCCGAAGGTTTGAAAGAGCTCAATTCACATTCGAGTCGGACGTCACACTTGCCAGCCAGTTGGTTCATTTTCGATTGCTTCTGGTTGGCAGCCGCTCAAGCCGCTGCTGGCAATTTCTGATACAGCCCATCCTGAACAGACTTCTTAAATGGTGTACTGATCTCGTCCTTGTCCGCAAAGTAGGCTAGTGCCAACTCTCTTGCCACGGTGAAACCTGCATCGACGCTTTTGTCCGACTTAGCATCTGCTGGTGTACCGCTTTTCTGAACCTGACCGAAGATCTGACTATTGTACTCGAAGTTGAGTGATGTACGGACTGGTTTGATGCTTCCACTCGTTGGCAAGATCACAAGATCAAGAGGCGAGCCTTTGGGAACAGAACCTCTTGGGAAAGAGTCCTTGATCTGCTGAATGGCCTCCTGGAACTGAGACTCCAAAGGAGAGTCAGACTGAATGCGGGCCTGCTTGATCGCCTTCTTGAGACGGTTCTGTAGCGCACGGATGAAGCCATCGCGGAGGTGGTTGAAGTCGGTGTTGCGGACTGGGACAATGCGTATCACTGCCGAGGTTCCATTATCGAGCATCTCCTGGACGTGCTGTTCGAGGCTATTTCCCTGTGCATCTGAGCTAGAGAACTGAGGTAAGCCAGCTTGGAGCTTCTTCTCGTCAAGATAGAGGGCAGCGACGTAGACTCGGACACGGAGGAAGGAGACGGTGCGAACACCCAACCCGACGAGGCGGAAACGTGGCTCGCTCTGACCGGAAGACTTGCACGATGCCGGTGTGGGAAGGTAGAGTGGGAAGCTCAGGTTGGTGTCGGTGTCTATGACAGTCTGCTTTGATGGGTCTGCAGCTAGCGAGGTCAAGTTTGATGCGGCAGCGGAGGTCGGCGCTGAATCGTCCAGCTTCAACGAGTCACCAGAGGACAATGTGTGAGCCAAAATGAAGCCGACTAGCGCAGCTGCGACAAGCAGGGAGCTGCGCCCGTTCTGGCTTGAGCTAGCATCAGATCTAGCTTGCAAAGTTGCGGCGACTAGAGAAGGATGAAAAGACTGCTGAAAAAAAGCCGGTCGATGAGCGACTGACTTGGAGGGCTGAATCGATGGATGGGACCGCGAAAAGGTAGGGACGCTTCTTGGCGCAGTTGGGCGGCACAATGCCGTGACGCGGACTGCTGTTAGCACAGCTGAGAATCTCGAAGCAAGCATGTCTGTCAGAGAATAGTTTGTTATACTTTAGGTCGGTGATATTGATGGTGAAGCTTGAAGTGGTCAACAACAAGTTCGTGGTCTGTGAACAAACGGAAGCTTCCGAGTCGTCACCTTTCCGATCTTTCAGCATGTTAGTTTCAAGGATCTCACAACTTTGGCTTTAAACGCTTTCAGGGTCCAAAAACGCTGCCAGCGGAGAATTTTGAGGCGAACAGAGAAAGACACAGACAGAAGCCGTTCGCCTCGTCTAGACAGAGGCCCGAATTCACACACAGCCGATACAGTAAAGGAGTGGAGCGAATTCAGCCGCGAACCAACACTTGCACCCTTGCAGATGGAACGAACCTCTAGCCGACACTGGCCTTGATCACGTCAACATCACTCCAACGTGGATCCTTGCTGGCTTGCTTTCCGACAACCACCCACCATCTTGTACGTCGAACTTTCACAATCGAACACCATAACATCAACAACTGCGACAGTCTCAACAGGTCACCTATGCCTGCCACGATCCCTGCCGGCCCAGCAGATCCTCTCGGAACCAACGTACCGTCTGATCTGCCCGCCATGCCGACGGCAACAACGTCAAGTCTGACGCCCGAGTCAGAGCTCCAGCTCGCATTCGATGCATCATTCATTCCTAAAACCGTCAAAGACATCCTACCAGAAGATATCATCGTCCGTCCACTTGCTAGCGATGACTACAACCGCGGCCATCTCCGTGTTCTCGCGGACCTCACCCAGGCTCCCGATATCGGCCCTGCCGTATGGTCAAAGCAATTTGCTCTCCAACTCGCATCCCCGGACACCTACTACCCTATCGTCTTCATCCACACACCAACAGACCAGATCGTGGCCTGCGGAACACTCTTCGTCGAATTCAAGTTCCTGAGGAATGCGGGGCTTTGCGGACACATAGAGGATATCGTCGTGCACAAGGATGGACAAGGAAAAGGGTTAGGGAAGAAAATCATCGAGGTATTGACAGAAGTCGCGAAGAGGAGAGGCTGTTACAAGGTCATTTTGGATTGTAGCGAGAAGAACGTGCCTTTTTACGAGAAGTGCGGTTACCACAAGGCAGGAGAGCAGATGGCTGTGTACTACGTCTAGGCCTCAAGCTCTCGTAGCGTTCCAGCATCACATGACAATGTATTAGCTCTCAATAGACAATCAACTTGCGTCTTCTTCATCATCTCGTCACAGATCTGACTGTGGCGGTTGGCTGGAAGCGCCGTGTAGACTCAAATGAGCCGATTTCGACCTTCGATTGGATTTAAAAGAGCGAGTCTACTCCCTCCACCGACCAACTTCAACCTCGCATAACGACTCGAAGCCAAGCAAGCTCTGTGAACCCCTTGTCTCGATGTAAGGTAGACTGATCCATGCCTCGTATGCTCCACGTCGCTCTTTGCTTCTTCGTTCGGCAGCTCCTTCGCTGTTCCGTGACGAGACGGAGGCTGGAGGCTCACCTGAGTGTATCAGCGTTGGCACGAGAAGCTGCAGGTGTTGAGTCGATACGCGGTACTGTGAGGCCAACTCTGATGTCCGTTCAACTGCGGAATCACGAAAGCCACAGCAAAGACATGATGTGTTAGAGAGAGCTCCGTTATCGGAAGGAAGCAAATCTACGAGAGTTTCGTACTTACTGAAACGATCCAAAGACCATGTAGCCCAGAGCGGTTCTTGGAATGCAAACTCGAGCCCTTTACGTTGAGTTGCTTCTTCAAGTAAGCTTCGAAGCGAGTCGCTTGCTGTTGTCAACTTGTTCAATGCTTTGGTCTGTCGATCCGAATTGAGAAAGCACGCACGGCATCAAGGTTAGCTTCGGTCTTCCAAAGCCGCTGTTATCCCGCAAGTCCAGCTCTCTGTATACTTACGAGTCTATCAAGAACAGACGTCAACCCATAGTGTGCTGCCTCTATCCGTTTCGATGCGTCTGCTAGCCGTGACTCTCTCAATCCTCCAGGTCCGAGGATTGGATCGTGTGCTTGTTTCGGGTCCAGAGCGATCGCTCTCCTCTTGTCTTGAGCCTTTGGGCGTATTGAAGCCGGTCCCTTCGCTTTCCGTGTCGAGCCGGCATCGCGCTGTCCCAGCTCATTCGCAGCCTGCACATCTTCCCATCCTTCGACCGCTTCTTTGGCCCACTTGAGTCCGTCGAAGATCGCAATCTCTTCCCACATCCTCGCTGCTGCTGCAAATGCAAGCAGCAGCGTCCGACACTGTCGATGATATGTTGTTTCAAAATCCCTGCTGAGTAGTCCTGTCGAATCGTACATCGAAGACGAAGCTGCTGGCAGGTTGCTTCCTCCACTTCCTCCAGATGTTGGAGGCGAGGTGTATCGGTTTGGTGCTGCAGGAGATGAATGAGACGATCCTGAAAGCGAGATGCTCCGATTTCCTTCACCGCCGCTGCCCCCTCCACCACTGCCATTACCGAGGGCAGATGATTTCAATCTTTTGGGCGTTGATGGGGCTTGTCTGCTCGTTGATGCTGAAGAAGACGGAGGCGGTGTACCCGATTTGCCTGCTTTCGTTAACAGAGCGGCATTTTGGCTGTTCTTCCCAAATGGAGACAGCGCGGCCACTGAGGATCGGTTTGGGGCTGTAGACGGCATGCTGGAGTGCTTGTGATCCGGCAAGCGCTGCCAGACAAGTAACAAGGGACATGTTGTGGGAAGAGTTCGTTTGAGCTAGAAGCAACAAAGTGGAGCAAACCACAAATTTCGGCAAGCAAGTCGGGAGACGGAGATCTCTGTGAAAACGCGGGGAGTGTGTTACATCCTGTCTGGACTCAATCGTACGAGATAAAACCAAACTAGCCGACTATAATAAAACGCTGAAAACTGGTGAATTGCAGGCAAAGACCCGTGAGGTCCTCGAAGCTCGACAAGAGGCTCCCAGCCCGCCGGAACGGGGGCCGGTCGAGCGCAGAAACGAACGGCAAGGGAGGGAGTACAGGGAGGGCAAAGAATCGACAAACCAGATGATTGTATACCTGGCTTTGGGGAAGGTGATGGTAGTGACAAGAGGAGCAAAGAGCAGAGTGATGTTGTGAAGAGCGGAGCGAAGAAACAACAATGCGATGGCTGAGTCCAGACAGGCACGCCTTTTCTATGAAATCACGTGATGCAAAGACAAAATCTGTTCAGGGGGCAAGCGACTCTTAATGTCATACCTGAGCCGGGCATCAGCTTGACTACATACGAGCTGGCTGCAGAAACACACTTCTGGAGGGGATAATGGTCAGGGCTTGCACAGCCGAGGCAAGTGAGGCTCAACAGATGCTATAAAGGTTCACGGACTAGCTGTTTGCTTCTTCATTTTCTGAGTCCTGCTCACGACCCTGTTGCTGGCATACTCTCGCATCCGATGAAACGTCAGTCTCTGGAAATACGTCGGGACAAAATGCCATGGAATTGCTCCGAAAGCGTGGAAAGCCCGCGCTATCCATCGACAGGATGCATCTGAAGTGTCCGTTTTGCGATGCGGCCTTGTCGCTTTTATTCCAAAACTCCTCTGTCTGCAACTACAGACTCAGTATGTGGCCGTCGTCTCAAGCCGTCGAAGCTGAACATGAGAGCGTTGAGGGGAACAGCAGGAGATGAACGGCAAGGTCGTCAGTTGCCAGCACGCCCGCATACCTTGACATGTTCGACTTCACGGAAAAGGTCAAGATGGATTTTCCGTGCAAAGGGGCTGTGCATGCGCCAACTGCAGGCGAATCATTCAAGCTGTGCACGCACGTCGGACCCTGCGGTCAATTCGATGTTGGTTTGGTTCCACCACCATCGTGCCAATATCTCTTTCACCTATTCATTCGATCCACAAGCAAACACAAAATGGGGCTTTTCAGCAAGAAGAGCAGCAATAAGATTCCGCCCGCGGAGTCGGCGCCGCCTCCTCAATCGAATGCGCCCGGCAGGTACGGTTCTCAGGGTGGCGGTGCAGGTCCTTCAGGACAACGTACAGGAGCTGGATACGGTGGTCCTGGCGGTGCCGGCTATTCCGATGCAGCGTCACCTCAAGCCGGATACGGTCAGCAACAGTATGGAGGTGCTCCAGTCTACCAAGATCGATTTGCCAATGCACGAGCACCAGGCGCAGGCTTTGGCTCCTGCTATGATCAGTACGCCGGCTCCGGTGGCACTAACAAGTCCGCGAACCTGTCGCGCAGCGTCAAGATCAGCGCTGGTGAAGAAGACGATCTCCAGGCTGAGTATGGTCGAGGCAGCGGACAAGGAGATGCATCCGCATCGAGAGGATACGATGGACTTGAGCAGCAGCAGGAGCAGAGAGACGAAGAGGACGATGAGGTTGAAGCCATCAAGCAGCAGATGCGATTCACCAAACAGGAATCCCTTTCTTCGACCAGAAATGCAGTGCGTATAGCTCGCGAAGCCGAAGAGACCGCCACCAACACCATGTTCAAGCTCTCAGACCAGTCTGAGAAGATTGGCAACACCGAACGCTCGCTCGATCTGGCCAAGGCACATGCCTCTCGCGCTGAAGACAATACCAAGGAGATTGTCGCACTCAACCGCTCCATCTTCCGTCCAAACATGCAATTCAACAAGAAGGGCAAGCGCGACGCCGAAGAAGCTCGCATCATTGCTCGTCACATTGAAGAGCGTGAAGAGCGTGAAGCTGTCCGTCGTGACGTCACTTCCGCCCAATCCAGACTCGATGCTAGTATGAATGGTCCAGGCACGGGCAAAGCAAGTTTTGGTCGTTTTGGTCAGGATCGCTTCGGTTCGGGTAAGAAGGCCGAAGAAGCAGCTCAACGCAACAAGGTCGCTCAGCGCGGTCGTTATCAGTTTGAAGCAACGGAGTCGGATGACGAGCTCGAGGATGAGCTGGATCAGAACTTGGACGAGATTGGAATGCTGAGTTCCAGGCTCAATCAGCTGGGTAAGGCGATGGGTCAGGAAGTCGACAGCCAGAATGCGAGGCTACAAAGGATCGGCGACAAGGCCACAACCCTCGACACGAAGATCTTTTCCGGTACACAACGGCTTGGCAACATCAAGTAAAGTTCTGCTTCGTATTTGTCTCTCGTCTCACTTTGTGCAATCTCATATTCTCAGTGTTTTTGTGCTCGTTCAGAACTTCTCGCATCCAACCAGTCGTAATAATTTTTTTGAGGATGAGAAGGTCGAGCGTACGCCTGTGAGGAGCGTAAGGATCCTTGTCGCCCGAAGCAATGAAGTCCGTAGCACAAAGCTTGCGAGTGAGCTCTTCCTTGGAGTGGGTGTGCGAGATGGCAGTGATCTTCTGGGCGCCCAAAGCCTTGGCAAAGATAAATGCAAAGTGGCCAAGGCCGCCGATACCAACGACCCCAACTCGCTTGAAGCCCTCGGTACCGCAACCGTTGAATTTGGGAGGGTTGTACACGGTAATACCTCCGCACATGAGAGGGGCAGCTACGGCCGAAGGGAGGCTCTCGGGGATGTGGACAGCAAAGTGAGCGGGAGCACGCGAGTACTTGGCGTATCCACCCATCGAGAAGCCAGAGCCGTCAGTCTTGGAGTAGTCGCCGTTGTAGGTACCAACAATGCCATTGTCGCACCGTGGCTCCTTGCCAGCTTTGCAAGGCTCGCACTTCTTGCAAGAGTCGGATTGAGCACCAACACCGACACGATCGCCGATCTTGAAGCCCTTGACTTCCTTGTCAACACGCGCGACGGTACCGACGATCTCGTGTCTAATTTGAGCGAAAGAGACGCAGAAGCAACCGAAAAGTCAGTCTTCTTGCTATCTGGCTTCATGCCGGCGGCGAAGGTCATCTTGAATGCATCCTTTATTTTCAACGAACCGGTGCATCATGAAACTGTATTCGAAATGGACAGGACAACGTGAGCAAGAGTACAAGCGATGGTCCGGTCCCACTTCAACGTTTTTTTTTTTTTTTTTTTTTTTTTTTTTTTTTTTTTTTTCGTCTGTGAATCTTCACACGCCGAATCGAGCCCGATTGTCAAGCCACCAACGCAGACCTTCTTCTCTAGTGGCCGCGTTCAGAGCTTGAATTGCTTCAAATGTCTTCTGACACAGAGCCAGTCTACTGCTACCTCCTCCCTCCTCGGCCATGCTGGCAGGCTCCGTGCCCGATTGACCGGTCTTCTCGCGGTGTCTGTGCTGCGTGATGAATGACTCGACCTTGTGCAGGGCGGAACGTAGCAGGACGAGGTTGACACTGGGGATGCATCCGATGAGACACATCTGCAAGTGGGTCAGCCGGTCGTACGTATCAGCTGAGCCTATGTTGGCGTCTTGCTGGGTCCTTGTGCTGGCGGTATATTCGGTGGACCCTGTGTCAGGAACTGATGGATGGGCCGAGTCGCTGCTCGCAACGGCAGACGCAACATCTTGCTTGGTGGCACCACTCGACTCGGCAAAGCCTCCCGCCTGAATAGGTCCATCTGTCGACTTCGTTTTACCTTTAGTAGACGTGGGCGCAGCGGTAGAAAGCCTCTCTCTGTCAATCTCCTCGGCCAGCCGGGCAATGACCCACCACGATACTGAGTCGCTTCGATCGCTGATCGCAGAGACCACCGTAGACATGGCATATTCGAATTGAACCGCGGTGAGTCGCTTGGGGTAGCTGGCAATCAAGAGCTCCACGTAGAAGGGCGCCAAGTTGAGGATGCATCGTTTGTGATTTGAGTAAAGGGCAAGAACAACCGAGTGTGCCGACTCAAAAGTGTCGCTGAAGCGCGTGTTCTCCAAGTATGGACGGCAGATGGGCAGAACAAGCTGCTCCACGACTTCATCAGGGAGCACCCCGACGAGTTGTTCAGCCACGTCGAGGAAGTAGGTGGTGGAGCTGCGCTTTGCAGCGTTCATCTCGAGACCATCAGTGCTGATGGAGCTTTCAACAGCATCTATGGAGACAGGTGCGATGAGCTTCAGGAGCTGGATGCATGCTTCGCAGTCCCTGCTCACTACGTCGAGCGCCAAGTAGAATACTTTGCGGTACACGTCGAAGCCGTCTGAGCCGAACGTGCTTGTGATCCAGTAAAGGTGCGAGTAGGTGGCCAGCACCATCTGCACGACCGTGAGGTAAGGTGTTGGAAGATTGGATGTCGATGCGAGAGGCCACCTACGATCGCCCTGTTGTAGAGCAGGGTTCGTCTGTTCGTCTGTTTCTGTGGTTGCCGGAGGCGGAATGGTCAAGGTAGGGCTCGGGCACATGTCTACAACAGAGTCCATCATCGAGTCGAATACCATTGTGTAGCTGAACAGCAATGCCTTGAAGACATTCCAGAGCTCCTTGGTGAGCTGTCTGCTGGACTCAGCGATCTGCTCTTCGTCCGCCCCGGCCAGAGGGCTCGAAAGCCAAGAAGCTTCAAGATGTGAAGAGATGCGAGACATGCGTACAAGCAAGGGGAAGAACTCGGCTTCGCCGGTCTGCGGGACGAGAGCTGCATCTGACGTGCCTAGCAGCAGAGCTGAAAGCTGGTCGGGTGTGAGCGAAGTTACCGCCTTTGCCAGTGCACGCGACATGAGTTTGGAGAGCGGACCGAGTAGTGGGAAGAGGGTCGAGTCTGTGACGCCTCGGATCACTCGGACTGTTGGGCTGTCCACGTTGAGGTGTATTTTGCCTGCATCCTGTCTAATGTCTTGAGCGAGCGAGAAGAGGTAAGAAGAATGATCAGGTCCCTCGAAGAGCGATAGAATGACATCGCTGGTGGCTGAAGTGAGCTGAAGAGGGTCGAGAGCGTGGATCTTGCGATCAGGCACCAAAGGCGCTAACTGCGCTGCCATGTAGAGGGGGACATCGCGGAGTTCCCGCAGTTCGGCTCGAATAGCTCGTTGAGACGCGATAGACGTGATACTTGCTGGTCCAGCCACCGATGCTGTGCGCTTGCGGAATTCCGCCTCCCATTCATCCACGTCCTGCGCGTTGTCATTGTCGGCGCTTGCAGACGATGTCGGTTCCGTGTTGGCGGAAGAGGCGCTGGCATAAGATATGCCAGGCCCGTGAAGCTGGTCTAGAATCTCTGCAAGCGTAACGATCCATTCATCCTCAATGGAACTGAGGTGGCGACGTACGCTAAGACCGAGCGAGGGGTTGGCGCGGACGGCGGCCATCTCTTCAAGGATGGACATGTCGCGAGTGCGCTTGCGCTGATCTTTTAGGATGTATAAAGCGTTGAGCAAGCCACCGATCACGGCGAAGCGTGATATAGGTAAACCCCTTGCTGCTCGATAGGACTCTGGTATGGCATCATGCTCCGTGTCGTCCAGGCCCTGAATGATAGCTCCAAGGTATTGTGATAGTGCTGAGCGAGACGCCCATCCTGTCGAATTTCTCTTGGATCGAACAATGAGATCCACTCGCTTTGTGAGCGCGGCAGCGACGGCTTGAGCGATACTGGTGGATCGCCCGATCAAGAAGGAGCTTAGCGAGTTTGGTGCGGAGGCAGGTGCATTCTCCGATGCTGGTTTGGTCGTGTCGACGGTAGAGCTGACGGAGGAAGAGCCGGGCTCTGTGGACCAGGTGACTTTGTCGGACGTCTTGCCAGTCGCAGTTGTCGGTGGCTTTGCAATCGGGGGCGGCGGAGTCCAGAGACAGCCGCTAGAGCTAATGACGCCAGCAAATTCGGCAATGTGCTCGAGCTCCAACTTGCTCAAGTAGTAGGTGATACTTCCGTAGAGCGTGCTCTCTGATAGCAGGCTGAGATGCTGAGTGCTGGTGGATGGAGCAGACAGAAGCTTCTTCAGAGACTGAAAAGTGGCGTCGTCGGTCGGATCGAGGAAGATAGGCTCGTCGTTAGCCTTGGATGTTGAAGCCGAAGATCCCAAAGCTCCAGAAGCGGACCGCTGGAACAGAGAGCTCGCCATAGTGTACGTGTTGTTCCAAGCCATATATGGACCGTTGCAAACCAATGAAGCTGCTGTGCTCTCGAAGCCGAGTTGAGCAGCAGTAGGAACTGATCGAGAGACAGGGACCAGTGTAGGTGATGTGAGCGGAAGCGGAAACGCTGGCTTGACCGGATGCCGGTTGTTCACTTTCAACATCTGTGCTTTGTGCGAGGTCGATTTTACGCGGACAACATTTTGTTTATTGTTGAAGGCGTAACAGCTCTAGATTTCGGATTCGTTTTCTTGAGATCCAGTTGAAATTAGATACACCACTCAGGAGGCCACGGTCAGGCACTCCCCTTTTAATCTGATGCTCTATGCGTAAAAGGCATAAATTGTGTAAGGAGGTAGCGACTAAGCTAAGAACATATATACGTATTCTCTGCACCTGACTGTGCTCACTTTGTCGAGTCATGCCCATGTGCCACGTATCTTCTTTCATAAGCGTTGTAGTTGAAGAGTCACCGGGATAACCAATATGCGAGAGAAGCGAGTAACCGACAGACCGATCCCCTGCATGCATACTAAATTGAGTGGCAACCAATCAGGAGAAGCATATGAAAGGAAAATGCCGAGATACTACAAAGTGGGCATGACTCAAAGGAGAACAACAAGCCATCTCATAAACAGGATGAAGGTATATATACACAACCCTGTAGCAATAGCACACAATAAATCTTAAGGATTACATCTACAACACACTAGTACAAAAGAGCTAGAATGTGGCTTGGACAAGGAGGTGCACAGTATAGCTTCAACTGATTAAGAGTCTGAAACCTCTACCAAAGCAAACCATGGTAGACAACACTGACCCTCAAGCTGGGGCCAGCGAAGCTGCCAAGAGGTCTAAAAGAACCAAGAAAGTGACAATTGTCCAGCAGACACAAACAGCAAATGATGACAATGAGATTGATGATGACCCTGAAGATGAATTGGATGATGATGATGATGGCAAACAATACAGCTTCCATATGTTAAGTAAACTCCTCGAACCAGTGCCAAAGCTCACCACCCAGAACTACTATAGCTGGAATGCGCATGTAAAGTCTTTCCTCCGATCAGTACCATATGCTATGGAACACCTTGAAGGAACATTTGATGCAAACCATCCCAGATGGAGTCGCTCATTCAATGACACATTAACAAATGCCCTACAAGGGACCATCAACACCATGGGAGAATACAATGTAAACTATCTTCTTTTGGACATAATAAGAGAGTACCTCACATTTCATCAAGTCTGGAGCAAGATAGAAGCAAGGTTAGGTGACGATGCCACCAGAACCTCTCGCTGGCTCGCTCTGATCACTCAGCTGGGTGATATCAAGATGTTCAATTCCAACGTTCGGAAACTCATACAGGAAATCAGGACCATCCAGGCCGAAGGAAGCATCCTGGGAAGACCATTTGCAGATGATACTCTCTTCTCTGCTCTCCAGAAATGCATGATTCGCCACCTGATGTTCAGGGAGACAGTTGCCACTGTCCACCAACTCAACTTTGAAGTGCTGGCCATGGCACTTAGCATACATCAATTGGCATTAGAGAGCATTCCCACCCAGAAGCTCGATCCCCAGCAAGGTCATGCCAGGACAGCAGGCAATGGTGACCAGGACAAATCAGCCCACAAAACTGATGATGATGATGACAACAAAACTGCCAAGACTGGATACAGATGCCGAAAAATCCAGTGTTTTGTGTGCAGGCGAATTGGTCATGGTGCAGGCAAATGTGACACCACCGTCACCATTCCCAAAGATTTGCCACTCACCAACTCCAAATAGGATGCTTGGTGCTCCCTCACCCCAAGTTGGAAGAAGAACCCAGAAGAAACAACCCATTGGATACTGGATTCAGGAGCTAGCTTTCACATGACCAACAACTATAGCACACTCATAAACCCAAGAATCTGCCGAAAATGCATCTACATGGCTGGAAAGGAGGTTCTGGATGCAAGCACTATAGGAGATCTCTACATATCAACTGCACATGGAGAAACATTACTCCAGAACATCTTGTATGTTAAGAATCTCAATGTGAATCTATTGTCAACCAACTCATTAATGGACAAGGGAGCACGAGTGACTTTGGACCATGCCAGTGGACAGATACACATGGCAAATGGAATCTCATTCAAAGTTTCAAAGAACAGAGAGCACAGCTTGCTAGAGTTATGAAGTGAGGCATGGAAGGAAAATGCAATGACCACATCAGCACAGCCGCTCAATGATGTTGATGAAGAGTTTGAACCAATCACAAAGAGGACCACCATCTCCATACAACAACTTTGGCATGAGCACCTTGGACATCCAGGAAGAGATAAGGCTAAGTCTATTATAAAGAAGAAGGGAAGTACCATCCAAATGGATATGGACCCAGATACAGCTCTGACATGCAAGCAGTGTATACAGTCCAAAAGTACGGCTGCAAGAATGAAACAAGGCAGTGGCAAGAGAGCTGCTGCACCCCTCGACCTTGTGCATATAGATCTGATCATTGATGCATCGCATGTGACTGAACACACCTGCATATTGGTGCTCATCGATGATCATAGCAAATATGTTTATGCACAACCATTATTGCAAAAGAGCCAAGCTTTCACAGAGCTCAGGAGAATCATATCGTTCCTTGAGACACAGACCAACAGGAGCCTAAAAGCAATCTGATCGGACCAAGGAACAGAGTGGAGGAGCAATGAAGCTCTTGAATGGTCACAGGACAAAGGAATAGAGTGGCAAACAACAGTGGGATACAATAGCAAACAAAATGGCAGGGTGGAGTGAATGAACAGAAGCTTGAGTGAGAAGATGTGTACTTTACTGGTACAACATGGACTACCAAAGACTTTTTGGCTGTATGCAATCAGGGCAGTGGCATTCAAGATAAACCTTACTCCAAACACTGACAATGAGCTCCCATATGAGATGATGTTCAACAAATCACCCAAATGACTCATGCGACTTCTCTGTGTCTTTGGATGTCTCACTTGGGTAAATATCCCAAAGGCAAAGCGAAACAACAAGAACTTGGACCAATGAGCAGTGGCAGCTATATTCATAGGATACAGCCTGGAATGGAAAGGTTGGCTATTTTATAGTCCAGACTATCAACCAAGTATATTCTGGAGTAACTCAGCAAAGTTCATGGAATCCAAATGTTGGTTGGACTGGACCAAGTGGAAACCGATAAAAGTTCAATTGCTGCAAACAATGATGAACGAAGAAGATGCTGAAAACTTGGGTTATTCAGAAGTGAACCTATTTTATGAAATGGACCAGGAACCACAAAATGAGTACATGGACATGGAAATGACTATGAACACAAATGAAGGCCAAGACCTTGAAGGGTGGACAAATGGCAAGTCCTTTGGACTCGCAGCCACGGACAACAAAGGTGAAGGAAACCTAAACCCAACTGTCCAAGAGGCAATGGCAGGGCCAGACAAAAGGCTGTGGGAGGAGGCAATGCGAAAAGAGCTCAAGGGTTTAGAAGCTATGGGCACGTGGGAAGTGACAGATCTCCCAATCGGCATGAATACTGTCGACACCAAATGGGTACTCAAAGTGAAAACGGATGCAAACTTGGTGCCCACAAAGTTTAAAGCAAGACTCGTTGCAAGGGGATTCACTCAGAGAAAAGGTGTCGACTATACCGAAATCTTTGCACCAGTGGCTCCAATTCAATCAATCAGAGGAGTGTTGGCTGTGGCGGCCATGCAAGATTGGGAGGTAGATTCAATCGACATCAAACAAGCATACCTCAATTCAAACTTACAGCATGATGTGTACTTGAAGCCACCAGTCGGAACAAAGATGCCACCAGGAAAGGTTCTCAAGCTAATAAAGGGATTATATGGTTTAAAACAGTCAGGGCAAGAGTGGAACACCAAGATGGACTCACACCTTCGGAGAATGGGTTTTCATTGTATGCCAAGCACACCTTGCTTGTATGCAAGAGGAACTGGAGACAACATCACAGTCATTACAGCATATGTCAATGACATGATGATAGCTTCACCAAGTTGCAAAGAAGTGGATCGCACCAAGAAGGAGATCATGAATAAGTGGGGAACAGAAGATAATGGGAAGATCAAAGAGTTTATTGGAATCAAAATCACAAGAGACAGGACCCAGAAGAGCATATCTCTTGACCTAACAGCATATATTAAATCAATGGTAAGCAGATGGTTACAGAAGGAGACTGAGAAATCCTGGATTCTGATGCAAAGCATAACTGCAAGCGCTGGAGGAGAGAGATGTTCACCATCATGAAGCAAAGAATACCAGGAGTTAGTAGGACAGCTCTTATGGGTATCCAACACAGTGCAACCAGATATCTCATTCATGGTAGGAGTTTTAGCATGACACATGATGACTCTGGTCAAAGGAGCATGGTGTGCAGCGACCCACACTCTAAAGTACCTAAATCAAACAAGTGAATATCATCTCCAACTAGGAGGAAGAGCAAATATGGAGAAGGAGACATTAATGACATATACTGATGCAAATTGGGCATCAGACCCCACAAATGGTCAGAGGAGCACATTGGGAGCAATCACGTATCTATATGGGAGCCCAGTGAGTTGGTGATCTCACATGCAAAAATGCATGGCCCTGTCAGCTGTAGAAGCAGAGTTTATTGCCACATCAGAAGCAGCATGGGAGGTGCTGTTCTTTTCATATCTGCTGCGAGACCTGGGTATCAATAATGTCAGACCAATGCTCCGCACCGACAGCCAAGGATGTATACAGGTGAGTAAGGACCCAGCCAAACACTGGAAGCTTAAACACATTGACACATGTTATTACTTTGTCAGAGAACATGTGCAGGAGGGAGACATTCTGATCGAACATGTCAGAATGGCAAACAACTTGGCAGACATTCTCACAAAGCCATTGAAAGGAGGAGAGACCACATGTCTAGCTCGAGCAATGGGTTTGGTCATGCCAGCAAGGGGGGGAGTTGAAGAGTCACCAGGATAACCAATATGCAAGAGAAGTGAGTAACCGACAGACTGATCCCCTGCATGCATACTAAATTGAGTGGCAACCAATCAGGAGAAGCATATGAAAGGAAAACACTGAGATACTACAAAGTGGGCATGACTCAAAGGAGAACAACAAGCCATCTCATAAACAGGATGAAGGTATATATACACAACCCTGTAGCAATAGCACACAATAAATCTTAAGGATTACATCTATGACACACTAGTACGAAAGAGCTAGAACATGGCTTGGACGAGGAGGTGCACGGTATAGCTTCAACTGTTGTCATATCAACATGTCCCCTCCATACCATGGTGTCAATCCTCGTGCATAGGCTGCGTTAGCTCCCACTAGCCTCTCATCTTGCCTGTCCTCCTCATCGCCCGATGCCTTCCCGATTCCCCGATCCTGTGAGCTCCCATTTACTATGTCATGCGTTAGCGATGCCGGTGCCTCTTCAACTGATCCCAGTTCTCAGAGCGGATCTATGTTTCTCTCTGGCTTTTCGAGACAGTCAAGAGAGAAAGAAACAAGAATGGGCAGGATTGTCAACGAATGAGGGTATCGGTGCAAAACGATGCTGACTGAAACAATGGATGGAAAAAAGAGTGTGAATATTGAAAGGAGTGCGGAGCATCGAAAAGAGTGTGGGCCCGTGAAGGCTGAAGCCAGCCAGTCAAAGAGGTAGACAGAGACTCTGTCATCGTTCGTGATGTAGAAGAACAAGAGCAAAGGGCTGAAGTATGTAGAGAAGGTCCTAAGGCCTGTTCTCTTTGACGATGCTCTTAGCAATCTTCTCGAGATAGTAGAGGTGAGGCCTAGGACGATCGATCTCGTCCATTGTCATCGATCGACTTGAAGTCGAGGACTGTGCCCGAGTGCGTAAGCGCGATCCGGTGGTGGGGAAACAGCCGTCGATCTCAATAGCGTGTCTCTTCTCCGCCTGAATACAAGCATCCCAGAGTTCACGGTCGATGCCAACGCTTGAAGCGAAGGCGTGTCTGGAAAGGGCCCGACGGATCGCCTGGTCGTTCTTGCGAGTGGCGCTGCGCTCAGGTGCATCCTCATCTGGTACGGGGGAGCCGGAGTCGTGTTTCTCGCTCATCCGCGTCCAAGGGTTCGAGAAGCGGCTGAAGGTCTCAGTAGACCGCGTCCTGCGGGCGCGCAAAGTGTTGTCATCCTCGACATCGATCTTGGGATTGGATGGCTTGTGCGCGGCAACGACATCTTCAGTAGGCTTATCGAAGTCTGCAAACACATCGTCTTCTTCGTCTCCGGACTTTTTGACCCAGCGCATTTGCACAGGGTCGAAAAGCATATCACCTACCACTCTTGCACCGGAGGCAATGTGGCTCATGAGAGTGCTGCTCTCGGGTGACAGAGGCGAGGAGTATCCGGCGACATGCGTCAGTGCGGAGCTGGTGGAGCTGCCGGTGAGTTGCGAGATGAGCGCAGGTCGGGTGCTGCTCTGGATGACCTGGTCAAAATCCCGGAGGACTCCTTCGTTTCCTTCCCAGCGGAGCGCCTGAGCATTCCAGCGCATACCCTTCACAGATTTGTGGGCGGGGGAGGCGCCAGCACCAAGTGAGCGAATCAGCGCCGGCTTGCTCTTTGCCCCACAACGACCGCCGCGCTTTGGTTTGTTAGCCCTTTGCGAAGCAGCAGCGCTGCTTTCCGCTGTGGCAGGGGTGCTGGAGGATGTTTGAGGACGGGCTGACTGCACAATTGGGCTGCTTGCATTCGGTAAATCCTCAATGCCGTCTAGCTCGGCGCCGCTTCCGTAGGGAGCAGAGCGTTTGAGAAGCCGAGCTACAGGCTGACTTTCGCCCGAAGATCCGCGGCGTTCCTGATCTGGCCTAGTCTTTGAGCGTGTGTTGATGGAGATACGCGATGCAGACCGATGTACGGGCCGAGCTGGGAAAGAGACAGGCGTGCTCGGACGGGCGAGTGTGCCAGCATCCTTGTTGAATCGAGCTTGGTGATCCGCTGCCGTCTCGGCTGCCCTTGCACGAGAGGCGGCGGTCGAGTCAGTGAGTCGGGAGGTGCCTTTTCCTCTGAAATGTGATGCGGAGGAAGCGCCAGCGTTGCCACTGTTGTGTCTTTGTCGTACTGTCAGCGAGGAGGGGATGGCGGAGGACACCATGGCAGCAGAAGAAGAAGAGGCAGCTGGAGGCGAAGTCCTCATTGAAGGTAAAGACCTCTTGCGTGTGAGCTGACTGCCACGATTGGTTGGGCGACTGGGAGCAGCAGATGCGATGTCGGGCGCGGCCTTGGACAAATGTGCTTGCAAGTCACTCGCAGAGCGCTTGAAGCGAAGTCGGTTGCGATGAGCGCCTCGAAATTCTGAGCGAGTTGCTAGGGCTTGTGAAGAAACAGCTCCCAGGGACGGTGTGCTGGAAGAGTGCTGCGAGGCGGTGCGGGTAGGATGACCACGATCACCGTCGTCATGACTAAACTGAACGTACGGGCGCTGCGCTGTGGTGCTTTCGACACCAAGACTGTGGGCGGCATTTCGGGCGTTAGGCGGTTGATAAGGTCTTGCAGGAAGTCCACGAGCTGCAATGCGACTGGATGATAGGTCAAAGTCGTCGGTGATGACCAAACCGGCTGCGATACCGGCGTCCGAGTCAGCGCTCTGACTCTGATTTTCGGAAGACTCCGCCTGGTTCCCAGAACGTCTGAGGTCGAGCATTGCCTCAAGCTCTGCTTTGACTACAGGAGCTGTTTGAGTGGAGTGTTCAAGATGAGCTTGAAAGATGCTGCCTTCCAGATCGAGACCCTCCAGCAAATCCTCGTGCTCGTCGTCGGCATCACTCTCGCCAGAAAGACTCTTGATGGAGGCAGGACGATGAGAAGAAAGGGAAGGTGGGTGCAGGGACGAGGCCGAGGTGTGCATAGTGCTGGAGGGAGGAGCGCTAGCGCCTAGGTCGTCATCCCAGGTGTCCCTGCTGACATGGCTGAGAGAGGTGTTGGAGCGAGCACGAGACAGAGACGAACATAGACTGAGGTTGTTCATGTCTGGTGCAAGCTCAAAGTCCATCTCAAGAGACTCTTCGGGCCCGGATGAGTGGATCTCGCGATCGGATCGAGCGCGGTCTGAGCTGTGCGAGGAGAGGCTCGAGGTATGCCGCGCGCTATTCTTGCTGTGAGGGCTATCGGGGTCAGTCAAGTCGGTGGAGAGGCCCATCATGCTACGATAGCTTGTGCTGGCTGAGGTGCTGAGACTGGCGGAAGAACATGCGTTCATGTCTTCGTGCTCCAGGTCATCGGCTGAGAGCTGATTGGTGTTGGTATGCTGAGAGATACGTGCAAGGTCGAGCGCGGGAGGACGAAGTTGAGCGTCAAGGTCATCGTCTTGAGTGGTGTGCTGCGTAGAGGATGTGGAAGCTTTGCTGACGTCGAGCATGCGTTTCAGAGCCGAGCTGGCAGCTGTGGAAAGCTTTATGGTGTCGGTCTGTTCATCCGAGCCATCATCCAGCGTGTCCTCCGGGAAGTCGTCGCCCCAGTTGGGCTGACCATCGAGCTGGACGTGAGCAGAGGTGGAGGCGAGGATGTCGACATGTTGCAAAGTGACATGATCCGTACGAAGCTCTGTGTGCTCCAGGTCAAAGTCTCCCTCGGACCAATCTTCGACGTGCGACATGGCTTCAGAAACGAAGACGCAAGGGCTGTCAAGGGTCTACGTTGAAGGTACAGCAGCGTTCAGTGATTCATCGTCGGTGACTTGACTTGCTCGGAATTGGGTTGCAATCGGGAAGAAGTGATGATGGCAAGCGTGACTTCCCGCCTCGAGGGTCAAGTCAATGAAAGCAAGCGCGATATAGGCGACGAGAGCGAGTGTTGTGGCCGAAGGGAAAGGCAGATGCTGATGGTGATGGTGAGAGAAGGCTACACGCTTCAACCTGACGAGAAAGGGAGAAAGAGTGTTAAACCCACTTTCAAGCTGTGAATTCACACACGCAAAGCTGCTCCCTGACGCGCTTTCCTCACTCTGCTGCTTTCGGCTGGCGTCAGCCTTACAAACAGGAGAGAGACCAACACTTTCTGGGAACTAAGTTAACTTACTCATGTCGCTTGTCGGATCGCATCTGAAATAAAGCTACGACAAAGGCAAAGCTACTCTTTGATGATACTCACGCTCTGACTATCGCTTCACTCGATGCTAAGCCTCGGCATGGCCATATGGCTCTTGTTCTACTTGCTCCCTCTTCGACACGTCGAACGCTACGACCATGACTTCAATGGCCTCGAGCCGACCTCAGCTCAAGTCCAAGTTCAGCGAGTCCTATACCGCACTTCTCGATGGAAGGCAACCATGGATCCAAGATAGTGCTTTCCCAAACTCATCCTCAACCGTCGCCTCCTCATCACCTTCCTATGGCAGCGATCTGCCATCACGACCAGCCGTTTTGCGCTCGAAATTGGCCGGCAAGTCAAACACAGGTCCTCGTTCTCGATACTTTGCCGATCTACTGTGCCTTCCAGTAGAGACTCGATTTGTCACCCAGCAACTGGAAGCGATCCTTCCAGAGACGTTGCTCGATGACGATCCGCACAGCAAAGGCGCTTGCATCGCTGACAACGTTGGCTCGCTATGGCGGGAAGCCATGCGAGTGTGGCGTCAGAGCGACGAGGACGAGGTTCGCAGAAGAAACGCAGTCGACACTCTGGTGGCGCTATCATACCCTGTCCTTACTAAGCGCTTCTCCAACTATTCGTTCGACATTATTTCTATCTTTGCCGGCGGTATGGACGAAGCCGATGACGTATTTACCCTCCTCGTTGACTCAATCGATGACACGCTGCGCGGAGGCAACCTCGCAAGAGTCCGCATCCCCTCCTCCTTCCGAGACGAGGAGGATGAACGAGAGCAGGATTTGGCGCAGGCCAAGGCGAGAGAGTGGATCGATGCAGAGGTACAGCATCGTGCGCTTCAGCTTGGACTTTTGTGGCTTTCTTGTGTTGCCCAGACTTCGTTAGCTGCCTACTTTCTGCGTCGCGATCTTTTCGTCACAGCTTCCACTTTCATTTCCACCCCCGCCGGCTCTCGATACGCCTACGAAGGTGCCGTCTTTCTAGGCCTTCTAGCCACCATCGGTCAAGGCTCCGCTGGTGGTATCTCGCTCAATGCCAGCACCTCAAATCCCTACGCTCGACGCCTCCGCGACTGGGTGGACGAGGACTGCATGGCAAAGATCCTTGTCGCCGCCGCTGCTGCCATGAATCAAAATGTTCAACTATATCGACAGGTTGTCGACGATTCTCCTCCTACCCTGACTGGTAGCATTGCAGGAATAGCTAGCATGCGGTGGGTCTCGAGCCTTGCTGAGCTTGTCGCTTCGCCCACATCGCTTTTCACCTCCACAGCTTCTGACCCAAGGCCATCGGCGACATCTACCCTGATGGGCGATTTCTCTCATCTCCCTTCCTCCAGCTCCGTTATCCTTCTCCCCCTTTTCCTCCTCTCCAGATCCAACCAGGCTTTCACCTCGTTGGTATTGGATGTGACAGACTTGCCAAATGCCAACGACCAGTCGCTTGCTACAGCTGCTAGCGACACAAGATTCAGAGCCAGCAACGAGTCCTTTTGCCAGCTAGCTTCCCTGGCATCCTATCTTGCCACTCATGCATCTGTCTCGCCACGCTCAGCCTCGTATGCTCGCATCGCGCTTCTCTGCCTTCTCGTCTTTCTCTACGACCAACGCGGCAGTCGCAACATGATTGCCGACACACAGCGGTCTGCTCGCATCCTCGAGCGGTCCCGTCTCTGTCGCCAGCGTGAGCCAGCACTTGCGCTTCCCCGGACCAAACGCACGCGGCTCGTCACTGCCGTCCTAGACGCGGCCACTTGCTCGATGTGCTACAATCTCAGCAAGCGCATTGATACAGCGTCATTCCTGATCAGTCTCAAGCTCATCCAACGCGTCGTCAACCTATGTTCCGACGAGCGCATCCAACTCGAATACGATTGGCAAGATTGCTGGAGCGCTATCCTCTCACTCGCGTCTTTCCTTGCTGCACGCTTCGCTGAGATCCGCTCAAGTCAAGACCTTTCGGAACTCATCAAGGCTTTGATCGCTACCTTGAACTCGATCCTGCTACGATCTGATCATGTCCTCACTTCCACGAACGAGATCAATCACTTCATATACGAGATCGTGAGATGCTCACAGACGCTTCGTAAGACTGTGCTCCTTTTGGACCCATCGTCCAGGAATTCCACCTCAAATCCCGGCTCGATGGCGAACACTAATGGAGCTTTTATACCCACACCACCCAAGCTCTACACACAAGTGCCAGGATGGAAGAACCTCGAACGTATCATTCAGGCTGTCGAAGCCAAGATTGCGGAGTGGGTCGAGCAGAAATCCAGCTCTAGGAGAAACAAGACCCCTGATATCGACACAATCAACAAGCTCATCGCCAGCATTGATCGTGAACACTTGCTTGCTGGCGCATCCGAAGAGCGACATACTTCCAGCTCTGCTTCAACTGGTGTCGGCAACAGAGATGGCGGGACGAACGGCGTCATGCATCATGAATTGGAATGGCTGGATCGAATTCAAGAACAGTGCCTCCCAGAGTTCGTCCGTCATGCTTGCACAGACGTTCTACGAATCTTGCCTATCTATTGATCCGCTCAATCGATTCTGACGATCCTGCTGTACGTTGGGTAGATGAATTCGCATCCTATTCCGATCATCATTCAGAAACGGTCTTGACTGGACAGACGTGTGGTTACTCTGAAGACAGATTTGCATTACGGTTCGCAACAATGCCCCTGAGGAGAGTGTTACTGGAACTTCTGAATGACGACAGCATTGAGAAGACCAGCGTCTTGAAGAGTTTGCGACTCGTCACTCAAGGGCTTGGGCGGGAATGACGCATTGAGCACATAGTTTCGCGTCGACGTTACCGGGTTGGCACTGCCAGAGAGAATGGTCAAGAGACAGATACAGAAGCAGGTTAGCGCCCAGTAAAATCCCATCAGAAGTTCGATTAGTGGGGAGACTTACGCATTGATGTAGCTCCTCAGATCCGCAATGGTGTGGTCCGTATTGAAGCGAGCTGTCATTCGTTGCCCGTCGCTGAGTCGGATTTGAAGCTGTGTTGTGGGCCTATCCGCATCCACCTTGAAGTCTCCAGAGCTAGAAGTCGCCGAAGTGGTCGCCGTTGTTGCAGGCTGCGATTGAGAAGAGGTCGCGAATGAGGGAGCAGCGGGGGAGCCAAGTCGGTTGCCAGACCCTGCAAACGGTTTCATGGGTGGAGGCTTGTACTTCTCGTCGGTGCGTCTATGGACGTGGACCTGCACTTGCTGACCGAAGCGAATGTTGAGAAGGTCGAGAGGTGCATGGCCCGCGTTGATGGCAGCCAGCGTCTGTGCATGTGCTGGATCGTCGAATCGCATCAATTCGCCGTCCTCAATCGAAAAGCCGTCCTCCCAGAAGGTAAGGTTTCGAATCGCCACCTCTCCGTCCTCATTATCACCACCATTGCCGCTGTTGTCTCTGGCGGAAGCTGCAGGATCGCTTGCAAAGCCGCCGGGCATTGAGGTCGTGCCTGCAGAAGGCTCGGACTCAGCAGAATCATTGATGGTTCGACCACGTCCGGTAAACGCGAGCGAATTGGAGGAAGATGATGATTGGGCTTTAGCAAGCTCAGGATGTTTTTTGCCCTCTTCAGCAGCACGACGAAGGATCTCCTGGACCATGTCCCCTCCGGGTTGATTCCTGCGACGTCGAGCTTCCGGATTCTCGACACTGAGTGCGCTTCTCTCGCCGCCAGCAAAGTAATTCATCTCGTCATCATCGCCGTCGTCATCTTCGTCGTCACCGCTACCTCCTCGTCTGCTAGCCGAACCTTCGTTGGCAGATCGGATGTCGCGCATGGTGGAGATGCCGCCGCGACTTCCGCCACTAGCTGCGGAGCGTTGGGACTGGCTGGAGCTCGAGGTAGCGCCAAAGCCAGAGGCAGCCGAAGACTCGACCGGTTGACCAGATAGCGTGCGCGGACCAGTGTAGTCAGCTGGCACACTAGGAGCGGGTTCGGATGGTGCTGCGCCCTCTGCTTCTTCATCGACCGCAGACTGCGATGGCTCGGACTCGTAAAAGCTGGACATAGCAGTTTCCAAGTCGCCGCCGGCAGCCTCCAAGAAGAAGCGGGCACGGTCGGCGGAAGCACCAGTGATGGCAGCGAACTGCTGGATGCTCTCGTCCATTTTCAGGTCGTGATAAGGGGATATGATGCGAAAAGGCTTCGCTCTGGTTGGAAGGAATGTTGAAGAAGGGAAGGTCCTGTCAATCCTTCTTAGCAACAACAGCTATCAGACACGTAACCGCAGCGGCCAAGTGGAGTAAAATGCTGAAAAGCAGCGCATGGGCCGTCAAAGTGTGCGCAATTTGATTTCATACGAAAGAAAGTTCGATCGCACAATTCAAAGATTAATTTCATTGCTTCAGGTTTGTGTTGAGTTCAAATCGGACGAGAGGGTTCAGGAAAGGTCGAAGCGGCGGATGCGAAGGATCAAGCCATTTCGCAGAAGCGACCAGGTGCCTTGCTTCTATTCGTCACCTACACCATCTCTACCACGCCTTAATATCAGCGTCTCTCGATCGAGCACGCACAGCGATCCGGATCGTCTAGCATCCTGGCTTAGAACACATTTGCACCGACTGCTTCCGACCCTAGCACTACATACAGATCTCACTGGACGCACACACCATATCGACGGTGAACGATCATCATGGCCGCCAACAAGAACAACGAGCAGGTCGTCACCGAGACCTTCTCGGAACGCTCTCCCTTTGCTGATGGTATGACCTCGGGCGCTGTTAGCGCAGGCGCTGGTCTGTTCGTCAGTGCTTTTCAGAACAGTGTACAGACCCACAACAAAGGTGCCCTCGGTGTCTTTACCCGCACAGGCAGCACGATCGCTCTTTTCAGTGAGTCGACTCGCCCGGTCCTCGCTAGCTTCAATTTCAGCGTTGAAGTGTAGATTTCTGTTGCTGGTATCGTTACTGACAATCTCTTTGCTTATCTTCGACATTGTTCTCTACATTCAATCTGGCCCATCTGCGATTCGATGCATTCTTCCTCATTCAGCCGCCATGGGAGGCATTTTCTCTTACACTGACTCGACTGTCGCAAACTTCCGCCAGAAGGACGATGCCATCAATGGCGCTGTTGGAGGCTGCGCTGCCGGTGTTGTGCTCGGTGCTGCTGCTCGCTCGGTACCAATGATGTTCGGTGGTTGCGCTTCCCTTGCTGCGCTGATCGGCACCTTTGACGCTGCAGGCAAGTCGCTCCAAGGCGCATACGCTCGCCCAACACCAACAGACTTTGCCCACGGCGACCATGACACATCTCATGGCTCAGGCGAGAAGGGCTGGAGGGAAGCACGAGAGGCTCGTCGCCGAAGCTTCTTCAAGGTAAGTTGCACATACATGAGGTCCTCGAGTTGAAGCAATGCTGACCCTCGCAACCATGACCCCTTTCTTTCATACTATGGTTCAACCCACTTGATGGCACCCTCAAAACATCAGCAAAAGAAGAAAGACGTCGAGTCCGATGCATAGATTCTCCAAACAACACTTGTTCCTACCTTTTCGCCTCCATTTCGACAGCATACGAATGCCAACTTGTAACAACGACGTGCCGCCATATGATGCAGACGCAGCGTGATACCACCTGTCCGGATGTCGAGATTACACCCACAACTTTTTGGCACAATCAGACGACTTTGTAACATGAATATGTGTATGAGTATTGCAGTTCTAGGCAATGCCTTGACGGTCTACGTTACGACAGTGATGCGCCGACAAAGTTCTCTGAGAACAAGACACCCTTGTCGGTCCTGAGCAGACGAGGCTTCTTGTCAGCCTCGGGATCCGCGGCATCTGGAAGAGCACCAACCCAGGCGCACTGCTTGCTCTCAGTGGTGGTGTAACCTGGCTGGATTGCCTCGAAAATCTGTGAATGCCGGTGCAAGGGATGAGAAAATGAAAACAATCAGTAAAGGAACATGGAGCACAGTAGAGGATGCGGCTGTATCGAAGTGATCGTACCTTCTTCTTGGGGTTGAGCACAGCTTCTGGCTCGCGACCCTCGAAGCCCTCAACCCAGACCTTGTCACCGGGCTGGCTTCCTTCGGGAGGACAGACGGGCTCAATACCGCCGTCTTTGCCATCCTTGTGGGTAGCGCACAAAAGCATACCGTACGACTTGATGCCACGCATAGCCGCGGGCTTGAGGTTGCAAACACCAATCACCATGCGGTTCTGCATCTTCTCGATGGGGACAAAGCGAACCAGTCCGCTGAGAATGGTTCGTGGGCCGTCGGCCTCGCCAAAGTCCACCTTCTCAAGGTAGAGTGCATCAGCGTCGGGGTGCTTTTCGACCGAGACGATCTTGCCTACGCGTAGATCGATCTGCGATGGAATGGGACCTGTGGTGTCGGCAGCAGCGGCGGCAGCACCGCCCTTCTTGCCTCCACCGCCTCCAGCACCGGCTTTTACCTCTTTGGGCGCCTTCTCCTTCTTTTCCTTCTTCTCCTTCTTGGGCTGATCCTGCTGCTGCTGCTGTTGCTGGGGAATGTCCTTTTTCTGACCATCGGCAGCGGCAGCGGCCTCTTTGTCGGCCTTCTTTGCCTTTTTGATGTCTTCAGGCTTCGCACGCTGAATTGTAGGCATGCCCTCGTAGGTAGGCTCGAACGAGGCAAAGCCAAGCTGAGCAGCGTTGGCGGCTCTGGCTACCTGGGGCAAGTTGGAGAGGTGAGAGATGTAGCGTGTGACCGAAGGGCTGGCATGCTGCTCGGCAGGCTGCAGTTTGGAGATGGTTGGGTAGATGGAAGCGAAGAGGGCGAGGTCCGCAACAGTGGGCTTGTTGGTAGCAAGGAAGGTGACGCTGTCGAGCTGCTCGTTGAGCGATTTGAGACCGTCGGCAGAAACAAGCTGCTGCTCGTCTGCCTTGTTGAGCTTCTGCAGCCATTCTGTTGTAGTAGCCTTAGCCTTATCATCAGCGCCAAAGATCTGGGCCGACTTTCCGGTCAAACCAGCAAGCTTGTCGGCAAGGTCGGTCAATGGCAAGGCGGCGTCACCTTGCAGTTGTTGAATGGCGCTCTGTTGTGATAATGACGACCAGGATGAGGAGGCCGTGGGATGGGTTGCAGTGGAACGGTGTGATGCAGTGGCCAAAGTGCGGGAAACGCGTTGCAGTGATCGTGAGGCGATTGAATGCGTCGTGCGCAAGGACGATCGAGTCATCAAGGCGAGGGGAATCTGTGGGATCAGTCATTTGAGCAAGCTGGGCACAAAAGAGTTGTCGAAGCCCTCGAGGGTAGAGGTAACGTGGTGGGTACTCACAGCATCGTTGGCATACTGCGCGTAGGCGGCGGTGATGAGCTGTCTTGCTCGCTGTCCGGACATCGTGTATTGTGTTGTTATGACGCAGAGGACGGTTAGTGGTCAGAAGATCGAGAAGAGAAGCTTTGAACCTTGAGGCGTCCACCGGAAAAAGTAACAGAACGAAGAAATGCGCCATCTTCTCTTATGCTTTCGACAAAAAAAGCAGCATGTTACATCCCAATGGCATTTGGAGTCTGATTGTCAACAAGCCATGGTGTAACATACCATTTGCGTTGCACAAATCGTGAAAAAGGGGTCTCTCAAGAGGACGATCAGGGAAGGTGATTTCATTTCAGTTGAAAATAAACACCACTAGGGGGTTTCAGTTTTTGTTTTTTTTTCATTTGGAAACTCAAGTTTTTTTTTTGGAGTTTTCACTTGTGTCGAATATTTGTTACTTATGTAAGCTCTGCCATTTTGGAAAATACTCTAATTTTTGAAAACACTGCTTCAGCAGTACTGATGTGGCAGAGTTTTCAGAATTGGACCTGAGTCTTCACACACATGATGTTGCATGTGATGTGGCACATGATGTACTCACACAAATGCCTCCACTTTTCCTGCACAGCTTGTTTTGCATGAACCCACAGTGTCAATAATGACTGTATCTGCTTTGATTGTGCAACAAGAGTGTCAAAGATGGTGGAGCTACAAGGTGGTTCAGATTCTGGAACTTTGAGTATTGGAAGACTCTAGTTTTTGAGGGCAAAAAAAAACTGAAACCCCCTACTGTCATAGGCAATCCTTACTATGTCCAAGTAAAATCACATGACTGCGCAGCCATGGTCACGTTTTAACATGCCTGCCAACTTTGTTCATTGTCGCCACCCATCATCTCCCACTAGCACATATCATTGCCCACCAATGGCCCCTATCTCATCCTATCACATAATGCAGTCATACATGGCACCTCGCCTTCACCCACTCACAGTAAAGTATATATACTCTTAACATTACTGTATCTAGTCCTCATGAAATGCCAATGATTTCGCCGCTCGCTCTATTGCCCTAGCCTGTGGAGTACCTCCTAAGTCTGGACCCAGCCTGCACAGACCGGGCAATGCATTGGAGGTGCAGTGCACACGAAATGTGAAATCGGTGGAGTCACGGGTTTCTGGCCAATTTCAGCAAAATTTGTCAGAACGAGCTCATCCAACAGATATCACAGGTTGTGTTATGAAAAGGGGCTCATCAATGCATTGAGAACCAAGCAACCTCATAGAATCAAGGGGACGGCTGTAGGAGGCTTGTCGCCATCACTAGTGGCAAGAAGAGACATATGGGAAGAGGTATACAAGGGAGGGGTCCAAGCATAGGGGCATTGTCAGAGGTCATGCACCCAAAACCTGATATCTGTAATAGAAATGTGTCTATTACGAATCCTGTCAAGATATGCAACAACACTTGAGGTATTACAATTCTTGTTGAGATATGTAGTAGAGACGTCTCTATTACTTTTCTTGCCTGAAGATGCAGTATGTCATGGGCCTGAATGCTCAAGAAGCAGGAGGGTCACTGGTTCATATGGAAGGGGCACAGGTATTGGAGACCTAGTCGATACCAGTAGAGAGCATGGTCATAGTGCAGTCTCCATGGAGACCATGGACTCCTATGGACTCACATGCAAAGGAGGACCAGGCCCATATGTGAGGAGGGCCAGGCACAGCCATGAAGAGGACCAAGCTCAAGGAGCATGCAGATGGTTACCACTCAGGGGCTCGAGAGACAAGAGTCAAAGGAACTGTCACCAGTCAAAGGAGAAGGAGCAGTGTATAGGAAACCAGCAAGCAGGTCCTGAGGAGGAGGAGCAGTGTTGAAGGAGTCGACACCACTCAGGAGGCACAGGGGTGCCAAGCAAGCAGGATAGCTCAAGGAGGACAGGAGTGGTGCTAGAGGGGCCCCCTGCACAGTACTCAATGAAGAAGGTACTCTCTGGAGAGAGAGCAGGAGCAGCATCACTGGCAACACTGTGAAGAGGTATATAACCATACTTTCTCATCATCAAAGGTTGAGTGGATCCTCATCCACTCTACACACACCATAACTAGTTATCACTTCAGCATAAGTATACATTAGTTTCAGTCAGCACATTAGCAATCTATCAAGATTGCTTCTCATTGTAGTGTGTGTGTTGTATCACCACTACCTGACATCTGAAGGTGGCCCATAGCAGGTCAGCGGTCCAGATATAGATAGAACCAAAGGCAGTAGTCCACTGCAGTCTGGGGATCACTTCAAGCATTAGTCAGCACACTGGACACTCATGTTGATGCCACCAAATTACCACCAACACCACCAACCTTATCACCAACACCATCAACCTCATCATCATCAACACTCACACCAGACCTTGGTGTCATCATAACCTACATATTGATATTGATCGTGCTGAGCTACCCCTGAATGGAGTGTCCACAGAGGTCAGCTGAAACCTACAATAGTATATACAATGAACACCACCTGCTGTCATCATGCAACTTGATAGTCACCGAGCAATGTAGCTTGTCAAGACTGATACCGAGACAATAGCTGTTGCACAGTTTGATAGTCACTGAGTATCTCGACAGACCGACCTGGGTTTCAGGCGCGAGACCCCTGACACGACACCTCTCCTGTGTCATGGGACGGGATGTGCAGGAAGCAGGAAGATCCATCAAGTCATATGAAGGGAGCATGGGAATCGAGGGATCAGGCAGATCATAGGACTTGCAATAGAGTCCACTGAGATCTGTAGGAGAAGCAGCTCTAAGGCAGATCTCACCTAGATTGGTACAAGCAATAAGGGTATCATGAATCACACCAGAATCTGCAGTACACTGGATCATATGACATGTCCTGCAGAGATCAATGGCAGGGTGTTTGTACAATAAAGGCTAAGAGGGGAGGTTGCCTGAGGTCACCACCAGATGAGGTAGGGGCCTACACAACATTGAAGTTGGCACCAGCAGGTGGGCACCAATGACAGGGAGTAATGAGAAGGGGGGCAAGTCACCACTCAGATGAAGTGGGATGGCCCCTGATGGAGATGAAGCATCAAGAGGCCATCCATCCACAGAGGACAAGGGATATGACATGAGCAGCAAACTAGTGTGGATGGGAAAACAGTGGGAAAGATGAGGAGGAGACATGGAGTCAAGGAGGCCTCACAGGACAGGAGCAGTGTTGCCTGTGACACTGCTAGGATGGTATATAACCATGCTCCTCATTGTAACAAGTGAGTGGATCCCCATCCACTCTACACCATACACAACTAGTTATCACTTCACTCAAGTATACATTAGTTACAGTCAGCAAAGTCACAATCAAGTAGATTGCTTCCATTGTAGCACATGTGTTGTATCCCCACTCCCTGATGTCTGAAGGCAGTTCATAGCAAACCAGCAGTCTGGATAAAGATAGAACTGAAGGCAGTCATCTGCTGCAGCCCAGGGATCACCTCAAGCATTCAGTTGACACACTGGATACTCATGTTGATGACATCAACTATCTCAATCACACCAGACCTTGGTGTCTTGCAATACATTCAAGTTATTGATTGTGCCAAGCTACCTCTGGATGGAGTGTCCACAGCAGTTAGTCAAAACCTGCAATAGCAAAACCATTACTGCATCTTTGGGTGAGAAAAGTAATAGAGATGTCTCTACTACCTATCTTGACAAAAATTGTAATACCTCTAGCATTGTTGCATATCTTGACAGGATTTGTAATAGGTGCATTTCTATTACAGATATCAGGTTTTGGGTGCATGACCTCTGACATCCTGCTCCTTCTGAGGAGGGTTTTCGCCTCCTCCCAACACTACTTCTGTACTGTGTGCTGAACCCATCGGTGCCACTACTCTACTGCCCAGACAGGGTGTTGGTTTGAGTGACACCCCCTCTTGTCTCCATGCTCCTTGTTGCCTGTCAATATGTGTCAATCTCTTTGACACTGCTCTTCTTCCTTATGGTTGATCCCTGGTCTTCTCAACACAGTTCCCCCTCTCTAACTGGCAACCTTCTTCCCCTCTTATCTTGTGAATCCCTTGGTTGCATGCCAGACCTTATTGTCATGCTTCCTGATCATGCAAATGCCCCTGTGGCTAGCCCTCTGTGTTGGTATGCATGTCCCTCCTGAGTGGTAACCATCTGCATGATACTGAGCTTGGTCCCCTTCCTCGATTGTTTCCTGCATGCTTCCCTTGTCTTCCCTGCCAGGGAAACTCCTTCTCTGATCCTCCCATTGTTTCAATGTGATGAGCTACCTGTTCTACACCAATGGTGCTTTGTTGGTGCATGCTTTGGTGAAGCATACTGGGTAGGCTTGTTCTAATTGATCCTAGCAAGATTACTCAAAACCCCAGTTCTTGGTTGAATCCACAAATCATACATGCCACTATCCTGATCAGTTTGTTGACACCTGATGCTTGCTTCAGATCATTCTGCACACACTTCCTGTGCTGACCCTGTGACATATGGACCCACCCGTGGTTTGAAGTATCTAGGCCTGGTGGGGGATGCATACTACTCATAATTGATGCCAGGTGGTTTGTTCAACTCAGCAAATGACACCGACTGCCTTGGTTGTGATGCTGGGGATGGCATGGGAGGGTCTCCCATCATATATTTGTCCCCTCCTGCCTGTTCCTCTGAGCAAGGGAGTATGACCATATCTTCTTCACTCAGGTGAGTGTGGCATAGGTGCTCATCACATTGGGCTTGTCTGGAGAGCTCCAGCTGGGCCTCCACTAAGGAGAGTAGCCTCTCGACCTTGTCATGCAGGCTCTTGTCCATCATGTTGATCATGGGGTGCTGCTTGAACAATCCACTCTAATGTCAAAGGTCTCGTGCCTAAAACCTGATATCTGTGACAAGAATGCATCTATTATGAATCCTGTCGAGATATGTGGTAACATCTTGTGTATTACGATTTTTATCGAGGTATGTCGTAGATAAGCTTCTATGACTTTTCTTGTCCATAGATGTGATAATGTGATTGTTACTGCAGGTTGTCAGCGGTTGTGCACCCAAAACCTGAGAACTATCTGTAATAGAAACGCATCTATTACGAATCCTGTTGAGATATGTGACAATGTTTGAAGTATTACAATTCTTGTTGAGATATGTAGTAGAGATGTCTCTATTACTTTTCTCACCCAATGATGTAGTAGTGGTTTTGCTATTGCAGGTTTCGACTAACCACTGTGGACACTCTGTCCAGAGGTAGCTTGGCACAATCAATAACTGTTATGAACTGATACTAACACCAAGGTCTGGTGTGATTGAGATTGTTGATGTCACTGATGTGAGTGTCCAGTGTGTTGACTGAATGCTTGAGGTGATCCCCAGACTGCAGTGGACAACTGCCTTCGGTTCTATCTTTATCCCTTGTGGGTGGATGGGCCTCATGTTGCCTCCTCTCCATCAGGGGTCAGTCCCACCTCATCTGGGTGGCAACTTGCCCCTTCTCATTACTCCCAGTTGTCAGCACCCACCCACTGGTGCCAACTTCAATGCTGTGTAAGGCCCCTGCTTCATCTGGTGGCAACCCCAGCTGTCCTCACCACTACTCTGTTTATCATGTGATCCTCCTTGCCATTGATCTCCACAGAATATGTCCTATGATCCAGTGTACTGCAGATTCTGGTGGGATTTGTGATACCATTATGGCTCATGCCAATCTAGCTGGGATCTGCCCTAGAACCATTCCTCCTACAGATCTCAGTGAACTCTACTGCAAGTCCCACAATCTGCCCAATTCCTCAATTCCCATGCTCCCTTCATATGGCTTGCTGGATCTTCCTGCTTCCTGCACATCCAGGCCCATGACACAGGTCTTGACTGACCGCTGTGGACACTCCGTCCAGAGGTAGCTCAGCACAATCAATAACAATGAATGTATTGCAAAGACACCAAGGTCTGGTGTGATTGAGATGGTTGATGTTGTTGACATGAGTGTCCAGTGTGTTGACTGAGTGCTTGAGGTGATCCCCAGACTGCAGTGGATGACTGCCTTTGGTTCTATGATCGCAAGCCAGACCGCAGGTTGCTATGAACCACCTTCAGTGTTGATCATTATCCAGACCACTGGTTCTATGAACTGCCTTCAGATGTCAGTGAGCAGTGATATGACACACACACTACAATGGAAGCAATTGATTATGATTACAACTTGCTGATGGAAAACTAATGTATACTTGTGCTGAAGTGATAACTAGTTATGGTGTAGAGTGGATGGTGATCCACTCACTTACTATGATGGGGAGCATGGTTATATACCTTTCTTGCAGCATCACCCATGACACTGCTCCTTTTCCTCATCCCCCCTATCCTCCCCATCCATCTTGTGATGCCACTTGTTGGCACCACTTCCTTGCCTCTGGTGGATGGATAGGCCTCATGCTGCCTCATCTTCGTTAGGGGTCAATCTCACTTCATCTGAGTGGCAACTCACCCCCTTTCCATTGCCCTCCTGTCATTGACTCCCACCTGTTGGCACTGACCTCATCAGTGTGCCAGGCCCCTACTTCATCTGGTGGTGTCCTCCCCCTTGTTCAGTATCCTCCTCTCACCATATCAGCAATGGGGTGCCTCTCAAACCAATTCTCATGAGGTCTGTCATACTTAGCATGATATTGTGATTCCCACTGAACTCTGTAGTAATGACCTCATTCTTGCTGATCCTGACAAGTTATGCCATAGGGTTGTTTCTACTACCAATCTCAGTGAACTCTTCCTTAAGCTCTTGTTTAGCCTGATCCTGCAATTTCTGCACTCCTCTTCATATGACTTCAACTCTTCTGGCTTCCTGTGCATCTGGCTCCCATGACAATACTTCAATGTTGTGTGAATTTGGTACACCAGCTAAGGGACTAGCTGGTGTAGTGGTTTTATGTTTTGATTTGGTTACCCGATTCCCGATTGCTGACAGTGGACAGCTTCACAGGGCATAGAGGCAGACATCATCAAGCTTCTTGGGTGGTGGAATTCAGATTGCTATCGGCGATATGTGGACCATTCTGCAGCCAAGCACTGCATGATGGTTGCCTCCCTCTACTCAATCTGACAGGGACCCCTTGTCCCTACAGATGCTTCCTGGCAAGATCCTGTCCTCTAATCTTGGTGTAGCCTCCAGCCTCTCTGCAGAGACCGCTGTCTGCTGCGTAGGCTACACTGCAGCTATTGGCAGGCCAGGAGCCTCTTTGTCAAGTTTTGAGGACCTCACGGGTCTTTGCCTGCAATCCACTTAGGTTTTTCATGTTATGTATATACAATTTCAGTTATGTTTCGTGCGATGGAGTCCAGACGGGACTGTCAATGGACGATTCCTACAGATCAGGCGATGCCAGGAAAGAGTGAGTTTGGAGCTCGAGTCGAGTCTGTTACGTTAGATCGTCCGATCCTGCTGAGAAGGCAATGTATGGGTTGGCATGAGATGGCATGGCATCGGCAATGGCCAATTTGACGACGAAGAAGCACATGAAGTGGGGAAAGAAACACGCACACACACACACACGCGCAACATCTGTGTGTGTGCGACATGCACGTTCGCCCCATCCATTGAAGACCCTCTTTGTTTGACATCTTTCACAACTGACCTGACCGACTCCTTCATCTCTCTCCTCTCTCTATTTCCTTCGCACCTCTTGCACCCTTGTCACGCCAGACAAAACTCAAGAGAGGGCTTCAGAACCATGTCGTACGCAGACTCTTCAAGCTCACGGCCGAAGCAGCTTCGCCCAGTGATCCTTGTGAGCGGTGCGAATGCTGGTGTAGGCTTTGGTATCTGTCAGAGGCTCATTGTTCAGCTCTCGTCGCCGACGCCAAGCGATACATTGCCAATCCACCCTCAACGGAATAAGGACGCAACGCTTCAACCCACTGCTACACCTTTTGCTGCGCCGGACGGGTGCACCATTGTGCTAGCATGCCGAAACCCTATCAAGGCTCACAAGGCCAGGCAGCAACTCAAGCAGCTACTCAAGTGGATCGAGAACCTTCCCGAACATGAGGACACCCCCTCAGGACCGCCCGAAAGGTGGGCTTTTGCCATTGATATCACTTCCAAGGACGACAAGCTGACTGATCCGGAGACTGAAGATGACATTCGTGACACACCACACGAGGATGCCGATCCGGCCTTGGTCGCCCACGCTCAGGAGAACAATGTGCGACGTAGAAGAAATTTGCGCAAAGCACTGGCCAACGATGATGAGGCCAAGCAAGTCCTCAGCGCCGACTCCGACTCGGAAGGCGAAGGAGACGATGCTGGAGAAGGAACGCCCGACTCACCCGATCTCGACGCATCGCTCGAGCAGCGAAACAGGCGAGCGAATGCGCGCTATCGACGTCGGTTCTGCCAGGGCACCCGCATTGAGTTTGTTCCCCTCGACCTCGGAAGTATGGGAAGTGCGCTCGAATGCGCTCGAACGGTGCGCGAAAGGTACTCGCACGTCACACATGTGGTGCTCAACGCCGGATCGTCATCATGGACAGGTATAAACTGGTTCCACGCCGTCTGGATGATCTTGACTCAGTTCCGATATGCAGTGACGTGGCCAGCATACAAGATGCAGCGTGCCGGAGACAAGAGCGACGATGGCTTCGGATGGGTCTGGCAGTGCAACGTAGGCGCGCATTGGATCCTGGTACGAGCCTTGCTGCCTTCTCTGCGAGCTACACCCTACTCAGTACCTTCGCGCATTGTGTGGACCAGCTCAGTCGAGGCCTTTTCCAAGTACTACGATGTCAGCGACTACCAATGCGTCGATGTGGGCAAGTCGCCGCTTCCCTACGAATCCGTTAAGTACCAATGCGAGCTAGCCGCGTTCGGATTGGATGATGCGCTCCAAACACGTCGAATGCGCACACAGCCAGGTACACCTACGGAGGAGCGCCCGCCAATGCTCAGCATGTCTTCTGTCGATGGCAGCATGACGGACTCTAGCATGCGCCGCACCGCATCGTCGGCAAGTGGGACAGCCCCACGCGGCTTCCTAGGTCTTCCACCCGCTTCGCGCGCCCTTCCAGGGCAAGCAGAACCACGCAGCTTCTTGGCCCATCCCGGTGTGGTTGCATCCACCATGATGGCGCAGTTCGTTGCCACGTGGATGACGGTTTTTGTTGTGGCCACCTTCTACGTTGCTCGATGGGTAGGCTCACCGCACCACCCGATCGACCCGTTCAAGGGCGCTGTCTCTGTCAGCTACGCCTGTCTGGCACCTGAGCCGGACCCGAAGAAGCGATACGGGAGTCGAGCTGACTGCTGGGGCCGAGAGTATGTGGGTATCGAGAGCATCGAGTATTACCGTTCTCAGCTTGGTGGAGCCGGTCCAGGAGTGGGAGCACGGTTGGCATTGGCAGGGATTGACCCTAACACGGCACAAGGAGATCCAGCGGAGGCGGGTCGTGTGCTTAGCATGGCGCGTGAATACATTGGGTTGTGTGAGAGGATGACACGGCAGGTGTGGCGCAGTGCACGCAAGGGCAATCTGCCACCTTGGAGTTCGCTGACGGGCGACGAGTTCGTGATCCAAGAGCATGCCGCGCAGCTATCAACCGATCAGGACGAGGGACAGCAGATCCTCGACACGGAAGATGCGCGGCCGCCTGCGAAATCGGACAACGACGAGTCTGTGATCACGCTCAAGACAACGACCGTGCCCAGCAATGGAAACTCCTCGCACGACGACGCCGAGTGGGAGAAGGTTCAGTAACGAGCAAAGTCATGTCATAGATGCTTCCGACATCAAGCAGTGCTCGCGTCTCGCCCATCGCTACGCTTGAAAGGCGTACGCGTGCGACTCTCTGTTGCAAGTTGCACGTGTCACGCAATGCGGCGTCTTATCTGCGGATGGATGTTCGCATGGTTACCATTGTGACGCTCATGAGTGGCTCGTGTTGATCAGAACTGAGCATTGAGCATGAGGAGCGGTGTAGTAGAAGATACTTGGGTATTTCCAAGGGTCGACGTGTTAGATCGGAACATTAATTGCAGGGAGGCCGAAGCGATGCAAAGTGCAAACAGAGATGAGGTGGATGCGAAGCTTGTGGGAGCATATGCAGCCTAAACTCGTGGTTTGACACCAATGCATGGAGGAGTTGCGTTGCTATGACAATGGTTAGGAGGTGTTGTTAAGGCAACGGATAGGGGGTGTTGACAAGGCAACAATTATGAAGGAGACCCACTGAATGATGGCTCAAGGAGTGACTCGAAGGGCGAGCACGGTCGGCTGTTAGGGTATATATACTCATGTTCTGTAGTCACTCTCACCTCGAAATAATAAGTCTTCTCACTTAGACACACCCAACTGTAAAGAGCGCCTGACTGTGGCCTCAGGAGCGGTGTATCTAATTTCAACTGGTGTCCTTAATTTACATGTTGTGAGATGGTGAGTTCTTTGACAGAATGCGATTCTGTCCTTAAAGGCGAGGATAGAAAGAGACCAAAAAGTAGCCGAAAAAAGGAGGCAGGGAAATGAGAACTTTATTTGCAACTCGTTCGAGTCGCTTCAACATTCCGCCGCCTACCATGAGCAAGAGCACAGAATCATCAGTTCATTGCTGAACGCAGACTTGTATTTCCATCGCAAACCAGAACATCGAATGCTTCCAGGTTTTGCATGCTAAGGATGTTGAAACCATTACCAAGTTTACTTGCTTGAGAAGTCGACCACAATGAGGCGCGAGTTGGGGACATTCAGAAAGGGACACAAAAATTTAGCCGGCCAAAAGGTTACACCTCTCTCGCCTGGAAAGCAACTCGCTTGTTTAAAGCTCGAAAGTCCTAAGAACTGCCGAAGCGTCCGGAGCACTTACGAGGTAGAGTCCTGGGATCTCGCCACTTCCAGGAAAGACGAACGTAGTGAAACTCTGAACCCGAGGTCGTCCCACAAGGTTGCCGCAAGGTCGTCTCGGTAGACAACCGCCGCTAAGGTCAGGTCAATTCGAGAGAAGACGGGAAGGTCGGGACAGCACCGTACTGGTACAATTGCAAAGCCAGGCGAAATCACTCTCGTGTCGCGTATCTTTGCGTTGCGGAGGAGGATCTTGTAGGGGATCTAGCCGATACCGGTGGCGAGGTGCGGCAACAGATTTGGAGCCGTGGATAAACCCTTAGAAGCTGACTTGGTTCATTCATCCGATGGTACGCAACGAGCAACACGACGCTACCATCCCCGGACCCTTTGACGCTACCTTGTGCGCTAAGGTCGACGTTTGTCCTGGCCTCTCCCACTTGGCTGCCAGCCGACGAGTTGAAAGACGTAATGTGGTCCCTACAATGAATCGCATTTCCGCATGCTGTTCTTGTGTACTATTAATGAGCGCTAGCGCTAGTGTACAAACTCAAGTCTCGCTTCGAGCAACAAGGGAGTCTGTGTCAATATGAAGCGCATAAAGACTGGTGAAGCAAAATGAATGAAAGAAGGGTGAGCAATTCAGCCAGAACTGCTGCAAAGATGTAAGCTGGAAAAAAAACGAAGGCAACTGGCGATTAACTTAGGCCCTTAGGCCCTTTTTTTTTTTTCCTTTTTCTTTTTTTTTTTTTTTTTTTTTTTTTTTTTTTTTTCCCTTTCCCTTTTTCTTTTTCTTTTTCTTTTTCTTTTTCTTTTTCTTTTTCTTTTTCTTTTTCTTTTTCTTTTTCTTTTTCTTTTTCTTTTTCTTTTTCTTCTTCTTTTTCTTTTTCTTTTTCTTTTTCTTTTTGTTCATTTTTTTCTGCCAAGCGGATGCTTCGCTTGAACATTTTTCGCCCTCGAACCAACGAGACCTTTCCTTTCCTTTCATTTGCCATGATCATGTGGCGTGTTCGCCGTACCTGATTGACAGTTGCCAACCATAACTGCCAAATGAATGGGGGCACAATGCACACTCTGTGCACGCACACCGAGCCACCGGATAAAGAAACACAGTTAAGCGACTTTGATTGACACTATGATGAGAGTGCTAACTAGGGCGATGTGGGATGCTGGTTTTGATGCCTGCCAAATTGCGATCCTGCAAAGTTGAAGCGAGCCTTGCCCCAGATCATTCTTGGCAGCCCTTCTTGCTGGTAAACCAAGAACAAAATGAGAGAAGCCTCCGGATTGGCAGCTGAAGTGCCTTTATACTAGACCTAGCCGATTTCGAGGACCTCTGCTCTCGTGCCTCGCGTCTTCCTCTCTTGGTTCCTTGACGGATTTAGTGTCCTCTCGCCTCACTCCCACCTGAGACTCGCTTACCATACTGCTCGGCTTCTGCGCCACTCTCCTTTCGTCCGCCATCCGGCTTTTGAATTATCGGTCTTGCAACGCTCTTACCGTGAACGTACCGACTTTCTAGTATCTGTAGACACAGACTGGCTCTTGATTGTCTGCTCTGAACGACTTCCGTGATCCTCTTGGCACACTATCCCTACGCGGTAGAACCCGCCGTCACACAGGAGGCTTTCCATCGGAACACAGCATGATCTCGATTTGAACCGTCTTTTTCTTTCGTCCGCTCCTCTTCTTTTTCTTCTATCCTGCCCTTTCGCTGTGCATACAGTGCGACCTTTCTTCATCCTTTACCAACCGCTGCCTTCCTGCCCTTCATCACCGATACACCCTCCGCACTCTTCCAGCCCACTCGCCATCTCTTGCGACCTCCGCGCCAGACGTCAGTTTTTAGACAGAGCACCTCTTCCGTCTCATCTCCGTTGCAACTGCCCATCATCGTCTATCTCTCCACCTCTCACCCGCACACTCACACGCACGCTGCCTTCTCTTTTCTATCTTCCATCTGTATTCGACCGATTGGCATTTGCAGCCATTCGAAACCATCTGCATAAGCCGTAACAACGACTGTCCAGCTGTCTTTCTGCACACCACCAGTCGCTCATCGGGTTGTCATCCGACGACTTGACTGAAACTTTTATAAACGTAGCAATCCCCCCCTGAACCAACGTGGATTGCCGTCTTTGCAATCGGTCATCTTCACCTTCCTTTGGCATACTTCGGTTTGGTCACGATGCAGCAGCCCACTGCCACCATGGCTGCACCCTTACCTTTTGGCCGTCGCCCTTCCGGCTCATTCCCATCCGACTTCCCCGGCGGCGCTGATCTACGCCACAATGCGGCCCAATCCTACACTGCGGGTCACCAACACCATCAACACAATCCATTCCCGCATCAGTCCGCCGACCACTCTGCCAATTATCAACATACATCTGGCCGCGCTCCTTTCGACCAGCAGTTTGGTTACGATGCTGCAAGTGGCTCCAACGTCCCTTCGTGGTTCTACAGCACCCCTGCCAATCCTCCAACCCACAGTGTATCTGAAGCTGGTACGCCTTATCAACTAGACTCGTTTTCTCAGCATGCGTCCGCCGCGGTACCTAGCAATCCTTCCGGCTCTTCGATACCAGCCTTACCTTCCAGCACTCACGTTCATGGCCCTGTGTCGGCAACTTCAAACATCAATTTTCCCTCCAAATCAACTCCCTTCAGCCCAAGCACTGTCGCTCCTTTCATTATCGGCACTTCCCGCCGCACTCATCCACCTTCAGCACCAAACGCTTCTCATAGCATTGCCGCCGCTGCGCCAGCCTCGCTGAGTGATAGACATTCTAGCGACGAGAATACCTCCGGATCTGCGACCAACTTCCCCTTGTCGGCAGTAGGAAGTGCTGTGGGTGCATTGCCGTTGCAGGGACACGTTCATTCGGCACCAGAGTCTGCCGGATTCAACGGTTCCATCTCGCCCAACTCGTCTGCGCGCATGTCTGGCAGTCCCGAGGCTAACAACGCCTCTCAAATCTACCCGGCTTACACAACGGCAGCAGCGCTCCCTCCTGGTGGCATGGTAATGGGCGCACCGGCGTCCGCTTCTATGCTCGAATCCATAGGACCTTGGCTTGCTCCTGCCCAGACAGCACCTGCCAACGTCATTTCATTGAACACTGGGCTTCAGGCTTCTGCCTCGATGTCAGGTGCATCCAAACCTACTCCTGGCATTGCGTGCAACATGAAGTCCGTCGACTTACCCGCAGCAGGTGGTCCCACATCCTCTTCGCGCGCCTCTGCTGGCAACACCTTCCATTCTGGTTCCTCCTCTAACGACTCCTCTTCAGTGCCCTTCAAGACCAGTATTGAGAGGCGCGAACGTAACAAGGCTTCTCAGCGCGAATCGCGGAAACGTAAACAGGACCGGCTCGAGACGCTCGAGACCGAGAACGTAGCACTCAGGAAGGCCCTCGCCGACATGAAGAAGTTCAGTCACGCCCCTTCCAATGGTGCCGGTATTCGCGGCGAGGATGGTGCCGAGGTTGCGCCTCTGCAGCTCACCAAGTTCACTGGCGCCTTCCATCTCGATCTTATTGAGTCGCACCTGGATGACGAGACAGCTGAGGCTGAATGGAACTGTATGATTGGGCATCGCTTCCCTGCCCAGACCTCGCACGCCCAAGATTGGGACGGTTCCATCCCGGGTATTGCATCGTCAACATCAGACTCGGACGAAGAAAACGGCTGCGAGGATGACCACAGTCAACCTCGAGATGGTACAACACGTCGCTCGGCTTCGGTCAAAGACGAGGCGGACACCTCGAGCCCGGACAAGAGGAAAGCTAACTCCGAGTCGTCGCAGACATCATCGCAACAGGCTAAAAAGGCCATGTGGGAGATCTCGCTCAATCAGAAGCGTCAGAAGGCAGCGCAAAGTTTCCCTTCTATGGTCGCAGTGCCTGAACTGGTGCTGTACAAGGTATGCCGTCTCTACTTCAGTACGCTGCTGCCCTTCACCACCAAACTCAAGTCGGGCATCATCAACCTTCGAGCCGCTCGCCAGAAACCGGGCTTCATCGGAGGCTTTGACGATTTCCCTCGCTTCCCCGGAGATTCTTCGTCTGGCGCTACCGAGCTGTACTTGCCCAAGAACCTGATGCCCACTGAGATGCAGATGCGCATTGGCTTTCATCCGGTGGAAATTGCCGTGCTGCCCTATCCAGCAATGCGTGACCGCGTTCTCACCATCCTCAGTGCTTTCCAAGCAATTGAGGAGCTGGCGCAGGAAGAGGAGGATGCCGCCAGGTTTTCGGAACAACACGCGTCTTCAGATAACACCGAACAACAGGAGCAGCAGCAAGGACAGCAACAGCAACAGCAACAGCAACAGCAGTCGCAGCAGTATCAACCCAGTAGCAACGACCAGGACACCGAGCTGACCGACGCGGACATTCACCAACGCACTGCCATGGTTGCCGACATGTCTGCCTGGAAACCCAAGGACTTCTCTGGCGCAGTTGTCATGCCGGACAAGGGTCGCGTTTATTCATATGGCTTCCTCGAGAAGCCAAGAGGGTCTCATCGCTTGCGCAAGCCTGCACAACGTTGGTTGGATGACTTCTTCTATGAAGTGGTGAAAACGCTGCGAGTATGGTCGCCCGCAGGCGACGTATTCGACGGCGAGTGCTTCGAGTTTAAGGAGAGCTTCTTCCGCAAATACCCTTACATGGTGGATGGCGAAATCCTGCGTGCTACCAACCGATGGAGAAGGGCCCGTGGCGAAGATCCTATCCGTCTGTGATTCCGTGCGCTGCTGCCTTGTCATTAGGTTCTCCTCGCTTCAGGTTCTCCTCACTTTCTGATACCAGTTCTGTTCCCTATCGCGTTCGCATCTTAGCATCCTTTCCATCTCTTGACCCGCTTCAATCGTCTCTCGTCACACACGTCTTTCTCTAGTTCAAGCTTGGGCCCAAACTCGCCATTTCTTCTCGTTTGTTAGTGTCCCGCTTGTAATCATTGATAATACAGAGTATGGCCACTATGTTCCGTCTTGCAATGCTGGTTGTCAGCCTGCACCGCATGTGCATCGTCCAAGCCGTTTCAAGAGCCAAGGATGGTCGCCTGTCGGAGGATTTCCGAATTCCGACCCAACTCTAGTAACTGCACAAGCGTTGAAAGATTCGGCTCTTGTCGACGATTATCGGGCGATGTCAATCTAAGCACAGTGTTCACGCTATTGAGCTAAAACACTATACTATATTGACCTAAGAGAAGAACGTAGCGGTAGCCACAAGCTCTCCGCTTGGTATCTATATACAATAGTGATATGTGGCTGAATGTGGGAGCATCCCACTTTAATGACGAAGTACGTCAACGAGCGGGACTCAGTAGTCCCTGATCCCTATCGTATCGGCCAGCCGGATGTCCGATCAGGTCGCCTTTTCCCGATTCATCGTCAGCTCGTGTTCTACTGGATCGTCATTTTCGGTAGCACCAAGTTAAGGCGAATTCGCTTTGCTTCCGAACCAGACCGAGCAGCCAAAGTGACGCGTGCGTGCCTTGCAAAGACCAACACTGGCACATTCTCACTGCTAGGTCGGAATGGTTTTTATTTTAGGCGAATTTCGACATGCGATTCAGGGGCAACAGCAGAACAGCAGTGCAGTTTTGCTTGTCGGGGACAGAGCGTAAATTGGGAAATTCCTAAATCACAGAATCACACACCCTGTCGATCAACACAACACAGACCACACTGGACACTCTTCTAGATAGAGAGAGAGAGAGAGAGAGAGAAAGAGAGAAAGAGAAAGAGAAAGAGAAAGAGAAAGAGAGAAAGAGAAAGAGAGAAAGAGAAAGAGAGAAAGAGAAAGAGAAATCCTTTCTCTGGCGTCTTGTCACATTCTTCCAAAAGTGCACATGCGCTACATCGGGAGGTCCCCGCTGTCATTCGCCCCAATTCTTGACATATACATCCTTGCGACTCCTACCGGCTCCCATCATCCTCTCCCATACGATCATCTGACAAGGCGACCGCAACCAGTCGCCGAATACAAAGCCCTCATACGGGTCAAGAAGACAGGGACCGAATATCACCGCCGCATCCACACAACTAAGACGACAAGATGTCAATCTCATCAGTCGACATTTCGAGTCTCAAGCAGAGGTACGAAAAGGCGGGGCAGTCTCATCTCTTCGCTTTTTGGGACACTTTGGATGCTGAGCTGCAAGCCGAGCTTGCTCAGCAGCTTGATGAGCTCGATGTATCAAGAGTCAACCAAGTCTTCCACACTGCCATCAAGGCAGATGAAGAAGCTAGGGCTGGCAGGTCGCATCAAGTGCAGCCCCCACCTCCTTCGTCAGTAGAGAACACCATTGAGGGTGAAGCAGACCCTGCCAAGGTTCAGCACTTCCGAACTGCTGGTCTCAATGCCATCGCCAAGGGTCAGGTCGGTGTTCTCCTGATGGCCGGTGGGCAAGGTACTCGTCTGGGCTCAACTGCGCCCAAGGGCTGCTACGATATTGGTCTCCCTTCTCACAAGAGTCTTTTCCAGATTCAGGCAGAGCGCATCCTTCGCTTGCAACGTCTTGCTGCCGAGCACTCTTCTAGCTCCTCCTCCTCACAAAGCGCAGTTGTGATTCCGTGGTACATCATGACGTCGGGACCCACACGGAAGCACACCGAGGCCTTCTTCGCGCAGCACAACTACTTTGGCCTGGACCAGAACAACATCGTCTTCTTCGAGCAAGGTACACTCCCCTGCCTCTCGCTCGACGGCAAGATCCTTCTCGAGACTCCAAGCAAAGTCGCAACAGCTCCAGATGGTAACGGCGGCCTCTACCGCGCTCTGCGAACGCCCTACAATAAGGGCCAGCCAGACACTGTCATTTCGGATCTCAAGAAGCGCGGCATCAGGTACCTGCACGCCTACGGCGTCGACAACTGCCTTGTCAAGGTCGGCGACCCTGTCTTCCTCGGAGTCTGCCTCGAGCAGGGCGTTCAGGCTGGTGTCAAGGTGGTCAAGAAGGAGAACCCCAAGGAGTCTGTCGGTGTCGTTGCGCTGCGAGACGGCAAGTTTGGTGTGGTCGAGTATTCCGAGATTCCAGAAGCTCTGAGCGAGGCTCGAGATGCCAACGGTGAGCTCTCCTTCCGTGCCGCCAACATCGTCAACCACTTCTACACCACAAAGTTCTTGGCAGACGACGTACCCGCTTTCGAACCTGAGATGGCCTTCCACATTGCACGTAAGAAGATCCCGACCATCGATTTGGCCTCCGGTCAGCCCATCAAGCCTTCCACACCCAACGGCATGAAGCTTGAACTCTTCGTCTTTGACGTCTTCCCCTTCTGCGATAAGCTCGCCGTGCACGAGGTGGCCAGACAGGAGGAGTTCAGCCCTCTCAAGAATGCAAAGGGTACCGGCGTCGATGACCAAGACACTTCGCGTCGCGACCTTCTCGCTCAACAGAGCCGATGGCTCAAGGCAGCAGGCGCCAAGGTTCAGGAAGGCGTCGAGGTTGAACTCAGCCCTCTCCTCACATACAGCGGTGAAGGGCTCGATAGCTTTGCCGGGCAAACACTGTCAGAATCTGGCAACGTCGAGCCCTGAAACTATGCGGACATTGACTTTTTCTCGAGTTCGCATCAACAAGGACAGCATTCAGTTGTTTATTATCGCATTCATTTCATTATCGACATGTAAAAGATCAAAAGCGATTCTTCCCGGTGCCGTGATCCTTGTGAACTTGGATGATCCACGTTGGACCCACTTTCGTGGTACTGAGCTGTGTGGTCAGCTCACGGGCTGACAATTGCATGCTCTCAAGCTCTCATGAGACACTCACACACAGTCACAGCAGACGAAATGAATTATGGAAAGGGTCCCAAAACGCGCCGATGGCCCGGCCTTTTTGTGTTGTGATTTTTGGGTGTGAAGCGGGTGCGGTTGTATACAAGGGACCGATCGAGGGTATGATCGGCCAGGATGATGATGATGATGATGATGAAAATGGCGAGGATCGAGGAACAAGATGGGCAGACCCTAAATGTCTCTGCGGTGCCTTCTCTTGAAAACATACAACAAAGGACCGGGTTTTTGATATCGAAAAAAAGAGAAAAGGCATGTGTGTGTAGAAAGGTTGCGAGAAGGAACCGCAAGCCATCCGTGTCCAGGACCAGCACACGCTCGTATCGATCAACACAGGATCTGTGTCATGCAACGAGAGAAGAAGGGTTGAGGAAAGCGGAGCCAAAGCAGCGATTGAGCAAGAGAGAAACCATCGAGCCAACCACGCTTAGTTGGCGTGGAGAAGCTCGAGGAACTCCTTGGCAACGGGCTGCTTGGCCTCCTTCTTGAGACCCGACTTCTTCTGGGCCTGGTTGCGGATCTCGGAACGGATAGCAGCCTGGGCGTAAGGGTTGAGGCGGAAGAGAACACCACGGTTCTTGAGAGGGTTCTTGCGCTGGGTGAAGGGGCGGGTGGTCTTGGAGGGGCCCTTGGCACGGACGACCGACTGGATCTCATCAGAGTTGATGATGCGGGTAACGTCAGTGTTAGCGATCTTGGCCTTGGGGAGGGTGAAGCCAGACTTGGCAGCGAAGACCTCGTCGAGGCGGCCGAAAGCGGACTGGGTGAAGATGACGAAGCGGCCAAGGTGTCCTCCGGGGGCGAGCTGGAGGAGGTTGAGGCGCTCGACGGAGCAGAGCTCAACACCGGGAACGTTACGGAAAGCCTTAACGATACCGGCATCCTTGTTGTAGATGACAAGGGGACCACGGCGCTGGGTGTGGCGGCGGTTGCGGAGCTTACCAACACCGGCACGGATCTTGCGCGAGTTGGAGACCTTGACAACGTCGTTGTAAGCGTTGACGGACTTGAGGAGAGCGATGGCCTCCTTGGTCTTGGTCAAGCTCTCGGCGGCGTCGGCAACAACGAGAGGGATCTCTTCGAGCTCCTCGACGCGATGACCACGAGCGAGGACGAGCGAGGGGACGGCAGTGGCAGCCAGAGCAGAGGCGGTAGCGTAACGCTTCTGGTTTTGGTTGGTCTTGATGAACCATCGGCGCCAGAGCTTGGTGGGGGCGAACATGTGACCACCACGGACCATGTTACCGAAAGCGGCCTGACCGGATCGCGAGGTACCACCACCGCCGACACGGGGGATACGGGCGACGGCACGACCGGTACCCCAGGACTCAGCCGAGGTCTGGTGACCAGCCTTGCTCGAGACGGCGTAAGGCTGACGCTTGTTCTTGGCAACGTTGGCTAGGAGTGTGCGAAAGGGTCAGAAGGTGATAGGGTCAGCAGTTGCTCCTCGTGTGAAGATTGAAATCGACGTCTCTCCTGATGCCATTGTTCTCCCATGCATGCATAATTTTCCATCCTTGCGACATGTATTTCCATCAGTACGCTCTATCTGATCACATCCGTAGTCGCGGTGACCGGACGACAGTATCGCATTATTTGCCGTTGATGGCCTGCTGCTCTTGACATTCTACGTCTTGCTCCCAGATTCTCTGTCCTCTCAGCTGGCGTGATGATCTCTCCTTTGCATATCCTAGATCCTTAAACTGCAAGGTGTCGTATCTGAATACTTACTGTGAACGAGCTGAACAACGTCAGGTCGGATGGGAGCAGTGAAGACTGCGGGGAGGGGGAGCGAGCCCGAGGCCGCGCCATCGAGGCCCCTCACGTTAACGGCTGTTGAGTCGAGACAAGTACGAGCACAAAGTTGGTGATGTCAATGAGATGATTCAAGTCATCTGTGGGTGTTCGACAGCAGCAAGACATCAAGCCAGGATATGTTGGGGTCGTGATAAAACATGTTGAGTGTGTATACGGGCTGGTAATGATTCGGCGATGGTGTGTACACCTTGCCGACTTCGACCACTTCGGTCGGAGCAGATTATGCATGGTCTTGGTCGGATATTTTCATATCTGCTTTCGTCACGAAATGAGACCAGTATCATCCTTTCCATATGCTGCCACTATCTTATCATCCAAATTGCTTGCGGCCCAATAAGGTGACCTCTAGATGCGTCGAACGGGAAGAGATTCTCTCGATATACTTCCGTCCTTAAGATGAGTAATGTCCAATTGCGATCCTCTGCTCGTACAGAATGCTACATGTCCCATCAATTCATCGATCGACGTCTGCGTGCGTGTAAGGTGATGCTGTTTTCGTTGATGCTCCAATCTGCAATTGTCGAGTCTATCTGGCTTCTATTGACGATGTGGCGGGCTGCATGTTTAAATGCTGATGCTTCTGCTGACGATGTGCTGTGCGAGATACCTACTGGGTCTAGCAGCCATTTTCGATATCTTGAAGGGGAATGGTTGGTGAATGACTCCAAGAAGGATGGTGACGACGGGCTCTGAGTAGCCAAGCTCGCTCTCACTGACTGACTTAACTGGACTGCACTGACTTGCACTGGCACTCGACTGCCTTGCTCGCTTGGTTGTCTGTCTGTTCAATTGACTGGCCTGCAACTGTGTCGAGTATTGCTTACACAGTTGACTGGCTCTGCAGTTGCAATCCTTCCTTCGAGGCTCAGACAGCGCGAATTTTGAGAATTTCCCTTATTTCCTGTTTGGCTTGCAAAAAAAATACAGCCAAAAGCGGCCCTCCACGTGATGCAAACCTCGGCCGGTTCCAAGTCCCAGCCCCCCAAAAAAAAAGAAGAAAAAAACGAAAAAGGCAGAGACTGTAAGCCAGAAGCGCTTACAGCCCGCGCTTCTTTCGAGAAGGTCGACTTGGACAGGGCTACAGCTGGCAGAACAAATCGAGAGCGCCAGCTCGGCCAGCTGTTCAGCGTGGTTGCTACCTTTGTAGAGACCTCACAGCAGCCCGCCTCCTAGCCTGGCTGGCGAGACTGCGTCGCGAAGGCTGAGCAAGCACGGGCGCAGCAGCTGCATTGGATGCGTGCTCGTCATCAATCGTCCTTGCTGCCTCCATCTCTTCGTAACCTCAAGATATCACTTCTATACCTCTAACAAGATGACTTTCCAGACCTTGTGGTACAGCCACCCCCGAAAGTTCGGCAAGGGCTCCCGTCAGTGGTGAGTATCCACACAACACATATATGCAACCGACATCGACAACGCAACACGCAGCCGACCGACTGGAACGAGTTGGCCAGAGTATGTCGACAACAGCAGCAACTTGGGCTACACAATTCATATGACGGCATTCAGAGAGACTGCCGCGAAAACGAAGCACCCACCATATCGTCATCACCAAACATAGCAGAACCTTGAGTCATATGCACCGACTTCATGTCAGCCTTGCCAGGACCACAGCAGAAGGATCTCGCAATTACATTCTTAGCTGGAGGCAAAACGGGGATATATCAGAAGGGATGCTCCCGCGTCGAAGGTGTATAGTACCTTTTGGATGGAAAACACATATGCAGAAGGTCATGATCGGATCAGGCTCGACAATGCCATCATCAGCTTGATCGTGTTGGTAAAGTCGTTAGATTTTGGGGTCCCGGATGGTGCAAGTCGTGGTGCGGACCGCCTCTCTTGTCTACGTGCACCAATGTTACACGTTCTGAGTGCTCTGGACGTGCTACCGCCGGGGCATAGCTAGTCGAAACGAGAGGATCCGCGATGAAGTCAGCCCAGCCAAAATAAAGTCTGCGACGCTAGTTGATCGCCTCTCGCACGATGATTCCTATTGATGGAAAGGGGGCGGACAAAACAGGGTAGCCAACAACCATGTCTACAAGGGCTTTCGTCGATGATGTGTCCGTCGACCACCAATTTCGCCCACAGCACATGCATTCACACTGTATCAGAGGCGACCGTCAGACTTGGCATCTTGCATCTGCAGCGACTGTCACCCTTGCATCTACTCTTGACGTATTGCTGTTGTCCTCATGTTTGTTCGATCGAGTCCAGTCAGCCCTGCCATTTTGTCGATGTCGTGTTGATGCAGCATTCGCCCAATTTCATACTGACCTGCCTTTCCTCGTGCTGGTCATATCCTGCGCTTCGTTTCCTTCACTACAGCCGTGTCTGCGCTAACCAGGGCGGTATCATCCGAAAGTACGGCCTCGACATCTGCCGTCAGTGCTTCCGTGAGCGCGCCAACCAGATCGGTTTCCACAAGTACCGTTAAAGCGATTCTCGGACAACGCTTCTGTCAATAGTTCCCGCACGCTCATTCTCCACCTACCCACCATGCATCATTCAAAAGTCTCAAATTGAGATCATCGTTTTCTCTGTTCTCAGCTTAGCGACCTCTTGCCCAAATGAGAGAATCTCAATGGGCCTGCTAGCCCGATCTTTTGCCTCTCGCTGGTTCGTGGCTAACAGGTTGATTTCGTATACGTCTCGAGCTAGCATTCGCACTTTTCATACGCCTTGTACGCTCATGTCACATACATTGTCTTCACCCGCTTTCTGAAAGCAACGCAAAACATTTATCGGCTCCATAAAAGACTCGTGTATAACCTGTGATGTGCTATGTGAAGATGAAAACCCTCTCGTGGCTGAAACGGCCTCAGAGCTGTTCGGGTTGTGAGCTCAAACAGGCAAGGCGACTTAAATGCTGCCTTTCTTGCATTGCACATTGGTCCCTTGGTGCTGCACCATGTCGGAGCTTGGTCTCAAAAAGTCAAGTTCACAGGAAGCAGGGACAAGTGCAACGTCGAGGGATCGGTCAGATCGTTCTCGAAACCTGCCGATCGGAAAGGAGGAGGACAGAGCTACACGACTGACAGCGGCGGTAATTTGCGGAATTGGGAAGACAAGACATCTGGGTCTGCTGGAGACAAGCAGAGCCGATGTTTCAATTGCGCACAAGCTGATTGGACTCTTTCAAGCAAGCTTGAAGCATGAGATGCACAAGATCTGCACTCGCACCGCTCAGGACGCTTTCTCCTGAGCTCTGCTTGCTTGCTGCTAGCGAGGCGATTCATGATGAATGCATCCATCGAACGGGTGGGAAACATCCTTCGAGTACAGTTGAGGTCATGGCAAGAGCGTTGTAGAGACGTCGTGGGGATATGAAAGTCGCAGTTGATGCTTTCTGAAGTATTCACAACCTGAAGAACAAGATAGGACGCTTTTCACGGACGTCGTCGGCCGGCCAAAAACGAAGAGTGGCTTTGTCCACTCTGATCGGGACCACCTTCGCTTGCTGTCTCGCAAGCTTTGACCTCCGATCAACTCTGGCAATCAGACACCGCAATTTATTCTGATCGACTTGTCTTTGAAGTCGTTGCCGTACTCGATCATCCTGAGAGGATGAAGTTAACATACGAAGCTGAACTCGACGCTCTTGTCGGTTCAAGCGGTCCACAAGCTTGAATTTTTGCAGCTGCGCGTTGACAAGTCGAATTTAGGAGGAATTACAGCGGCTGCAGGGGCACTACAAGAGACGCTGTTCAGAATCGGCGGTCTTCGAAGAGGTACAAAATCGAGGTGAGCTGCTGGGGCGCGATTTGAACTGCCGAAGCTGTCTCCTTTCAAATCCAACTTCTGAAAGCGACAGCCAACGCTTCGACACAACGCCTGCAGAAACCAAGCGTCTCTGCAGGTTAAACTTCTCTCTCCAAAGCGCGCAAGTTGATTGGACCGTGCTGTCACTTAGCTCGTCCAAAGGGTCGCGCTCTTCTCTCTCTCTCTCGCGCGCGCGCGCCCTCTGCTCGGGCTACTGTTGCCGTTGCTGGCCGGTCACAAAAGGCCAAGCTTTTCTCTGGATCCTGGCCCTTCTGAATCAACGCAAATATTCGGATTTTCTGCTACTGCCCTGCCCGATCCTCTGTCGCCCGCCCTTTTCATCTTTTCCTGCCTTTTCAACCTGCGTTTCCTTGCGAAAAGGCGCGCTCCTGGCTGGGCGTCTTCCTCCGCTTCACCGCTCCATTTCGTCGCTGGTCGGCCCTTTCCGCGTGTTAACTGCCTCTGTGGGCTTGGTGTGTGTCTCCTGTCTGTCCAAATCCTTTCCCCTAGTTCGTCCGACTGCCGTCGTTCGTCTCTTCAAGTCCCGCTTGTTCCACAACGGTATCTTTCACTTCTTCCACCACCATCTCTCTTTCACCCTATACCTAATTCGTTTCCACTTGCATTCAGAGTGAGAGCAGGATAGCTGGTATCCCAACCACACATCATGCTTCCTCTTCGAGCACTCCGTTCTTCATCCCTGAGGGCGGCCGCTAAGGCCCCCCTCGCCCGCGGCTATGCCACTACCGTCGCCGAGGAGGCTGCTAAGATCTCGCCTTCCCTCTTCGACAAGAAGGTCGAGATGTCCGTCGTCGAGAAGGGTAAGGGCTACTTTATCAACTACAAGCGCATCGAGGACAACCTCAAGGTCGTACGTGAACGGTAAGTATCTTCTCTCCGTTTTGCAACCTGAACTGCATTCTACACGAAAGCGCCAGGGCTTGCTTTTGACCTGGTGTCGAAGTTCTGGACCAGCAGCGGTCACAGCAGCAACTTTCGAGCGGTCTCTGGTGCACTTGCTTTCGTCCAAGTAGAGCATGACTAGACCCAGATTCCGCCTCAACTCGGTTCGTTTGAGGATTCAAGTTGCGTCGGTCTGGCAGCAATCTTGGAAGCAGGATATGAGACAACGCTCCGGGTAGAGCTCAAGAGAGCCGCCCTCGTTCAGCAAGGAAGCCTAGTTGCTTGGATCCTGTACACTTATTCTGGCAAGACGAGCTCTTCCTGCCCTCTTTCGCCCCAGCATGGCGTGCACGTCTGCTTTGTCCTATATTCTTAAGCAACTTCCAACAAACGTACTGATTCTTTTCCCATTGCGATTTCTTTCAATCCAAACTAGTCTTAACCGACCTCTCTCGCTCGCCGAGAAGATCGTCTACGGTCACTTGGACAACCCCCACGAACAGGAAATTACTCGCGGTCAGTCCTACCTCAAGCTCCGTCCCGACCGTGTTGCTTGCCAGGATGCCACTGCTCAGATGGCTCTCCTCCAGTTCATGTCGGCTGGTCTCCCCACCGTCGCTGTCCCCACCACTGTCCACTGTGACCACCTTATCGAGGCTCAGGTCGGCGGTGCCAAGGACTTGGCCCGTGCTATCGAGATCAACAAGGAGGTCTACGACTTCCTTGCCACTGCCACTGCTAAGTACGGTATCGGCTTCTGGAAGCCCGGTTCCGGTATCATCCACCAGATCATCCTCGAGAATTACGCTTTCCCCGGTGGTCTCATGATCGGTACCGACTCGCACACCCCCAACGCCGGTGGTCTCGGTATGATCGCCTGTGGTGTCGGTGGTGCCGACGCTGTCGATGTCATGGCTGACATCCCATGGGAGCTCAAGGCCCCTAAGGTCATCGGTGTCGAGCTCAAGGGCAAGATGTCCGGCTGGACCGCCCCTAAGGATGTTATCCTCAAGGTGGCCGGTGAGCTTACCGTCAAGGGTGGTACTGGTGCCATCATCGAGTACAAGGGTCCCGGTGTCGAGTCGCTCTCGTGCACTGGTATGGCCACCATCTGCAACATGGGTGCCGAGATCGGTGCTACCACCTCCGTCTTCCCTTACAACGAGCGCATGGGCGACTACCTCCGTGCCACCAACCGTTCCGAGATCGCCGACCTCGCCAAGGGCTTCCAGCGCAACCTCCTTCCCGACTCTGGCGCCGAGTACGACTCGCACCTCGAGATCAACCTCGACACTCTCGAGCCCCACATCAACGGTCCCTTCACCCCCGATCTTGCCACGCCCCTCTCCAAGTTCGCCGAGGAGGTCAAGAAGAACGACTGGCCCGAGGAGCTCAAGGTTTCGCTCATTGGTTCGTGCACCAACTCTTCCTACGAAGACATGAGCCGATCCGCTTCGATCGCCGAGGAGGCTGCTGCCCATGGCCTCAAGGTCAAGTCCACTTACACCATCACTCCTGGTTCCGAACAGATCCGTGCTACCATCGAGCGTGACGGTCTGATGGAGATCCTCGAGAAGGCCGGAGGTATGGTTCTTGCCAACGCCTGTGGTCCTTGCATCGGTCAGTGGGACCGAAAGGACATCAAGAAGGGTGACAAGAACTCGATCATCACTTCCTACAACCGTAACTTCACTGGCCGAAACGACGCCAACCCTGCCACCCACGCTTTCGTCGCCTCGCCTGACCTTGTTACCGCCATGGCTTTCGCTGGTCGCCTCACCTTCAACCCCATGACTGACAGCCTCAAGGGTGCTGACGGCAAGGAGTTCAAGTTCTCGGCTCCCACCGGTAAGGAGCTCCCTCCCCGCGGTTACGACCCTGGTAACAACACCTACCAGGACCCTCCCAAGGACCGCTCGTCGGTTCAGGTCGCCATTGACCCCAAGTCCGACCGTCTCCAGAAGCTCGAGCCCTTCAAGCCCTGGAACGGCAAAAACCCCACCGACTGCCCCGTCCTCATCAAGGCCAAGGGCAAGTGCACCACCGACCACATCTCGGCTGGTGGCCCTTGGCTCAAGTACCGAGGTCACCTTGAGAACATCTCGAACAACTGTTTGATCGGTGCCATCAACGCTGCCAACGGTAAGGCCAACGAGGTCCAGAACGTCTTCACCGGCGAATGGGGACCGGTCCCCGCCACTGCCATCCAGTACCGTGAGCAGGGCAAGCCTTGGGTTGTCATTGGTGACGAGAACTACGGTGAAGGTTCGTCGCGAGAGCACGCCGCTCTTGAGCCCCGTTTCCTCGGTGGTTGCGCCGTCATTGCTCGTTCGTTCGCTCGTATTCACCAGACCAACTTGCGAAAGCAGGGTATGCTCGCGTTCGAGTTTGCCAACCCGGCTGACTACGACAAGGTTCGCCCCGATGACCTCGTCGACATTCTCGGTGTCACTGAGCTCGCTCCTGGCTCCAAGGTCTCGCTCGTATGCAAGCACAAGGACGGCTCCAAGGACGAGCTTCCCCTTACCCACACCATGAACGAGAATCAGATCTCATGGTTCAAGCACGGTTCGGCCCTCAACAAGATGGCGGCTGCCGCCGAGTCCGCCTAAGTGGATTCGCTTTGAGCTTGTCTGCCTTCGTTCCATACCTGTACTTATTTAAATACCGTCGGCTCAGCATGCTTGACAGAGAAAAGAATGCATACGTTTCACGATATCCCAGAGTCTGTGTAGTGTTGCTCGTTGGTGGTTGCCGTTCCTGGGTAAGCTTTGAGGTTGCCGACTGCTTGATCTCATGACGGAAGAGACTTTATATGCTGCTCCATGTCTTGGACTGTGCAGATAAGAGCTACAGTCAGACTTGGAACGTTATGCGCATATCTCGCTTCTGCTGTGCCAACGTCGTGGTTTTCTGCACTTTCACTAAGTCTTGCGTTCGGTCAAGCTGACGACTCCTTGTTAATCGCACTGCTACCGTCAGGAAGGTTCACACATCAATTGCTCCTCGGCGAATGTCATCACCAGCTACTCGTTCGAAATCACTTCGACGACGCGTGTTCACGTCTGCTCGCTGTTCCTCAATGCGAACCCAACGATACTCCTCCCAGAGTGCAGACCTCCCGAGCCCGAAAACATCGTCCCGTGCATGCTGAGCAAGATGAGTGCAACGTTGCATGTAGTCTTTCGCAACTCTGTGCGACAATTGTGTCCGTCCTACCGCGGACGGAGGTCAGCAATGCCAAAAAATCTACTTTCAAACATTGATCTTCAGTGTGTACCTTAACTTGTGTTCACCTATTGTCAAGGCGCATTGACTTGTGGTGGTGTTGTAGGCTCGGACGAATTGACCCAATAGCAAAAGGATCGGAAGAGTGCTTGTAGTGGGTCCATTTTAATTGCTGCCTTTGCCCCCGTCAAGACAGGGATTGCATTCACTCTTTTCAGCCTTCGTCCGTCAAAAGGTGGTGCGAGCCATTCCGACTCTTTTGAGTCTGCTCTGCTCCTCATCAACTACCGGGTTGGATTCGCTATCATCAATTCCATCTACGTCCAATCTCAGCATGGTTCCACACTTGTCAAACCTTGCCTCCCTGAACCCAAGGAGCGTGCTCCCTGGACCGATCCGACAACAAGTGAGCACAAGCTGTGGCCTCGGTAAAGGAATGAAACCCTCTTCTCGACTCATTTGGCTTCCGTCTTTCGTTCTCTCTACGAAGCGTTCAATTCCGCTGTCGCCCCAGAGGTATTGCAACAGCTGAGGAGACCATACCGATCAGCGCTCAGCGTATACTTGTTTTGCTTTCACACTTGCGTTTTTGAGCCATGCTGAAGCAGTGCTGTAAGACCAGGAGAACTTCTTGTGTAGCGTGATTAAAAGTCCAAGCCTGCTGGAGCACATGAGAGGACCAATAGGATCATTTCGCACCCATCTGGCATTTGATCACCGATATAAGTGCTATGATTTGCAGCTGATCGGTGCAGTTCGGATTTAGCGGAAGTTGTACGAGCCTGCTCTGCTCTCAGAAGCGACGATCACGGGAAGCGGGATCAACTTCGTTTGGAAAGACGGGAACACAACCCTTCTTAATCTCTCCTCGCACACTTCAGTGTTCGAAATGCAACGCAGACTGCAGTTTGCAGTGACAACTTAACACCGGCACCAAGTTTCGTCATCTTGCAAGACTGAAGCTGACCTTGAACTGGCTCGATCACCATCCACAGCTTTGCCTCTTTCTTTGCGGGGTTTTTTTTTTTTTTTTTTTTTTTTTTTTTTCCTTCTCCGAATCCCAATCGCAAGTTTGAAAGTTGACCCTTTGGGACCTACCGCAACCGCTGGTCCAGGCCCAACGAGAAGAGAATCCGGTCACATAACAACATCCACCACCTTACCTGCTTAAACCCATTAGAGTCCTGAGCTGCTGGGCAAGCCAAGGGTCGCCCACAGTCGTACACTCGTCTCGAAGTGTGTCGATCGTCGTCCACTTAAAGACTGGTCAATTGAATGCCGAAAAGTCTCAGAAACAGAGTATCAGCCTTTTAGATTGGTCACAAGGCAGAGGGCGCTCGATCCTTCTTGTCTTTTGCACTCATGTTGACGGTTGGCAGCAGCTACTTGTGCTCCGTCAGCCGGCTTCTTGCTCCATTAAACTCTGCTTTCTCGAGCATAGTTTCGTGGCATCAGGAACGGCTCCCTGTTGGTCGGAGAAGGCCGCCGCAGTAGGGTTAGGAACAGAAGAAACTTTGCTGTACTGGCAGCAATCATGGCATCTCTCCGGCAGCGACCTTTCTTGGTCCCCTCGCGCGCATGACAGGCATTTCACTCGAGACACGGAAAAACGAAAGATGGTGGGCGGAATTGGTATGTTTGTTGATCTCCGACCCTACGCCCTCTGGGTTGCAGGAAAAGCAAAAACGAGATCTTTTTAAAAAAAAATAATTATTATTAAAATTGTTGATGATGTGCAGGGGATCACAGAGCATCTTCTTGCGGCGTTGAGCCCCCTCGATTTCCTTTTGAGAAAAGAATAAAAGCGGCGAGCACCCTCATTTTATCTAAGAAACTGAACTGAAAGCCCGTTTTTCCAGCTCGCTGTACACTTTTTTTTTTCTTTTTCTTTTTTTTTTTTCCATTTTTTTTTCTTCTTTTTTTTTTCTTTCTCCTCTTTCGTTTCGCTCGTCTTATGGTCCTGGTGTCGACTCCTTCTTGCTCACCTAGGCTGCGGACTTGTGTTTGTGAACCGCGTATAGAGCAAGCACAACGTAAGTAGCTGGGGATTGGGTTCTTTTCGTATGTTGAGTTTCGTCTCCTACTCAACCTTACACACAGGCGTTGCACCTCGAAGCAGAATTGACGAGCGTTTCTGTTCGATAATCAAAATACAGTAAAATTTTGAAATTTCCTTCTCTTTTCAACCACACAGACGCTCACGCTTTCGGCTGGAAAATAGCTCGACCGGATTGGTAACCGGTTACTTGTCATCAATACTGTCCGGATGCCATGCGCTCTAGCGATTGCTCACCGTCATCTGCTTTCAAGGCAATCCCTTCGCAACCACGCAACCACGCAGCCTCGCCTAACCACCTGCATCTCAGCTGCAGTTGCCTTCGCGCTCTTGCTTGCCCTAATGCGCAACTGTCGACGGTTGCGAATGCGATATAGGCACGCCGGTTGTGTACAATCGCAGAGGGAGAATGCATTCGCACTTTTTCTCAACCTGCTGAGAAGTGTCACTCAGAAAAGTGCTATTCGCTATCACTACTCTGCTACTAACTTCGTCTCGAGCTCGCTTTTCCCTCGTACTCGCTACCAGACCATTTTGAGCACATCATCAGTGTGTCCTACATTACGCAGAGACCCTCACTTGCCTTCTCTCTTAAACTGCCTGCACTCGCTTCGAGTCTCTCCTTGACCCTCGCTTGCTTTTTTTTTTTTCACCCCCACCTCTGTCAATTAGGCTCCCGCTGCCACACTTTACCACCTTGACTCAGGGTTTGCTACCTTCCGCACTGGGATTTTATTTCGGTTGAGGCGGCCGTCTTCACCTTGGACCCACCCTCATTTTGCGTTCTCAATCCGCCACCGCCCCACCTTCATCTTTGCCTTATATACACTACCTCCTTAAGCTCCCCTTCTTCCGTACAGCAACCATACACCATCATTCTTTCTGGATCATTCTTTCTGGTCCCCTGCTGTTGTCTTCAAGCACCCTCACGACGCACCGTTACCACCTATCCGTCCCTCAAGAGGCCCTCAACAGTTTTCTCCTGATTCTCACCTCTTTCCCCCTTCTCCCGTCTAGCTTGCAGCATTCACTGCTCCCTTGAAGATGGAGAACAACAAAGTCGAGGAGGTCAAACAGACCGTCCAGGCTGACATCAAGGGCGAAAAGACCTCTCAGCAGGTCAAGCCCGCTAATGACGGCCAGCTCGAGAAGCAGATGACCCCCGAGTCACAGGAACTCGCCCGTCCCGATGGCATGTCGGTCGACGACGTCTACGAGCGCAAGGTCTACATCCTCAACAAGGTCATGAACGAGCACATCGGCATGGGCAAGGTCCAATGGTCCCTTTTCCTCCTCTCCGGTTGGGGCTGGATGGCTGACAACCTCTGGCTTCAGGGTGTTGCCATTATTCTCCCACAGGTGCAGCGTGAATTCAACATCACCACTTCCGTCCGTTGGATGACTTTCGCCCTCTACTGTGGTCTTATTTGCGGTGCCGCTATCTGGGGTATCCTTGCCGATGTCATCGGTCGCCGTCCCTCGTTCAACATCACTCTTTTCATTGCTGGTGTCTTTGGTATCGCAGGTGGTGCCGCTCCCAGCTTTGTCGGTCTCGGTGGTCTGCTTGCCGCTCTCGGTTTTGGTCTCGGCGGTAACTTGCCCGTCGACGGAATGATGTTCCTCGAATTCGTCCCCGCCGATAAGCAATATCTCCTCACCCTCCTTTCGGTCTTTTGGTCGCTCGGTCAGCTCCTTGCTTCGCTCGTTGCATGGGCCTTCATCGCCAACTACTCCTGTGACGGTAACCAGACCAACACTCCCGGTGAGGGCACCGTTCCTTGCGATGTTTCCCAGAACATGGGCTGGCGATACACCTTCTACACCCTCGGTGCATTCACTTTCGTCATGTTCATCTGCCGATTCTTCGTCTTCCGCCTTCCCGAGTCGCCCAAGTTCTATCTCTCTAAAGGCCGTGACGCCGAGGCCGTTGCCGTTCTCAAGGAGATCGCTCGTCGCAACGGCAGGCCTCTTGGTGACGACATCATCTCTGTCGAGATCTTCCGTTCTGCCGCTGGACAGGAGGCTGATATGGACGTTCGTGAGGTCGAGGAGGAGCCCAAGGGCCTTAAGGGCCTTGCTTCGGCACCTCGCCGATTCGTTGATGGCTTCCGCAACGTTTCCTTCACCCCCGATCTTTCGCACGTCAGGCCCCTCTTCTACGGCTGGAGGATGGCAACCACAACCTCGATTCTCTGGGTACTTTGGTCGCTCATCGGTCTCGCCTACCCGCTCTACAACGCTTTCCTTCCCATCTACCTTTCCGAGGCTCAGGGTGTTGAAGACACTTCTTCCGTCAATGTTACCTACCGCAACTACGCCATCATCTCGATCTGCGGTGTTCCCGGTTCCATCATTGCTGCATGGATGGTTGAGCTTCCCAAGTCGGGCCGACGCGGCGCTCTCGGTATCGGTACCGTCCTGACTGGTGTCTTCCTCTTCCTCTTCACCACCGCATCGAACCAGGGCGCTGTTCTCGGCTTCAACTGCGCCGCAGCTGTTGTACAGAACGTCATGTATGGTGTGCTCTATTGCATTACTCCTGAAGTTCTGCCTGCTCCCCACCGTGGTACTGGTGACGGAATCGCTGCTGCGCTCAACCGTATCTTCGGTGCCATGGCTCCTATCATCGGTATCTATGCCGGCGGCACTGCTCCGCTTTACGTTGCAGCTTCGCTCTTTCTCTTTTCGGGTGTGCTTGCTTTCTTCATTCCCATCGAGTCGCGCGGCAAGAGCGCCCTCTAAGAGAAGCTTGTACAACGCATCATGTATATACTATGACTTCGGTCACGAGATACCATGTAATCCATCCTTGTTGGATCGCGTCGACTGTTGTTCAGAGACTGTGTGCTTGGATTTCAGAAACACATTATAAGCTCTAGAGATCAACGAAGAGCAGGCCGTTTGTCAACGCAAGAGGATGCGACAGGAAAAGCGTTACTAAAATCTCGAGACGAGTTGCAAAGTGGATGTAGCTTTGACTCCGCTCAGAGACGGATCGAGTTCTCCATTCTGCTTTCGCCTCCGTCAACAAATGGAACCTACCGACTCTCGTCACTGCGTATCCTTCATTTGTGCCTCCTACATTCTTCGTGCATTCTGAGAATTGAAACGGAAAAAAACATCACACATTGCTGAATTCCGTCCGCAGACAGACGGGCATGATTGTCATACAGAGTTGGAGAATGGCTACGAATAACGCAGAACTGAACTTGCTGATGGCGGTTGAGAGCCAGATGCCAGAGCCGTGAGAATGCGGCAGAGCGAACGGTTTGGTGGAGCGTGGAGATCGATGGCGCGAAGGAGAAGCTTTGATCCTAAGGCCCCATTTAAGGAAAAGCGGGTTTCCAAAAACGCGATGAAATCATACGGCCGATAAAATACGTATCCTAACAGTATGAAGCATGAATCATGCGGCCGAAAGGAGGCGTAACCTAAAAGTAAGCATATGAAACATAATTCATACGGCCGATAAGAAACGCAACCTAACAATAAGCATATGAAACATGACGTGGCACTTATCTTCTTTCTTTAGTCAATTGAGTATATATGTTTCTGTCTTCTAGCAGCAGTGACATCGTACTCAGACTCTACCCGATTGCCGGCTATCGGGACAAAACTTCAACAGTTTTTTGGGTGCTCAAAAATGGGAAAAATACGTCAAAATCGAGAAACACGTGTTTCTAAAAACACTAAAATTTTGATACCCCCCTCTAGGCCAAGATGACACGGATTCTGAGGCAAGTGTCACTCGACTCGCACTGAGGGAGGGCGGAAAGGTGTGAACACGCGTCGTTGAGGTCAAGATTTGAGGCCTTGCTGATTCGAGGTCATGCTGACTAGAGGTCCTGCTGCTTTGAGAATTTTCTGATCTGGAGTGAGAAGCTTGCGAATATGTGGTCTGACACACTTAGAGACTTGTGGGCTACGAAGTGCCAGGCAAAGGTCGGCTGTACTCCTTAGTCTTGTCCAGAGGGCCACCGAGAAGACCAGGCCTAGAGCCATACACCTGGAAGTCAGCGTCCTCTGCCGACATACCAAGGAGAAGGCAGGTCTCGTAATCCTTGACGTCTGCAGTCTGAAGCCAGGCTTCTCCAGAGTCGCAGGTTTCCTTTTTCCATTTGCAGTTGCGGCATCTCCATGCTTGCGCTACTTCTGTCCGAGGCACGCACTCTCTGAGATCTTCCTCACAATTGGCGCAAGGGAGGTAGTGGCGCTGAGTGATTACGCGCCGAGCATACCTGTTTGGAGAGACCCTGTTTGGAGAGACCCGGACTGGGATGTAGAGGCTCCGTCTGATACCGAGCCAAGGAGGCTGAGCATTGCTTCGATCGTTGCTGCTCTGTATACCAGTCTGTGCATTGATTGATGTCCCTCCTACTTCTCTGGACATCTGATGATTCTGTGAGCGCCGGGAACGAGCTGAGAGTGAGCGTGACGGTGAGCCTGGAAGCATGGAGAAGCCTTGGCTGGAACTGAGCTCAGCAATCCGATATTGTTCCTGATTGCCTTGGCCACTAGGTGTCTGATCGGCAAGCTTTTGTGGGACAGCTGGGCGAGAGAAGGTCTGCTCGGGCGTGTGCAGCGCTAGCTGAACCACAGACGTCAAGGCTTCGGTATTGAGTGCTCCAGAGACCTCGATGCTACCGCCAGCTGCAAGGTCGACCTTGATACGGACCCCTGTGTTGTCGGGAGGGCTCATTTCTGCCTAGATCTTCAGTTTAGACCGAAGTTTTACTGTATCTAAGATGGGGACAGACCAACAATCAAGGCGAGATCAATACTTTATACTCCAAAAGAAAAGGGGCTTCATCGGCCTCTGCGGAGTAGCCGTCGGCACTTCACATGCGACGATGCACTGCAACTGCGCAAAGCCACGAGCAGACCTGTCCGCTCGTAAGCAGTTTTGAAGTGGATTGTAGTTGGCGGCCGTCCAAGACTTGAGCTCAGAACGTGTTCCAGGCACGAGGGCACTTCGTCTCTCCCTTGAGCGTGACTTACAGTAGAAGATGTGCGCAACCGCTTCATTAAATGCATGGAGACGGCTCGGATGCGTACAGCCCCCAGGTCACAGGAAAGTTGAGCTTCATCAAATCTTGAGCCAAAATATGTATGTCATGGAGCACCTTTTCCGAAAGCGCACCAATACATCTTCCCACACCTGGTCATTGGCAGCGGGAATGAGACGAGCGAAGCTTCATCATAAGAGCACGTCAGATGTACCGAATAAGTTGGGATATTGAAAGGATTGTTTCAAGTTTGGCACTGATATGAGTGGATGCACTGCTCTCGCTCGTCGTTTGGCACGAAATTTCGATTCCGCAGCCTGGGAAGCATCCTTAGAGGATAGCATTGGTTTGTATACAGCAGGGCGAGTGAGGGGCAAATCAGACTGCGGCGACAAGAGCGGCAACCATCGATGAGAAAGAAGCTTTCTACTTGTTTGCGCTGCGCTTCGGTTGCTCTCTTGTTCCCTTGGCAGCAGGCTTTGGCTGGGTCTTGGGCTTCTTCGCCTTCGTAGCCTTCTCCTTTCCTCCATCCTCAGCCTTGGTGCTGGCCTTCCTCTTTGATCCAGACTCTTCGGACGGCTCGTCTTTAGCCTTCTCATCGCCTCCCTTTTTGGTCTTGGGTGTTCCAACGGGCTCGGATGGGTCCTTTCGCTCGCCTTTCTCGACAGCCCACTTCTTGGGCGAGGGAGCGCCCTTCTTAGCTTCGTTGGCGTTGTCACCAGTGTCTTCGTAGTCGCCGCCTTTGGCCTCGTAACGCTTGGCCATCTCTGAAGCCTACGCATGCCCGTTGGGGGAGAAGGTGATACAAATACTCAGAGTCAGCGATCATCTTCGCCGATCAAGTGTGGCTCGTGCGTTCGGCTTACCTTCCAAGCGGACCATTGGCCCTTTCCGCCGCCCTTCTCCATGTTGAGCACCTCTGTGAGTCGTCGAGATATCGGAGGCAAGAGAGTTTCAGTATGCTGCACGCCATGCAGGTTGCAGGAAAGCATATCAAGACCTACCTTTGCGCGCTTCCTCACGCTTCTGCGGGTCGGTAGGCTTTCCCTTTGACGATGGCATGTCTTCAGTGTCGCTTGCAACTAGGCATTGGGAGTATTTGAAAAGGTGACTTGCGGGTCCTTGCTTTCGGTGAGGATATTCCACAGAGTAGCAACGACGACGGATGATGAAGTCAGTGAAGCAAGAACTGAACAAGGGACAGGACTTGTTGTGTCTAAGCGGGATCTCAACACCAGCGGTTGGATGAATCACTGAACCGATGGCACGTTCATGCAAGATCAAGGGTCACCTTTCTGGGCCACGATTCTGCCACGACAGATCCTTGTCAGTCAGGCGAGAGACACTGCTCAAAACAGATGGCCTGAGCAATCCTGGCACTCGGAATCGAAACTGGCCGGCTGTCAAGCGAGGGGAGGAAAACGCCATGCTGGCTTACCGCAAGTTGAGGAACGGACCCCGAATTCGCGGACTGACGACGGTGTCCGACCCCAGCACTCCGTCATCCAACTTCTTTGACCGGATCTGCTTACCACTCGCAGCGCAGCAGTAGGCATTAAGCCGAGAAAGAAGAGAAGATGTCTTAGGCCAGCTCTGAGTCCGGACACGAATTGGGTCAGCGACTGATGATAAGGGCTCAACATCTAAGGTCTCGTCTGGCTCTCGAATGCCATCGGACGGACAGTTTAGCGTGACAGCTGCCGGTGTCCGGATCTGAGCCTGACCCTGCATCCCGATTTGGCTAGACCCGATCTAGCCACGCAGACCCGATTTGATCCGGCACGGCCTGCAGAGCAGGAAAAGAAAAAGAAAGACGACGTCTAGGTTGCATACCGATAGGAACACACTCTCAGCAGAAGGCGCTGCCGCTAAAAAGGGGACCGTTGAAGGGAAAAGAGAGACAGAGACAGAGAGAGACAGAGAGAGAGAGAGGCCAGGTGCCAGAAGTCTGAAAATTGAAGCAGAGCTGCATCAGAGGCGTCAGTGATTTGCAGCTTTGCAGCTAACATGCCTGTGCTCGCTCGTCATCCTGATTCGCAACCCACAGATTTGGCAATCGCAATCACCAATCGCTCCCAAATATATCTCTAATAAATTCGCATCCAACACAGGCAGCAGAGCGCACTGTGCTTCCAAGGCTCAGACAGTGACAAAAGAGATCTGCCATCATCTATCTGCTCACACTCATCTTGCTCTGAACACGGTGAACAAGTGGTATCTGCGATCCGATTCATCTATCTCTACAGTGCTTTGACCGCTATATTCATTTCAATCTCTCGCCTGCATCCTACATCCAGCTTCCAGCATTCGGCATCCATCCATCCTGACTCGCATTCTACCATCTTGATACCAGCTCCCTCCACCGTTAACACCTCCCATCGCGCTATCAGCCGGCCATCGCCAAGGATCCCGAGCATCAGCGTTTATCCTGCATAGCACTGTTACTGCCATCAGTCTCGACATCGCTTTTGACCGCTATAACTCGTGTCCCTTGTCGCATACACTCATTCTCGACAGCAACGCATCACTTCGATATGCGCGAGCGCTAGTCAACACGTCAACCACTCACAACCCTGCTCTTCCTTCCTAGCGCTCCCGATTAGGCCACCATCCGACCCGGCCTTATATTCTTTCTCACAGAGCGTAGCGTGACCTGGGCGCGGAATCACGTTGGATCGATTGAACAGCGGTCAAGTCGGTCTCCCCTTCAGCTTGTATACCGTTCGAACACTCTTCTGGCTTGCGCTGTGCAACATTCAGCACCGACCTTGCAACCTTGTCTGTCGCCATGCCAGCTCCACTCGCTAAGGCCACCTCCAGAGGTAACGCCTCCATCCACAGTCATCCCACCGGTCCTACTCAAAAAACTTCGCTCCCAACCGCTGCCTCCACATCACAGCTTCAGCCAGTCCCATCGTGGCCCAGAGCTGGAACATCGCAACAGGATGAGCAAGCATCCACAAAAGCCAGCCTGAAAGCTTGGTGGGCCTCCTTCACCAAAGGGCGTGGCAACAAGGAAAAGAAGCAAAACGAGAATCGCGTCTTCGGCGCGCCGCTCCGACAATCGCTCAAGTACGCCAGTGTCGCCATCTCGGTCGCAGGCAACGACGGCCAACAGTATGTTTGGGGCTACGTGCCCGTCGTTGTCGCCAAGGTGGGTCTTTATCTCAAGGAGACCGCTACCGAGGTTGAAGGCGTTTTCCGTATTGCTGGATCTCAAAAGAGGATGAAGGAGCTGCAGGAGACCTTTGACAGTCCACCTCGCTATGGCAAATCCGTCGATTGGACCAAGTACAGCGTGCACGATGCTGCCAGCGTCTTGCGCAGGTACTTCAACCACATGCCTGAACCTATCGTCCCTCACGACCTCTACACCGAGTTCCGAAACATCCGTGCCAAAGAGCCTTTCGACGAAGAGGGTGCCATCAGAACCTATCGCCTTCTGATCTCCAGCATGCCATCTGCCAGCCAGTATCTGCTGCTCTACGTACTCGATCTCTTGGCCGTCTTTGCTCGGAAATCCGACAAGAACTTGATGCCTTCGAGCAACCTCGCCGTCATCTTCCAGCCGGGCATGTTCTCCCATCCCTCCCACGAGCTTTCGCCTGGCGAGCACAAGTTGGCAGTTCAGGTGCTCGAGTTCCTCATTGACCACCAAGACAATTTTGTGCTCGGCATGTCTCCACAGCCTGCCTCGCAGCTACCCCCTGAAGAGCTCACTGCCGTCTCGAAGCCTGTGACGGATGAAGATGTACTGGTGCCATCAGACAGCGACGAGGATCAGGGCGAATTGCAGGTGCACCAAGGCGGAGGTGCTCGTCTGTTGCGCAGCAAGACTACTAAGCCGAAAACCAAGAGACACGCACTTGGTCGTCCTCGTCGCGCCGACGACGATGGTAATGTCAGTGATGTGGGCGAGCTTTCCGCGCACGCTTCGGGTACATCTGGCAAGAGCCTTACGAACGAAGGTGCTTTGGCTGAAGCTGGCCAGCAGAAGCCTGCTATGGGTCTGCGACGTAGCCGTACAGCACCTTCTCACAAGCCTGTTGAGGGTGCTTCGCTGATCCGCAAGGGTCGCCGTCCTCGCGCTTCGGCAGGCGACAAGCGCGCAGCAGAGGAAGAGCACCGCAGGATCGTTCAGGCGCTCATACCACCACCGCCGGAGCCCAAGTCGCACTCGATGCAGAAGGCTGCTTCCAGCACAGGTCACAGTCAAACTGCTGCCGCAAGGCCATCCACCGACACAAGTCTAGCTCCTTCGTCTACACAGATGCGCAAGGCGCTCTCCGCGACAGATGCCCCTGCAGCACCTCGATCGATTGCCAGCGTCACCTCCCGTCCATCTGCAGACCACAACACTACGGGTCTTCCTACTCCTCCACCCTCCAAAATCCTCGGACCACAGGGATCTGGCTCAACCAAAGGGGAGGTCTCCAAGTAGCCTCTTCAGCCCATTGTCTTGGCTCTCAGTCACTCTTCAGTGGTGAAAAGCCCAACGAACAATTTCTTTTCGTGTTCATTTCCTTTCTTCTCCCCGCACAGTCGTTATGTCTCTTTCCATTCCCCCTTTCATTTCCTCTTCTCCGGTGTCTCTGTCAACCCTATCAATCTGACGGCGAGCAAGACACGATGGCACTGGAAACTCTTCCTGCATATACCTCACTTCACAACTGTATTCGTGTTACTGCATCTTCCAACCCTCAACTCTCCTCTCTTCTCACTTTCACACTTCAACGTGCACTTAGTCTTTCCATTTTTTTTTCTTCATTGTAACGGCTGATTGTTGTCTCAAATGGAACCGCATTTCCTAGTCGAAGTTGGATCGCTGTCTGAATGTGGTGTTCCTGAAAGTCTGTGTTTTCAAAAAGGGCGAGAGCGAACTATGTGGTACATTGGAAGAGAGATGCGCTCTGTGATGGAACGGAGGGACAGCTCGCTGCGTATGGAGCTTTGTCCAGATTGCGAGCTGTTGCCATCGCTCCGTCCACGGACAGGCCCTTGCTGAAGAGCACTGAACTTATTGCTGCTCTTCGCCGCCTTCAAGCATCTGAGCATCCTCAGCCACATACTCTTCCTATCCTTCCGCTGCATACTGTTCATCCTCACCCTCACCTGCAGCTGCTTCTGCACCAGCCCACCACGAGACCAATCCAAGGCCGCTACCAGCAATGCTTGCCGTGATGCTGTAGTGAGGCTTTATCTCCTTTGCTATGTGTTGATTATGATGTGAGTTCTGGCTCTCTCCTGCACCTGGTGGGCCTGGTTCTGCGTCGTGGAAAGCATCCGATTCGACTGTGAATCTGACCACCTCTCCTGTATCCAAGTACATTCTTTCATCCTGTTGGCTCAGCAGTGGATCCGCAGCAATTTGTTCCGTCCGTGCCTCATACAGCCAGAACCAAGCTCGTTCTTGATGGTCGAAAGCACATGGCTTTGGGATCAGATGTGATGGGACGTAAATGTCGTCAAAGAAACCCACAGTGATGTGGATACCCGCTTCGTCGGAGGACTTGATCTTGCCGGTGAGCACTTCTTGTGTGAACGGTCGGAAGACAATGAGACGAAATGTAACGTGGTGGTAGAGACAGCCATCGCCGAATCGGACTTTGCCTTCGGAACAGCTGAGGATGTCGAACAGGGAGATGCAGAGTCCGACATCTACGAGGATCTTGTTGGCATATTTGATGTTGATTTGGTCCGAAATGCTGGTTAGAGAGGGTTGACCGAAGGCGGAAGGATGAACACTGATGGTGTCTTCGATATCGGCGAGGACGAACATCTTGAGGGGATGATGGCAGAGAGCGCGCTCTCTTGAGCAGCGCCTATCAAGCGACCGGCTGAGTATCAGCCACAGCCGGTGTGGTGTCCTGATAGCGAGTCGAATGGATGTCTGTCTTGCGTTGGTCCACGGAGACCTTCGTTATGCGGGTGTTCCGCTGCTAGCTCGAGGAGGAGCAGCGTGAGAGCACGAGAGCTGTGAGCCTATCGATCAGGCCGACATCGTGAGAAGGCACTGCTTCGTGGTCGGAAGGGCCGGGTATAAAGTAAAGCTTCGAGCTGACGGCTGATGAACACTGAAGAGTATCCATGAACCTCAAACACTCCACTTCTTCGTGAGAAGCTCTTCGAGATTTTTTCTCCCGATATCCGTGAAATTTGTATGAAAAGGAAAAAAAAAAAAAGCTGTCAAAAAAAAGGGATTCTTAACGCAGTGAGTCGGCCGGCTGCGCTCAACTAACGCTCCACTTTTCCGCTCGGACCTTCCGCACTTTTTGGAACAAGCTCAGACTTTCGGATCACCCGCTTCTTTCTTTTCATCTTCGCATCTCCCGCATCACCATCACATGACTGAACGTCACAATGGAATTCAGCAGCCTCAAAGGACAGAGGTGGAATGCGCACGATGAAGCTGAGGCGAGAGCTGCTGCTGCCTCTGCAGAAATGGACGACTCAGCCTCGCAAACTCGACCTTCTTCGTCTAAGCCTCGTCGAACAAGGACTTCGCCTGCTAACCACAGCAACAGCAGATCCGAACAGACCACACCAGCCCAAGATCCACTTGTCGCCTCACCAACTGCAGAGACGCCATTCGGACAAGCAATGGCCAACCCTGACGCAGCGTCCGCTGCTGCCGACGAACCCCATTCACAGCCGCTTGAAGACGGATCACTCCCACAACCTGGTTTTGGCTCAGCAGAACACACCGCTTTCTCGTCGGACTCTGTCTACAGGCCTGACAGCCCAGAAGATGCTGCAGAACAGCCGATGAAACCACACAACCTCTTGAGAGCCACTCAGTTAATTCAAGCTGGCGGCGACCCGCTCTCGCCCTTCGCACCAGCTCCCATCCTTCGACTCAACGCGATCCGTATCGCAGGTGCAAATCGCGCACTTCGACCAAGCTACCTCGCCTCCCTCTGCCGACCCTATATGGACCCGACACTCTCAACACAGAATCTAGACGCCAGCTACCTCAACACCCTTTACTACGGCTCACGCACATCTCACGTCCTCCCCGGCCAACCTACCACTCTACCTTCCATCCTTGCTCTCACCTCCTCCCTCGCTGGTGACCTAGACAAGCTCGACGTATTTCGCAACATCGAAGCCTCCCTTGCACCATCCATGTTCCCTGGCGCCAGTGAAGAAGACGTCGATGTGATTCTGTCTTGCGGAAAACCCAAGGGACGAGTCTTTTTGAAGTCGTCAACAGATGTCGGCAATGGCGAAGGCTCAGCCTCAGTCCAGGGTCGCATTCGTAACGTCTTTGGCGGTGCAGAAACGCTGCAAGGCTCAGCTACATTTGGAACGAGGACTAAGCAAGCTTTCAACCTCGAATTCGGCGGTCCATTTGCGGGCAATCCAGATATCGAGTACAAACTTTCTGCTTTCTCTCACGATAGAGACTATTCTGCTTTTGCTTCGGTGTCAGAGGGCGTGAAAGGTGTACGTGCTAGTATTAATTCGAGCTTTACTTCTGAGCCGAAAGGAGTCATCAACCCGAGCGAGGAGGATGAAGGGCAAACAGCATCGACGAGCCAGCACGAGCTGGCATACGAAGCATCGTTGCGAGAGCTAGGCAGAGTGATGGCGGACGCAAGTGTAGCGGTCAGGAAAATGGCTGCTGCGCCAAGCGTCAAGTCTGCAGTCAGCTGGACTTGGTTGAGTGAGAACAGGGATAGTCCCGTGCTGCCCAGTCGCGGGAGAAAATTGAAGAGTGTCTTGGAGTATGCTGGGTTGGGAGGGGATGCGAAACATGTCAAGGTTGAAGTCGAGGGGACGACCGGTCGACACTTTTCTCCTCCCTTGGAATGGCTGTTCCCTTCTTCATCTACAACCTCTGCGTCGTCTCCATCGCCCTTCCTCGAAGAAGCGAAGGAAACATCAACCCTTCCTTCAACTACAGACGCGACCCCGGCCCTCTTCTCACCATACTATCCACTCTACACATCCCTAACTTTCCGATCTGGCCTCCTCTATTCCCTCGGCTCCTCCTCCTGCTCGTACACTCATTTCTCAGACCGCTTCCAACTCGGTGGTCCAACATGCCTCCGCATGTTCCGCCACTCCTCCCTCGGCCCCAAATCCGACCACTCCTCTCTAGGAGGAGACGCATTCTACTCCCTTGGTCTATCCTGTCTCTCCCCTATCCCTACCAAACCACACTGGCCTTTGATGCTACATACATTCATCAACGCCGGTCAACTATGCCAGCTTCCCACACAACCTTGGAAAGATCAAGGCAAATATTGGGGAGCGTTGAAAGAGTTAGCTCAACCAAGCAGTAGTGTCGGTGTTGGACTGGTGTACATGCAGGGACAATTGCGGGTTGAATTGAACGCAGGTGTGCCCTTGAGTGCGAGGAAGGGCGATGGGGTTAGGAAAGGGTTGCAGCTTGGAATTGGAATCGACTTTCTCTAAACTTCCAAAGCTCTCTTTTGTATTCTGCAACATCGTCACAATCTACACTCACATCACTCATCACTCATCACTCATCACCACCACATACATCGCATCAACTCGTCCGTGAAAGTTCGAGAAACCTGTGTTTATGCATAGATCTACCCCTACACCACGTTCAAGAGAGCTAAAGATCCTCCTCCTTAACATACCCGGGATTCTTCAATAAGATACTGAATCCTTCCAAAACATGTGCATAGCTCAAATACTCCTCTGTACCCAACTCCGCTCTCTCATACGTACCGACTCTAACCGGTGTTGTATGAGTCTGGAATCCACTAATCGTCCTTGGCTTACCTGCCTGTCCAACCACATCAACTGCCTTACCCACCCTAACGCTTGTAGGCAACGCCTCTAGCTTCTCATCCAATGTAATGAGGAAGCGGGGATACATAGCCGGACTGAGAAAGTACAGCATCCAGTGCGCCTGGTCAAGTACGAATCCGCGTGCATCCGTCATGGAAACCAACAATGCCAAGATACCGCTGACCGCTGTACGAGACATCAACTGTCGATCCGTGTGATAAGGATTAATTCCAATCGTTCCCTTACCCATGTGAACCAAGCCTTGGGATACACGAACCATGAACAAGCAGTCAGGCTCCTTGTAGTAGTACCCTGCCAACTGTCTCAACATCTGTGCCAAACGAGCGTTGTTGGAACCAGCACCAACGAGACCCATAGCCAGAATAGCGTTGATGGCCACATCCAGATCCGAGTCGTGCGAGTACTTGGAGAGGGTGTCAAGAACAGGCATCGATGGGTTTGAAGGGTTGAGAAGCGCCAGTGCCAGAGGAACAGCCCTACGGATCGCGGGCTCGCCGTAGTGCATGAGATGCGAAAGATGACGCATCGACATCTCAGCACCTACTTCTTCACCCATAGTGACGAGCGCAATACCAATAACGGCAAACGCCTGGAAAAGATCGTTGCTCTCCTTGTCCTTGTCCTTATCCTCGCTGGACTCGGCGTTTTCCGAATCAGCGTTGCCGTTAGCATTAGCGTTGGCGTTTTTACCTTCAGCACCCTCCTCAGTGGTCTCTGGCGCCTGTCTTTCGGTACAGTAGTGAAGCATCTTCTGCACCTTAAGCACGTTACCAGTACCAGCGTATGAGCACATGTCAACGAGCACCTGCGCCTGCTTGCTAATCGGATGCTCGATCGCCTTGAGCGTCTCGATCGTTGCATCACTCTCGTCTTGCTTGCCCAGGAACAACAGCGCAAGACCGAGGATCATGAACCTTCCCCACTTGTCGTCAAGCTGCGATGGATCACGTTCCATCATACTCTGCAAGATAGTGGGTGTGATCTCACCATGACAGCTGCCGGCAAAGATGAAACCCAGAGAGAGCGCCGACATAGCAGCTACCTCCATAGGTGTTGTCTCGTCCTGGATGTTGGGCAACAAGAGCGCAGCAATGTCCTCGCGGCAGAAGCCGGCGTAAGCGAAACCAAGACCGACGATGGCAGAAACTTTGAGAGTGATGCTCTTGGACTCGATGTGCTCGGAAAGCAGCGCCATGGCTTCGTCGAGTTCGGATCGCAGACCAGAGTGGACGATGCCATAAGCAAGGAAAGCACCGGCCTTGATAGCCTCTTCAGACGAGTACGAGTACTTGTCGATCTGATCCAGACCCGTCTCGGTGTTCCAGAGCAAGCTCATACCGAGCGAAGCAGCGGCAGAAAGCATACCGTGGTCCTTGTTTTTGTAGATCCACGAGTTACCCTCAGGTGCGTCGACCATAAGCTTGTCATTGCCGAAACCTGCGTTGACGAATGCATTCACAAAAGTGCTGGCAAGGTTACCACGAGCCGAATCGACCGATCCACCGAGACCTGTGCGCGAGTTCTCGAGATGAGTCTTGTAGATATCCTCGAGACTCTTTGGCTCAAAGACGTTGAGCTCCTTGCCAAAGTTGACGAAATGACGCGAGAGATGCGAGTTGTACATGATGTCGAGCAGCTCGTTGTCGGTGATCGGGTCATCTTCGTCTTGAAGCCATTCGATAGGGATGTGTTGCCTTGCGAGCATGTATGCGAGCTGCTTGCGCATGATAGGATTCTTGGGTGCCTCGAAATCGGATCGGATGAGATCCTTGTCGCCGAGACGAAGCGCAAGTGTCATAGCTTCGGTGTAGCGTTCATGCTTGCGGTAGATCTCGTGAGCAGTGCGGAGGAACATGATGTCATCGGGAGGAACAAGGAGGTTGACACAGCTGACCATGTAAAGACAGACACGTGCATAGGTGTCCTTGTCGACGAATTGTGGCAGCTTGTCGATGGCCTCGAGTTCAAGCAACAGATCGACGGCATCAGCTTCAGCATTGTGTGAGAGACTGAAGGGGACGACCTGGAGTGCAAGCTCGAGGAGCTCGTCTGTGTTTTTTTCCTCTTGCGAGCGAGCGTTGTACTCCTCTCCGAGTTCAGCGGCGAGGTGGCGCATGTATTCGTGTCCCCAAAGACCTGGATCTTCGGACTTGCCATCGGATGCGATGTGGTTGGCCTGAAGACGGAAGTGAAGAGTTTCGCGCTGACCGTTGTCCGAGTAGGTCATTGCAAGAACGGAGAGGATCTCAGCAAACAAGCTCTTGTCGGCACTCGCCTGCTTCCATGACTCGTAAAGAGTCTTGAGCTCTGGATAGTGGGGTCGGAGGAACTTGAGGGGCTTGGGAACGGAGGTCATGGAAGAGGTACTTGTGCGAATCAGGGTTCGGAGTGATTCGAGGGCCGGGCGATAGAGCGAGGAGTCGTTCTCTTTGAGACGCTCTACGAGCATCTCGAGCTCGTTCTTGAGCTGAAGATCCTCTTCGCTGAGCTCATCCTCAGGCTTGTCCTTGCCATTGGCACGCTTCTCGTTGAAGGGTGGGAGTCCTTTGCGAGCGGCTTCTTCACGCTGCTTTTCCTTCTTCTTTTCCTGATCTGTCTTCTTTGGGTCCTCGACAGAGACGGTGATGTCGAGCTCCTGCCCGTCGCCTCGTGCCATGCTGAGCTATGTGTGAGAGGGGTAGAGCTGGCAATGAACGTAAGGAATGCACCGATGCGCTGTGGAACGAAAGTGTTGAAAGATGCAGCTGAGACGATGCGAATGCAGGGCGAAGCTGAACGCAGATGTCGTGAAGATGAAGCGCTGCTAATGGTAGTGAACAAAGCGCAGCAAATGGTGAGGTATTGGAAGAAGGAAGCGGGAGTAACACGAATTGCTGAGCGCTTTCGTGTGTGTGAGTGTGGAGTGAGTGTGCGTCGAAGAATCTCGTTGCGCGTCCGTTCAGCCGGGCAGGGACAGACAGACACAAAGCAGCAGGAAGCCAACACAAAAAGCGCTTCGCAGACAGGAAGCCGATCACCTAGGAAACTCCACTTCAAATTCAGCGCGTCACCAGAAAGTTGAGGCGGTCTGACATACCGAAAAATGGTATCATGTCAGATCGCAATAGTCAACAACGTATCGAAGACACACGTGTCACAACCCACTCAATTGGCCTTGCTTTGCTCATTACTCCTTCCTACCATCATCTTCTCTTTTGGCAAGTGTCGCTTCAAGATTGACCTTGCCAATCTTCCTTTTCCCGCCCGATCCCCTCCCTTACGTTCCGCCTGTATGACCCGTTCTTTTCTGCGCTCGACTGGCCCCTTACGGCAGGCTGGGAGCCTTTGAGCCAGCGAGCCACCTTGCTGACCCGCAATCTAACATTGTTTCTGTATCGTCCGACTGATCCTCACTTGTGTGGCCGTGCAAGTCAAGCTGGCAAGAGATTTTATTCGACTATCACCATCTCCACCTCTCCGACGAACTCGCTTACGAGTTGGTCGTTGGTCGTAGGTAAGTAACCGAAACCTCTCTAGTTACACTTCTGTCCGAAGGGAGTCTGATTGTGGCCCCAACGAAGTGGTGTTTCTACTTTCAACTCCATTTTACCTGTCGACTGCCTTAATTCGCTGCAGATTTTGAAGGCGTCAACGGCAAACAAAGCACAAACCGAGCTAAACTTGATGAGATGAACACTTTTACCTTCTCCACCACCACCACACGGATCATAAGCTCGAGATCATTGCCGTGCATCATACACTCGGTTCTCGTCTTGGTCTTTCGAGCGTCGATTCCACCCCGGATCCCATCTTTCTTCTCCTCTACAACCCACCCGTCGCTCGTCATCCTACTCTCCTCAACATGGGCCTTAGCAAAGAGACCCGCATCATCACCCTCCTGGCGATTGATGTCGTCTTCTTCTTTGTCGAAATCATCACTGGTTATGCCGTCGGCTCGCTCGCTCTTGTCGCTGACTCGTTCCACATGCTTAACGATGTCATGTCTCTCATTGTCGCGCTTTGGGCTGTAAAGCTCTCAACCAAGTCTTCCGATCACCGTTTCAGCTACGGATGGCAGCGTGCAGAGATTCTCGGTGCTCTTGTAAATGGTGTCTTCCTTCTCGCGCTTTGCTTCAGTATCTTCATGGAGGCTATTCAGCGATTTGTCAATGTGACGGAGGTGACCAACCCAAAGCTGGTTGTTATCGTCGGCTGTCTCGGTCTGGCGAGCAATCTTGTTGGTCTCCTGCTCTTCCACGATCACGGCCATGCACATGGCGGACACGGTCACAGCCATGGCAGCCGCAGTCACGCTCACAGCCACGCTGTCACTCACGGCTCAGGCCACGATCACGGTGATGCTCACCAGGATGAGGCGGCTGTCGGTGACGCTGTTACCCCCGCCTCGATCGGCCGCAAGAGGACCACCACCAGCAACGACGATGGTGTCATCGGCAGTCCCGTTGCTAAGCGAGGCCGTGGTCGTCAGGACAGTGTCGGCTCTATCCTTGGTCACCCTGCTCAAACTCGTGCTTTCGTTGTACAGACTGCTCACGATCTTGGCTATGACGGCTCTTCCCGACACCAGCATAGCGACTCCATCACATCTCAAAGCGAGCGGACGCGTTTGCTAGGCAACGGCTCCAACGACTACGGCTCCACCGATGTCAATGCAGCTGATCTCGAAGCCGGTGCCACTTCCCCCACCGCGCGCAAGAACGCCCATTCCCACGATCAAGACTCCCACGCTGGCCACAATCACGCCTCCGACGATCACGTACACGATGGCCCAGGCCACGGTCACTCCCACGCTGGCGGACACAGCCACGGCGAAGGTAGCATGAACATGCAAGGTGTTTTCCTCCACGTCCTTGGTGACGCCCTCGGTAACGTCGGTGTCATCGCAGCAGGTCTTCTCATCATGTACTCGGATGCATGGTGGAGATTCTACTCTGACCCAGCCATCTCTTTCCTCATCACCATCATCATCTTCCACTCCGCTCTACCCCTCTGCAAATCCGCATCCTACATCCTCCTCCAAGGCGTTCCAGCATCCGTATCACTCGAAGCCGTCCGTCAATCCATCCAGAGCGTCGATGGGGTTCTCAACCTCCACGAACTCCATGTATGGCAGTTGTCCGAAAGCAAGATCGTCGCCTCAGTCCACGTCTTGGTCGCATGTTCTTCCGGTCACACTGAAAAGTACATGGGTATCGCAGCTAAGATTAGAGCAAATCTGCACAGTTGGGGCATTCACTCGAGTACCATTCAGCCCGAATTTGTACCTGGCGGATTAAGAGAGGCGGCGATTTTGAGCGGTGTACAGGTGGCAGAGAGCGACGAACATGGAAGGTTAAGAACCGTGGAAGGTAGATTGGTCGAGAATGAAGTGCAGAAAGTGGATACTGCTTGTTTAATCTCCTGTGGACAAGATAATTCTTGTCAGACGGAAAGCTGCTGTCCTCCAACTAACAGCACTAGTGCTTCGGGAACTGCCACTCCGGCTGCCAGCGGAAATGACCGTTCATAGTCGTTAGCCCTCTCGCCACAAGATCATACCCTTCTTGCTTTTCGGACCTTCTAGTCGCTCCTACATTTCGTTTCACCCGTTTCCGTTGTTAGAGACAGTGTTTTCTTACTGTCACGCTCTGTTTCTTGATACAGTATCATACATCAATGCGGATTGCATCAATTCTTCCAAAGTCTTTCTTGCTTGCAGTGAGGTTGAGCTCATCCACAATCACCGTGCTAACTGTTGAAGTGGTGGTGGACTCTTTATGGCAGGACACGGTTGTATTGCGTTCTCGACGTTGGTGAGTAAGTACAAATGATAGATAATATCATCAGGAACGAACTAGCTGACTCGAGCACTATATATACATCTCGACACCGTCACAAAGATAGGGGAAGGTCTGAAGCATGAGAGGCAGGGCACGAGAGCCCTTTGGAAGGAGGAGTCCGTTTTCTCTGAGGGACTTTGCCACCCTATCGAGAGGTGCCGACGAAGGCTTACCCTTTGAAGGAGACTTGTCGACTGCTTCGTCGGATGCACCGATCACCTTAACGGAGGCTGCCCAACGGGAGGCCCAACGAAGGCTTATCATCGTGAGAAGACTTGTCGGCCGTCCCGTCGGATGTACCGGTCATCCCGTCGGAAGACATCGGCCACTCCGTCGACTTGCTGGTGCAAGTCGATACCCCTCCTTCACTAAGCAAGTCTGCACAGACAAATAGTAAACCCAAAGAGGAGTGGAGTGAGATTCAAACCAAATAAACACAATAGACAAGCAACCGAATCCAAGGGTATACAGTGTACAACATCTCAGTATCGTCCTACCGATCGTCTAGAAGAAACTCCACCGACTTCCTTCCCTAACCTTACTGTGTCCGCTCTTCTCCTGGTAAATCTTGACCAAATCACTCAGCTTCTCCATGACCATTTCCAACTTTTCCTTCCTCTCTTGCAAATCCAAATGTTTCTTTACCACGGGGTTTTCTCTTGCGAACTTTGCCACTTCCTGTTTATCCAGATTGTATACCAGCTTTGCGTCGATCTCCCTCGGAAACTGGTAGAAGAACTCGGAAAGCAATTCGATGTTGATGAACATAACCGCAGTGTATGTTAGCTTGTCGGCGACAATGTTGAGGAAAGTTTCTGGACAGAAAGCTTTCGCTTCAGGTCCACCACGACATCGTTTAGATTTGAGAGTGTTGAGTCGGGTCTTGAGCATACGAGAGCGTTCCGTGAGGAAGAGCGCTTCGCGAGCTTTGATGAGCAGAGCAGAGTTGTAGTCTGGTCTTGTTGGGTCGTTCTGGTCATCGTCTTCCAGGGGGAGAGGAGTGGTGTTATCAGAGGAGGCAGCGGCTTCTCTTGCCCGAATGCGAGCTTGAACCCTCTTCCTCTCCCTATCTTCCAAATGAGTCACGTATTCCATAGCGCCCTTCAACCGCCGACCACCAAGCAGCTTCTTGATATTGTTGAAAGCTGCATCACACATACCCAATTCCCTTTCCACCAAGTTGACCGACCTCTGCCTTCCAGCTTCCCACTCCGGTGCTTCTACCTCAACTTCATACTTGAACGGCTTAACGCAGTTCTCTACCTGATCAGCAGTCAACCCGAACCTATCCCTGAGAATCGCCGTACTGAAAGTAACAATTTTCTCAGCCGCATCCGGGTGGTGATTGAACGGCTCGGACTGAGCCAAGTGCTCGACCTGCGTCCTGATCGAATCCACTACCAGCTGTGTAGACAATCTTCCAACCCCCGACTTCGTCAACGCTGATGAAGAAGCGTCGAGCTTGTACTGCCAGTACTTGTCCAAGTCCTCGGGCGAAACCTTCCTTGCATCTGCTAACTGCGATAACTCTGGAGTGCGGGCATCAGACCAATACATCTGAGCCAAGATATCCATTACCTTCTCGTCCAACGCCTGTTTCAGCAGAGCTCGGACTTCAGGTTTTCCAAAGTTCAAAGCGAATTCCTTGAAGCGCAGCTTGAGAGCGTCCATGGTCTCGGCGACGTAAGATTCGGCAGTGATGCTACGATCATTGTACTGCACTTTGAACTGGTAGGAAGCTTCCTCGAGCTCGACCTGCACTGCATTGGCAATGCCGTGAAGGGACGAACCCATACTCTCTTCCAGCACGCTCATCAGTCGCCTTCTGAGCGTATCGGTGCCCGTCATCGGCTGCACACCTGCATTTCTTCCTCTCGTTGGAGCACGGAAATGCTCCTTGTTGGCAGCAAAGTAATCTGACTCCTGCTTCATCACCAAACTCGACATCCTTCCCTCCCCAGTCGCCCTATCATGCCCTTTACTACTCTGGAAAACACCCAAATTGTTCTTGCACACCACTCCAACATACCCCAACGCCAATGGGTACTTGTTATTGGACAAGATCCCCGCTCCCACCTCAGGTGGGACCAAGTCCATCTTCGTCACGACTCCAATCGTCCTTAGTCCCAGAGGATCAACTTGACGACTGGCGCGAAGGGCGGGAGAGTTGGCAAGATCAACATCAGCTGCGCAAACAGCGAGAATGATGTTGGGTTCTTGAATGTACTTGTTGCAGAGTTTCTGGATCTTTTCGCGGAGCTCGTCGGGCTGGTCCATGGCTACGATCTGGACGTAACCGGGGAGGTCGATGAGGGTGAGATCGGGTACGTGTGGACTGTGGATGCGGAGTTCGATAGGCTCGTCGCTGACACATTCAGAAGCTGGAACGGCCATGTTGAGATCGTAAAGCGTCTTTTGGACATGCGAAAAGTCGGTGATACGGCCCAAGACAAGGCCGGGGAACTCGGCGTATTCGACGAGCGTGTCCTTTGTGGGTCGGTCGGGCCGAGCAGGTGAGTGGATGAGAGTAAGCTCGATAGGTCGACGAGTAACCATGTTGTTTCCCTTGGGCAGGAACTCGTGACCGACAATGGTTTCGAGAACGGAACTCTTGCCACTACTCTGCGAGCCAATGACAACGATGGAGGGAAGTGACAGCTGGTCCGACTCGTGATCGATTTCCTTGAGTATGTTGCGGACCTCGATAAGCTTGCGCGTGAGAAGCATGAGCTCTTCAGTGCTACCTTTTGCTACGCCGTCGCCCGACTCAGCTGTGTCGTCACCATCGCCAAAGAGAGACGAAGCGGCCACGGCAGCTGCTCCAGCCAAAGTAGGTGCACCATTCGGATCGGGACCTCCACCACCACCCCTAGCTCTCGATGAATCAACACCATCAGCATCTGACTCAGACGAGCCCATACCCGAGAAAAAGTTCCTCAAGAAACCTGGAGTCTGCAGCTTGGGCAGTTCAATACCATCCACCTTCTCTGACAGCGCCTCCCATCCATCCCTTGCACTGTCTAGCGCATCGGCACCGAATTCCGATAAGCCCGCGTAGGCGTCTTTGGCTCTGCCCGACATTTTTTCATATGAGCGACCGAGCATGCCTTTGAACTCGTCGACCTTGTAGTTGGCGTAGGCGAGTGCGCCTCCACCTGCTGCGATGCCATAAGCCGGCAGACGAACGGCCCGGAAAGCGGCACGGGGGACCGAGTTGAAGGAGATAGCGCGCACATGAATAAGGCGGCTACCGCGAGCTGAGGCAGCGAAGTGAGAGGTGAAGGTTGAATTATCGATAACGGAAGGCCGATGGCCCGCGAAGCGTGAAAGAGGTTGGCGGAGGTGCACGTTCTGAGAGCGAGTGGGGGAGGCGAGGGTCGAGAAGCGCGAGCGGTTGGTGGCGTACTGCGCGATTCTGCTCATGCTTTGGTAGGCCAACATCATGAATAGCGCGTGCTGGTCGTGGGTGGAGAGTCCAAGGTCGGGGCGGAGCCAGGTATTGTCCGTCGAACAGTGGAGCGCTGTTAAGCAGCTGTTTTGCGGTCAGGAGTCGGACCCTTCGTCGTGGGCAGATAAGAAGGGCGTGTGGCAGGAGACCAAGTACAGTCGCTGCAATCTAGTCCATCGACAAGATCCTTTGATCTGTCTGTGTTCTTGATGGTCAGGCCGTGATATGTTATGTCTTGTGGTGGTGGCGACGATGGTAGTTGCCAAGATCGGACCGAAGCCGTGGCAGGAACCGATAGTAGAAATCGCTTGAGACGTATCTTGCACAGCTCACTCACATTCCGCTCAGCCAAAAACCCAAATAATATCTCCACTTTTTGAAAACACAGAGCACGCAAAACCAAAACAACACCAATGTCAGATCGCAACATCACGAACATTCGTGATTTTTCCCGACGTGGCTCTGTACGCGTCAATTTACGCGGCACGCGAGGCGGTCATATTTTTTTGGTGCGCAGAGACCAACACCTTTCACCTTCACTTGGGCTCCTTCCTCCTCCGCTTCTTCTCTCTCGCACCTCCCTGCACTCTCGCACCTCCTTGCACTCTTCCACCTTTCCGCAATGACCACCACAACCATTTCCGACAACAACGATACCAGACCCACGAAGTTCGCCAAACTGGACCACCCCGCCACTACCACCATGTCTTCCTCCAGCTCTACCCTCCGCCTCCTAGTACAGCTCCATCCCTCTCACCCGCTCGCAAAACTTCCCACCCGAGGCTCAGCACTTGCAGCAGGCTACGACCTCTACGCATCCGAGCGCGTCCTCCTCCCTCGTGGTGGACGTAAAGTTGTCCAGACCGGTATCTGCCTCGCCATCCCCACCGGCCACTACGGTCGTGTAGCTCCCCGATCCGGCCTCGCTTCTAAACACGGCATTGACGTTGGTGCTGGTGTGATCGACGAAGATTATCGAGGACTGCTCGGTGTTTTGCTTTTCAATCTGGGCGATGCTGATTTCACAAGTAAGTATCATTCCACATAGAAAAAAAAGAAAAGAAAAAAAAAGGGGGAGGAGTGAGCTTGCTGATAGAATGTTGCGTTGTGTTCTGATGGTGTAGTCAATGAAGGAGACAGGATCGCACAATTGATCATTGAGAAGATTTCGACTCCAGAGGTTCAGCAAGTGGAGAGTTTGGACGAGACTTTGCGCGGTGAAGGCGGTTTCGGATCGACTGGTGGGTTCACTGCGCCAGCTGCTGATGCAACCGCAGCGGCAGTTGCTGCTGATTTGCCTGCCGAGGTTCAGTCTAGTAAATAAGCCTCCTTAGTCCTTCTATCGATGTTTCACCCGCTCGCACTACAGCAATCTCACGACTTTAGACAAGTGATGGGGAATTGAGATGTATGATGGAACGAAAGAGTAGCTTCATGTCCGCATATGATGTGATCAAAGATCACCAGAATCTGAAGAGGGGTGCAATCGCTTCCAACAGCTCTCATGATAGACCAGGCCAGATTTTTGAACCACGATTCTCTCCTGCTCATTCCCTTCACCTACTCCCATCGCCCCATCTACATCAAACGAGACCTCACCCGCTCCCTCTCCCATCCACGCATTCGCTTGAGCTTTGGTGGGGAAAGCAGTAATCGTCCCATCTCCATCCTCTTCCTCAACCTTTTCGTCGTTCTCGGCTGTGGCCTCATCCACCTCGATCTCAGTCGCCAAACTTCCCCTCCACTCCGGCCCATCATTGATCCTCAGACTAACCCCTATAGTACTAGCAATCGAATTGCTTCGCTTCATAACCACATTCGAAGGTCTACGCTCCGTTGCTTCGCTTCCAAAGTATCCATCTACCTCGCTGAGCGAAGCAACGCTACTTTCGCTCCCCATCCTCCTGTTGAACCCACTTGCACCTGGAGTGGTGCCATTCAGCTGGAACTCGGTTGAAGCGGATCTGACCACTCCTTTGCCTTTATCTGTGCGCGGTGAGGCCAGAGGTGCAGCCTTCTCGTCATACGGAGACTTGGCTCGTCGACGAGGTTGTAGCAGCGACGCTGTTGGTGTTAGGCTTGAACTGGCTTTTCTGCTCGGGGAGGGGGCGGAAAATGAAGGCGCTCGGGTGAGCTGGCTTGTTGGCTCTGGTGAAGTGACGGGTGAAGTGACTGTTATCGCACCGTTTGCAGGAGAATTCTTGCTGGACTCGGCTGCAAAGCCGCGCTTAGGACCGATGAGCAGCACCTCACATCCAGCACATCTAGCAGCTGCCCCACCCGCCGGTCTCCACCCATGTTTCCTTTGAGCATGCAACCTGCGGAACTGATGGAAAGTGTCTCTGTCAAAAAGCTTGTTTGTGATCGCCAGCAGTTCTGATCGCAGATGGTAAGCTGAAAGCATGCCGTCGAGAACAGACCGTATTTCTGCGTAGTACTCTGCAACGCCTGCTTCTTTTTCTGCCTCTCCATTCGACTTGTCGTCGGTCTGAGAACCAGTGAGTCGTCTAAAAAGCGCTGGGAAGGAAACAGCTTCAGCTGCTGTAGAAGAAATGAGGTCCGAAAGTGTGTCTTGAACAATGTCCCGGACTCCGTGGAGTAGTTGCTTCGGTCGTTGTATTTCGTCGCTCTCGGAAGCAGAAGCACCTAGGCGGGCAACATCGTGTACCAACCGCACCAAACTCCTCAGAAGACGATACCACACTTCGTCGGTGTCCAACTTCTCTCCTTGCCGCTTTGCCTTGATTGCGGGTTGGTCTTCATCATCGCTGTCATGCTCACCACCGAAAGCATTCGCTCGCTCGATACAAAGCCGAACAGCCACGTTGACACACCTTCGGACATCGCCCAGAAGCTCTTCCGCGACCCCTCCCGACCCAGATGCCGCAACGTAAACGAGCGAATCAGCCGTCCTTGCGCACGCTGTATCCAGCTCTTCGAAAGCTTCTTTCGACCTCCCCAATCGATCCAGCGCCCACAGCACGGTATCGCTGTTTCTCGTCACCCTCGATCCATCAATTGCCACATCTCCTTTGCGGCACACTTGCACCAAGCGCTCGAGGTCAAAGTAAGTCGCGCCTCGAGTGTCCAGATTGCGTACTACCGCTTCGGGATCGTAACGACAGAGCAAGTCGAAGTACACTTCCCGTTCTTTCTGCTCGAGATGATCTGCGTTAGCCCTGCCAACGTCCGCATTGTAGGCGGTATTAGTACACGCGGCTGGGCCTCCTTCGGTCCAGCCAAGTCCTTCCTCTTCATTACCGGATAGCTTTGGCTGAAGCGTCGGGTGTGCGGCTGCGGCTTTACTAACCTCCATCGGCTCAAAAAAGCACCGCAAGAACAACAGCAACCTCTTCTCATCCAATTGCTCCAACCTCTGCAACACCTCTCCATGCTTCTGCGGGAAGAACCTATCGAGCAACCCTGCAGTCTTGAGCGCATCTAGGTCCAACAGATCAATGATGTGGTCCGAGAGCTGCTCGTGCAGTCTAGCCTGCAACTGCTCCCTCTTTGGCGTGTCATTGCGAGTGGCGTTGAAAAGTATTGCTTCGAAATGAGCAAATGCGTCACCTCTCGAGCTACCCTCTTCTTCACTGTCTGAAAACGTGGAATCGGTCTGGAGATGCTCTCGAAGATACATCCCAAGCAGCCTATCCCATTTCTTCTCCTGTCTGAAAGCGGATCGCAAGATGCGGTGAAACGATGCGCGCTCGAAGATGTTCAACCAGTTGTCGTCGAATCGTGGCTTGTAGTGCGAGAGAAGACATTCAGCTGCTAGCTCGCGGTCTTCTCGAGTCGAGTCGATCACCTCCTCTTCTTCCACCACAGAGACCGCATCACCACCGCTCTTCTCGACAGGAAGCGCAAGTGACCGCAGCAACAAGTCCACGTTCTGCTGCGACAGCCGTACGAACTGCGGGTACTTGGGCGCGTTCCTCGCGACAAAGATGTACACAAAGATCCTCGCCATCAGTGGCAGCGTCTGAGACTTACCACCTTCCGATCGCCTGCTGGACTCCTGCGAGCTAGTCAATTCCAGAAGCACATCCACAATAAGTTGTCTACTAATCCGCTTTCCCACTACATCTTCGTCATCAAGGAAGCCATCTTCAAAAGCCAAATCTAACGCATCGAGGAACGCCTCTGCGTCGAACTCCAACAGCAATCGAAGGTAGGGATAAATAGGCTCATGATCGCCATCACTTTTCCCGTGACTCTCGTGCTTGAGGTCGTCCTGAGTATCGTTGAGACCGTACAGCACAAGTTTACCGCCCAGACCGGGAGGCCACAATGTGCAACTGCCGGAGAAAACGAAAGAGTAGATAGAGCTCTTGGCTTTGCTCGCTTGTTCGTCCATTCCGAACGGCTCCTGACTCGGGTAGCGGTTGCCCGTGAGAATGACGGAGAGGTATGAAAAGACGCGATATGCATCTTCAAGATCTCTCTCTCCCGCCTCCCACTCTGGCACTTCCTCCTTCGCTTCTGCCAACACCGAACTGTCGGCGGTGTCGTCGGCGACTCGGATATGAGCATATGGATCACTGGTATCCTCCTGGTCCACCTCACTTGTCACTTCTTTCCTCTGCTTCCTTCTGCGCACAATCGCCCTTCGCAATGGGTGCAGCAACTCAATGATCGGTGAAACCCAATCCTCCAACGCACTATTGAAGACATAGATCAACGCGTCGTACAATCTCCTCTCCAAACACAACGACAGCGTCTGATCCAAATCCAACGACTTCGGATCCACATGCCAGATAATCCTCTCTGCCTGCCCATACTCGGCTCGATCCCTTCGAAACGCAACCAATCTCTGCACCACTGGAATCGGCAGAGTTCGCAGCTCTCCAGAGACAATAAAGTCTTCCATCTGCCCGACAAAGATGGCTTCGATGCCATTGTCTTCGTACTTATCGTAGAGAGTGTTGAAGAGAAAATCAAGGTCGTTCAGGGAGAGACAGGCGCGCGCACAAACGCGAGCAAGACCTTGGAAGAGGGAGGTACGATCTACGCCACGACCGTCTGGCGTGACATGGGTCGAGTCAGTAAGTCGATCGGGAGAGAAGGCGTATTCGGCGGACGCAGCCATGAGCTCGCGGAGTTTGTTGGTGACGGTGAGGGTGCGTTCGATGGGCTCAGAGGGCAGACCTACGGCTGAGCCAAGGAATTTGTCCTGATGGAAGAGTGTTGCTAATTCGATGGCTGAGAGGAAATCGCCTTGACTGACGTAGAGCAGCAGACGGTCTGCCCAAGAGAGAAGGGTGCCGACTACAAGATCTGATTTGGTCAAGAAGAATGAGCACCCTTTCGAGATGCGAACGCTGTGATTGAGCGCCCAAGATCGAGCAGCTAATGACTCTACCGAGGTTGGATGCTCATCTTGTGTCTCTGCACGAGGATCGAAGGGCTTTCCAAGGAGCACAGCATCATAGTATCGCTGCTCTACGGTCTTCGCCAAAATCGCAGAAGCGCTTCCACCTCTCATACGCTCTGTCACCTTGCCGGCACGGCAGTCGAACAACGCTAAACCTGACCGTGTCGTCAACATGAGCAGATCCGGACTGAACCACTGCAAAGCGATAATGTGATCCGGCTCCTCGATACCATCTTCGCCCGTCAGCTCAACCATGTCTACCTCTTCCGTGACCACGCTTGTCGCGGCCGCATTGCCTCCACGTGCTGTTTTAGGTTCTGGACGCTGCTCGACCTTCCTCGTCACCAGCCTGACAAGATGCAGTGTAGGTCCAAAAGAAAAAGCTAGAATGGGGTTGGTTTGCCTTGTCCGCCTCCCATCAACCTCTGTCGACGCTGGGTACCATGCAAGACAGCCCGGCTCTTGAGTTTCTGGTCCTTCGGTTACGACGCTTGCCACCGTCTTCTCTGTTGCCGGTTGCTTGTGCACCTTTCGATACCAAGTCTTTGGCGAGGGCTTAAGTCCTACCAGAACCATCTTGGCTGGTGTGATCATGGCGACAAACGTTGTCTCATCCGCAGCGTGCGGCCGAGAGCCGAGTGGCAGCGGACTGAGCTGGAAGATGGTATTGCGCTTCTTTCCATCGCTTAGCCCGAGCTCGTCCTCATGCTCGTATTGTGGGTACTTGCCGAGCAGTCGAAGCGTGTCGTTGGAGCTGACGCCAAGGATCTTGCCTAAGGCATGGTAGAATGCGAGACCTTTGTTGTCAGCAGTGACAATGGCGGTATGACGAAGACCGATAAAGCCAATGTGAACGATGGCAGAGCCAGAGAGATGCCCTTCCTTCTTCCCGGCTTTGACAGATGACAGAGGCACTGGTGGAACATGTCGTGCTGCACGTCTAGGGTTGGACAAGTCGTAGAGGAAGATATTGCCCGAAGCATGACCAACACCGAGGAAAGAGTGATCCGAAGAAAGGGCAAGAGCAGTGACGGCATCGCCGTAACTACGTCCGTCGTGACCACACGAAGCAAGAGGCTCCTGTGCAAAGTCGCAGACGATGGTCCTCCCCCCTTGCGTACCAATGGCGATAAGACCACCGGCGACAGCGAGCACTGTTGGGATTGGATCGGCGGCATCGGGCCTTGACTTTGCATTGGCGAGAATGCGTCGCAGTGCTGACCATTTGACAAAATCGCGAGTAAGCTCTTCGCGCTTGTTGGATAGTGTCTCTTTAAGATGAGTCTCGGGCGAAGCGACATCCGAGCTAGTATTGTCCTCGGGAGCAGTGCCAAGACGATGCGCTGAGAAAGCGGACGAAGCAGAATCGCTGAGCAGTGAGGCAGCACTTTGTGCCGTTGGCAGCAACGATGTGCCATTGAGACTGCCGCCATATGGGAATGACACGCGTGCTCGGCGACGCTTGTTGTGACCGGTTACAGATCCACTGATGCTGGTGGAGAAGGAGCTTTGCCTGGAACGCTGCGTTGTGGAAGACTCTGCAATGGCCGACCTGGAGGCATCGTCATCTCTTGAGGATTGACCATGAGCAGCAGCTAAGCCGTTAGCCGTGAATTCGAATGGCAAGGGCGAGCGCAACTTGTTACGGGACGATGACGAAGATGGTGTGCCGGGGACATTGCCCGAGGATCTGCCGGACTCCACTTGGAGATGCTTTGGGACTGATAGAGAAGCGCTGGTTGCCCTGCCTACAGATGCTCGTAAGCGCGAGAGCGACGGATATGCCATGGGTCGCTGTGGTGTCGAGGCGGATGTCATCATGTTGGACTGGCGCAGGAGCGAGAGCCCTGTCCCTGAGGTAGACCTGGATGTGAAGATGCGAGATGAAGATGGCTGAGATGGCAAACGTTGCCGTGATGATTGCGGCTGATGCTGGTGTGAAGAAGCGGATCGGGTATCGAAGCTGATATCGTTCGGCAACGGATGAGGGTAACGGAAGGAAGACCCATCATCGCTGGGAGCAACGTCAGCGTGTCGCGGTGTGGAGCTGGATGCAGCATCAGCGTCGGCTAGTATTGGGAGGCGTCGCTGCGTAGTCGGAGATGAGGGCGATGTGAGCGATGACTGCACTTCAAAGTTGCCATTGAGCTCAGTCGTTGTGTCAACCTCGTCCTCATCGTCGCTACCGAGGATGTCCTTCATCTTGGCGCTGTAGCTGTCGGAGCCGATATCAATGGAGGCATTGTTGTCATCCGGAGTCGAACTGAAAGGTTGTGTCGCGTCTGCATCATCGTACACGAATTGGCCATTATCATCGTCGTCGTCATCATATGCCACAAAGTCGTCGTTGACAGTGTCTGGAACGGTGCCATCAGATGACGTACGAGCAGGATTCAAGCCGTTAGCGCGAGACTTCGGAGGTGAGGCGAGTACATCTTCCATCTGCTCGTTGTAAGTGCGATCCTGTTCTACCTGGAAAGAGGATATTCTCTCCGCATACGAGGGTGCAGCACCCCAAGGGTTGGATTCGGAAGAGTCGTTGCGCTCCATCGTGGTCACCGAGCCAGGATACGATTAGCGTGGTGGCAGCAGTGCTCGCAGTGTCGCGGTGAGTGTTCGTAGGGACTATGTAGATCTGAACATGTCGGAATGCTCAGCGTCGTCCTCCCAATGTCTCCTGCTGAAGGATGCTGGGTGGAAAGATTCGAGGGTATATGTTGATGCTGTTGGGCAAGGTCTGTGCTGTTTGTAGACGAAGAAAGGATATTTGGGATGGTGTCTCGGCTACTTGCTGTGTTGAAAGTTGGCGTGGAGGTTGAATTGCGCGATGCATCGACCGTGCGTCGGGGCCAAGTTTGTTAGGCCACATTTGACCACAACATATATTTCAAAAAAAAAATCGATCGATCGGAACCGAGTTAGCGTGACTAATACGATACGACCACATGGCTGTATTGCCGTTTTCTCGCTTCTCTTTCTGTGTTGCTGTTGAACTGCATTGCAGTAGCGAAAAAGTAATGCAGTCGGGACTGACAACCGACAACCGACGGTCAGACGAACCGAGTTTACTTGAGCCTTGCTTTCTTTCTTCTTGTCCAGCATCTTGTTCTACGCAATCTCTTCGAGAAGGCCCACCAGCCATGGCGACATCAACGACCGCGAGCAGCAGCAGCAGCAGCGTGGGTGCTTTCCGCTCGCTGTACATTCACACGCACGATGTTTCTCGATCCCTTAAACCGTCCGCTGATGGAGAGCTCGCTCACGCTGTTCACCAAACGCTACACTTCGCTCTCGATGGACACCCTGATGACTACACATCTCCATCGACCAACTCGGGTGCTGGATCGGGCTGCGACCCGCTAGCAACGATGCCTACCTCTACTTCTACCTCCTCTGCGAACGGCACCTCTGCCTCTGCTTCTTCCTCCTCATCATCGGCAAACATCAAGAAAGGATTCTTCCCGACCAACGACCCAGAACGACCCTACATCTCCTACCACTGGAATCCACGGTCCTCCACACTGGCCCTGCCCAACCCAGCAACTATCACCAGCCCCATCGCTGATCCATGTTCGCCCGACCACAGAAGCTCCTACGACATCACAGCCAAATTCTTCTTTCTCGACCCCTGCGACATCTCTTGCGAACTTGTAGATGATGCTCTCGCACGCCTCACTTCTACAACCGGCATCATCACGGTCGACACCCTAGTGCTGTCCTTCCCTACAATCGATCTCGATTCAAGACCACACAAACAAGTCTCGGCACAATCTGCAGATGGTGATGCTTCCACCGACAGCAACGAATCTCCATCTTGGGTGAAGCGAGTGGCAGATGTTTGGTCACACGTATCTCAGAACGCTCAAATATTCTCACTTGGACTTTCAGACATCTCTCCTTCCAATCTTGACCTTCTCCTGACGTCGTTCTCTCCACCTATACAACCTCCCTCGATGCCTCTTTTCTCACCTGCAATTCCTCTTTCCACCACGTCAAGTGAACCTTCAACAAGCACAACACAATCAGCACTAGCGCACTCTGACGTCCCACAATTTTCCGTTCCCTACCCCAACGCCGCACCCGGGTCAATGTGGAACCTCGAATATTCCCTCACCAGCAACGCGCGCAGACCACGCATCGTTTCGATAAACGTCAAACAAGATCCCTGTGCTTTCGACAGGGAATTCGATCAATACTGTGCAAAAATGGGAATTCAATTGGTAGCTCATAGTGACAGGAAGGATGTGTTGCCACAGAGGACTCTGCCAGGGTTGATGGACGAGTTCCAAGGAAAGTTGCCGATCAAAATGGAAGAAGGGAGGAAATTGAAGCCGAAATGGGCGTTGAAGTATACTACACTGATTAGAGACAGAGGTGTTTTGGCGGATAAAGGATACATTGTATATGTCGAGACCGAGTGAAACTCTCAAAGGGTACTATCTATGCAACGGAAAGCCTTCACACACAAACAAAAAAAAATCGCGCCAGGTGTGGGTGTTCTAATGCTTCAGCATTGAGTGTGATGAGGATCAGAGATCGTCTGTGCGTGCACGCTTGATTGGACTCTCGTTACCACTTCCAGCTTCCTTTCCAACAGCATTCTGCAGAGCTTCTGTCACAACGGACGGCTTCACTGCTGTCGCTGCTTCGCCCACGTGCCCTTGCTTAGTCGCCGTTTCGAGCTGTGAAGCAGCACATTTCCTTTCAGAAGCACTAGTACCATCTGTTGGCGTAGCAGGCCCTTCAATCTCCATCTGCTCTCCCGGCTGTTGTTGTTGCTCCTCAATCAGCCTGCAGATCGGATCGATCAACTGCACGTAGTCTTCCCTCACATAGGTGACCAGATACGGCGTCGCTCCGCTTCTGTCCCGCAAGACTTGGTCCAAAGTCGTCTCAGTCACCGCCGAATCGTTGTACTTGAACCATTTGCTGTTCTGTCCACCTCCACGCATGTTCAGGAAGTAGTGTCCGTGACTTGCCTCTCCACGATGCATAAACACGGCGACTAGGCGGTAAGCGTAGCGGCGCTCGTCGGCCCAGATAGATGCCATCTCAGCTTTGAGCGTTTCGATCTCATCCTTAGCCTGTTGCACTTGCTCATGCAATAGCTTGGCTTCGTCCCGAAGTAGAGTAGGAAGGCCTGGGTCGATGAGCGTTGAGAGCGCTGGAGGGAGGGCTTGATCCGAAACTGCAGGGATAGTGCTGTTGGCGGTAACGCTTGATTGGCTCTCAATCTGAGCACTCGCCCCAGTCTCTTCAGTCAAAGTGGCAGCCTGTTTGGCCTGTGATCTTGGCGAGAGAGGCACTGTGTCATTGGTGTTCTGAGCTTGGGCGCCCTCTGCCCGGATCTCGTTCAGCTGCGCAGCCATATCTGCCAGCGACGGCAATCTAGCCAGCTCCTCGACCGTGTTTGCCGCCTGGCTGAGCGTCTGTGTCAGATGGAAGTTGGCACCGTCCTTGCATGCGGCAAGTTTGGCACGCAACTCCTCGATCCTTCTTCGCTTTGCCTGGTAGTCCAGCCGTTTTGCGATGCGTGAGGCAGAATCGCCATCAGTGGGGTCCAGATCCATATATCTGTCGACGTACAGCGTCTCAGGCATCTCGAGATGTGCTTGCGACTTGAACGCCCGCATCGTCGCGCGGTCGTACTGCACGCGCTGCAGCTGTATCTGGAGCAAAGGCGGAGCAGACAGCAGTGTGACTGATCGACGCTGCACTGCACCCGAGGTCGCGACAAATGTGTCCGAGTCAAAGAAGCCGTCGAAACCATCGTAGATGTCACGTCCTTCTTCAAGCACATCAATAGGAAGGATCTTGAACACTTCGTGCTTAATGTGCGTGCTGGGCTGCTTGTTTGGCTGAGCTGGTCGAGTCAAAGAGTCGCCGGCACCAGCGCTGGACGAGTGACTGCTGTTGGGGGTAATGGTATCTGCTTCAATTTGTTGGCAGGTCTTGCCAAGAAACAAGCTCGTCAGCAGATCCTCGCGACCATCGCTCGACACTTTCGCCTCGTCGTTGCCGTCGATATCCATCCCGTGTTCATCGCTGGTTTTTGCCTTGCTGACAGCGAGCGCAACTTCGAGCTGAAACATGCAGTTGTCTAGGCATTCAGACACATCCTGCTGCGCGCCCAGCTGCATGAGCGAGTTGCGTCGAGCTGATGGCGGAATGACAGATGGCGTCAATTCAGCGGCAGCGGTAGACTTGCGAGTGGGTCGAGGCGGCAGAGGTGGAGCGGCTCCAGACGGAGGCGCAGCTGGGATAGGTGGTACAGCGGGCTGAGTTTCAGCAGGCTCGTCTGGAGTCGTGTCCATCAAGTCGTTGTCAGCTGTTGCTTCTGCAGCAGGACCAGACGAAGAGAGATCTTCGGAGCCTTCGATCGGAGCGGGATCCGATAAAAAGACCGCATTTTGCTGAACTGCGTTCTGTTCGCTAGCGCCTCTGCCTCCAAGCGCTTGTTCGGGTATGGCGTTCATCTCAGTTTCCAGCTCCTCGGCACGAGAAGAGACCAATGCCAAGTAGGCGAGCTCTCTTTCGGGACGGACAGACAACGCATTGGCGTGAATGAGATGGTGGAAGAGTTGTGCCAGTTGAGCGACGAACCTCTGGCTCCGTTGCAGTTCGCGCAGAGTAATGCGTTGACCACCGACCCTGCGCTCGGCGTCGCTCTGAAGCTGGCTTTCAACGCTCGGACTGGGCTGGACGGTGGCTGCGGCCTGTAGGACCCGGGTGCGAATCTCAGTGATGGAGAAGAAGTACTGGAGAACTGAGTTGAGATAGCACGTATTGCCAATGTTGTCGATACCAGCCGGAACATCAGCAGAGGGAAGCTGCTGCCAGCCCTCTCCGGTCGACGCGTCCTTCTCGCCCGTGCGCAGGAAATGTCGGAGGTACTCGCTCTTACGGCTTTCAGCAATGGCGCGGAGAGCGTATTGCAGCACATCGCGACGAGCAGGAGCATCAGCAACGTAGAGGTCAAAGACAGCCAGTATGGTAGCGTCATCCAGTTCCGGATTAGCATCGAGCATTGTATAGGCCTGATCGACATCCATGTCGACTCCCTCTTCTAACGTGCGGGCGAGAAGCTTGGGCTGACCAAGATGAGCGGTGATGAGCTTGAGCGCATCCTTGACGGCAGCATGCTCGGATGCATCGCCGTTGATCAGCACCTCGCGAGCACGAGCTTTGTAGTTCTCGGCGATCAGGTCGTGAGGAATGCTCTCACGTTCCACGTCCGGACCCAAATGGGTGGCAGATAGATGTAGACGTTCATACGCCTTGTCCACGTCCTGAAGAGCGTATTTACCCTGGCTTCGTTCGTAAGCAATCAGCTCCTCGAGCACGCGTGATGTGCGCCGTTGAGTCGAGTACACCTCGACGAGGCAAGCGAAAAGCTCACTGGCTCGATCCGGGCTCGCTTCAAGGTTGAAGAGGTAGCTGAACTTGACCAGCTCATCTCGGGTGGTACTGGATGCTCCGAGCGTGGAGAACGCTTCGAGCATTGTGGGAGAGAGGTCGCTGCGATAGGATGTGTCGAGGTATTGCTGGCGTACGCCAATCATTTGGATGACTGATTCAGATGCGTTAGTGACGAGCACTTTTGTGGGCACCTGCGGCTCTGCTGCAGTAGGGATGGAGGAGGCAGTCTTGGACCTGCGCAATTGATCAAGATGAAATGACAGCCAAGCACTGAGCTCTATCCAAGCACGAACGTGACGTTGAATGATAATGTGTGGGCTCGAGCCAGAGGTCGAAGAGACCTCAGATGCTTGTGAGACTGAGGTTCCGTCTGCCGACTTTTCTGAGGACAAAGGCGGCATGATGGCATTACGACCGTCACCCATCTGGAACACCGTCCAACCGAGATCGTGAAAGATCTGACGCGAGTGTTGATCCCACCCAAGCTTCCGAGAGATGGATTTGCTGGTGGTTGGCGCAGGGCGCCTTTCTCCATGGACAAAGTTGCCGATAACCCTGATCAGCACGTGAAGAGCGCCAACGAAATTTTGGGCACCTGTGTGACCGGGAGGAGGATTGCTTTCGCGGTTCTCCTTGAAACGTGTGAGCAGATCTCGATCGAGGACAGAGACAATGCTATCTGGAGGGCTCGAGATAAGTGTCTTGCCCGTAACGCAGCATCTGTGCACGTTGAAGTCCTCGAGCACAGGGGTGGGCGTCTCAGGGGCGTCTGCGTTCCAGCGCTCCAACAGCTGGACGGGACTGCGCTGCTCGTCGACTGGAATGACATTCGGAACGGTCTCATACATGGGGATGGAGCTGGGCACCAGACTGCATGTATCGTACAGATGGGTCGCATCTCGTAATGGAAGGTCGAGAGGTGGACTGCGGTGCATCTGTTGTTCGTCAAGGATGAGTCTCCACTCAAGGGTCTCGGCGACGAACAGGGCTTCGGGGTGCGGCTTGCATAATTGTATCTCAGCGAGCGAGGGGGCAGGGACGCCTTCAGAGCCTGAGGTCGGCGTCGCAGAGGGAGCGACAGAAGCTTCGGATGAGGGAATGGGAGTGGGAGTACTTGCAGCGGTCTGAGCATTGCTACCCGGTGGAGAGTCGTTGGGCACAAGGTTGATTCTGCGCAGAGACAATTGTGGATTGAAGACCAGACCAGATTCGAGCAATGCTGTCGGTAGCAGAAAATGTCGGGCCTCGTTAGGAATGCCAAAGCCGCCTGCCGACTGCGACGTGACGAAGTAATCTGGTGGGGGCGAACTAGGAGGCTTTAATGTGTCGGGAGGCTGTGCTGTGGATGCGTTGGCGTTCGTTTTTGATCGCGTTGCGGGACGAGGGGAAAGCTCAACTGGTGGCATGGGCGCCTGCGAGCCAAAGACTCTCTTGTGATCATTCTCATCGATGGTGATATCAACCGGCTCGTTCTCGTCAGCATCGAAGGTAGCCGCGTTGCCGCTGGTGTGGTGCTGTGCTGCTGATTCGGTAGGCTGGGTAACATTGTCGACGATGGTGATAGGGTCAAACTCGCTGCGTTGGAGACCCATGATGCCGATGTGGCCAGCTTCGTTCAGAGATGCATCCAGGTACCGAAGGTGATCTTTGACTTACTTCTCGTGGGTGTACGGAGCCGTGAAGGAGACGGGTTTCGTGCCAGCGTCGCGGTCGACTTGACTCGCTACCAGGGAGGTGGAGCGGGTGAAATCGAGCTCGAGAAGAGAGTGAGCTCTGCGATCTACGCAATAGCCTGATGCTGAGAGATGGTGGCCGTTCAAGAAGATATGGGCGGTAAAGAAGGATTAAAATCTGTTCCAGACGGCCTGTCTGAGCACGTGTCGGAAGCGCCCTTACGGACCCTTTGATTCTCTCGCACGAATCCTCACTACCTTTTGTTCGTTATCACCCTTTGATCACCATCGCCTCCCTTTGATCACTATCGCTTCCCTTTGTATTTATGTCAGAACACAGCCAGACATGTAAGGTATATATAGAGGCGATTCGCAACCCCCCCCCCCCCTTCACGTCTTAATTCCCTTCTAACGTACTTGAAGGCCCTAGGAAACAGTGCCGAGGCAAAATTGAGTTGCTTGGCTGACAGGTGGAGGCCAGTGCATTTTGTAGATCGGGTCGAACGAACCCGAAGCTCAGCCCGATTTCGCTTGATCTCAACACGTTCCCTTTTACGGTCATTGGCTTGCTAGCAACCCATTCATCCTTCACACCTCTGCCAAAGCCGTATCCCCTTTCTATATCAGACCGGTCGGGTAGGATAGGACTAGAGCGCCAGGATGTCTTCTTCGTCCGACTCGCAGGCGCAATACAGCGAGGCCCTGCAGCTCGATGAGCTACGTCTTCAAGCTGCAACATCGTCAGATCAGGGCGAAGTCTTCGTCATCGAATGGCTGTCCAAAGCTGAGCAAGCGCTCACAAAGGCGGACGTCGACACCATCAAATCCTCCCAATCCGCCTTCGAAGCTGCCGTTCTCAAGCTAGCTTGCCCTACAGTCGCCTTTGGAAAGAACGAAGATGGTTCCATCACTGTCGCACCCGACACCGCCGTCCCTCGACCTGGTCGACCCACCCGACGTCTTCTCGCTCGCTGCGTGCTCCTGATTTTTCGACGCATTGACTCACGATCGCTCTTCGACCTCTTGCAAAACCTCGGTCGAGTAGCCGGTGAAGATGCCAAAGGCAAGACAGCAGAACGGGAGATGCGCGTCGCGGCTCTCTACATCCTCGGCGAAGTCTTTGGCTCGCTCGGCCAGCAGATCATGTCACTCTTCAACGATATTATTAACCTCACGCAGAAAGTGCTCAAGCAAGCGAGTCATCCCGTCATACTCCGCTACCATGCACTCCTCGCACTGCACAAGACACTCAACGTCGCAGGCAAGAGCTTGGGCGATCAGGTCGGCAAAGATCTCATCAAATCGCTTCGACAGGGTCTTTCGGACCGCGCAGGTGCTGTAGTACGTGGATGTGCTGACTGCATACTCGCTATCGCTCAACGTGCTCAGCTCATCACAACCCGCAACGAGGTCGAAAATCTCGTCTCAACCGCACTCAAAGCCATCGAGACTGCCGATTTCGTCACAAAACGTGCTCTCAGCCGCGCAATCGCGGGCCTACTGGCATCTACACAAGTCGAGCAAGCTCCACCAGCACCTGCGCCATCGAAGAAGACATCCAAGAAGAAGAAGGAGGGCGCTGCCGGCGCAGACGACGACTCGGATGACGATGATGCTGTGGTCTCGGCTGCCGCAGCCGCAGCCAGCGCTCCTCGCGCCATGATGACTCCCGTTGGCATGCTCGATCAGCTTTCTTTGCCTTTCTTGCGCGGTTCAGCCAACCGCAAGACGCGAGCGGCGCTTCTCGATGTCTACGCAACGCTGTTCGAGACGCTTGGGTCCGCCTGGGTCAACACCAACTACGCCATCATCCTCAAACATCTCATCGATGATCTCCCTAACCACTCTAGGGGTTCGTCCCTTACTCGCGCTGACGTTCTCATAGTCCGTATCGGTGTCTCCGTCATCCTACGGAAACTCATCGGCGAGCACATGCTCGGGGAGCAGGCCCAAGTTCTTGCCATTCAAGAGATCTCCGTCGACTACCTCAAAAAGTGGCCCGCCGTTATGCCCGAACAGCAGCCGCCATCTAAGACGACCTTGACCTTGGCACTCGCTGAGATCTCCGGCTTGCTTGTGCAGCTCGGCAGTGTTCCCCCGCAGGTACTCGATGCAGCTTATGATCCGCTCATTCGCTGCCTCGCACATCCAAGCCACTCGGTGCAGATTCAAGCATCTTGGTGCCTCAAGACCCTGTGTCAGGTATCACCGGTCCATCTCTCGCCGACGCTTGCTTCCGTGCTCGAACTGCTGAACCGTGACCTTACCACTTTGGCCAACGGCGGCGGCTCTGTTGGTATCGGTCAGCTTTCCAAACGTACCAACGGACATGCGAAAGGTCTCGCCGCCCTCATCAGTGTCATTCCACAGCGACCTCTGTACACTTCGTTCGCCATCAGTTCCAAAGTTCTGTCGCTGGCCATTCAGCTGCTCAAGAACAGCGGCAACCACGATCTCAGCGTATCTGCTGTCGAGATCTCCGTCGCCTGGACGTTGGTGGGCTCGCTCATGTCGCTCGGTCCCAACTTTATCCGTCTCCATCTTCCTCAGCTCTTGATTCTGTGGCGCAACTCACTGCCCAAGCCAACGTCGAAGGATACTGCACCCGGTCCTTCGATTCGCTCCGATACCGAATGGAGCTTCCTCCTTCACGTCCGTGAATGCACGCTCACCTCGATCCTCGCCTTCCTGCTGCACAATGGATCGACGCTGGTCACGCTTGACACGGCTCGTCGCATTGTAGCGCTTCTCAGCAACTCGCTCGCTTTTGTCGATGGCTTCGCTGCCCAAAACTCGCATCTTTTGCAGGAGCAAACCCCTGGCAGCGACCGCAGCACGCTCTCGTTGCTGGACCGCGAATTCCTACTTCGACGTCGCTTGTTCCAGTGCTTGACCGTGCTCGCCCATAACCCAGCAATGGAGCCCATGCAAGCTGGTCTCATCAAAACCGCCATCCAAGCATTTGCAGATCCAGACCGATACATCGGCAGCTCCGCCCAGGCGGCAATTGCTGCTAGTGCGGGCAACTTCACCAGCGTGTGGGAGATGGCAGACGGCTACGCGTTCGGTGTCACCAGCCTGCAGCGTGATGCTGAATGCTTTGTGTCCGATCCTGTCGATGCCTTGCGCGCCTGCAGCGCCACTACCCGCGCCGACCTGCTCAATCGCGACTTCGTCGAGACGCAGCTCGACGCTTTGCAGAGACGCCCCGTTCTCGGTGCCGCAGAGCACGACGAGCTGTTCATCTACTCAACTGCGCGCACTTCGTCATCTGTCCCGTCGTCGCAGGATGCGTCTCACTTAGGTGCCTCAGCAGAGCCGCGCGAGTCAGCTGCCTTATCTCCACCTGGTGCCACGGGAGTAGTGGATGCTGCCATTCAGCTCTTTACTGCATTACTACCTTACCAAGAGCGTGATATTCAGGTAGCTGCTATCGAAGCAATGTTGGCTCACACCAAGAGCACGAAGCTTGACAAAAACCCTGGTCGAAAGCAGGCGATCCAGACCAACGTTGCTGTCGCCATCCTTGGGGCCCTCAGAGTTGCAACTCAGGGCGGCACGGGCGCGAACGGGAAGCGCCCTAGTGGGTTCAACAACGATCGTCTCAGCTCGGCCATCAAGGATCTCTTGCAGGATGCTCTGCTTCAAGCCGATCCTGCACTGCGTGCTGCTGCCAGCGAAGCCTACGGAAAGCTTGCGGCTGTGGCGGGATCCCAGGCTCTTTCTAGTCAGGTGCAGTTCCTGGTCGACCAGATCGTCGGCAATCGCGACCCTGATGCCCGCGCTGGATGCGCGCTTGCTTTCGGTTCAGTCTACAAGGAGGTTGGTGGCCTCGCGGCCGGACCTTTGACCAAGACGATTGTCAACGTGCTCATGTCGTTGTCTAGCGACCCGCATCCGACCGTTCACTACAACGCCCTCGCAGCTCTTCGCGTCGTGGTCGACTCGGCCAGCTTGAGCTACAGCCCATATGTGGCTAGCACGCTCGGCATGCTCGTCAAGCTGTACATGCTCGACACGCATGAGCCTGAAGGTGGCAGCGCTGGCTCTGTCAACCTGCGCGCTGATCTGCCCGCACATCAAGCGGTCTGCAGAGTGGTCAACGCTCTGATCGGTGTGCTGGGTCCAGACCTGCAAGAGTCGGCACGCGTGCGAAGCTTGATTCACTGCCTGCTCTCCGAATTCTCGAGAGAGACGGATCCTGGGGTGGTAGTCGAGTCCACCAAGGCGTTGCAACACTTCGGTCTCTTTGCTGCGCAGTTCGTCGATGTTGCTGCATGGATCGAGCAGCTGCGTCGACAGCTGGCAGGCAAGCAGCGCACTCTCAAGCTTGCAGCAACGACTGCTTTCTACCAGCTCGTGCAGCGCGAGGCGCTGGCTATGAGCAGGATCGGTGGTGACCAGCTCGTTGAAGAGTTCTTTGCGCAGCTCGATGAGGATCCCAAGCTGGACGGTGCACGGGAGGTTATCCTCAGCTGGTTGCAGAAGACGGCAGACCTGGCGCCAAGCGGATGGATTGATCTGTGCCAGCGCATCATGTCGGCCGCTCCCTATCGTCAGAACCCGGCAGATGCTGCGGCCAAAGGCAAGGAGTTGCCTAGCCTGGCGACCATGCTGCAGGATGAGGAGGCCGCTGCAATTGACCTCGGCAACGATACGAACACGGTTAAGCTCAATGCTACCGGTGGCAGTAGATGGCGCACCCAGCTGTTTGCTTTGCGATGCTTGCACCAGGTATTCGTTACGGTTCGACAGGCAGGCAAGCTCGAGCACTTCAGCACGCCTCCTGGTGCTGGAGAGAAGGGTCAGGCATCGCCTCAACGACGATTGCTGATGAGCAACCGTGTTGTGGACTTGATCCGTATGGCGTTCACTGCCAGCACTTCGGCCAACATTGAGATCCGTCTCGAAGGCCTTGTGGTGCTGCGGGACGTTATCGAGTCGTTCAAGCTCGCGCGCGATCCTGACTTCGACGAAGCTTTGCTTCTCGAACAGCACCAAGCTCCAATCGCAGCCGCTTTGACGCCAGCCTTCTTGGCAGACTCGACACCAGAAGTACTCGCTGCAGCCGTGCAGGTGTGCGCTGTCTTTGTGTCCTCAGGCGTGGTCAAGGAGGTCAGCCGGATGGGCCGCATTCTCAAGCAGCTTGTTTCTGCCCTTGACAGCTGTATGCAACCCACCATGACTCAGCTCGGCGATGTCAAGGACTTATCGCAGAACGCCAACGCCATGCTCAAAATTGCTGTGTTCACTGCCTGGGCCGAGCTGCAAACCGCGAGCGCGACGCAGAGCTATCTGGTGGATGTCGTGAAGCCGCATGTGGCACGCATCGTTCCGTACTGGATCGCATGCTTGCGTGAGTACGCTAAGATCCGATCAGACCCTGAAATGGATGCTGGCGGAGCACCTGGTGGGCCTGGTCCATCGATCAACGCTAGTCTCGACTCTCAGTACGCAGGTCTGGCACGTGAAGTCGTGCTGCCGTATCACGAGCGATCTTGGCACACCATCCTGCAGGCGGTGACGGGTCTGCTGCATGACAACGATGCCCGAGCTCTGGCTGCCATGGATGGAGAGACCAATCCTGCTGCAGCTGGTAGCAACACTGCAGCGGCACCGCCAAAAGCCCGCAGCGAACCCTGCCTCTTCTTCTTCGTGCTCTACGGTCTGGCATTCGAAGCGTTGGCGACACGGTCATCGAACAGTGTTGAGTCGGTGCAAGAAGGCAAGGTGATGCGCATTTCGCTTCGAGCCATGACTGCGCTTAGCAAGCCGCAAGTTGCAGGCAGTGCGTTGCTGCAAGACACGCTCTTCTCTGAGCTTTGCAACCTTTGGTACCGTTTGGTGATGACCGAGCCGCCTGCAGTTCAGATCTCGGTGCTCGAGACCATCGGTGGTATGGCTGCATCCTATGGTAAATTGCTGCTGTCCGGTGACGACGAAGCAACCGCTGAAGCTGGAAAATTGCCGAATGAGGCCAAACTCAGTCAATGTCTGCGGGTGGTCGTCTGTGTACTGCAAAACGTGCGCACAAGTCGAGGCTCGGTGGACGAAAAGACAGCGCTGCTGCGTGTCGCTTACTCTGCCTATATTGGCATCGTTGGGTTGTATCCCAAGGCGGTGCAGGAGGACCTCTTTGCGGTGGGCTTCTACACATATGCCGAGACGCTGAAAGATGAGACATTGGAACAGGACCTTGTGGCACCTTCATTGAGCTCGCTCAAAGATCTTTGCGAGCGTTCGGCAAAGTCGGTCAAGCCCAACAGCGATGTGCTACAGCGTGCGATTCACGGGTTGCTCTCTCAGGCGTTGCAGCATGTTGATGATCTCCGCACGCGCGCCGGTCGAATTGCGCTCAACAAGACCAAGAACAGCTTGCTCGCCGTGGTGGTCGTCCTTACCTCGATCCCGATCAACATCAAGGTAAGCCAGGCGGTAGCGGAACACGCTTGCTACTTGATCGTGCAGAAGCTGCTGACGTTTGAGGAAGAGGTGGAGCAGTGGAAGCAGACAGCAACTAGCAAAGGCGCAGAGCCTCAACAGTTGGGTGAAGGGGTGGAAGAGATCGGTTTGACAGCAGTCAATTGCGCGAGGACGGTGGTACTTGCTTCTTCACGTGGCAATGCTTCGTTGCTTTATTGCGTCGGACAACTCTTGCCGGGTCTGATCGAGTTCGTTTGTCGTGCTGGACCTTTAGTTGCTACCAGTCCTGCGAATGCACGTGGAGGTGCAACACCGCTCACAGCACTTCGTGGAGCATTGGATGACGTGATCAAGACTATGGCTGGTCTTATTTCTACTCTTCCCAGTGAAGGAGAGTTCCGCGCTAAAGCTCTTACGATCATCTTACCTACTCTTTTGGTTCTGCTCTCGCCTTCACCTGCCGCAGCCACGGAATTGCACACTTTCACAGTACGTCAGCTGATCACTTTGGCTGGTCAACACGCTGCTGCGTTCAAGGAAGCAACTGCGGCGCTGGACGTCGAGAGCAAGGCGCTGTTGGAGAACGCGATTAGAGCTCAGCTTGGTCAGGCGGCCGGTGCGGGCTCGGCAGTTGCCAGTGCAGGCCGAGTCGCGCATGGACAAACAGCTGCGAAACAAGAGAAAAGTTCAATTGCTCTCAAGTCATTCGGTAGCTAGACGCAGTCATAGATTGTAGGTAACGGATTTCAATGACTAGAATTACATGCTTCACTTTCCTGCTTTGTCTGTGTGCTTTCAGAAGAGCTTGAAGTTGGCCATCTGATCTTGCTCTGCTGCTGCCTCTTCTGATGGCTTTTGCTCGTCTTGTTGAGCTTGACTCACCTCCTCTGTTGTCGTAGCTGCCGGAGCTTCTTTTTCGTCACCCTTTTGCTCCTTTTTCTCCTCTGCGCCTTCCACTGTTGTTGCAGGAGCTGATTTACCAACCAGACTAGCGCCAACTCTTCCCTCCCCACTTCGCTTTCCCTCCTCGTGCTCTTTCGCCTTTCCCTCATTCGCCACCAATGCAACACTTTGCAGATTCATCTTCCTGTAGCGTTCATAATTTCTTACGACACTAATCGCTGCTGAGTTTTTGACTACTTCCACGACAATCCACAAATCCGGATTGCTCAGGTTTGCATTGTGAATCCTCTCCCCTTCTGCACCAGTAGGAATGTTGCTTGCGACGATCTGAATCACGTCATTTCGTTTCAACTTGCTGTGCGATCGGATACGAGGGTCGATTTTGAACGATTTTGCCTCTTCTGCGTTTGTGCTGAAGAAGTGAGGGAGAATGGTGCGTGCTAGGGTGGTAAGATCTTCTGCATTTGCGGAGCAAGTCTGTGTGACGGGTGTCAAACGTTGGACGAATCGAGATCCAGGTTCGCCCGAGACTTCGACATCAGAGAGGATGGTGTAGATCAAAAGGTAAGGGTCGAATGGAGGAGAGATGGAGATGAAGAGGAAACATTCCGTGTCTGTTTCGATGTTCTTAAACCTCATCGAATTCGTGGAGGGACGTCGGCGTTCGGAAGATTTGATGTCTTTAAGCTCGGCTGCTATTTGCGCTGCGATATCGTCCTCTTGCTTTTCCTTCCCTTTGATCTCTACTGTGGCAACGACAGGCTCTCGAGGTTGCTCGGTGGGTTGTGGAACAGATCCGTTTCGTAAAGCGTCCATATCTTGCTCCTCCCCGCCATTCTCCTCCACCTTGCTCGAACCCGCATTGTTTGTTTCCGGCAACGGCTCGGGCTTAACTTCAGGATACAGCCTATCGGCCACCTCATTCAACAGATCGATGAGCTGCAGTGCTGCTTTTCGCTCTTTTCCTTGAACGCAAGTGACAAAGATCCCTGGACCCGAAATGTTGCGTGCTGAAAGACGATAGACTTGATTGTAGGCCGGTTTGGAGCGTTTAAAGGTGGAGTTGTTGGGTGCGTCTCGGTTGAAGCCAGGACCTGAGCGTTTGCGTTTTGACGGCATGGTGTGCGCCTCCTTTTTGGAGTGATATGTTGATTTGGTGTGGAAGAGTGAGGAGCGTTTGGAGGGAGTGAGGAAGAGGGTTTGGAAGAAAGTCAAGCAAAAATGTTGATACGTTTTGCCGGAAGTCGGGATTCGGCTTCTGCGCTTTTTTGGCCGAGTGGAGGAGAAGAAGGACCCTTTCAGAACGATACTCGCACTCCTTCTTGACATTGGCTTCTGACTTCGTCCTTACATTCATCAGCAGAGCTCGAAAGGGAGATTGGGAAAGGAGTCAAGATGGATCTGAATCAGCAAAGAGACGATCCACATGGGGTACAAAGGCTATTGGAGATCTTACGTCGGCAACAAGACTCCTCTTCCTCCTCCACCGTGGCTTCTAACCCTTTAGCGGCTGTACCGCCTTTAAGCGCAGCCACAGCTTCATCCTATACCCCTGCCAACCCTTTCGCCTCCACCACCGAACCATCTGCAGCGCAGGATTCAGAAGTAGCAAAACGCCGCCGGCTCTACAACAATCCCTCGTCCAAATACTTCATCGCTGCGCCGGGGGAAGACCGATTGGATCCCTACTCGTTCAACCCTTTCTCCCCCGCCGCACCGCTCCTTTCTCAACCACCACCATCGCCTCCAAAACCAGCACCGAAAGCAGCACCCTCGACAAAGGACCTGTCGACACTCAGCTTCTCAGAATCCCTACCTATCCTATCAACCCTCGCCAAGGACAAAAGCTTACTTGGTCGGCTCAAAACTCTCCGAACACAGCAGCACGACCTCGAGAAAAGGTTGGTGAAAGAGTACAAGCAATTCTCAGCCACTGCGGACAAACAGTATCCAAACCCCAAGGTGAGGGCGGCTGAGGATGAGAAGAGGAAAAAACAAATGCTGAAGCAATGGGATGAATGCGTGAAGAAACAGCAGGAGGAATTGGAGCGAGCTGGTGTGCCGACCTTTAGAAAAACGGGGGAGAAGAGGGATGTGGAGAAGCAGAAGAAAGTTCTGCGTGTGCTGGTGGAGATGTTGGATGATGACGAAGGTGGTTCATAGGCTTGCAATTCATACTTAGACACATGAGAGATCGATGTTTTTGTGTAATTGATTGCATTTTAGATTGTGAAAAAGAGATGGGGATGTGTCTACTTGGAAGCTTCATCAGCAATCGCAACATGCAACACCTCTTCGCTAGTCCTGAGAATGCTTTGTGGGGTATTGAGCGAGCTCATCAGATAAATGACGTTTCCTAGCGGTCTAGCGTGAATGTTGTACGGAAGCTTCCCCTCCTCCTCCTTCTGCGTCGGTACACTTGGATGACCTTGCTCGGCACTTTCTCCGAATCTTAGCTTCTTCAACAGATCAACGCTTGCAGTTGACGTATAGCCTCCCTTCCCGCTCATATCCTTCAATGCTACCTTCAAAACACACCCGATCGCCATAGCATGGTGTACATTCTCCAACTCGGTCAACTTTTCCACCGCTGATTTGGACCAGAACGACCAAACATGGCTCTCCTTTTGCAACTTCCATTCCGATTGTGATTGCTTCCATCCAGTGCTGGACTTAAGTTCTTCAATAGCACGCAAAGTTTCGACCGCAACAGCACATCCGATTGGGTGAGCGGTGTACGAGTGGCCGTGGAGTAAAGCGTCTACCTTGCTGTCACTTTTGTTGAATGTGTCGAAGATGCAACTCGACGCCAGCGTGACCGACATCGGGACCATTCCACCCGTGAGGATTTTGGCCAAGACGGAGATGTCAGGGGTCACACCGAGAACGGATGCTGGTGTGCAGAGCCCAAGACGGTAAAGCCCAGAGAAAACTTCATCGAAGATCACTGGAATGCCATTCCAATCACCCTCCCGGACCTTGGGGGTCGTGGGGGTTGGTGCGGTAAGTGGAGCATCGGTTAGAGAAAACAGGTCGGCGGAAGCGCGACAAGTATCGATAAGAACACGTTGAAAGAGAGGATCGACAAAGATCATCCCTCCCGCGCCCATGACGAGAGGCTCGAGGACGAGAGCTCCGAACTTGCGTTGTTGTTCAACGGTCAGGTTGCGGAGTTGATCGCGGACCGAGTTGCGATAGAATTCAACGAGAGGATCGTTGGAATTGAGTCTTGATTCGACATTGTATACTTCTTGCATTGATTTGTAGCTGCGTTGGAACACCACCTCACCTTGACCCGATGAGAGGGTCGATGGGAGGTGTCTGCTCCTCATCCTCTCCCTTAGATCCTTATCCGGAACACTAAGAGAAATGCAGACGTCTCCTTTAGCACGCATCTCCACCACTGGCGGGTCAAACCAATGCCCTCTCCCTCTATACCAGTGAACGGCCTCGCTGTAGACACTTGGCTCGCAAGCATCCATAGCACCAATCGTATCGCCGTGATAACTGCCTTTCAAACCTAGAACTTCCCATTCTTGCTTTGGTCTTCCTCCGCGATAACCGGCTTGTTGACCAGGAGTGGCTTTCGAAGCGGCCTTTGCGGAAGAAGGAGGGGAAGAATAGCGAAGAATCGAGGACTGAAGGGCCATTTTGAGTGCTACTTCCATACCCGTGCTTCCGTCGTCTGAGAAGAAAACCCTATCTGCCCAACCGTAGCCCGGGTTGGAGGAAAGTGAGGGGGGAGTGGAAGGAGAGGATTGTTTGCCCGTGAGAAACTCAGCGAGATGGAGTGCAGGTTCGTGTGTACCGTTGGGGAAAAGCACATGGCCGTAGCGACCTGCTGCGGAGGCTGCGGCAGAGACAAGACGCTGAGGAGCGTGACCGAGACATTGGGTCCACCATGATGCAGAGCCATCATACACCGGTTGCAATAGGGAGTTCGCCTTGACTGTATCAGCTACTGCAGAGGGGGGAGAGCATTGATCGAGCATCGAAAAGAAATCTCCATAAGCGCTGTCTATCACGTTGACCTCTGCGTTCGCTCGAGTAAGTTGATGCTGCGTGAAAGGCCACCAGCAAGTGTCTCGTGTTCTCTGAGCCATCGTCCCCAACTTTTCAATTCGGTCTTGATGCTGTTGACGGAGGTAAGAGACCACTTTGTACACTCCTCCCTTGTTCTCCTCGGCACCGGTGGACTGCGGGTTACCGGAGACGAGACCCTGATAGAACCTCCTCATAGCCTCTCTGTCCGCTGCAGTATCAACATTCTTCGTTGGTGGAGGACCGTACAACTCCGCACCATTGGGTCCACCCAGGCCGAATACGGGAATGTTGTGCTCTTCAGCAAAGAACTTGCTCAAATACTCCACATTTCCGTACCTGTGCGAAGGGAACAGTAGTACCGCTTCCACATCGTACCCTGCCACAAGCAACGACTCAAATGCAGAGCGGGTTGTGCTAATCCCGCCCAGCTCAGAGGACCCGATAAGGATCGAAGGTAAGCGCAAAGGTCGAAGAAGATGGGATTGAGACAAACCCGATGGACCAGGGGAATGAACTCCTCCTGCAGTCTCAACATATGCTACTGCCCTCTGACCTTCGGAGAGGGAGGCTGCGTGGTGGATCCACTTTCCGACATCACGGACGAACTCTTCATCGCTTGGTGGAGCCGGTTCTTGGCCTACTTCTCGCTCTGCAAGTTTGGCGCGGCGTTCGAGCTGGACAGCGAGATGAGGGGAGACAGGTTCGGAGAATCGGTAGAGGGTTTTGTATTGTGTGCCAGGAGCGTAGCGAGAGACATGGGCATCGTCAGAGCCGGTGAGTGCGCCCGTGGAGACTGGTTTGAGGTAGTATAATTTCTCGCCCAAGCCTTGGGCTGAGGCAGAGAGAACATCACTGGGTGGAGAAGAGGAGTCAGAGGAGAGAGGTAGGGCAGCAGAGGCGAGTGAGAGAGCAGTGGTGAAGATCGTCTTGCCCACATCTGTGTTTGCTCCAAAGACTTGGTGGATGCGGAGGTGGGGGTAGAGATGCGACATTGTTGCGACGTGCACCTTCTAACGAGGGGGTTGGATGAGGCGGTGGTGATGCTATGTAGGGATGATGTTGGACCAGCGGTGACGGCTCACACTTGCAAGACAAGCTCAGATGGTGGTAGCCAGAGATGGCGAGGTTTAGTGGTAGTGATGATGATGGTGGTACAAAGAGTAGGAAGCAAGCTTACTCGATCCTTCCCCAACGATCAAGAAGATGCTCGTCAGCAGCATCCTCTCATCCTCTGACCGGCTCACAAAGACCTTGGGGCCAAAGAACGGCTTTTGCTCGCTGCTGCTGCACCGTACATCTCTCTTCTTCTGGCTGATCTTCCCAAAGCTGCGAGTGACTCTCTTCGGCTACACAAACCGGCTCCATCTCGGACCAGAAACTCAAAATTGGGGAAATTCTTCTCAAAGACAGGGAATCGGAACAATCGGCTTTTGATATGCGCGCTGTTGGCGAATCGCGTTACGCTCTTCTACCTATCGAACAGCGCAGAAGCGTGAGTTGTGATGTTCGATGAAGATCACAGACAGCGTTTGGGTAATATTTACAATGAAACTGAAATTGCAATGTCCAAAAACCAAGAGCCATAATGCTCAATGAAGGTACGGATGAAGCAAGAGCCAAAGGAGAAAGATCAAGCGATCAGGACCTGAAAGGAATTGTTCGATGCTCTAGTTTCTTTGAAATCGGAGACAGGAACTGCCAGGGGCATCAAGAGAGTACGAGGGATGGCGACGCAGAACCGATACCGTGCATTGGTCGACACGGAAGCAGAACATTAGATCGCGCCGATGGAAGCATAACGCGAGGCTTTGACGAAGCTGGGGCCCGTGGCGTCTTGCTGGCGACAGAGCTGCTCGCCAAAGACGTGGGACGCCTCACAGCTGCAAACAGATTCTGCGCCGAATTCCCCTTGTCAAGTGTCGATGAAGTGCAAGGGGCAGCAGTATACATCCTCGACTGGAGCGCAGAGAGGGCCGGATCCGGCGCGGAACAAACGACGGCTGCGCGCCGAGCAATCAAGACGGAGGGACTGTGGAACGATACTGTAGCGAAGCCATCTGCGTCTACCGAGTTGTGTGCAAATCGATCGGCAGCCATACGCACAGCTTTTTGCAGGCCACAGGTGGTGTGATCGCCCCCCAGCAGTGCGAGCAGCCGCAGACAGTCATCATCCGAGGCGATCGACACCTTAACCTTGGTGCCGCCTCTCTCGTGAATCCACTCGTGCAGTGCCTCGAGTGGATCATCGCACCACTGTTTGTTCCTGCTCGACGCCTGGATGGTATCCTCTCCTGCGACCGGTGCGTTCTCATGATCCTGCTCGCCGTCGTAGTCAGGATCGCGGGGTTCGGCAGCTGCCTTAGGGCGGGCAGGCAGGAAGCCAAGACCCAAACTTGTGCACGCGGTCACGCGGCGAATCGAGATGGTCTGATCAGGGGGCGCATGCACTTCGGACCATGTGATCCTGTGCGCGCGGCTCTGAGGTGAACGACGACGTCCTCTTGTGTGCTGCTCGTCGTCGTGCTGACTTTTCGATGAGGGGGGAGTGAAGGAGAAGGAGGCATTCACAACGCCCGTGTCGATATGCATGCCCCAGGTGCGTTGGTCATCATCATCGTGCTTATGCTCGAGCGATGCACGAACGTGGTTCACATTGCGGATCGTGCTTTGGGAGTCGGCTGTCGTATCGCTACCCGCCGCTCGATCGCGAGGGACAACGGGAGGCCGATGAGGACCTCTCTGACAGGCACTGAGGGTATGCGACCAATTACCCCAGAAGCCCTTGTGAGCACTGTTGCAGATCTCGAACTCGACCCTAGCGCCGCGAGCCGTATCTCGTGAGACAGCCACAGCCCAGTCTGAAGTGCGATCTTGGCCGTAGATGAGAGCCAGATGGTCAATACCGATAGCTTCGATACGACCATATGTCTCGTACATCCACTTGTGATGAGCTTTGATGTATGCTTTGAGAACACCAAGATACTTCAAGCGGGTTCGCTCGGTAGGGTCGCGAGGGACAAGAATAGCACCGTCACCACCCAGGCTCTCGAAGCCGATCTTAGCGCTGACAGGAGCGCCGGGAACCGAGGCGCCTAGGTTGACCCCGAGACAGCGGTAGTTGGAAGACATGCGTGGACCCATGTCAAACAGCTTGGGCTCTTCTTGATCAACCGACAGGGGCATCGGGGGGTAAGGGCCTTCAGGAGGGGTGCTGGACCTGAGCTTTCTGTGAGAAAGGGTGGGAGAGCCCTTCTTGGCAGCAGTTGGGAGAAGGGAGTCGGATGCTGCCGACTTGGACAAGCAAGCTGTTGCCGATGATGTGGAGACAGTGGAGACGGCTAGGGAGGAACGCCGCGAAGTCATCGTTGTTGGTGCGGAGGTTTGAATAGGATCGTCGACCTCCATTCTGGTGTCTGCATTTGAGCCTCGGCGAGCCCGATCTCGGGAGAGGGAACGATCGAAACGGCGAGCGAGACGAATGCTGGCAGCATCGGACAGGGCTTCTGGGCCATCGACGGCATTGTATAGGACGATGAACGAGCCGTCGCGAACGTAGCCGACGTCACCGAGACGGAGCGGAGAGGGGTTCCAGAGGGGCAGACCTTCACCAGCTTCGTAGAGACAGCTGGCGTAGATGTCGGCGAAACTAGGCATGGGACCTGAATGCTTTTCGACTTGAAGAAAAAAAGGTGGGATCGAAGAGGTATTTGTTTGGTAATGCTCCCCGACGCTTCCTGTGTAGTGATTGTTCCAGGGAAGAAGCGACGCGATCGGCCTTATGGGGGTTTCGACCGACTTTTTTTTTTTTTTTTTTTTTTTGGTGTGAAGAAGTAAAGAGACTAGAGCGAAGAAGGGAAGATCGAGTGAAAAAAAGCAGCCAAGAGAAGCAAAAGAGGTGATGAAGAATGCGAGAAGGCGGGAGAAGCGGAAGAAAAGCAACAGGCCTCCGAGGCAGATGACGGCTTTAGGAGAACGGAAAAGGTGAGGTTATTGACGCTGGGTTGACCACTTCCAACGTCTCTATTGCTTTTGCTTTGTCGGGTCGCTTCCTCGCCGACGAAGGCTTGCTACGACAGTGAAGGTAGCAATGGCGGTGTTGTTAGTTGTAGAGTAGGATGAGAGGTTTAGGTGTGCGGAGGAAGAGGAGGAGGAGGTGGTGGTGGTGGTGAGAAAGCAATAAGCGAGTCGAATCGAGCTTAGCTTTATTCTAATTTCGCAGCGAGCGGCAAAGCGAACCGTGCGAAAAGGACAAAGCTTTGAGCGAAAGCAGACTTGAAACTGTGGGGACAATCGGTTTGGCTGGATTGCAACGAATGAGCTTCTACGCCACCGACGACCGTCTTGACGTGGGGGAAAGCAGCTCCAATTTCTGCTATGAGTGAAGCTCTTTTTAGGAGCCCGGCAGATGCAAAAGGGGCCGAGTTGAATGTGGAAAGAAGCGTATCCGTTTGTTCTACGCCACTGTGCAGATTGCAGCTTGCGTTACTTGTGACTCTGATGCCGTGTGTTGCAGCGCAGCAAAGCAGCAGTCGAACCTTTATCCTATCTGTCACTCAGCCCACTTGGCTGAGAAAGGAGAGCAGAAGTCCAAGTGTTGGTTTAAATTTGGCCCTCTCTGAGACGCGTCCTTTGGCAGAACACAGCTGAGACGCCACGGACGTCGTCTTGTGCTATGAGTGAGTGTTGGTCTCGGGAATTTTAAAATTTTTTAAATTTTTCTTTTTCTTTTTCTCCGATGAGAAATTGATTCTATATGCTGTTTTTGCTCCTTAAGGTTTCGCCAAGGGGCTATGCGAGATGAAGGCTGAGTCTCGCTTCGGCAACCTGATCTGGGATGGCAAGCTGAGCAGGGAGGAGAAAGCCTCGAAGAGGTGGTGAGTATGGGCGAGATTCGAGTGAATGAGGACTCTGATATTAAGAGCGCGCGATCGGGAGACAGAGGTTGTAAAGAAGGAAAGCGCCGATATGAAAGAGGTGCTCCGGGAACAAACGTGGAGGCGGATTATGTGCGAGGCGATAAGGCTTTAGATGATGATGAGAGGAAGCAGTTTCTACTAGATTAGAGATACAGTGTAGATCAGATGGCGTCTAGGAATGCTTTGTCTGTCGTGATGCAATACAGAGCAAGGGTGTGATGGGGGAAAGGTCAGTACTTATATCTTCAAAGGGAAGCTGACAGGCTCATCAACGCGATCGCCCTCGAGCTTGGCGGAGGTGAAAAGACGCGTCTCCTCTTGCAACGGCAATGGAGCTGTGACACCTCAGGCAACAGAGCCAAGACTGAGGCCAGAAGGGACCTCGTAAAATAGCAGCTTCACTGGGCCCAGTGTTTGCAAGAGAAAGAAAGCATGCTATCTCTCTCTGCTGCTCATCAGTCCTTCAGATAGCTCGTAGCGACAGGTCAGGTGCCTTGCCGTCGGAACACTTCCGACTCAGCATTCTCCCTACGGCGATGACAGCGCGCCTTGCAAGCATATACGCAAAACTGCAGCAGGAAGCGAGAGAGAGAGAGAGAGAGAGAGAGAGAGAGAGTGCCGGGAAGGATGTCTCTCTCAGCACATCACTTTACGATACCCTTTCCTCCTACCTTGTTCTTACACTGTGCTCATATTGTCCAGAGATCTTCAGCAATCCTTGCTGTGTGTCTGTCCGAAACAAAGCTTTACAAAATAGGCTTTGAAGGGCTTAGAGCAAGTCATCCCATCTCGTCTTGCTTCTCTTGGGATCTCTGTGTCAGGACGCGCTAGCTACTGTACATTGCCCTCGTGAGGCAGAGGAAAACCTTGGCTGAATTTCATCTCGGCAATCACGCAAAGCTACTTTCTCCCCACCAACGCCACCTTTGCGCTTCTCCACATTCGTCAGTCTAGCATTTCTCCAATACCCTCTCGTCGTCATCGTCTCATGATGGTCTCCAAGCTGTCCGAGTCAGACACTATCCTCACAAAACAGTATCGGGTAGCTCCGGATAAACAACCAGCATCAGATTGCCGACATGCCCGGTGAAGCTAGGATTTCCATATCCCCTCTTCCCGTCTCTTAGTCCGAGCATTCTGCAAGATGACCAAGGAAGGGGCCTCCAACCTCAATGGCAGCAACCTCTTCAGAGCCGTTTTCATCCAATAGCAGGGGGAGGCGCTATCTGTTCTCCTAACAACATCTCGAGCTTGCGGTGGGGGCGGAAAAAAATGGTCGCAAAAAAGTGGTCGCTGTCATCTTGAGGTTAGCTCTTCTTGCGATTTGCGCGCCTGCCGTGTTGCGATCAGTAGCTGGCAGTCGCTTCTCACCGTCGAGCCACACAGAGAGATGTAACGGGCAGCTTGGACTTCACACTCGTACCTGCCCTGCAGCCGTTTGAGTCTCTTCCGGCCGCATCTGTTGGCAAGTTAGGGAGAACAACTTTGGCATCGCCTCGAATAACCAAGGAAATGTGCAGTGCTGAGTGTAAACTCAAGCGTGGGAAGTTTCTCGACTCCTTTCCTCTCGTGAGATAGTCTTTCGCCAAACGGATAACTCTCAGGGGGAAGCAGAGCTTCTTCAGTCACCGTATCTCTTGGAGCAGACAGGCGAAAAGGCGAAAAGGCAAAAAGGCAAAAAGGCAATCGGATCTGCCGGTTCGGCTGTGTCATTTCCGTTATCTCATCAGCCTCGTCACACTCTCACAGCCTGCCGACCGGCAAGAGAGAACAGTTGATCGGCATCGCAGATACAGCTCATTGGCTTGATAGTCACAAGCTTCATACGCCACACAATCGCCAAGACTTTGGCATTGATCGATATGATAGGTATACTGAGTTGGTTTGCGCAGCCGACCTGCTCCGAGTCAATCTGATCGCATAGCTTTTCAGGATTCCGTCGTCCCTCTGGCAACCATCATGACGGTCTTTGCTGCCCTTTTTGCTCAGCATGAATCGAGCAAAAGTAGTGCATCACTGCTCCACTCACTGGCTTCACCGCCACAACACTGTTCCCCAGCCGCTTGTGGCACTTGGGACACGTCCTCGACTCGCCAACTTTGACCCGCCTGCTTTGCAACTTGCAAAGAGTCTCTTCCACCTGCCAGTTGCGGTTGGTGCGCATCTCGCCGATTACTCGCGCCTCGTGTTGCTTGCGTGTTAAGTCTCGAAGGTTCACATTGACGAACCCTGCAATCTGTGATAGGGAGACCGACGATGGAAGAAGATCCAGTGCCGAGCGGAGGTCAATTCTTGCTGCATGCCTCTCCATGAGGCCCAGCGCAGAGTCCAGCTGGATCCAAGCAGACGAGCTTGTATCCAAGTAGATGCGTAGGAGCGTGAGGAAAACTTCTCGGTCAGCTCGCTGCTTTTGCTCGTGGTCGATGAGAAGGCTTTGCTGATGGTTTGATCGTCCACCTTCTTGCTGCCCTTGCTGCGACTCTTGCTGTGCCTGCTTGAAAGTCGATGATGAAGGCTTGCAGGCTGCGCGGTACCGCCAAACGTCTCGACAGTATTCTTCTGCTCTTGTCGCATCTTGCAGCTTCCGAACATAGATGCTCAGAGCTCCTTCGTGCTGGCCCATCCTGCCTAGCAGCAACGCTCTCGCTTCTAGCATATCTCGGTCATCATCGTCTGCGGGTAGCCTAACCAGGATCTGCTCAGGTCGATACTGTGTCGAGCTTCGCAAGAACCTGAGCAGCTTTTGCATCAGCTCCTCGCGCTCGCTTCGCAGCGACTGCGGCGTTGTGCTTTGATTGCCTTGCTTTCCATCAGCTTGCGCTTGAGAGTCATTTGCGCCCGCCTCGTCCTTGGACTGCAGACGCTCCCCAAGGTCGGCAGCTCTTCGGAGGTAGAGTCTAATCAGCTTATCGTGCAGCTTGGGATCTGCTTCTCCCGCATTCTCGATGATATACTCCAGATACGCGGCACAGAGTTCCTTATCGAACCGATTGAGATCATCGACGATCTCCAGTCGCGGCCATGACCCCACCTTACCCGCATCGGCGGTGAAGACTTCCATCCCGAGTTCGCTATTGACCTCCAACAGCCAATGCGAGGTCTCTAAGATCACATCAATGAACTCTGGCCCCAGGTTCTGCAGGTACCGAATCGTGGGCCGCATCTTCTCTTCCACATCATCCTCGTCATCGGCGAATTGCTTCAGCAGTCCTAGTGCTTTGCTATGCATCTCTTTGCCTCCGTACAGTGCGATCAGCTCCGAAAACTTCTTGCGCTCCTTGAGCAGCTCTTCCACTTGCTCCACTTCGCACCAGTTTTCGATTCGACATAGAGGTCCGATCAACGCCGGCTTGGTTTGCAGGAATGTCTTGAACAGCGCCGTGTCGACTGTTTGCGCTACAGCAATCAGCTCATCCTTGTCCATCTCGCCAAAGCGCTTGTTTGGCAGCGAAAGGAGCCAGTGCGTGTCACGCTTGATCTGCGACATGGCCATGTGATCTTTCGACTCAAGGTGTGGACTCGACTCCAGGATCGGCTTGAAGATACGTCGACGGTCAGCAAGGAATTTCCCCAGCGCTTCCAACGCCTTGCGTGACGAGGTATCGCCACCAGCGGCAGCGGCGTTGCGATTGTCTCGGCTCGCACCTGACCCAGTCGCCTTCATCTCGGGTGCTTCTCGCGTCGTCCTGACAGATCGGATCGAGCCGGTCTCGGCAAGGTGATCCGCGTCTTGCGTCGTCGCAATCGTGGCACCTGTAACTGTGCGAGTCGGTTTGGGCCTGACCGCGCCCGCCTGCGAAGGGCTCGAACTGGGGCTGCTGAAGCCTGCAGGCTCCCCGATGATGCTCTGTGGTCTCCGAGCTGGTAGGAAGGCGCCGAGACCCTTTCTTGCTGCATTTGTTGCTGAGGTCGCCAGAGCTTGCGCCGAAGAAGGCAAAGCTGCATGACTAGGCGTTGGGCTAGACAACGATGCTGCATCACCTGCATCCGACCCTGACCTTACACGCAGCTTGGCAGGTGTCTTACCACCAAAGATCGGGAACCACTCCTCCTTGCTCCTGCTCAACTCGCCTGCTACACTGGACGGATACAGCGCAATGACTTTGGCTGGATTCGTGTCGAGCTCCATAAACATTTCGACAGCCTCATCGTATCGCTCGTCTGCAAAGAGAGACACTGCAAACAGTCCCTGCACGTGTGCCCTACGTTCGTCCTTGTCTTCGAGGATAACATTGTCGACGCTGTCAAGCAGACCAAGCGCTTCCTCAAATTCGCCTTTTTCGACGAGCTCGTCGATTTGTCGTCCCCAGCCCTGCATCTCGAGCTGCCAAACGGTACTTCCCTCCCTCTCTAATGCGTTGCGGTCGGTGGGTGTGACCACGACAAACACCGGTGGCTTGTTGCCTGTCGATGGTGTCAATAGCCTCACTTGCGGAGGCGATGTTGACGAAGACAAAGGTCTGCTCGTTGCGGACACGGGCGGAAAGCAAAGTGTTTGGACTGCAAACAAGGTGCCTACCGATCGAATCTGCAAAACCGGATTGTTGGCGTTCGGCAAAGAGCTGTTCTTCAACGATGGCACTGACCCGCTTGGCAGCACACTGAAGACATACGGCTTAGCAAAAGCCACCTCGAGCGGGGTTGCGCTCCACTCAACGCCTTCTCTTCGAGTCGGTCTTCCATCTGCACCCAAGAAGATACCTGTGCCATCCCTGACGAACAACACCTCGCCGCCATCTACATGTAGTACCGACATCTTGCCTCTGCTGCTCAGGCCCATATACCCTCCAAGCCCGCTCAAGCCTCCCAGTGCTGCACCGAACCCAGCGCTAGTGCTGGTTTGCTGGTTCGAACCTGTCGCATCCCCACCTTCGGGTGTGACAGTGTTGTTGCTGGACAGATCAAAATCTTCCACATGCCACGAGGAGAGGCTGGGCGAGGTGAGATCGACCAGTGGACCTGAAGTGGAGTTGGAAGGAGGGTGGACATGCGTCTCGCGACGAAGCTGGCCGCTGCTGTTGTTGTTTGTGCCTCCATAGCCTGGGGAAGGGTGGGTGTATGCGACGGTCGATTCAGCAGCGAGGGGAATCGAGATGGTTCCGTACTCTGCTGCGTTATATCCCATCAACAGCCTTGTCGGTGTCACGAAAGCCAAGCTTCGCGGAGTGTGATTCAACGCTACTTCTCTCGTATCCCAGAACTCGCCATCTATCCATCGAAAGACAAGCAGCTTTCGCTTGACACCAACAGCCAGCACTGTCACCAATGTCATCACCCCGTCTTGACCCTCAGCATCCGCTGCAGCCCCACCAAATCGTGCACCTTCCATCGCCTTTCTCCTCTCCTCTTCTCTGTACTTCACCATCGCGTCCATCCCTCGCATGCTAGCTGCCTGCCAGTCTTTTGAAGGTACATCGTACACACTCGACCTATTTCTGCCTACTGTTCCCATCCCTCCCGCTGCACTTCCAGCACCGGTTTGATTCTGATCCCCAATCGCACCTAGTCTAAACGCACGCGACCCAATCGTCGCATTCCGATTGTACGTGCCTCCACCGCCCCTCATCGTGCCTCTCCCACCTAGCGGTCCAGGACCATAGTCAGGCATCTTAGGCACAGCACGCTTCTGAATCGAGGTATCGATCCCAAACGTCGTTGCTCCCTTTGTCTGACCCAACTGCGATTGCAATTCCAACGTCGACAGATCATGCAGCGAAACATAGCCGTCAGAAAGCGAAATTAGCAAATTGGCTTCCTTGATGATGCCTAGTTGGTCTATCGAGCGTTTGGAGAACTGGGCTGAGGTCTGGACCGGGATGGATGGTGGGAGCTTTGGCAACTGGATGCCAGAGCGGGTGGAGAGGATAGAGGGCGGTTTAGTGGGTGAGGTGGATGAAGAGGCTGCGTCTTGCTGAGACTCTGGTTGGTCTGTTCTGTAGATGCTGAGAGAGCCAGTCGATGTTCCGACGAAGAGCTTTGCGCCATGTACGATCATGTATTCTGGCTTGCCTTTGATGCCGGTTAGCAAGGGGGAGCTGTCAAAGGCATTGTGCATTGTGGGCGGCGAGAGCTGGTGCTGCGCTCAAAGGCGGCGCTGCGAATCAGCTTCGGTGAGGTGGATGCCCGAATAAAGTAGCTTGGTGCCGCTGATATAGCTCAGGATGCTGTAGCCAATGTCGATGGTAGGGAGATGGTGGTGAGCAAGGATGATGCAAAGAGCAACAATTCGCCAGCGTGAATCAGAAAAAGTGGAGTAGCGGAGGTGCGAAATTGGGCGTGGCTGCGGGTCTGTGCGTGCCCTCCAATGCTTCATGCCCCTTTCGGCCCCTCGTATCAGGCGTGCTATGCTCGACACTCAGCTCCTCCTTTGGTCATTGCTTCAGACTGTGAATCGCAACAGGCTCAGGCAGAACCGGTCATATTGGACAGACTGATGCATTGCAAAACAGACAAACAATCTACAAACATGACAAGGAACCAACAATTAGCAGACATGATGCTCTCGAGAAAGCTGGAGAATGTCTAGGGAACAACCCTCCTAGCAGTCCACCTACCAGTAGCAGCATTCTCACCCGGCACCAGCTCATAGATCGTCCTTGTGTCCTCGGCCAAGTTGACCAGATCCACCTTGTAGGGTTCCACCACGACGAGTGCGAAGTTTTTCTCGCTCTCCTCTAGCTGTTTCTTCTGCTGATCATTCTCCTCCTTTCCTGGCTGAGGCAGTTCTAGGGGCCAAGGAGAACTCGTGTCATCTTTCGGCTTAGCTTGTCCCAGTCTGTCTGCGTTGGGATGAGCAGTACCTGGAGTAAGGCGGCAGAAAGAAGCAAGTAGACCAGCATTGAGTTTCTCAAAGATCCTTTTCCTTTCCCCATCCCAATCGAACTTGGTCTCTCCGTCTTCCATCGCATCTGCATTTCTAGGTGGCGACAGGCGCTCGAATGGGAAAAGCGACCTCAGAGGATGACCTGAGGTAGGCAAAACATGCACAGTACCCGAAATCCTAAACTGCATCTGTGTCGACTCGATCCACCAAGCAATCTCGCACTCTCCACCTCGACTACCATCTTCACCCTGTGCTCTCAAACTGCTCTGCGCAGTCAATTGCTGTACTTTCGGCGTGCGAACATCAGTAGTAGTCATCAAGCAGGGGCTTGAAGCGAAGGAGGGGTTGAAAGGAGCGATTCCACCAGGAGCTTCACCGTCACGCTTTTCGTTAACGAATCCTCGGTGAACGACGTATCGAACGTGAGGTTTTGCTGGGTCGTGAACGGAAGAGGGAGGTTCGACGGTGGAGAAAGCGTAATAGAGGATTGATTTTTCGTTTTTGATGTTTTCCCCGATGGAAGAGGCTAGGAGTTGCTTCCATTCCGGTTGGGGAGAGTTGGAGGTTGCTTTGGATTGGTTGTCGCCTGAAGCGTGGCCGTCGGTTGTTTGCTGGTTCGAACCGGAACCGGAGTTCGAGGAAGAGGAGTTGTTAACGGATTGCGAAGCATCTCCAGCCCCAGCCCCAGAAGCAGATTCGGAATCAGCAGCGGCGTTAGACAGCACAGCACCCAATCGATCGCCATCGAAGTTGCTTCCACTGTGACTGAGCTTTTTCTTGGTCTCTTGCTCAGCGAGGGCTGTTCGGAGATCGTTCAGAATCTCCTTCCCGACGTCCCTCGCCCTGATCTGTTCAGGGTCGATATTGAACACAGCAGCGAGCTCATCATGAGACTTAGCATGCGAGATACCCGTCCTCAGCACCGAAAGCTGCTTCTTAGACATCGGCTTCTGCTTCCCCGCCCCGTTCGCATTCTTATTGACAGAATCTGCAGGCTTGAACGCCAACTGAGACATACAATACTTGGTGTTGCCCATAGGATTGTTCAATGCCACTGCATACCTAACCCACTTTGGCGCAATCACTTCAGGGATGCTCAAACTTCCTTCCGGACGGAAACAGGAAGGGTTAGCCTCCGCCCCACGTGCGATCATTGTCGAAGTGACACCCGTCAACTCTTTGATGCGAGGCGCGGTGAGAGCGTCCCATACGTCACCATTGCATACTACTGGGACGGTCTTGCCCATTTCAACAGATACTGTGTTAACGTGGTCTACAATCTCGCGAAGTCGGTGGAGGAGGGCCGGTTCACCAGGACGCATATCTTTTGTCCTACAGTGAACGGTAAGGCATTCGATAGCACCTGTGCGGATGATTCTATCGACAAGCTCGATGGTCTTTTCTTGGGTCGGGAGGAGTCGGATCTTGCACGTAACCGCAACATGAGCTGGTGCAGCTCTGCGCATAGCCCGCAAGGTATTGCAGAGGAGAATAGGGGTACTGAGCATGTTCGCCCCCATCCCAGCGTGAGTGGAGAAGGGCTTGGGACAGCCGCAGTTGAGGTCTACTGCTGCAACGTCGTCTGCCTGCGTGATCGTCTTGATCGCCTCATACGCAAGACCAGGATTAGCCGATCCGAGCTGGTATACGAGGTAGGGACGTTCGATAGGATGGCATGAGAAGATCTGTTTGTTGTCTTTGATGAACTCTATCACGCCAGTCTGGGAGTTGACACGACGTTCAGTACCGATAATGGCACGATCGACTATCTCGGGTCCCCAAACGAGATCAGCTCCATACTCGAGCGAGAGAAGACGGGTGGGGAGGGTACCGATGCGGACCATGGGAGCGAGGAAGATCCCGTTGGTGTATTGCAAGGTGGAGGTGCAGGCGGAGAGAGGAGTGAGGTCGTCGACTTCGTTGTGTCTGTTGGTTTGGGTGTCGGTGGGGAGAGCAGGGGCATCGGTGTAGGAGGTGGAGTCGGCGGCTACTGCTTCCGCTTCGGCCGTGGAGGCAGTGGACTGCATCTTGGCACGTTTGGACGGCGGAAGCATGGAGGAGGGAGGTTGACGAATTTCGGCAACAGAAGGCATGCTGGCGTGAGCAGCAAAGGCTGATTGTGAGCGTGGGACGATGATTTGGGTTGCGAAGAGCTTGGTGTCTATCTTGACAGCGGTGACGATACGGGTTGGCTTGACGATATCAATCAGAGGTCGAGTGCGAAGTAACGGCGAAGATAGCGTCGAGAGCCGTGGCATGAAACGACGACGATGTATATACGAGGCAGTGGTAGACAGAGAAGGACGGGGCCGGAAGGTCTTGCTTACTTGCAAACCCTATATGAGCGGTTGAGGAAGGATGATGCTGTCGAAGATGGCCTGTGCTGAAGGAAAGAATGAATGGGCGTTGAAGACCGGACAAAGGTGAAGGTGGTTTATGCAATGCGAACACACAGATCGAGGATTGTGGTTGTAGACAGCGAAGATAGATGACGGAACTCTGTTCACACTTGATCGCGCTGTGCTGTGCCACTTTCTTGCACCTTTTCGCCGGCAATTTTTACAGTTCAAATACCGCTATACCCTTGGTAGTAACGAGTGTGGAGTAAAATTGATTTTGTGCTTCGCCTGCGTGCCTTTGGTAAGAACCGATCCAGCTGTCGGGCTTTGCTTGGCAGCTTAGACCATGTGTGCCACGTTTAGGATGGGCCCAGCCAGCTCACGTCTATCGGTAGGGAACATGCCGATTGACACCTCAGCCGAGATCAGTTGAGATGAAGACCGGCAAGATCGTCTTGTCAGGAAGCTTTCAATATCGCAAGTTCGTCGTTCTGAATAGCAAGATTTCCTTTTGTGCCTGCACGACTTGACAGCGAGGGGCAAAGTATGTAAATAATTTTGCTAAAAATTGTGGTCACAAAATTCAACCTCGATTTGCCGATGTTCTCGTGCGAAAGATGGCCTGGCCAACTGTCCGGCTATTTGGCGCACCGGAACTCGCTCACGGAAAGCGAAGAAAAGTGACACGAAAGGGTCCAACAACACAAAGCTGGCTTCCATCTTCTTGCTGAACTCTTTCCCCACACTGTCACCAGCCTCTTTCACTCCATCCTCACACTATCTGCCCGCAATAGAGCGAGTTAGATATGACGCTAGACACAATCTACATCTGTCGTCACGGCTTTCGCATGAGCTGGGTTGGCTCCGAGAACTTCCCCGCCACCAACCGTCCACGCGATCCTGTCCTTACAGCCCACGGCCAATCACAAGCACGGCATCTCGCTCAATACCTCTCCTCCCTCCCAGCCTCCGAACAACCAGAATTCATCATCAGCTCTCCTTACTATCGATGTCTTCAAACGTCCTTACCCACTGCCTCTAAGTTGAATCTTGAGCTTGTCGTCGAGCCAGGGCTGGCAGAATGGTTCCCAACAGCAACACCAAGCACCGGCCCACATCCACACCCAGCCCGCGCGGAATACATGAAAGAGTTCGTCCCTCAACTCTCGCTCTCTTGGAAACCTCTTCTCTACCCAAATAGCGACGGCGAGTCGATTTCCCAACTGCACGCCAGAGCGAGGCGCATCTTGGATCTCATCCAACAACGATGCGAGGAGTTGGATGTGACGAGAGTGTTGATATGTAGTCATGCAGCGACGATTATTGCGATGGGGAGAGTGTTGTTGAATGATGATGCGGATGGGAAGAGGGAGAAATTTATCGGGGCAGGGACGGCAACGTTGAGCAAGTACCTGAGGGTGAAGGGTGGGAAGGAGGGAGAGTGGAGGCAGGAGTTGAATGGAGATGCCTCTTTCTTGCCAGAAGGTGTGGAGAGGGAATGGCATTTCGGGATGGTACCGGATAATGTGAGCGAGGATGGGATGGGAGCTGGATGGAGCGATCCTGAAGCGCCGAGGAGTGCGGGAGAGGGGAAGAAGGAGGGAGCAAACATTCAGACTAAGCTCTAGACAACATGAGAAGAGGAGTGATAGATGTGGCTGTCAAGACACCCGCCGAGACGCAAAATCACCGCGAGCTATATGTTATTGTTCGTATATACATGAAGCCCCAAACTTCACGCGTGGAAGTGGTCTGTTAGAGAGGCTTAGCAACGCTCCTCCTGTAAGGCTTCTGTGGAGCAGAACCATTAGCAACAGTCTGGTACGCCTTTCAGTTATAGCTCTTAGCCGGCGGATGAGGAGCCGGAGTCTGCTTCTGTCCCTGTCCCTGTCTGAACGTCGGAAGAACCATAGATACCGACAAATTCACCACTGTCACCTTCGCAATCCTCAAAGCTACCCTTTTGAAACTTTGCACCGTTCGTGTTGTAATAAGCACCCATCACATCATAAATATGAGGAGCCCATTTATCCGCATTAGGCCCATATGCCGCACGGAAGCTGAACTTATAAGCGCTCATAAAGTTGTTCCATTCTTTGATCTAGGTCCATTTTCCTTCGCTACCAGGGACATTGTTGGAATAGACGAGACCGCTTTTAGGGTTCCCAGTCCCGTCAGCGTCGTGTGGGTCGAGCTCTCCACCTGCATCACCACGTTGGATGTTGAGACTGGTGAAGTCGCCAACGCCGGCAACTTGGAGGAGGTTGGGTGTTTTGAGGAATTGAACACCTTGAATCGCGCCGTTGATGATCAGACGAGTTCCATAGCCGGATTTGAGACAGTAGGAGACGACGGATTCTTCGTTGGCTCCGATGACAGGGTTCGGGCTGATGGGTCCCCAGAGACAAAAGTCGTTGACATTGTTGATGAAGACGTTTTGTCAGAGGGACTGAGGGGAAGAGTCACCCCATTTTTTGCATTGATTGAAACCGGATTGACAGTCTTCCCATTTGGCGGGGAGGTTGTTGATGTCGAAGTTGAATTTGTTTTGGGCTGAGGCGAAGGCGGTGAGGAGCGCAGCGATGGCTGCGAGGGAGAAGAGGGTGCGTGTCATGGTGAAAGGTTCGTGAGGTAAAAGGGACTAGACGGGATGTGGAGAGGAGAGAGGGATGTTGACTCGATCAAGAGGAGGCCATTGGTATATGTAGTCTTGCCTGGTCTCCACCCGCTCCACTACAGCACACGAAACCAGGGTCAGGCGATGCGAGCTGTCGACGCAACATCAGTTCGACAACGGATCAGTTGACGGTACGATCATGGGGTTGATTGTTTAGAATGCGGCAAGCGAGTTGGACCGCACGAAGCTCCCTTGAGCCAGTGACCATTGTCCCAAACGAGTTCACGCACTGAATGTCTCATGCCAAAATGTTGTTGCCATTCCAGCCGCGGCAGGGTCACGATTCTACCGAGTTGATGCGAGGTGAGCTTCGACAGCAAGGTATCGCAATGAAGGGACGTAACTAGACTACTAATTCTGGCAACTAGATGTCAAAGTTGGCCGTTGATGTCAACGCATGAACATGGCCAAGAAGGTGTGGGATGTGTAGCGACACGGAATTTGAGGATCGAGGATCGGCAGTGTGCAAACACTTTCCCCCGCCCCCCCTCCAGATCGGCGATCTGAGAATATTCAAATGTTACGCCGAAGACAGCACACAGCCCGAGGAAAAGAAGCAATTGGTCTATTCAACTGCCATGTGGCAAAGCAGTGAAATGAATGGACCAATCGGAAGGGGTCGATTTTCGGTCGTTCTGCGGAGCATAACTCGGGTGGATTGATTGGTGTTGATTAGATGAACGCGCCTCGCCTTGGGAAGCAAAAAAGCAGGCAAGAGGAGATCTGAATTGCACCATTTCAACGGCTCGATGGCGTGCTGCCCCAGGAAAATCTTATCGTGGTTTATACATACTTCCGCCAGCCTCTCTAGAGCCCACAATGCTGCCAATCGGTCAAGGATGAAAAGTGACCAATCTTGCATTTCCTTTCTCGCTTGCCTCTCTCTCTCTCTCCGTCTGAACGCTGTAATTGGAAAGCCTGCCTCGACCGGTCCGAAGGTTTGCCTACTTTCTTTGCTTGGGTCAGCTTAGATGGACACTCCTAAGAAACGGTGGAAGGCGAGGAAGAAAGCGAAATGGACCCTGAATAAGAAAATGACCATGACTTGCCCGTTTGTTTCGCCATCAGTCTCTGATACTCTAGCGACAAGAGTGACAATCTGATCATATGCCACGCTCAGGGTAACACGTCTGTATGGCTGACTCGAAGCATTGGGATTTGACCATAAGAAAGCGTCGAATCGCTGACTACAAGCGGGGAAGGATGGTGTGCTATGCGAGTCAGCGAGGATGGTTGGACAAAGATTTCTTGCTTCCTGACCAGCTCACCGGCTAAAAGCGTTGGCAAAAAAGTGCGATTGCAGACGGCAGCGCGGTGTTCAGAAGAAGTTCTGTTTTCAGTGCGACCTCTCAACCAGTCTCAACCAGACACTGTCCGCCGTGTCAGACACGATTGAGTTGGCTGTCTGCTTGACCCTTGTCCTCACCTTGACCCCTTCTTCTTCTCGCCGCCGCTTGCCCGTGCCCTCCCTCGTCCCTTGCTCACCATCAGCTCTTCCTCCCACCCCATCCATCCCCCGTTGTACGAGTCCTTGCCATCGTCTCGTATTGGTTCCCTTTTCCTTCCGAGCCCTCCCTTCAGGATCAAGGTCATAGGTGGCGTCGGCTACCCTTCCTTCACATCCGGCTCGTTCCTTTTCGATCCTCAACACCAAAAAAAAAATAGGCAACAGAGATCTGCTGCTCAGCCTCAAACACCATACCAAGGAACATCGTTGCCCTTTCGGTACACATCACGAGCAGCTCACGCTCGCTTTCTTTGTTCGCTACCTCAATTGACGTTTCTGTTGCTCACCAGCAGCAGGACTTGATTGAAACATCGTCTCTTCGCTTTCTACATCCACCGCCACATACTATACACAAAAAATGAGCTCCGTCTCTGCTGCTGGCGCCGTCGCCAGAATCGCCGCCCTCGCTTCCGCTACCTTGGTCAACGTCGCTCCCTCCGGCAAGGCTTCCACCTCTTCCTTTGCTTCGGTCGTCGACAATGCCTCCGAGCTCAACGCACAGCTCCAGGTCGAGCAGCTCAACCAGCACGTCGAGCTTGGCTCCCTTCTTACCCAGCTCAAGCCCGCTGGCAACGGTCTCGTCTCGGTGCTCTCACATGCCCATCAGCAGACCTTTACACGTCTCGTGCCTCACCTCCCCAAGCTCCTTCTGAACCCTTTCGTATTCCATGTTGCTAGCGCTGGAGAGCACAGCGACTTGATGGCTCTTCGCCAGTCTGGTCTTGTTCTTCTTCACTCTTCCACCGCAGCACAGGCTCATGACCACGCCCTACTTGCCACCAAGATTGCCACTTCAGCCAAGCGTGCCGTTCTCCACTTCTTCGAGGATGTCTCTGGCTCCGTCGAGGAGGTCACACCCGTCGACCTCGCTTCTTTTGTCGGCTCCGTTGCTGCCTCTTCCAGCACCGACGCTGCCGCAAAGACCAACGGCCTCAACGGCCACGCCAACGGCCTCAACCGAACCAACGGCCTCAATGGCGCCAACGCACACACCAATGGTCACGCCAGCGCTGCCGCTAGCGAGGCTGGCTTCGATGATCTCGAGTCGGCCATCGATGCTGCTTACGAGGACCTTGCCGAGCTTGTTGGTCACGCTGTCGAGCCCTTCCAGCTTGTCGGTGTCTCTGACGCCACCAACCTTGCCGTTGTGCTTGGTGCTGGTTCTGAGACCCTTCAGGACTACACTGCGCCGCACAACGACTTGGCTGTTCTCGATATCCGACTTGTTCGTCCCTCCTTGCCTCAGCGCTTGCTCGACGTGATCCCCACCGGCGTCAAGCGCATCGCTGTTCTTGAGCAGAGCATCCGAAGAACCACCAAGCTCGGTCCTTTGTTTGTTGATGTTGCCACTGCTTTCCAGGGCTCCGAGCGACCTCTGCCCTCTGTCTTTGTCAGCGGTATTCTCGGCCACATTGAGGATGGTGACAAGGCTACCAAGGAACTCATCAAGGCTCTCGAGGCTCCCAAGGCCAAGCATGCTTTCGTTGTCGGTGACGTCAAGAAGCTCACTGCTCGTGCCCAGGCTGCCCCTACTATCGCCTCCTCCACCGGTCCCGTCCAGGTGCCCAAGCACGAGGAGGCTTACAACCTCATGCTCGAGCAGGTCTTTGCTGAGCGTCTCTCGGTGATCAACTCTGCCAACGAGGACAGCGACAACCACCCTGCCGCTCGCAGCCCCGAGTACGCTTTCGGTCAGGTTCTTGCTCAGCTTGAGCAGCGTAACCAGCTCGTTCGTACCGTCAACGAGGCTCTCCGAGATGGTGGCGTCTCGACCGAGCTTCACGAGGCTCTGTCGCAGTGGCTCGTCTCCAAGGAGAACGCCAAGAAGAATGTCGCTACCAGCAACAAGGTTGCATCGCTCCTCCAGTCTTCCGCTTCGGGTGCTGCCCTTGACAAGATCAAGTCGCTTTCTGAGCACCTTGCGCTCAAGAGCCGATGGATCGTCGGCAGTGATGCCTGGGCCTACGACGCCGGTATGGGTGGTGTTCACCACGTCATTGCCTCTGGCCGCAACATCAACATGCTCATCTTCGACAGCGTTCCCTACACCAAGCGAGATGCTCAGGCGGCTCACAAGCGTAAGAAGGACATTGCCCTCTACGCTATGAACTACGGAAACGTGTACGTCGCCAGCACTGCCATCTACGCCGATTACACTCAGGTCCTTCACGCTCTCATGGAGGCTGACAAGTTCCAGGGTCCTTCGGTCGTTCTCGCTTACGTGCCCTACCGCACTGAGGAAGCCGCTGCGCTCGATGTGCTTCGTGAGACCAAGCTTGCCATCGACTCTGGTTACTGGCCCCTCTTCCGATGGGACCCCAGCGCCGAGGCACGTGGTTCCGAGGTCTTCCGTCTCGACGGTGTTCGTTTGCGTGAGCAGCTACAGCAGTTCCTCGACCGCCAGAACCTCTTCACCACCCTCGTCAAGTCGCGTCCCGAGCTTTCTTACGACATTGCCGCATCGCAGGGTACCGCTCTCCGCGAGTTGCAGCGTCGCAAGGCTAAGGAGGCTTACGAGAAGATGCTTGGTTCACTCGACGGCCCTCCTCTCCTCATCCTTGTCGCTTCCGACGGTGGTAACGCCGAGAAGGTGGCCAAGAAGCTCGCTCTTCGTGCCAAGGCTCGTGGTGTCGCCGCTCGTCTCCTCACCATGGACGACTACCCTGTGGCTGAGGAGCTCAAGGATGAGAAGAACGTTGTGTTCCTCACCTCGACTGCTGGTCAGGGTGAGCCTCCTCAGAACGGTCGATTCACTTACAAGGCTCTCCACGCTATGTCTGGTTCTACTCTTCCCGACACCGTTAACTACGCCGTCTTTGCCATGGGCGACAGCCACTACTGGCCTCGACCTGAGGATGCTCACTACTACAACAAGCCGGGTAAGGACATTGACGTCGTCCTCGAGAAGCTCGGTGCCAACCGCATGGCTCCCATCGGTCTTGGCGACGACCAGGACGCCGACGGCTACCAGACCGGCTACAAGATCTGGGAGCCTTTGCTCTGGAAGGCCCTCGGTGTCGACACTGTTGAGGTCAAGGAGGCCGAGCCCGAGCCCATCACCAACGAGCACATGAAGATCGCCTCCAACTACCTCCGTGGTACCATCAAGGAGGGTCTTGAGGACAAGTCGACCGGTGCCATCTGCGAGACCGACGGTCAGCTCACCAAGTTCCATGGTACCTACATGCAGTACGACCGTGACACTCTCGAGGAGCGCAAGGCTGCTGGTCTTGAGCCCGCTTACAGCTTCATGATCCGAGCTCGTATACCCGGTGGTGTTGTCACTCCTCAGCAGTGGCTCCAGCTCGACGATGTTGCCGAGAAGTATGGTAACCAGACCGTCAAGATTACCACTCGTCAGACCATCCAGTACCACTGCGTCATCAAGAGCAACCTCAAGGCTGCCATGCAGGGCATTAACAAGTCGATGCTTGACACCATTGCCGCCTGTGGTGACGTCAACCGTAACGTCATGTGCTCGCCCAACCCTAGCTTGAGCGAGTTGCACGAGGATGTCTTCGAGTTCTCCAAGTCGATCTCGGAGCACCTCTTGCCTCGCATGAATGCTTACCACGAGATCTGGCTCGACAAGGAGACCGACAGCTCCAAGCAGTTGCTTGTCGGTGGTGTCTTGCAGGACTACGAGCCACTTTACGGTCCTTACTACTTGCCACGAAAGTTCAAGATTGCCATCGCTGTGCCACCACGCAACGACACCGATTGCTTCGCCCACGACATTGGTCTCATTGCTATTGCTGACCCCCAAACCAACCGTCTTGCTGGTTTCAACTTGGCTGTCGGTGGTGGTATGGGTGTCACTCACTCGATGAAGGCTACCTACCCCCGTCTCGGAAGCGTCATCGGTTTCGTCACTCCCGAGCAGACCCTCGACGCCTGCCGAATCGTTATGCTCATCCAGCGTGACACCGGTAACCGTGCTAACCGTAAGCAGGCTCGATTGAAGTACACCATCGACAAGCACTGGGGTGGTGCCGACAACTTCAAGGCGGAAGTCGAGCGTCGTTTGGGCTACAAGCTCGCTGAGCCCCGTTCGTACAAGTTCGAGACCAACACCGACTTGTACGGCTGGACTCAGGATTACAAGGGCAACTATCACTGTACCTTGTGGCTCGAGAACGGTCGTGTCAAGGACGAGCCTGGTGCGCCCTTCCGTACTGGTCTTCGCGAGTTGTGCAAGATTCACAAGGGTGCCTTCCGTTTGACACCCAACCAACACATCATCGTCTCGGACATTGCACCGGAGGACAAGGATACCATCGATACTCACTTGCGCAAGTACAAGATGAACAACTGGGAGCACTCGGGTGTCAAGCTCAGCGCCAGTGCCTGTGTCGCTTTCCCCACTTGCGGTCTTGCTATGGCCGAGTCGGAGCGATACTTGCCCTTGCTTATGGACAAGGTAGAGGCCATCTTTGAGGCGAATGGCTTACGTAGCACAGACACTGTGTTCCGTATGTCGGGTTGTGCCAACGGTTGTTCGCGACCTTGGATGGCTGAGGCTGGTTTCGTCGGTAAGGCTCCTGGTCAGTACGTGATGACACTGGGTGGTTCGCACAACGGTACTCGTCTGTCGAAGATCTACCGCGAGAGTGTCGACGAGAAGGAGATTCTCGAGATCATGAACAAGCTCGTACCCCAGTACGCACAGAACCGTATCGAGGGCGAGTCGTTTGGTGACTACGTCATTCGTGCCGGTGTCATCAAGCCCACTACCCAGGGTAAGGCATTCTACGAGGACATGTGCCCATCGGATATTGTTCCTCCTTCGGCAGCGGCAAAGAAGGGTCCTGCTCAGGCTACTGAGCACTACGACCGTGCTTCCTCTGCATAAACACCAAACTCAAAATACACAGTGAGGCAAATGGTTCCAACACACCTTTCGCCTATCTTCTTTCCCTGCATCATGCTTCTTCAACTATGCTTCTTTGGGATATTGTTATCCTGTACATAAGACTCATCCTTTCCGCTCGTTTGTTGTGTTTTTTATTTTTCAATCATAGATTCGGTTTCAAACTTCCACTTCAGCGCTGTGTTTCTTGATGTGAACTGACGACTGCTTGTGAGTGTCGCCTGCTGAGCGGTACATGAGATCGCAATCGCGTCCATCGACACCGATCGGATTGTCAGTCTGATCGATCTGTTGCAAGCACGCACATTGATGGTGTTTGACTCTATATTGCGATTGATCTGATTTTACAAGCATCTAGTGCATCATGCGTAACCGTTGGCCTTGACCGTTGGATCGTTGTCGTGCTGAATCTGCTGTGCCAACTCCGAAATGCCCTTTGCCTCTCCCTTCTCCGGCTCTTCAGCCTCGATCGTCAACTTCAACCCGGTGCCATCTTCCTTCCATTCCGCCTTGACACTCCTAAGATCCTCAACAATAAAATCTGGTCCTTCATCCTGCATCTTCTCACCGGCATGAGTTGTCCTGAGAGCTAATGTCTTCGCACCAGCCCTCTTACCAGCGCGTACGCCGGGAGGAGCGTCTTCCACAACCAAACACCTGCTGATGTCCTGTCCCGTCTTCTCTGCTCCCAAAAGATAAGGCTGAGGATCAGGCTTACCCTTTGTGCACAAATCTGAAGTAATGAACACTTGAGGCTGCTCGCTGACTCCAGCAGCTGCGAAACCTTGCTGCGCATAAGCTTTTGTTGCGGATGTAACGATAGCCCAACCCGAGTTACCTCTCTTTTCTGCTGCAGCAGGACGGGTGGAGCTGATGGAATGCAAAAGATCCTTAGCACCAGGCATGGCAACGATGGAACCGCCTTGTCCTTTGGCAGCGTTCTCTTGCGCTACAACGAGAATATTCGATTCGAAACGCTCTACTTCGGCTGGAATTTCCGAGTCGGGAATGGAGGGGATGAAACGTTTGAGGTTTTCAACGGTGCGGTATCCATGGCATGTTTGCATGACAAAGTCGAGATCGAGGTTGTACTGACGTGCGAAAGAGGCCCAGGTGGCATTGACGGCAGGGGTGGAGTCGATGAGGGTGCCGTCCATGTCGAACAGGATGGTGTCGACTTCCACCGTGACTGTCTTGACCATTTTGAGCGAGCTTATTCGGTGTGGTGATAGTGAGTGAGTGAGTGAGTGAGTGAGTGTGGTTGGTAAGGAAGGAGGACGCAAAGGCGAGCTGAGTTATGGAGGAGGGAGTCGTGGAGATGGCGCAATTGGAATGGTTCAGGGTTTCACGAAACCCAGCCTTGTTCGGCATCAATGCAATGCGCCTTCTTCCACACGTCGGCTATTTGGCAGGAAGATTTCAAAACTTCCAGCCGCCCACGTTGACAGCATCTGTAGCACAACGTACTTGACTATGCAGTTCACACCTCAAGTCAGGGCGACCTAAGTCTGTGCTACAGCGTGTACAACACAGGCTCATGAATGGCTCGGAGCATGAGATGTTCTCACAAGCTGCTGACGAGGGCTAGCAACTGATCCATTGTCGGTGAAATAAAACGAATGGATGCCGCCACGAGCACAATAGTCGATGCATTTGACCGACATCGCCGTCTAAGCAAAGCTGGTCACGAAACTGCAGTCGTTATATCTCACACTGACAATTGAACGCCGGACATGCACCATATCCGCCTCGTCATGTGTTGCACAAAAAGTTCGTCTGGCCAACGGTAAATTTAAGCGCCGATGAGACAAGGTTAAGCCAAAAGAAATGCCGGCCTAACAGACTAACATGAGCAGCTCAACTTCGTTGCTGTCTGGCATGCTCATTTCCCTCTAATGTAGCCAGTTGAGATCACCTCATCCTTTCGGAAAGAAGCTGTAATGGGATACGAAATAGGCACTGGCAATACACAGCTGTAGCCCTGCTTTAGAAGAGCGGTGATGTTTTGCAATCGATGAAAGCATCATGCTGAAGGCTGCTGGGCAAAGGTATCGCGATTGAATGGGTTGCAGAAATGTGAATCGGTGATGCGCACGCCTGCAGCGGACCCGATTATGGAGATGGACAAATTTTGCAGCAGCTTTTGCCAGCAGCACGTGATTTACAGAATAACTGTATTTTTGGAAGAAAGACGGCCAATTTTCGAGCTGGAGATTCACCTGGTTGGAGCCTTTCGGAAACTCTAAGGCAGCAGACAGCGATCTCTAGTTGCAACAATTTCCAAGGCAGCAGCTCCAGTCAACCAAGGTTGGCTAGATCTGAAATTTGAGAAATGAGTGTCTTTGTGAGAGCGCCAGGCTCAGTCGACAGAGAGAGTGTGTGTGTCGAGGATCTTGAGAATTCGCAAACAGCCAGTCCCAGTGCGCTGTGAGTGAGTGAGTGAGTGTGGGTGAGTAAGGTGGTCGCCATCAACCTTGTTTCTATCCCTCATCTTCGACCATCCACCCCCTCAAGATCATATCAAAGTACGTATCTGCCGACATCTAGCAGCAGTAGCATCGACGACACTCGCATCAGCATGGAGGAAAAGACAGCAATCGCAATCGCAATCGCATAGCAACGCATCAGCAGCAGATACAACAGAAAGAGACGTAGCAGTAGACACAGCATCGACAGCAGCCGTCACTGATTATCGATGACAGCATCAGCACATACAAATTAGCATGCAGTGTATGTTCTATCGCATGCAGGTATCATCTCCACCGGCTTGATCATCTTCGAAATGGGTTGGACCTTTAAATAATCCCAGGTCGACAAAGGGAGCAAGTTGATGATCAGGATGGAACAAGCTTGCAACGTCAGGGGGAAGGGATAGCTTAAGCGCACGCGGCAGTGTCGTTCTCGCATGTTGTCGTACCGCTCGTCAGTGTGATCACATCGATGCAATTGTGACATCGCAGAAGGTCAGCCTGGACAAAAGCCGACCTCCTCCAGCAGCAGTCTTTACGTACTGCGCACGTTGTTGGACCCGTCCGTACATCTGCGATGTTGAGCAAGCAATCCGCATTGCTCTGCCTAGGTCATGCAGTCTATGGGCATGCAGGTCTGTACAAGGCAACAAAGGCGATGGCATCGATGTGGCTGCATTGATAGTGTTGGGACGGAAGGAATTTCACCAACTAGAGCGATGATCGCGAGCATTATCATCTTTACTGCACGCTCAAGGTCAGATTCGTTCACGCTGTCGACCATCCCCAACATTTTATCACTCGACTGGAACCGGCTAGCATGCTCGCATCACACACCGCACAGTCTTTCGTTGCAGAGGCGCTCCTCGACTTTCGCTTTCTTTCGACCCTGCTATCTCTTTGCTCTTTTGATCCGCGCGCAACTAGAGAGATTTACACCCGGCACCTGACAGAATTCCATGGTTACGCGGTTGCGATTGCGATTGCGATTGCGATTGTTATCTTGCCTCCTCGCTGCTGATTCTCAAAACAAAAGAAAAACTCGGATCAATGAGGCTGACTTTTTTCTCACTTCTCTCTTCCTGCCTTTCTTCGCATTCGACTTCCGACCATCACTCAACTATCACTCTTAACTATCACTCTCGATTCTACCACCTCTATCGCCTATCGCCTATCTTTCAACTTCTGCTCGCACATCAAAGATGGCCGTGAAGCATAACAACATCCTTCACAACAACCACTTCCGCAAGGACTGGCAGCGCCGGGTCAAGGTCTGGTTCGACCAGCCCGGTGCCAAGAAGAGGAGACGCACTGCTCGTGAGGCTAAGGCTGCCAAGCTCGGTCTCCGACCCGTCCAGCCCCTCCGCCCTGCTGTCCGATGCCCCACTCTCCGATACAACACCAAGGTCCGCTCCGGCCGTGGTTTCACCATTGAGGAGGTCAAGGCTGCCGGTCTCGGCAAGAAATATGCCCGCTCCGTCGGTATTCCCGTCGACCACCGTCGTCGCAACAAGTCCGAGGAGAGCCTCAAGCTCAACGTCGAGCGCATCAAGGCTTACCAGGCCCGTCTTGTTGTTGTTCCTAAGTTAACCAAGAAGAACAAAGACAAGAAGGTCGACCTTTCCAACGTCGAGGCTGTTCGCCAGGTTCAGTCCGCCATTCCTTTGCCCAAGGCTGTCGAGGCCGAGAAGCCCCGTGCTATCACCGCCGAGGAGAAGAGCTTCAACGCTTACGAGACCCTCCGCAAGGCCCGTGGTACCCACCGTGCCGCTGGCAAGGTCAAAGCCCGCATTCAGAAGAAGGAAGAGGAGGCTGCCAACGCCAAGAAGTAAATTGGCTTTCGGCGCCACAACTTCTTGTTTCCGTTTGCTTTCTTCGCTGGTTTCTTTCTGCCTTGTTACACTATTATCATTACTTGTCAGCATGCCTTTCCGCACATGCTTCACTTCCCCATCATTACTACCATGTAGTTGGCTTTTCGCAGTATCGTTGACTTGAATCTCTTGGTCGTACGGTGCAACGCTCTTACCTGCTCCAACAATGATGTAAAACCCACATCTGTGTATTTTCTTCTGCATTTCACACATGCACTACCTCACACACACACACACCCACCCACCCACGCAAAAATCTAAAAGAGATGATCCCTACGCTTTGCTATCTTTGTGACCCCACGATTGGTTGATCACGGCTGTCATCATTTGCACTGTTGATTGAAGGTGACGAGAGACGTTAGTCAGAGGAGCGGACAAGACCGGGCCACCGGGCGCCAGATGAAGACTTGTTGGATCGGCAGCCGAAGGTGTTTTGAATTGGCCGATTACTCTCCGCAAACCGACGACCATCAGACCAGCGCCGGTACTTCGGAATAGCAGCTCGCCAGCGAATTCGTTACGATCGGCGCTTGCGAAGGAACCAAGGGAAGAGGTGAGTGGGATGGTGGGATCGCCCGATGTTCGAGAGAGCCACCAACGTAGCATCTCATAAATGTCGCTACCCTTGGACCGCCACCTAACCCAACGCCATCGCTGTGTCATTGTGCACTTTTTCCTGCTCTTGACTTCATCTCGCCATGGGTCGCACGCCGATTTGTCTCCTGCTCTTCATTTGCTTGCACTTCCTCAATCTGCCTGGCCCGTCTTTGGCAGATTGTTTCTAGACAGCCACTTCAAGAGCAAACGCTGATACTGTATGAGATGGAAAAAAGGATCCGAGCGCCATCTCCTTCGCCGAGGTTTAGTGAGTTCGTTCGTTCGCCCTGTTCATCCATTATTGACGCTTCCTTCTCGGGCAAGTGAGATCAATCGTTCGACCTTGGTAAAGGATTCAGTCCTTCATCTGGACGAGCACCGGTTTCAACTCATTTTTCGATGCCGTGCCAACCAATCTGCATAAGACAGATGATCCACCAGAGTGCCTGACTTCGCATTGTCTTCGAGAGGTTTATGAAGTGTTGCAAAGGAGCATTATGCCTCGGCCTTCCGATGCCTCTCTGTTCTGATGTGCCGATTGCTGCTCATGTATGCAAAGTGGGACGTGTGTGAGTTAACAACACAGCCACTCTGCTTCTTGTCGCCATATATAACCCGACGAACTTTCTCCCCCAGCTTGCGCTTCTCTTCTTCTCCTCCTTACGTTTGTCACTTCCTTTCCCTTCCCCTCCCCTCCCCTGTCCCATCCCTTCTCATTATTTTACCCCTGTCTCGTCCTTCTCTAGATCTATCTCTTTTCGACAATCGGGCAAGCACCCAACAACCTACCACAATGAAAGGCCTAACAGCATTCGTCCTAGTCGCCCTCTTAATGGGCAGACTTGACACCACTTCTGCAACTCCTACTTTTGAGCAAGTTTTCCACCCCCTTCCCCCAGATTTGTATTTCGTCTCTTACTAACCTCTCCTCTCCTCTCTTGCGCACACAGAGTGATCAACGACGGCAATACCCACGGAGTGAAGCTTTCTGTCGGTTTACCTTTCTCCTCTTCTTCTGGCGATGCTGGAGTTAGGGGTCATGTTGGAGCAAGTGCCGATCCCTCCGTCTCCGCTTCTGGATCTGCCGGTGGTGCGCCAGCCAAAGATTGCCTGGAGAACCTGCCAGGTATCGGCAATCTTTTCTCGGCTTCCGCTGGTTTCACGACTTCGCCATCTGGAGATTCCTCTTCTGGATATGATAAGGATGCGGATTCGGCGAAAGGTGATGATGGGATCGAAGATTCAGCTCCTGTTGCTAGTGCTTCTGGTGGAGATGGAGGTAGTGGTGGCGATTCTGGTTCTGGTGGTTCTGGAGGTGCTGGAGGTGCTGGAGGTGCTGGCGGCGCAGGCGGTGCAGGTGGTGCTGGAGGATCCGAAGACCACTGCAACGAATGCGAGACCAACCCTTCCTCTTCTCAGCCATCCCCTCTTTCTTGCGCTGATGGAAAGGGTGGATCGGGTTGTCCTGACTCTTCTTCCACTCCTCCTTCTCCTTCGGGTGGTAGTGGCGGAGACGAAGGGTGCGAGTCGAAGGGTGACTCCGGCTCTTCCAGCTCCCCTGGCTCCCCTGGCTCCCCTAGTGGACTGGAAGGCTACGGTGCAGATGGAGGTGATGGTAGCAGCACTCCTTCTCCCTCTCCCCTTGCTTCCAGTACAGGTGGAGAGCACTGTGAAACGTGCGAAAGTGACCACTCTTCTTCCTCCTCCCCAGACGACAACACCAGCCCTTCCACTGGCAGTGGCGGAGCTACGACGGGTGGCGACGCCGAGGCTTGTGCGGACAAAGACAAAGATGCTTCTTCTTCGCCCCCTTACGGCGTGTCTTCCGGCAACACTCCTTCGCCGAGTGGCGGTGACAGCTCTTTGCCTGACTCACCCTCCTCACCCCCTTCTGGTGGTGAGAAGGAATGCGACGAGGACAAGGATACGGGCGCATCTACCCCTGGTGGCGGTATCTCCTCTGGCAATACCCCTATCTCTCCTCCCACTCCTTCCTCAGGCAGTGAAAAAGAGTGTGACGAGGACAAGGATAGCGGTTCAGACTCCGGCTCGCCCATGCCTTCCTCACCTTCTCCCACATCTCCTGAAAGTGGAGAGGAATGCGAGGACAAAGACAAGGGCTCGTCCGCTCCTCCTGGCGGCATCTCTTCTGGTAACATCCCTTCCTCACCATCCTCTCCCACCGGCGGCAAAGGCGACAAAGAGTGCGATGAAGACAAGGGCTCCGGTTCTTCTCTTCCTCCTGGCGGCATCTCTTCTGGTAACATCCCTTCCTCACCATCCTCTCCCACCGGCGGCGAAGGCGACAAAGAGTGCGATGAAGACAAGGGCACCGGTTCTTCTCTTCCTCCTGGCGGCATCTCTTCTGGTAACATCCCTTCCTCACCATCCTCTCCCACTGGCGGCGAAGGCGACAAAGAGTGCGATGAAGACAAGGGCTCCGGTTCTTCTCTTCCTCCTGGCGGCATCTCTTCTGGTAACATCCCTTCCTCACCATCCTCTCCCACTGGCGGCGAAGGCGACAAAGAATGCGATGAAGACAAGGGCTCCGGTTCTTCTCTTCCTCCTGGCGGCATTTCTTCGGGTAACACCCCTTCCACTCCTTCGCCTGAAGATGAGAGTGAGAGCGGTTCAACTCCCCCTTCTCCCTCATCGCCTCCATTTGGTGGCATTTCTTCGGGTAACACACCTTCGCCCGAAGGTGAGAGCGAGAGCAGTTCAACTCCCCCTTCTCCCTCATCGCCTCCATCTGGTGGCGAAGGTGAGAAGGAATGTGATGAGGACAAAGATAAGGGCTCATCTGTTCCTTCTGGAGGCATTCCTTCCGGTCGCACATCTTATTCTTCGCCTCCTTCGGGTGGTGAGGAGTTTGATGAAGACAAGGACAGGGGTTCATCTGTTCCTCGTTCCGACTCCTGCTCAGGTGGCCCAGAATGCAGTACCACCGACACCCCCGAACAAACTCACCCCTCCTCCCCCAGCGGCGGCACCTGCGGCCCCACAGCTCCCTACAGTGACATCTTCAAAACCTGGTTCCCTCCTTCCTCTTCCCCCGGTATCTCATCCGGTGGACCCAGCGCTGCTCCCCTTTCCTCCTCCGGTTCTTCCTCTTCCCCCGGTATCTCATCCGGTGGACCCAGCGCTGCTCCCCTTTCCTCCTCCGGTTCTTCCTCTTCCCCCGGTATCTCATCCGGTGGACCCAGCGCTGCTCCCTTTTCCTCCTCCGATTCTTCCTCACCTAGCGCTGACTCAGATTGCACCCCTCAATCTTGCCCAGCGGAGAAGAAAGCCACCCTCGAGTTTGCACCTTGTGATTTCGCTGCGTTGTTCACCCAGATGAAAATCACTTCTGAACAACTAGCTACTTTCGGAGCCGGATTACAGGGGTTGATGGCTTCCCAAAAAGTAACTTATACAGTTGATGGGAAGAGAGTTAATGCGAAAGAATTGGAGAAAGTGTTGGATGTTGGGATTAAGCGTGCCTTTGGGGCCGCGGCTGGTGGCACTGGGGGACTGGTAGGAGGTGAGATTGGGGGAAAGGGGGCAAATAGGTTCATGTACAAAGTGAAGCGCAACTCTAGGTGGTTCTAACCCTCCATCCTTGATTCGTATCGTATTCTCAAGCTAGGAGGCAGCACTCCTTCAACAAACACACACTTTCTTTGCTCCGGTTTTTTGGTCTCTACACACTCTTTTTATATTTGGTCTCTCTCGTTCTTGCATCTCATTCGTCTCGTCTCGCTTCTTTGCGGTGCAATCGACATTCGTTCTCACACTTTCACCATGACTGTGCTCAAATCCGCTCATCGCATCCTCTTCACACCATCATCAGGTGTTGTTTACTTAAGTGGTGACATTTCTTTCCAACCTCGCATATTCTTTAATGCTTCATCGTCTCCTTCACCGCCTTTTTCGCAGCATTTCTCTTCACCACCTCACTGATTGCCTGATCCGCCGCCTTCCTCCCGATCTTAGCTTTTACCTCATAATTCGCCTTTGCCCAACCCATCTTGACCAACCACTTTACAAAGCTTGGCGTAACCGCTGCTGTGAATGCTACCCTCACTGGAAGCAAAAGGGTTTTGTGAATTGTGTATGCTAGGACTGCCTCAGTCCATAATGTTCCGCTGCCACTACCTCCCTTTTTCCCATCGGTGGGGTCAGAGGAGGAAGGATGTTCAGCACGTTGTTCCAACCCTAGTTTGGTGCGGAGGGAGGATTCGAGTGAACGAATGTGGTCCGCTCCAAGGAGGTGGATTGCGAGGAATGTGAGAGAGAAGTCTACGGTTGAGGCAAGGAGATATACGCCGAGAGCCCACCAACCATAGCGTCGGGTGAGAAAACGGAGTCGTTCGCGGAGTGTGGCTTTGGGTGGGGGTGCGTCTGGGTCTGGTTCTGGTTCTGGTTCTGATTTCAAGGTGGTAGAAGCGGTTGAGGATGGGCGAGCGAAGATCGCAGTTGTCCTTGGAAACGGTGATAGGAATGGGTTTGAGAGTTGAAGGAGGGGCAGTATTGATGCAGGTTGAGTTCTTGTAATCGCCTTTGAAGCTAGGAGTGAGGTAGATGTGGTGGAGGCGAACCTAAGAGATTGTTGTCGAAGAGCCGGCACTGATGGGGCCAGTACGCTACGACTGGCTCTTCTGAGAGTCGACGACATCTTGCCTTACTATCCGTCGCTTGATGCAACGTGGAGAGATGGTGAAAGTGAGATGAGGAGAAACAAAGGGTGGAGCTGTCAAATGTGTGTTACTCTCTCTGCTCTCTCTTTGGGATTTTTCTTTTTGCGACGTCACACCTTTTCGCGTACCGCGAGTCTCTGAGTCGGAGACGGTGTCCGAAAGCGCAAAATCGCAAAATCGTAAAATCGCAAAATCTTAATCTCTGGCTTCAAAAGGTGCACTTTTTCTAGGTGTGGAGGCGAAGAATCACCACCACACAGCCCAGCTGTAGCTCAGCACAGATAGCGGCTTGGCTGGAGCGGATGAAGCCGTCTGCTGCCTTGTAGTTTTGGGCAAGGGTCCGCGGACCAACAACAAGTGCCTCAATCGGATGGGCCAAAGTGAGATTCGATTTTAGGCCACACCAGCCTCGCTCAGAACATCATTAAAGATGAGACAGGTCCAGATGCAGCAACTTGGGTTTGAAAGCAAAAGTGGTATTCTCCATATCCCTACAAAAAAGAGAGATGTGATGGTATGTGTATGAGGGCTGGTGTTTGACACCAACACCAAAGCTGGCCTCCTGTCAGAAGCTGAAACGGCGAAAAACAGATCGAGCAACGGAAAGAGTGTGTGTTGAGAAACGAGCGTTAAGAAGCAATGCCTCAGTAATGATTCTGATAACTCTGCTGCTGAGGATGAGGATGTGCCATGCCAGCATGAGCATAAGGATCCACTCCGTACAGGTTCCCACCATCCGCATACCCTCCATCCCCTCCCTGCGGAGGAGAAGTCTGTTGCACTCCATACTGTCCTCCATACATATGTTCACCATAATACCCGGCACCAACCGCCGGATCCATCTGTGCTGCATAGCCATGATCGACGTACTCCCCGACCCCATATCCCCCAACCGCACCACCTCCAGCAGCAAGTGCAGTAGTCGAGTTGCCAAAACTATCCCTTCCTTTCTCACCCATACCATTCCCATCATGCCCTTCGTTATCCGATTCATCACCCATATCGAACCCAGCTCCACCCGTCCTACGCGCCGGCAACGGCTGCATGACGTTCGAATCAGGATCATGTTTGAGCTCAGGCCACTTGATATCGGCATCTCCATCGTCGAAATTGCTGAATCGTCGAGTACCGAATTTGAAGTAGAGGAAGATGAATGCTGCAAGAACCAACACGCCTCCTGTGACGGAAACGCCAATGATGAGACCGGTGCTTGCTCCTCCAGACTTGTTGCTGTCGGAGGATTCGCTGGTAGCCGAGGAAGTGGGAGGGACGGCTGTTGGTGCAGCTTGGACTGTAGCGGTGAGGGTTGTGGTGAGACCGGCTGAAGTGGTTGGCTGGGCTGTAGCAGAAGTGGAAGTGCGACTGGCAGAGGCAGCTGCAGCGGCAGAACGGGATGATGCGGCGGCTTCGGAAGCAGCTGCGCTGGAGATGGAGGCAGCAGCAGAGGAAGCAGCGGCTGCAGCAATGGAGGAGGAAGCAGCGGCTGCAGCAATGGAGGAGGATTCAGCGGCTGCTCGTGAGGCGGAAGCAGAGGCTAGAGCGGCTGAAGAGGAAGAAGAAGCAGCAGCAGCAGCAGCAGCAGCAGAGGAAGAGACAGCTGCAGCTGAACTGGAAGAGGCGGCTGGGAACAATCCATCATCGGTTTGGGAGCCAGTGGCAGAAGGGCGCGTGGCAGATGCGGACGAGTCGTCGTCGTCGTCACCACCACCGAAACCGCCAAACAGAGGGAACTGAGGTGACCGGGCAGCAAGATGGTGGTCTGGACGACCTCGAACTTGGTGCTGCTGCTGAGAAGCGGAGGCTGCTGCCGAGGCTGCGACAAGCGCGCTCAGGAGGAGGTACCGAGATGGTCGCATGATGGCCCAAATATGGGTACGGATGTGTTGATCTTGTATTGAAGAGTGTCGAAGCTCGTATCTACCGCTGCAAGCAGTAGATGTAATGGTATCTAGAGGACGAGCGTGCTCTTTGTAGTGGAAGGGATGACACGAGGCGCAACTGGGTGTGCTTGTTTCAATGCAGGTATACGAGACGCATCCAACACTTCTGTATGATGGTGATTGTTCGAGTTGCCTTGGTGGGCGTGGTTGTTCAAAAAGATGGTGGATGGCCGATGTGATTGCGGCTGTGCAGACCCTACTGAGATGTTGACAGCAGGTTACTAGCTTAGACTGTAAGGTCAACGATTAGGGGTTGAGACTAGGGTAGGGTAAGGGAAAAGGAATCCAGGAGCAAAGTCGAAGAGGAAGAGGGGATCGCAGGTGTTTACGGAGATGGATAGCGACGATGACGATGATAAGGTGTGAGAGAGGTTGAGGGTTGAGGTCGAGGTGAAAGAGAGTGACAGGCAAGCGATAGAGAGTGGGTTTAGCGTGGATCAGGATGGCAGTGCAGCAGCTTGAAATCAGGGACCCCTAAGCGCAACACTCACCACAGCACAGCAACAAGCAAGTGAAGGGTGAACAGCGGGAGAGAGTCATATGAAAAAATGGGCCGAGCCTTGGATTGCACTTTGCATACAATCCAATCCGAAGCTCGCTTTTCTTGGCCGACCTTGCATCCTCTCTCTCTCTCTCTCTCCCTCATTCGCTGGTACCTTTTTACTCCATGACCCTCACCAGGTCAGCTTCTATTCTCGCTGGTGGCTTGCTCATCATCTAGTGTTAACGAAACTCAGGTGGTATATTAGATGACGACGCAAGGTAGGTACACGGCACACAATTGGGGGAAGAAAAACAGGGCACAAGTGTGTGCTCGGCAAGCTATCTGCACCGATTGATTTTCATGCTTGAATTCTTGCTGTTTCTCAGAGACCAACACAACAGACACCCCTCAAATGATTCTTAAATTTTCAAAATTGTATTCAACTAAGCCGACTGCTGGCATTCCAATTGAAAACAGGCGAGAGGCGGGAATACAATTAGGTGGTTGTGTGGGTGACAAAGAGAGGAGGACCGGGTCCACGTCGCGTGAGGGCGTTGTGCAACTTGCCGATCCTTCATCTGTCAATCGGAGCTCCAATTCCATTTCACCACGTTACTATACTGCACTCACAGCGAAGAAAAGAAGAAAAAAAGAAAAAAGAAAAAAAAGAAAAAAAAAAAAAAAAAAAAAAAAAAAAAAGAAAAAAAAAAGAAAAAAAAAAAAAAAAAAAAAAAAAGAAAAAAAAAAGAAAAAAAAAGAAGAAAAAAAGAAAAAAAAAGAAGAAAAAAAGAAAAAAAAAGAAAAAAAAAAGAAAAAACAATCGTTTCCAAAAATTCTCTTCCCCTTGCCTGCCATGCACATTTTCAACACCTGTTTCACCTCAGAGCCGCTTTTGCCAGCCAGCCAACGTAAGCCTTGGTTCTTTCAGTTCGTTCGTTCAGATCGCAAAGCCCGATTTGAAACCATCCCTCGTCATCATCTCTCACCATGCCCAGCGTCCTATTCTACTTGGGAGAATGTTAGACTGTAGACCAAGGTACAACAGCGTTGCAACACCAGCTGGTTCTCCAGCTCGCTAACGAGCAAGGGACTGCGCCAAGCTTGGTCTGAAGCCCCCTTAGTCTCACTTTGCAAGCGAGGGCCATTTTTGTTGAAATAAAGGAGACACTCGGCGACGATGATCGGGAGATATCAGTCAGAGTACGGTGTTCAAGCTAAAGAGCAAAACACTATACTATATTGACATGCTAGAAGTGATTGTGGCAGGAGCCTCGAGCTCCCTGCTAGATTTATACACAAACGTGTGGCACATGCCCGACTGTGGGCATATCCTACCTAATGACAGTGTGTAACAACAAGTGGGACATGGTTGTATCCGATCTCTGTCTTGTATCGGCTCAGCCCAATTCCCGATCAGGTTTGCCTCACCTGATCCCAATCAGATCTATTTTACCTGATCGCCGACTGAATCTGCTCTGCCCGATCCTTTTCAGATCTGATCTATATTACTCCGAGATCGGACTGGATCGCAATCTCCAACAATTTTTGCTAGGATGCAGAATGAAAGCTTGGTCTAACAAGAGCTGGAAACCAACCGATCTGTCCAAGAGTTTGAGCGCGATATCCCAGCGAAATCTGCATGACGAGCTTGCTTTCAGTGCACGGTGCAGGTTTGGCGTTTCTCGTCAAAAAGTTCGCGCTGTTTTTGTGTGTGTGTCAACGTTGTTTGCTCGCTCAATCCGGCTTTGCTCGCTGCGTGTGTGTGTGTGAGTGTGTGTGTGTGCGTGTGTGTTTGTTCAGCTCGCTTCGTCCAATTTCTCTTCCTCCTTCCCATCCATCACTCGATCGAACCAACAATGTCGTCCTCGACACCCAACGCCGCGGCAGCGGGTGCACCACCTCCCACACGACCCACAACAGGTCGTAAACGAGCCCCTTCCTTCTCCGAAGCTATCGCACAAGTACCTCAGAACGCCAATGCTCAAGACGAAACAGCAGACCCCGTTGTAGCAGATCGCATCGCTGCAGCTGCCGCAAAAGCTGCTGCCAATGCAACCACGGATCCTGTTGCTGCTTCCACCTCCACCACTATCTCTGCCAAGCAAGTTGGTTCGCATTCGCGTACACCAAGCCAACAACGCGAAGATGACGAAATTTACCGTTCTCAAGGTCTTTTCAAAGACATCCTTACCTTCCGTTGGATGACTGCTCCTTCTTCGTCTTTACAGCTGGCGGTAATTTTTGTGCTGGCGTATTTCAACTGGAACTTCTTCATCGGCACTCACGAGAACAATCCCATTGCACCTTTCCTTATGCTGTCACACCGGGTACCCCAATCAGAAGTCATCTTGGATTCTCTTCCACCTAAGGATAACATCCAGCGCACGCTCCAAAATCTGATCCCTAGGTCAGCAGAAAGCTTCGAAGCAAGATACCAGAAAGGCTACAACGATTTGCTCTTCCTCGTCTTCTACGTCATCGTATTCTCCTTCCTACGACAGAGTACGACGTTGTATATCTTCAAGCCCTTCGCCAAATGGTGGGGGATCAAGAGCGAGAGTAAACAGGCTAGATTTACCGAGCAAGGCTATGCTGTTCTGTATTGGGGAAGTGCTGCTGCATTGGGGTTGTACGTCATGAGTTTCCAAGATTCTTGGTGGTACAATCTCGAACATCTTTGGCTCAAGTACCCGCATTGGCAGATGAGGAGCGAATTGAAGCTCTACTACCTTCTCCAATTCTCCTTTTGGCTCCAACAGGCGCTGGTGATGCTCTTAAGGCTGGAAAAGCCCAGGAAGGATTACTACGAACTCATCGCCCACCATCTCGTCACGCTCTGGCTCATCGGTTGGTCCTATCTCATCAACCTCACCATGATCGGTACTACCGTTTTCGTTTGCATGGACATCCCCGATACCTGGCTCGGCTTTTCCAAAGCTCTCAATTATATGGGACTGGACAACATCACAGTCGTCATCTTTGCTATCTTTATGGTCATCTGGACTTATTTCAGAATCTACCTTAGTGCAGCAACTCTCCATTCGGTTTGGTACCAATTTGAGCTGATTCCAAGGTATGCGAGGGAATGGGAACCGGAGAAGGGTTGGTGGTTGGTTAGTTGGATGAGATATCAGATCTTTGCGCCCTTGTTTTTGTTGTTGTTGCTGAATCTGTTTTGGTATGCGTTGATGTGGAGGATTATGTTCCGGGCGATCAGGGGGGTCGTGGAGGATGAGAGGGAGGCGGGGGAGGATGAGGAGGAAGACGAGAAAAAGAAGGATCAATAATGGGATGGAAGGAAATAATAATGCTTGCTTTTGCTGTACATAGGTTCCTTGATGGCCGCGATTATGGAAATTTATCACACAGTTTTGTAGAGGCTTGCGTGAGGTTATAAATGTGCTCGTATGGGATGTGTTTTCAATCCACACAAGGTACTTGCAATTCGACACAGAGCCATTGTTTGAGTTTAACTTATGATGTGATTGCAGAAAGTCGTCGTCCGTTCACATAAGAACGACGGACCCTTGATACACCAAATGACGAATAGATCTATACCGTAACAGATGCACTGATTCTGCAACCAACGTTGCTGTTTCGCCACTGCCACACATCGAACCAATACAGGACGGTGTCAGCATCTACTCCTCTCCCAAACTACTTGCACTGCCGCGTCGGAAGAGAGGATGAGAACTTACTCTGGCAAAGGAGCGGTACCACAATCTTGCAAACATCTTATGAAGACTGGTGCGTCCAAGTCCGGACCTGGCACTATCCACACCCCATCGAATGAAAACGAAACCGAAGGTCAGTATAAAGCAAGGAAGGAGTGATGCGATGTGAGGATAGGAGGGTAGGAGTTTCCGTACGCATGTTATTACTTGCTTGTTGCTGAGAATCTTGTTGACTGAATGTATCTTGTTGCTGTTGTGCACCTGTATCCAATTCGTGCAGTTGTTCGGGGAGGAAGCTTAAGACGCTTGCTGAAAAGTGGTCTTTCTTCAAACTCCAATACCTATCATCCACCAATGCTCTCTCGTCAGTATCCTTTTTCTGTCAGCTCTTTATCTTAAAGGCGAGTCAGGGAAGGTTGGTGTACTTACTCGTCAGCAAACCGCTGTTCAGCAGCATTACATTTCATCTTTTCCCCAATTCTACTCCCTATAAACCCTGCATACTTTTGCAACAAGTCCATTCTCGACCGAACTATCTGTTTCAGTAGCCATTTACATCGTTCCAAATCGACCTGAACTAAGTTGAGACGAAGAAACTCGTCTTCATCCACCCCACCTTCCGTTTCTGGATCTGCGGAAGGGTGCGAGGATAGGTGCAGAAGATTGTCGAGAATCGATTGTTGTTGTTCCATCTGCCCCACTAAAAATTCGAATGGGGAGGTGGGGAAGGGGAGAAGTTCCGGGGACGCTTTTTGAGTGGCCATGAAGAGTGTTAGTTGTTCGAAAGGTTTTAGGCGAGCAATTGGGGATGAGGAGGGATATGGCCAGCCGTTGGAAGAAGAGCTGCTTGATAAGGGGCCGGGATACTCCGAGTGGGAGTGTGAAGCACCGGTGGTGGTAGAGAGGAGTGCGTCGATGTCTAAACTCGAAGCTGGGGCTGGTGCTGGCGCTGCGTTGTAGGATGAAGATGCTGGTGGGGTCGAACGACGACGGCCGCCAGCGGTTATAGAGGGCGTCGCGGAGTCAAGTCGACTGCTGGAGCCTGCATTTGCGAGTGAGGAGTGAGGATGACGAGAGGAGGCGCCATTGGCTTGATGGGAGGTGTAGGACTCTTCAAATCCTTCGTCTTCTTCTACGCCGTCGTCGAGAGTGTATCGTGGTAGGGGCATGTTGATGTGTCCAGCTGGGTCAAGATTCTAGCCGTTGGTAAATATGCTGATGCGCTACGTAGGTCTGGGATGGTAGCGTTACGAGGCGTGGGGAAAGCCGAGAACGATAGAAGCACACGAAGTCGAGTGGGGAGGACGTTCTAAAACTCGGATGTCGGACAGAGATCGACACAAAAGACCAACACTACAGTGAAAGTATGTGACTTGTAGTCCGATCTCACATTGACGCCAACTTCGCTCACTTGAATATGTAACATATTGTCCCGATCGACTATCGCGACTGGCATCGGCATGTCGGTTAACAGATACCCGACATAGTTGCCCCGTCATGCTGCAGCATCATATACTGGGCAGCACATCCCTGTAACATACACATATGCACAGAACGCTGGAACATTTGTCTTGTACTCAGTTCTTACATATCATCGCAATCGATACTTGTGATCATCGCTATTTGCTGTACGTCCTACAACAACTACGCTGTCCTGCCACTTCACGCGACGCGTTCAGTGCTACAACCAAATTCTTGGCTGTTTCTCTCACAACAAACGCAATCAAGACACTTGCAATACACTATACAGCATCAAACAACCGCCGAGACGAGTGACAAAGGTTTACATTCGAGCAAAACGCTGGTTATCGAAGAAGAGACCGGGAAGAGATAAGATTAGAAATACAGTTGTGACAAAGGCGGGTTAAGGCCGAGAAAGATGAAGCAAGAAAGTGCGGATAGAGGTACAACAAAGGCAAAGGAACTGAAAGACAAAGCAAAAGGGCAGAATGGAGAGAAGAACCAGCCATCGAGCAATCACCATAATCACATGGCGACGCCGACCCACTCTGCTTCCTCCTCTTCGTAAGCATTCTGGTGATAGTGCTGTTGTTGTTGAGGTGGCTGGTGTGAGTACTGAAGTGTGCTAGCGGGCATGATGTGAGAGTGAAGCACCTTGTGCTGGCTGTAGCTGGCAGGTGCAATAGCTGCCTTGCGTGGCTGTGACTGAGGTGAGGGGGACTCGGCAAAGTTGAGTCCCAATCCAAAACCGCCTTCAGCCTTGGGTACACCCGAAGCAGAAACCTTGCGACCAGATGCAGCTGTTGTCAGTTCTGTGGGCTCCACAGCGGGCAACTTGGTGCGAGGAGGCGTCTGTGGCGATCGACCAGCGATCGACACGGGAAGTGGAGACATTGCGGCAGAAGAGGCAATATCGTTCATGCCCACTCCGAATCGAGCGAGCCCTGTGCCAGCAGCGGCAACAGCAGTAACAGCTGAAGCCGTGGCCCGGGCCGAAGACTTGGGAGGCTTGACAGGTGAGACCTTCTTGACAAATGCTGCGTTGACGGTGCCCAACGTCATCGTGGGCTCTGCTATGGCAGCAGGCTTTTCGGCAAGTGCATCAACACCTTTGAGATGAGCAAGACCAATCTGGCTGAGACGACCGAGGCCGAGCTCCTGTGCAAGGTCGCTGAGATCCATGCTCAGGCCGAGCTGCCTGTTAAGGGCTGCCTTCTCGCTCTGCTGCGGCTTCTGCTCCCGAGCAACAGCAGTGGTGCCCATTTGACGGCAAGAAGCGAGCGTAGGAGTGTCGCAATCGCTTGAGTCAGAAGCGCTAGGCTGACCCGGAGCACCACCAGCAGACGAGCCTTTGACCTGGAACGGAGTCTTGAGCTTGGCCAGACCGAGTGCGCCAGTCAAATCGGCATTGCCGCTGGCCATCTCAGTCTCCAGCTCAAAGATGCTGGTGCCAGCACTCGATGCGAGCGAGGCGCTGCTAGACATTTTTGTAGGTGAGAAGTCGAACGAAGTGGAGCTGGACAGATAGCCCATCTTGCGCTCCGGACTCATGCTGGCGTTGCTAGAAGCAGAGCTGAAAGTGCCGCCGCTGACGAGCGAAGAGCTGGACATGCTGCGTGAGAAGGCGAAAGCACCCGAAGAGCTGCTACGAGCGCTGCTAGCCTCCGAAAGCTCGCTGGTGACACTGTCGGTACGAGGCATGCCTACGTAGTTCAACTCGACCGCCATAGAGTCAGCTGTGATCTCCAACTCCTCCTTCGTCGAAAAATCATCGCTGCCAAAGAGCCCCGCATGGAGCGCCGCGAAGGTGGTCTCAGTCGACTCAGGCGGGTAGACCGATGCGGGCGAATACACGCTTTCGGGGCTCACAGGCGTGGCGGTTGCGGCATTGGCTGGCTTGGCTGGGACAGAGGCTGCCATAGGTGCAGGCGCAGGCGTGGAGGTTGCTGCGTCTTGGCGAGAAGGAAGGTCTCGGCTTGCGGAAACGGTTGGGTCAGCTTTAACTGAAGACGAGGGTGTCACAGCAGCCACTTGAGCGACCTTGGCAGCCTCGATCGGGGCCTTGACTGCCTCCTGAACATCGACGCTCTCGCGACGCTGCAGCACAGCCTGTTGGCGCTCGTGGTTCTCCTCGTTGGCAGCAAGATCTGGAGTCGGAGGCATGATGTTGACAACAGGCAAGGGAGTCGTGCTTCGGCCGCCCATTCGTGGACTTTTCGACAGGAGCAACGGGCTGGCAACGGCAACCGCCTTGGCACGCTGACCTGCAAAGTTGATGCGTCTAGCCTGTTGAGTCTCAGCGGCCGATGGGTGACGTTGAGGGCTCCTGCCGGCTGATGAAGAGGGAGATGTCCTGTTTGGAGAGGCAGAAGTGGGAGTGTCAAATGACGCAGCCTGTCTGGGTGTAGGTGTGACTGCGTTGGCCTGCTCACTGTCGCCGAAGAAGCGGGACAACGGGCTGTTGGATCGACCAGGAGAAATGGGAGCGTGGCGAACAAAGGCTGGGAAGACCGAGTCGAAATGGCTATTGGAGCTAGGGGGGCTGGTCAGGTCGTGAAGCTTGAGTGCGGGACCTGCACGTCCATCGACACTGCGGCTTCTCCTGCGAGCCGATCGTACTTCCATGTCGGACCTTCGCGCTCGCATCTCTGGCTCCTCACGACCGTGGTTCTGGTCCAGCAAGCCGTCGACAACTCTTTGAGTCATCGACATCCTCTTTTGTGCAGCACTGGTTTCAGATCGAGGCTTAGCGCTCTGAGCAGGCAAGGCTGCCGACTTGCCTAGTGGAGATTTGCTGGGGGTCGACCTGGTACCGTCGGAGAAGCGAAGGGCAGTCTCGCCGCGGAGGCTGATGGTCGACTTGCGAAGGTCATTCAGGCGAATAGGGTTGAGACCTGGGCTGGGCACACCGCGTCCAGTGCTGGAAACTACACGGCTGACGGGTCTAGTGTTGCAGCCGAGAGTTGGCATCTGGCTCTCGCGAACGGTGCCACGCTTAGAGTCCCAAGCAAATTCGATCGGTATCATGGGAGAAGAGGTGTCGAAGCTGGGCAGAGGAAGGAGAGCGGGCGCAACGTCAAGGGCGGCTTGCGCTCTCGCATCTGCCAAGGCCTTTCTGGAACGCTGGTGCTCCTCGGGATTAGCAAAGGTGATGGACTTGTTCGGGGCAGCGCCGACCGCATTATGGTGTTCACGGATCTGGCGAAGAGCGGGCATACTCTTCTTCTTGGCCAACGTTGAGGAGCGTGTTGGGCTGATCTCGCGGATGAGACGGACCGGCTGACGGACCGGACAGGTGCGGAGCGAAGATGGTGATTCATGCAAGTTGGCCACATTCGAGCCTTTGCGTTGCGGTGAAAACTGGAAGCCAGACTGTTCAAAGGTAAGGGTGGTAGGTGGAGCACTCTGAGGGACGCCATCGAAAAGATCAGGGGTGGATCGTGACGCGAGACCCGAGAGGCTTGGTGCCTTGTCCTTCTTCTTGCGAGCGAAGAAGCGGGCAAAGGACGAGGAAGAAGAGCTTGAGGCAGAAGTGGAATGGACGCTAGTGCCAGCGCTGCGCGAAGACTTGGCAGGGGTGCCGAGGAGGGAGAAGAGAAGGTCGTCTGTGGGATAGCATGAAGGGTTGCTGCTATTGTTGCTCAAAGTCGATGCGGAAGGAGCGAAGCTCTTGCGTGGGAGAAAGCGTCGCCGAGTGGGTGTTTCGGGCACATCGCGGTCGTCCTCAAAGACGGAAGCGGAAGCGGAAGGTTGACGAGTCATCTCGGTAGGGTGGGCTGCATCAGATGAACCGTAAGCGTAGACGTCATCCACGGATGTGGCGAAGGCTTCAAGTTCGGGTGTGGGGCTGGTGGTGCAGTTGTATGCTCGGTCGTTGTCCTCGGTGTTACGAGCGTGACGACGGCTGGCGTGATCGAAGGAAGAGCGTGATTCAGGCTTGCTGCAGTCGGCCTCGTGCCATTCACGGCCGGTATCGATGCCCATGGCATGGCGTGGGTCGAAGACGGCGATACTGGCTTTGGAGACAAAGTTGATCTTGCCCTTCTTGGACTTGACCGAGGCGGACTTGTTGCAAGACTTTGACGATGGCGCTGGCGATGCGGAGCGGTCATCGACGTACTGAGACATGTAGACCAACATGGTGACGAGGAACAGAGGCTGTGAGCGTGCAAAAGTGTTTGAGTAACGATCGGGTAAATGGCACTGGATAGGGCTGGCCTGAGATCATGTGACGGGGCCTTGATGTGTGGATAGAAGCTGTTATAAAGAATGTAAAGATATATGAGATGCTGACTGGGGCTATATCGAGCTAGCAGAGGATATAGCTGAGTGTGGTGCTGGAAGGGGAAAGAGGCGGTCTGGGATCAGGAAAAGGGATGAGGGGATAAAGGGTAATGGTGACGAGGAGGAGGGATGAAGGTGGTGAGGAAGATAGAACCGAATAGCAGGGAACAAAGCAAAGAAGGATCAAGGCAGGAGCGGGAAAGCGGCGCAGTGGGAGAGGAAGCAGGGACTTGGAAGCAAGCGATGCAAAAGGGTGCAAACAAGGATCGTACTTTTGCAGCCGGGAGCCAGACAATACTGAGATGGTGGTCGACTTTGGTTCAAGCTGTATGATTCGCGCTGGCGACGAGGCGTCGTGAGTAATGGCGCAGCGCGTCGTACCATTCTACACAGTGAACGGGGAGGAGAGAGGAGTCGGATTGATGCTCATGCTGCTTCTGCGGGCTGCGGGCTGCGATGGGACAAGATTGCTGGCCGGTCTTTGACATGGTCAAGCGAGGATGGCACGAGGCAATTGCGACCATGCCACCTTCGAGGCGAGGCACTCGATAGTAGCAGGGACAAAGGCAGGCAGACGGACGGACGGACGGGCGGCTAATCATTCATGAAGGCAGGCAATGGTTCTTGCGCTACAGGCACAGACGAAGAGCTTCGCATCGGCTTCTGCTACTTTGTGAACGACATTGTCTGTGATGGAAGCAAGCTCAGCATCACTGGTGCTCCAAGTAGGACTGACTTGAAACAGCGCTGCATGATGAGTAGCTTGATATGCCGATGGTACACTCAAAGGCAAAGCACAATGACGGGGACTCTGTACGAAAGAGACTGAGAACTTTTTTATTCCCACGTCGGCGAAACCCAAGTAAGCCACTTCTCGGCCGGACTTTGCTACTCTCTTGGCGTTTGCCCATCGTCAAGTGACCTCGGACATGTGAGAAGAATCGTATGCAGGCCCAGCTCTGGAATGCAGATGATACCGAAAGCGAGCCAAAGGGGATGTGTGCAGTTCTGCCTTGCTGGATGCGTGGCGTAGCGGAACAGCTGAAATTTGAAAAGAAAAAGCTTCTTTCTCTCTCTCTCTTGAAACGCCAGCAGCGGATATCATCTTTTGGGAGGAGCGGATTCCTGCTCACCATCAACCAATCGGTCAAAGGAGACCTCCCAATCCCAAGCTGAACGACAAAGACAGAGCAAGGCTCAAAGGCTGCGATTGCAGAGGTGGAATGGATCCGGGGTCATCATTGTACAGAAAGCGCTAAGAGAGGGGGACGATGACTTGTCACTTGGAGAAAGGTCCTCGCTCATTTTCCATGCAAGGAGAAAGACCGAGAAAGGGGCATGTTGAAGTACGTGCGTCAAATATCGATGATCACAAGTATCGATTGCGATGATGATTGTAAGCTAAGTACAAGGTAAATCTAGTGTATATATATATGTCTCCTAGCGTTCCTTGTGTACGTATATGATACAAGGACGATGAGGCTGAAACATAACGGTGAAACTACGGAGAAACTATGCCGACTAACAGTTAACTGGCATGCCGATGCCTATCGCGGCTAGTCGGTTCGGGGCCTATGTGATGTATATCCGAATGAGTGAAGTTGGCCAAGTGTGTGAGATCGAAATAGGTCTGACATACTTTCACTGGGCATCTGTGTTTCAAAGCCGCAGCTGCGCCTCAAAGTTGGTTAGCAAGCGATGTGTCACATGTTTGTTCGGCTACCATAACAATGATCGCCAAGGGACCACACAAGACTCCAGTGCTGTCGATCCCTACATCTGCCTCACATCCAAGATGGTGGATTCGCTCATCATTCTTACTGTGACTCCGTTTCGTCTCCACATAAGCGTTTCCTTGTACATGTGATATTCGTTCGGTGTCTCGCACTACTAGATGAGCAGCTGTCAGGAGATGTTCCCCGTACGTATCGGACAACAAACAGCACCGTCTACTGGACGTCTTCCGCCTCGCGCTGCGTTGCTCCTCGATGGCTGCTGGTTCCGAGTTCCTAGTTCCGCGTTCCGAGATCTATAAAAAATGTGGAGCAGGGAATTGCTGTTTGTGTATGCCTGTGCGCCGGGAAAAGTGCCGAATATAAATTGGTGATGCCAAGCCGCAGCTGCACTGCATTTCGGGTAGAAATCCGTCTGGGCATTGGCTGCACTGCCTTTCTCTAAAGCATCTCTCAAGCGGCAATACACATCACCCTCATTCGGCCACTGAGGCTGCAAGTAGAGAGCAAACAAATCAAGGTCTTGGCCTCCATCTCAGCTCGAGACCGTCTCAGCATCCCGACTTGGCCCGCAAAGATGCCATCTGAACTGCCTTCGGGATCGAAACGGCCAGCGCCGTTGGTGGTGCTATCTGGTGCACTCGTCTCCCATATCCACACGGTACTCGGCTTTCTTGCCTTCTTTGGCGCCCTTGTCACCGCACTCTCGCTTCACTACCAAAAAGTGGTCAAGAATCATGTCGCTCAGTATCCTCAAGAATGGTGGCCATCCGTGTCGGCAACCATCGGTGACTGGTACCCCGAACGCAACATCTTTCAGGTCGGAATCGCACTCATGGCAGGTCCTCGCTTCGCACTCGTCTTCCTCTCGGCACTGCTTGTCTCGCTCTCGACTCCCTCTCGATCACCGAAAGCATCAATATTGCTCTTCGTCGGTGTGCTCAGGACATTAGCATGCGGAGGATGGGTCTATGTGACAAGCACAGACGATCACATGTTCCATGACATTGCCATGTTCGTCTACCTTGCACTCACACCGCCGTGGATGTTCATCACTAGCGGAAGCTTGGCACAGCCTTCCATCAGCAGCCGAGCAGCTCCTTCGGATGACGCGCTCGCTGCCAAGGCAAGACGTACTCGCAGGATAGCCGCCTTCTCTTTCTTTGGCTGCACGCCTTTCATGGGCTACTTCTTTTACCGCCATAACGCCCTTCGCATCCCAGGCGCCTACTCGTACTATTCTTACTTTGAGTGGGGTCTAATCATCTTCGTAAGTCTCCAATGTCATTCGCTTAATCTCGACCCGGTACCACTGTTTACTCATCCTCTTCTTTTTGCCCTACTTTTCTTCGTTACGCTGGTGATTGCAGGATCTTCTCTTTGACGCTGCAAGCGTGTACGATCTTTCCCGCTTTGAGATCCATGTCGTCGAAGCAACAAAGCCAGAGGCTCCAGCGAGCAACACGTCGAATCAACGCGCAGCATACGGGCCGCAAGGTCGTCGCCTCATCGACGGCGCTTGGGTTCGTGGAGGCAGAAGTCAAGCCATCACCTCTGGCGCCTGGTCAGCTTCTCCCATTGATGCTCATATAGACGGGTACGATCTTCTTCCTCGAGCTTGACCGAAAGCAGCGCTGCTATGCGACATGAACCATCACTGACGGACATATTCATCGTTTGTCACTCTTTGCGCTACACTCCTCAAATCTCACCGCTTTCCTCCTCTATCCTTGTAAATCGGCTGTGAATACGTGCTTCTCGTCTCACAGAACATCAAGGTCGTCAAAGAAGGCAGCAGAAGAGGTTGATGAGGCAGCAGATGACCTGTTTAGCAACAGCGCGCTGCCTCCCACAAGCCCAACAAGCCTTCGAGCCATCGTCTCACTCGTCTCGGATAGCTATCTGGGTGAGTACTCGTCAACTTCATCTATATCGGGCGGACCCAAAGCTTACCTTTTGCTTGATCGTCTTCCGTCTCTTGCTCGATGCACTATCTTTCCTTCTGGCACTTGTCAGCATTCTGCTTCTGGACAGCTCTGACAGCGCTTCATCCGATGATCTTCTACTGTGAGTAACGTGACCCTGCAAGGGGCCTGTGTGTTGCTGCGGACTGGGCGCCCTCGTTTCGACCCCATTCCTTGAGCTGACATCCTGTCTTTCTCTTTCTTTCTGCTATCGCGGATCACAGTCAGCGTATACAACCTTGCCATCGGCGGTCATGAGGTCTTGCTGGTTTCACAGGTGATTGGTCTTGGACTGACGCTTGCAGTGCCAGCTCTCCGCTCTCGCGTTCGTCGGCAGATAGCTGGCGGTGCATCAATTGTCGGTCCGGTCTCATCTCAGGCCAAAGCCCTCGGTTGGCTGCTATCGCTTGTAGGTCAGGCAAGCTGGTGCATTGCTGATCCTCTCGTTCGACTCCTTGCTGTCGCCTTCTCCAACGCGTTGCTTGCCGTCCTACTGGCACTCGAGTGGGGAGCTGCATGGGAAGCCGACCAGCTGCCGGTCAAGATTGGCATCTGGCTCGTTGGCTTGCTTGCCTCGAATCTTGCCAAGTATGCCAACCACAGCAACAATCCAGCTTGGCCCTTTATGGACTCGACCAACGGCGGCCATAACGTCCTCCTACTCTCACTGGCTGTTGTTGCTGTCGTTGAGACTGCTTTGAGACACAAATACGATCGATTGTCCGTCGTGCAGCGACGTCAGGGAGCAAGAGACGACGCCCAAGGCAGCTTCTGGCTTGCGACGCTCGGTTCCGGCGCTCTGCTCTACTCGATCCACACCTTCCTTACAGACACAGGCACCATGATTGCATGGGGCTGGACCGGGTATCCCATCAAAGGTCTCATGGCTATTCCGCACGGCTGTATCATCCTTATCATGATGGCCTTCTCATCGCTCGCTGCGACACGTTGGACCACCTTTGGCTACCGTCTGACCCTGTTTCTCGTCCAATGTGGCTCGGCCGCGCTGCTCTACTTCGCCGTCGACTGGAACAGCTTCATCGGCGCAGTTGGCATGGCCCTCAGCCTCCCGCCTCTGGCATTCCCCATCATCTCGGGGGCAATGCGACACGATCCCATTAAGGTGATGCTATGCGGATGGCTCGTCGCCAATGTGCTTACCTTCCTGGGTGTCCTGACCGTCGCGTATGCCTTTGTGCCAGGCGGAAAGGTAATGCGAGAGAGGACAGGTTTCATGCTCGTGATCCAGCTGGTTCTGCTAGGTTTCGGTCTCGTCAACGCACGTCGTGTCGACCTCGCACGCCTCAACGCCAAGCAGCCTAAGGGCAACAAGCCAACCTCAGCCGCTTCTACGGACAGCAAGACCGCAAAAGCAGAAGACGCAAGCAAAATGGCTCGATCAGGATCGACGTACTACATCTGCTTGCTGATGGCTCTGATCGGTCTGGTCGGCAACTTGGTCCCGTTGTATCGCATCGTGCCAGCCTCGTCTATCGTCCCGCATCATCCTGAACACCGCTTAGTGACGGCAGGGATGTGGACAGTCCATTTTGCATTGGATCAGCACATGCGCGATAGCTCGCGTCGAATGGCGTCCATTATGAAGACACTCGATATGGACCTCTTCGGCCTGGTCGAATCTGACCTTCACCGTCCAGTCTTTGGCAACCGTGATCTCACACAGTATCTCGCTGAAGACCTCAAAATGTACACTGACATCGGCCCAGCTCCAAGCAAGAATACATGGGGAGCAGCGCTCTTCTCCAAGTTTCCGATCATCAACTCGACCCACCATCTGCTTCCGTCTCCAGGCGGAGAGCTTGCACCAGCCATTCACGCAGTCATCGATCTCTACGGCACTCCTACACATGTGGTTGTATCACACAACGGACAGGAAGAAGATCCGCTCGATCGCGAATTGCAAACGACTGAAATCGCACGCATCTTCCGCGAAGCTTACCCTCACCCGGCCATCTTTCTTGGCTACGTGGTGACAAAACCACACGCAGAGAGACCGTCGCCATACAAGATCCTGTTCGAGGACGGAAACATCCAAGATGTAGAGCCGACAGATTTTGGAAGGTGGTGCGAGTACTTAGGTTTCCGAGGCCTCGAGAGGATATCCTATGTGAGAGTTTCAAGGTATACAGTTACGGATACAGAGTTGCAGACGATGAAGCTTGTTGTGCCAAAGGAGCCTATCAGTGCGGACCACAACGAGTTGACACGCTTTGTGATGTAAGTTGCTTGAACTCCTCTTCCGTCTTGAACCGGAGTCAGACGCTGACCTCTCTTTCTCCTTTGCAACAGTGCGGAAACATACCCTGAAGAGATGCGATATCCAACATCGCTCATTGATCCGGACGCATACGTGTACGACAAGTAAGTTTGGCCCACCGATGTGGTAAAGCGATTAAAATTTGGCTGTGTTGCGAGTCTAATTGCTGACATTCTACTTTGCTTTCGCTTGATTGCTTGATAGACACATGTACTCGCCCTATCCTTGGCCTATCTATTACGGTCGCGAGATTCCTGACTTTTGAAAAACTCGCTCTGTGTTGACATATCTCCAAAATGCACAATGCTTTGTCTAATGTCAATGAAGCTGTCAAAAGAGCATGCGCGTCAATGCCGATGTTGACGAAGTGTGAGGTGTGATCAGATCTGTGGCACAGACGCCGCAGACTGTAACGGCGCGAAAGAAAGCGGTGGGTCAAACCTTATTTTGCAAGGCTGAGTCGCTGCGACGTGGCCAGGTTGATGGCTCCAGTGCTTGCCTCTGCGCCTAGCTTTTTGAAGCTCCAAGACTACCTCAAGCTACAATTGCCCTGCTTGCTTCGCTCATCCTTCTATCGACGGAGGGAGACTCAGACGTGTCAAACACCTGATCACTTCAAGATGCCGGTCATGACAAGAAGCATAAAGAAATAGGGAACCTTATCGACAGTCTTGGAAAGACGACGCTGACAGACAGGAATGATGGCACTGGAGGCAAGCATCAAGCCTCGAAAGTGTGGCAACAAGAGGCTTGCTCGCAGCTGCGGAAAAGTGTCCTTCAAAAAGAGGGACGATCCAGCACCTGCAGAACATAAAAAAGCTTGCTTTCGCATGCAATCCCTCATCCTGTATGTACTATATCTCATCTGTCCCACCCTCTCCGTCCCCGACTCATCTCTTGATCCTGCTACGCAGCAGCTGACTCCTCGCAGCCATCGCAATCACGAGCAGCCTCATACCGAGCAACAACCGCACGAATCTTGATTCACCTCCTGACCAAGTCTGCCGACCCTTCGGCGCCAGAAGCACCTTCGTCCGCTGTGCATAAAGATGGCTAGAACCAAGCAGATCGCCTGGAAGAATCGTAACGCCAAAACTCTTCGTGCTCGCCCGAGCGTGCAAAAAGGCGATGCTGACGTCAAACCTAACTTGAAGCAGGAGAGCGACCTGCTCGCTGCTTCCGGCTCCTCTGAAAAGCGCGAACTCGATTCTTCCCCTGCGAACAGCTCTGACGTGTTCGTTGAAGACTTCGAACTCGAAACGAAGGCCGAAATAAAATCACCTAAGTCGCCCAGGAAGGACTATGGCGTGAGTACAACACTGCGATCCACCCACTGTCGTGTGTATGACAGTGGTAAAGCTGCACTATACTGACACGACATTTCTTGCATCACAAATAGCGGGCACCGCCTGTAAGCTGGACCAAGGAGGAGACGGTAAGTATCCTCGTATACACTTCATCAACATCCTTCTATTTCCTCGCGTCGTTTCAAGCTCTATCTGACACTTTCTGTGGTCAGCACGTACATTTGTATTCAGAAAGCACTTCTTGACGTGCAGTACGAAGTAGCCAAAGAAAACATGTCTCGATTCTTGGAAAAAACTGAGCTGGCCGGTCGCAACACCGCGAAGTAAGTATGACGCTGGTCATCATGTCAATATATACAGCTGTACTGACTGACCATCTTGCACTACCATGCTCGCTGTGGGAGCTGTTCTGTACAGAATCCACGGGAAGCTGAAGGGTATGCATGCTGCTGCCATCAAGGCTCTTGAGTCGGGACCCAGCGACGTCAGGCCCAAGTCGGAGCGAGTTGGCGGCTTACTCTCATGAGCTTCCATGCCTATCTTGGCCGATGTCCCACGTCCATCAAGTCCGGTCCCCAATCCGCGTTTCCCTCTCGGTCACGCCTTGACGATCTTCTATGCATCGCCAAATGTCGACAAAGCTATCGTAGTCATCGAAGTTCACATTCTGTACCAGCAAGAAGAAAGTGAGCATTGCCTAGTCTATACATGTGGATCTCTGAGCGTCAACTGCAAGCCAGTATCAATAATCATTCTGAAGCAACCCCTACAAGCCGTTCATACGCCTGAGGCACTCAAGTGTTCTCATTGAAGCCATCCTTGAGGACTGCGAACAGATCATTCGCGCCCCTTTCGCGGCTCATGAACCTACCTCTCAAGTTTTTTTTTTATACAGCAGTCCAGGCTGTCTGTATCTACCGCACCCATTTGTGAGCTGTTTCGACATCGAACGCAGAGCAATGTATCTGAGGCTCGTGAGCAGGAGAACACGAGCCACCCTCAACCTTGTCAAGGGTCCAACTACAGTAACTTTAGATGAATGTGGAGAGTTGTATTACGTAATCCGACTTTTTTTTTTTTTTTTTTTTTTTTTTTGTTTTTTTTTTGTTTTTTTTTTGTTTTTTTTTTGTTTTTTTTGTTTTTTTCGAAAAGTGGATTTTTTTGGCGTTTATGCAAGGGCTTTACACAAAATTCCAAGAAGAAAGTTTCTCCTACCCTTGCCTTACGGCTTCTCCCCCATCTTCACTAACACTTCCACAACCACATTGCTTGTTCAGACAAGCACATCCCACACATTACTATGCCTCCGAAAGTGCGTCAGCGAGGCAAAAAGCCATCCAAGCAGCGAAAGTTGCAGCAAGAACAAGAGCAGGTCGCAGAGCCAGTTGCGTCTTCTTCCACTACGTCCAACCCTCTCCAGTCTCAGGCGGACTTTATTCCTCTCAACGACGACAACACAGCAGCGGCTGCAGGGGAGGAGGAGAAGGCAGATGGTACTCCGAACTGGGTTAAGCTCGGCGACAGACCGAGTAAGGCTGAGCATGAAGCGCCGTTCGGTTATGTGGATGCCGAACTGAAGGCCTACCTCCGAGCAGGATGGCAAAGAGTAGTGGAGCTCGAAGCGCAGGGATATGTCGCTAAATCAACGCTCACTACTCTCTCGGCTGCCGGTGCTGGCTCCCATACTAATGGACCAGCAGGTCAGGAAGAGGAAGACGACGAACTAGCACTCCTACTCCAAGCGACACTCAAAGAAATGGACGGCAAAGAACTCCTCCTCTCCACCGACCCCGACACATCCCTTATCGTAGAAGGCATCTTACATCGACTCCCTGCAAAACCTCTACGCGTATTTGTCGACAGACTAGGAGGAAACTTCGTCACTCTTTCCAAACATCGTTTTGCGTCCCACGTAATTCAGGCTTGCCTCAGCACTCTTCAGCCTGCGGTGACTTTGGAACACGCCACCTCTCAACATTTCTCGCAGCACTCTCACCTTTCGAATGCCAATGGGAAGGGGGCTTCTTCAGCAGCATATGCAAGCGATACAGCGACGATTGTAAATGAAGATGGGATTTTGCGAAGTGCGACTCAGTTGATTTTGGATATTGCAGAAGAGTTATCGGCGGATACAGGGGTGTTGGAAGGGTTAGTGACGGATGCGTTTGGTTCGCACGTGTTGAGGTCGTTGTTGTGTGTAATGATGGGGAAGAATGTCCAGGTTGATGCAAATGCTTCTGTTCATTCTGCGGCTGCGGCTGATTTGAGGAGTAGGAGAAGTGCAAAATTCAGGACTCGAAAAGCTCCAACTGCTGTCGGAGGTGCTCCCACATCCACAATTTCAGCAGAAGAACTACTGGTCCTTATCCCAGACCTACTCTTCAACCGCGCAGCAACACTCCAGAAGGAGATTCTCGCCGAAGCATCGATCGACACGATCAGAAGGTGGGCGACGGACGCAGTCGCTTCCCCCCTGCTACAGCTCCTAATCGAAGCCGAAACCGACAGCCTCAACTCCGTTCAGGATGGCGCTAAATGGAAAGGCACACTAGTAGACAACCTTCTCAACGGCTTTATCTCCTCTCCCCCGCCTAATCTCACTTCCGCAGAAGAGGTGCAAAAAGACTCCTACCTAGAAACTTCCCTCCGAGACTCCGTCGCATCGCACGCGCTCCAATTAGTCCTTGAACGATGCCCTATCACCACCGCATCCCGATTCTTTTCCATCTACATTCGATCTCGTATGGCGAAACTATGCGTTCATCCTGCAGCGAACCATATCATTGCAGCACTAATCAGGAGGTTGAGTACGAACGATTTGGAAGGAGTTCTCGGTGAAATGGGGAAGGTTGCGACTGGGATGGTGAAGGAGCAGATGGTGGGATGTATCTTGGCTGCGGTTGAGAGGGTTGTGCAGTTGGCTCAGCGAGGGGAGGGTGGAGAGGAGTTGGTGAAGGGGGTGAGTGAGGTTGTGTTGGCTGGGTTCAGGTTGAAGTCGAAGGAGGAAGAGGGGGATGGGTTGAAGTTGTTAGTTCCGGCTGTGTTGGCGTTGAAGACTAGAAAAGCATATTTGCATACTTACTCAACATGCTTGAGACGGGGTTATGGTGAGGAGGGTGAAGAGCGCGGTTCGAAGCGTGGTCGTGACGGAAAGACCAAAACTAAGGGCAAGAAATCATCAAAGAAGACCCTAGAATCCGACGCAGAAGAGGACGAAAACCCCTACACCATGGATCCAACATACGAGCTCCCAATCACAGAAGCTACCATCCAAGGTTCCCTCCTCCTGCAATCCCTACTTCGCCTCCCGGGACCAGCCGCAGCTTCACGTGCACCTCCCAAACGAACATTCGGTCGTCCTCAACCCCCCGCCACCAACCCCACTCCTGCACAGGAAAGCTGGGGCTGTGCTATGGTCCTCGACTCCCTCCTCTCACTACCTACCCTGGTGCCGTTCGCACGTAACCCGACCTCAGTCCACTTCTTAATCTCTTCCCTCACTCACCCATCGCCCTCCTCCCCCACCGCCGGATTGGACTGGATTCAGGCAAATCGACGTCGCAAGCTGCAACAATCACTCATCAACACCCTCCCCTCTTACTGCGGAGACAAATACGGTTCGCGCCTAGCAGACGCTCTCTGGTACACCGTTGATGGGTACAGTAAGGAAAAGATTGTCAAGACTGTTATCGAACATGATACAGAGATCCTCAAGATGCCGTATGCTAGTTACTTTACGAATAAGTTGCAGTTGCAATTGTGGAGGAAGGGGAAAGTAAGGGAGTGGACGCAAGAGGTACAGGCCCAGCAACAGGGTTTGAAGAAGGAGGAAGAGAAGGAGATGGCGGAGAGGAAGTGGAAGCCAATTATTGTTGAGACGAAAAGGGCAAAGAAGGAGAATGGGAAGGATGGTGGGAAGAAGAAGAAGAAGGATAAAGTTGATGGTGAATTGGATAGTATTCTTGATCAGATCTAATCCTTGCAATAACAGACCAGACTTTGACGCAAGTTCGGCTAAGAGTGTGCGATGGTTTTCATTAAGCGTATAACAAAGTGTGAGATACATGCATAGGAGAAACAGAACATAGAAAAGACTAGAGAGTAAGACCAAAAACAGTCGTCGTCACCTTCTCCTCACTAACAACAAGCACTCCTTACTTTGGAGGCTCCACTCTGGATACCTCCCCATCTGGACCGACACTCACCACCAACTTCCTCTTCCTCTTATCCCCACTGACTCCAGTCTCTCCTTTTGCTCTCTGCGCAGCCATTCTAGCAGTAAACAGCACAGGAAGAGACTTTGACGTTGGCATCCCACCCACTCCCATTCCTCCCCTCCGACGTTGCTTGGCTGCGGTACCTGCACTTGCCCACATCTCCACTCCACTTTGGAGCCGCTGGAGAAGATAGGGTGAGGCGCTAGAATGATACTTCTCCGCCGCAAGCTCGTCTTTGCAGATGCCATTCGGGTGGATCACCGCAGCTTCTGCTTCTGCTTCTCGATGGAGCTGAGCTTGAGCTCGTACGTCAAGTGAGCTTTTTCTTTGTGGGACTTTAAATCCTGTTCCAGCAATCGCTGCTGCCTTGGCTCGCCTCTCATCTAAACTTCTGCCCTTGGTCGTGACGGTTGTGGTGGAGCAAGACTTACTCATCGCCCCTCGAGCAGCGATTCGGGCGGAAAGCGGAGTGGTTTTGCTACCAAACTTATGATTCGCAGCTTCTCTCGGCGGGATGGGTCTTCCTCGGGCAATGATGGATGCGATGGGTTCTGGCTTTTGAAGCTTGTCGGAAGAGGCGGAGGAAAAGAGGCTGTTGTTTGAGTTCGATGAGCGGAGGGGTCGGGGTCGGGTGAGAACGGAGACAGATACTGGCTGCAAAGTCTTTCGGGACGCGATGGCGATCTTGATGGGCCCCTCGAGACCTTCTTCATTAGCTGAGGGCTCCAGTAAAGTCGGTTTCGTAGAATTGAAAGGATCGCAGAACGAGACAGGACACGAGACAGAACTGGAGAGATTAGCGAGGGTGGAGGGAGGCGAAAGAGCTGGGGTGAAAGAGAACGGGTCGAGAGAAGAAGCTGTGGAGTAGGGACGACAGCCTTCGATGCCTTCCACTCTATCCTGACGTGGAGAGGGGAGGGACAGGGCAAGACCGAAGGATTTCGTGGAAGAGGCGCGAAGTGGAGATGGCCAAGATTCAAGAAGCATAGGTGATGAACCTAAGCCCAGTTCGGGAGTTGTTAGTGGTGGAGTCATTAACCCGTTCTGCCCTGCCTTTGCTACACTCCTTGGAGCTATGGATTCTTCTAGATGTAAGCTTTCATCGAGCAAATAGCTATACTCTCTGCCAAGCAGGCCTTCAAACTGAGGTGAGGATAAGATGTCCTGCTGTCGAATAAGATTCGTTATGTCCCCCTCGCCCTCTCCTTGATCTTCTTCCACCTCCACCGCGGCGAACAAGCCAGAGAGAATCGAACTACTCGCGAGTGAGCTGACAGCAGAGGCCGCATTTGAGATCACTCTCACTGCCTTGTGCACACCTCCCACCTTTTTCCTTTCAACCATCCCCTCTTTCTTGGCTTCATCCTCACTCCACCAGCCACTCTCTCCATGCTGCTCTTGAGCTGTCACATAGTCAGCAGAGGTCTTTCTACCCTTCCTTCCATTCTTCTTACCGTAGCGATATCCCAAGCCGCAAAGATAGGCCATCTGCTCTTCCACACTGCCCCCAACCACGTCCAAACTCTTCTTTGGATCGTCGTTGTGCAAGTCAGGAAGCGAGAGTGGAAGCTCCGAAGAACGGTCAAAAAGGAAAAAGCTAGCGTGGAGACGAGCAAGCTTCGCTGCATCAGTTGAGAAGGAAGGGTCTGTCTATGCACCAGAGTCGGAATCGGAGTGATCGGAGAAAAGGGTTTGAGACGAGCACGAAGAGGTGGAACCCCTGGGAGAGGCGAAGTGTTCTTCATTAGTCGGCGAGAGGAGGTCGGTTCGGTGCGAACTGGAACCTTGCCGGGGAGTCGGGGCAACGCTTGAGTACGGTGACCAGCCTTGCCTTGCCTGCTCGTCACTCTCTTCTTCTGGCTGCGGGGACAGGTGTTTACCAACACTTCTTCCCCAGCCTGCTGATGCGGCTCTCAAGGCTGGACTGTCTCCCTTTGCTACCCTCTGTCGCAGTGCCGACTTCAGAGGTCCTTTCATTGGAGCCATCGACCCCTTGCTGGGAGGCAGGGGAAATTTGAAGGTCTCAGACTTGCACCTTCGATGGCCCATCTGAGGATTACTTAGTCCGTCCGACAGTAGATAGACTCTCTTCTGCGGCTTTTCCTCCCCTTCATCTTCGTTCAGGGAAGGCGAGAAGTAGCTGAGCAGAGCGTCATGAGTAGCTGATCGAGTGAGCCCGTGATCAGATTCAGAAGACGTTGAAGCAAAGGAGGAGCTGGGGGTGGGAGAAGAGTCGTACCCTCCCAAAGATGTCGTGAAGCTACGATGACGTGTCGAGTAAGGCCGGCGACCGAAACCAACTCCCGACCCGACCTTTAAGAGCGGTGGAAGTTGCAGTGATTCAAGCTTACTGGAAAGAAGTGGAATGCCGAGTCCGATGTTCGTGCCTTGAATGGCTGTGCCAAGGCCTGGTGTTGGGTCATTGTGGTTTGCGAACAGTGGTTGGGTCATCCTGGTATCTGCTAGTCCTGGGGAAGATTGTGCAGGCTTGCTGCAAAGCGGATATGCTAATGGATGTTCTCGTAGAGGCGAGTATGAAGGCTAGGCCAGCTAGATGTCGTAACGAGTCGTGAGTTTGTCGGGAAAGAGAAATATATGTTGTGAAGATAGGATGCGTGAGAGGCTAGATTGTGATCCAAGACAACGATCAAAGATGCTACCTGTCAAAGTGGGATTCGAGTTAGAGTATGAGGCTGATGATGATGATGGTGAGGAAAGGGCTGAACGCTTCAAAGGGTTCGAGAATAGCTCAGGCCAGCGATGGTTGGACAGCTCAAAGACAGCACGGGCACAAGCAGAGCGTAGCGTAGAACGCAGCTCAACGCTCCCTTCCCCACCAGCCAAAAGGGGGAGGGCCATATTGCTCTCTGTGACAGGTGACATCTCGCTGCTCGCCGTAAGTGCTGAAAGGCGCATAGAGGGTGATGAAGGGGGAAAGATTGGCGCAGCAAGAGGCGTAACCAGCGTCACAGCATGTCGCGCACTACTTGATGTGACATATCATCCGCCTGTGCCATCCAAAATAAATTCTCCTCAGTTGTCACTCACTCAAAGTCCTATTCTGCGCTTTTCCTGTAGCTTGTAGTAGAAGTTCAGCATTCTGCACTGCAAGCCGCTGCGGCCGCCTCCCCCGCCCGCTTATGAGACGGAAGCATGCTCGAAGCCAGCAAGGCCGTCAAGTGGCACCTAACGTCAATCGCCCGATGGTCGCTCCTGAATGTCTCATCTTATAAAGAATCGGGCTGTGGAGCAGGAGGCAGGCTCGGAAGTCGGATTTCTCACATCCGCCAACTTTCTCTCGCAGGAGCCTTCGTTCTCCAATCCGCTTCCTTCCTCCGATCCCTTTCATCGACCTTCTTGGCACTTTTCTATCGTTTCGTTACTTGAACCAGCAAGGAGGCATCTCATCACGTCACGATGCCGCCCCGCATACCCTTCACACCAGAACAAAAGCGAATCAGAGTAAGTCTGCGCTACCTTTCCGTCCTCTGCTAAGTACCGCTGACCAACCCACATCTTCCTCTCCTCTTTGCTTCGCTTTCAAAGACAATAATGATCTCTTTCCCCCTCTTAGTAGCCACCACGGTCGTCCTGTTCAAGCGACTGTATCTGGGAGAAGAGCAACGCAAATTGCCGAGCCAAGGGAAGATTGCTCCTCCGCCAGCGTAAACTACTAATTCAAAAGCAAATGATTCCACACCAAACTCAAAAGCATCACAGCTCTGCACTTGTGCCGCTGGCAGCTCGCCAAATGGACGGTGTGAACACAGCGAACCAGCAGCTTTTCGGCAGATATCCACGACCGTATCCGCATGCTTTGACCAGATCCGCAATAAACCTTCGCAAGGAAGTTCTTGTGACTCAAAAGACGTCACTTCCCGCACATCCTTTCAACAACACACACAAGAGCAACAATAAACTGTGAAAGGTGGCTGATACAAATTGCAAGAAGAGGACTTTCGGTTTGCCTCATGATAAATAGCGATAAAGATAAGATAATGTCCCATACAAACCCCTTCCTACTCTTACTCTGAAGAGCTAAACACCACCGCATCAGCCGGGAACTTTTCCACTTCCGTCCCTGATCCTGCTTTCGCCGCCTTAACGGAACACTGAGGTAACGCAAACTCAACAGTCGCCATGAGGACCACCGTCTTTGTCTCGTCCTGATTCTTCACCTCATGCACCTTTACGGGCACGGAGACCTCTTCCATCCCTGATCGATCGTGCGTTCGACGATCACCTGGATCGCTCGTGTTGGATGGGATAGCAGATTGGACTGCAGAAGGTTGAACTCGTAAGATGAGACGCTTGCTTTGGTTTGGACCGAGCGTGCAAGTGACTGTTGACGAGATACGTTTGAGTTCTCGTGGCTTTTCGACAACCACACTAACGCTGCCTGCGGTGGTGGTTGTGCTTGCAGCAACAGTCAAGTCTGCGGCGGTTGTAGCCTCGGATTGTGCCGCTGCTGCCTTTTCGCCATCTGCTTGCTGGCCAGCGTCCGTTGCGCTCGTTGTTGCCGCATTCTCGCCAGACTCGCTCGGCGCTCCACTGGCAAGACTTGGAAGTTTGACACCTAACGCTGCCAACCTCTCCTCATACTTCTTGACCTTATCCGCGTTCCCTTTCCTACTAGCGATCTTTAACTTCTGCGACAGATTCTCGATCTCTTCCTCCTCTTCCTTACTCAGTGTCCCTCTAACCTCATCATCACTAGCCATACTCAACCCTACATCGATAAGACACCTTGCATGCAGCAGATCGTGTCCGTCGATGGCGATAACAAACGATCTCGTCTTGCCCGTGGTGTTGGTTAACACGAAACTCTCCGGCGTCGAAAGCTTGCCCGGACTTACAGCGCCAAAGTTGATCGCGTTGGGGTCAACGGCGAAGTTCGGCGTCTTGCGGACATTAGCTTTGAGTACGACAGTCTGGTCATTGTCCCGATCAGCTACGTTTTCGACGACAAGCTTCTCTTGGAATGGACCTGACATCGACGGTGAGAACACAAATTCGACTTCGCGTTTGCCATAACCAGGAACAACGCCGTATCGACCCGAGCTGAGCTTGATATCACCCGATGCAATGCTGCCAGATTTGCGAATGCAGTAGCGCAATGCCCATTCGCTGCGGTTCTGGATCAAGATCTTGCGTGTTTTCGAATCACCCTTCTCCATATGACCAAAGTTGATGTGCGGCTGACCGAGCTCGAGCAAGCTGCGACACGTGTTGCTGCGAAGCATGAGATCACGAACAGGCAGCTCATCCGCTTCGAGCTCTGCCATACCTGAGAACTCTTCCGACTGTCGAACCACATTCATGTCAAAATCAATGAGACGCATGAAGATGCGCGAGTCTTGCTTTCGCGCATTGCCTTGGATGTGAGGTCGTGTGCTGCCGCTCGGGTGGTAGACTGCAATCACTTGACCTTCGGAATGCGGTGCCACCTCTAACACTTCGAGCGGGATGAGCTTTCCGGAGTCGATGGAACTCTGCAACTCTCGTCGAAGGTTGATCTCGGCGCGAACGAATTGCTCTTCTGCTTCGGGACTGCCGAGGAAGAAGGTGCTGAGCATGCTCGTTTGTGCTTCGACAGCGGCCAGGAGGTCTTCGAGAGACATGCGTGAGACGTCGACTGGGTTCGAGAGCACTGGCGGCGCTTTGCGCTTGCCGGTCAGTGCAGGCGAGAAGTGGACACGAGCTGCAGAATCGCCCACCTTGCCTTCTTTCGAGCTCTTACCATGATGACGGATAGCTGAAGCGGGTTGAGACTTGCTACCGGTGCTGGAAGCAGTGGCTTGACGTGCAGACTCCTTCACTACAGAGGCAGTGCGTCGCTTAGCATCATGGGCAATGATGTCGTTGGCCAAAGGCGAAGGAAGCCGAGGCATGGAGGATCCAGCTTTCGACGCGGAGAGATTGGGCGAAAGAGAACCGCTCCCAGTCTCCGATCGTGTCTCGCTCGCCTTCTCCTTCGCAGCGAGGCTCGACTTGGTCTTCCCGCTCGACTTGGATTTGCCGTTTCCGCCAACACTGTTTCCGGTCTCATCATCCTGTGCTGCATGCTTGCTGGCACCAGTAGCTTGACCAAGGCTCTTCGGTTTGCCACCAGTGGTAATGTTCTCGAGGAGCGCATACTTCTTGCTCTTGGCTGGGATACGGCGTGCGTCAACAGGCTGACCAGAAGCAAGGTCGAGATACTCGAAGTCGCTGATGAGCGTGCGATCCTTGAACGTGATCGTCTTGCCGTAGCTGACTGTGATTCTGCCTTTGCCTCCCTTCTTGAGCGCTGATACCATGTTGATGGCGGGTTTGGGCTTGCCAGAGACATTCGCCTTTCTCTGCGTGGATGCGACACTGCCATCCTCCTTTTTGCGATAGTGGCTGTGCTTCTGTGCCAACCTCCAAGACGCGTTCTCGGTGCGAACGGAAGTGGGAGAGTCGACAGAGATGGTCTCAAGGAAACGCTCTTTCAGATCGGCACCTTTCATTGAGGGCTTGCTTGACTTGATCTTGGTTGAAGTACCGTTCGGAGCAGCAGCGTTAGCCCCTTCCGCTGCCTCTGCACCAGGACCTTGCACTTCAGTCAGCTGCGCCTCGCTGTATTTGCTGGAACCAGTCTTGGCTTCCAGCCTTGGACTGCTTTCGCGTCCAGTATCGGCAGGAGGAGCCTTGATGTACAGCGTCACATCCTCAGGATGAGCAGGACTCAGCTCGAGCGAGAGCTTCTTGTTCGAGATGTTTTCGATCGTGAACGTCCTCATGCGCATCGAATTGATGTTGACATCGCCAAAGTCGACGTAGTTGGATCCTGTAGGTGTCAAAATGCGATAGAAGAGCGAATGGAAGCTGATGCGCTGCTTGTCCACATTGCGCGACCGCACTTCAAAGATCTGATCACCTTGACGGTTGAGCAAGTTGGCAACGGTGATTTGCTTTCTGTACGTCTCGTTGACTCTGCGAGGGAACGACTCGACCTTGAGCTCGATCGTCTGCAGCGCAGGGATGGCCACCTCGTCACGATACATGCTTAGCACTTTCGAGATGAAGCGCAGATCTACTCGCGCTGTAAGCTCGGAACGGTTGGTGACCGAGATGTTGGCAGACTTGCGTGTACCAACTTGCACCTCGCCAAGATCAATCATCTTGGGGCTGATAGAGATGAAGGAAGTGCAGGTGCGGCTATGACAGACAACCGTCCTTCTCTCGCGACCTCCGCGACTTCGCATATTCGCAAGTCGAGCACGAGAATAGTCGAGCGAAATGCGGAAGGTCTTCTCTACGAGACGACCGCCGCTGAAGTCTGCGTCCCAAGCCACACGCTCGGGTCGGTATGAGACGAAAACGCGGTACTCTCCACCTGGCCGCAACACCAGCTCCTCGAGCTGGTTGCTCTGAGCATGCTCGACGTTGCGTAGACCTGATAGAGCGGCACCGACACCGTTATTCCGATGCTGATTCCTTGCCGAAGCGCTCGACCCAGTATTCGATGAGCTTGCAGGGTATGGGCCTGGACGGCTGTCCTGCGAGAGTGCCGTGTGCACCGAGCGTACTGAGTTGACATCGTCAATACGCTCCGACTCGATAGGACGGCCACGCGAGGCAGGTCGTGAAGCAAAGCCGAATGAGTTCTGGCTGTGTGGATTGGTCGACACACTGGCCTGGTCAAAGTCACTGGCCGCCGAGGCAAGCGACGGGGCTCGGCCTGAGTAAACTCGATCCATCAAGTGCAGATGCGGTGCCTCGCCCTTGCTAGATCGCGCAGCTTCTGCAGCAGACGACGCAAGGTCAGTTCCTACTGGTGGCTGCTGCGGTGGGTGTGAAGCTGGTCGCACGGGTGAGTTCGACCTTGACCCGGCCTGAGAAGCAACCGACGAGGCATCAACGCCATCTTCGTCTGTCTGTGCACTTCCTCTTCGACCACGCAGCAAGTCGCACGTCGCATCGCTATCGGCTGCTGGAAGCTCCAAAATTGGTGGCTCTAATGCAGCAGATCCCTTGGGCACGTGTGCATGATGCGTAGGCGTCTTGGCGAGCTCCGAAGCCGTGGCAGCGTGCTCTCCTCTAGCGTCGGACTGTCGGCAGTGCTCGTATGCGCTTGAAGCGCCATCAGCTCCAAAGCCAGCACTGCTGCTCTCTGCGACGGACGACATGCGACTGTGATCATCCGTGCTAGCAGATGAGAGCGAGATCTCGCTGACGTGTGAGCTCGGTGGAAGCTCCTCCTGATCAGGAGTGTCGTCTTCAGCCTGTGGTGCCAGTTCGGCAAGCTGAAACATGACCTGGTAGTCCTTCTGCACGCCAAAAGACACGTCAAGCAGCACATCAGCATTGTTCTTCAGCACGAGCAGCTGCTTAGTCCAATGCCCTCCATAGCAGTCGCCAAAGTCGAGGTAATCGCCGGAGAGGACGGATAGAGCGTCGTCCTTGGCAGTACCGAGCATGTTGGCACGAATCACCACGCGAATGCTGTTGGCCATATTGTGCAACGAGGTAATGGTCAAGACCTGCTCGTAGTCACGACAAGGCTCTTGGGGCTTGAGCGAGACTTTGATTTGCTTGGACTCGAGCCGGACCAGTATCAGAGGGTTGTAAGACATGGCCTCCTGATCACCGGCCCAGACGGATGGCAATGTCTCGTCGGTGTCAGCCTGCACCAAGCTGATCGGCGGTGTCTGCAGCATGTTGTCGGCCTCTTCGAGCTTCACCTGGCAGAAGCAGTCGATTTCGGACAAATTGCGAAGCGTCAGGTTCTGCGAATGTGTTTGTCCGACAATGACATCGCCAAAGTCGAGATAGATGGCGGAGCCGTGACTAGTCTGCGTCGAGGAATTGAGATCCAGAGCAGCGCTGGAGGTGATTGCGGCGTCGATGAAAGGTCGACAGCACTGAGCAGCGACAGGTATGCGGATCTTTTGCACCTCTCGCTCGTCAGGCTGTGACTGCAGAGCAGAGATGGCGGACGAGGCGACGGAGGAAGGGACCGCTTGCGAGCCGTACATGGAAGTAGGTCTCGAAGAGGCTGATGGCGTAGTCGAAGACGAAGGCTGAGTGGTTCTCTGTGCATGTGCTGGTGCAAGGGACGGATCAGCATCAGTCTCATCTCCACTGTCAACGGCCTGCAACATCCAGCTTGAAAGGCTGATGGTGCCGCGCAGACCAAAGGCAGGATGCAATGGTCTGGCTGGCTGTGAGCGCGATGCAGAGCGCGAAGCATGCAATTCAGGCGCTGAGTGAGGCGACGTGAGACCGAGCTCTTCGGTCATACTACCCGTACTCTCCTGATCCGAAACTGCAGCACTGAAGCTACCCTGCTGCTCACCAAAAGCGGCTGGAGTCGAGACAGGCGAGAGAACACGGCTGTAATCCGAGCGACCAGGCTGTTGGCCAACCGTGGCTGTGGAATCGCCGAGCCTACTTGACGAAGCTGCACCCGATGGCGATGGTGGTATCCTGTACGGCCAGCTGTGATTTGCACGATCCGCTTCAGCCTCTTCGACAAAGTCGGCCGGACGCAGCACAACATAGACCTTGGTGGTCTGACTAGGCTCCAAGATGAACGAGTCCGCATTTTCCAGGTTGGCTAGCACATGCCTCCAGCCTCGAAGATTTGAAGGAACGAAGCCACCATTTTTGGCCCAAGAGATGCTGTTGGACGGCCAGGCGACAGGCTCGAACTCGTTGTGAGGTGCCGATCGCTTACGACGCATGAACGTCAGTCCTTGACGAAGGTCGGACTCGAGACGAACAACAGCGCTACAGTCTGTACTGCGGTTGGTGACCATAATGTGGTGTACACATGGTGCATGGTTGACGTAGCTTTGCTCGAACCGGAGACAGTCCTGGACGTTGATGGAAACGTGAGAGGGACCCTGGAAGTGAACTTTGAGCTCTGCTGTGTCATTGAGCTGAGGTGGTCCGATGTGAAGTGGCAAAGGCATAGGCTTGTTATGGGGCTGCAAGGAAGCGCCAAAGCTGGTGTTGGACGAGGCATTGTGCGTAGATGCGGCAGATGAGGGCGGCAGAGAGACGAGCGAGACGCTTCCACTGGATGAGTTGGTGCGGAAGCGGGTGAGTGATCCGCCATTATAGTCGGCTTCGGAAGAGATGCCTACAGGGAGACTCTGGATGGACAGGTTATCGCTGAGGGCCGGATGCAACGACGAAGTTTCTGACGATGTGACGGCGTGGAAGGAAGGCGAGCCATGGCTGCTGGAGTGTGCACTTGCAGAGCGGGAGACGATGGTAGATCGAGATAGCTCGGTGGTGAGATCATCGAAAGTGGCAGCTCGTGTAGACAGCGACCTAGCATCGCGAGCGCCAATGACAGGGTTAGTGGAAGGTACCGGCTTCGCGATGGCTCGAGAAGGACGTTCGTTTGCGAGACTCTCGCGGTCACCAAGCACTCTCTCGAATGCACCGACCCATTGCTGGCCAGAGGATGCATGGCAGTCGCCGGGCTCCTCATCGATGTCGAAGCGAGGCGACTTGAGAAGGTATGTGTTGTCGGACATCCCTTTCCAGTGTTGGGTAAAGCAGATTGATCTGATAGAAGTTGAGAAGCTGTGCTAGTGCAGGCGATTTCTGGAGTAGCACCTCAGTGAGAGATGGTTATCGTTGGAAGATGGTTCCAGTAGCCTTTGCTGTTGAAAAGCGAAGATATCTGAAATAGGTCGAGGTCCGTTCGGACGGCCACAGAGGGCGAAGACCGATTCGAGGTGGAGATCAATTCGTCATGTTGGGTAAGGGAACGTTCCAATGCTGGAGGAAGAGTAGCAGCTAGGCGAATGCTGCTGGGTATGGCCTCGTTGGTGATCGATTGAAGGAAGTCGCTGGGACAAGAGAAGCCTGAGTCAGTGCTGACGGATAGGAGTGCCAGCAGCTAAAGTCGAAGACGGAGGGAGGAGGAGCTCGTGTCGGAAGAAGAGTGGCAGGTGGAGTCGTCGGTGAGAGCAAAGTCGATGCTGGTTTGTCGAGGTTGGTTTCCGACTGAATGCTGCGCTTGGCAGTTGCCAAAGAAGGGTGAGCGAGGGTGAAGGTAGTGAAGAGAATGCTATTGAGGATGACTCTAAGGCGGAGAAGGCGGATGAGCGAGTTGTGCTCCAATACCAATATTGCCTCTCGACAGTGTGGATTTCAACAGAGTGCGGTCCGCAGCCACTTTTTTTAAACTTTCCTGGCTTTCCTCTCTGTTGTGTCTGTGTAGCTTGTGTGGTCTGACGACAATGGCCACGAAAAAAAAAAAGAAAAAAAAGAAAAAAAAGAAAAAAAAGAAAAAGTGTCGACAACAGAAAGGCTCTCTGTCTCTCTCGGCTCAATTCCACGGGTTTCTTTCTTTTCTCTTGCTTTCCTTTGCCAGTGTCAGAGAAGCAGCGACGGAACATCCGAATGAACGAGTGAGTGGTCCCATCCTTTTTCTCGCTTTTAACCATCTCGCGATCAGACGACGACAAGCCACAAATCTGAGCTAAGTTATACTTTTACACGGCAGTTGATTGGGATTGAATGGCTCAATCTTGTGGCTTGGCTTTGCGCACTGTAAAAGTAAGCCCTTGCCCTCTCTCAGCGACCGTACAGACTCGGCAAACCCGAAGGATACTTCAATGCAATGCCTCTAGCACGATCAGAACAATGCTCTCAAAGAGGCTGCACAGTGCACCAACATGAAAGTTGCAACCAAGTCTTCAGGGGTTCACACTTGGAGGCAGGACAAAAGGATGCTGCCAGAGCAGAGTTCCCACCGAGTTGCACCCGTGTTTTTGCATCACGTGATCAGTCATGAAAGCCTGCGCGTCTGGGCTGGACTCAACACTCGACTGCTACGCTTCTCCGCTCCTCTCTTCACAACACCATCTTCACCAAAGCCAGGCGTACTATTAGCAGCCTGGTTCGTCATTATTTACCCTCCCTGTACACCCTCCTCCCTTGCCGCTCGTTTCTGCGCTTGACCGCCCCCCCTGTTTACGGCGGGCCGGGAGCCTGCTTGTCGAGCTTCGAGAACCTCACAGCTCTTTGCCTGCAATCCACTTAGTTTTTCGTGTTATGTATATACAATTTTGGTTTATGTTTCGTGCGATTGAGTCCAGGCGGGACGCCTGAAAAAAACTGCAATTCAGCCGACTTAGCATCACATCGAGTTGGACGGCGTCGTCAGACACTTGTACCAGCCTTGCTCGAGCGAGCGCGGCTTGGCCCATTGACTGTTAGAATGTGAAGAAGTTTTGTCCCCATAACTGACGATCGGGAAGAGTCTGAGTACGATGTCACTACTGTTTTAGGGCAGAAACATATATACTCGATTGACTAAAGAACGTGGTGAGAACCTAGTGTTCTCAGCTTGATATATATACATCTATGAGGTACATGCCGAATGTGGGAGTATCCTACTTCATGATCTAGCTTGACAACGAGCGGGACTGTGTTGTACCCAATTTCTGGATGGATCTGTTCCGTCAGATCCCGAATTACGTTTATGTCAGCATGTATCATCATATTGGATCGCTTCCTTCGGCATTGACATGTAGCAGTTCGGGTCAAGCCTACAAGCCAGCCGAAAAAAAGAAAAAAGAAAAAAGAAAAAAGAAAAAAGAAAAAAAAAGTTCACAAGGAGAAGTGGAATCGGTGATTTTTTAGCCGATCTCTAACTTTACGCGAGCCTCATTAGCGCGACGCGCCCTAGCTTCGAGCTTTTTTTGGTCAAAGTAACACTTCCGCTTCCACTCCGCCTCGTCAACCTTGGACATGGTCTCTCAACACCGCCAAGTCCTCTCGCAAACGAGCAACTCAAGATGAGGATCCATCTGAACCTGCCCCAAGCGGGCCCCAGCAATCCCTCATCATCCTCTTCTTCCAGCGTTCGCTCCTCCGCCCCGGCCCCTCTAACCACCTTGACGCCAAACGGCGAGCTAATCCTAATCGAACTTCAAGGAGCGCTCGAAATCGAAAATCAATCTCCTGCCGGTGGTCAGATTCTCGGCACGATCAGTTTCGAACCAACTCGCCCCGACAGACCTGTTCTTATGATCTCGCATCATAGGCTCGAGGGGAAGTTTGTGAATCTGGTCAAACCTTTGGCTGTATTGGAGAAGAAGGTTAGAGCTGATAAGACGGTGTTAGGTGATGTTGGCAATGCGAAGAGAAGCGTAGAGGGAGACGAAGCGGAGGGGGAGATGGTGGGGAATGTCAAGCGGGCGAGGAGGGTGGGAGACGATGGAGAGAGACGCAGTCCGCCACCTGCAATGCAAGGAGTGAGGAAAGGGAGGGATTCAATGGATTTCAGCTCTAGTCCACCCAGACCGACTCCTGTTAGTAGGGTGGGAAAGAAGTCGGATAGGCTTAGGGATATTGATGAGAACGGTGTACCCGTAGACAGAAGCGATGCAGAAACAACAGAGGGAGACAAAGACAATGAAGATGAGGAACAGGAGGAAGACCAAGTGGAACCTCAAACGGCAGTATACTACGACGTAGTCAATGTCATCAAACGTAAAATTCTCTTCTCGAAACGACCCGAACCTATAGTTCGTCTCGACTCAACATCCACCACCATAACCAAAGCATAACATCTCATCTCACACACACAGCAATCACATATCCTCACACACCCAAATAGTGACTTGATAATGCATTGCAAACAATTCCTCGCCGCTAACATCACTGACCCTTATATCGCTGCTTCTCATACTCGCCCCAAATCCGCTTCATCAGTACCTTCCCAGCACTATCCAGCAACCCAACCATAGCCGCATCTCTCTGATGATGTCCCACAATCCCACACACTGTCAACATCCCCACTTCCAACTCCTGTCTCACTTCCGCAGGTACCATTGTGTTGGCTGCTGTCAAACTCCGCAAATATGCAACCAAGATGTAGGTTGCGTGCTTGGAGAACGGTCTTGCCAGAGACTCTGCTTTGCCATCCTCCACAGTGGAAGAAGAGCGGTTTTTGAGAGAAACATTCTTGACTACTAGTGTTGAAAGCAGACGAGAGAGCGCTCGTGCTTCATGTTCTGCGTTGAGGGGGGTGACGAGGATGGGATCTAACCAGGTGGGGAGGTCTCGTCGAACTTGTCGTTTGGCTGAACCAGAGGTGGAACGGATTCGACGGAAGAGTGTGGTGAGACGGGAGAGGAGGGAGCCGAGTTGAGGAAGGAAGCTGAGGACTAGGTCTTGACGCAATCGCATCAGTGAGCTGAGGACTGAGAGCATTGCGTCCCACAATTTGGTCTTCATGAAGTCCCTCGCAGCACGAGAGCGTTTGAGTAGCACAGGGGAGACTTCATCCGCCATACTCGGCCCAGTAATCGTCGAGAGGAGTTGGAGGATGGCACCCATGTCCTGCGTCTTGAAAAGCATCGCATGGTTGCTGCACAGCTGACCAAGCACCGAGACAGCCGCAACGACTGAGCGCAGCTTGAAGAGGGCACCACCCGCCGGCAAAAGCTGTGTGTTGTTGATCACACCGAAGAAGCTCGAAAGATGCTTGCGGGCGATTTTGGAAGTTCCTTCCGGCGCCCCCGAGATCAGGAGACCGACAGCGTAAATGTGAGACGCGAGAATGTCATCGACTGCTGCAGGTGTCAAGGCTACCTGGCTTGGCTCAGTGAAGAAAAGAACGGCACAGTTCCGCAATTGGGAGAGCTGTTTGTCGAGAGTTTTGTCGTACTCCTCTGCCTCCAGATGGGATACGATACGCTGTAATTCGTCTGCCAGTCGACGCTGTTCTTGCAAACTTGGCATGCGATCGATTGTCTTGAAGAAGGCGAGACATGCATCCGAAGCCGTCTTAGCTCCTGCACCACCAGGACCGATGCATCGCAAAAGTTCGAACGCTATACCTGCCGCTGACCGAACGTACGGCTGGTTCCGACCCAGTTCTACTTCTGCCTCTGCACCTTGAATGAAGACACCATGGACGGGCGACCAGTCCTCCCATAGCTCGCTACCACGGCCGAGAAGGCGAAGCTCTCGAACATGATACAAGACCATGTCAAGGGTCTGGATGGAGTCGCTTGGCGTATCAAGCTCACCACAGAGCTTTCCGATCGCTGAGAGATTCTCTTCAATCGCCCTACCATCCTCTTGATCTATGACTTGAGTTCCAAGAACTGTCATGACATCCTGCGCAGCGCGCATCTTGAACGTGATCCCTTCAGCGCCCGCTTTCTTCTCTGCCGCTGCTGCGCCCCTGAACTCTTGAGCCGTCTCAAGCAGCTTCTTTTGCATAACAGCGCTATTCTTGCTCCGGGACAGCAGCAGTCGAGTCGCAGCCTGAATAGCACCAAGCGAAGCTCGTTCCCAAGCATGCTTCTCCTCGCTACTCCCCTCCTTTGCGTTTGACTCGAAGAACGCACTCAGCGAAGCAAGCAGAGTCTCGTCATTGACGTCCGACTCGGTCGCGTACTCCGGCAACACCCTTGCAATCAGATTGCGCAGTTCAGTCCACTGAACCGTCTTCACTTCGCTCCCTTTCTTCGCTCCAACAATGTCCTTGTCGAGTGCAAGGTGCTTAGCGATCAACGATCCGCGCGCAGACTTGTTGACCCAATCATTGGGTGTGATCCAGAGCGGCGCTATTGCGACCAGACGTCGATCGAGTTGTTTGTTGGTCGAAAGTTCGTGCTGGATGTGAGCGATGATGTGGTTGCGCCAAGTGGAAAGCTCGAGGAAAGAAGCATTGCGCAGAGCTGTTGAGGATATGTAGTGCAACGCGCTGCCTTCTCTAGGCTGTGCTGTGAAGACAAGTATCGATGCGAGGAGAGCAAGTGTCTCGTCTGCGGCAAGGGCTTCAAAGAGAGGTGCCCAACGAGTGACAAGTGCTAGCCAAAGAACTTGCATCAGCTCGATCCTGTCTTTGATGTTGTTCGGGCATCCGATCCATTCGCTGTCGCTCGTCGAGCCTTTGCTCAGCTCCTCAAGCAAAGCATGGATCGGTCCAGAGGATTGTGATACCAGCTGACAGTACCTCGACTCTCCAAACCCAAGAAAGCTGTCCCTCTCAGCACGTTGCATCAGACTCTGAAAAATCTGGAACTGCAACCCGTGCAACTCCGCACTGCTTCCCTTCTGCAATGATAGCAGCTCGATGAAAGCATCAGCTCTCTCGTCAAATGCCGACTCGAGACCAGCCAGAGTCTCCGTAGGCAGCGAACCATCCAGCTTCACCGGCTCAGAAGGATGATACCGCCATTTCTCCGACAACAGAGCTTGCCTGACGCGCAAAGCCGCTGCTGCCACACCGTACGTTGTTGCAGATGCGGACGCCGCGCATGCATCAAAACATGGCAAGATGAGGATGTTGTGCAGCTCTTCGGCTGCAGCAATAGAGCGAGGTCGGAGATTGGTTGCTAGCTGAACACTCTGCATGACATGTGCTGCGATATGGAGCTGTGCGATGAGTACACGTGGTGCGTGCGTCGATGCTTGTGTTGAAGCTTTGCTTGGGCTGCTTGTGGTCGAGGTGCGCTGCCTTTTTGATTTGGGAGTGGCACTGCCATTGACATTATCGTCCCTCATAAAGGATTCGAGACTCTGTGCAATAGTCGAAAGGCTGTGGATGAGGTCTGGCACCTGCATCGGCGTCACACTGTCGCGACAGAGCTTTCCAAGCTCAGCTAAGAACGTCTGCGATGTGAACAAAGACGAGGCTGACCCGCCGGAACCGAGCTCAGCAGCGACGCCTACACTGCTCAACACGTTGTTCACGAGCGCAGGGATGTTCCTGAATCGCACATCGATGGTTGCGACTGCACGGAACAGCTCCATCGCTGCAAGTGTTGCCTTGGGCAGCTCCTCCGATACCCACAATGCCTGCTTTGAAACCTTCTGGACTGCGACCATTGCCAAGATAGGCACCAGCTCGTCTTCCAACACCGACTTCTCCAATCGCCAGAGCGAAGTAAGACTAGCAAAGTGATCCGCTGCTTCACTCTGTGCTGCTGGTGAAGCCTCCGTTGCAATCTTTCGGAGCTCGCCTCGAATGCTGTTCGAAAGGGTGCTGAAAAGCGAACGCCATTCTTCGTGTTCGTCACAACCCATGACGTAGAGACTGTCTCGTTCAACGCCCCGCAACAAGCCTGTACGCGCTGCTGCCCGTTGTGCCTGCCTGGCTTGTGTGCCAGAAGAGGTAGCAAGGAAGGGCAGGAGAGGGAAGTGCCATTCGGAGAGCATAGTCTTGCGGACTAGGGAGAGCTGCGCCTCGCGCATGGATCCCGAGGAAGTACTGCTGGAGCTGGCTGTGGAGTTGAGAGCCTCGCTGCGACTGAGCTTCGTGAATAGGAGCTCGCTGAGGGTAGAGAGGGAGCTGAGGGCGGCATCTGCAACTTTCTGATCTTGCAAGAGGGAGGCGAGCTGCTGAACGACGCCACTAGTGGCCGTCTTCGTGTCTTTCCAAGTGGCAGATATAGTCACCTTGGCATTGCGCCCAGCTTGAAGCATCGATCGTGTGACGTCTTCTGTGAAAAGCGATTCTGCCGCCACTTGCCTCACTACCTCCAAGACCTTCGATGAATCTTCATCATCCTCGCTGTTGCTTTCGAGAGTATGGAGAGCTTGTAGTAGAGATGGGATAGCGTTGTTGCAAAAGTGCTGATGATTCCTCTTGGCGTTCGAGCCATATTGCAAAGTGGTGGTCCAAGTGGTCACGATCGAGTGCAGAATAGCAGTACTCTTCTGCTGCTCAACTGAGCTGTGTGATTGATCGAAGAATTCGAGCCATGACTGAATAACGTCGGCGGCAACTTCGACATTGGTTGCTGCTGTTCTGGACGTTGCTGGAGGCAGGAGCTTGACGAGCGAGCTTGAAGCCAACGAAAGAAGCGTCTCGCGGTCGGCCTGCGACGTGTTCTGCTCCTGATTCAGCTGCTTTGCAAGAGCACCAGCTAGAGCTAGCACAGGTTGCGTGCTGGCCAGATGCGAGAGCCAGGTTTGCTTTGCTGCTTCAGAGAGCTCTGAGTCGGTGCTGATCTGTGCAGAGACGATGGCTGAGAGCAGCTCCCATGCTTTGAGGTCGAGTTCGGTAGGAGTGCTAGTCGATGACTCCTTCTGCTGTTTGGCCTTGTTCTGCCCCTTGTTCGGTGTACGTGGTGCTGAGGTAGAGTTCGATGTACGGAGAGAGGAGCAGAGGTACTCGAGGACCCACTGTGATAGCAGCTCTGCTTTCTTAGGTACGAAGAAGTCAGCGGACCGCCATGCTTCGAGAGCTATGTCGACCTTGCTGAAGCCATTTGCTGGTGGCTGTGGGACACGGAGAGCCTTGACGAGCTGTTCTGAGGTGGTGATTGAGGCAGAAGCGAGTGCCGAGGAAGATGCGCTGACGGAGTCGGAGGGCTCGCTCGGCCCAGCAGCCGCTCCGCTCCCTGTAGCGGTCAGCATGGCTTCGCCCTTTACAGCTTCCTGGTCCAAGCTTATCGAGCAGCGAATGTTCTGTCCGCTGAAGTTGTTGTCGAAGATCTTATGGTCAGGTGAAAGAAAGTGTCGGCAAGGCTTCTTCTTCGGTGTGGAGGACAACCTTTCCAAAAAAAAAAATCAAAAAAAAAAAAAATCAAAAAAAAATCAAAAAATCTCATCCCGTCTGGACTCAATCGCACGAAACAAGATCGAAAAAGTATAACCTAACACGAACAAACTAAGTGGATTGAAGGTAAAGACAGTGAGGTCCTTGAAGCTCAATAACGACGAACCAGGCTGCTAATAGTACGCTTGGCTTTGGTGAAGATGAGTGCAGAGTGGTGCGGAGAAGCGGAACAATTCGATTGTTAAGTCCAGCCCAAACGCACCATGACTGATCACGTGATGCCAACCACGGTGTGTGAGAGAAGCGGACCCTGACCAGAAAAATTGCTTTGGCTCGACTTCCTCTTATCGCCCGAGACAAATCTGACCGCTTTCGAGGCCTTTTGAGCTTTTCTCGTAAACCATCATCTCACTTTCTTAGCAATCACCATAACCTCACTTCCTCTCGACCTCTCACTATAGAAACTCGACAAAGCACATCACATGCAATGCTGTCTACAACTCTCCGCACATTCGCAAAGCAGCCTTTGCGCTCCGTCCTCGCATCATCACCAGCACAAGTACGATGCTGCTCCTCTTCCTCATGCTCCACAATTCTTAAGGCTGCCACTACATCAAGTCCTCGCGTAGCAGCACCAGTAGCAACAGCTTTGGGATTGATGGAACAGCAACAGAGAGGAATGAAGGTCCGTTCTTCGGTCAAGAAGTTCTGTGATGGTTGCTCGGTCGTCCGAAGAAAGGGAAGACTCTATGTGATCTGCAGCAAGGATCCTAAGCACAAGCAGGTTGGTAACGCATAGAGCTTTGCAACATCTTTTGTCGAAAGATGTCGATCGCTGACTCCCATTCCGGACCTCCTTATGCCATTCTGTCAACTCACAGCGCCAGGGATAAAGTCTTCGACATAATCGCATCTCCCAACTTTACTCGCCTTTGTCCTCGGGATGCCCTGAGACACTCACCATCCATGCACATTGTTGTATTTGTACTTGTACCGGCTCAATCACATGCTCATCGACACCAAATAACGCAAACATTCAGCGAGCATGATGCATTTGAGCAACGCTGTTCCTTGATGTCATATGGAAGTACAATATCGTGAGGCTCAGCTAGATGGACTGGAATCCCCCTGCTTCGACTGCTGTTCAGCAATCAGTCCCTCGATCTCCCTGATCTCCGCCTCAACATCCGCCATCCTCTGATTCACCCCACTCAATCTCTCCTTTAGTTTCTGCTCGTACTCTTCATCACTCACACTCCTGATCGGCATCGCTCCTTTCACCTTCTCCAACCAGCCCTTCCCTCCTTCCTGATTGACTTGAGGAGTGGGTTGAACATCCGCCATTGGCGCAACTGCTTGTGACGCACTCACCGCTGCATCAGTAGAAGAAGCCTTCATTAACTCTGGCACAGCTAGCGGTGCGCCACGGGGAGAAGGTCGAATCATAGCGTCCCTCACCACCCTCAACTCGTTCCCTGTCAGCTGCAACCCCATACAAGCAACGCCCAAGGTTGCTAGACCTTTGTGGATTGCCTGAGGGCCGCGGGTGAACGCTGCAGCACCAGCGCCTACTACCGCGCCAGCTAGACCGGAAGCGAGAAGTTTGTCCGTGTGTTTGTTCTTCGTGACCGTACGCAGGCGCATGTGTCGGTTCGCGAAATCTGGGCCGGACGAAGTTCGGTTGAGAACGGGTGAGACGATGTATTCTCGGACGGCGAAGAAGGGAAATGCGAAAGCGAAGGAGCTGAAAGCCATTCGTGTGCCGAGGACTGTTCCTGCTCCTTGTTTTCCATTGAGGACACCGTAGATCGAACCACCTACCCCTCCAACCAATGCGGCAAGGAGAGACCCTTTGACGACTTGAACTGGAGCGTCGGATTCAATTTGGAAGCCGGAACTTGGCTCTTCGAGGACTGAGAGAATGCCGTATCCTCTTCTGGCGCTGCGTCGGCCAGAGGAGGAAGAGGAAGCGGCGGGATCATCGACGAACTCGCCGTTGCTCCATCCGGAAGATTGCGGTGAGAAAGTGGCGGGGGATGACCATCGCGGATCATCTTCCGCGCCAGACAAGGTCATTACCGGCTCATCTCTGTTGCGCGGAGAAGCTGAGCGAGAGGGGTAAGAGCCGTTGTTGGGAGGAGGTGGTTGCTGTCGTACAGTGGATGGTTGGGAAGGGTTGTTATTGAAAGCTGAAGGGTCGTCCGATTGCGGCTGATCTGCTGAAGAGGCGTTGGAGCGGTTGTACGTGGTACGGGCATTATCTTGACGAATACGTTCCCATTTGCTAGGTTCCACGCCACGCTCGCCTCGGAGCTGAGCCCAGCGTGTGCCTGTACCGGTGCCAGGAGGGGTCGTCGTCGACTCTTGTGCGCTCGAAGAGGAAGGCTCAGACGATAGAGAGGGGAAGGAGGAGCTGAAGGAGCCGTTGTTGCCCTCGAATCCGGGATAGCTTGTTGCTGCACGTTCACCACCCCACCCTTCCCCACCTTGCTGCTGCTGCTGCAAACCCTGGTCAAAGTCCGCTTCTCCATTCAACCCCTTCGGCGGCGCTACACCTATCTGAGGTCTCTTTCCCTGTCTCTGTTCTTCCATTGCTCCAAGCATCACTCTTCTCAGATGCTGTGGGTCTTCCACGTTCCTCAGCACATTCTTACTCAACAAGATACCGATCGGTATCATGAGGAAAGACCCTCCGAAACCGCCAACAACACTCCATCCCATTCTAGCGAGCAACCGAGGTCGCGGCTTTCGACGATTTAGCAAGACGTAGGTTCCGGCGGCACCGACCATCCATCCTCCATACTTGGTTATGCTGACATTGCGTTTCATAGTTTTGAGCGCAGCGACCTCGCGTTGGGTGAGTTGCTTTTCGGATTCTGTGCCCGCGAGACCTTGAAGACGGGTGCCGTCTTGGCCAGCGGCGGTTTGGTTTGAGGAGAAGCCACCGGTATCCATCGTTGACGCTGTGTGTTGGTGTCGATAAGAGTCGTCCAAAGGTGCAGGAAGCTGGTGAGACGACAAAAGATCAAGGGTCTCCAAAGTCAACCGCTCGAGCCAGGCTGTTACGAATGAGTGATGATGAGAAACGCTCAACCTTCGCGTCTTCTCAGCAAAGCCTCTCGACCCTTCCACGCACAAAAAGTGGAGGAGCTAAAATAAGCAGTGTTACACCTACACTTCTCTTACACTCGAAAATCTTCGGCCGAATGAGGCAGCATGGAGGCAAAAAGCAAAGCTGATTCACCAACGACGTCGGCACTGCTTGACGTGACACCCTTACTAGCCGAAGATCTTGCTTTGTACCACACTACAGCGCGCACATTCTTCTTGGAAGAGACATCAGATTAGACTCGCCCTGACTCATTCCTTGCCTGCATCACAAGAACCCTTGTGATGAGGTCGTGTGAGAGGCCATGTAGCTTTGATATGTGACATTGCGTAACCTGACTGCCCGAGCCCTAAGCCTGACCCTTCTTCTCACGCCTACTCGAGCTAGGTATAAGTAGCCCATGATCTTCCTGTCCAAATTCACTTTTTTTTCTTAGCTCAACATCCGATTATTCCAGCACCACACAAATCACAATCTTTCATCATGGGAAACAAAACCACCGACCAATCTTTCAAGAAGACTCACCAAGTCGTTGGAGCCAATGGCAACGATCTCGTCGACAACCTCAACGAGAAGATTATGAAGGAAGCTCCTGGTCACGAAGGCGTACGTATCCCTCCCTCCCCATCTCTTCTCTTATGATGACTAGATACTGATTCTCTCTCTTCTCTCGATCTCCTGACGGGTTGAAAATGGCAGAACGTTGCGGCAGAACAAGCAGGCACCCAGCGCACACACAACGAACAGATTGAGCGCGATCTCGAAACCAAAGGCTACACTACACGTCAGACTGACTCGCAGGCTGTAGCTGATGCTGAGCTGAAGAAGAAGCTTGACAAACGCGGAAACGAGGCTCAGTAATCTCGAAATCATCAAATACCTCAACATAAAACAAGTTTCTCTCAACATTGTTGGTCTGTGCAAATGCTCGTGGGACAAACCTGAAGTAGCACTCGGCTGGTGGATATCTAAAGTTGAGGAAACGATGGTGGCGTGTTGATGATCAACGAGTTGAGCTACCACTAAAATAACTAAATGCTCTCGAAACAGACGCAATAGCACCACTCGCCGTCGCCGGCGCTGCTGCTGCTTTCGAAGACGCACCCAACACTCTCGTCGTCACTAGCGTATCCGGCTTCGCTTCCAACTTCCCTACTCTCCCATTTGCTGTACTCGGCAGCCCCATTCCTAGCCCCGTGCCCGGCCTCTTCCCCTCATTCACCTTTCCACCATCCCCTCCTACAATCCTCTCATCAACAGTCTCTACCGCAGACCTGAGTGAAATCTCCCTCTTCCCAAGGTAGCTCTTCCTACTACCCTCGCTCCCCGGCCCGGCCGCACTCACCGTCACCATCAGATTTTTCAGATTCGGCAACGTGTGTCTGATATCAATCACCGTTACACTCCAAACGTTCATCAGTTGTTCAATGTCCTTGTTCAACAGAAACGCCGCGTATTCGTATCTGTACCTCTCCATTCCCTTCTCGTATAACGGAAACGCTCTGGGACCAGACATGAGAGAAATCCCGTCTTGCAGAACCGCTCGACTACCCGCCGTTGCTAATGGATAGTGGATCGGGGTGGAAAGATAAGTGGATAGTAGGACGACGAGTTGAGCGACCAAACCGAACGAAGAGGAGATTGTATCGTCGTCGAACGGGTGAAAGACGGGACGGTTTGAGGCAGGGAGACGTTTGACTGTGTCTTTCCACTTTTTCTCCTCGTGTAGCAGTTCGGTAGGTGGGAGGGATGCGACTGAGTTGGGTAGCGGTAGACCGCAGATGGAGAACAGCAGGGAAGAGGCATCGGAGAGTTCGATAGGGAAGATGATTTCTAGATCGCGTAGCAGAGAGGATTGTTGCGCATGCAGGAATTGCGATAGATCTGCTTTCTCTGCTTTGAGATTGTCCAGCTGACCTTGAAGCTGGCGTGAAGAGGTTTCAGCTGCCCAGAAGAGCGCATCCGAAGCCTGCATAGCTTTGCGTCGAGATTGTAGCGCTGCTCTTCGAGTTTCTAGCTCAGCTCGCCTTTGAGCCAAGTCAGCCGCTTCGTCCGTCGCCATTTGACGCACGGCTTCGGAATGCGCTTTCTGCTGCTCATGCTTGAGTCGTAGTTGAACAATACCTTCGGGATCTTGTAGCAGCTCTCCGTTCTCTCCACACAGCTCGTCGACTTGGGCCAGAAGGTTTTGTGATTGCGTTTGCTTGCTAGCGAGTTGTCGAGCTCGATCGAGAGTGTAGCTGGGCATCATTTTTGTCTCGCGCAGACTGAGTTCTAGGACGCGCCGTTGCTCATCTTCGAATGCTTTGCGTCGCTCTCGTCTTGGTGCGTCCGACGTGGCTGGGCTAATTGCAGCTGTTGTGGCGGCTGTGCTGGTAGTTGGTGCGGGTATTGTGAGTTCGTCTTCCCCCCTTGAGCTTTTAATTGCCTTATGATTCGAAGCATTCTCTGGATCAGAAGCGTACCCGTCCACCGATGCGCGACGTCGTTGGTTCGGCGACCGACTCCGACCGAGGTTACCTTTTGCTTGCTTCCTGTTCGAGCTCTCAGCTTTGAGACTCGCCGATCCATTCGCCCTGCTTGCCTGTCCCGCATCAGCACCTTGAGCTGAGTCGAGCGGAACAGCATAGTAAACAATACTCTCCAGAATATGCCTTGTTCTCTCCGCTTCCTGTTCGCTGATCTTTCTCTTCAGCTTCGGCTCAACTTCCCCTTCGCCTTTCGCTGTTGGGCTAGATAAGCCTTTCTGCGAATCAGCCGAACTCAAGCTCGTCCGACCAGAGAGCGAGTTCGCTCCCAGCGCGAGACCGAGTAAGATCGAATTGGGTGGAAGCGCGAGGTTTGCGTCTTGTAGACTCCCAGATATTGGCTCAAGGTCGCGAAGATCGACGCTGGTGCGACGGACGAGCTTCCACTCCTCCGCTTCAGGTTCAGTCTTTGCAGTGTCTGGAGGCGATCGCGCCCAGATCTTGATCTCGACCGTCGATGCTTCTAATGGTTCCTTACTCGAGATGGCGGCGGTTGCAAAGTCGCGCTCCGGACTGATGGGATCGCCTCCTTGGTAGCCCCACGAGTGATGTAGACCTGGTTTGGAGTTCGGTGTGCGGTAGAAGATAGGCTCTGGCTTGTCGCTGGTCATCTTGCCCTTTTGTACCGAGGCATCGTTATCTGCAAGCGAGAGCTCGACATAGCATTCGAGCATGCGATCCTTCATGATTTGCGCCAAACTCTTTTGTGAAAAGAGCATGTATCGGGAAGCCGCATTCAGTCTTCCCGTAATCCTTGACGGACGTCTCGCCTCATCGCTGTTACCAACATGACTCTCGTCAAAGCGTACATTTCGTACGCTACTCGACGAAGTCATGCTTGTTGTTCGTGCTCTATGTGACGGTCTTCGGATGGTATGTGACGAATGGGATGAGCTGCGAGAATCCGATCGCGAAAGCATGGTCGTATGCGCACCAAGCTCATCCAGAAACCCAGTTGAGCCACCGCCCGGTGACCCATTTTGCACCCTTCCATCTCGCGTGCTAGAGGATCGTTTCAAGATCGGACGCGGACTTGCTTCGATGCTGTGTCTATCATCAGCCGCTGAGCTAAGGTTGGTGGTGGTAAGTTCGTGATCAGACGTGTGTCGTTGGTTCGCCTGGAATCCAGACCGGCCTCTACGATCCGATCCAGGGTGGAGCTTGTTTCTATTATTGAGCTGCGATCTTGTCGGGGTCGAGCTGGATGGTGAGCCGGACTCGAGCTGTTGTGCATCATTGTCGTCGTCGGAAGATCCGGCATCAAGTCTACTGTAACTAGCACTTCTGCGAGGACAATGCGATCCACCGGCCTTGCTTTTGCCTTTGCTGTTGGATCGCGCAAGGCTGAGTGTCAGATCAGCATCGTCCGAAGTTGTGTGGTAGCGACTCGAACCGCCCGGTCGTTTTGAGGTGAGTGTTTGCAGTGCTCGGTCGCGTGTCGGTCGTATTGAGAGATTGCGAACGAGGATAGCGCAGATGTGACCTATGCGACGCTGTTCGGTATGTATGGCAGGTTGAGATGAGGTGGATGCGGCCATGTGCGCGCTGTCTGAACCGGTGGAGATTGACATGGCCGTAGATGTCTATCGCGAAGGGGGGACCGTGTGACAACCGGATGTCGTTGAGCTTTTACACGGGCATGCTTCTTGCGTCCCAAAGGTCCATGGTCATTCGATTGCTGCGGTGGTTGTGCGGATGCCAATGCAGCGTCAAGACGGGTTAAAGATGAGGTGGGTGATGAGAGTTTGGTGTGTCGAATGCGAAGAAGCTGTTTTGTGTTGCACATCCGCGGTCAATGCTCAAGAGACCCTGAAGCGGCAAAAAGCATCGGCGACACGCTTGGCGCCCGTTCGAAGCTGCAGCCAACACGCTTTCCAACACCGAGGCGGGGAAAGTCAGATTGTCAGACCGAACCAAGGCTACATCCAGACCTTTTATTGAAGGGTTCATGTGGAAAGCTAAAAGCCTAACACTGATGAAGGGTCTGCTGACGTTGCCCTACTTCGAAGGCTCCAGATCGCACCTTTTACTACTGCGTTGGATGTCTAGAGCTGACGTTGCATTGTCCAAGCTTGAAAGTTGATAACACCATCTGCACTCTGGAATGGTAGCAAATCTGGTATCGCCAGTGCCAGAAGGCAATCGATGCGAAGCTCTCCGCAAAACGAAGGGAAAAGCAAGCAAGAAAAGGTGGATCAAAAACTCGTTCAGAATCACACAACCTTGCTTGATGAACAGCACTTAGCACCATCGCCGATGCTACACAGCAAAGCTGGTAGGTTGCAGCATCAGAAGCAACTAGAAAGCCATGTGCGCCGTGAAGGCAGTGCAGTGTGCCCGCCCGAACAGGGCAAAGAATCGAGCCATCGACTGGAAGCAGCGCGTTCCTGAAGAACCCATACTAATCGGCGCAACCAGGACATCCAAACCAAAAGCTGATCTTTGTTTCAAAAGCAGATCAGGATCGCCCTGGAACAAGAACGAATGAATCGTCCAACCGCATTTCCGTCGTCTGTCCTTGTAGAATGGCAGCGTCGGATTCCAGGCGACATGTCAGCAAGTCTCGATCCCTAACCACACGAGCAGGGTTCAATTGGAAGCGAGGTTAGGGCGTAGCACCCTCGAACTTTGCCTTCAAGCCCGCCTCGCGATGATCTATTTCGGACCAAATTCGCAGAGCTAAGCATGATGAGGAAGAGCGACCACAGCAAAACGAACCTCACTTTCGAACCAGCCAGGATTGAGAGAAGGGTCAGGAAGAGGGTTCCTGTGTTTCTGAAACGAGCCATTGAGGGGTTCACTCGATCGCTTGCAGCGCTACAGAGACTGTAAGCAAACAGGCAATGCATCGTCGGAAATGCACAACGGCGCTTCTGGTACTCGATGTAAGATACCTACGGCATCGCAAGAAGGAGCGAGCGTCATTGGTATGACAAGGGCGCAAGAACTCCGCTGAGAGCTCTATCTGGACTGAGCTCTAAGGTAAAGGGTGGTCTGGCAAAGCGGAGTTAAGGTGTTTGAGAGGATCAACCTATTCAGATCGACCAAGAAGCGAAGCGAGTTTGAGCTCGCTTCCATTCAGCTCATCTTCCTTTGGTAACTCTGACAAGACGGACGAGTTTCAGCGATAATACAGGAAATGGTTGACCCGCAAGCATGGGCGAGCGCTCGGCAATGTGCGGAAGAGGTTGTGAAAGAGAGACCAGCATTGCAGTCGCTGTGCGAAAGTCATTCAGCATGTCTCGGCTGCCAGTAAAATTTCCCGATGTTAGTGCGAGGCTAGTATGAGCGGCTGGCTTTCATGAGCTCGATACTAACAGTCAGCTGGTAGGTCGACAAGTCTATACCAACGCTACAAGTGAGATGGACAGTTAATGGCGTTGCAGCATGCCAATATTATCCGAAGTCTACCTTAGCGTTGCAGTCTAAGCAGCCAAAATGTGGCTCTGTCGGTGCGGATGCGGCCAGAAGCCTGGAGCCAAGCTGCTAAGAAGTGCCGGGCCAGGTTGTCAAAGCTCAAGGTCGAGCCATCTGCTGATTCCCTTTCAAAGAAACACTTGGGGCCCATTCTCTCGGCCAAGCTCGGAGAGAAGTCATCAACAGCCACGAGGACATGTCAACCCTGCGATGCACAACAACTTTCAATCCGAACAGTAGAGGCGAACAAGGAAGTGCGCGACAAGTTAGATAGGAGTGGCGGAAGCGGAGTTGAAGGTGAGAGTCCGACTCCGAGATGCAGCGTTCACATGGCGCTCGCAAGAGGGAAGAGTAGGCGCAAGATGGCAGAGTGGCGAAACTCATTTCTGCAAAATAAAGGCAAAAGAGAGGCTCCCGAAGCTGTAATTTTCTGCATTCACACTTGCACAACTGCTTGCATGTCACTTGGACGCATTTGGCAATCGATCCGGATACGCTGCAGCAAGGCGACGATCTTTTGGTTGAGGCATCTCGGATGCGATGAAAAGAAGTTTGTCAAAGAGATGGCCGAGGACGGGTATGAAATACTAAGCCTCTCATAATATGTATACAGTCGCGCTCTTTGGTTGGGAATGTACATCGCTTACATCGCTTACATCGTTTACATCAGGTGGCTTTATCCACAGTTGTTAGAATGGCCAACATCCGGAGTTTCCAGCGGAGCTCTTCGACCATACGAGTGACCATGTGACGAGCGATCGAAACAAAGCTCGACTTTCTCGATGCCAATGAGAGACGCGCAACGGCCAAATCCATTTTCCAAGTGCCAAATCCATGCTTTTGGCGTCGCGATTCCATGGCCAATCAAACCATTGGCTGCGCTGTTGTTTTTCCTCGCTCCTCGGTCCTTTGGGCGCTTTGAGTGAGACTAAAAAGCGCCAATGATTTTATATCTTAGTTGGCTTCTTGTCTTGCTTACCTCGGGACTGCAGCCACACAATATACACGCACACACACGCACACACACGCACACATGGCTGCCTGCGATCGTCTCCTTCTCAAGAGCGGAGAGAGAACGTGACAGTTTTCCAGCAGTCCATCTCTCCCAATAACGTAGCTTCTCGGCGTTATCACAGGCAACAGCAGCAAGAGACCCTACTTTCTCTGCCCTCCGCAAGCAAGAGGATCGGCTCCTCCTTCCCTACCTCTGCCCCTCCTTCCCTATTTCTGCCTCTCCTCACGGCTTAGCTACGATCAACGACTCCTGCCCATTCTCATAAAACATGTTCAACCCTTCTTCCTCCTCCTCGTCGACAAAGAACCCAAAGCACCTCTCCATCCCCACTAGCTCCTCAGCCTCGACACAGTCGCCTACCACACAAACCGACCTTGACACTCCAGTCGATCCTCGCTCCGCAGCCGTAGCCCACTTCTCTACGCGCACACAAGCCACGCCTTCCGTAGACGCTGCTCTCGCCAAAGACGAACAAGCTTTGCACAATCTCTCTGCCGCCGATTTGGACAGCAACGAGAACAAACCAGGGTCCAGCAAAATGGGTAATGTTACAGAACAGAATGCTATGGATCAAGTCCTTTCCGGCATCCTGAGCATGCAGAAGGAGGTAAGTTCCAGCTTGCTACGCCTAGAGCATCGTGTCGCACAAGTAGTAGCAAGGATTCAATACTCACAATCAACTGATTCTATCTTGGCTATTGCTAGCTCTCCCGCCTACACGTTCGCATGGACAACCTTGAATCGCAAAACGAAGCCACCGCCCGTCGTAACTCCTTCTACTCTCCCATGACTCCCGGTTCCATGTCTCCCTCCCTCAAATCCCCCGGTATCCTCCCTCGTCTCGGCCGTCGTTCCTCCTCCCCACCCAAAAACGGCCCACTCGATCTCCTCCATGCCCCACACCTCTCTATGGGAGCTTCCGCCTACACACAACCCGCCCCACTTCTCGCCGAGGAACCCAGGCTCGGTCTCTGGGCAGTAGTCCCCGCCGGCGGTGCAGGTACACGTCTTTGGCCTCTCTCCCGTGAATCGTATCCCAAGTTCCTACTCGATCTTACCGGATCCGGTCGCACCCTCTTGCAGAGCACATGGGACAGATTGCTGCCACTGGCGGGTCAGGCACAGATGATGATTGTTACGGGCCAAGCCCATGTTTCGGGTGTAAGTGCGCAGTTGCCTGAGTTGGAACAGGCGAATGTGTTGGCTGAGCCCAGTCCGAAGGAAAGTATGGCAGCTATTGGCTTGGCCGCTGCGGTACTAATGCAGAGGGATCCAGAAGCTGTCTTGGGTTCCTTTGCTGCCGATCATATTATTAGTGGTAGAGATGCGTTTGAGAGTGCGGTGACCGAAGCTGTCGCGACTGCCAAGGCGGGTTACCTTGTTACTATTGGTATTGCACCCTCCCACCCCTCAACTGGGTTCGGTTATATCAAGTTGGGTGAGAAGCTCAGTGTTGCTCAAGCACCCAATGCAAGGAGGGTTACCGAATTCAAGGAGAAGCCAGATGCCCGTACTGCCTCTGCGTACCTCAGCACCGGTGACTACAGGTGGAATGGTGGTATGTTTGTCGTCAAAGCCTCCGTCCTACTCTCTCTCCTCAAAGAAACCGTACCTGAGCTGCACGATGGACTCACCCGCATCGCAGCTGCTTGGGACAGCGACGCTCGAACCTCTGTCCTAAACGAAATCTGGCCCACCCTCCCCAAAATTGCTATCGATCACGCCGTAGCGGAACCAGCATCCAAAGTCGGAAAAGTTGCTGTCGTCCCCGCAACTTTCGGTTGGGACGATGTAGGAGATTTCTCCTCTCTCGCTGACCTCATTCCTGCCGAAGAAGGTGAACCTAGAATTCTCGGTGATTCCAGACTGGTGGTGACCGAGAGCCAGGCAGGAGGTCTCATTATCCCGGCAAGTGGTAGAACCATTGCATGCTTGGGTGTAGACGATGTTGTAATTGTCGACACTCCAGATGCCCTATTGATTACTACTAGGGCTAGAAGTCAAGATGTTAAGAAAATCGTTGGTAGGACCAAGAAGGTTTATCCTGAACTTTGCTAAACTCTTTACTACGGGGGATTGTCATTTGTGTAAATATCGCTTTGCTTGTCACCTTTCAATGGACACTCTTCTAAGATCTTTCTTTGCACTCGCTTGCGATGATCAAAATGGGGGTTGCATGCAAAAAGGCGAATATGAGAGAACTAAACGAATGTGTGTAGGACTAGACGAAACTGGTTTGTTGTGAAATTGAGTATGATGTATGTGATTGTGTGAACTTTGTGATGCGTTCTGGTATCTTATTGAATGGGTCAGTGGTCTTTACTGAAAGAGTAATGACCGGTGCGTAAAGGGCTAGTTTGCTGGCTGCTTCTGCCCCAACACCCTCGTAATTGTATGCATACGATCTCGACTCTTCTTGCTCAAGGAAGAAGAAAGACCATGCTGCTGACCTGCCTGATCAAACCCTTCTCCGCCTCCTCTCTGATTGTTGCGTGCTATAGCTTGTGGTGCAGCTTCCCTACTCTTCAGTGGCGCTCGATTGCCAGATGGGGGTTGAGAAATCATGCTAGCGATGGAAGGGATGTTTTCCGCTTCCTCAATCAAACGCATGATCTTGCTCGTGCGAGTGATCTTTGCTGAGAAATCCTTCTTCTTCAACATTCCTGCGCCGGTGGGTCGGAAGATATCATCCACTTCACCCGTGATCGAAGGTTGATGGGAGGTGAGAATAAGAGGTTCTTCTGTCCTCCTCCCTCGACTTCGCATGCGTGTAGGCGAGTCGTCGACTCCTCCAACACTACTGTCGTGCTCGTGCTTAGCTGCATATGCGTCGTCGAATACACGAATGTTGTTGTGTAGCGCCTGAGCTTTGTTTCCTCTTGAAAGCGTACCTATTGACTCTCGCAAGATAGTTGCAATTGGACCCCTCTTTCCATCCTTGCCGGGCGAAGTATTCGGTGAAGAGCGACTCTTAGCCCTTCCTATCTTGGGCATCTTCAAACCTTCCTTTCCTGCCACACTGCGTAGGTCCGATCCGGAAGAAACATGTCGTAGCTTCGATCTGGGCTTCTTCGGCACTCTGCGATTCGAAACGATGACGGCTGAACCCGCTTTGCCGGGAGACCAAGACATGGGCTCAAACTCCCGGCCTTCCAACGCTAGCTCTTTGGGGGATGAGATGCCGCGTGGGGATGAGACAGTAAGGCGTGGAGGTGTGGATCGTTTCTTGATTATCGGGCTGATCTGACCTGATTCTGTGTCGACAGAGACGGAGCCTGATGCATCCGCTGCGGAGGATCTGTGAGAGGAGGCGGATGAGACGGTACGACGTTCGCAGATGATCTTGGAGAGCACCTCTACGCTCTTCATCCGTCGCATGCTGAGGTGAGTGGGGCGAGTGCAGGAGCCATTGCGAGGTGCAACAGCGGGGTCGGTGGAGAGGAAAGGAAGAGCCGGGCCAGAGAGGAGCTTGGTGACTGCCTCGTCGGTGCATGACATCGATGTCGCTTCACTGATAGGATCTGATGAAGGTGCTTCCGTGTCATCAGAGCTGGAAGCATCTCTCGAAGTGGATGCTGGTGACGTTGCCGCCGAAGCTGTTGCAGCCTCACGCCGCATCCTTGATTGGTTCATCATCGCTTGCAAGTCACCCAAAGACTCTCTCCACGCCGCTCTTTCCTTCTTCCATTTGCGCTGGCGACTCGGGCTGCCATTCGAATCAGCGTTGTCGCCCTTGGCCGTCTTTTTTGTCGGGCTCGAGAATGCATCGACCAAACCGGGTCGTCGACTGCTTGACCCTTTCTGAAGAGCCTGCCAACTTGTTTCCGCGGCTTCATCGCTATTCATGACATCTGAAGAGGTGGCTACGATGGCTGCTACTTTCTTTCGCACAGGAGCCGTGCGTGCCTTTTGGGATCGATATGCGACACTTGCACTCCAGACTGGATTGTTGGTCGCGGTCCTCTTGGGCTGAGGTGGCACTGCTCGTGCTGCCGAAGATGTAGATGCTGTAACAGATGTCGAGATGGATGCGCAGGGAGCGTCGTTCTTGTCTTCGGCGTGCTGTGACGCGGCCTGAGGACTATTATTCTGTGACGAGTCGCCACTTTCTGCTGGCGTTGCGGTGTCGTTGAAGATAGTGCCGGGGCCATAGAACCAGATGTTAGAGAACCAGCTCGACAACGCAGCCGGTGCCGCTGGCAGCGGTGGTGCCGTGGATTGATCTGCGAGTTTGAGGTTACGTGATGGCAAGCTCTTGCTTGTGCTGACCTTGGATGTTGATCTGCTTACAGTGCTCTTTTGAACAGCCCGTCTCAGCTCGCTCGCCGCAAGCGAAGGTGAGTCTGAAGAGAAGTCATCGACAAGTCGTGGCTTTCGAGGCGGTGTGACGAGTTTCTTTGCAAACATGCCGGCCAGTGTCTGGCGGTCAGGAGTGACGACGCGCGTCTCCTTATAGCCCGCCCTTTCTAGCAACTCGTGAAGGCTATCAAAGCGCGAGTCTGATGCGGATGCGTTGAGATCGGCTATTCCACTGTTCGCTGAAGTGGATTGGTCGCCGCGAGAAGCGTGAGACGCCTTTTGATCGTGAATGGTGTCGTTGAACTCGTAAGTGGTGGTGGTGGCGGGTGTGGATGTGCTGCTTTGACTATTGATGCTGCGGCTGCTGAACATCGGATCAGGAGAGGTAGTCTGAGATAAAGAGGCAGAGCCGTGCAAATCTTGAAAAAAGTGGCGATTGCGGGGAGGCAAAGCGCCTGGCGATGTATACATGGTCTGTTCTGCTCTGCATTTGCTGGTACAAGCTAAGGCTAGCAGAGAATCTCCAAAACGCTGTCGCAAAGCGATTGGCCGGAGACGCTTGCTTGCTCGCTTGCTTGCTTGCCGATCGAACAATGCTGGAGAACGTTTCGAGACCGGATGGTGGAGGATGGATGATAAGAGACGCAGCAGCAGCAGCAGGGAAGCGTCACTGTGTGAGAGCGGACTGCTGTTGATGCAATGCAGAGGAGAGAGGGAGGCACTTCGGTGAAGAATCAGGGTCCGACCGAATCTGCAGCGCCTATCGCCAGCTCATCGGAATGCTGTTCGACATAGAAAAGAAAGATTGTGTGAGCTGTGGATAGGTGTTATCTCGGAAAGACGAGAGCATCAGATAGAACTTTGCTCTTTCCAAAGTGTGTCGGTGAAAATGCCAAAGTGTAAACAGAGCTGCAACGTCAAAATGTGACGATTCGATGGAGAGCGTGTGGCTGCACGAGCCTGAAGTGACACTGTGCAGTGCTGCGTATGCAAGCATGTCGGCTGTTGAAAAGGAAGCATGAGCGTGCATCGTTCTGCCTTGTCCTGAGTCTTAGGATCGTCTCTTTTCCATTGTTCCACAAGTCTGCGTTCACAGACCCGAGGTGCATGTTTAGTCTCCAACGAGCTTTTTCAAGGTTGCGGAGCAGGACAGCTGATACTGTATCTTGCTAGAGCCCTCCGCGATGATCATGCGACATTGAGATGATTACAACCAACGACTCTGAAGAAGACTGGTCAAAAGTGAGATACAGAAGAAGACGCTACAGACTGTTGTTCCAGAAGCAGCGAACGTATAGCTCCCCGCGCTCGTGTCTCAGCCGATAGAATGATACACAGAAGTGGTCAGAGCTTGACGAGGCTGCTCCTTCTCAGCCTCGCTTCTCTAATGTGGACCTTGTTCTTTGTGTGCCGTTGAGTATGCCTGAAGACACAGCATTCTAGTGAGAGTGCATACTGTACCTGGGAAGCTTCTTGCATTCCTTGGATTTGTGCAACCTTACTTTCACCGCTTTTTCGAAGCGGCTTTTGGCGGAGACCAACACACACACACACACACACACACAAACACACACTTGCCTCGAGACGCGAGGATTCCAGACCGCGTCAAGCTCAGCACGAGACCTCGAGCACAAAAGTCGAGATTTTCAAATTTGGATGCCATCTCCCGATCTGGCCAAAAATTTGCAAGATGATCAGCGATGTAAGCTAGCTATGTCGCACGAATGCACGGCGGTATTTCAAAATGGCAAGCGGAGAAATTTCATCAGAGCACGCCATCTCGCTCAATTTGACGTGACACTGACATCCACTCGAATCTTCTTGCATCTCCGTCCACTCACTGACACTGTCATTGACGAGGCATCGGCATCATCACTCCGCTCGGCAGTGAACAGTCAGTAACCTTGGTAGTGAGCTCGATGGTCGCTTGTTGGAAATTCCTTTCTGCGATCTTCAGTCACACACAGATGACGGCCTAACGCTTTGTGACCCGCCCTGCAGCTCCAAAAGCAGCAGCGACTCCTATATCCCCGCCATTTGTGCTCATTCAGCTCCTTCCTGTGTGGCTTATGCATTCCCGAAGCGTTTGAGTCACTTTTGCCCTTCCTTTCTTGCTCAGCTTGAGTGTGCAATCAGTGATTATCAATCAAGCTTGTCGTCAATAGTGTAGCGCCACTCTAGAAGGGTCTGCTTCGAAGACGATGAGCGGTAGAACAATCGAAAGAAGCCAGAGTGATGTCAAGGAGCGACAGGCTCGAACGACACACACAACACAGCATGAAAACCGTTCTGATTGAACGAACTTCTGATGCCACGGAGAAGTGTCCGCTTCAAATTTTCCCGAGTCCCCTCCCTCTTTCCACTCAGCAGCGGCAACTCTTCTGTGTCGTCGTCTTCGGTTGTATCTCATGACGCTCCAAGCCAACGGATGCCGTATGCTGCGTCTCTGCTTGCTGTCTGTTCGTCGTGTCTGGTCCCTTTTCCTGCAGCCCCTCGCCTCTTTTGTCCGCGTCCTGGCAATGCTTTTCTTCTCACTAACCCCGAGACTTGGCATAGGCAGCAGCATGCTGCAATCTCAACGTCTGTTGTTTAGCCGCGGCCTCATCTCTTGTTGCTGTGCTGCGTGTTGCCTGGAACTGCCTGTTGTGAGACCCTTTTGGTGGGTTTGTAGGTGTTGTGTCCGTCCCTTGCCCTAGCATCTTTCCTTCCTTTCCTCCTTCCTTCCTTCCTTCCTTCCTTTCCCTACGACCACGACCTCATCCACTCTTCTTCATCACAACCTCCACCAACTGAGCACTGCACTCTTCCATATAAGCAACGGCAACTCCTTCATCCTGCTCCCGCTACCTTAGGCCGGACCATCCACTACCATTAGGGTAATTTCTCTCTGTCCTTCATCGGCTCAGTTGCATCATCCGCTTTCCATACCAATCACAATCATCACACAGACCAACCCCCCCGTCACAATGACCCAGAACAACCAGATTGCACAATCCTCAAAACAGGCCGAGGACGAGGCCCAGATCCGCTATGTCATCAACAACCTCGAAGCCATCAACCGCAAACTTGGTGAAGCTGACCCCACCGAAATCATCACCTGGGCTATCGACAACCTTCCCGGTCTCTACCAGACTACCGCCTTCGGCATCACTGGCTGCATCACCGTGGATATGATCTCACGCATCAGCGAACAGCGTGCCGCAAAAGAAGGTCGTCCAGCCAAGCACCTCGTCCCGCTCATCTTTGTTGACACCCTCTACCACTTCCCTCAGACCCTCGACCTTGCTCACAAGGCCGCAAAACACTACAATGCCGAGATGCATGTATACTACCCACCTGGTACCAATACCGTCCGCGATTTCGAGGACAAGTGGGGACCACAACTCTGGGAGAAGGATGACGAGACATACGACTACCTCGTCAAGGTTGAGCCTGCACGACGCGCGTACGAGGAACTCGGCGTTCGAGCTGTCTTCACCGGTCGACGACGATCACAAGGTGCTGACCGTGCATCTTTAAACGCGGTCGAGGTGGACGAGACTGGATTGATCAAGGTCAACGCCCTGATGAACTGGTCCTTTGCTCAAGTCGACTCGTATGCGAAAGCCAACGCCGTGCCATACAACGAGCTCTTGGATCTGGGATACAAGTCGATCGGTGACTGGCATTCGACAGCGCTTCCTGGATCGGGAGATGCTGGTGAGCGTGCTGGCAGGTGGAAGGACAAGGCCGGTAAGACAGAGTGTGGTTTGCACAAGGATTACTTCAAAATGAAGAACTTGGCCGAGAAGAAGTTGCGTGAGGCCGAGCTGGCCAGGAAAGATGAGGCTCGTGACAAGGCTGCTAGCGGACCCGTAGAAGCAGTTGCACCAGCGACTGTTGCTTAGACAGCTTCTCCCTTCTACATTCAATCCACATTCAAGAATGGATGACCAGAACGTCTTGACGGCGAAAGCATACATTTTTCTACCGTCCTAGACGAATCAGCTGAATTCTTTGTCCCAAAAAAAGAACCATCTCTTTTACCATATTGGAGCTGGGTTCCACACAGCCTGCGCAAATCGTGCAGCAACATCTTTTCCCTCTTCGCATGTATCCATATATCCGCACTTGTGCACCACCGTCTTTCCCAATACAAAGCAAATCAAGCATACACTCTTGCAACCCGGCTGTGCAGGTGTGCCAGACCAGCCAAACAAGGAAAGTTGAAGGCAATCTGACAATAGTTCGTGGGTCGTGACAAGCAGGTCTGCAAGGGCAGGCAGGTCCGGTCACAGAACTCGAAAGTCCACCGTATCGGCTGTTGCCGATAACGAGATGAGAAGTCTCTGACCGGATCTCGGCCAGGAAAGAGAGAAGAAAGAAAGCAGCTTTTTGATGCTTCGGCCTTCTCCGGCGCGACACCTTCCGATTGCATATCAGTGCATGAAACGCGACAAGGTTGCTCATTGGACAGCACAGCTAGTCGTAGTCGCGGTCGGGCCGACGATGATGCCGACATTGAGAGATTCAATTGGAAGGCACACTTGACATGTTTGTGAGGCCATTGCGGAGGGGAAGTTAGAGGATGTTGCGGTTCACAATTGTCAGCAGGTCTTCATCCCTGGGTTGAGGAAAAAATCAAAAGCGTTGACGCAGGCTCTGGCAATCTTGATTCATTGCGGAGACCAAATGGCCAAAGCTCCTCAGATCTACAATGTTTGGCACATCCTTCCGAGTCTGTGCTTGTCACTACCCCCTTGAGACGAGACAGCTGGCGGATCGATGCGGAAAATGGAAGAACATCAAGATGGACAAAGTCAAAAAGAGCGGCCAGCTGTGCTGTTTTCTAGTCTCGGATATGGCCGAGAAAATTAGACTCAGGTTGTTGTGCTTTTGTGCTTGCACACGAGCCCCACACGACCCCGCGCGAAGCTCTTTTTTTGTTTTTTGTTTTTTGTTTTTTGTTTTTTGTTTTTTGTTTTTTGTTTTTTTTTGGCTCATGCAGATGGCAAATAGAGATTCCTCCTCGACGTCTCTCATTGGTCCTGATGGTCTTGTCGCTGGCACGAGGCAGAAAGGTAGATATATAAGGATGCCTTAGTATGGACGGTCGCTCGACCTTTCCGTGTCTCCTCTGTTCATTTGTTGTCATCTCGCCCCGGATTGGAAGCTCTTCGACCAAAGCAAAGTTCTGCGTTGTTACTTCCATCGACAGACATCGTACAACTTTGACAGTATTGCTTGCGATTCTAGAATTGCTCGGACAGACTCACTCCAGGATTACCTGCCAATTTCTGATGTCAGAACGAGCTTGGAGCACATTTGGTGATTGTATCGGACTTCGACTTATCGCGCTCTCATCAGCCACAAAAGCCTTATCAGACTTTGTCCCACGCCATCAAAGTTACACCCAGACGGTGCGATAGGAACCCATCAAAAAAGGGTTTTGGGCGCTTTTCCAGAACGCCGGAACCTCGGAAGAGCAGAAGGAGAGGAAAAAAGCAGGAAAAAAAAAAAAAAAAAAAGAAAAAAAGGACGCAGCATAGCAGAGACACGTTCCTGCCTCAATTTCAACCTTGATTTTCTTGGTCTCCGCCTTGGCACGGGATACACACAACTTGACTCGACCCCGCCGCCGCTGTCAGAGGACCTCCTCCTCCTCGTCAGTCACAGCCGTTGCAAAGCTTCGTCAGCCTCTCTCTGCAACAACAACACCTTCAACTTGGGTTCTGCATTGACGCGTGTCCACCATGAAAATTGCACGACCCCATCTTGGCCCGCCTTTTGGAGGCAATGGATACGTAAGTGATGCTCTCTATCATTGCCTCTCGGATGAGCCGATAGAGGTGTATCGCGTAGCTGTCGGCTCAGATCCGATCGATGCTTGCTTGCTTGCTTCCTCTGATGTGATTTGTTGCGCCTTCTGAACAGCCCACTGACCTTTTACTTTCATATCACCTCTTGCTTCCTCTCCGATGCTGCTGCGCCTGACCATGATCAACTCCATCTGCCACCTTCTCTCAATGCCTCGAACAACTCTTGAACGCCACAGCCAACATCGGCGTCGGAAAACTTCCGACCAGCAATGCCTGCGCCGCATCTGCTGCCCAAACGTGTCTTTGTCGGTGCTATTATCAGCTCAAGATCAGCTACCGACCTGAGCATCATCGAACGAGGTATTCTCGGTGTTGGCTCAGGCGGTGTAATTCGTTTCCTGGACGACCTTGATGTTCTTGAGAAACAAGTGCCTCACCCGACTGCCTCGGCAGCATCGACAAGGTCGAATTCTACCGAGTCCTCCACTTCAGCCTCCACCAGCACGGCAGGCACATGGAGCACTATCGATGATCGCTCCTCCACCCCCGTCGCCATCCGAGGATCCACCCGTTCAACCCTTCCCGATGCACCGGAGCTCACTTCACTCGAGATGCCACCTCCTGCTGTTCCCTCACCAACCCCTGCCCAGCCCTCCCTTGACGAAAGAGCACAGCGCGAGCAGCAGCTTATCAAGCACCTCCTCGACAAGCATGGCTGGCGACATGGACAGTACAAGCTCACCCGTCTCCCGCCAGGCAGTTTCCTCTGCTCTGGCTTTATCGATACCCATACACACGCCTGTCAGGTCCCCAACATTGGTCTTGGTCAACAGTACGAGTTGCTCGACTGGCTTCAACATGTCACCTTCCCACGCGAGAGGCGCTTCGAAGATGCCCGATACGCTCGCAAGACCTACGAATCTGTCGTTCAGCGTCTCATTGACTCTGGAACTACCACCGCATGCTACTATGCCACCTTGCATTTGGAGGCCTCCAAGATCTTGGCTGAGATCTGCAACGAGCGAGGTCAGCGAGCCTTTGTCGGCAAATGTCAGATGGACCGTAATTCGCCCATTGACTATATCGAGAAGAACGCTTCGCAGTCCATCGAGGATACCAAGGAGTTTGTCCGCTTCACAAGGTCTCTGAGGCCATATGGACAGCCACCTGATGTTTCATCGCCTTCTATGAGCCCAGCTGATCTTCATCATACTTCACCAGAGATGGATGCTAGTATCGCTCGACTCAGCGCGACGATGGACGAGCTTATGTCGCCAACAAGCAGCAAGCCTCCTTCCGAAGCTGATGGCAGTCCGTCCTCGGTTAAAATTCTGCCTCCTTCTGCTAGGTCGCTTGTACCATCCTCGGCTCGAACCAGCGTCCCCGTCATAAGACAAGCAAGCAGTGGCAGTGTCCGTTCAGCTCGCGAATCTGGCACCTCCACCCCATCCCGCCAACGCGAGCGAGAACTGAACAACGCTCTTGTCCAACCTATCTTGACCCCACGATTCGCCATATCTTGCACAGACGCCATGCTCACCGGTATCTCTGCCCTACTATCCCGCGATCCCACCTTGCGAGTCCAAACCCACCTCAGCGAAAACGAAGGAGAAATCACCTTCACCAAACAACTCTTCCCATTCGCCAAGAACTATACCTCTGTCTACGATCACTACTCTCTGCTCGGCCCACGCACCATTCTCGCCCATGCTGTGCACCTGGACGCAGATGAGCTGGCGATCATCAAGAAGAGAAAGTGCGGTGTCTCGCACTGCCCAACCAGTAACTTGAACTTGCGTTCCGGCGCCTCCAGGGTCGGAGAGATGTTGAACATGGGCATCAAAGTCGGATTGGGTACGGACGTTTCTGGTGGCTTTGGGCTCGGTATGCTGTCTGCGATCAGGGAAGCTAGTGTGGTGGCGAAAGTGTTGGCTTTCCAACGTGCTCAGGCGGAATCGAAGGAGCAACAAGATGCACTCCAGGCGACGGCTCCACCAACGAGCGAACGGGCACAGGCGCAAGCTCAGCAGCCACTGGCAGGAGCAGCTGCTGTCGATGGACGATATCCTGGTCCTCCTGTTGCTGGTCAGTACCAGCCCAGAAAACCACACTCGATCGCTACTTCCACTCTCAACCATACGCAAGTCACACAGTCGGTCCAGGACCCCGCTTCGTCGCTTACCTCGAAGAAGACGGTCGACTTTACAAAGGGACCGCTCAGCATTGCTACTCTGTTCTACCTAGCTACATTGGGTGGTGCAGAAGTTTGTGCGATGGCTAGTAGGATCGGATCCCTGGAAGTCGGCAAGGAGTTTGACGCGCTGCTAGTGCAAACGACTAGTCACTGGGGACCTGCAGGTTATACAGGTAACCCTGGATGTTTTGTGGAGGAAGATGATACGCTGCCAGATGTTTTTGAGAAGTGGATGTTCACGGGCGACGACAGAAACATCGGTACGGTTTTTGTCCGGGGAAGGGTTGTCGGTGGAGCTAAGCCGCTGCGAGGCTGAGAGGCGGCTCGACGGTTGTTTATGTTATCGTTATTCAAATCATTTAGACTGTTTCAATTGCAAGTATTCGCATACTCGACATCTCTTCAACTGCGATGAGCTGTATCGAAGAGCAGAGCGAGCCACATCGCTGATGTACAAGATGAGGTGCGGAATATGAAGCACAGTCGATATGACAAATCTCGCCATGTCGCGCGTTGAAAGCTGTCGAGTGAGGGGTGTTAGCTAAACGCGACGCTCTCGCACGGTCTTCTTGCCGGTTCATCGGGAAATACATTTAACTCAGGGTTGAGGCTTTTTTTCGGTCCTTGACCTCCACGTCGACCTTGCCTCCCTCTCTCATCCGCACCCCAACCTTCAGCACCCCAACCTTCCGCACCAACTCGATTTTGTGACCACTACAATAGCGTCAGACGCAACTAAGTTGTCACACATTCTTCTTTCTTCAACTTTGACAAGCTGGTCGCGGGGCAGTAGTGGTCTCACAGGGATAGATCAAGATGCCGCCTCCAGCAAGAGCAACAGTTGAAGACTTCAGAGACGAAGACGATCCCTATGCTCCTTACCGACCTGGTCAAAGCAGTCGTCGATCTCGCTCAGCGTCTTCTCAGTCCAGTAACAGCTCCGATCTCTCTTCCTCATCTACAGCATCGTCAAATCCAACCGGTCGCACATCACATACCTCCACATCGCCCAACCAACACCAGCGGAGTGAACTGTACGACAACCCCTCCTCATCAGCCTCTTCCTCTCGCCCTCAGGCCCCGCCCGCGGAAGAAGAACCTCTCTTTGGCGGTACACCATTTCGCGATACGCACGACCCCTCATCCTCCACCTCCGCCACTGCAGCCTCTTCTCCGGACAAGGAACATCTCTACGCAATCCTAAACATCCCCTCAGACGCCAGCACAGATGCTATCAAAGAAGCCTATCGCTCCCTCGCCGTCGTTCTTCACCCTGATAAGCATTCCGATCCTTCTCGAAAGTCTGCTGCTGAGTCTAGATTCCGAGAAGTCCAAAGAGCATACGAAATTCTTTCTGACCCAGAGAAAAGGACGATATATGACTACTTTGGCGAAGAAGGACTCAAATCCACCTGGAGTGTAGCGGTAAGGGGGAGAAGCAGGGAAGAAATGGCAGCAGAATTTGAAAGGGAAAGAAGAAGAAAACAGGCAGCAGATGCGGAAGGCTTGGTGAAGAGTAAAGGTGATTTTACTGCTCATATCGATGCTAGTAGCTTGTTTGCTCATCCTAGCCGTATCCCCCGGCGACTACCAGCAAGGGGTTTAGGGGGCAAGGAGGGTGTAGCGCCCGCTCCTCAAGCTGGGCTGGTTGCAGGTTTTCCAAGGACAGTGACGTTGGCAGAGAGAGTGAACAGAGTCGGCTGCACCCAACTTGTAGGCAAACACGGATTCGAAACGCAAGTGACGAACACCACTTCCGCTACATTCTCCGGCCAGATGGTATCACGCAATGGTCTTGGGAGTGGCAATCTTGTCGGCACATTGAAGACGCATTGGTCTCCAAGGTTGTTTACCGACATCACACTTGCTTTTCTCCGACCGCAAATTGTTACTACCAAAGGACAGTATACTGTGGACGCCAACTCCTTCTTCTCCTGGCAAGGTACGCTACAGACTTTAATGCTCCCACCTACCCTCAACTTGACTTATGCTCAACGGCTATCCGCTAAGAGCACTTTGACTGGGTTCACCAGCGTTCGCAGCGGAACTTACGCCCTCGGACCGTGGGGAGGCAAAGTCCTGGATGGTAGTGCAGGGGTGATGGTCCGACGAGAACCAGCTGCTGTATCAGTGGGATTGACGAAGCAAGAGGGCGATGGGAAGGGGTGGACAAGCCAGCTGAGTATTAGTCCTGTTGATCAGAACATCTCTGTCGACTATGGGATGAAGGTGCTTGGAGGGGTGAAATTAAGGACAGGATTGAACATCGGTACTGGATCAGGCATCTCAGCTTTCACCAACGCCGAGCGAAGATTGACGGAGAATGTACGTCTTTCTTTGGGGCTCAACTGCGCCTTGCCGGTAGGAGGGGTTTCATTGAGGGTGAAAGTGAATAGACTTGGGCAGAAGATTCTGGTTCCGATTACGCTCAGTCCCGAGTTTAGAAGCGATCTGGTGGTGCTATGCAGTGTCGTTCCTGCTGCTGCGTACACTGCGTTACACTATGGATACTTGGAACCGCGCAAACAGCGTCGCCTTCAGAACAGGTTGGGAGAACTTCGAGCTCAAAATCAGGAACTTATTCTCGAGCGACGTCAGGCAGCTTTAGAGGCCCTAGCGGTGCTTCGAGATCAAGCGGTGAAGAAGGCTATTCTCGAACTCCGCAAGTCCGGTCTAGTGATCGTCGAAGCCTGGTATGGCCGAAAAGAAGCTTTCCCTTCGCCAAGATTCTCTCCGACCACCTTCTCGCTGGACGACGCGGAACACCTTTGGGAGCAAGAAAAGATGAACCCAACACAACCAGCGGCAGAAGGAGTGGACTTGGAAAAGGAGACATCATGGGACGTGCGAGTACCCTTACAAGCACTGGTCAACAAAGGCCAACTGATCATTCCTGGAGGCAGAAGCAAAGCAAACTTGCTCGGATTCCACGACCCGGTGATGGGAGAGAAGAAATGGTTGAGTGTAACGTATGCGTTTCGAGGACAATTGCATCAGACGGTGGTGGAGGATTGGGGTGAGATTGCTTGTCCTATGCGCATTCATCAGCTCACTTAGCCAAGAGGATTGATTGTGTGATCATCACCACTCAGGAATCTATAATGTCACATCTCTCGATGCCGTCTGTCTGGGGGTGATGAGTGCGGAGGCAGCATCAAATTTGATTTGTATTGGGCGCAAGCTATGATTGAAGAGCGTTCAGCCAGCCCAGTAAAGCATTTTCTGGCTCCGCTGACGTTGCAGTTGCTTCGCCTGACTTAGCACCTTCAGCTGCATTATTGAACAGCTCAGCATTGTAAATTAGGGCTCCTTCAACTGCACTCCACTTAGCAGCTTGAACCCTAGCTCCACCTCTCCGATCCACAGCTTCCCTAAACCGTACCAGCTTGAGCGCTAGCAAATCCAGTATCTGCTGCGAAGTTACGCGGAAAGTCGACGAACTAATGAGAGTCGCTACAGAAGCACCAGCCGCATTCTTCCTATTCTCCGCAGCACCGGTAGTGGTGGAGGGAAGAGGAGGTGTCGAGGGTTCATCTTCGTCGAACAGCCCCCCTTCTGCTGCCTCTGTGGTTTTGTTCGCGCTAGCACCTGTGGCACCAGCACTGCTCCGAGCAAATGCATGGATCTGAGCTGCCGCATCCCCTTCCCCATTCGCACTTGGTGCTCTGATAGCCTCTGATGCGCGTACAAGACCCGACACCAACCTAACAGTGCGAATGACTGACTCGATCGCGCTCTCCTCTATGCTCACAAAGTCATGTTTCGCGATAAAGCTCAGCACGGGAGGCTTCGTTGTGCTTGAGGTGTCGAGGGAAGGCGCAACGAGACACAGCCAAGCAGCGAGAGCTTTTTGGTCTGTGTTACCTTTGCCGCTACCCATCTGTAGACTTTGCGATGAAGTGAGTGTGGACAGCAATCGTTCGATGTGTTGCGAAGAAGCATGTTTGCCCGAGCAGAGAAGGGAGATGAGCTTCGAGTCTCCCTGCACTTGTATCTGCGGCTGTGGCTGCGTCTGCCCTCTAGATACCTGTAACTGTAACTGTTGCTGTTGCGGCTGATGTAAAGCTGAGTTAGCCAATGTCCGCAACCAAGACCCAGCACCGCTCAACAATCTCGCTGTCACGCCCGCACTCTCCATCCTCCTCTTCAAACTTGCCAGATTGAACGTCTCACATCCCTCCTCCAACGCCCCTCCTCTCCCTTGCACCCACCTTACAAATCCATCAAAGCTTTTACCCACCAGTTCCCTCACCACCCCAGCACAGGCATCTGTATCCAACAACAGCGCCAACACTTCCAAATGCACCGTCCGGGAAGTCGTGTTCCTCCTGAGCCCATTCGCTAGCATCCCATCGCTACTTGGCACATCCACAACCGCGGCTTGCAACCCAGCTTCGTTCAGCACGTCTAGGATCGGCTGCGAGGGAACTCGAGGGATCTCAGCAAGCAACCAATTGAGCGCACCTGGAAGAGTGAATGATAGAAGATCTTGGAGGAAGTAGCTAAGGCCTCCTCGAAGCGTTTCCAGATCAATAATGCCGTAGAGGCAGGCGGAGATCGATTGGGAGAAGAGCAGAGGCGATAGCCGCAAGAGGGTTGGAGGGGGCGAGGCGGAAATAAGGTCATCCGAGATACCTTCGTTCCCGAAAAGGGCTTGTATCCAGCGACTGACAAGAAGACGGTTCTCGCCGGTGAGCGAGGGAAGGGGGTAGCTTGCTGATGAGGTTGCTAGGTAGGTCGCTAGGAAAGGCGGACTACTGCTGCTGGCATTTGCAGAGTCTTGCTGTGTTGATGAGCCATCCAATTGCATGTCGTCCTCCTGGTTGACCGAATACCGCTTAATTCGGCTTGGAGCAACATCGAAGCGATAGCAGACCAACTGCACAAAGAGTAGCACATCAGACAGCGTGCTCGGCTCATCACTTGTCTGTCCTACATCCTGATGATCCAATATACTAGCCAGAGGCTCTACAACCTCCGCCGGGTCCAGATACAGCATGATCGTATCCAACATCACCCCTCCCGCCCCATCACATGCGTCCTGGCTCAAAGCCTTGCACCATCGCGCAACACTCTCCAAATCATGCTGCTCCAACCAGCCTTGGACCTGCAGCACTAGCTGGCGTGCAAAGATGAAGTGCGTGCCCGAATCCGACGCTACTCTTTGAAGAAGCTCCAAGGGGTCATCAGTGGAAATGCGTGTTTCGAAAAGGGTGTTGAGTGCCATTCCCTCCAATTGTGCATCCATTCGTAGCGACTGCGAAAGAGACTGAACTTCAGAAGCGAGCTTATGACCGTCTGGAAACTCATCTGCAATAGCTTCCGGCCGAGCGAGCGAGTGCTCAATGCATGCTCTGAGAAGCCAAGCCTTGATTGGTTGCGAAGGAGGAGTATCCAGACCCACTACATTGTTCATCTCCGCCCCTGCCGCCCCTGCGTCTGCTCCATCCCCTGCTCCAGCACTGAGTTGCCCACCCGCCGTCTCACAAACATTCAACCTCTCCGACATCACTAACAAGCTCGCTCTCAACGCACTCTCGAACCTCACATGGGGTGCCTCTAACCTCTGCCCGCGCAACGGCAGATCCTGATGCACGTCCAGCCACTGCTCCAGCTGCAATACGATTTCTGGGATCATCCCACACAGAGCATTCCTCCAAATCGCAGCGTACACTTCAGCGCCCTTGAAAGCTGGCGGCATCTCGACCACACTTGCGCATGCGTCGATTGCCGCTAGTAGTAGCTCGAAGTAGAAAGCTGCGAGAGACTTTTCGAGCGCGAGGGAGGGAGCTGCTGCGTTTCGACGTGCGAGAAAGAGGGTTTTAACAGCATCGAGTTTCGTATTCCACGATACGTGGTGGTCGACGAGGAGGTGCATGAGCAAGGCTGTTTCTGGCTCCACGGCTGGTTTGCAAGAGGATGAGGCGGAAGAGACGTCCAGGAAATGGTCCCATGTTGCGCGTGATTGTGCGTCTTGTAGCGTCTCTGCTTTCTTTCTGCGCGCATTGAGAGAAGAGGCGGTGGAGGACGAGGATGCTTCGGAAAGCGCTTCGGACAGCTGATCTATGACGCCGATCTGACTGGTGAGTGAGCGTAGGAGGGCAATCTCGTCTTTCCATGCTGGATTCATCGACTGCAGGACGGCTTCGATGTCGTTTATAGACGTCTTTGACTTGGTTCTTGTCTGCTGTAGCACTGCAATTTGAGGTTTCGCTTTGGCATCCTTGGAAGCCTGAGCTGCTGATAGACGCTGGATGACATGTGCAAGAAGGTTCTGACCGACATTGATGAGTACAGTGATGGCTACACGTGGTGCAAGCAGATTTTGTGGTGAGGCAATGTCGCGGTCTGCAGCAAGAGCAAGCAGACGTAGGTTGGAGACGATGAATGCCAGTGCTGATTGTGCTATTGAACCGTCGTTCGAGGTCGAATCAGCTCCGTTGGCGGACGTAGAGCTCGAAGATACTTCCCTTTCCGTTGCCGACTGCGCAAACAAATGTTGCAGTAAGTATAGGAACGAAGGGTTGGAGACATGAAATGGGATAGGTGCCTGGAAAGTCATGAGCAGACCCTGGCCGATGACAGAGGAAATGGTCTCGATGGCTGGGACATTGGATGCTGTCGTGCTGTTGACGTTGGCGGCTAGAAGATGGAGAGTGGCAGTGATGACATCTGTGACTGGGCCCTGATCAGGTTCGAGGCCGGTGCGGTTGGCGCTGCCGTAGATGAGCGCTTGGAGGTACTCGATTAGCAAGGGATCTAATGAGGACTGGGAGAGGATGTATTGGACGAGACAGCCAGCGACGTATGAAGCTGCGAGGGGCTCGACAGTATTGATGGAGCTGGAATTTTGGGCCGCTTCGATGCGTCGTACGAGTTGATGGAGCAGTGATAACCACTTGGACTGTGGCAGACGCCTCGAAAGTGCCTGTAAGAGCAGCTTCTGAATGAGCTGCTGAGCTTCGTCTTCCGACATGCTGGTTATAATTGCTCTGAGCTGGGCGGGTAGAGTGAAAGATGCTACGGGAACATCACGATTGAGGGTGCAAGCACGCTGGTCGAGACCTCTCGTTTGGAAGCGTCTGGTGGTGGTAAGGTCGAAAGTGGCAGAGGTGTGACTGGAGCGGTTAGAAGAAGTCGGCTAAGGGTCTCGAGAGTCATTGCGTTGCTTGATCTGAGCAACATCGGCGACTTTTTATCAAGATTGAGCCGACTTCCCAAGCTTGTTCAGTGCTTCGGTGTAACACTGTTTCAATGGCGCCGTATGGCTCTCCAGGGTCACGTGGAACCAGTCCGAGGGAAAAAAAGGCCGGCAGCAGCACACGTCGGCTCAGTGAGCACGGAAAAGGCGGCAGGGCCAGCCAAGAGCATTTCTGGGAATAATAATATTAATGCCACAAGAGCCAAAGAAAAAGACACGTCCACCTTTTGCCGCGTTTTCGCATGTGTCGGCCCCTCAAGCAGAAAGAAACACAAAACCAAATTTTACACACGGCACACAGGCACAGATGAGTGCAAATAAAGCCCACTCTACTCTCACACCGCATACAATCATCCTTGTGCCACCATCTCTTTACCTTCCTTGACCACCATCTCGGCTTGCCTTCAATCTGAATTGCAGATTCTCTCTGCACCTGCACAAGCGCTGTGCACCTATCTCGGCCCCGTCCGAACAAACTGTCATCTAAACTGCGACCATGTCGACGCCGAACAACAACGGCAAGGGTAGGGACATCCCCATACTCTCGCACCAAAGCACTCAAGATTCGGCATCGACCCCCATCAGGTCGCCTTCTCGAGCATTCAACGATGGCTTCGGACGCGCATCCCCATCTCTACCCAACATCCCACCTCGTATTGGCTCCCCATCAGCAGAACCCCTGAGCCTCTACTCCTCATCTCAACAGCAGCGTCACGACTCGTCCTCGTTCCAGCGCACCATCTCCATCGAGCCTCCTTCTCGTGATAGCGCATCTCTTGCTCCGCCTGCCGACTCGGGCATCTCCACTCCCAGCAACCTCGACAATCTCGATCAGCTCCCATTCTCCGACGAGCGCAAAGCCCGTATTATCGAGAGGCATCTTGCTCGACCCGACGCCAACCGCGACTCTCTCTCTGCCCCCTCCATCCCATCCGCCGACAACACTGACGAGAGTTACACCAGCGAAGATGCACAAGGCTCCTCAACGCCTAACCCCGGAGCCAACGGCGATGCAGACGTCGAATCTCCCTCTGAAATCGTTCTCGAGGATGTAGAAGAGAGCTACCGCGGCCCTCATCAGATGCAAGGTGGCGCCATCACCGACGATGTGTATCGATGGGCACACAAGAATCGCCGTGTTTCAACTCGACGCACTCGCAGTGAGAGTCTGCACATGCCTCGAACCGCCACCATCGACCCAGAGCTCGATGTGCAGGGTATCAAGGAGCCAGGAGGATTCCGACGCTTTTTTGTCAATTACCAGGCCGAACAGCAAGGTCGTGCTCCTCCAAGAGCTTTGCGCAGCTTTATCGACTTCCTCAGCTTGTACGGTCACTTTGCTGGAGAGTTCCTTGAGGAGGAAGATGAAGACGACGAAGATCTCACCGACGATGAAGACGACGACGATGCTCGTGCCATCCCCGGAACTAGTCGAGCTGCCGGCAATGGCGATACCGAACGCTCTGGTCTCCTCCGCAGACGTCCTAGAGGCTTTAACCGAAGCGATACCCAAGCTCGCATGCGCAAAGCTAGCAAGGAACGTCGTCGTGGTGAAGCTTCTGTCACAGACGCTGTCATGATGCTGCTCAAGTCTTTCGTCGGCACTGGTGTTCTTTTCCTTGGTAAAGCGTTCTACAACGGTGGTCTGCTCTTTTCCACAGTCACCTTGTGCTCGGTTGCAATCATCTCCCTCGTCTCCTTCCTTCTGCTCGTCAAGACCAACCTCAACTGCCCCGGCTCATTCGGTGATATGGGTGGAATTCTATACGGTCCTCGCATGCGTTTCGCCATCCTTGCGTCCATCGTTCTTTCACAACTCGGCTTTGTCGCAGCTTACACAGTCTTCGTCGCACAGAACATGCAAGCTTTCGTCCTAGCCGTGACACACTGCAAGACGCTCGTCCCTGTCTGGGTGCTTATTTTGGGTCAGATGGCCGTCTTCTTACCTCTTTCGCTTATTCGAAGGATCGCCAAGTTGTCAACAACCGCGCTTATTGCAGATGTCTTTATTCTGTTCGGCATTGTCTACCTGTTCTACTACGAGATCGGCAAGGTCGCAAAGGAAGGTTTGGCAGATGTCGTCATGTTCAACAGCAAAGATTTTCCTCTGTTCATCGGTACAGCTGTCTTCACATTCGAAGGTATCGGATTGATCATTCCGATCACAGAATCGATGAAGGAGCCTGAAAAGTTCCCTCGTGCACTCACAGGCGTCATGGCTGGAGTCATGGTGTTGTTCGCATCTGCAGGTTCTCTCTCCTACATGGCGTTCGGATCCAAGATTCAAACCGTGGTCATTACCAATCTTCCGCAATCGTCTCGATTCGTTCAAGCGATGCAATGCCTCTACTCGATCGCCATTCTTCTCTCCACTCCTCTACAGCTCTTCCCCGCCCTCGCCGTGCTGGAGAAAGGAATCTTCACCCGTAGCGGCAAATACAATTGGAAGGTCAAGACCGAAAAGAACCTCTTCCGATTTTTGGTGGTGGCTGTCTGCTGTTTGGCCGCTTGGGCAGGAGCGAATGATTTGGACAAATTTGTGTCCTTGATCGGTTCAGTGGCTTGTGTGCCGTTGTGCTTTATTTATCCTCCGTTATTGCATTTGAAGGCGAATGCGACGAGGACGGCGACAAAGGCCTTGAACTATGCGATGCTGTTCTTCGGTATCGTTTGTGTGGTGTTTGCGGGCAGTCAGACGATTAAGGCGATGTTGGAGAGTAGTGCTCCTACTGGTCCTCCTAGATGCTCGCCTCGCGGATAAAGGTTCTTGTTTGCTTCAGGTTCAGGTTACTTTTCCGCCATAAGATCTGGCTTCCGTTCATAAAAGTCACTTTTTCATCTGCATACTCGAAATCATTCGTACATTCTACATCCATTCACGCTGCCCGTGCTGAGCTTGCTAATCTGCTTCAATCATCCCTGCGTTTAGCTCAAAGTCAACCGACCGCACTCGCACTCGCACTCGCACGAGCCTACTCGCATGAGTTGTTTACTGATTAGAGTACAATCAGATTACAGTCTTACTTGCAACAACACGCCTTTTGTTCCGAGTCAGACTTTAGAGCTTGGAAAGAACGTGCTCAGCACCCGAAACCTCAACAGCGCCCGGGTTAGGCTCAGGACTGAAGTCGACGACCTTCAAGTCATCAACAATGAGGGCATAACGACCGGTCCTCTTACCAAAGCCCATGGCGGAGAGATCAGCGATGCTGCCGATACCCTTGGAGAATTCGAGGTTGAGGTCGGTAGCGAAGATGACTTTGTCTTCGGCCTTGTTCTGGACACCCCAAGCGGACATGACGAAGGGGTCGTTTTGAGCGAGAACAATGACCTGGTCAACACCCTTGGACTTGAAGTCCTGAGCATGCTTGATGTAAGGAGGGATGTGGTTGACGTGGCACGTGGCTGCAAATTGCAAATAAGAGGGTCAAGGGTGGTTAGTGAGACCTTTGGTGAGAAGGTGAATGTGAGAGAGAGACGAGACTTACGAGTGTAAGCACCGGGAACGGCAACAATGACGACCTTCTTGCCCTTGAAAGCTTCGTGGGTCTGGATCTTGGTGGGGGCACCGCAGGCAGTGCCGTCGGCGAGCTCGGGGGACCAAGGCACGTAGGTGAAGGTGGTGTTGGGAATCTGTTCGCCCTTGGAGATAGCCTGTTTTGCCATCATAATTGAAGTCGTTGCAAAAGTTCGAGTTGACAGTCCAACATTGAAGACCGAGGAATTCAGACCAAGGGCAGACCGAGGTGCCGCAGAGTTTCGAATAAACGTAGGTGCGGATTGTGAAAGAGATGGAGAAAGACGAGCAGAGGAGGTGGTAATGAGTCTCCTGGTCGCAGGCATGACAGAGCGGGAGGAGGAGGGCAAGGCCGTGGCTCGCAAAGCCGGCAGGTGGGTGACGACGAGCTTGCTTACCATTTTTGCGATTGTGTGAGGATAAAGTTGCGGATGTGTCTGAAAGATGAGTGTTGTGGTTGAATGTACAGGCAAGCTCGAGTCGTCAACCGATGTTTATATCTTTGGTGAGCGGGAATAAGTGATTGCGTTGCGGCATGGAAAGGCCGATGGTTCGCCGAATGTCTGGGATTCGCAAGCTTGATCTTCTCTTTCCTCTTCCCTGCGGTGAGAGTCCGTGCGCAAGAGGCCTTCGTCCTCTACTGTAACTATGGAAGGAAGCGTAAAAGCCGAGAGAAAAAGTCGACATTTCTTTCCGATTTTAGAGTTTCTCAAGACTTCCACGGCTTGTCTCCGAGAGAGAATGACGCTGCTGATGTGGAGCAGAAGCAGAATCTGATCGGGTCCCGATATACACGATTGCAGCTGCGAAACGCGCTTTTCGGTAACGCTGCTTGACGCGCGAGAGCAACACTATGATTCCGCAGAGCCCCAACTGAAGTTGACTTTAGGGTCTTCTTGATGGGTGCAGCTGAGTTCGTTCAACAGCATCTCGACTCGACATACACCACCTCTGACGATTTGCAATTGGAATCAACATGATGGCACCTTTAGAAAAAAGGCCTCGTCGGTCAGATGACTACGATTCAGCACCAGGGGGAGGAAGCAACCCTTACTACGACAACGTTCCCGGTACATCCCTCACACGAGCTTCTGCCGGCCCAAGCACAAGTACGTCTATGCAAGCGCCTCACAATCCAGCATATCTCTCAGCAGCTGCTGCGAATGGTGCTGCTGGTAGTAGCAGTGCGGCTGCCGCGAATGGCACTCTGGGCAGGGCCGGGAGCCCACTACTCGCTTCGCATCTTTCAGCACGATCCCTAGCACAAGCATCAGCAGGACACAGCCACCACCAGTCCTCAGGTCCAGAAGACAACGAGGAGATGGCTGCCCCACCAAAGAGCTCTTCTACATCAGCAGGCACTCGAGGCAGGGGTCGAGGTCGTGGCCGAGCTCGCGGATCAACAAGAGGCAAAGGTCGAGGCAGAGGTGCAAGTGCTACAGCCGCTTCTCGCCCCTCTGCTGCTGCTGCTGCTGCTGCTGCTGCTGCTGCTGCCAACGCTGTCGACCTCTCGCATTCTTACTCCGAGGAAGGCTTCATCAACGGTCACACACTCGACGGCGTAGAAGAGGACCCAGACGAAGCAGCGCCAAATCCACTTATCTTCCAATGTCGTTCCTGCTACCGTTTACTTGGCGACTCGTTCTCGTTCGTTGCGACCGACACAGATCTCGGCTACGTCATCCTGTCTGACGTCTCAGATGTCGTGCAGCAAGATACGGCCTACGAAACATCGACAGAACCAGGAAAAGACATCGGGTCTACCTTCGCACGCTTGCGCTGCGGGGGATGTCAAGCCAGCGTGGGTCGAAATTACAGAACAACGCCGAGGGATCTGGATGATTTGCGAGACTGCTTCTCGTTGGAAGTGGATGCGATATCTACGTACATGCTGGGAAGTGGCTTTACTAAGCAGCTTCCTGGAGACGAAGAAGAGGATGGAGAGGAGAAGGACAACAGAGAGAGACAAGCAGTGACACTCAGTAGCGGGCAAGGATTGGAAAGTAAGATGGAACGCACAAGAGCATTGACGATTGAGATGAGCGACCGGTTGATCAAGGCTGAGGAAGATATCAGGAGGTACAGTGCATTGGTTGAACAGTTGATGCAAGAGAAGGCTGAAGCTCAAGCGTCGGCATCGGCGCCACAACCTGTCGAGGAAGAGACAGCGCCGGAAGCGGTGGCTGCAGATGAATCTCATTCTACACCTCCTCGCCTATCCATCGCTGAGCCAACTCCGGCTGCTGCAGAGGAAGAGATGCCAGAGAAGCCAGCAGAAGAAGCGTCGGTCCAAGAACCATCTACACCACTAGGAGACGGGATCAAACCAGAATCACAATACAGCTCCACCACAACCAGCAGACCAGCACGCAAAGCTACGACCACCTATCTCTCCTCGACCAGAAGCAAGCGCAGCTTAGGCGGTGGGAGTAGCAGCAACGGCGTCGTCGTGCTGCTCGACAACTCTAATAATATTAGCTATTCCTGAAACCTCATTGTATTTGTACCTTTACTTGTAAACTTCAGCTTAGTTCTGAAACTTCTGTTCAGAGATCAGACAGCACAACCAAGCCTTGTGTAATGTTGCCAGTAAGGGTCGTATTGCAGGTTTGCAGCTTCTGGAGCCTGCGCTACGACACACGAGCAACATAAGCTCCGTAAAGCTTACTCACAAAGTCCGGATTGGTATGAACCATGCTGAGCAGCTCTGTAACGAACTCTCTTCTAGACAACGGCCGACCGTCATCGCCCAACCCAATGCGATCGCGGATACCCGCCTCGATGAGATCGGACATCTTCGGTGCTCCAGCGTCCATCTTTTCCTCCTTTTTATCTGTGGGTGGCTCTTTTGATGATGCTTGTGTTTGTCTTGAAGCCTCATCGCTTCCGTGTGCATTGCTTGCTATGTTCACGCCAAGGAGTGATAGGAGGTTCTGTGCGTGGTTGTTGTCCGTAGACTTGGGCGGAGATGGTGCGGACTTGGTTGATTCAGTGGCGGCAGCTGCGAGGGCTGGGTCGGAGTCCAGCGAAGCAGACTGGAAGAGCGAGTCGAGCAAGGAAGTTTCGTTTGATGCAGGCTGCTCTTCAGCAGTTGACTTGGACGTTGCTTCGTTCTGTGCTACGTCTGTTGCTTCCGCTTCTGGTTGTGCCGGCGCAATAGCGCTACCAAACAAGTCATCAAGGCTGATTTGCGTTGCGATTTCATTCTCGCCCGCTGATACCACTGCCGGCGCCGCTGCTGATGTGCTGCTATCACTGCTCTTCTCGACCGCTGAAGCCTTTGCTCCTTTCTTCGGCTTCCCGTTAGCCTTCCCTTTCCCACCCTTTGCACCGTCCTGCTGCTGCTTCTCCTTCTCTGTCGCTTGCCCTTTACCATCCCCACTCGCTCCCGCAGCCACCGTCTCCTTATCTCCCGCCATTGCCTTCTTCACCACCTCCTCACTCGGCCCTTCCGTCATCTGTTGCAGTTTCAACAACTTGTCCCCCACACTCATCCTCTGATTCGGCTCGAACACCCAAATACCATACACCTCGTTTGTCGTCTCTGGTCTGTAAATGATAAACTCTGGTGTAATGTCTAAGTCATCTTCTGGTGTAACGTCTGCACTGAAGTTCTCGAGCCCATTGCGATTCATCAAAAAGAAACCATTGTAAGGAGGCAGTCGACGACGAAAGAGGAAAAGTGGACCTTCCACACCGGTTTTGGTCCATTCGCCCGAATTGTAGTTGTAAAGGACGACGAAGGAGGCTGATTCGATGATACCAACGATTGATGGATCATGTCGCCGCAGAACTTTCAGGTTGAAGTTCGAACGGGCTTCGGATATCGATGCCATTGTTGCGATTGTATGGTGAGGGTCGGAGGAACGGTGCAGTATTTCCCTGGGTGAGAATAACTTGTAATTGCTGACGATGGGAACTCAGTCGCAAGAAGGTTTGTGTGGATGCCGCTTGAGGTTATGATAGTGAAAAGATCGAGCGATCCAGGTCCAGGTGGATGATGATAGTCGGTGCCAAAAGATGGCTTTGGCTCGTGCGACTCTGGCTCTCTCAAAACGCGCATTTAAGAGGTGGAGAGAAATGAACTCGGAACGCGGCTTTCACTACACTGTCCAGGACGCGCCTCATCAACACCTCTCCTCCCACCACGAGCAGATAGTCAAGAGTTGCACTCAACGGGTGATTTGATAGGTTGGCGATGACATAGAATCGATACTGGTACAAGCACTTTTGTAAAGATGAGAAACCAAGCAGTGTTGAAGTAAGAAACCAATGACCTTCAAAGATCAAGCTTCATCTCGCCCAAATCCGAGAACGAAGCAGTCGTAGTCTGATGCTCCTCACCAGAAACCAACTGCATTGGTGACTGCGCTTCCGACGGTTGTAACTCCGGCCAGCTACCTTCCTGTACCCTACCTCCAGCACCGCCGCCACGTCCCACCTTGTGGCGAGATCGACCACGCCAGTGTTCATCATGAGCATCGTGCGAGAGTCTCGAGCTTTGACTGCGCCCACGCGGGCTGAGCTCTTTGTCCTCTTCTCCGCTCTCATGCTCTTCTTCTTCAATCGGATCGACAGACGAGCGGCGTGGAAGACCGGTACGCTGATCGAAGCCTTCGAGCCATGCGGCGAGTGCAGGAGCACCGCTTGCAGATGCATCGTGGGAGCCCAAATTCGAGTGCGACATAGGCATGCCTCCCTGGCGCATGGCCATCTGCTGCTGATGTTGCTGGGGTTGTGCTTGTTGAGGAGGCTGTTGATCCATGGGCATGCCCAGACTCAGCAGGTTCATGGCGCTGAAGTCTTGAGGAGGTGGTTGGTGTTGCTGCTGCTGCTGCTGCTGCTGCTGAGCATGCTGTTGGTGATGCAGGTGTTGCTGTTGTTGCTGCTGGCCTTGTTGCTGTTGCTGCTGCTGCTGTTGTTGCTGCTGCATCGGATTGCCAAACATGTCTGTACCTTCTCCGTTGCCTGTGTTGCCCTGGTCAAAGAAAGCATGCATCATGCTGAGACCTTGGTGGGGGTCTGTCGTGGGTGGAGCCTGCATTCCTGAGGCAGCCAGTGCCTGGCGTGGCCGTGCCAATTCAGCCTCAAGGAAGCTGATGCGACTCATTTGCATGTCCAAGAACTGCTGCAGATGCCTGATATACTCGACGCTCTTGCGAAGAATGATGCCCTTGTTCGGCTTAGCCTGTGCCGCTGCCAATGCCGCACTGTTAGCATGGACAGGTGCCAAAGCGGCTGCATAGGCCTCCGTTGAAGACTTGTGCAAGTTGGCGTGGCCATCCATGCCATCTGGCATCGTGTCGCCTTTCGCTACTGCTGCTGCGGCTGCCGCTAGTGCAGCTTTAGCAGCCAAAGCAGGGGCAAAAGTTCCACTGTTGCCGCCCTGAGTGGAGGTGGCGATAGCATCGAGAAGCATTGCTTCCGGCAGGAGTGTGGCCAGCTCGGTGATCTTCTCGTTGATGTTGTCTCTTCGACGACGCTCGACAGCATTGTGGGATTCACGACGCTTGCGACGCTTCTCGGCGAGCTTCTTAGCTTCCGCTTCGCTCTTGCCGCCTATACCTGCCGAGGGCTGGTCGTCGTCATCGTCGTCATCGTCGTCATCCTCACCGTGTTGAGCCTCTTCTGGACTGACAGTCTTGAGATCGGTCTTACTGTTCTCTGCTTTGACATCCTTGGTGATCTTCTCTCGAGACGCATGTGAGGCAACTTTGCTAGGTCGACTCGCCTTGCTGGTTGGAGTCGATCTGGCTTCACTGATCTCTGATGCCTCGCTGGATCGTGCATTTGCATCTTCGGGCATGTTGTGCTGCTGACCGCTCAGGTCGTCGACTGCTGACAAGCCGGAATGGCTTTGCACCTGCGTGTAAGGCGGGAAGAGGGAAGGGTTGAAGCGCTGATTCGTGTTGCCATCGTCCTCGATCTTGCCCGACATGTTGTGCATCGCCGAAGAGACTGGTGGAGTCTGTAGGTTCAAATGGGCCATGCTCGTGTGAAAGTTGTGCGATGTCGGCAAGGACGAAGAAGCCGAGTGAGTGCCCAGTCGACCCTGGCCATCGTGCGACTGCTGGTGCCAGGAGGGCTGATCGGCCAAGTTGAGTTGCATGCTGGAACCATCCGTGCCAAAGAGACTCCAGCGATGTGTCTGTGCTTGGAAACTTGCTGAGTTACCCATAGACGAACTGGACGCAAGCGTACCAGGGTTGCCGGAAACGGATGATCGCGCAGGAAGGGACTGGTTGGGAGGCTGTAAGTTGCCAGCGAGCGCAGCAGGCCCGACCGTAGCTCTACGGCTGACTCGGGCCCGAGAGGATGGAGCTTTGCCGACACCTCCTCGATCGAGTGATGGCGAACGTTCTGCTCCGCGTCGTTCTGAAACGCCAGCTGCGATGCGGGTGCGACTTCGGCTCAAGCTGCGCGTGGTCTTGGACCTTTGAGAGGAAGAAGCATTGCTGGTCGAACGATGATGACGAGCTCCTGAGCCTTTGGGCAGACTTCCGACGGTGGTGCCAAGCGAGCTTGGCGAAAGTACACTAGTGGCAACAGTAGAGGTGGTCTCGCCGTTGGAGCCGTCGGGCGAGTCTCCATCGTCCATGGATGAAACGTCCTTGTTCAAACGACTAAGCGCATCATAGGTAGGACGCAGGGTAGCGAAGGTGCGCGATTGCAGGCCAAACATGTTGAGCGAGTTGGTGTGTGGAATGTTGACATAGGATTCGCCAAAGGCTCGCTCGTTGGTACTGTCGTTGCGAGAGTTGACGTCAAGGGCGGTGTTCTGCTGTTGGTTGTGATCTGGACCGTCAGAGGGCGGATGGCCACCGTTGTTGGACGAGTTGGTGGTCGCTGGAGAGAACTGATTCCAGAGGTCGTCGTTGAGTAAGATGTCGGTGTCGATGAAGCTGCTGGGGAGTCCATTTGTACCAAAAGGACCGAAGAAGTTGTTGGTGTGCGCTGCCGTAGATGAATGCGAGTCTAGGGCAGAAGAGACGTTGAGACCCGGGCCGGCGCCGGCTGCAGAGTAACTACCGGAGGTACCTGGGTCGAAGCCCTGCTGACGCTTCTTGGGCACCATGACGTCGATGGAATGAGGCCCCGAAGCTTGGACAGAGGCAGGCATAGATGCAAACGTGACGTGCTCGTTCTACGCAAATTCAAGGCGTGCAGGATGACTTGCTGCGGGAGGATGCGCGTAACCACCAACCACCGGGCGGGAGCACTGTAAGAGTCGGCTACAGTTGCGCTCGAGATCCGTTTGAGCGTTCGAGGTTTAGGTTTCGGTGCAGGTCGGATGTCGCAGAGGAGATAATGGCAGATGAAGTTTGCCGAGGAAATGATCAACACCGGAGAGGTAGGCGGGCAAGGGTCAACAAGGTTTGAGACCGGTCGTCCGTCGATGCGAGAAAGCGAGATGGACACCTCAAGAGATTACGAGATAACTATGCACGTCGGTCGATGCTCGAGGCACGCAATGGCAAAGGTATGCTTATCGTTGGTTGGTGGGTGTAGCCTGCTGTTCAAGTGTATGCCGGTGACGGTGTCAGTGGGACGTCTTGCGAGCAAAGATGAAGGAAGGAAAAATCGTGGGTGCAACGAAGGTAGCGAGTGTCGCCGGAAGAGGTGAATGTAAGGACAGGCTGATGGTGATCAAAGAAGTGTTGAGGATGGATGCAAAAGTATGGAAAGGCAAGGCAAGGCATAACAAAACAAAGCAACGAGGAGACGGGAGGGTGTCGCAGAGTATTCGATCGCGGCCAATGGCGGGATAGTAGAAAGTGAGGCGCGTTGGCGCAGAAGCAGCGAGTGCAGAAATGCAATCCTGTAGTCACACAAAAGGAGAAGCAGAGGGAGAGCAGGATGCAAGAGTGCAGCAGGAGCAGGAGGGTGAGGTGGGATGGGGGATGAACACAGGCGCGGGGGCCCGAAAACGGTTGTGTTGCACCGGTGAGCAGACGAAAGAGAGAGAGAGAGTTCAAAGGTCAAGCAACCCATGGAAAAAAAAAAGAAGCAGCAAAAATCACAAAGCATAAGCCACAAAGGCGGCGGCGGGCTTCTACCGAAGGCTCACTTCACTTCACTTTTCTCTCTCATTCTCGAGTTGTGCATTGTGCGAGGATGAAGTGAAATGAAGCATTGTGAGACTGCAATTCAACCTCTTGTGTGACGGTGTGACGATGGTTGAATAAGCTACTGCAGCAGCAGACAAGCAGGATAAGGCCTGCAATACTGAGAGAGAGACAGAGAGCGAGCGAGTAAATGAGCATGGGGCAGGCAAAGAACACAGCCAAAGAAACGACGAACAAAAAATAAATAAATAAATAAATTGCGGGGAAGGCGAAAGAAAGTGGGGTTCAGCTGAGACTCTCGTAAAGTGCCCCACACACTGCCTGTCCGAGTTCCAGCTTTTTCGAACACTTGGTTCGCCTGTTTGACTACACTTCCGAAGAGGAGGGGGGAAAAGCCACTCAAAAAAAGAAAAAAGAAAAGAAAAAAAACGCGAGAAACGCATCCGACGTGTGCTGTGTCTGCCCTGTCATACCTCGCTCTGGCTTGGTTTTGGGCGCACTTAGCGCTGCTCCTTGCCTTTGACTTCGCATCGCGTTTTGGTCTTGGTGTTGCGAGACAGGAGCCATGCGGAAAAGAACAGAAGCACACGAACATGGCTAACTACATCCACTCATTCCGCGTCGCCCACACGAAATACTTCTTTTCTTAGTCGACAACGGGAGAACAACAAAAACAGGCTTCAAGCAGACTACTCATGGAAGACGTCGTCAATAGTTTGCACTTCGGGATCGCTTCGCCTTCGCAAACAGATCTCAACAGATGAACGCTGACTTGTGCACGAATAGAAACGAGATGGATCGAATCAGATGCATGCCAATTGTGAGGCTCGTTGGTTCTTTAAATTTGGGATTTTTTATTATTATTATTTTTATTATTATTATTAGTATTAGTATTATTATTATTATTATTACTATTATTATTATTTTTTTTATTTATTTTTTATTTATTTTTTTAACATTTTTGTTTTTGTTTTAATTTTTTTGCCCAGAACAACACAGACTGGAGCGACCGAGCATGCTCCAGAGTTGCATGCAACAAGCTCTGCTGCTGCTCTCCTTCATCCCTTTTTCATCTTGCGGCGCTGTACGCCGACTGTCCCTTCTTCCGAAAGCAAGATCGACTTCAGCCGTTGCTCCGTAGCAAACTCAGATCAGCAAGCTTGCTCCTAGATACTATCTCTCTAACAGTGATAGCTCAAGGCGGTTCAAGTGTCGTAGTCTTGGCATGGCGCTCCAGGCTGTCCTAAAGTCTATCGCTACCATAGAGAGATGAAGGCCAAAGCGTGAAGCTGATTCCATGAGTGAGGGGAAAAGTGTGGGGGAAGAAGCGGAGTTTTTTTTGCCGCGTGGCTCTGAGCTGCTGACGCGTCGTCCTTTTTGTTGTTCCTCAAATCGGAATCTCTCCGTCTCAACGATTTGCTTCCGCGCAATTTCCTCGGTCTTTCTTTGTCTTCAGCCTCATACGAGATTCTATTGGTCACAGTGATGAACAGACCAGATACTGCTGAGAATGACATTCTGGAGCAATTCAGGACTCCTTTCATCGACTCTCATGACGAAAAATGTCGATGTCGGAGTTGCCGAAAAGAAGTGTGATGAGAAGAAAGTGGCTTTTCAAGAAGAACTAGCTGCAAAGCATGCAAGGCCGTCATCTCTGCATCGTCCGACGGCGCATCCAAACGGAAACTTCTCGTGACCCTACTTGAAAGTTTCCATACTTTCTTCTCGTTCTCGTCATCGGAAAATTCCGTCTGCCAATCATCGTGCTCCAATGTCCGCTGCACGTTGGCACTTGACAGCTTCAAAGGATCGAACTCTCATACGTTTTCGAGACTAAGGCGACAATCCAAAGATCGTCTATGCAAATCATTTATCTCGCCTCTGCACGTTGAGATGACCAAATAGCAAGAGCATCGGTCAATTCGGTCGCCTGGCGCCACTTCGAGAAGAATGCTCTCCCTCTTCCGTTTGCTCTTCCGTTTTCTCTTCCCTCTTGCTCTTCCTCGCTCCCTTACTTCGATGTCGGAGCGCAAGATTCAGGAATGGCCCGGCAGTGCATGACATTGTCGGAAAGCCCGACAATTAGACAAATGCTTTGGTCACGAGCGTCTCCCTTCCCGTCGGGCCTCCCGACAATCGTCAGCAATGCTGAGCTCGAGGTCAGAGAGTTGATAACTCATTGCTTCCTTACCGGCTTGCTTGATTGCCCTCCTCGCAAGGCCACATTCCCTTGGGAGGCCCGAACTGGATGATGTGGTGGCAGAGAAACGAACAGGTGTAAGAGCAAGTCGACAGCAACGCAACCATGTCTACTCTGTCGACAACCATCTATCTGCAGACTCCGATACTTTGAGCGGCGACAAGGTTGCATCACATAATGAGCAGTCCAAGGCCATCCGCTAGTCACTGCCGCGACGTGCAAGACACCACCATCTGAAAACCAGAACGCCTAATGACAGGAGAGAGTGTCGTAGGCAGTCTCAGAAGTGAGGCATCATACAGTAGGTACGAAAATGCTCCCACATTTTGTTAATAAAGAGACGGTCTCACAACCCTCACCGAAAAAATCTAAATGCGACGCGTTTTTAGCAGCGCGTCGCGTTGAGAGGTGTTGGATTCGGCCATGCACCTCTACACGACTGACAGGGTCTCTTTCTACCTTCCACTTTTTGGCTTTCTCAAAGCTATCGAAGCTGCCAACAACGACACCTTCTATCTTCACCCACCACACATCATCCTCCCTTCGATGCTCGAAAATCCACTCTAGCATCCCAATTAAGCCCTCGACATCGGCTTTGCGCGTTCATCTCCCTGAAGGCGCGCCGCGCGCTGTTCCTCAAGATGTCCAACGAAAACGACTACTACTCGGACGACCTCGAAGGCGAAGAAGGGTTCCTCACAGATATCAGTGACGACAGCTTTGGGGAGGATCACGATGGGCAAGGTCAAGACTACGATGAAGCTAATCAGCCTGACAAGGAAGAGATTCGCGATGCGGCCAGGGATCTTTGCATGCAGATCGGTCAGTATGACTACGGAGAGGATGCCGACAATCACAACACCGACGAGGTCTACACTCGCTGGCAGCGTGGTCCACGAGCATTGGGTGCTCTGCGATCGCTTCGAAAGCTGTGGAAGCTGGATGATGAAGATCCAACAAGGAAGGTGGCACGCGCCTTCGCCGACAACCAAGTGCTAGAAAACTTCATCGTCCCCGCGTTGCTAGAAAGCGCTGGGCAGGGCAAAGAGGGAGATGCTATTGCTTTAGCATGTACAGATCTGCTGACAGCCATGACATGGCCCTTCGACGGCGTCGCCGAAGTGCGAGAACAAGAAAAGCAAGGCTTTGGCTCGGATGAGCTTCATGAGATCACCAAACTCGACAAGCACCTGATCGACTACAAGTCCGTCATTCTGCGAAGCCAATCCCTCGACAAGGAACATGATGTTCTTGGCGTTGTCATGCGCTATCTTCTGTTGCCAAACCTCGCCACAAAGCAACACCAGCGATCGAGTCTTGTCACCGGTATTATCGGCATGTGCCTCCACTTCTTCCGCAATCTACTTGCTGTCCGAGACCCAGTCACTACCAGTCTAGCGAGCGTGGCTCAACTTTCCAACGCCAACCTGCAAAGCAAGCTCGTTCAGGCCATGCAAAAGCATCACATCCTCGACACACTTCTCATGCTTGCCAGCAGCGCCGAAACACCCAGCTTCAACCCCTGGAACGCCGTCGCATCCGAATGCATCTTCCACATCTTCGTCGGCACCAAGGTCAAGGAGATCGCTGAGGCTGCATCCTTCGACAGGCCCTCTCCAAGCTCAGAAGTTTCCACCAGCATTGGGACCTCAGCGGCTGCCACAAGCAGAACGACCATCAGCACCTTGCCTTCGAGCTCTGCCCTTGCAGAGAGCCTGGCAACAGAAGCGAAGATGAAGCGAGCATCCATCACAGGCAAGATGCCAACTCGTCACTCCCGCTTCGGAACCACGATCAACTTTGTCGGACCCGATGGCGAGCGCCGAGTCGCACGCAACCAGGCGGCCCTGGTCAAGTCGGTCGCACAACTTGCCGACGAAGCCATGCACAAGGGAAAGCGACGAGCTCAACGCCGAAAGGATGCCCAGGAGAGAGGTGCACCCAAGCTCAAGTCTGACTGGACGGCAGATGCGGCTCTAATCCTGCAAGAGTGGGCAGATACCTTTGTTCAGTCTGGCTTCGAGCCCTTAGCCAAGTCGGTTCTAAAGGACATCCGCTCCGAACGTGACAAGCTCGGCGATCTGGACGTGGCGCGAGTCCGCATCATGCAGCTGGGTGCCTTCTTCCTGGAGTTCTTTCTGTTGCGTCGGGCTGCTGCGGCCACTCAACGAAAGACAACAAGCAAAGCAACAACCGTAGCAGACCCGATCGCAACCCAAAATACAATAGATCTCGATCAGCAGCAGCTACAACAAACGGAGGATCAGCAGATCGAGCAGCAAATCACCGAATCCGAGGTCGGGTCAGTAGAGCAATGGCCCTTTGAGCTCGTCAGCCAGTGGCTCGAGCCGTGGGCATTCCGTATGGTGCTCGTTAGAACGATTCAGGCTCAAGAGTCAAAAGCATGGCTCGAGTTTGTTGCCTCTGTCCAGCTCTGGGTTGTTCTGCTACGACTTGTGGACGAGCTAGCAAGCAGCAAGAAGGAATCCGAGAGGGACGTCGCTGAAGGTCTGCAAGCCGAGTTCTACTACATGAGTGAGACACTCGATGCCTGTCACGCCATCGTCCGATCCTACACCAGCCAGAGCTTCGCCTTCCTCGACACCATCATCACTTTTGCCTACGTCATGCCCAAGATGTTGGAACGCTACGCATCCATCAAAGACCACATGTACGTTCAAGCCAAGAAGCATGTCCGTCGCTCCCGACAAGACGGCGATCTTGACGCCAACGAAGACGAAGCAACACAGGTCAAGGAGCAACTGAAAGAGACACGATTGGAACGCGAGTTCCGCTTTGCCGACTTCCAGCGCAAGCTCGCCACCAAGCAGCTGACCAAGGCTTGCATCGACTACCTAGCTCGCTGGCAAGACTTTACCGACATGGAGGACCAACTCAACAAGCTCGTGAACGTGATGCATCGAATCGCTATCAAAGCCAACGACTACCGACAGTTCTTCCTCGGCGGCCATCGTGCAGCTTTGCGCAAAGTGCTCAGTGGAGATGCTATCCGGATCCTCGAAGCCCGTGCCCCGAACACGGCGCCAAACCTCAAGAAGCTTATGGACTACATCTTACGCAAGTTCAGCAAGCTTTCGCCTGAAGAGCAATCGATCTACGACACCGGTAAGAGGCCGCCTCGCCTGCCGAAGCCACCTAAGGTGCCGTCCGAGATCGCTGTGCGTCCGGGCATGTCGTCTGAGGAGGAGATTGGAGTCGCAGTGGGCCTTTTGCTGAAGAAGGAAAAGATGCAGGCTGTGCTTTGGGTCAAGTCTGCCTTGGAGATGGCGAGCGTGATGCGCACAGAGCTGATTTTGCGACACGAGGAGGAAGAAGCTCAACGGTTGTCGGAGTCTTCCAACGACATCTTGGGTGGAGATGGAGAGGATGGTGGAGCTTTGCTGGGAGAGCTTGAGAAGCGGAATGAGTCGCCTGTGGAACGCTTCCAGCCATACGAGCTTGCTTATCGCGGCAATGACGAGCTTCGCACCGATGCATCGTTGCTACCTGAGCTCAAGCTGCTGTGCCGACTGGTGGGTTTGGAAGCCAACGATGCCGAACTTGTGAACTGGAGATGGACTGTACCCAAAGAGATCCTTCCAAACCACCTTGACCAGAAGATCGAGACAATCGAGCGCTTCATTCGCGAGCCGCTGGATACAAATGGTCGAGAGCTCCAGGCACTTTTGATGCGAGTGCGTAAACCGCGAGTTGGCGCCGGAGGAGAGGCAGAGGAGATCGATCCAGCAGATCTTCCAGACGGCTGGAATGGAGGCCAGAGCGGCTCGGACGAAGATGGCGACTACTTTGATCGCCTTCGTGCCAACCGCAGCTTGGTGGAAGGCGAAGACGCCGCGGCAGATGGAGGCTTGCTTCGCAGCAGTGGAGGCAAGAAACGATCCAAGCCAACATCGAAGAAGGGCGGATCACGAAAGCAGAAGCGGAGGACCCAGCAAGACTTTATTACAGACAGTGATGACGAGTTCGCCTTTGCTATAGGCGATCTTGAGAACGAAGCTGCCGCCACACAACAGAGATCTCAAGGGGGTGACTCCAGTGATGAGAACGCCGAAGATGACATGGACGAGGACACGCCAGCCACAAGCTCCTTGGCCGACAACGAGGAGGCAGACGATGACAAACTCAACGCGCTCGAAGCATTGCGCGCCGCCAAGCAGCGCAAAGCGACAAAGACCAAGCCCACAAAAGCCGTCATGCCGTTGCAAGACGCTAGTGATCGCGGGAATCGCCGAGTCGACACGAAGCGTCTCTTCCTTGCCGACAGCGACGAAGACGAGGACGACATTCTGGTGTTGCCATCACAGGAGCTTGCCGACATCTCGAACGCGTCTGCCAAGCTTGGTGCCGACATCAACAGCACGGGTCCTCTCAAGAAGCCCAGATTGGCGATTCTGGATGATGAGAATGAAGACGACGAGTGAAGTTCATGCATTCAATGATTGGATTTTTCACATTCGCATTATAGCTAGCATCAGAGCTGAGATTGTGTTGCTTGAGATTAAAGCCAACGAAGGTGTGCATCGTATGCAGGGTGCGAACAGGATCGTCAGGCTGCAGATGTTCGAGACTGTAAAATGAAAGAGAGGACCACTTGTGGGAATGCTGTCCGGCTAGCATTCTGCCGTTCGACTGCAGTTGAAGATACGACGGAAAATTTCCAGGGTTTATCCAGAATGCCGACCGGGCGAAGCTGGTGAAAGCAAACGCCGCTTATTCACGAGCTGACTGAGGCACGTGAAATGCATCAAGGTTGACATGGCAACGGCTCAGGAGCTCTGCAGGAGACACTCGACTCATCTAAGACAGTCCAACGTTCTCAGAGATGGTGTCAAGGCATATATATATATATATATATATATATATATATATACCCATGTAGTTTCACTTGCCTCTAGTAATATGATAAGCATTGCAGCTGCCACACACCTGTACGAAGAGAGCCTGGTCGTGGCCTCAACGAAGTGGTGCATATATTCCAACTCTGCCGGTGCCGGGAAGTCTGAAAAGCGTGGTAATTTGACGTGGTAATTTGACGTCGCGCCGCTGAGCGTGAAGTTAAGTCTAAAGCCTGAGCTTGAGCTCAAGCTTAAGAGAGAGTCGCGGTGTGCTGCCTTGAATTTTGGAATTGCTGTTTCTCCGCTCTGCAAGTACGAAATGCGTGACGGTCAGATCAGCCAAAAAAGTCGTAATCGTTCCGAAGTGTGAATTGGCATAGATGGACAAGTTGCTGCTTTCACACACGTCCGTTCTTCCTTTCAACATCATCGCTTGACTAGATCGCCTTTCACTCTTCACGTCTTCTCACTCTCGCTGCTGCCGACTTGAGCTCACATTCTGTCATCCTCTGGCAAACAGCTCGCCATCACTTCGCCACACTCGCTTCATGCAAGCCCCCGCTCCCTTCGCATCTTCGCAGCCATACTCGGTCTAGACACCTTTGCAGGACGGCTTGGGGCTGTCGTCCGTTCCTCAGCCGCCACTAGTCGCTCTTTTATCGCATCTACTCGCATCTCACTCCATACCACCTCACGCACTTTGTCCACATCGAGCGTCACTCGGCAACAACCCGCCATGGCCTCATCCAGCGTCAACAGCAACAGCGTCAACAGCAACAGCGCCATCCTTGCGCACCTTTCCCACGCACTCCTCCGCATCTCACGCATTCCACCCCGCGTTATCGCCAGCCCACCAACCCAACCGCGTCGTGCCTCTGTAGCTATCTTACTCCGCGTCCGACCCACACCTGAAGACGAAGCATGGCTGGCACAACACCACGATCCCGAAGCTCAACATCCCAGGGGCAGCTCCAGTGTCGACCCTAGCGCAAGTCATGAGTTGGGTAACTCAGGAGTGCATGTCTCACAGGCTTCCTTGGGTCACCAGGCAGGAGTAGCGTCTATGGCTTCGAGTGTAGCTAGTGTCGATCTGTCATCGACGCTGAGCAGCTTCTTCGAGCAGCCTTGGGTGCAGAGAGGTACACCCGAGATTCTCTACATCAAGAGAGCAGCTCGTATCGGCGACAATTGGTCGGCGCATGTTGCTTTCCCGGGAGGAAGGAAGGAAGAGGGTGATGAGAATGGACTGTACACTGCGATGCGAGAGACGTGGGAGGAGGTTGGAATTGATCTTGCCGAAAAGGAGTTTTCCTGTGTTGGGCAGTTGGACGATCGCGAGATTACTACTAGTCTTGGCAAGCGACTCCTGATGGTGCTCTCGCCGTATGTGTTTGTGCAGACTTCACCATTCAGTCCGATGCCGGATCTGCAGCCGAGTGAAGTGGCTTCTGCGCATTGGATTCCACTCTCGCTGCTTTACACGCCGAAACCCAAGTGGGGTACCACCTCGGTAGACATCAGCAGCAGGCTTGCACCGAAATCTCCTTTGGTACGATGGGTGCTTCGTGCACTGGTAGGAAAGATGGACTTCAAATGCATTTTACTCCCCAACGACCCCATTGCCGTGGCAGAGTACGACGAAAACGACGAAGACGAACACATGCTTGTTGACGCCTCCAACTTCAGCGCGGAGAAGGCTGGCTCACACATTGCTCGAACGGAAGAAGGCACCTCAGCACGGCCAGAGCTACGTCTGTGGGGCTTGACACTCGGTATGACCCTCGACTTGCTCTCTCACATGACCACCTACCACAGCAACTCTTCCTTCCGAACCGGAGGTGTCACCCCTTCCTCAACCCGACCTTCATCTCCAACCCGCTCTTGGTCTTCCCTCCCCTCCGTACCACCACTTCAAGACGCAGCGTCGAGCTCGATCCCTAGTGCATCCGAACTCGTCTCCCATCCGTTCACCTCTGTCAATCGTCTCCTGTTGCGCGTTAGGGACGAGTTCCACCTTAATCCTCCGCCTGCGTCGCACGCTCTCGCGCCCAGCCTCACTTCCGTCTTCCCAAGGTTTTCATACCCAGACGTGAACTTTTGGATCTGGTCCTTCGGGTGGAGGTACAGAAATGTGGTGAGGGGATGGGAGTCAAGTGTGGGCACGAGGGTGGAGAGGAAGTTCAATTGGAGCGGGATGGCGTTGGGTGCGTTCTATAGTGCTGTGAGAAGGGCGTTGGTGGTGGCGGTCGTTTTGAGAGCGGTGGGAATTTTGAGTGCGGGTGGAATTGCGGGGTGGCTAGTAGGGAGGAAGGTCAATAGGAGTAGGAAGGGGTTGCGTGGTTTAGGCCTGGATGAGTTGTTGTCTTGAACGAGAAGGCTTTGTGCGCAGCACATCCTCTGTAATGTAGTCGCTGTATAACCGTGTCCTTCCGTGCTTACTATAAGTCTGTGTGTGCCTGCTGAATGAGCTAAACATAGATGTATCATGAGCGCTGAGGTTACCCAGAGGAAGTGTTGGGAGGGTCTCCAAACTCGGAAAACGGAAGTCATCCGCCGGCGAAAGAAGCGGGATTTTCTCGCGTGTGTGCCAAAAAGTGCGCCTTGATGCTGATTCGAACCCCAAAGCCGGCTATTAGGATACTGACTTCTTCTCACCACGCATACCCTTCAGCATCGCCTTATTGCTCACCACATACAACACGGCTCAACATGGCTGCCAAGCCACCAGCAAAGCCGGCCGCTGGGCCTCCTGAAGCCGAAGCCTCAACCTTCCGCAAAGCTCCAACCGACGTCAACCGCATCCCAGGTTCAGCTGCATCGATGAAAGTCCAAGAACGAAGCAAGACTGTGCCCACCACCCTCCCCACCTCATCGAAACCAGCTCCTTCAACATCACGCTCCACACCCCGAACTCCCTCGGCTCTACGAACCAAGACAGCAATCCAAACAATGCAGCCATTCCTCGACTCCTCCACCACCTCCTCCACTCCTATCCAACCCACGGACATCCAACTCCTAACAACCTCCATCCTTTCCAACCAAGAGCGTCAACGAGTTATCCTGTACTACCAAGAAAAGCTCATCGACTTCAACCCAAACCTGCTCAATCTCAAAAAGAGCCTTCTATTCCTCTCGTCCTCGTCCTGGGGACAGATTCTAGAAGAACGAAAGTTGGCTGGGAAATGTTCTTACCCCCCTTGCTCGAAACCTTCTCCTTCAGCAGGTGCGGGAGGAAGGGGGAAGTTCAGAATCAGCTTACGGAACAAGTCGATCAAGGCAGTTGAGGATTTAGATCTGGGAGAAGCAGGGAATACATGGGACGACGTTAGGGATTATTTTTGCAGTAAGAGCTGTTATGCAAGATCGGAGTGGATTTTGAGATGGGTGTTGAGCGATAAAGAGATTGGGTTGCTGGATGAGAGTGCGAGTAAAGGTGGAAATGGGGTGGGAGGAGGAGGATCGGTACTTGGTGGGAAGTGGCAGAAGTTGACTAATCATCCACATGGGTATGAACAGGTGGAGTTGTTGGAGGACATCGAGAGGGAGAGTGGGGTTGATATTGGTCAGGCGGAGAATGAGGATGGGTTGGATGGGTTGCAGCAGGTGGACGAGAAGGAAGGAGAGGAGGCGAAGAGGGTGGAGGAGGCGGATAAGGCAGCTGGTCAGGTGAAGGTTGATGCAGGGCAAATCAACAAGTTGATGGGCGATCTGACGATTATAGAGCGTACAAAGACGACACAACCTGGTACAGGCAGCACAAACCCATCGACATCGATACCAGCTGGATCAAAGTCTACTCAGACAGACAGCGCAAGCGCGGCTGGCATAACTTCTACTCCCAGCCGAACCACAAAACCGGTGGTCCCCTCCAGAACAGTCTACGACATCGACGTACCAAACACTCTCGGCTCTCGCTTCACCCGTACCAACCCCTCCAATCCCACCTCCACCGCCAGGGCCGAAGACGAAGAAGACGATATGGACCTACGCGAACGTGAACTATCCTCTATTCTCCGCTTTGCCTCTCTTGCTCCCGCTTCTCGTCCTCGACAAAGAAACACCACTATCCGAATCGACAGTACTCCCTCCGGTACGGCTGCGAACGGGAAGAAGGAGGCAGAAGGAAACTTGGACGATGATAGGGAGGAAAACGAACCAATCCTCGACCCGAAGGAAGCAAAGGAAAGGAGCGAAATCAGAAGGATCATGGATCTTGCTCTTGACGTCAGAGCTGACCAACGGGAGCTAGGTCTTCTGAACTGATTCAGCAGAAGTGGACTCGGATTCAAAGCATCACAGACGGCATTTGTATTTGTACTCTGCTTCGAATCAGTCTCACGACAAAGATCAAGGACTGATACTGAATCGCGTTTTTGGAAGAATACTGGCTAAAGTACATGCGCTTGCTGTTGACTGGAACGGTATTGGTATGGATCTTGCTCGGGTATGTTTTCGTTGCGGGAAGGTAAAGGTACATGGAGAGCATCGAAGTGGCCACTCGGCTTGTGCGCTTGGGCTGACGATTGTGCTGGTGGCCGATGGCTGGTGTTGGGGATTCAATTGCCGGAACATCGACATGAAAGGCTTCGAGGATCGCCGCGGGGTCAGCGTAAATTTGTTCGATGTGTCTTCTATTCCAATAAAGCTGGCAGAATTCGCGATACGCGGCTTTGATCTCTGGAAACAGATGGATCTATTCATAGACCTTCAGATCGTATTCTAGCCACGAACTTAGTATACGAGTCCGGATGTGACGAAGCGCTGCAGCACGCAAGTCGTCAACACCGTACATGTCCGCAACTCGATACATGTCAAAGGCGTTTACTGCGGGGAGTAGTTTTCGCGACCAAGAAATCTCGAAGCTGTCGTCTTCCGGCTCGTGGTCATTTACATCTGCGCATGACAATATCACTCTATCTTGCAATACTAAGTGATGTTCTTCAAAGATTGCTACATCTGTGTATATGTAGAACAGCAGCATCTGGAGCTCTTCGTAGTTGAGATCAAGCATCCCGATTACAGGAATTCCTGAGGACTTGGAGAGACGGATCCTAGCTCGCTTTGAATTTGGTTTTTGATCACGAGATCCCGTGGCTGGCGATCCTGAACTGGAGGCAGTGTGCAAAGTTTGTAGTACAATCGAAGCCTCTGAGAAGTTTGAGTTGAGAAGGCTTTGAAAGTAGGGCGAGGCCTTGCACAGGATCTGCCGATGCACTCGCAGCAATCTCGCCTCTTTTTTTTTTTTGGTTACGCATGGCGCAAGGCAAATGTAGTCCGAGTCTAATGAGGTGTTGAGTGTTGCTACGGAGGTGAGCGGACGCTCGAGCTGAGTCTCCGCTGGCTGATGGATCCTCGTGTCAGAAGGCTCAACGTCCGAAAGGTAGCCGGTGATCGCAAAATTAACCCTTCTGACGTCGTGCAATATTGCTGCGTCCTTGAATCGTTGCAAGTCAGCTTCGAGCTTGAACTTTTCCAATTCGTCGCCGACCTTATAAAAGGCCACGTCAGCTCCAGTGCGACATCGCCTAGATGCTCCATCTCTGAGAAGCACACTTCGTCACCAATGGTGGACACAGTAACGTTATGAAAGGCGCCAGCGAGGTACCACGAAATGCTGAGATGGACGGATCTATGATGTTTCTTGAGGTGCTCTTTATCAACGAGAGCATCGTCACCGGGACATATGGCCAGGGAACTGAACGCTCCGTTGAAGTGGAGGAAGAGTTCTGATCTGGTGTGAAAGGAAAATCCTTCCTCTTCATCCGAAGACTCGAAAGGTCCCGATTCGCAAAGTATTTCGTCGAATCTGTCCCCCTTCTCTGTTGAAAGAATGCAGACTTGAAATGGTAGGGCGCGGTTGTATTACGTATGCCGACGATGAAGGATATGTACAACGATGGATACTAACTGAGAACAATGCTGAGGCAAAAGATGCCTCAGCAACAGAGCTCAGGCCCTTATCTCTCCTTGATACGCTCATCGGACATCCGAGGTCTTCGGCCTGATACGCTCATCGGATGGACCGAAGCGTTCGGCTCGATACGAAACGTCGGCCATCCCGACGACTAGCCTGATACGAGTCGATACAGGCACAGCCTTCCTTCAGGACGATGCCTGGAAAGCGCCTTCATGGCAAAAGAAGATGGAGAGGTCCAGCCTCTTGTTACTGCCGAAAAAGCATTTAATGACATCGCCATCTTCAGGGGAAACTTCCACAGTGGTAATTCCTCCCTACAGCCATCTTTTTAGATGCTTGCATACATTGCTTGCCCCTCTTTGCGTGGTGGTCCTGGCGTCGAACCGCTGATTCTGCTCCCATATTTCCCATCATCCATATACGCTTGTGCACACCAGAGCGTATTCTTCTTGCAAAGGTCGTGCATGACAGAAATCACTCCGGAGAGAGTGTTGGCTTATCGGTTCTATGCTTGTACGGCAAGGAGGGGCGAATGAGGTGAGGAGCTTGATGATGGCCCATAGGGAAAAGGCTGAATGCCGAAGGGTTCGCACACTTCTATGTGTGGCTGTGGTGTTGTTCTTCTCCCGTCCGCACGGTCCGAACCGCTCATTGTCACTAGATGAAAGTGCGCAACATGTGAACAGAGAGCGTTCGAAGCTCAGCCGACTCTGCTATCAAAACCTCAATGTCACCGAAGATGCGCAGAAGCCCGGGCACAAGCGCCAATTCCGAGATGAATCCATTCGAGAATCACCAAGGTGATCCTTGGCGACGCCCTCGCCATCAAACTCAAACCACCATTCTCACGCTTAAGCTCAAAATGAAGCTTCCTCTGAACCATCGTATTCTCACCTGCGTTGTTCCTTTCCGCAGCTTTCTCATACGATTCATAATTATGTCAGAAGACCAAGTGAACATCTGCGGCCATAGAACCTTGAAAGCACCGCATCCCGTCCGATCTGCGAAGTTAAGCAAGGTATCGCCTAGTCAGTACTGCGGTGGGGGACCACGCGGGAATCCTCGGTGCTGCAGTTCTTCATTTCTTTTTTGCTTTCTGGCTTCTGGACGCATCCGAGTCAAGGTTTTGCTCAAGGGCAGCGGTGATGTCAAGCTTGGGCAGCGCAGGATGACGTCTCTGGACCTTAGGTGCGCACACTTGGCGCAAACGAGGGACACAAACCGCACGAAGTCAAACAATGGTGAAAGACGAGAAAGGGAATGATTGAGCATAGGGAGAACCTTTCCTGACATGAAACAGAAGACCTTTTTGACAAACAAAAGTGGAAGAGACTACGAAGAGAGTAGAGCGAAACAGGATATCATTTTGGGGTGGGTCGAATGTTGAATTCGACCGAAAAGATTTGAGATGTCGCTGAGCTAGATGCAAGGCAACTGGCGTGCTGAAGGACAACGGAGCAAGGATTGATACGGCTTCACTTCTGAGCAGGAACCTCTTCACTCGAGGCGCCACTTCCGTAACGTTTCAGCTTAGCCCTGCCTTCCAGCGCGTTATCCTCCAACTTGTGTCCGTCATCGGGGTTGCCCGACCCGTGAATACCGTGGAAGTCAGCAGGTCGATCCTCAGGCAAAGCCCACTTGCTGACATCGAACTCGCGATACTCGAACACCTTGTACTCGTTGCCGGTGTACCTGCAGTAGAGCCAAGTGAGACCTGCACGAATAGCACATGTAGCAAAGGTCCAACCGATACTACCCAAAGGAGCGGCAAAAAAAGCACCGAGAACACTAAAGTCGTCCAAGTACAGACCGTTGGGCAGACCAATCAACTTGATACCATCCGCAGCGTTTCCGTAGAAGGCAGTACCGAAGAGGAAGACGGTCAAGAATCCACCAACGGCACCACCGACAGCATCGACACCGTTGAGGAAGTAGAGCTTGGGGATAAGACCGAGCAAGAAAGCAGGGATACAAGCGATGCCAGCAAGATCGGCGATGAGGAAGACTTCGAGAATGTCGATGTTCTTGACGGCAAGAACGACGGAAGGGACGTTGATGCAGACAAGGATGAGACGACACCACCAGATGTTGAGACGGCCGAGGAAAACATCGTTCTGGATGGTCGAGATCTGGGCACTCTGGAAGGTATCGTAAGCCGATGAACTGAGACAACCGGCAAGAACGATGACAATACCAGTGACCCAGTTGGGCAAAGTATTGATGATGTAGAAGAACGTGAGTGAGCCGTCGTCTTCAGCAGTAGGACCATCGAAGAGACCCGACCACCATGCAAGTGGACCAGCCATACCAACAATGAAGCAGATCGCAAAGAGAGGGATGGTGGCGAAAGCGACCGAGAGGTACAAAGCCTTGTTGTTCTTGGACGCGAAAACGCGCTGCCAGAAACCCTGGTTAAACATTTGACTGAAGACCAAAGCAGCAGTCAGGATGTACCAGAGCTCTCCACCGAGTCGCTGGGGCTTGAGCAGACCGGACGACTCGACTCGAGCGTGGTCGATGTCGAGGTTGACACCAACAGCAATTGAGGCGATGACGATAAAGATCATGATGATGATGGCATTCGCGTTGTCAGTGTAGAGCGAGGCCTTGAAGCCACCGTAAGCCGTGTAGATGGTCGTGATGAGTGCAATGACCAGGGCGGCGATGGTGGGGTTGACACCACCGAGAACGTTGACAGTGGAGCCGTAGGTGTTAAGCTCGACAAGCATGAAGCAGAACATGAAACCGACAAAGATAAGGGCAGAGAGAACACCGACGGGCCATCCGTAGCGGCGTCGGATGTACTCGGAAAGCGTAAAACCATCAGGGCAGATGCGTCGAATTTGAGGTCCGAGCCAAGCAAAGACCCAGAGAGGGGCAACGGTCGAGAAGCAGTAGGCGGCAAGACCAAGAATACCGGCGTTGGGGATGACGGCAAGCTGTGGGTAGCCGAAGAAGAGCGATGACGACATGTCTGTTGTGAATAAAAAGAAGTGAGGTTACAAACATCAAGGCAACCGGTGTTTGTGTAAGTAGGTCAGCCGGCATAAAAAGAGCGTAGTGCGGCATCAGCATTGAGAGTTCCTGAAGAATAGCGAGATTGCAGTGAAATCGTCATACCCGAGTCAAAGACGAGGAAGCAAAAGGCGAGGATTGTCGCTGCGAGAGACCATTTGAACTGACCCAGCATAGCTGCATCCTCACGCCTTCAGGTCGCAATGACAACCGTACCTGACCTTGACCCGGGTTAACAATTTCCAGTGCAATCTTGCCTGCCTTCAATACTTTCAACGCTGATACCGCATCAATCTCTGACGCCACCAAAACGAGAGGCGAGCTAAGAGGAGGCATGGAAGTGAGAAGGGAAATCCACGTGGACAGATGGACCACGCAAGCCGAGACTACTATTGGACGCGACGGGACGGAGTAGCTCTTGAGAGCAACAATGTCGTGGGTGCAGCACCAACAGCAGCCAAAGCCTGCATGGAACATTCGTCCAAAGGATGGTACATCGGAGGTATACATGTGGGAGGTTGGGATGGAAAGAGCAGGCATGCAGCATTCCCTTCGCGAGTCCTAACTCGATCAGGTAATATCAGCAACCTGGCTGCCACTGCTTCTCATTATCTGATAGTCGCAAGACTACTGGGCCAAGAAGCAGAGGCAGACCAATGGAAGCCGATGACGGTATGATCTCAGCCCAACATGCCTAGCCAACCATCTGGGAGAACGCGGAAGAACAATCAAGCTCACTTTGCGCTCCCAGACTGCTGACCCTTAGGATTCACAATGTCACAACTGCTGCATCAAGAGACAGAGCAATGTACAAATGCAAACCAGACATGCAAGCACCCGTAGCTGATGCCAAACTGATTGAGTTTGGTCTTTGAAAGGCTTGACGTCCGCCTTGCATCTCTGGATGGAATGACAAGGGGCAAGTTCGGTGGTCTCAGTGTCTTGGGTCGCTCGTCGGAGAGCAAAAGAATCGAATTGTAGAAGGTGGAGCCTGGTCGAGTCGACGTTGCTTTCAGTGTGGCCAACTGTTCATAGATCGATGGAAAGTCTCGGGATTCGTCGAAATGTTTTCGGTCGTTCTGCTTCAGGGGTCCTCGAGCCGTTCCAGTGGAGGTGATGGAGAGCGACATGCCATTAAAGGCCAAATTAAATCAGAAGAGAGGCGTCGAGCCAAAGAGGTGACAAGAAGGGGGGAGACGGAACCAATTACGACGATCAAGGGAAGGGAATTCGCGAAGGGAACATACATATGAAAGCACCACTGTGCTAGTCGCATCTAGCTCGGGCATGGCTCAAGAGCGCTACAGATGCCTTCACAATCACATCCGTTCGAGTCCGCTGTTTGCAGCGGTGGGATGGAGAGAGGATGGAAAACTTGAAAATGGGTGGGACCGGAGTCGGTATACTAACTTGATGCGATCCAGTTGAGCGTGAGTGGGAAGACTGTGGCGTTGTTCAAGCGAAAACCGCAAAAGTATCATCATGTCATATCAGCAACTCGTATGCAAGAAGGAGGAGTCTTTTCGAATTGAGACTTACCACTCTGAGTACGAAGACCGGACAAGAAGTCGGTAGTGTTGCGGACCTTGTAGCCGGCAAAGAGACCGACGAGCAGAAAGCCGCACAAGGTCGAGTAGACCAAGGCGTTGGCCTGCGAAGTGGGCAACATGTTTGCAGAGATGACTTGTCTGCCAAAGAAAGCAGACCCGAATGGTTGAAGGTTGGGATGATGGTGATGGTAGGGGTGGCGAGGAGAAGAAGAAGGTGCACAGGCAGGGTTGTTTGTTGTCGACCAGAGATATAGAGTGGCTGTGGGTTGAAGTTGAGGATTTTTGTTTTGTTTATGCAGTTATGTTTTTAATTCTATCTACTAGCTTCTATGTACATTGTCATATATATATCCTTGGTAATCTCTTCCACATGTGCTAGCCTGTGGTGAGCCACTCATTGTGTCACTCCTGCATTGTCACTTCCTGCATGTTAGTGTGACAATGCTTATGCATCCCACATGTGTTGCCACCTATATGTGTCTTTGCCTCATTGATGACTTGCTTATCTTCCATGGGCCCTGTGATGCTCTGCAGACCCTGTGAATCCTGTTGGAGTATCGACGCGTCTCCCTCAACTGTTGACCGCCCGAGTGCTGTGTGACTCTAGAATTTTGCCCCGCTGATCTGCGCTCTCGTTCCTTTCTGGCCTTTTTCTTCTTGCCAGGCACAAAGAAAAAACGCAAAAAAAAAGGCAGTTTTCCTCGGAAAATTTCCAGGGTTTATCCAGAATGCCGACCGGGCGAAGCTGGTGAAAGCAAACGCCGCTTATTCACGAGCTGACTGAGGCACGTGAAATGCATCAAGGTTGACATGGCAACGGCTCAAGGCTACTCGATGTTCTCAAAGACGATGTGAAGGTATATATACTCATGTTTGTAACCCTAGTCCACTTGAATATGATAAGCATTGCAGTTGCTACACACCTGTGCGGAGAGAGCCTCATCGTGGCCTCAACGAAGTGGTGCATAGATTTCAACTGGCGGCCATCCAACGTGCGAGACTGCATGCACTCGATCTGTCTGAGTCAAGCGAACAACAGACAGCCTTCTTTTTCTTCTAGACCCTCCAAAGGAACACAGAAAATTTGCAAATCAGTTGCGCATGTCTCCGCTTCACCGGTCTCGAATTCGATTTTGCTAATCCCGTCTGGACTCAATCGCACGAAACCAAACCAAAAATGTAAATACCTAACACGAACAAACTAAGTGGATTGCAGGCAAAGAGTCGTGAGGTCCTCGAAGCTCGACAAGGAGGCTCGGTCGAGCGCAGAAACGAGCGGCAAGGGAGGGTGTACAGAGAGAGCAAATAACGACGAACCAGGCTGCTAACAGTACGCCTGGCTTTGGTGGAGATGATGGTAGTGAAGAGAGGAGCGAAGAAGCGGAAGAATTCGATTGTTAAGTCCAGCCCAGACGCGCACGCCTTCATTATTGATCACGTGATGCAACCTCTCTCGCCTTCGAGTTCCGCCGTTTTCAACAGGAAAGCCGTTGCCACCTTCGTCGACCGGATCGTGTCTCAAGCCCCTGCTTGGCTGCAAAACCGCCTATGGCTGCATGGCGAGACATCGATTGCCCGCATCAATAAAACTTCTGATGCCCTCACACTCTTCAGTGAACTGCTCAGATGCTGACACAAACAATCCGAGCGTGAGCGTTATCCTGTTCCAAATTAATGTCATTGAATAGTCCATGCGATGCTGATAAAAATGCGATGTATATATATACAATGCTTATGAACTAGATGCTAAAAGTGAAGAGTTTCGGAACATGAAAGATAATGAAGAGGTACGGCCGGGCTAGCTCAGCTGCCCCAAACAGCTCGAAGATTCTTGAGTTTGTTTCCGCCGATAGCTTTGGTCGTGCCTCGGCCGCTCATTTTGACCTCGGTGCCATCGGCACGCCTCAACGTCGACATGTCGTGGGTCATTTGCGCCGTGGATGCATCAACACCCTGAAGGGCACCGAGGATAGTCGAGTCTACAGCCACCTTGCTCATCATCTCCTTGACCGAGGCTGGAGCGTTCGGGGTTTCCGAAGTGGACGTCTTCTCCTTCTCAAACGTCGAGAGCAGCTGGGTGCTGATACGGCGAGATGATCGTTCGACAGCTGGCGCCTTCTGTGCTCGCATCGCTGTGGGTCGCACCAACTGTGGCGCAGGCACCGCACCTGGCTGTAGCACAGGCTTAGGAAGAGGTCGCTTCTCTGGTTTGGCGTAGGTCTGATTCGATGCAGTCGATTCACCGACTCTGGCAAAGACTGGCTTGGACACGCTCGTGTTGAGGAACTGTGGCGCAGTGAAGCTCTTGAGTGATTCAGGCTTCGCTGAGTTGGCTGCTCCTCCGAAAGTAGCAGCAATAGCAGTGACGCCGGTTGTGGATGCCGACGTTACCATCGCCTTCTTGCTGAAGTCGAGCGCAGGAGCGCCACCGGTTGCTGACGACGATCGTCGTGGCTTGGGCTTCACAGTAGAAGCACTGGAAGGTGAAGCCGAACGAGGCTGAGAGTCGGTCTGTGGAGCCGCTAGAGAGCCTTGATCAACTTCAGTTGCTCCAACATCTTCGTCGCCTGCGATCTTGGACCAAAGCTGAGCCACAGAGGCAACACGTCCTCCTCGACCGCCGCGAGCAGAACGTGCGTCGTAGCCTGCCTCATCCTTGCCACATTGCTTGGTCTGCGAAGTGGGCGCCATCAGAGACTTCTCGACACGTGAAGGAATGCCGACTTCACGTGCTTCAGGGTTGCGAGACACACGACGTTCGCTGCTCAGTGGCAAATTGGAGTTCGAGCTTGAGACTGGAAGAGCAGCTCCGGAGACGTTCCTGACATCGACGATCCCGCTGTGGGCTGGCAAGACAGGACGAGGCCATGAGGGCATTGATGTGTGACGCTCTCGCTTGACCTCTGACGACGACGCCTGCGATGCAGAGGGAGCTGGCACCACACTTGGAGGCGCTTTGTCAGATGCTCCGAGGCCAGAGATTCGACGGCTGATCGGATGCTCCTTGAGCGCAGTGCCCGACTTGCGAGCTGGTCGAATGTCGGAGCTGTCCACCAGCGCTCTCAGCTCAGCAGAGAGCTGTGGAACTGTGTCATCCTTGGTTGCACGACTCTCGACGGCAGCATGAAAAGCTTTCGAAGACGGTGTGAGGTCGGCCATGGTACGAGACTTAGGCATGGAACCCTCGACAGTCTGAGAACGAGCTGACTTGCCGTCCCACAGAGGATTGATCACCTGTGAAGGCGAGCGGTAATCGAATGACGATCGAGCTTCGTCATTCGTCGCGGCGGATAGCCTCGGCTCCTCCCTCTTCAGCACCGACAGCACTGACGCACTGGGCGTACCAGGTGTCTCCATGTGCGAAGGGTTGGGACTAGCAGCGTTCGAGAGCCATCCATCGATACGGTGCACGGCCTGCCGCTGGAGCGCGACGCGATCCCGATCGCTCGTCCGGCCTGGAGCAGCAAATGATGGTACAGTCGTCTTGGATGGAACCGAGGGTGCGATCGAACTGGCCGCCGGTGTGATGGCTGCGTGAATCCTTTCAATTGGTGTGCTTGGCGTGCTCGACGTCTTCGCCTTGGCAGCAGCGGCTTCGCTTCGTCGACGGGATTCTCTCTCTGCTTCGGCTGCTGCTCGAGCCTGAGCAGCTTCGGCTTCAGCAGTTTGGCGTAAATGTCGTTCTCTTTCCTCCTCTTCTTGACGCTTTCGCAGCTCCTGTTCTCGTGCAAGCCTCTCGGCCTCGTCCTTGAGTCGCTGCTTCTCTTCCTGCTCACGTGTCTCGCGCTGTCGACGGGCATGCTCTGCAATCCTCTCCCTCTCCTGTCGTTGTTGCTCGGCTTCACGGATCCGTCTACCCTCCCTCTCGGCCGCTTCCCTTTCTGCGGCAGCAGCCTGTCTGGCCTCTTCTTCTCGCAGCTGTCGTTTACGTTCTTCAGCGCCGCGAGCTTGCTCCTCGGCGCTTCGTCGCTCAGATTCTTCGTGAGCCAGAGCAGCTGCACGCAATGCGCTGTTCTTGCGCGACCTTGTCGCACCGCCATGCCCCACGGACGGAGATGCCAAGGGGCTGAAAGTGCCATCAGCTCGAGCCACATTGGCCATAGTGACAGTAGCACGCGGGCTCGAAGCGATCTTGGGTGTGGTTGAACGAACTAGGTTCGTCTCTAACGCTTGAAGTCCAATGCCGTGTGATGAAGAAGAGCGACGCAGCGACACCACAGACGGTCGACGATCTACTTTCGACTGACTCGACTCCGGTTTGCTTTCCTGAGAGCGACGGACGTTGGCGGCGGAAGCTTCGACGGCTGGCTTGTCGCGTTGATTCTCCTCAACCAGCGGACTGTGAGGTAGCTCTGGAGAAGACATTGTCTGGAAGATGTCACTGGCTCGGGGTCTGTAGGTGCCCGTCGATGATGCTTGCGATGCTTGTGACGCCTCGTTTCGGCGATTCGTTGAATTCGCGGGCGTTGGTCCCGGTCCTTCACGATTAGGGGCGGACGGTTGAGCGACTGAAGCAGCTTGAGCCTCAGTCATGCGCGAAGGGAAAGCATCATCGTCGGGCTGCATGCCCATAGCGATCATCTGCCTCTTGACCTCCTCTTCGTCCTCTTCGGCTTCAGCCATCGCCTCGAATTGTTCGATGTTGTTCCTCGAGACGCTGCTGCCATTCATCCCTTTGGTTCCGGTCTTTCCGAGCGTCGGCAGCTTCTGCAGCGTCTTGATCGTGCCAGCCTGAGACTCGCCGTCTTCTTCGATCGTGGCGAGACCAGCGATAGGAGGTGCTCCTCCTGCGCCTGAGAATGCGTTCATCGGTGGTTGCGGCGGCGGAGCCGAGTATTGCTTCGGGCTTGGCGCTGATTTTTGAATGTTCTGAGGTTCCGGCATGGGTGGCAAGACCTCCCTCTCCGTGTTCTGATAGGTGACGTGCTGAGGCGGAGCGCCACCATAAGGTTCTTGAGACGTAATAGACCCACGCCTGCCGTCCATGTCTGCAGCAGCCACCTGTGGCAAGGGCATACCAGGTGCATGATTGGGAGGGACGAAGTTGGCATGCTGGGCCAGGGCAGCAGGACCGGGTGAAGTTGACATGGCTCGCTGTGTCACCGTCCACGCAGCTACCGGATCCGTGATCTGTGCAGCGGGATGATTGGCGGGCTGTGAGAGTCCGACGTTGTGGAACACGTCTGGTGCAGCACTAACAGATCGTTGAATATAATGACCAGCCATAGGTGCTGGCGTCATGAATCGACTTGCATTCCAGCTGTTGGCAGCCGGGTTCCACTCCAATTGGCCATTGGGGCTGAGCACGAAAGGCTGCGCCTGGGATGGCAGCTGGATCATACCTGGAGCAGTGCTGGCGGGTCTTGAAGACGGTACAGCGCGATGACGGGGATCAAACATGGGTGCGGGCGACCAGCCTCGCTCGGCAGCGATGCGCTTGACCTCGAGCATGCCGGGATCCATCTGCGGTCCATGATGGCCATGATGCGGATGCGCCTGGGCTGAGTGGACTTGATGCTGTGTTTGATGATGATGATTGTGTTGGTGATGGTGATGCTGAGCCTGGTGTGGAGCAGAGACGTGCGAATGGCCCATGGACGAGTGCGGTCGCTGTGGGAGGGAATGCGCTGGTGGTCCGGCTTCAAACCCTCCATGGTTCCTCTGAGCCTCTCCGCTTCCGCTGGCTGTGTGAGCGACATAGATCGGGATCTCGATAGTCAGATCCTTGGCAAAAGAGCCGAGCAAGAGACTGACCATGGCGAAGGTTCGCACCTCGAAGAGTCGAGTTTTGCGAATGGTACGCAGGTCCCTAGGAATGTCGACAGCAACGGTGCAAACGGACTCGGCGTTGGGTCCAAACTCGTACTCGCGTCCTTTGAAGATCTGATCGTGCACGATTTCGGTGATACGTGGCTCAAGTGAGACCTTGTCAGGACTGTCGTGCAAGCCCTCGGTGCTACCTACGGGGAAGATGAGGCGTCGAGCTAATGCAACCTTGATACCGCTGAGGTGACGTTTGGTGTTGTTCTTGACACCGCATCGAACCAGCATCTGACCACCTCCCCAGAAGAGCTGTTCAGAGATGCCAGCTTCGAGCCAGACTGCGCCGTTGCCACCCATGAAGAGGCGAGTGTCGCCGACCGCCTCGACCGCCTCGCGGAAGCGAGGGTGATACTCGTCAGACCACTTCTCAATAACGAATGCCTCTCTTCGAGCCGTCACAATCATCTTGTCCTCGTTATACCAGGTCTGAACAGTGGCCTTGAGACCATAGCGTAGCGATGCATTGCCAGCAAAGGTGACGCATGATGGCGCGGAGGAAGGCAAGCGGAAGCTGAAGGGGAAGGTAGTTCGACCTTTGCGGGCGGTCCAGTAGCCGTTGACGGGTGCAGCTGGCAAGACAGCATTGGAAGGAGGCAGGCTGTCACCTTGAAACATGGTGCGGTTGTAGAGGAAGAGTTGTGTCGCTGCATGGTCGCGAGAGGTGAGCTGCTCGACTGCTTCGAGCTCGATCGCAATCTGTCCCAAGCGAAGGCGCTGACTGGTCGTGCAGGTGAGTTCGACCTTGCCGCTGACCATTGCGCCTGCTTCAAAGATGTTGCTTGAGAGCACCACATCGACCTTGACCTTGGGGTGCTTAGTAACCATGTTCACGTGGTCCTGTGTGCGGTCTCGCTGCTCTGCTGGATCTTCCAGACCGCCAAATTCGGGGTCATAGCGAGAAGGTGGTCGTACTGCAGGAGACAGGGCACGTGCGCGAGAAGCGGGTCGCATGTGGGGGACGAGAGCATGGTCGAGAGAATCACCAAGTGCGTCAATTTCGCTGGGCAGGGGAGGCAGACCAAGCTCATGCTTCCAAGAGAAGGAGTTGCTTCGATGCAGGCGTTGCTCTTGCGGCATCGGGGAACGTGATGGGTCGTAGACATGCTGGTGGGAATATGCTTGATGACCTGCAGCCGATGCTGGACGACTTCCAGGAATGGGGCTTGGAGGTGCGAACATGGTCGGTCGAGAGATATGTGAGGAGGGCAAGGACTGGTTCGTGATGATCTTGCTGGGTAGCTTCGTCCGTCTCGTTTGGTAACAGATCGTGAATGATGTTCGTCTTGGTTGATATAGTCGTTATGGTGCTCGTTGCTGTCTTCTTTCTAGCTCAGAAGTGGTTAAAAGGAAACCCCCGACGAGCTCGATGCTGGTGCGTGCAGCAGCTTAATGTACGAAAGCGCTAGGCGCAACGTCGCTACAAATCAGAGTCGGGCTAGTAGTGATGATGGAGAAGGTAAGGTGATGATGGTGATCCAGCTCCTGTTCTGGTAGTTATTCAAGCTTTCATCAAGAGCGAGCATACAAAGTGGGAGCAATTGCTGGAACACAGGTCAACTCCGACAGCGTCTGTTGCTCTTGCTCTGCGCAATTTGGCAGCAGCCCCTATCCTCTTTTTCAGGAGTCCAACACCTTTTTTTATGTATTTTTCGGAATTTTGTTTTGATTTTTTTGATTTTTTTGATTTTTTTTTCCGAGTGTGTGAAGCGCGAGGGTCGCGACTCCTCTTTGCTCTTTCATGTGAGCTTTGTGACGCCGAAATTTTAGACAGAAGAACTCACCGCAAGAGGTCTGTTCCACAACCATTCTTGCTGCTCTATGCTAGCTTGGCACAACCCGGATGAGAGGGTAATGTCCGGTCAACATGCAGATCCGGAAGATGCTGTAATAGACCACACTTGTCTGCCTCGAGTTCCATCAGCCGTTGCAAGCTGGCCCCTTTCAAGTGCTGTGCAGGCTTGTGCTCAAGATTGCTCAGAATCGCAGCTGCGTCTGCTACCATCCTTGTTGCCTTCCTTTTCTCACTTTTATTTTTACTCGCCGCTCATCTCGGTCCACACACAAGAATGTCGTGAGCTTCGTCCGAGAAGACCATCTCTTCGAGCAAAGGGGCTAATCAATCACGACGAGGAGAAGAATACATATCTGCTTTTTGGGGGGAGACGTAGACAGGGTGCAGAACATCGGGTGGAGATTTTGGTTAGGCGATTCGGGTCAACATCCCAAAGTCCGCACGGTCAGAGGGGATGGTACAATGACCAGAACCGTCAGGCGGAGCATAGTGGACAAATGAGCCTCTGTTATGAGCGCAGACTCCGCTGTAGTGTTGGCAGCAAGGCATAATTGATAGTTATCTGTATCGATCAGTGAAGAGAGTGGGTCAAGTGTAAAGACCGAAGGACAAAGCTTGCTGGCTTGGCTCGCAGCCTATTTTAGGCCAGCGAAGGGAAGGCGTTCTTGTCGGCAAGGTTGACCTGAGCACTGTTGCCACGTCCACCACGACCGCCACGGCCACGGCCGGCACCACGCTCACCACGGGGAGCACCACGGCTGCCACCACGGGCACCGCCACGGCCACCACGCTGAACAGCGGGCTGGTTGAAGGTCTGCTCGATCTCGAGGACCTGCTTGCCCTCCTTCTGAGAGCGGGCCTTGGCCTTCTGGGCCTTGGTCGAGGTGAAGTAGTCAAGCTCCTCCTTCTCGTGCTTGGTGAGCTTGGCGTAAGCCGAATCATCGGCGGGAACCTCACGGGGAGACTTGGACTCGATGTTGAGCTTCTTGCCGGCCTTGGAGGCAAGGTACTGGTCGAGGGTCATGGTCTTGTCCTCCTCCTCCTCAGGGACCTTCTCGGCCTCGGCGGCAGGGGCAGCGGCCTCGGCGGCGCCAGCAGCCTTGGCACCCTCAGCCTGGGCATCGGCCTCGGCCTTCTGCTCGTTGTCGAGCTCCTTCTTGCCGTCTTCACCGCCCCAGCCCTGGGCGACAGCCTTCTGCGAGTCGACACGGTCGGTCTGCGAGTGACGGTCGAAAGCACGGCCTCGGTGGGCACCGCGGCCACGACCACGACCACCACGACCACGGCCCTCACCGTTACCACGGCCACGACCGGAGCGGGCGTCCTTCTGCTGCTCACCTTCGACGGCGGCGTCGGTAGCGCGGTCGGCGCGGGGAGCACCGTTGCGGGCACCACCACGGCGCTGGTTGCCGGCACCGGGGATGTTGCGCTGGGGTTGGGCGGCAGCGGCGGGAGCAGCGGCCTTAACGGGGGCGGCCTTGGGGGCAGCGAGGTCCTCACCGTCGTCTGGAAGATGGTGCAACGGCGTCACAGTAGATAGAAAAGTCAGTGTTGAGTCATTAGAACAACGGGAACGAGTGGGCAGCGTCGATGACTGTTGCTCGCCCTACTCATCTAGCAGCCAATGGACAGTGTGTAACCATCTGAGAGGATGGCGGGGTTGCTGATACGTTGATGCGCTGCAAGGATAGCCGGATGTTGACACTTACCACCAAGGATGGCGAAAGGGTTTCTGTTTGCGACCGACATGGCGTACGGTCGTCTTTGATCCTTTCAGGCGTGAACTATGAGCGTCAAAGAGATGGACGGAGGAGGTTGAATGTCAGAAAAGGAGGTTCTTTGCCAATTGATTAGGTTGCACTTTCGACCGTGGCAGACGTCGACGGCGGTCAAGGTGTTGCGTTCACCAATGGAGGGCACGATGGCTGGTGATGAGCGTTGCGCGTGAGATTTCGCCTTGTTGAGGAGCCCTGAGCCAGCTCCGGGACCTTGAAAAGGTCTCTAAAGCAACCAGCACGCTAGTACAACGAGACCAAACAATAGGACCAGATCCGAGCCGGTGTCACAAGCATCCAATGCAAAGCTGTCGATCATCTGACGAGATGTTGTGATGATTGTCTAGCACGCTGGGAATGGCTGGACGGCTTAGAGTCGGATAAGGGCCTTGAACGACTTGGCAGCAAGTAACAATGCGCATTGCCATTTACACCCGTTTCGAGCTTGACCGGCATGAGCAGAACTGTACCATCCATCGAGAAGGACCTGCCACGTGCATGCCAATGACGAACGACAACATGGGAGCAATGATTACTAACCTTCTAAAAAGGAGCGAAACGCAGGAACAGTCTGGTGAGGGTGAAGAAGAAAGAGTCGAGAATGTGGTCGAGGCGACACGGTGAGATGAATGGAAGTCAGTTGGTTGTTGCAATTACGAATTGGGGTTGAGGCTGATGTCGCAATCGAAAGCATTGGGAAAGCAGACTCAGTGACAATCTGAGTGGGCCTTCTGCTTCCAGAAGTTGCGTGTCGAGGCTAGTTTGGACTGGGTCAAGGTGCGCTGCTCTGTCGTTCAACGTAACGATGCATGTGCCAATCGATATTGAGCTGTACTTGGGGCTCGGCGCTCAATAAGCGCAAGTGTGCCGCGTACAGCAAAGGTGATCAAAGACGTTACGTGCTGTCGAAGAGCAGCATGGATCCTTTCCGCGTCGGCTGCCGACATGAAACTTTCTGCCGGCTGGAGCTGTGCGATGCTGGTTGCCGAGCTGAAAAGAGCAATTGCTTCCTGTGCGATGCTGGATTAGACACGTACTTTCCGTGATAGGAAGAAGGTGTAGATACGAAACACCGGTAGAGAATAGGGTGAAGGGAGCGAGGAGGAAGTCTAGTGACGATCGAGAGCTTGTTCCCACACACAGGAGCAGCTCCAGCGAGACAGCGCTTCGACCACCAAAGACGACGATTTTCCTCTTCGTCCTCGCTGCTGCTGCTGCTGCTTCTTCTTGCTCTGTTCACAAGAAGGCGCTTTGCTGGTGTCCTGTTTTCTTCTTTCTCTCTTTCATTTGCCTGCTTGCCCGTCCTGTCACTTTGTTGCTTCCTTCCAGTTGAATACAATATTGCTCTCAGGCTAGAAATAATTTTGTATTCAGATTTGCTTGGCTCTGGAAAAAGAGGGAGAAAGCCTTGAATACTTTGGCGCCTACTGTCCCCTCGAATCTCTTCTTTGGTTGGCCTGTCACACCGCAATCGGAAAAAGGCTTCCACCTTTGTTTTTCTTCGAAGCGTTGGCAGATGCAAATACAAAAAGCTCAATGCACACCTGAATTCAAAGTGGGAACTCGATTTTTTTACCCACCAAGCCTGCAAAAGCTCATAGTCGATCAGTTCTCTCTCCTGCCAATCCGTACGAACGAAGAGCAAGACCAGAAGGCATCAACAAGTTCATCCCTACGCTGCCTTTCGTCCATCAAACACTCGGAGCGTTGATCATGAATATCTTGGATGATGCCCTCCATGCTTGCTCTCGTTAATGGTCCGTGCTGCATGTTCACACCCTCCCGAGACAGACGTGGGTGACAGGTCTTGGAAAATGTAAAAGTGTGTCTATGCTCGCGCGACCTTGGAGCTGGAGTCTCTTCGCGGGTCCGGTGTCCGAAATGACCGCAGCAAGTTCAACAAAAAATAGAGGCAAAAAAAACAATGTTTGAACGGTCTAACAGCTTGAAATTGGCCTCATGTGTAGGTGGTGGTATGTCGAGCGAGATCTTGGCTAGGTCCATTTTACAAGCCGCTTGTCCCAACAGCACGAGTCAATGCATAGACATCTCACTTTCACATTGCAGTCACTCACATTCAAGCGAAGAGGCATCGGAAACAATATGGCTCGCTGGCCAATGATGATATTTTCCATCCAGACAATGCAGACGCAATATAGAAAGCATCGCCGGAAGGTCGAGATACGCGTACGTGATACAAGACGATCGCATGATATGTGTGTGGTACAATGTATGCAGAAGCTTTTTGACAGCGTACAGCGTGTAGGCTCGCTGGTTGTTGATCACATAGGACCAGCCAAAAGAGGCGCAAAGCTGAATGCCAGAACTGTGTTTCAGAAAGACAAGAGCGGCAAGGCCAACCCGCGAAGGAAACAAGAAAAGGGGGGAATGTAGGGAAGCTTGGGGCAAGAGAGGGCGAGAGATGCAAAAGGGGAGAAAGCCGACGCTGAGGAGGCGAGCTTAGTAGGCAGCCTCGGGCTGAACCTCGGCGGCGGGGGCAGTGGGGGCGGCCTGAGCCTGCTGGGCAGGAGCGGCAACCTCGGCGGGGGCCTGTCGCGACTCGGAGACGGGAGCGAGGATGGGGGCCTCCTCCTTGGGTTCGAGGATGGTGACAGCGTCGGGGAGGGGGAAGGGCTTGCCAGCACGTCCCTCGGGGTCCCAGCCCTGCATGATCTTGACCTTGATACCGAGAACACCCTGCTTCATAAGAACGTGACGAACCGCCTCGTCAACAAAGTCCTTGACGGGCTGACCGGAGTGGATCATGAAACCGTCGGTGAACTTCATCGACTTGGCACGGGCAGCACGAAGCTTACCGGAGATGACGACCTCGCAACCCTTGGCACCGGACTCCATGACGAATCGGAGAACACCGTAGGCGGCACGACGGACGGCAAGACCACCGAGAAGCTTGTATCGGAGCGACTCGCACTGGGCGACGGCGTGGAGTCCACGGTTCTGGACCTTCTCGGCGTACAGCTCGAGCGAGTTTTCGGGGAACTTGAATCGCTTCTGGACGAGAGCAGTGAGCTCACGAATGCGGCGACCCTTGTCACCAAGAACCTCTTGGGTGTGAGTGGCGCGGATGATGATCTCAGTGCGAGCGTGGGTAACACGAACCTCGCAACCAGAGTATCCCTCCTCGGAAAGCTCACGAGTGAAGAACTCGTTTAGCTCGGCGGCGAAAACACCGTCAGCGACAAACTAAGCGGTAAGAACAAAGGCGAAAAGAGATGATGTCAGGATGTTATTGTCTGGATAGGAAGCTGAATCTGAGCATCTGCTCTGCTCCGTGCGCGCAACTGGAAAGCATGCTCTCGTGGATTGGTTTTGCTGTTTTGAGGCGAAAAAAGTTATGGCCGTGACTGCAAGTAGACTGTACTCAATGGTTCTATACGGTGGCTACGGATTGTCCCTGACCAAAGGCAGACTTGGCATCGCCTGCGCTAGTCTAGCTAAGCTATCATGCAGGTCAAGAGCCACAGTCGCAAATTACTAGTTGCGGTCACTGAGTCGATGCTGCTCTTAGATGGGGTTGAGACGCTTCGGAGCGCGGTCGCTAGTGTGCTGTTATTGGCCCTGTCACAAATCGTTGAAGTGCAAAAACTAGGCGACAAGGTTCCGGCTTGTTTGCAGTGTAGTCAACAGCGAATCGTCGAATGCACGACAAGAAACCTCTTGCTGACCGTGTCTCTTCATGGCAACAAGCCATAGTCACATGCGCTCCTGACCTGTGCTTCCGACCCTCTGTCTTCCCATTGAGACTGGTTCCCTTGTTGCTGGTGTGACTACTACTTGGTATCCTTGCCGGTTGTCGATGGACACAACAGAGCGCGTCGAAATTGGGCAAAGTGCGAGTTGTAGCTGACTTCTGGCGATGAGACGATCATCTATGTGGGCGGAGTGCTGGTATGTTTCGCGATCATGGTTTCAACTAGGTGGCTGTACTGGTGTCGCTGCAGAGCATGCTGATGTGTAACGTGCGGGGAGCAGATGCTGAGATGGCTGAAGATGGTTGATGCCTTACCTTTCTCTTCTTGGAAATGTTAGCGGAAGCCATCTTGAAGATATGTGTGTTGATGGTGAGACGGTAGTGACGACGACTAATTCGAATCCTTGAACCTGACAGACTCGAAGCTCTCTCGAAGTTGGACTGCACACTCACATTGCTGCTGCCGCCTTGCTGCCTGCTGCGAGAACACCTGGCTGCAGCACAGTCTTGGGAAAATTCGACGAGGCAGCTGGAGCGCTTGCAGTCTAGCAGTCTTGCTGCTTGCTGCCTTTGCTGCTGACCAGGCCCAAAGCCCTTTGCGCGCAACGGTTGCCTGCTGCACCCAATCAAGAGGCTTGCTCAAGGCAGTTCCCAACGTTGCTGAGCTACGAAATTTCCTTCAGCAGCAGCGCGAACAGATTCTCAGGTTAAAATCTGCTGCTCGAACCCAGCCAGAGATCGACTTCGGCCGACATCAGCGGCAGGCAAATTTCAGCTGTAAATCTGTCAATCGGGATACCGATCCAGCTATTGCAGCATGATTGCAAGTCGCGAAATTCGTGCAGGTCTAACATGTCGACGCTCTTGGCTTGTGCGCAGTGATTCACGTCGAGCTGCAGGGTCTTAATCACACCGCCTGTCAAAAGTCACACAGTCTGCGAGTTGCTCGTGTGCCCTCTGCGTTTGTGTGTGTGTGTGCCGAGTAGAGGCTGAAGCGGTCACTTTCATGCCACCTGATAACCGTGACTAAGATCAAATGACTATCAGACGCTGATGCGGTCCGTAAGCAACCTTCCTCCCATCATCACAATCACCACCACGACCATCAACAACAACGACTACCCGTCTGCGGAACCCGGGGCACGGCACCGCAATGGCTCCAACAACATCAAGATCAGCATCAACACGGCAAGCTTCGCATGCGGGCAGCTGGTACTCTGACAACCAAAAAGATCTCGATGCCTCGCTCTCCGAGTGGCTCGAGGATGTCGACGTCAAGTCACTCCCAACACCACTATCCGTTTGCGAGCACAAACCTTCCGCAGAATCACTACCACTTCCGATCACAAACTGTCGGGCTCTGATCGGTCCGCATGCAGGATACTCTTACTCTGGTCCTGCTGCCGCATATGCTTATCGCTGCATCGACAATTCTCAAATCGAGCGCATCTTCATCCTTGGCCCTTCGCATCATGTCTATCTCGATGGCTGTGCCGTCTCTGGCTGCGAAGAATATGAAACGCCGCTCGGTAATCTCAAGATCGACCGTCAGATCACAGAGGCACTGAAAGCAACGGGAAAGTTCGGCACAATGACGCAGTCACAGGACGAAGACGAGCATAGCATTGAGATGCATCTACCTTACATCTACAAGATGTTTAAGGGCAAGTCAATTCAGATCGTTCCCATTTTAGTAGGCGCTATCAATACGAGCAAAGAGGATGCCTACGGAAAGTTGCTTGCACCCTACCTCAAGGATCCTCGCAACTTCTTCGTAGTCTCGAGCGACTTTTGTCATTGGGGATCACGCTTCAGCTACACCTACTACCGTCCAGCTGGGTCGAGCTTGGCAACGACACTGTCAAACAGGTCTCCTCGCTCTGCATACGAACAGCCGCCTATTCACCAGAGCATTCGAGAGCTGGACGAGAGCGGAATCGAAGCCATCACCCATCCTTGGACCAAAGGTGGCAAAACAGGTAAATCAGCAGAAGAGGCAAGACTCGCTTTTGCAGAGTACCTCAGCTCAACTAAGAATACAGTCTGCGGAAGACACCCCATCGGTGTTCTGCTTGCAGCCTTGGCGGAGCTCGAAAAGACGGACAAGATCCAGACAGAGTGTCGCTTCACAAGATACGAGCAGAGCAGTCAGTGTTTGACGCCGCAAGATTCATCCGTTTCGTATGCTTCCGCGTTCGTTCGCTTCCGGCACTGAACAGCGATTAAAGGCACTGTCGCTCTTTCGAACCGTTCTTACTCTTTTGCTGTCTGCTTTGACTTCGTCTGTTGACGGCTCCGTTCCATGTCTCGTCTGTTATCAGCAAGCTTGTTCTCTCGGTTCTATCCGCATTTCTTTGCATCTCGACATTATTTGCATCATCTCATTTGTATCTTTGTTGTGATTGATTGTGGCACACTTGTCTCAACATCCCTGGCATCCCTGGGGGTCAGAAACATTCTTCACACAATTGACACAGACCCATATGATGGAGGCTTGAAATAAAATGGTATGACCTGTGCGTGACTGATGACAATGTTCAGCAAGGTTGGTGCGATGATTATGCACCAGGCTGACCCGGCTGCGGCTGCGCAGCTTGCGATTGAAGCTCTTGCAGCTTCTCCGCGAGTCTCTGAGCTTCATTGACTATGACAGCCTCGTCCACCCAAGCTCCGCGGAAGGTCTCGGCTCTTCGCATCTCCTCTGCAGTGAAGTTCGAGACCGATCCACCTGCGCCTGGCACTGGGTTGTTGCCGAGGATGGCGTCCAGGTCGCGTGCTTGGCTGGCGATCCAGGTGCGAAGGTGACCCTGAGGATCCTTGGCAAACGCAGCGAGGAAATCGCGTGCGCTCGCTCGGTTGCGGATGGTAGCGGTCGCTTGAGCGATCTTATCGTCGAGCTCGGCGATTTCGCGCGATGTTGCGTCGTTGGCGGCGTCAAATTGACTCAAGACGTTGTGCTGCTTTTGTCGGATCGCAAGATCTTCGAGATCGAGCTCAATATCGTAGGCAGTTGAATGCTTGTACTCGGCCTTGTCGGTGCGAACCCAGTACTCGATGACGATGGGCTGAGCAGGGTGGAGATAACGGTTGATGACCTCGGGAATGTGGTGGAAGTTGATCGTGTCAGTGTTGAAGAGCGAACGGAGCGCAGCATCACACTTGACCTTCTTGCGATCGGTCTCGTCTAGAAGCTTCTTCTCCTTGACGTAGGACCAAAGCGCCGAAATGACGCCTGCACGAGATTCTTCGCGAATGTCGAGCAGCGTTGCAAGCTCAGGTGCTAACGAGTAGCGATCTGGAGTATAAGCAGGGTAGAGGACAATCTTGACCTTGGTGGGTACGTTGCCCTTGCGCTTGATCTCGAAGCCATCCAATGCTGGCTCTGCACTGGCAATCAGCGGCGCCTCCATGCCTTGAGTGCCTCCAAGACCTCCGGCACCACCACCTGCCTGCATACCACTGGCAGGTGCGATCGAAGGGACAGGGCGATGCCACTCTACGATGTTGCTGCCGTCTGGATAAAGAGCCGGATCGCGCATCAGCTCGACAACGCATGTCTTGATAAGATTGCTGAACTTGTGTGCTCCGGTACGGTTGATGCTCGCTTGTGCCGAGAGAGCTGTGTTGGCGCGCGACTTGAAAGAGGGCTCAAGCAAACGACCTTCGATGCGCAGAGTCCACGAGGGAACAGCGTCCTCTTCCTTACCATCACCCGAGTCAGTGTCGCCTTCCGCTTTGACATCGCCGGCCTCTCCTGTCTCTGCTGATGCGGCGGCAGCGTTGGCGCCGGATTCCTTTGCCTTCTGCTTCTCAGCGAGCTGGAAAGGTTGATTGGCACAGGTGTTGCTGAGGAAGATGCGCAAAGTACGCTTGATCTTGGGTGGTCGCGAAAGGCCATCGGTAAGCTCGGCGCGTTTCCTTGCAACGGTCCAGTCGAGGTTCTTTTCCATGCGCTGGAGATCCGAGTAGAACGCTGATTCTGGTACTTGACGCTTCAATGATGGAGGCAGGCTGCGGTCGGTGGGACGCCCTCGCTTGAGTCCGCGGAAACCTTGTCCCACCAATACGTCTTGCGCATTTTTTCGTCGCAGATTCTGAGCCTGCTGTTGTGCTTGCGCGTGCGCCTGGGCCTGGGCCATCTGCATTTGCATTTGCATCTGCATTTGCGCGTGCGCTTGGGCTTGGGCTTGGGCTTGGGCTTGGGCCTGAGCCTGTGCTTGAGCCTGAGCCATATGTGCTGGGTTGTCCATGGCTAACGGTACGTGTGCGAACCGAGGAGCAGATGAAGCTGAATGGTACTGGTGATGCTGTGAGTACAGTGGGTATGAGGGAGCTTGACGTAGCTGGGGATGCTCTCGATTGTAATTGTGGTACGGAGGACTTGGGACAGCTCGCGCTGGATTCGGGCCAAGACGGGGTGAGGCCGGTGCGAACTGGGACGCAGGATGTTGTGAAGCGGTCACACGCTGTGGAAAGCTGTGTCCTGAAGGATGAGGCGAGAACGCGTTATACGGACCAGCGGGAGCAGGCTGCGGCGAAGCTAGATAGACAGGAGATCGGCGATACGCTTGCTGATATGGCGCGTATGGATAGTGATGATCCAGAGCACCAGGAGAAATGTGCGAAGGATGATGAACTACAGCGGGTGTCGAGCCTCGCGGATAAGATTGATCTCGGGGCGATTCGTCGAAAGAATAGGCAGCGTCGTGGAGGGGTGGGAAGCTACCGTGAAAGTGTGGTTGAGGACTCCGCTGATGATGTAGTTGGGGTCGATGGAGTGCGAGAGGCGAGCCTGGTAAAGGTGCGCGGTTGTAGCCAGATGCCAAGTGGGAGGGAACAGGACGAGCTGGGAAGCTGCTAGAAGCGCTATCTGATGCTGTTACAGTAGGGTACGGGTTCGCGCGGCGAGAGGCAGTCGATGATTGTGACGAGGACCGAACAGACTTGGTGCTGCAACGGGGAGGTCTAGTCTGAGGCGTGGTCTCGTGAAGCCGAGGTGAGGGTTCAGCAGCAGGCGTTGAAGGTGCTGGTGAAAGTGAAGACGAACACTCGCGAGAGAATTGATCTAGCTGCTGCTGCTGCTGAGACGGCGGTCGCGAATGATCAAGAGGCGATGGTTGGTGGGCTGCAGAAGGTGAAGGTGTGCTGGTGAAGGTGGGATGAGCTGATGTAGAGGTGGAGGCTGGAGGGTGAAAGGGTGGGTTTGATGGATGTAATGGTTTGGGTGAAGCTTCGGAATCTGGATCTTGAGTTTGGGACATGGCTACCCGTTTGGTTGCTGCCGTTCTCAGCTCAGCGTTTGGATTTTCGCAAGAGTGTCAGAACGCACAGTAGCAGCGCGACCTTTTTTTTGGCGCCTTGTCCAGATTGGAGCCTGGCGAGTGGCGTTGCTGCCTGACGTGCCTTGTGTACTGTTCGCGTCTTCCACGCTTTGGCCTCGCGTAGCTTTCTTCCAGCAGTGGCTTGAGCAGTACAAATTGGCTCAATCGACGTTGGCTCCTGGTACAACAGCAGCAGCAAGCTTCAAGTATCCTCTGAAATGCCGAACAATTGCACAGGTTGTAGCTGACGATACGTAGCCACAACGAGGTTCAATATTTGGCCGATAGCAACGTCTGCTCTCTTTGCAGCAAAGGCCGACCTGCAGACTGCTCAAACGATTTGAGCTTTGATTGTTGACTTGTTCACGAGAGGCTCAATGAGCGCCCGTGGTTAGGGAAAGAAGACGAGAGCGAGTCTTGCTATGGACCCTTGACAGCTTCCGAATGGCGGAGACTGGCTGCTCGATGGCATTGACCTCTAGGAGAGACCAGCCTTCTGGGACAAATTAGAAGCAACAGAGGGGACCGCGATCGGACTAGTCGTTCAAGCGTCGTCGACGGATGGGCTAACAGCGCGTCTTTCTAGTAGGGAACGCTCGAGGGGAGCGAAGCGCCGAATCGGGGCGGCAGGGCGACGGAGCGACGGAGCGACGGAGGAGGGCAAACCGCTTCTAGACTGCGAGTTGGGCCGAGCGGAATCGAGGATGGCCCGCAGATCGGTGTATGCTAGGCTGGACAGCTGCACCAAGGTAAAGGGCTGGAGAGCTAACGGGATGTCTCGGTCAGGGTCGAGGGAGGTGAGGCGTCGAATAGTGCGGTAGCGAGGCATGTTGAGGGGAGGCGAGACGATGCGGCTCGGATCTTGAACACGCTTTCCCGCAATTGCGATTGGCCAGGATCTCGCGTTGCTCATTTCAAGACTCAGTCTTAGCACAGTGATCGATCTCGTGCGAGTGAAATACCAGCTTGTTGTCTCTGCCCGTGGCTCGACGAGCTCTGCTCTCATTCTTCGGTGCAGGCAGCTTCTACTTTGAACGTCCTCGATTGTCACGTTCCGGTAGAACGGAGCTAAGGACTATGCTCTTGCTACATAGAGAGAATCAGCTGCTCTTGTGGGCTGAGGGACTATTGAGCAACCCTTTCACGTTTCCTCTGTTGACGCAACTGTTTTCCTGTTCAAGCCTCCACACGCGGGGCCGGATCGACAAAGCAACTGTGTGCCGCATCTGGATTCCGTCATTTTCTCGAAAAACAAGAAAATGCCGAAGGAAGCGATCCGATATGATGATGCACGCTGACATAAACGCAATCGGCGATCAGATGGGACAGATCTGTCTGGGGATCGGGTGCAACTTAGCCCCGCTCGTTGTCAAGCTAACTCATGGAGGAGGATACTCCCACATTCGGCCTCACCATGTTCTTTAGTCAATTGAGTATACATGTTTCTGTCTTCTAGAAGTAGTGACATCGTGCTCTGACTCTCCCCGATTGCAAGTATCGGGACCAAAACTTCTTCACTTCTATTAGAAAAGTGCCTTGAGCGTGAGTGTTGGGCTTCAGGCTTGTCTGGGCCACTGTGAACTCAACAGTGTTAAAATGAGGAGGCGTGCGCACGGTCCAGGCCTCTCTCCTTCCCTACCTCGCTATCCCTCCTACTTTTTCTTCCTTCCATCTAGTTAACGATCATCACCTGTCAGGTCTACAGACTATCACCACCATGTCTGTCGAAGCCAAGTTCAACAAGGCCGTCTCCATCGTCGGCTCGCTCCCCAAGGACGGCCCCGTCCAGCCTACTCAGGATGACCAGCTCAAGTTCTACGGCTAGTAAGTGATCACAAACCAACACCCCTTTGTTATGGGTTCATTTGTTATGATCACAGCTGACAACCTCTGAAACTCCTTGATTGACCTACATCGTCACTCTGCTTGCACACGACAGCTACAAGCAGGCCACCATTGGTGACGTCAACACCAAGAAGCCCGGCATGTTCGGTAAGTTCGATAAAGACCTATTAACACGTCCTCTCAGCTGCAAGAAGTTTTGACCTTGCTTCTGTTTTGCCTTTGGAATCACAGACTTGACCGGCAAGTACAAGTGGGAGGCCTGGAATAAGAACCAGGGTATGTCCAAGGAGGACGCTCAGCAGGCCTACGTCGATGCCCTTCTTGAGGTGAGTGTACCACAAACGATTGCATGCCAGGTCTTAGATCAGCCCACTCATCGTTCCTTGACTTTACTTCTTTGCGCCGGGCAGATCCTCAAGAAGCACGGGAGCGAGGGTGACTCTGCCAAGTACATCCAGGAGATCGAGAGCGCCTAAACTAGCGCTTTGACGACCTCAAAGGACAAGTGATAAGTCGTCGGATGTGCATCTCTCTTCACACTCGATCTTAGTGTGCTTTGCTTTGCGAAATGATATTCAATATACCGGCGCTCGAAAGGTGCTCCCTTGTCTGCTGAATGAACCTAAACGAATGTCGTGAGCTCTGCTGACTTGAGACGGCTGAGGGTGATTGGTTGATTGCCTTGAGCGTTGAGGAGTGTTCTTCAAGGCAAGCTTGCTAAGGCCCCGCGCTGAGATATAATATAAGCTTGAAACAATGCCTTTCAGTTGAAGGTATAGACATTACTTCGTTGGGGCCACGATCAGGCTCCCTTCGCACAGGTGTGTAGCAATAACAATGCTTATCATATTCAAGAGGAACGGAGACTACAAACATGAGTATATATATCTTTGACACCATCTCTGAGGACGCTGAGCTGCCTTAGATGAGTCGATGTCTCTCCTGCAGAGCTCCTGAGCCGTTGCCATGGCAACCTTCATGCATTTCACGTGTCTGAATAGGCGGCGTATGCTTTCACCAGCTTCGCCCTGTTGGCATCCCGGATAGACCCTGGAAATTCCGATGTATCTTCAACTCTTTCGCTTCCAACACCACATCGAACTGTCATTTGCAGATTTCCGCGTTAGGCGACCAAACCTGAGGTTGTTCAACACACGATGAAAAAGGCCCCGGAAATTATGGTCGAGAAAACAAGACAAAAAAAAAAAAAAAAAAAAAAAAAAAAAAAAAAAAAAAAAAAAAAAGGCGAATTCTCTCTCACCGCTCCCGATTCACTACCATGTTCTCAGACATCGAACGGATCACTAGCTTCACATACGAGACGAACAAGCCGGCTTGAACCAAGGTGCTGAGATTGCAAAAGGGGCCAGACGTAACACATGTATGATCGGATGTACACAACTTTCTTTTCCTTTCGTTTTCGGCTCACGCTTGCTGGTTCGCCGCGTCGAGCGCCTTCTGTGCAAAGAAGCGAACATCGGCATCCGAGTCCTCCTTGAGCTTCTCCAACGCTGGTGTGATCTTGGCTGTGATGACCTCCTTGCCTTCTGGTGTCTTGATCAGCACGCTCGAAAGCACCTCGAATGCCTTGGCCACGTTGAAACGGATGTTGGGAATAGGGTCGCTCACCATGGGCAGCACCGTCTCAAGAACGTCGCCGGTAATGGCTGGTGTGTCGAGCGAAGGTGCCATGGTGGTAATGGCGAAGATGGTGGTCATACGGTAGAGGTAGTTAGGGTGTGTGCCCATCTGAAGAACCTTGGGGATGATGGTCTGTCTCGCCCATTCCACACCAAACACGTCAGTGAGCTTCTTGAGGTTGACTGTAGCGGCTTCTCGGATGCTGAAGACTGTGTCACCGAGCCACGACATGCAAAGGTTGCTGAGCTGTTCGTTGAAAAATTGAACGCCAAGCTGGTTGGCGAGGAGGGGAATGTACTCGATGATGGCCTGTCGAACACGCCACTGCTTGTCCTCAGCAAGCTCGACGATCGCAGGCAGAAGCGACTGCGACAAAAGGTCGATGCCAATGACTTCATTGACCTGTTCCAACTTGGATATGATGTTGAGACGGACGTCGGGGAACTCGTCCTTCAAGAGCTGCAAGAACAAGGGCAAGAGGTGCTCGATCGTTGCCTCCTTGCCGAGCAAAGGAGCAAGACCGGAGATCTGCATGCCAAGGGCGGCACGCACATGTTGCGAGTTGTCGCCTGCAAGGTCGCGAACGCAAGGCATCAGTCGTGCCAATATGATGTCCTGATCGACCAGCTTAGCGAAGCCAGGAATCTGACCAGCACCAGCTGTTCGCACCTCAGCCTCGTTGTCCTTGAGAAGATGGACGAATGCCATGACAAGCTCGTCGCGTATGACATCCTCACCAACGGCGGAAGCAAGCTTGACGAAGTGATCCGCCACCATGTATCGTACCCTCCAGCTCTTGTCCTGAACAGCACTGCGAATGGATGGGAGTAGGTAGTTCTTAGACTCGTCGTGGCTGAGAGATTCTGCAATGGCGATCAGGTCCTGTACGGTCAGCAAACGGACCGAATCCTGGTCGTCAGAGGACAGCTTTCGGTAGAGAGGGATGATGTCTGAGACCACAAGCTCCTTGGAGAGATTCTTTGCAAAAGGACCGAGATCGCGTGCGGCGGCTCGTCGGACCATAGGGGTATCGTCGTTGCAGAGGGCGGTGAACATCTTGCGAAGCTCCTCTTGTGTAGCTTGCTTGGCCTTGGGGTAGACTGCAGAGAAAAGCGAAGTGGAGCTAGTTCGCGATGTGAACCAGTCGCCACCAGAAAGACGCTTCAACAAAGGGATGTAGTGCTCTTCAATCTGTGCTTCGGAGAGGACCTCGGCAATCTTGACGATCGACTCGGCTGCCTGTGATGTTGCAACAGAAGTTTGAATATAGTCAGAGCAGGACGTGGGAAATGATAAAACTAGTCAGATCGCTGCTCAGACGCTTGATAGGATGTGTTTGATCCGCGTCGAGTCGTTTGACTTACCTTCTCGCGAACAACGCTCTCCTCTACAGCGGCGAGGTTTTCCAAGGGTCCGAGCAAAAGGTGTGCATATGAAGGGCCACCAAGGTATTCAACAAAGCCCGAACCGAGCTCTTGTGCGAGCGCGAGCAAAACTTCGTCTTCGTCATCGAGAGAGTCCTGCAGGAAAGGGATGAGCTCGTCACGAGCGCGCTCAGGTCCGAGTGCTAGTGCGATAGTCGAGATGCGGTGGATGGCATTGAGACGGAGGGTAACATCGTCGGACTTGAGCTCATCGATCAAGATGGCGATAGGGAATAGCTGCTCGTCGGCCTCCATTGTGTCGGGGTTGTGTAAGCTAGAAGGTGGAATGTAGTTTGTTGTGCTAGGAGGATACGAGACGTGCACTGAAACTGCTGATAAGGGCTTTCCACAGGACTTCCAGCTGTATCTGACCGTTCTGAGACGTCTTCAAGTCAGTACCGATGAATCGCAATGAGATGGGACTGTTCCGATAATGCAAGCGGGCAGAAGTGACTGTTTTTCGTCAGAATAAGAGACCTTTGGGTGAGAAGATCGAAGCTCCCTTCGTGTTCGATTCGCGTTTTCTGGTAATCGGCGGCGAAGACAAGTGAAGTGCTGATAGGTCTGGAACGGAAGCAGAAAGCTGATGTGAAGATGCAAGAATGTAAAAGGGGTGTTGATGGTGAAGAAGAAGGTTCAACAACAGTGGAGACTGCGACGCGATGATTCATGTCTGCTCAAAGCGACACGCACCATCCGCTTTGGCAGTGTCCAATGCTTCTTTGCTTCCTCCAAGCCGCGCTGTTGTGAAGTCTATGCGGCGTTGAAATCAATCTGGCCAATGAATACAAAACAACAATTTAGGAAAGCTGGATTCAATTCGGAAATTCGGGCCCTCAAATTTTCAATATTTCCTGATCTGAACGCGTTTGGCGACTTCTGTGATGTGTATCTTATTCTTCTTGGGGGGAAGCGGGGAGCAAAGAACAGCCACGGTGATGGAGCAGCTTGTCAATTGCAACGATGGTTTTGAGACGATGGCTTCGGATCTCAAACTAGACTTGACAGACCTGTTGACGCTGACAGTCATTATAGCGCACAAGGCTGATTGTGAACCGAACGTAACAATACAAATATTTGCTGGGTCCGGGCTGGTCACTCGACCTGATCTAAATGAAGATCCGCATAGACGCTTTCGGTGGGTGTCTGCCAGGCATGCTTAGCCTCGTCAAACAGCTCCTTGAAGGCATATTGAAGCTTTGCACGACGTTCCATAGCACTGACCAGGTTCTCTGGCAGCTGCGGTCGAACAGGTCCATTGTAGGGTGCGCCTCCAGGCTGCGGTGTACCAGTCGCTGACTGAATCCCGTTGGCCTGGGATTGTGACAGAGACGGCTCGTCGTGGTGAGCATTGTGTCCACCCTTCTTGCGTTTGCTGAGGCTCGCCTTAATCTGTCGCAGTCTCCTCGTCCAGCCGGCTTCAATCTCCTTCTCCACCGAGTTGAGGCAGTTGAGGTAGTCCTGATACGCCATTCGGTCCTTAGCAATGCCGAAGAGGCGATCCTTGCGCATCTCGTTGACCTTTTGTTGACGTGCTAGCTCGCGTTGCACCATTCTGAGCGTGGCTGAGATCTCATCGTCGGCGCGTGTAGACCAGTCCGGGGTCTCATCAGCACCCAGCACTTCCAGCGCCTTGAGCTCCTTAGCAATACGTTCCTCGAAGGAGGCCATGTGCTGATCCTGCACGATACCATCGCAATCCAGATCCGGTTCGCCATCTGCATCCTCATCCTCGCCATCCTCATCTTCTGGTCTTGGGTATCCATTGAGACGTGCAAGCATCGATTGTGACAGCGCAGACCTGGTATCGTCGATCGCTCCAGCTGCTGTCCGGTTGGGATCATCGTCATCCTCGTCCTTGTGTGAAGGTAGCAACGATGCCACTAGCCGTTCTGAAAGAGGTCCACTGCGGGCATCAACGACAGCAGGTGACTCGAAGCCCAAATGCTGGTCCGTCATCTGCTTGACTCGGAACAATGGCGGCGGTGGAATCTCGAGCTCAGACCGTGCTGCATGCTTCTTCTCGTCTGTTGTGCCGTTTCTGGCTGCTGCAAGGGCGTTCACATCCAAGGGTAGACCTCCGCCCACACCAATACTAACGGAAGGCGACCGCGAAAGGGCGGAAAGCGGATTACCGTACGCATCCACGGCACCACTGGCCATCAATGCATCTTCCTCTTCCCACACTTCCTTATAGTGACGACCAAGCGCAGGCATCTGGAATGGCTCGTGGTCGTCCGACTTGCTCGAGAGCCATGCCAAGTCATCCTCGGTCAGGGTTTTGAAGAAGGCATCCGCGTAATTGTAAAACGTATTGATGGGAGTCTGCTGCAAGTCTCGTCCTCCCCTTCTACCAGTAGTTGCCTCCTTAACCAAACTCTGACCAGGTCCTGGTCCCCCTGGAGTACCTGGACCTATGCTCTCGCGCTCAAGCAGACGATCACGTTCGCGCTCCTTCTCTTTCCAGTCTTTGTTGGCAAAGTCTTCGTTGACCTCGCCTGGTTTGGTAGGATATGCTCGTGGTTTGCGCGACATTTCCAGGTGAGGCATGAAGGTGGTTGGCGTGCGTGCGGGCAACTCCCAGCCCGGTGCCGGCTGGTAGATGATTGGAGGTGCGACGGCTGCGGCTGACTGGGCTAAGGGTGTTAATGGAAGCGGAGAAGGCGAAGGCAATACGCTGTTGCGCCTCGTTGAGACATTCGTCCCGTCAGAAGCTTTTCTTAGGAAGCCGGGAGTTGCCTGTGTTGCTGCATTGCTTGCACCTGTGTTTGCCTTGAGCCGCATTCCAATACTAGGGATCTTTGGAGTCCCGACAACACTGGCGGGGGTGCCGACCTCAGAGCCTCTACGAGATAGCGGACCCGGTGCTGCAGTTGCTGCTGATGCTGCTGACCTTGCTGCTGCGCCAGATGCTGACGAGCCAACATGCTTGGACGTAGATGCGCCGCGTGCGGATCCGGCAGCGCCTAGCATAGCGCCAGCCTCAAACTCAGAACCAGACTCATCGTCGTTCGAGTCAGCATCGACATCCTTGCGTTTGCGTTTCTTGTTCTTTGCGTAAGTGCGACCAGGCCGACTAGGCATGGAGTCTTCATCGAGATCCCATTCAGGGTCGGTGGAGGCGACACTTTCATCATCAGCACCTATATCTAGACTTTGGCCCCTTACTGCCTTGCTGCGAGGATTTGCCTTTCCTCCGGCTCCTCCTAGCTTGTGCGGCGATTTTGCGTCCGAGTAGAGAGCTGATGAGCTTGCCGGAGCACTGTCATTGTCTCTCTCCCGCTTGATCTTGACCTTGTTCTTGGATGCCACTGCGCCGCCTGCACCACCGCTGGAGGTGCCATTGAGATTTGATGCGGAAGAGGAAGGTGCAGGCGAGGCGAAAGAACGCTCTCGTACATTTTGGTTCTTAGACGTAGGGACTGAAGCTGGAGTGCCACGAGGTGTTTGTCTGGACGAATCCGAGTAGAGGTTGAGCGAGTTGTTCGAGAGACCGGGCGGGCTGAAGAGGTCGTTTGGTGCGGAAAAGAAGATGGGTCTCAGCGGGTCGGACGAGCGTGATTCGAGTCGTGAAAGTCGAGCGGCTGATTCCGTTTTGATCCTGCTAAGGTGCTTTGCCAACGCGGAAAGCTCGTCCAGTGAGGGTATTGAGTCGTTGGGAGAGATGTTGGAGAGCTGAGCCGGCAGGAACTGGCGATAAAATGGGGCATTGCTGCTGAACCTTGAAGCAGAGAGGGTGCCAGCCGAGGCGTTGGCATCGCGAGAAGCTCTTGAAAGAGCAGGGTTCGCGTCTTTGCCTCCCATGGTGGACAATCACCACCAGGTGCCCGTACAGCCCTCGACACCTTCAAGCTAGGTGGAAAGAGGCCACCTCTACGCTACGCTGTGGTTTGCTGCACTGCTACGGCGAGGATGTGCGGAGTATCTGTCGGGGCGAGAGCGTGGCCGAGGCTCCTCCGGTGTTCCGAGCTCTGCTCAGATTGCCAAAGTTGGTGAGCAGATGTGTAGGAAGTCGTCGTGCTACGCGTGTTGATGCATATGAGAACGTCTGATGAGAATTGGGAAGAAGTGTACTCGTGAGACCGTCGCTGAGCCTAGTCAGGAAAGGATATGATGGCAGCAGCTGTATAAGGTCGCGTCCGAAAACAAGGGTCCGATAGATCTGCGATGCAGCCGAATAGTGACGCTAGCGGTAGCAAAGGATCGCTCGTACTTTGGAAGGTTCTATGGCAGGTCAGATCCGATCTGGCTAGCTTCGAGAAACTAGCTTTGTGACGCTCTGACGCCGAAGATGCCCGAATGACGTTTTTGATGGTTGTAGTTACAAAGGTGAATGTCGATCTCGAAAGTGACACATCGTGACGCGGGTGTAAACTGTTAGCCGGTTGCGATTCCCGAAATTCATAACAGGGCCTCCAACCGGCCGAATTAAACAACCCAGGTCTAACACTCTACTGTATTGACACTGGCTCGGCACGTTCCTATGACGCGCTTTTTGAAGCTCAGAAATTCCCAGCTCTGCAAGTGTGTGTGAGTTGAAGATGCACCGGCATCGCCAACGCGTGATGCATTAGATGGGAGTTCACAGGATCGGGAAATCGGGAAGGTATCAGGCGATGAAGAGGACGAGCAGAATGCGAAGCTAGTGGGAGCTAATGCAGCGTATGCACGAGGATTAACGCCATGGTATGCAGGGGATGTGTTGACATGACAACACTCATAAAAAGAAGATACGTGGCACATGGGCATGACTCGACATAGAGAGCACAGTCAGGTGGTTAGAACATGTATATATGCCCTTAGCTCAGTCGTTACCTCTTTATGACAATACAAGCCTTTTTACATAGAGCATCAGATCAAGGAGTGCCTGACCGTGGTCTCCTAGTGGTGTATCTAAATTCAACTGGCTCCCAACGTGGGGCTCGAACCCACGACATTCATCAGATATGGCGGGAGATAACGATCGCCAAGCCAGCACGGGTGAAGTAGCCAAGAGGACAAGAAAAGGTAAAACGCCACAACGAGTACAAATTGACGAAGAGGTCACCGATGGTAACGAAACCGAGTATTTTGACAATGAGGATGAAGGAGGATCCGAATCGGACGACGATAGCGACCGATACGATTACCGCACCCTGGCCAAAATCTTGGAGACGGTTCCAAAGCTCACGTCACGCAACTATTACAGTTGGAGCACACTCATCAAGGCCAACCTTCGAGTAGTCCCTCATGCCATACGACACTTAGAGGGCACGTACGATAGAAACCACCCGAAATGGAACAGAACTTTTGACAACGCCCTAGTGGGTGTCCTACGAAGCACCTTAGACACCGAAGGAGAGTACAACGTTCTTTACCTCCTACTCGACATCAGCAAGAACCACCTGACCTGCCATCAAGCCTGGAAGAAGATCGAAAGGAGCCTCACCAGTGAAGTAGCTAGAACCTCGCGACGGATAGCATTACTTGCCGAGCTCAATGAGACAAAAATGTTTCATGCTGACGCCCGTAAGCTAATCCAAGAGATCAGGGTCCTACAGACGGAAACTAGCCTTCTAGGTGCTCCATTTAGTAACGATGCACTATACTCCGCGCTCCAGAGATGCACGATTCGACACCCAGTCTACAAGGAAACAGTCGCCACGGTTCACCAGGTCAGCTTCGATGCCCTAGCAACGGCGTTGACTACACGCCAGTCTGCAATGGAGAGTGTACCCGGCCAGAAAGTGGACCCACGTCAAGCAAGTGCTAGAACGGCTGTGGGAAGCGAAGAACAGGCCGAGGACACTGAGTCGGACACGGGCAGCACAAAAACCAAGTCAAAGAGAATTCGTTGCTGGGTATGCAAGCGCTACGGACACGGCGCCAGCAAATGCGATGCTTCTGTCGCCATCCCCGAAAATTCCCCCCTCACCAAGACCAACTAGGAGGTCTGGTGCTCTTTCACCCCGAGTTGGCGGCAGCTCCCAAAACCAGAAGGAACCACACGTTGGATCTTGGATTCGGGAGCGAGCTACCACATGGTTAATGACCACAGCATGCTCATCCACCCAAGAAATTGCAGAAAGCGCGTGTATACCGCTGGAAGCGAAGTACTGGAAGCAACTGCTGTGGGAGATACCAACATAGCGACAGAACATGGAGACGTTTATCTCCAAAATGTGTTGTATGTTAGAAAACTCAATATTAACCTGTTGTCAACCAACTCACTCACAGATGAAGGAGCACGTGTGACTTTAGACCCCACAGGCGGGCAAATACACCTAGCAAATGGCATGTTATTGAAAATAGCGAAAGATCGCGAGCGTGGACTATTAGAGTTCCGAGGCGACACATGGCGACAAAGCGCGATGACTACATCAACACCGCTGTTTGAAGGGGTTGATGAAGAGTTCGAGCTGGCCGATCGGAGACCAAAGATCTCCACAAGACAGCTCTGGCATGAACGTCTAGGACATCCAGGTCGAGACAAGTCCAGAGCAATTGTAGATAAATTGAAAGGCGAACCTGTAGCAGCATTGGACCCAGATACAGCTCTGATATGTGAGCAGTGTATATGGTCCAAAAGTACGGCCGCCCGGATGGGGCGAGGCAGCGGCGAAACAGCCGCGGGGCCCCTAGATCTCATCCACATCGATCTGATCATAGACTCATCCCGCATGACAGAATACACGTGCACATTGGTGCTTGTCGACGACCATAGCAAGTATGTGCACGCACAGCCACTCTTACGAAAGAGTCACGCATTCACGCAACTCAAAAGAATAGTTTCGTTCCTAGAGACACAGACGGGCAGAAAGCTGAAAGCAATCCGATCTGATCAAGGAACTGAGTGGAAGAGCAACGAAGCATTGGAATGGTCATTAGAAAAGGGCATAGAGTGGCAAACCACTGTCGGTTACAACAGCAGACAAAACGGACAAGTAGAACGGATGAATAGGAGCCTGGGTGAGAAAATGCGAACGCTGTTGATGCAAAGGAGTTTACCAAAGAGATTTTGGCCGCACGCCATACGAGCGGCGGCATTCAAAATCAATCTTACTCCCAACGTTGACGGAGAGTTTCCATATCAGCTCATGTTCAAGAGATCACCAAAACGATTCGTCAGTCTCATGCGTGTATTTGGATGCTTAGCTTGGGTAAATATTCCAAAAGCTAAGCGAAACAACAAGAAGCTGGACCAACGAGCGGTTGCAGCCGTATTCATAGGGTACAGCTTAGAAAGAAAGGGATGGCTATTCTATAGCCCTGATTACTCTCCGAACGTTTTCTGGAGCAACTCGGCAAGGTTCATGGAGACACAGTGCTGGTCAGACCGATCAGAATGGCGGCCAATAAGTATCCGACCTCCACCAGTCCCAACTATTGAAGAGGACATCGATGATCTGGGATACACAGAGGAGAACCTATTTGATGAGAGGGAGCAAGAGCCTTTGGAAGAGCACGTGGACATGGAACTAACTCTCGAAGAGGAAGGACTCGGAGGACCACATTGTGACGATGAGAACTCTAACGGGATACCAGAGGAAAGGAGAACGACGAATGAGAGGGAAGAGTATGCACCGGTGCCACCCGAGGAGAGAGGCCCATGGCCAAACTGGAGGCCAGCTAGAGACATGCGCAACCCGGAGACCTGGGTAAAGAAGAGTTACTTCGGGTTGACGGCGGCTAAGGTCAAGGAAGGAAAGGACAGCCTGAACCCAACTGTCCACGAAGCGCTGGCCGGAAAGGATAGGAGGTTCTGGGAAGAGGCAATGCGCAAGGAACTGGATGGGCTTGAAGCGATGGGAACGTGGGAAACGACTGACCTACCGCGGGGTATGAACACAGTCGACACACGATGGGTACTCAAGATCAAGACTGATGCAAACCTCATCCCCACAAAGTACAAAGCAAGATTGGTAGCGCGAGGGTTTACACAAAGAGAGGGCTTAGACTACACAGAGATATTTGCGCCAGTGGCACCCATCCAGGCAATAAGGGGAGTGCTGGCCATCGCAGCCGTACGGGACTGGGAGGTTGATTCCATCGATGTCAAACAGGCTTACCTCAATTCGAGCCTACGTCATGATGTTTACCTAAAGCCACCGGTAGGAACTAAGGTACCTCCAGGAAAGGTATTGAAACTCATAAAAGGGCTCTATGGTCTAAAACAATCAGGTCGGGAATGGAATATCGAGCTAGATACCCACCTCCGAAGTATCGGCTTCCACTGCATGCCGAGCGCCCCATGCCTTTACTCAAGAGGAGCGGGCGACCAACTCACAGTCATTACGGCATATGTGGATGACATGCTGATAGCATCGCCGTGCAGGAAAGAAGTCGACCGTACCAAAGCCGAGATAATGGACAAGTGGGGAACAGAGGACAACGGACCTGTAGGAGAATTCCTAGGAATCAAAATCACTCGAGAGAGGAGACAAGGCAGGATCACACTCGACTTAAGCGCATACATTAAAGGCATGGTAAGTAAGTGGCTAGAGAGAACAAGTGAACGAACTTGGATACCGATGCAGAGTGTAGCAGGAGTCGCTGGAGGAAACAAGTGCAACCCAGATCAGGCCAAACGATACCAAGAGTTAGTGGGGCAACTTTTGTGGGTATCCAACACAGTGAGGCCAGACATTTCGTTCGCAGTAGGCGCTTTGGCACGATACATGTCAGAACCGATCGACAGTGCTTGGAGTGCTGCGATACACTTGTTAAAGTATCTGAATCAGACCAGCGAATACCGCTTAAGTTTAGGGGGAGCACACAGGAGTCACGCAGACCAACCGGTGGTTACGTATACCGACGCAAATTGGGCTTCTGACCCTACAAATGGGCGTAGGAGTACGTCCGGAGCGATCACATATGTGTATGGATGTCCGGTTAGTTGGAAATCACATGTGCAGAAGTGCGTGGCATTATCGGCAGTGGAAGCAGAACTGGTCGCAGCCTCCGAAGCAGCAAGAGAAGCACTCTTCTTCTCACATTTGCTCAGGGATCTAGGAGTATCCGGAGTTAAGCCAATACTGCGCACCGATAGCCAAGGGTGCATACAGGTCAGTAAAGATCCGGCCAAACACTGGAAGCTCAAACACATCGATACCAGATATTACTTTGTTAGGGATCATGTGCAAGATGGTGACATATCAATCGAGTTCGTCGGAACGGCCAACAATGTCGCTGACATACTCACGAAACCTCTCAAGGGACTCCACACGACAAGGATATCAAGAATGATAGGATTGGACATGCCGTTGAGGGGGGGAGTTGAAGATGCACCGGCATCGCCAACGCGTGATGCATTAGATGGGAGTTCACAGGATCGGGAAATCGGGAAGGTATCAGGCGATGAAGAGGACGAGCAGAATGCGAAGCTAGTGGGAGCTAATGCAGCGTATGCACGAGGATTAACGCCATGGTATGCAGGGGATGTGTTGACATGACAACACTCATAAAAAGAAGATACGTGGCACATGGGCATGACTCGACATAGAGAGCACAGTCAGGTGGTTAGAACATGTATATATGCCCTTAGCTCAGTCGTTACCTCTTTATGACAATACAAGCCTTTTTACATAGAGCATCAGATCAAGGAGTGCCTGACCGTGGTCTCCTAGTGGTGTATCTAAATTCAACTGTGTGACTCTGGAACAGAGAAGGAGGGAACGTGTTGCTGTTGCGATGCGGCATGGGTCTCCATTTCAACACTGCTGCGTGCGCACAGGTACGAACGAGAGTTGAGCCGGCCAATGGGCCGATGAAACTCTCTCTGCTCCCTTTTGGTGCTTTTGGTGCCTTTGGTGCTAAATCTGGGCGTGAGCCTGCACAGCTCTTTGCTCATGCAGCCCCTTTTCTTTTTGGCTCACAAACGAAATGTGTGTTTCTTGTCTTGCCCCGCGCTGGCTAGCCCATCGTCCTCGACTTGTGCTTTGCTGTGCTTTGCTGTGCTGTGCTGTGTTGCTTTGCGTCGGGTAGCAGTCTCTTCTCCACTCTCTTTTGCGGAGGGCCAAGGATTTCGAACCACACACACACACAGGCAATCAGGTGGAAATATCACATTTTGGTCACTCTCTGAGGCTTGGTCCGTGAGTCAGTTGAATCTGCATTGCACTCGTTTCGCTGCTGCACTGGCTCAGCGACGGTAGCCAACGTCATTACTTTATCGGAGGCGTAAACGTTCGGTATTCACCTCGCATTCAGTGGCTCCTTCCACACCGACACCAACTCACACACCGTCGCACACAGTCTCCATCGCGACCACCACAGGAGATCCTATCTCGCTCCGGTCATTTGTTCTGTCTTCGCCTGTCGTTCACTATCATATTCTGTCAACTTAAGATATACACAGAAGGACTTTCCAACCACCGACCATCTTCAACGCACCTTCCTTTCGCTCGACTCGCATACAGAGCGCAATCTCAAACGCATTCAGAAGACGCCTCGTACTCTCCTTGATCTGACAAGATGTCGGCAGCAACAGATGCCTCGGCTCCCACACCGGTGGCTGTCTCCGACAAGGATGCCACCGCAGATGAACTCGCTGCTCCGCCAGAGACCGTACAAATGACCGATGAGGAGGAGATCGGTGCTGCCTCGGACAAGGACCAGAGTGATTCCGGCAAGCTTAAGACGCTGATTGGCATTCTCAAGCGCATGATTGGAGTCAAGGACATTGCCGCTATCCGTATTTCGCTCCCCGCCAACTTGCTAGAACCCGTCCCCAACCTCGAATACTGGAACTACCTCGACCGCGGCGACTTCTTCACCGTCGTTGCCGATCTCGATGATCCTCTCGACCGAATGCTTGCTGTGCTTCGTTTCACCTTCACCAAGGAACTCAAATATGTTAAGGGAAAGATCTGCAAGCCGTACAACTCCATCCTCGGAGAGCACTTCCGTTGTCACTGGGACTTTGAGCCCGTCAAGTTCGCTGACTCGCACATTCTGCCCGTCCAGAGCGTGGCCACCGACACACCCGAGCCACTGCCTCTTGCTGGTAATGAGGCTCGCATCCCCACCCTGTCAGCCAAGAAAGGAAGCGCACCTCCTTCTCCCCTCGTACAGCCTCAAGACAAGTCCCGACCCGCCTCTCTTCGAGGATTCAGCACCGAAGCCACCAACAACACCAGCTCCAAGAAGGGGCTGTCCAAACTGCTCGGCCGCAAGAAGGGCAACTACAGCTCATCTGACCAGCAAGCCGCTGCCTCCTCTTCTGCAGCCGCAGGAACTGGCGAAGATTTTGAAGACAGCGTCAACGACAATGCCTCGATCTCTGGCTCCAGTACCCGCGCTGCAGGCAAGCGCCGTCTCTGCTTCTTGACCGAACAGGTCAGCCACCACCCACCCATCTCTTCCTTCTTCTGCGAGGCCAAGGATGCCGGCATGCAGCTCTACGGTGTCGACCAGCTGGGAGCCAAGTTCACCGGTACCGCCGTCAAGGTCTTCCCAGGCGAGCAGAACCAGGGTATCTTCTTGCGACTTACTGAGAACGCCAAATGCGGCGCTGCAGGCGAAGAGTATCAGATCACCCACCCAACTGCATCCATCAACGGTCTGCTGCGTGGAAGCTTGTGGGTGGCTATCTGCGATAATCTCTACGTGACATGTCGGGGCGGCAAGAGGGATAAGGGCGAGGGCGACGATGGCACACGACTTCGCGCGATTGTTGAATACAAGGACGAAAGCTGGATCACCAAGGCCAAGTACGCGCTCGAGGGCGTCATCTATGCTTACGGACCCAACGATGACCCTGACGAATACACAAACGTCAAGCAGGTTCCTACAGACAAGGTTCTGGCTACATTCGAAGGATGCTGGAAGGGCAAGATCACTTACAAGAAGAAGGGCGAAAAGGAGTCGCGCTTGTTGCTCAACGTGCTTGATCTCGACCCGATCGCCAAGTCTGTTCGACCTTTGTCAGCACAAGACGAGATGGAGAGTCGAAGAATTTGGGAACCTGTCACCAGCGCTATCCTGTCCAAGAAGTACAGCGAAGCTACCAAGCATAAGCAAGATATCGAACAGAAGCAACGTAATACTGCCGCAGAGCGTAAGCGTAAGGGCGAAACATTCGTTCCACGCTTCTTTAACGCTGACATCTCGGATGGCCGTCCCAAGTTGACTGAGGAAGGCAGGAAGGCGATTGACGGAGAGCACAACCTCGCTGGTTACGATGCTTCGGCAGGGAATAAGCCGTCAGCTGTTAAAGATGACGATAACGATGATGACGAGGATGACTTCCAAGATGCCCAAAACTGAGGCTGCTTGTGGAAGAGCTAAATACCAGTCTTGCTAGGCGCCACTCAAGCTTCCTGTCCAACACTCACTGTTTGCACTTTAGATTACCTTTCACACTTCCACTCACTCGTGTCAATGCTACGGCACTCCATCTGGGATCTTTCATAATGACAGCATGCTCTTTCTCAGTCCCTCAAAGGATACTCTTGGTGTGTTGACCTGTTGATATTACAATGGCATGCGAGAGAGTGATTCTACGTTGTGTCACATCTGAACGACCTTCTTATTTCCAGCTTTGGTCGCCTGAACCCTTCCAGCAGCCTTTTTCTTGGCGTTCCTTTCTTTCTGGACCGCTTGCTTCAATTCGGCCCTCAACGACTTGATCCGCTGCTGCGTCTGCATCTTGCGCTTCTTCCACCGCGCCGATCTCTCTTTCCTCCTGGATTTCTTCGCCGCTTTAGAAGCGTTCAAATCGACAGGCTGTGTTGTGCGAAGCAGCTTGATCGTTGGTGGTTGCTGTTTCAATGTCAAGGGGCGTTGGTTGTTTGCGCTGAATTGCTTGGCAGCACGCATCGCTGTTTCGAGCCAAGATGCACGAAGACGACAGAGAGAACCAGTCTCTCTTTCGATAGCTGCAAGAATCTGAGCTAGGTGGGTGGGGGAGAAAGCGGATGTGAGAGCAAGAATGGATGCTCGACGCAGGTTGAGTGCTTTGGCGAGCAACTCTTCGGAGCCTGAGGGGAGGGCAAAGAGGTAGACGGCCCCGTTGGTTTCGTTGTCGTCGTTGCTACATGCTTGTAAGACAGCGTTCCTGGCTGTGACCAGCATCGGAAGATGTGCGATGAGTGCTGGCTGTGGCAGATCATGTCGACAGACAAAGACGACTTTGATGCTCGGTGGTTGTGCGGCAACAGTTTTGCCTTTCCTCTGAGCGCTATGCAGCTTCTCAAGGTCTGCTGCGATATCGTTTTCGATGGCGCGAGTGATGCTATTGATGCCTGCCAAGACTTGCGGGCCCGCACCCGCAGTCGACAACTGCGAAGTATTGTCGACGTCCATGGCGGTGTCATCGGTCTCTTCTTTTGCCTTGGAAGGTCTTGAAAGTGACCTTCGACCGAGGTCTTTGCGAAGCGTATACTGCAGCGCTGGCTTAGCGAGCATCTCGAGCAGGGTATGCAGGACGGTTTTGGAGCCTGCAACAGGCATCTCGGGCCACGAGACGGCGGTCGAGCTGGCGAGAACAGGGCGAAAGATAGGCCTTCTCCCAGCAGGCGGATTCGGCACCACCGGTTTTGAGGATGAGGCCAAAGATGTTCCGGTCGGTGACCTTACATCTGAGCGCCTACTGCCGACTGTGTCGGTCTGTTTCTGCTTCTTTTGCTGATCATTTGTTCTACTGCTTGTGCTCGCTGCTGGACCCGACGCTGTGCTAGGCTGCCCGGGAGGGGCGGTAGTGTCAATGCTACCCTGTGCAGAGGGCGCATTCTTCTTTTTGACCTTCTGCTTATCGTCGAGGGTCTGTGAAGTCGATTTGCTCGTGGAGATCGCTGATGACTGAGCACTAGGGAAGGAGCCGAAAGCAGCAAATCGAGAACCTTGACCAAGGTTGACAGGTGGCTTGGAGCTTGATGCGAGCAGCGATGCCAGTGCAGCATCCTTTCCGTGAGGCTGTGGAGAGAAGAGCGACGAGAGCGAAGAAGCGAGCGAGCCGCGATTCGATGAGCCAAAAGGGCTTGCAGCTGAAGCCTTGCTTGAGCCCTGAGAGCGCTGCTTGTTCTTCGAAGCGGCTCTAATGGTGGTGCTCTTATCCACCGTTGCTTTCTTCGATGCCATGGTTGCTACTGTCGGCTGAGCCGACCTACCGCTCCGAAGGCGTCGGACTGGCCGACGAGTGGTGTTGAATGAGGTGGATTGTTTCCAACCTGGTGTTAAGGGAGGAGCGAGAAGAAGAAAAGAAGAAGCGGAAAATGACTTTGAGAATTTTGGTGGAGCGAAGAAGCATGTGGAGCAGGGTCTCGTTTTCGACGCACAGGCGCTTAGAGATAAGCTGTCGATTGACAGTTTGGTCGCTTCTTCGCTTCTTGTACGTCTTCACTTGTGACTACGTCTTCGGCATCTCCGCTCCTCGGCATCCAAGCCCTACATTCGACTCAGTCGGATCGCCCGACTGCTACTTCAGAATCTCAGCGGGCACATTCAGCAAGTCGGCAGCTCCGAACGCTTGGGCCTCTCTTCTGTCGATTTAAAGGTGGAACGCCATCGGACGCTGCGTCTGGTCGTGGACTACAGTTCGGCTCCTAGATCGCTCTTGACAAAAACTGTTCCAAGATGGAGACAAAGCGATTGCAAGTGCCCGTGATCGGCTTGCGTCGTTCAGGCAAGAGCTCCATTCTCAACGTCGTCTACAACGAACTGCATCCAGATGACACAGTCTTCCTCGAGTCCACGACGAAACCTAGCTTCATCCTCTCAGATAGTTTCTTACCCATCCGAATCATCGATACTCCTAGCCGCGTGCTTCTCGGCGACGTACGTCTGGAGAAAGGTATCCCACTCGCTCCAGCAACAGCAGCTCGCGCTGGTCCACCCCCTCCTGTTCCCGCTCGAAACGCCCCACCGCAACAGCACAACGGCGCTTCAACATCTTCTGGGCCGGGAGCTGCAGCAGCAACACCCGAAGTCTTGACCTGGACCGAAGTCTCCGCGGTAGTATTTGTGATCGATGCCCAGGACGACTATTACGAAGCGCTCTCCAAGTTGCAGACCATCATTCTGTCCGCTTTTGCAGAGAATCAGACGATCGACTTCCACGTTTTCGTTCACAAGATCGACGGCTACTCAAACGACTACCGTCAAGACACACTATCGACCATCCAAGGCAAAGTGCTTGACGACCTTGTAGATAGTAGTCCCAGCTTTGTCGCTCAGCCATGGTCCTATCCCGAGCCGCTTCCAGCTAAGGAGGTGAAGTCAAGCCAGAACACAAAAGACCGCAGCAGGAGCAAGAGCAAAGATCTCAGCTTCTCGCGCTCACCAGCAGCAGGCAACTCTAGCTCGGGTGGTGGGGGATATGATGCCAGTGCATCCGAGTTCTCCAGCTTTTCCGGTGGTGGTCATCGATCCGATGCGGCACCCGAACCAGGTCTCATCAACCTCGACCAAGCTGTAAGACTTCATTGCCATGCCACCTCGATCTACGATACCAGCGTCTTTGTTGCCATCAGCAAGCTTCAGCAGAGCTTGGCACAAAAGGTCAAGCCAGAAGAACCACTGGAACCAGAACCTCATGCATCCTCGAACGGGGCAGCCGAAGTCGCATCAGCTGATGCAAGCAAACCTACTCGTCCTCCTGCAGCCACTCTGCGCCGCAGTCTGACACTTGCTGAGTCAATGGAACAAGTCTGCGACTCGATCTGCTCAACATGCCGATTCGAAAACGGTTTCTTGTTCGACCTCCCAACAAGAACCTTCATCGGATCAGACTCAGCTCCTTTTGACGCAGCCAGCTTCGACCTCGTCTTTGACTACGCTGGCTTCCTTGCAAAGTTTGCAGACCTCTATGCCGGCGTCCAGTCAGAAGGATCGCAACAAGCTACAGCAGCAGCTTCGGCTAGCAGCGGCAACAATTCAGCTTCGCAACTGTCGACATCGCCTTCCTCTGCTCGACGCTTCTTGCTCGGGAGAATGTCCAAGGAAGCAACGAAACCCGTAGATACCGGCAGTGCTGCAAAGCCAGCTGCTTCGCAGGTCCAGAGATGGGCTTCATCTGTAACAAGATTACAGCCGGATCGCTCGCTGTGCTTCTGGCAAATCAATCACAGACTGGCACTGATCGCACTGATTCATTCGGATGTGCATTCGAAGCAGACGGGTTTGATCGACTACAACATCACTTTCTTCCGTCGCGCTGTGCAGGGGCTGTATGGCTTGGCACAGTCCAGCATCTGATGCATCATCACTCCCTCAACTCGTCACGCAAACAGCATCAATACCAATCCTTTCACACATGCACTCAAATACGCTCTGAGAAACGGCTGTGATTACAGAGATGACGAAATGCTACATAGGAAACCATGAAAAAGTTTCGAATGTGCGCGGCGTGTTCGCTTAGGCAGACGTGCGAACAGCTCGTCTCAACCAGCGCCTCCTCCTAGTCTCAGCGCGCATCTTGGGATCGTGGTCGATCACGCCCGTGCTGAGCGGAGGCAGAGTACTCCTGACATCCGACTCGCCATCATCGTCAACAAGCGTATCCTGATCACCGTCACCTTCCATGTCAAAGATGGAAGGAGGATAGTCAGGGACACCACCACCATGTCCATATGCGTAGCTTGCAGGTTTCTGCCAGCTCGAATCAGTGTAGACGTAGCCTTCATCGTCCACGCCGACAGCGGACCAGCTTCCACCCCAATCAATACGCCACTCATCGCCAGGAACCCACTCCCATCCGGGTTCGAGCTTCATCGCGACTTGTCTGCTGTTGTATTGCCAAAAATAGATGCCAAAAAATGAGGTCAGCACTGTGTCAAAAGACATGTAGAGAATACGGAGGGAGGGAGTCTACTTACCTGATATCAATCTTGTGACCAGGAAGAACTTCGACTTGGTCAGACGACCATCCGTCAGGGCCTTTCGTCCAAGGCATGCGCTCACCCATGCGCAGATTGTGCGCGCTCCATCCGCCGACTACACCACTTGAGCTAGCCGCACGCTTGGAAGGAAGGAATCGCTCATTTTCAAACATCTCGACATTCCTCCATCCTCTCTCCCAGACATGGTCATCGAGTCGATCCTGTTCGATCCACTCGCGCACTTTGTGACCTCCTTCTTTGGCGATCTTGATCAGCTTCCTGCCTTCTCTCGATGTATGGATGCGCTTCGCCAGACCCTCAAGCGCAGGCTTCGTCCAGGGATGGTTGAGAATGAAAGCACCTTCGCCTGCCAAGAACATGACTGCACGATATGGTAGGTATGGCGCAATGAAGAAGAGCAGGACATTGGTGAGGAGCGCGAGCTGAAGGATATGCAGACTGCGACTGTACGAGGACCAGTTGAGATAAGGGACTGTCGGTGCGAGAAGATCATAACCGTCGATAATCATCCTCATCATGTTTTGTATGTCTCGAAGGTTCTCATAGTATTTGACCGTGCCTTCGTGGGGAGGATTGGGTACGAGTGGAGGCTGCACAAAGCCTTCGCCCGTGCTTGTTGGGAAGGTAGTCGAGTATGCCAGAACCTCGGCAGGAGATGCAATGAGAGCCTTGTCGTCTGCTGAGCGAGCCTTTGATGAGGGAGACTTGGGCACCTCCATGCGGACAATGTTCGGTGTCATTGTATCCTGATAGCGAGCTCGATGTGTCATGACAAGGATGACCGAGAGAATCGTACTTGGCGCCAAAAGCAGCAGCCAAGGGTAAATTGATACCATGGCCCAGATGGCCATCCACATAAGCGTCCAACTTGTGTCCTGCCACATCAGTGTTGCTTCTACACCATCTTGGAACCAGAACATAGGTCCCGACTTTTGTACGAAGCCTCGGAAGTTCTTGGTTGTCGTGGGAAGCGAGAGCGGTACCTTGTTCTCAGCGACTGGTAGTCTAGGTGGTGCGGCCGAAGCCGATAGCACCGACTCGATAGCGAACGACTGCAGCGCCATCGACGTCTGCTGGAACAGCCCTGCTTCGCCGCTCCTTGAAGACGAGATATCGGATGGTGGTGAAGATGAGTATGCTGAAGGCGATGACGGACGACGTCCTGATTTTGGTGATGTGGATGGGAAGAGCGAGTTGCTGAATAGCGACGCTCGGCCCTTGCCGGACGTCGGCGATCCCGACGGGTCGTCCATGATGACGCTTGAGTTGAGGTGAAGTCCTCAATAATAGATGGACTGCCAGTGCTTTTGGGGATGGTGAAGAGGAAGGGGAAGGAGTGCGGAGGGTGAAGCCTACGATTTTTGGCCCTGCAACACCATAGCTTCCTGACGTCTTTGAGCCTCAGTTAAGTTAGCGGCTTGAGCGCTCGATCCAGCTGTTTCCTCCACTCAGAGATGCAGCGTGAAACCTGGAGTGAGCCAAAATTGATGGATTGTTAGACCTTCAGATATTTCGCGAAAAAAAACAAAAAAAAACAAACCCTGTTCCATTTTCATAGCAACATCAGACATTCGACGACTCGGCTCTTAGGTGCTTGTTGCTGTCACACACAATGGGACATATTGAGATGGAGCAGCGTATGATGCATGCTGTTGGTGATGCAAGGATACAAATACAGATTGCAAGTTCGAAGGGTTTGGAGGAGGGAATGCAAGTGGACGAAAGTTATGGAAGAGCGTGAAGAAGGTACTCTCTTGGCTTTGTTTTGCAAACCAGAGGAGTCTTGTTCTCGGCGAAGAGCTGTGCATCAAAGATCTGTTGGGCTTCCTGCGAGCGCTCATCTCTCCATTCTAAATCAACCCAGCGCTCGGCATCTGCTTCTCTCTGCGCTGCCATCAATTGATCGCGTGCCTCGCTGATGCCTCCACCCATGCTCATACCGCCGCCTTTCTTAGCGTTGGGATCTGTTCGGAGCGCAACACTTAACGTCTGAGCTGCTGGTTTCTTGACCTCTTTCTTCTTCGACCGCGTAGAGCCTTCCCCGGGAGCCTCCATCTCGATCAGCTCGTCTTCGTCTTCCTCGTCGGAGCCGATTTCGCCTGCAGCCGTAGCGCGATCTCGACGCTTCTCGGCTTCTCGCGCTTCGTCGATGGCATCAAGGTAGTTCATCGAAGGTCGCAGCTGAACGATCGACTCGAGTCGTGTGAGGTGAAGAGCCTGGTCTCGGATGACACCGACCATGTATTCGGTGACGTTTGGCACTTGACTGCTTTCGAGCTTGATCTTTTCGAGCTTCTTGGGACCTCTGTTGGCATGCACTTCCTCCTCCTTCTCCTTCTTGACCCGAGACCTGCTACTGGATCCGGAAGCTTCGTTTGAGCTGGCACCGTCATGAGCCGCGTCAGCTCGAGCTTGCTTCTGTGCAAGCAGGTCGGCACCTGCACCGAACTCGACACCGCGATCTGTGTTGTAGACTTCTTCTCTGACATCCAACGGAAGCTCGACTTCAACTCGATTGGCTCGTGGACGCCATCGGCTTGAAACTTTAAGTCCTCGTGCTGCGGCTGAGTATGGCACCGGAAGTGGTCGATTGCGTGGGTAGATGGGATATTGGAAGACGTGCAGAGATGAACCGCTGAGAAGCGATTTGCTCAAGTATACCGGGAGGGAAGCAACCAGCTCTGAGTCAGGCGGCAAGTCGGATGTAGAAGAGGTTGGCAAGGTTGACGAGGCTGTATTGGCGTCAGCATCTGACGATGGCGGACTCATTGCAACATCGCCAGCTTCGCCCTGGGAGCCGAGGAAGAGTTGCTCCGCCTCCATGATGCTTAGGTGGTGGTGGTGGTGGTAGTAGTAATGTCAATGGCCGGGAAAGCCTCGGTTAGAGCCCCGTTGGAAGATTGCGATACAGGAGAAAAATCAAATTTTTGGCCAAAGGAGCAAAAAAAAAAAAAAAAAAACAAAAACAAAAACAAAAACAAAAAGATATCAAAAAAGGGAAAGAAGATCAATGGTCAGTGCAGAGCCTGAGGAAAAAGACCGACGACGGCGGTCATCATGGTCCCGAGGAGGAGGAAGCAAACCTTCTTAAGAAGAAGAAGAAGAAGAAGATAATAAGCTGCCATTTCGATGGAATAGCTCCTCCTCCTACCCACCACCATCTGACACCATCTCTACAGGCACAATGTTCGCTCGCTCCGCCTTCCCCGCTCTTCGTGTCGCTTCCAAGCGTGCTTTTTCCAACCAGGCTGCTGGCACTGTCAGCAACGCCTCGTTTCGCCAATACATGGGTGGTGCTGCCCTCGCTGCCGGCGGTGCTCTCACCTACTCGGTTTTTGCCGCACCCTCCATTCACCTCGAGGGCCCTAAGACCATCGCTGGCGAGGTTGGCACTGCCTCTGAGCGATCGTATGTGATGATCAAGCCCGACGGTACCTCACGCCAGATCGTTGGTGAGATCATTTCTCGATTCGAGAAGCGTGGCTACGTGCTCCGTGCCATAAAATCAGTGGTTCCCTCGCAAGAGCTCGCCAAGGAGCACTACATCGACCTTAGCAAAAAGCCCTTTTACTCTGGCCTCGTTTCGTACATCACTTGCGGTACCCCCGTGATCGCCATGGTCTGGGAGGGCAAGGACGTCATTCGCCAGGGTCGCCGCCTTGTGGGTGCTACCAACCCCCTTGACGCTGCTCCCGGTTCGATTCGCGGCGACTACTGCATCTCGGTCGGCCGCAACATCATCCACGCTTCGGACTCGCACGAGTCGGCTACCAAGGAGATTGGCCTCTGGTTCCACGAGAAGGAGCTTGCCACTGATTACCAGCCCATCGCTTACAGCATGATCATGACTGAAAACTAAGCGTACATGCCCGTCAGGTGTCCATCTGCAATCAAACAAGCCGCCAAAAGTGGCTGCAATAGATCAACAAAAAGCCCTTTTACTTCCGCCTGCGCCGCTTGAAACAATTGAGTTCTCAAAGTGCCTGGTGGTGCGTACTGAATCTGAGAGATCTGTGAAAGCTTCTGCACGTATGAAGGGACTGGTCGGCAACCTACAGCGGGCACATGCGAATTGCTATGAGAACAACAGATGTGTTCGTTGTGTGATGTACAATTGAATTGATGTAAAGCCAAGGTGACAGGAGAGACGTGAGAGAGGGTCCTAGGGGCATGCGATGGGATGGTATCTTGCGTTTGCGTTCTAGTACATGTCGCCATCTCCGCTCTTATCAGCACAGAAACCTCGAGCTATGCGAAGAATGTCGGCCTTCTTGGCTTCGCTCTTTGCTTTTGATTCTGCTTCGGCTTCCTTGGCTGCCAGGAGTTGAGGAAGTGCTGATGGGGGCAATGGAGCAGCGATAGATGGTGGAACTTCGTCCTCAGCGTCCAGGTCCTACAAGGGTTGTTGAGGTAGTTGAGTGCAATTGGGTGAGCATGGGATGCAGCTGGGTTAGAACAGTGCATTTTTAAAGGTCGATGCAGACAGACGGCTTTGCACTTACGATTTCGCCCATGAGCACGACGTTCTCACCTCGTACGAGGAAGACGCCGCGTACAATATCTCCGTATCGGTTGCCTACGAATACTCTCTCTACTGTGTCTTGCAATACAAGGTTGGCTATTGTGTGTGTATAGGATGTATGCAAGGTTGGTCAGTAATGTTTGCCAAGGTAGCTGAAGAAGGGGACCTGGCAACTACCTACCAAATTGGTCATAAGATCTGAGAACACCGATGAGCTTTTTTCCATCTCGCAAGACTACCAACATCTTCTTGTCCACACAATCCACTAGCGATCCTGATGTAGTGAATGCAATGTTGGACACGATGTCCTGTGCGTCCATGATGGCCATCTTGTCAAGCGAAAAGCTTCCGAGTCCGAAGGCTGACTGAGAAGTGTATCGATGGGGTGTCGAGTGGGAATTTCTAAGAGCTAGTGTTGCAGGCGATCGTGTACCGCCAGATTCGATGTTCGATATACGATGTCGGCGTGGTCAGAGTAGTGTAAGTTGGCCACAGCAGAGAATAGCTAGTGGAAGGAAGTGACAAGTTAATCCTGCCGCTCCGCGGTGAGGTAGTGGAGCTCACGTGATGTAATGAGGGTCTCGTGCGATAAGGTGCCAATCTTCGAGTCCAACACCTCCACATGGTAGCTGCGATCCGCAAGCACCAGGCCCTGCATACGGCTTTCATTGGGCGGTTCACAAGCCGACCGCTGGCTCCTAAGCAACCGGGTGGAGCTACAGACCAACTCCACGTTGCAACGTCCGAACACTTCTCAGAGGGAAAGGCAGATTCATCAATCTTGCGATGTTGCCTTGAAATGGACACCCTTCGGGTCAGATAGCAAGATCGTCTGTTGGCAGCCAAGTGGCTGGATCTCGTCCGAGTTTTGAAGCGGGCGTTAAGCGCGTCTCGGGAAAGCGGCAGGTCTGTGTCACTGTGCAACGCAGCTAGCTGATTATCACACTTGATAGTCACGCAGATTGCGGAACAGCACATAAACAACGCTATCAAAGACATGATTTTGAGCCGCTCTCTTGTCACAAGATGGATCGTGAAGAGGTCGTATCTGATTGCGCTTGCTTGCACGGCCGCTGTCGCTGGGTTGAGGGCCGGTCAAATGACCGGATACTTTCACACACTTATCTGGCAAACATTTTTGGCTAAATCTGATGCAAAGAGTGTAAGTGTTAGTGTCATTTGGCTGAGGCCAGGTGCAGATCGGACGAGACCCTGACTCGCGCTCTCTTGGTCTCACAAAGCATCCACAGCCCCCCGCTCCCTGGCCAGTTTGCCTCTCTAAGCCTTTGACCCCACTCAATCAAGCACATCATTATCCCGCTCTTGGACACACCTTTGACCATCCTCCTCTACCGCTTCTATATGTCTATCTAGGCCTTGGTCTATTATCCTCACCGCATACATCTCGAGCATTGAACGTTGACGACAAGACCGAACCACCTACGAGCTTATCACCGCGCATACATCCACAGACAAGTCCGGCGCATATCATCGATCTCGCCTTGCCCCTAGTCTCGAAAGCCTACCTGAGCCCTGACTGGCGCTTTGCACCTCATATTGCTTGACTACTCTACCGAAATCCCGCGAGCAAAAGGCCTTCGATCGCTATTCGACCAACTCTGCCAAGATGACGTCTCCGAAACGTCGTATCGAGACAGATGTCATGAAGCTGTAAGTGGTCATTGTGTGCGCTACGTGCATGTCGAAAGGTCAGCAAATGCTGAAATTTCCGTCCTTGTCTGTCTGCATCCACTCGATCTCCAACCTATACGCTGCCTCGATCTAGTCTCATGTCAGACTATGAGATCACACTAATCAACGACAGTATGCAGGAGTTCTACGTGCGATTTCACGGCCCACAAGAGAGTGAGTACAATCCACGTTAGCGACGGTTAGGCTGTCCGCTTATATCAGATGCTATAACTGATATCGAATGCTATCAATGTTCTCCTTGCTGGATCTACAGCCCCTTTCGCAGGCGGCGTATGGAAGATCCACGTTGAGCTGCCAGATCAGTACCCCTACAAGTCGCCCTCCATCGGCTTCATGAACAAGATCTTCCATCCCAACATCGACGAGCTCTCCGGCTCGGTCTGTCTCGACGTCATCAATCAGACATGGTCACCCATGTTCGACTGCATCAACATTTTCGAGGTCTTCCTTCCGCAGCTTTTGCGATACCCAAACCCAACCGACCCTCTGAACGGCGAGGCGGCAGCTCTGCTCATGCGTGAACCTAAGACCTACGAGGCTCGTGTCAAGGATTACGTGCAGCGCTTTGCGACCAAGGAGATGGCCAACGCTGCAGGTGAAGAGGAAGACGAGGACGAGGATGAAGAGGACGAAATGTCGGATGTTGGCAGCTTCTCAGATCATGAGCCGATGGGTGACATGGAGATGTGATGGTCCAGCATCTCCCCTTTGGACTTTGCTTCCCTCTTTCCATCAGCATCGTGGTCTGCTGGTCAAGTCGGCGCCGCTATCTCAGATTCAAGCTCCTATGGACAATCGCTTGCATATTTTCCGTTCTCCATCATCTGTATTACCTAGTCTCCTTCTGCATGTCTCGCATTTCCCCCTGACCTCCCTTTCCGCACACTACGCTCTCTACACTCAAGGTCTTGCTTTTCCTACCTCTTTCCTTCTCGCCGTTTGTAATCTGTCGAATGCCTCTTACAATTTCATCGTAGTCAAGCATCTGCACTATCTGTGCGCACGACATGGAAACAAAGTCTGACGATGATACTGTAATAGCTGCTGGATGGACGTCAATTAACCTGTCTGCATAAGGTAGTACAGTAAAAACTGAGGTCTATGTGTGTCTGCGGTGAATGACCTGGAACCAATGATGAGAGGGGTGATGTGGGGATGCCGCCTGTTGACAGGCCAAAATGTCTATGTAAATATGCTGAGGCTTTGCTGTTTGTCGCTTGTTTAAGGCTGAATTACTTCTTCTGCTGTTGCTGTTGCTGCTTGAGCTCGGTTTCGAGTTTGGCATTCTCGTCGCGGCTCAAGACCTTCTTCTCCTCCTCGACGACTTGTCTCAGCATATCCTTTGTCTTGTCCATGAGTCCTCTCACACTTTCAGCCTCGAGCTCGTCCTTAACTTCCTGCAGCGATGAAGGGTTGTACATCTGCAAGGGCAACAATGCTACTGATTGTTTCGAGATGTCCCTTGTTTCCGGGTTGTCCGTTGTGTAACGCAACCAGGAGCGTAGCGATTCGAACATGTCATGATGTTCAATGCCTGAACAACGCAGACCACGCTCGCCGCAAGCCTTTGCCAATGCATCGGCGTGCAGAGGGATCGCACCGAAATCTCCGTCGGCGCACATGAGCAAGTCGTCTTGACGAATGTAGGTGAGATGCGAGTCGAGTCGGCGTCGGATCATCGCAGCACCTCCCCACGTCGAAAGGGAGAATATCTTGGCGAGCTTGGTGAGATCTTCGCTCGACAGCGTTTTCAAGATATCCTGCTCTGTCTGCTCGCGATGCGCGTTTGTTAGCCTGAGACCTTCCTTGGACTCCTCGATGACAGGAATGAGCTCTTTGAGGCTGTCGGACTGCTTGAGCTGCTGGAAAGCCTCTGCGCGTTTCACCTCCTCTCCCATTCTAATCTTTGCCAGCTGATTTGGCAAGATGCATGTCGACGGAAGCAAGGAAGGCGCCCAAATGACAACAAGCGGCAAAGCTTCTTCCAAGATCAACAGAATGAAGAGGAAAAGAGGCAACTTGCGCATATCAGCCTTGTGCACATGCATTAATTGCGACTCTTCGCGAGTGAGCTCTGATCCACCATTAGCTACCCTCGCCTGCATCTCCTTCACTCGTTTCCGATTGGCCCAGATCTGCTTTACACCGCTAAAGTAGAATTTAAACAAGTACTTGGCGGTGGCCCAAAGCTCCTTTGCCCTCTCTGTTAATGTCTTGTTTGCTTTTGTGTCGGTGACTTGGGTCGATGTGACATCTTTTGTTGCGAGGTTGGTCTTTTCCGGTGTGGTCGAAGGAGCTGACGAAGCTGATGTTGGTGCGGATGGTGGTGTTGACTTTTGCGCTGCCAAGAGGTAATGTGACTGATGAAGCATGCGAACAGCGCCAAAGAGAAACTGCTGCCGTCCCAACGCTGGTGATCGAGATTGTGAGAGCGTCGAGAACCGTGCCCGTAATGTGACACTTATGGTTCTACCGCTGAGTGTGGATTTTGAAACGGTGGCAGCTGTGCATCTTGTGGCCTGAGAACGGCTATACTGCGAGGCAGTTCTGAGAGCTCCGGAAGCTTGCATCTTCGACAAGCCTCGCGGGTGTAATGGAGGACTTGTCGAGAGGTACGAGTGTTGTCCTAGGCGAAAGATAAAGTCGTCGTGTCAAGCTTGTTCCTTGCCTTCTGAGCTGAATTTTGCTGTGACAGAAGACTATATCTCGATGACCTCGTGTGCGCCAATTCCAATGCTAGGATGGTCGATGTGTTGTGGGTAGAAAGAAAGCGACGAGGATGAAGGGAATGGGGAGATCAAAGCTGAGCTAAAGTGACACGCTTTCGGAAAGGGAGCGTTCCGGCGAAAAAAAAAAAAAAAAAAAAAGAAAAAAAAAAAAAAAAAAAAAAAAAAACAAAACAAAACACTTTCTTCGCGAGCACCTTGATTCCACGGCAAATGCCGGTTCCGACCTGCTTTTCTTCGTATCAAATGCTTACTCGATGGGCAAAAGATGACCGTGTTAGATCTTGAATATGGTGACATTTGCGGGAAAAAGAAAAAAGATTCTAAACGAAAGGTAATCGCCGATTTGATGCTACATCGGAGGCAACTCGAAGAGATCATCAACACAGCTAGCCGACGTCGAACACTGCACGTGTCTTGGCCAAATCGCACCCGATATCGATTGAATAGGCGGCTCATGCGAGAGAAAGAGAGAGGGAGAGTTTCAAAATCGTACAATGACATCGGAGAGACGAGGGTCGAGGGGTCTTTAGATGAGCTCAGATGGCTAGATCCGCTTGCAGCAGCAAAGAGAGGCAGCAAAGAGAGGCGGAACGAAGAGAGCAACGGGCCAACAGGAGACGAAACTTTGGGAAGCAGGGTCTGATTTGAGCCTTGCTGTGGCTTTGGCATAGAAAAACGAGACTTTTGGGGCATTTATTAAAGAAAAAAATTCCTCACACTCAACAAGATTGGCTATGCCAGCCAAGCGCAGAGAAATTCGAAACAGTTTTTTTTTTTTTTTAGAGCGTTAAAGCCGCAAAACTGCACCGTGCGCTGGGCAAAGAGCTTACAAATTTGGTCCAGTGTGTTCGGTAAAGCTGAGAGAACGGCAGCGGGAAAGAGAAAGAAAGAGAAAGAAAGAGAAAGAAAGGAAGCCTTCTCCTCTCCCTCCGACCTTGGACCCTGAAGTGTCAAAGAATTTTGCAATCTATCCGGGACAAGATAGCGAGCAGGTTGACAGCATCAGGCTTGGTTCGATACACGTCAGTACTGGCTCCTCAGCGTCGACTGGACAAAGAGCCACATGATAAGTGGTCTATCATGATGCTGGTATCGAAAGCTGATCACAAGTGCAAGTTGCAGCCTCAGAGATGCTTCCCTTTGAATCGATGTGAGTGAAGTCGGTATCGCAGTGGACGGAATCGGGAAAGAGGTGGCAAGGCGTTGTGGTGTGGCGTTCTTGATCCAGTTCAAGAGAAGAATGCTGAACGCAACAAGAAGCGTCTGGCTCGAGCCGATCTTTTCCGGCAATATACGATCTGAACATCGACTGGGCTCTCACGATGTCTCCTGTCAAGTCGAACCTCGAGTGTGGGAAGATCCGTTGCTTATCTATCAGCTAGCAGGAGTTAGTATAGGCTCAAGGTTCGATCCTCTTCAAAAGCTGCGTCGGAGTTTGATGAAGCCAAGGAGCCGACAAGGGGGATTATGTCAGCTTCAGTCAAGCCGAGTTGAGTCGAGTCCTTCTCTTTGAGACGGCGAAAAAGGGAAAGAATGTATTTCGAGGTGGGCAAGGTAAGAGAGGTTCCAGAGTGGGAGTTTGGAGGCAACAGAGACGAAAAAAAGTAACAAATCCGGTCGCTATCGATGCAGCAAAAAGGTCAAGCTCGAGCTCAATTAGCCATGCACGCGGATCACCTTCAAAAAAAGCTCAAAATGTACCATCTACGATAGGATAAGATGCAGCTTCTAACGTCAGCGACGGCAAGGCCAGACGAGAAGCTCTGGCAGCAAGGATGAGAGCTTTGACAGGTGGTCTGTGCCGTCGCAGAAGAAAGCAGCGAAGCAGGCATCAAAGGAATCAAGAAGCTCTTTGTTGATAACGCCATTGTCTTGCTCACTTGTTCTCCAACTTGTTCAGTTGCTGCCCTGTGAGGCTTCATCCATCAATCTTAATCGCAGCCTTGCCGAAAAACGTACGGCCGGGATGACAGAAGCGAGATGGTCAATTTGATCAAGGCTTGATCGCTATGTTGTCTGGTGTGGCGGCTAAAGCAACGCTGCTGTCTCCCGAAAGGGTTTCTTCTCTTATTCTTGGCTCTCCGGTGAATTGCGGGAGCTCTCAGTTCGGCATCATGCCGTAGCAACGCTTGGGCTGGAAACTCTTACCGGCCATCTGTTATGACCGGCGTGGCCGTGATCAAATGGGATTGAACAGCGGCGACAAGTGAGCGACAGAGTTTCGAGAGGGGTCATCTGGTAACTATGCGAATTCCGACTGAGCCTTGTCAACATCCGAAATATGGCTGCTGGAGCTGAGGTGATTTTTTGAACTTAATTTCATTTTTTATTTTATTTTATTTTTATTTTTATTCTTTTTCTAATGTTTGGAAATTTTTTAATTTTTTTTTTTTGGCCGATGTCTCTTTTTGTGTAACTTTTGGCCTGAGAGCTGCGGGGAGCTCAGACTGAGAAAGTGCAGTCAGACCTGCGCTTGTTGGGGCTCATCTTGGTCACTCTTGCTAAAACCAACGCCTCTCAGAAGTTACACCACAGCTCAGCAAGCAAGCAAGCAGGCAACTCAGCAAAGCTCTCCAGAAGCTCATCGGAAAGCTGCTGTTGCTACTCACTGAGCAAACTTCGCGTCTCTTGGCTATCTATCTAAGCTATCTATCCATCGATCCTTGCCACCATACCATCACCATCCTCTTTCTCACTCCATCATCTCTTTCTCGTTTTCGATCGCTGTGCTGATCCCTATCTGCACATATTCGATCTACGTTCTACGCTTTACAATCGCTGATACCGAGTGACGACGGCATTGGCATCTTTCCTCCTTTCTCTTCCTCAGCAGCTTGCTCGACCCCTTCCACCTGACGATTGGAAAACCTCGAGCTCGACTTTCATCAACCTTGCGCCCCACCTCTTACATCACTCACATCCCGCCAAATCTCAAACGCGAGCATCTTCATCTGCTTCGCGCTGCTTCATCCATCCTATCCTACCCTATCAGATCAGATCGCCTGCTGCCTGACGAACAGCCTGTCATCTGTGACCATTCCGACCTTTTTCCCCAATCACGCTTGCTAGATCTACAACAACATGTCTGGAATCAAGAACACTCCTTCCGACGACTCGTATGTCGAGCTCTCCACCAGCAGCAGCCAGAGCAGCGGTAACGGCAACGGCAACGGCAACGGCAATGGCAATGGCAACGGCTCGCTCCTTCGAGCTTTGACCATCGCCTCCACCTCCGGTTTCGAGGTTCAGATCCCTGTTCCTTCGCAGCCTTTTGACGCCTGGATCGTTGCTGACGTTCTCCGTGAGGAGTTCCAGCGCTCGCTCGCTGCTTCGCCCGAGGTCACTGACGCTCTCGAGGTGAAGGAGGAACAGGAGAATGCCGCTGGTGCTGCCGACAAGGCCGCTAACGTGGCCAAGATCAACCTTGCTGCCAAGTTCCTCGGCTTCCTTGCCTCGCGTACTTCTGTCAAGACTTCCAGCCACGAGCTCAACCTCCTCCACCACGCTTGGGCTCACTTCCACGAGGAGTTCCTTGCCGAGCACGGTAGCGTCCACGACTTGGTCGCTGCTATCGACACTGATCTCCGCACCTCCGTTCTCCGTAGCTACTATGAGGCTTTCGTCCAGCTCGAGACTGCTGGCAAAGCTAAGCCTTCGCTCGTTACTCCTAAGCTCTTCTCTCTTTCTGCCGAGAACAAAGCTGAGCTTCACGCCGTCTTTGGTGGCCAGGGCAACAATGAAGTAAGTACACTTTTCACCTCTTTTCTTCTCAATAGTGGCTTCCAATCTTTCTTCTTCGCTGCTCTCTTCCCAATGTTGGTGTTGGTTTATCTAGCTTGTGCGCTACAATGGCAGAACAGCTTCTATCGAGCTGTCATCATCGTTGGTCCGAGCTTTCTTTTGCGTTTTTCCGGATTTCGACTTTTTTTTTTTTTTTTTTTTTTTTTTTGGATCTCGCTTTTCGTGACACGTGGAGGAAGAAATCAACCGGTCAGCAGACAGCACAAACCAGCAGAAACGTTGCCGTTGCCGAACATGGTCCCCACGCCTAGCCTCGCTTGTCTTCGCTTGCATCAGCTCTGTTCTCGATTCTTTTTCCCATTTTTATTATTTTTTTTTTTTTGGCAACGGGCTTGCTTCGGCGAAATACGCCGTTCGACCAACGCGGAAAACGCGCGTTTTCCCAAGTCATACCGACGCAGCTAAGAAGATCATGCGACGCTGTCGAAGTGGAGAAATTCAAGGCTCTGTGCAGCTCAATCAGACCTAACAACAGCTGGACAAACTGCCTTCGGAGGTGGACGCTTCGAAGTACGCTTTTGCCGTAGAGCCAGCTCGACTCTCTAGCGAAGCTGATGGTGTCAAATAATGCATCGCGGTCGTCCCTTTTCCATGACTGGAAGCTCAATGTAGAGCTACGAACATTGTACTGACCCATTCTTACACCTTTACTGCACCTACAGGCCTACTTCAAGGAGCTTCAGAACCTCTTCGACACCTACCGCCCTCTGGTTCAGCCTCTTCTCGAGTCGGTGCAGCCGCTCTTGAACAAACTTGGCGAGGATGCCGTCAAGCAGGGTTTCGCCAGCTACTACACTCACGGCCTCGACGTTTTCGGATGGCTCACAGCTGCTGTTCCTGAGCCTGCCGTCTCGTACCTGGCCAGCGTTCCCCTCAGCTTGCCCCTTATCGGTTTGACCCAGATCACCCAGTTCCTTGTCAGCATACGCGCCTCCGGTCTTACTCCCGCCGAGTTCCGTTCGCAGATCAAGAGCGCCACCGGTCACTCTCAGGGTATCATCTCGGCCGTCGTCCTTTCAGCTTCCGACAGCCTCGAGTCCTTCAATGCCAATGTCGCCAAGGCTGTCGAGCTCCTCTTCCATATCGGCAAGCGTGGTCAGGAGTTTTTCCCTACCCTTGCTATCGACCCTGCTCTGATTAAGGACACCATCGATGGCGGCGAGGGCGAGCCCACGCCAATGCTTTCCGTCTCCGGTCTCGAGCAGTCAATCCTCGAGAAGCACATCCAGAAGACCAACTCGCACCTTGCCGAGTCTCAGGCCGTCTCGATCTCGCTCTTCAACGGTCCTCGCAGCTTCATCGTCACTGGCTTCCCCAAGGCTCTTGTCGGTCTTGTTGGCAGTCTCCGTTCCATCCGCGCCGACAGCGGTGCTGACCAGGGCAAGATCCCTTACAGCAAGCGCAAGGCCGTCTTCCGCATGAACTTCTTGCCAGTTGGTGTCCCTTACCACTCGAGCTACCTCGTTGGCGCTACCGAGAAGATGCTTCAGCAGGACTACGCCGGTCGCACCACCGTCTGGCATGCTTCTGAGCTCAAGGTGGCCGTCAAGAACACCGAGGATGGCTCCGACATTGCCAGCTACCCTTCCGAGGAGATCCTCAAGAGCATCGCCGACCAGATCTTCCTCAAGCACATCTACTGGTCCAAGGCTTCTGACCTCCCCAAGACCGCCACCCACCTTATCGACTTTGGTACAGGTGGTCTCTCTGGTATTGGCGGTCTTTCCGCCCGTATCCTCGAGGGACGTGGTGTCAGGATCGTCATCCCCAGCGGCACTCACGCTCGCAGCACCGAGCTCTACAACGCAACCACCGTCAAGTTCGAGGAGCGATGGGAGGATGCTTGGTCTCCTCGTCTCGTTCGTACCAAGAACGGAATCAAGATCGACACTCCCTTCTCGCGCACCACTGGCCGTGGCATCTTGATGGTCGGTGGTATGACTCCCACCACCGTCAGCGCCAACATCAACGCTGCCGTCCTCAATGCTGGTCACGTCATTGAGCTTGCTGGTGGTGGACTCCACAGCGAGGCTGGTCTCCGCAAGCGTGTCAATGAGATCCTTGCCAAGCTCGAGCCCGGTAATGGCCTCGACCTCAACGGTCTCTTCATCGACCAGCGACGATTCGGCTGGCAGTACCCTCTCTGGGGTCAGATGCGTCGTGAGGGCTTCCCTCTCAAGGGTTTCACCGTCGCTGCCGGTATCCCTTCCGTCGAGAAGGCCAAGGACATCATCGATGGTCTCAAGGCTGCTGGTATTGAGTACGTCGGATTCAAGCCCGGTACTGCTGACGGTCTTCGCGCCGTTGCTGCTATCGCCGCTGCCAACCCTGACTGCAAGATCATCTGCCAGTGGACCGGTGGTCGTGCTGGTGGTCATCACTCGACTGAGGACTTCCACCAACCCATCCTTCAGACCTACGCCAGCTTGCGCAAGCAGAAGAACCTCATCCTTGTCGGTGGTTCCGGTTTCGGCGATGCTGAGGGTGTCTGGCCCTACCTCACCGGTGAGTGGTCGATCAAGCTCGGGTACGCTCCCATGCCCTTCTCGGCTTTCCTCTTCGCCTCGTGGATGCTCGTCGCCAAGGAGGCTGCTACCGCCGATGCCGTCAAGCAGCTCCTCGTCGACACTCCTGGTTGTGGCGACGACAAGTGGCAGGAGACCTACGGCAAGGGTGCTGGTGGCACCATCACCTGCAACTCCGAGCTCGGCGAGAGCATCAGCTACGTCCACAACCGTGCCGCTGCCTTGTGGCGTCAGCTCGACGACCAACTCTTCTCTCTACCCCGTGAGAAGCAGCGCGTCTGGCTTTCCGAGAAGAAGAGCTGGCTCATTGAGCGTCTCAACAAGGACTTTCAGAAGCCCTGGTTTGCTGCCAAGCTCGATGGTACTGCTCTCATGAGCATCGCCGACATGACCTACGAGGAGGTCACTCGTCGTATGCTTCAGCTCCTCTTTGTCAGCCACCAGAGCCGATGGATCGACCCTTCGCTCAAGAGGCTCTTCGGCGACTGGTGCCGACGTGTTGAGGAGCGCTTTGCCGGTATCGAGACTGCCGGCAAGAAGGAGTCGCTCCTCCAGAGCTATTCGGTCCTCGACAAGGAGCCCTCTGCCTTTGTCAATACCTTCTTCGCCGAGTACACGGGTGCCAAGGAGATTCGTCTTGCTGCTGAGGATGTTGGCTACTTCCTTACCATCTGCCAGCGCCGTGGTCAGAAGCCCGTTCCCTTCATTCCCGAGCTTGGCGACAACTTCCAGACCCTCTTCAAGAAGGACTCGCTCTGGCAGTCCGAGGATCTCGATGCTGTCGTCGGTCAGGATGCTCAGAAGGTTATCATTCTTCAGGGCTCCGTCGCCGTTCAGCACTGCACCAAGGCCAACGTTCCCGCCGGTGAGATGCTTGGTGAGATCGAGACCGCCCTCGTCTCCAAGATCCTCGCCAAGTACTACGATAACGACGAGAGCAAGGTTCCTTACGCCGATTACGTCTCCAGCGACCCTCTCGCCATCGAGGAGGCTCACTTCTACGCTCGCTCTGGCGTCGAGGCTTCGGTCTCTGGTAACGTCAAGACACTCAAGCTCGGCAACCAAGTACCCGACACCAAGGAGTGGCTCGAGGTCCTCGCCAGCCCCCGCACCAGTTGGTTGCGTGCTCTCATCCGCAACGTCAGCGTCGTTCAGGGCAAGAACTACACTGACAACCCGATGCTTCGCATGCTTGCTCCTCGCAAGAACCAGTCGGTCAAGATCGCCTACGCTGCCGACGGTGAGCCGCTCAGTCTTACCGTCTTCGGTGCTGCCCGCTCCTTCGGTCGCCACGATGACGGCTTCAAGGCCCTCGAGATCACCAAGTCGCCTGACTCGGCTCAGATTCAGGTCACCCTCTTCGAAGAGCGTCTCGGCGAGTCGGTTCCTCTCCATTTCTACTTCACCTACCGCCCCGACCAGCCTTTCGCCTCGATCCATGAAGTCATGGACGGTCGCAACGACCGCATCAAGCAGTTCTACTGGCAGCTCTGGTTCCACGCCGACATGCCTGCTGCCGCTCAGCTCGCCTCGGCCAAGGAGTTCAAGAGTCCCGTCAAGTCGCTCGACGAGACTGCCATCCGCAACTTCTGCCGCATTGTCGAGAATCGTGGTGAGGTCTTCACCAAGGGTCAGGCTCCTATGGACTTTGCCATCGTTGCCGGCTGGGAGGCGATCATGCAGGCGCTAATGGCCAGCTGTGACGCCGACTTGCTCAGCCTTGTTCACTTGAGCAACTCATTCAAGGTCATCGACAACGCTCGCCCTCTCCGAGCAGGTGATGTTTGCACCGCCACTGCCGCCGCCAGCAGCCTCAAGATCTCTGACACCGGCAAGTCGGTCAGTGTCACCGGTACCGTTCTGCGCAAGGACGCCAGCGGTGACTTTGTGCCCGTCATTTCGGTCGTTTCGAGCTTCTTCTTCCGTGGTCGCTTCACCGACTTCAACACCTGCTTCGAGACCTCACAGAACGAGTTCACCCTCGAGATCAAGTCCAAGGCCGATGCCACCGTCCTCCTCGCCAAGGAATGGTTCGACTGGGTCGCTCCTCAGCCTCTTGCTCCCGGCACTGTTCTCCACTTCAACATTCAGAGCTTGCTCAAGTACAAGGACAGCACCTCGTACTCAGATGTCGAGGTCAGTGGCGGTGCATACGTCCGCGACTACAAGGACGACTTGATCAAGGTCGGCGAGATCGAGTACAATGCTGACGCCATCAGCTACGGCAACCCCGTCATCGAGTACATCAAACGTAACGGCGGTGCTTCCACTGGCGGTGTTGCTCCCCTCGAGTCCGGTTACACTCTTGGCGAGTCCGACGTTCCCTCCACTTTCGTTGCTCCTGCTACCAACGAGCCCTACTCGAACGTGTCTGGTGATTTCAACCCTATCCACATCAACCCTTACTTCTCTTCTTTCGCCTCTCTCCCCGGCACCATCACTCACGGCCTCTTTTCGAGCGCTGCTTCGCGCAAGTTTGTTGAGGTCGTTGCTGCCGAAGGCTACCCCGACCGCTGCCTCTCATTCGAAGCCAACTTTGTCGGTATGGTTCTGCCTGGTGACGAGCTCACCGTCAAGTTGCGCCACATTGCCATGCGCGACGGTAACAAGGTCGTCAAGGTCGAGACCTTCAACCAGAACGGCGAGAAGGTCATCGATGGCCAGGCTGAGGTCAAGCAGCCTGCTACTGTCTACGTTTTCACTGGTCAGGGTTCGCAGGAGCAGGGCATGGGTATGGACCTCTATAACTCGAGCCCTACCGCTAAGGCGCTCTGGGACGAGGCCGATGGTCATTTGCGAAGCACCATGGGCTTCAGCATCCTCGAGATCATTAACCAAAACCCTCTCACCAAGACCATCCACTTCGGTGGCGTTCGCGGTCACACCATTCGCGAGCGTTACATGTCGATGACCTACGAGTCCACCGATGCCGACGGCAGCACGGTCACTCTCCCCCTCTTCCCCGAAATCACCTCTTCGAGCCAGAGCTACACCTTCCAGTCGCCCAAGGGTCTGCTCTTCGCCACTCAGTTCGCTCAAATCGCTCTTGTGCTCGTTGAGCTCAGTGCCTTCCGCGACATGAAGCAGCGAGGTCTCATCACTCTCGATGCTGCCTTTGCCGGTCACTCGCTCGGAGAGTATGCTTCCCTCGCCGCTGTCGCCAGCGTTCTTGAGGTCAAGTCGCTCTGTGACGTCGTCTTCTACCGTGGTCTTTCAATGCAGAACTGCGTGCAGCGTGACCCTGTCACTGGCGCGTCCAACTACGCCATGATGGCTTGCAACCCTCTGCGAATCGTCGGTGAAGGCAACCCTGCCTTCGCTGGTCAGGCTCTCTCTGAGATCGTCGACTCGATCAGCAAGGAGTCCGGCCGTCTCCTCCAGATCGTCAACCACAACGTCGCTGGGCAGCAGTACGTCACTGCAGGCGACCTTGTCGCTCTCACCACCCTCGGCAACGTGCTCAACTTCATCAAGGTCCAGAAAATCGACCTCAAGAAGCTCAACGAGATCATGCCCATCGAGGAGGTACGCGAGAAGCTTGCCGAGATTGTACGCGAGGTTCTTCTTGCTGCTCTCGAGGAGGAAAAGAAGGGTCGCATCGAGCTCAAGCGTGGTTTCGCCACCATCCCCCTCCCCGGTATCGATGTGCCTTTCCACTCGCGCTACCTCACTGGTGGTGTCGCTCCTTTCCGATCTTACCTGTCGAAGCGCATCAACGTCGATGCCATCCGACCTCAGCTTCTTGTTGGCCGCTACATTCCCAACTTAATCGCTTCGCCCTTCGAGCTCAGCAAGTCGTACGCTGAGCTCATCTTTGCCCAGACTGACTCGCCTCGTCTCGACAAAGTGCTCAAGAACTGGGAGAAGGACGAGTGGGAGTCGCCCGACAAGGTGCAGAGGCTCACTGCCACCCTTGTCGTCGAGTTGCTCGCCTACCAGTTCGCTTCGCCCGTCCGCTGGATCGAGACCCAGGACATCTTCTTCAACGACTACAACTTTGAGAGGATGGTTGAGTTCGGTCCTAGCCCAACCCTTGTCGGCATGGCCAAGCGCACACAGGCTCTCAAGTACTCGGCTGTCGATCTTGCTCAGGGCCGCAAGCGTGTCATGTTCTGCTCGAGCAAGGACAAGGAAACTCTCTACTACTCCTTCGCTGACGATGAGAGCGAGGCTGAGGCTGCTTCTGCTGCTTCCGAGACTACTCCTGCCGCTGCACCTGCTGCTGCCGCCCCGGCTCCTGTTGCAGCCGGCGCTCCTGCTCCCTCCGCCGGTGGCGCTGCAGCCGCCGAGGTGCCTGACGAGCCTCTCAAGGCCGTTGACACCGTCCGTGCTATCTTGGCTCAGAAGCTTAAGAAGAGCATCTCGGAGGTGCCTCTCTCCAAATCCATCAAGGACTCTGTCGGTGGAAAGTCCGTCCTCAGTAACGAGCTTGTCTCCGATCTCTTGGCTGGTAAGTGTTTCCTCTCAACCAGCGCAACAACACCCGCGACTTTGCGCTTGACGTCCTCATATTAAGTACATTCGCTGACCTCATTCTTCTTCTGTTCCTTCTTGTCTTGTTCTATTCTGCAGAGTTCGGCAATCTCCCTGAGCGAGGTGAAGAGCTTCCTCTCGAGGAGCTCGGTGGTGCCTTGCAGGCCGGTTACAGCGGCACTCTTGGCAAGACCACTTCTGGTTTGATCACGCGTACCGTCGGTGGTAAGCTTCCTGGTGGTTTCAACCTTTCGTCCGTCAAGTCGCATTTGCAGAAGGCTTGGGGTCTTGGTGCCGGCCGAACTGACGGTGCTTTGCTCGTTGCCATCACCATGGAGCCTGCTAAGCGTCTCGGCTCCGAGGCTGAGGCCAAGGCCTGGCTCGACTCGGTCGCCCAGGCTTACGCCCAGACTGCCGGTATCAACCTCAGCCAGGCTAGCGCCGGTGGTGGAGGTGGAGGATCTGGTGGTGTTGCCATCAGCAGCGAGGAGCTCGACAAGCTCAAGGCTCAGCAGGATGACCACGTTCGACGCCAAATCCAGGTCCTTGAGCGCTACCTCAACATGGACGGCCGTGCCAGTGGCCGACTTGCTGAGAGCACCAAGGCTGAGCTCGAGGTTGCTCAGGCTCAGCTCGACGCCATCGCTGCTGAGCACGGTGACTTCTACACCAACGGTATTATGCCCAAGTTCGCCGAGAAGAAGGTTCGTCACTTCAGCTCGTATTGGAACTGGGCCCGTCAGGACGCCATGACCCTGCTCTACGACATCATCTATGGCCGTCTTACCACCGTCGACCGCGAGATCACTGCTCGTTGCATCACCCTCATGAACCGTGCCGACCCTAGTTTGCTCCGCTACATGCAGTTCCACATCGACCAGATCGATGCCAGCAAGGGCCCCACTTACGCTCTCGCCAAGGAGTACGGTCAGCAGCTCATCGAGAACTGTCGCGAGGCCTGCGCCGAGGATGCTGCCTACAAGGAAGTTCACGCTCCCACTGCTCCTCACACCGAGATCGACGCTCGCGGCAACATCGCCTACAGCGAAGTCAAGCGTGTCGGCGTTCGTAAACTCGAGGCTTACGTCAAGGAGATGGCCGCTGGTAGCCGCTTGCTCGGTGCCGGCAGCCAGGTCAATCTCGACAAGGCTCAGGAGAACGTCGCCAAGCTCTGGACCCTCATCCGCAACGAGCCTTCCGTCAGCAAGCTCAGCAAGGCCACCATCAAGAGCTTGTACAGCGAAGTCGTTCGGTCGCTCGGCCCCGCTCGTCAAGCCCGTACCCCCGTTCGCCAGACTCCTCGCAACCGTCGCTTGAGTTCCAACACTCAGCGACCTCAGATCACCGATGCTCCTGCTCCCGAAGACCGCACTCCCTTCCTCCACGTTAAGAGAAAAGTTGCTGGTCAGTGGCAGCTCAGCCGAAAGCTCACCTCGGTCTACCTCGACATTCTCACCGAGATGGCTACCCAGGGTGTCAGCTTCAAGGGCCGCAACGCCTTGCTCACTGGTGTCGGTAAGGCCTCAATCGGTGTCGAGGTCGTCAAGGGTCTCTTGGCCGGTGGTGCCCGTGTTGTGATCACCACCTCGAGCTACAGCCGCAGCGTCGTCGAGTACTACCAGCGCATCTACCAGGAGGTTGGTTCACGTGGCTCGACCCTCACCGTTGTGCCCTTCAATCAGGCTTCCAAGCAAGACGTTGACAACCTCGTCAAGTACATCTATGGCTCGCTCGACCTCGATCTTGACTTCGTCGTTCCCTTCGCTGCCATCTCGGAGAACGGCCGTGAGATCGACGGCATCGATGACAAATCGGAGCTTGCTCACCGTCTCATGCTTACCAACTTGGTCCGTCTCCTCGGTGCCATCAAGACTGAGAAGGCCAGCCGCAACTTCGACACCCGACCTACCCAGGTCCTCCTTCCTCTCTCCCCCAACCACGGTACTTTCGGTGGTGACGGTCTCTACGGTGAGAGTAAGCTTGGTCTCGAGACTCTCCTCAACCGATGGGAGAGCGAGAGCTGGGGTCAGTACCTCTGCATCACTGGTGCTATCATCGGTTGGTGCCGTGGTACAGGTCTCATGTCTTCGTCCAACACTGTTGCCGAGGAGATCGAGAAGCTCGGCTGCCGTACTTTCAGCACCACCGAGATGGCCTTCAACTTGCTTGGCCTCTTGGCTCCTACTGTCTCTGCGGTCAGCCAGGTCGAGGCTCTCCTTGTCGACCTTAACGGTGGTATGGACAAGATCATCGACCTCGCTGAGCAGACTGGCAAGTTCCGTGCTGCTATCCAGGAGGCTTCGTCGACCAAGCGTGCCCTTGTCGCTGACAACTCTGCCGACTTCAAGGTCATCAAGGGTTCTGCTGCCGAGGCTCTTCACAAGAAGGTGCACATCAACCCTCGAAGCAACTTCACTTTCCGCTTCCCCGAGCTCGGCAGCCTCGAATTCAACCGCGAGATCGCCAAGAGCTACTCGGAGATGGATCTCGAGAAGATCGTCGTCATCACTGGCTTCGCCGAGGTCGGTCCTTGGGGTTCGTCGCGCACTCGTTGGGAGATGGAGGCCTTCGGCCATCTCACCAACGAAGGTGTCATCGAGCTCGCCTGGATCATGGGCTTGATCAAGCACCACGATGGTCAGCTCAAGTCTGGTGCCACCTACGTCGGCTGGGTTGATACCAAGAGCGGCGAGCCCGTCGATGACAAGGACATTCGCGCCAACTACGAGGAGCACATCGTCAAGCATGCCGGTATCCGTCTCATCGAGCCTGAGCTCTTCCGCAACTACGACCCCAACCGCAAGGGCTTCCAGCAGGAGATTGAGCTCAACCACGACCTCGAGCCTCTGGAGGTCTCCGTTGAGGAGGCTTCCAAGTACAAGCTCGAGCACGGTGACAAGGTCGACACCTGGCAAGACCCTTCCACTGGCGGTGTCTTCGTCGTCCTCAAGAAGGGTGCTCGTATCTTTGTGCCCAAGGCCGTTGCCTTCGACCGTCTCGTTGCTGGTCAAATCCCCACTGGCTGGTCTGGTCAGCGCTACGGTATTCCCGACGACATTGTTGCTCAGGTCGACCGCACCACTCTCTGGGCCCTGGTCTGTGCCTCTGAGGCGCTCGTCAACTCGGGTATTTCCGACCCATACGAGCTGTACAAGCACATCCACCCCAGCAAGGTTGGAAGCTGTATCGGTTCCGGTATGGGTGGAATGACTTCGCTCAGCAAGATGTTCCGCGACCGCCGCAACGACACCGATGTGCAGAAGGACATTCTGCAGGAGACTTTCATCAACTCGGTCGCCGGTTGGGTCAACTTGCTCGTCATGTCTGCCGCTGGTCCCATCAAGACCGTCGTCGGTGCTTGTGCCACTGCTCTTCAGTCGATCGACGTCGCTGTCGAGACGATCCTTTCCGGCAAAGCCGAGCTCATGCTTGCCGGTGGTTTCGATGACCTTTCGGAAGAGGGATCGTTCGAGTTCGCCAACATGAAGGCTACCTCGAATGGCAAGGAGGAGCTTGCTGCTGGTCGAGAGCCTTCGGAGCATTCGCGTCCCTTCTCGACCTCGCGAAGTGGTTTCATGGAGTCGCAGGGTTGCGGTGTTCAGGTTCTCACCACTGCCGCCAACGCCATCAAGCTCGGTATGCCGATCCAGGGTATCTTGGCTTACTCAAACACCCACACTGACGGTGCTGGTCGATCGCTTCCTGCTCCCGGTCACGGTGTCATCAGCAGTGCTGATGGTATGCAGCGCGCTCTGGCTCGCTTCAACCTCACTGCCGACGACATTGGTGTCATCTCTGCTCATATGACTGCCACCAAGGCCAACGACAAGAACGAATCGCATGTCTACCAGGAGCTCTTCACCCGCATGGGCCGTACACCCGGTCACGCTGTGCCCGTCATGGCTCAGAAGTGGCTCTGTGGTCATGCCAAGGGTGGTGCTGCTGCTTGGGCTCTTAACGGTGTGATGCAGTCGTTGCACACTTCGATCGTCTGCGGTAACCGCAATGCCGACGACATCTCGCCCGAGTTGCAGAAGTTCGACATGCTCCTGTACAACTCGACCTCGATTCACCGTACACCTCAGCACGTCAACGCTGCCGCAGTCTCTTCGTTCGGTTTCGGTCAGGTCGGTGGTATCGTTCTTGTCCTTCACGCCGCTCACATTCTTGGTCGTCTCTCACCCAAGGTGTTCGACGAGTATGTCGAGCGACGCAAGGCTCGTCAGCACCAGACCTACACTCGCATGCACTCGGCGCTCACCAAGGAGGATTTGGTGCGCATCAAGGACAACCGCCCTTGGCCCGCCGAGCTCGAGGACCAGGTGTTGATGAACTTGAACGCCCGTGCTGTCGAGATTGGCGACAGCTACGGCTTCAAGGCTCCTCTTGCCGCCTTGCCTGCTCTTGCTACCACAGAGGACGTGATCGTTCACGCCAAGTCTGCCGAGATCTCTGCTCAGCAGGAGTCTTTGCAGAAGATGATGGGTCACGTTGCCGGTGTCGGAATCGACTGCGAGAAGATCTCGACCTTCCCTTCGGACAACGACAACTTTGTCTCAAGGAACTTCACCGATGTCGAGATTGAGTACTGCCGAGCTCAGCCTGACCCCAAGGCTTCGTTCTGTGGTCGATTCTGTGCCGCTGAGGCCGTTGTCAAGTCGCTCGGCATCCGAACGCAGGGCTCTGGTGCTTCGCTCAAGGATGTCGAGATCGTGCCCACTCCTGAGGGCCCTCAAGTCAAGCTTTACGGCGAGGCTCTCAAGGCTGCCAATGGCTCGCGCTTCTTGGTTTCGATCTCGCACGGTGACGACACGGCTATGGCCATCGTTCACCGCCTACCCAGCGCCTAAGTCGTTGCTCAGTGAAGCCTCGTCCTTGCATTGCTTCCATTTTCCCGTCATTCCTCTTCCTCATCATATTGCATATCCACCGCAGGCTGGACTACAGTGACACGGACGCTTCTTCGAACACAACACCACACTCTCACTCTCTGCCTTGAGTCCACAGTTGGATCTGCGCGCGCTTCAGGTCGGATGCAGGGAAGGAGTCGTCAACCGGCCCTGCACCCGATCCCACTGCCGCCCAGTGCAGCCTCAAGTGCTTTCCTTGTTCGAACACAATCCTTGGTCATTTGAACCTAGTCCTGCGACTCGTTCATCCTTGCTCTGACTGTTTCTCCCGTGCCCTTTTGTCAGATTCGTCGAGTGTGGCAGATTTGCAGCGACTCGTCACCGCTTGCGCTCGTGTCACTCGTCCTCCTCTGACTCTGAGCCGAGGATCTGCCAATCTCTTGTGCCAGTCTTGCGCGATGGACCCTATCTCTTATTCTCGCTCTCATATAGATTGTCCGTACGGTTCCTTGTTACCTTGTCTCGTATCAGTTTTGAATGTCATGATTGGTTTCCACAAACAGGCCTACCTGTTCATGTGATTCGTGAGAGCTTTTGTGGGTTACCTGTTGACAGCAACCTTTGAGTTTGCCTGGAGTGCCGCAGCTGTTCTTCAGCTTAGCGTTGTGGTCAGGAGTAAAAAAAGAAAAGAAAAAAAAAAAAAAAAAAAAAAAAGAAAAAAAAACCACACACACACACACACACACACACAACCCGTCTGGACTCAATCGCACGAAACAAAACCGAAAATGTATATACCTAACACGAACAAACTAAGTGGATTGCAGGCAAAGACCCGTGAGGTCCTTGAAGCTCGACAAGGAGGCTCCCGGCCCGCCATAACAAGGGCCGGTCGAGCGCAGAAACGAGCGGCAAGGGAGGATGTAACAGGGAGGGCAAGGAATTGACAAACCAGGCTGCTAACAGTACGCCTGGCTTTGGTGGAGATGATGGTAGTGAAGAGAGGAGCGGAGAAGCGGAAGAATTCGATTGTTAAGTCCAGCCCAGACGCGCACGCTTTCATGAATGATCACGTGATGCACGACCCCCCAACTCGCGCGACATAGTCACAAGCCTTGCTGCAACTCAGCCGTTCGACACAGCCTTGGCCGTGGCTTGGCAAGTTCTTGGATGCCAGCCTCGAACGCTGAAGCTGCGTCAGGCTCGGATGAGACGGCCGAAAAAGATGGCTCCTGCTCCACACAAGCCCGGAAGGTCGGTTGCTGGGTTGAGCTGCAGCTCGAAGTGGGTGATGCCGCTGACACCTTCCAACCTGTCTTATCCGGACTTACTGAGCAGTCAATTCTTCTCGGCTTCACGAGAGTGACACCATCACTCCGCTTATGCAGGCCATCACAACTGGGTGCCTGCGTTAGCCTTGGATACAGCATCTTGAACGACTCCATCTTGCATCGGTAGGACGCCAGTCACGACTCCCGCAACCTCGCCGCTGGTCAGCTCCTTCATTTGAAGGCAGGAGCAACTCACCACATCCCATTCTAAGCGCATTGCATATACCTTCCAGGAGAGGACCATCACATTCCAAGGGCGAGCCTTTCCTTCTCACAACCATATACAACCACTGTCCAGAAGCGCGTACCAGCATCCCCGTGCCTTGATAGCAACGACGCGCCATAGGGGATGTCTACGAATGCCGAGCCGGCGATGGTCGTGGTCGACGACGGGCATGCCCCAGCGCTCGCCACCAACACCCACAACGATGAAGCTCCCCTCGAACGTCGGCCGTCACTCACAGAAGCACTCACACTTCGTCGCAATCTGCTGCAGTCGCTGTGGACTGGTGTTAGACAACTACCACGAGGTCGGCGAATCGTGCTCATGATTCGACTCGCCGTGTCGTTCGCTCAGATAGTCGCCTACATCCCCATCCTCGCTCTTCCCGGCTCTAATCGCACATCGCCGTCCCATGAAGAAGGTCGAGTCTGCATTCCAGACAGCCTCTTCAAGTACATCGTTGTTCACATTGTTCGACTCGCTCTCGACATCCCCGTCGAGCTTTACCTTGGCTTGAGCCCTCATCGAACACGACAGGGTCGTCGAGCTGGACCTGAAGCCCGCGCCGCAGCAGAACGCAGTCGTCCTCTTGGCTCCGAATACCTCGATATCAAGGTTGGCAAGATCAGCACCTTGCTTGGCATTGCATCGCTCGTTATCTTCTTTGTCGGCAACGCGATCGTCTACAGCTCCACAGAGTGCTCACGTCGACCAGCAGAGGCCGTGCCACTGTTCTGGGCAGCGCTGTCTTCGTTGATCATCGTCTACATCTTTATCGTCGAGATTGCAGTTCTCGCCTTCTTGATCGTATGCGCTTTGCCACTGCTGATTGTGATCATGCGTGCTTTGGGGCTTCAGCATCGCCTGCCGCAGAGGGAGTTGCATCCAGAGACAGGCAAGATTGATCAATCGGAAGTAGATAAGCGTGCCAAACTGGTCTACTACACGCCTGCGGAAGAGGATGAGGTGGGTCAGGGAGCTGAAGGAGAAGTTAGTGGACAGGCAGAGCCAGGCACGCCGACTTCGCAACTGAATAGCACGCTTGAGGAGGCAAGACAAGTCGCAGCGGGTGGCGATCCCGCAGCAGTACGACCTGGACTTGAATCAAGACGACCGACGCAAGAATCAATACAAAGCGCATCAGAAGCTGCTCTTGGACCATTCGGTCGTCTCACCCGTCTCATCATTGCCAGACGACGCTCCTCACCCGCTACCTCCGGCCGCAACAATCATGGCAAATCATCCGCAACACCAGCTGCCTCATCATACTCAGCAACACCGACTGCCGAATCCAACCACTCCTCATCAGCAACGACCAACACCAAAAGCAAAACATCCAAAAAGGGAAAACTCAAGTACCCACTCCACCCACTACCGGCACATCGAGCTACTTGTCCCATCTGTCTATGCGACTTTGAGGAACCAGAACCGGATCAAGAGCCAGAACCGGAACCGTTGAGGTTGTTGGAGTGCGGACACGTGATGCATAGGAGTTGTGTGGATCAGTGGTTGACGACTGTTTCTGGTAGATGTCCTGTTTGTCAAAAGGCCGTTATTCCGGAGATGGAGAGTAAGAGGGCGGAAACTACTGCAAATGCGAATGCGAACGCAGACGCAAGGGTCAACCAGAATGAGAGTTTGGCAGGAGTTCAAGTTGCAGAGGTTCCAAATGGACAACCGATCAACGAACATGGAGAAACTCCAACAGCAGCGCGTATTGAATCAGTGAACGCAGCCAATGCTTCCTCGACGACAGCAGAGACGGCAGCAGAAACATCGGCAGCAGTATCGGCTCCAGCAACAACAGAAGTCGAGGCACCGGTGTCACCATCATCTCCGCTCGTGAGCGGAGCCAATGCAGTCGAATCGACACAGGAGTCGCATGAGTTGCAAGCCATCACTCGAAAGCATAGTCACGCCTCTCCGTCTTGAGATGGAACTTGCAATGTCATTCAGTCACAGTCCGTTAACTCACGGAGGACACAGTGTTTGCATTTTTTGAATGTGCTCATGCCTTCAGCTTCTGTAACATCTGCTTGCAATGAGTATTAACGTAATTTATGTAGTACCGCCGGTTATGTAGTACCGCCGGTTATGTAGTACCGCCGCGTTTTTGAATTTGAAAATCTTGAGCGTCCTGATGTATGTGGCCTGCATGATTGTGAGCACAGTGCTGTGCCTCCTTGAGTACCACCAGCACCTGCCCGCTCATCATTGCTGCCGGTAACCTTGACGGTGTTTCAGCTGCATATCTCCATAAATTAGGTTATGAGTTGGAATGACTGTGAGACTACGTAGATGAAACAATGAGTGACGGGACATGCGAGAGAGATCGAATTGAATGCTGGAGGAGAAGCAGTGAAGTCCGAGACTGTTATGGCCAAGCCGGATAACGCCGACTCTTCGCACGGCTTTGAGTGGCGGCTCGATTCCTCTCCCGAGCCACAAGCACCCAAGCTTCCCGGTGACTATGCAGAGGGTGCATGCTCTGCTCCATCATCTTGCAGATCCCAATCATATACGAGCGGCTTCGCTCTTGCCATTTCGGCCAGCGTCTCGTACGTCTTTTGCTCCACGCTCGGTCCCTCCTTACCCTTCACCGCCGCTAATGCCTTCTTGTTCTTGGCGTTGGCCTTCTTGCCTCTCTTCGCCACAGCCGAGTAAGATAAGACGTTGCTCGATGTTGGTGTATTTGTTCCTGATCCCGCATTCGCCGGCGTGGTGGTTGGGTCTGTGGGAGTATCTGACCAAATATCAACCAACTTAGTCATCGATCTAGGCCTCGAACCCGAAGATACAGACAAGCGAAGTGTATGGACCGGCGTTACATGTTTCTTCCCCACCGCCTGCCCTGCTTCCGCTATCGTACTCTGCTCTGCATCACCACCTTCCAACAACACCCCTGCTCCCTTCTCGCCTGTTGAATCAACAGAGATCAAGTTTCCCTTAAAATCATCAACAATACTCTTCAATACATGTGCATCATACGATGGAGATGGCAGGACAGAATTCTTTTTGTGTTTGTTGCGCTTCGTTTCTGATCCTGGCGTGACGAGTCCACTGTCTCCTATGAACGATGATGCTGCGCCTGAGTGGATCGAATGGGAGCGGTCTGCGTTGAGAAGTGGTGTACGTTCGGTGTTGTCGCCCGAAGAGCGGGTGTGTCGGTTGGAGGGAAAACAACAGGGGAATATTGTGCTTAGTATTGATTGCATTGTTGCGAGAGAGTCCGACAGATACGAAGAGTTCTGGTATGCCGACCAAGTCGAGCTCCGGTGCTAAGCGGAAATGTCAGAAGAAGGAGCTCGATAAAGGGAGCGCTCGTCGCTTCGAAGGTACGGTTCAGGCTTGGAGGTTGAGCGTCGTAAGCGAAAAGACCGTTGGAAGGAATTGGAAGAATGCGAGCCAAGACGGATGTCGCGAGTAACGGAAGCTAAGGATGGATGCGGATTGAGCGATGCGGACGTGTACTGTACATCGCTTGTTGTGGATATGCGAATAACAAAAGCTAGACAACGCTTCGACGGAGGCGATGCGTTGGAAGACGGAGGAGTGTGTAGGGACGAAGTAGGAGTGATGGATGCGATGAAGGTAGTAGCTGCCGACGACGACGTCGAAGATGCGCAAGTTGGAACGGGGTCTTATCTGCTGCGTGCATGCACAGGCCCTCCTCTCCACTTTGGCGTCCAAAAATCCTGGGAAAATCCAGAAAATCCAGAAAATCCGCGGGAAAATCACACCTTGTCAAGCGCATTTTTGGATCAAGCGATCTCACACCAACAGTCACACTATACATACATTGAAGAATACCATTTCTTATACATCATGAATGACACTGACACTACATCAATACAAAAGCCGATCAGGCATCCTGTATGACCTGAGCACCAGCAAGGTCGCTTTGCTTGAGCTGCTTGTCTTTTGCCTGTTGCTCGATGAAACGCGCTTGTTCCAGCTTGCTCATTTTGACGTTTAATGGCCAGAGAAGTAAAGCACTTGCAATAGAGAGTGGAAGAAGGAAGTAAAATGGTGTCGAGGCGTTGCCTGTGTCGTCTGCGATGGCTTGTGTGACGAGCGGGCCGACGAATGAACTAACTTTTCCGACGGTAGAAAAGAGACTGAAGAAGAGGAATTCGTACCCCTTAGGTGCGACTTCAGCGATCATGGTCTGAGAATATGCATACCAAGGGCAAACGAAGAGTCCGTAGTAGGCTTGGTATGCGTAGATCTAAATTGTTGGAGACAATGTTGGAGACATTTGCGAAGCAAGGAGACAAGATGAAGAAGTGGTCCCAACACGAAAAAGAGAGAAGTGTGTTAGTGTTATAGACGAGGTCGCACAAAACATGCTTTCATGGTCTTTGGAGCTTGCTACCCACCTCCCACTCGTGATGAAAGCCGAAACGTCGGGTGAAGATGCCGATGAACGCCCATCCTTGCAACAAGATGGAGAAGAAGACGACCCAAACGAGCATGAACAATGTCGATAACTGAAAGCGTTTTTGGATGAGCCAGAACGCGTAGATACCCGCTGCCTGGGCTGCAATACCGACAATCAACAGAAGGTTCAACTTGGTGGTACTGAAGCTGACAACCTGGTTCTGAATCGTCGAGATGACTGTGACCGATGTGTTCAGTGCATCGCTGAACAGGAAGAAAAAGACAAAGTAGATAAGGGTTTGGCGAAGCTGCTTCAAGTGTTTAGCCGCGAGGTAGGCTTGCTTGACGGCAGCAGTAAAGTAGTTGGTGCCAGGAGGCAAGGGTTGACCAGGACGATGCTTTTCGAGGACAAACCAGGGAATGGCGCATAGCAACCAGACACCAGCACTGAAGGCGACAACGTAGCTGAGCGCTTTGGTGTTGGACACTTGGTCTCGATCGGCGTGAATGGCGACGAGCATAGCCTGAATGACGCCGAGGGCAACAAGCTCGCCGACAGAGCAAACGGTGAAGGCGATGTTGGAGATACGGTTGATGGCCATTGTTTCGAGCATGCTGTACTTGTCGCCTGCCATGCGACCTTGGTTGAGCGAGGGCTGTTGGTTGGCAGGAGTGAGAGTCTTGTCGTCGCTTGCTAAGTTGAGGGATGGCGAATCGGCCAAAAGCTTCTGTCTAGCCTCTCGCATATGCGGTAGATCCCTGGCAAGAGCTGGAAAAGCAGCAGTCCAATAACTCAGACTGAGCTGATAGGTGATCAATCCAACCATATAGAGCCCAATAGCAATCTGCCACTTGTCCGGAGTCGTGACTGCCAACCAAGCAAAGCTAACTGCAATAGCAACCACAGTACTGGCGATCAGGATGTATGGCCTGTTTTTTCCATAATCGGCAAAGCTTCCGATGGCGAGGAAGAGCAGACACTGAATAGCGAAGCTGATACCATTGCATAGCAGCACAATGCTCTCCACAGTCCTCTCCTTTCCAGCAAATGCCAGCCGGCAATGTGGCTGTCGATCATTACCGCATGCTCCGTCGCCTAGGTTGGTTGCTTGCTGGTAGAGCAAGTTCTGGAACTGCGAGGGAGCAAAGTTGAAGGGGCCCAGACCGCTATTGCCGATATAGTAAACGTAAAAGGACCAAAGTTCGGCGCGAGAGGTAATGAATCGTGGATCGGTCGAGGTAGAGTGTTGAGCGTTGGAAAGGAGAGCTGTTGCAAAGTTGTGGCTGTCGGTGGTGCTTTTGTTGTCAGAAACGAGGGGGAGCGAGATGTGATCGTCATCAGTGGAGGGTGCGGAAGGGCGTTGCTCGAGCGCTTGGGTGTCGGTCATTGTCGCGACCGAGAGAAGTTCTTGAGAGTCGAGCACGACTTGAGCGAATCTTTTTTTTTTTCAGGTCGAGCCCAGAGACAGAGCGCAACATGCAGCACAGAAGTAGAGTCAGAGGGTTGCCTTTACTGTGCGCTACGAGAAGCGGACAGTCAAGTTAGATTGGCAAGACAATGAGCAAGGAGGCAAGAGGACGTACTGAACTGAACTGAACAAGCGATCCCAAGTAGGGATCAAGGGTCTTGTCACTGTTCGACGAAATGTTTTCAGGGGTCTAACATGTTGGTAAAAATAGTTATGTTAGGTTGCTTGTTCACACAGTGAAGAGCTCGACATGCAGCTCGAGTAGATCGCCGCTCGAAATTCGCCGAGAGGCTTCAAAGTCGCCATGATTGATGCCTTTTCCCTGCTTTCATTGAGGCTCTCAAGCCTCGAGACAATGGTTCATGGCTGTAGATGGCTTCTCTCTCTCTCTCTGCGACTTTGGAAAGGCCAAAATTCTGAGCAAATGGTGTTTGCAAGCGCGTAAACGAGATGAGATGCGTCTTTCGCGTCGAGGCGATTTGCTCCACATGATTTTTCAACACGTGTGTGTGTGTGTGTGTGTGTGTGCGCATGTGTGTTTGTTGCTCCCAACACGTCTTGGGTCTCACTGACGCGCCAGCCAGCAAATGCCGAAGAAAACGATCCGATATGATGATGCATGCTGACATAAATGCAATCAGTGATCAGATGGGACAGATTAGACTGGAGATTGGGTGCAACATAGTCCCACTCGTTGTCAAGCCAGGTCATGAAGGAGGATACTCCCACATTTGGCATGCACCTCACAATTGTATATACAGCATGTGCATAAACTGTCCCATAATTTTACATGTCACCATACATCACTCTAATGCTCAATAGCTATAAGTTGTATTGCCACACTGTCTGATATCATCTGAAAGCCCTGCTTCTTCTCTCCAAGACTGTGGAATTGATATTGACATTGACTAAAAAAAATTGTGCTATGAAGAAGAGCCAATTTTTATTTATTTATTGTGGGACAGTTTATGGAGCACTCCTCGACAACACCTTAGTACTTTGTATTCCCTCCTTTGGCCTTCAGAACTGCCTTGATGTGGTCTGGCATGCTCTCTATTAGTGTCCTACATGTCTCTGGAGTGATTGCTGTCCATTCAGCTTCACATCTCTTGAGCAGTTCATCCCTGGACTTTGCAATCATACTATACTGTGAAAGTCACATTTTAAGATGGTGCCAGAGGTGTTCAATCAGGTTTAAGTCTGGTGACTGTGCTGGCCATTGCATAACCTTAATGCTATTACTTTCCAACCATGTTATTGTCTTCTTCAACATGTGTTTTGGGTCATTGTCTTGCTGAAACATGATGTCAGTGTATGCATGCTGAAGCTGCAAATCTGAGATTGTTTTTAAAAGCTTGTCATTCAAGCTTTCTTCCAATCCTCAACAGTCATGTCCTTGTGCTCATTTGCAAATTTGAGATGCACTTTGTAATGCCTCTTGAGTAGCTTTGGTTTATTCACTAACCTTCATGCTTTGTAACAACAGTAATGAAGTGCTTTTCTTACTGTTGTTGGGCATGCTTTGATGTGAAACATCTCCTGCAGTGCATGTCATGCTTTCCTGACTGTGGAGGTTGAATTGAGCTCAAAATAGTGGTCCAGGAAGCAAACATGACAAGGCTGGAGTTTTCTTGGCTGGCCCCCCTTTGACTTTGGAGCATCAGTGGAGGCACTTTTGCTGATGCGAGACACTGTAGACTTGCTCAGACCAAGTTTCTCAGCAACTGAATGGGTAGATTCTCCATTTTGGAGGTGAAAGAGTGCCAATCAGTGCCTCTCTGGGGTGGTTTTTGGCATGATGGTATAGATATGATGGTGTCAGACTGGAAGTGCTGCTGGATTGCTCACAGTCATCTGATTGAGCTGAAACTTTCCACATCACTACTTTTGATGTATATGAAGGCTCCCACCAAGTTACATTGCAAGTTTCATTGTAGTCAACAGCCCACAAGGTCAGGAATGGAGCAGTGTTGCTATTTGGGAGCATGCTCCATAAACTGTCCCACAATAAAAAAAATCGGCTCTTCTTCATAGCACAATTTTTTTAGTCAATGTCAATATCAATTCCACAGTCTTGGAGAGAAGATGCAGTGCTTTCAGATGATATCAGACAGTGTGGCAATACAACTTATAGCTATTGAGCATTAGAGTGATGTATGGTGACATGTAAAATTATGGGACAGTTTATGTGCATGCTGTATATCAAGCTGAGGACACTAGGCCCTCACCATGTACTTCAGTCAATCGGGTATACATGTTTCTGAGAAAAAGTAAAGAAGTATGGTCCCGATAACTGGCAATCAGGGATAGTCTAAGTACGATGTCACTACTTCTTTAAGGCAGAAACATATATACTCAATTGACTAAAGGAATGTGGTGAGAGCATAGTGCTCTCTGTGAGATATATATACATGTGAGCGGTGTCATGGGCCTGAATGCTCAAGAAGCAGGAGGGTCACTGGTTCATATGGAAGGAGCACAGGTATCGGAGATCTAGTTGATACCAGTAGAGAGCATGGTCATAGTGCAGGCTCCATGGAGACCATGGACTCCTATGGACTCACATGCAGAAGAGGACCAAGCTCAAGGAGCAGGCACAGCCATGAAGAGGACCAAGCTCAAGGAGCATGCAGATGGTTACCACTCAGGGGCTCGAGAGACAAGAGTCAAAGGAACCATCACCAGTCAAAGGAGAAGGAGCAGTGTATAGGGAACCGGCAAGCAGGTCCTGAGGAGGAGGAGCAGTGTCAAAGGAGTCGACATCATTCAGGAGGCACAGGGGCGCCAAGCAAGCAGGATAGCAAGGAGGAGGAGCAGTGTCGAAGGAGTCAACACAAAGGCACAGGGGTGCCAAGCAAGCAGGATAGCTCAAGGAGGACAGGAGTGGTGCTAGAGGGGCCCCCTGTACAGTACTCGATGAAGAAGGTACTCTCTGGAGAGAGAGAGCAGGAGCAGTGTCACTGGCAATGCTGTGAAGAGGTATATAACCATACTTTCTCATCATCAAAGGTTGAGTGGATCCTCATCCACTCTACACACACCATAACTAGTTATCACTTCAGCATAAGTATATATTAGTTCCAGTCAGCATAGTAGCAATCTATCAAGGTTGCTCCTCATTGTAGTGCATGTGTTGTATCACCACTACCTGATGTCCGAAGGTGGTTCATAGCAAACCAGCAGTCCAGATTAAGATAGAACTGAAGGCAGTAGTCCACTGCAGTCCTGGGATCACTCCAAGCATCAGTCAACACACTGGACACTCATGTTGACACCACCAACCTTATCACCAACACCATCAACCTCATTATCATCAACACTCACCAACCTTATCACCAACACCATCAACCTCATTATCATCAACACTCACCAACCTTATCACCAACACCATCAACCTCATCATCATCAACACTCACACCAGACCTTGGTGTCATCATAACCTACATATTGATATTGATCGTGCCAAGCTACCCCTGAATGGAGTGTCCACAGAGGTCAGCCGAAACCTACAATAGTATATACAATGAATGCCACCTGCTGTCATTGCACAACTTGATAGTCGCCGAGTGACTAACTCATTGAGACTGATACCGAGACAATAGCTGTCACACAGTTTGATAGTCACCGAGTATCTTGACAGACCGACCTGGGTTTCAGGCACGAGACCCCTGACAGATGGTTCTTGTGCTACTTCATCATTGTCAGGGGTCATTCCCACTTCATCTGAGTGGCAACTTGCATCCATTCATCACCCCCCTGTCATTAGCACCCATCTGCTTGTATTGACTTCATCGTTGTGCAAGGTCCCTACTTCATCCAGTGGCAACCTCCCTTGTTTGCTGTTACCCCTTGCTGTATCAGCAATAGAGGTTTCCCTTAGACTGATTCCTGCAAGACCTGTAGTAGCAAGTGTGGTCCTGCTGATTCTATTGACTCCTGTAGCATGACCTGTGTTCCTACTGATCTCAACCAGTTATGTCATAGAGCTGTTGATCCTACTGATCTCACTGAACTCTGTTGGAACTCTGCTTTCGCCTGATCCACAATGGTTGTGCAAGATCTCTTCATATGAGTCCCGCTTGTCCTGCGCATCCATCCGGTCCCATGACAGGTTTGCTTCCATCCAACTCCGCGTGTACAGGCGCTAAAACCTCCTTTCATTCCACTCTGATGTGGCTTTATTGAAGCAGGGCTTCTGGCTTCTGAGAGGAGACGGGTGCATGTTTGCAAAATGAGAGGTGAAAGGTGCTATTGTTGATGAAACACGCAAGGGAAGCGGCTGCTGGGCCAACCCAACAACGCTGATGATTTCCAAAAAGGGGCCTCGAGGCAAGCGAGCAAAGCTCTAAATTGCACAGCCGGCAAACACAGCCAAACACGCCGATCAAGACAATTCATGCCTTGGCGCATCACCGACTGAAGATCTGGCAGCCAGCAGTAGCAACGGGCTCCACTTTATTTGCCTATCAAGAAAGAGGAGCGAGAGACTGAGCAGCTTAGATCGCCGTCCAGACTGATCTTTCGGAAGTTGGTTTCTGCCCACCACCCTCTTGACCTTTGCTTCACCACTGTTCCTCGACCAACATTCGCCTTACAGCATCTACTTTTCGGCGTTCACCAGCTTCACAGTGGAAGGGACATTCGAACCTTGATTGCAACCTGCTCAAGCTCTTGCTCGAACCTTATCGGACATCGTGGCGACCCTCGAAGCCGTCATACTACGATCTCTCTCACGTCATACCCGAAATTGCCCTTAAGATTCGCCTACGACGTTCACTAGACGCTATAGATAGCAACGATCGATAGAACCTAGAACGGCTCTCCCCACAATGGGTAAGTTTGACATGCTACCTCTCGGATCCAGTCGTACTGCAGATGCTCCGTTCCGATGTTGAGACGGTTAAGCAAAGACGACTGTCTCGACACAAGGTTAGGCGGGGCTCCCAGGGAATCGGCGTAGCGACACAGGGAATCGGGGGCCACAGTTGCCGATCTAGGCTCAATCTCAAAAGTTGCCGATCATGGTTGCAGTTCGGTCTCTTGATTTCACTCTAAGCGCGGGCGTCTCTCTCACACTGCCTCGCCAATGAGACTGCACGACCCCTGTGTGCTAATTTCGCCGAGGTCTCGACTAACCCTTGGCTAGAATGCACACGCACGCGCTCTGGACAACACACACACACATATACACACAATTGACGCACAAAAGATGTGCGATTTCTTTGTCACCTCTGCGCTGGTGCTTTGTGGCCAGAGAGGACCCTCGCCTTTTTCGAAAATAATAATAATAATAATACAACACAGCAACATCGCTCACGATCGCCACGCTACGCCACGCCACGCTACCTACAAAGCCACTTTTTGGACGCTCAGCCAGCTCGTCCCCTTCGCTCTTTTCAGCTTGTGTAACCGCTCGCTCATTGCTGCTCTGTCTTTTGTCGCACGCCTTCGTCGTCGATTGCTGGGGCTTCCCTTTCCCCCGCACCGCCGTCTTTCACTTTCAAAAAAAATTCATCCTCGTTTGCTTTCGGCAAAACACACCTTTCTGACCGCTATCATATACCTTGTATTTTCTTCATCCGTACAACTACCTTGAACATCACTCTCGCACACCTCATCAGCTTACGGCAACTCGTCTAGACAGGCTGTCTTAGCCGCTCTCTCCGACGTCGTTAGTCTCAGCCCCAACCCTGCTGACAACTCTCGTCACGCCTATCACCCTTCCTACGATCCAGAGTCTTCCTACAGCAGTCTTCAACCACTTCCCCTCGCTGAACCTCCAACCATGGTCCCCGCAAAGAGTCCCTTTGAGGACCGCAGTCTTCCGCCACCTCCTCCTTCCAAGTCTAGCGGTACCGGTATGGCTTCCAAATTCGCCAGAGCATTCGGCAGGCAGACTGCTGAAGACAAGAAACGTGCCAAAGACAAGCGTATGAATGACGAGATCAACAAGACTACCGCTAAAGCTAGTCGCATGGACATCATCGACCGTCTCGACCTTTCCGGCATCAACGGTTCCAGCATGTTTCACCACGACTCGCCCTACGATGCTTGCACCCCTCACATGAACAAGGGCAAGCGCGCTCCCGTCGGCGCTTTCGACCCCAATGTTGACCCCATGACCGGCCTTCCGCGCGGTCAATCAGGCGCTAAGAAGGGTAGTCGTGCTGCTGCTCACGATCCGCTCGCCTCCGACGACAAGGGCTCTGCCCGACCTGGCATCAACTCTAGCGGTGGCCCCAGTCGAAGTGCCACCGCTCCTCTCGTTCCTTCTCTTTCCATGCACGCTGAGGGCTCTGCCACAGAGCTGTCACTCGACGAAGACCTCGACGCTGACCGCGATGCAGAGACCGAACGTGTCTGGCGAAGCCGTCAAGGATACCACACTCAGCCTTCCAACGTCCCCGATAGCCGATACGATGTCTCCAACCCCAACGCCGATGTATGGGGTGTCAGCGCTGAGCCATGGCAAGACTTTGCTCAACCTAAGCAACCTGTTCGCTCCACCCTCAGCCCCTACTCGCACAACCCTGGTGATCGCAGTGGAACCACTAGCGCTGCCAGTAGTGTTCTCGACATGGAAGCCATCATGACCGGCAAGAACAAGTCTTCCCGCAACCAAGATGAACTTGCAGTTGGCAGTGCCAGCCCCTTCCCCGAGCCCAACTGGGACGAGCGAGCACCAGCAGGCGATGCACCCAAGCGAAGCAAGAGTCTCATCAAGCGCATTCGTAGCATGCGTGACAACCCCAACGTCCCACCACCCGACGACGGCCTCGAGATGGGCGTTCGTGACCGTCGTCGACGAGCAGCACAGCACAAGCACTCGCCTAGCACACCACCTCTTCGAACCGACTCGGCTGCTGTACCCGTACAGTCTTCGTACGACTCTCGCGCTGCAGCTGCCGACGCAGCCACAGGCGTCTCGAACGGCAGCTATGGTCGTCGTACAAATCGCAACGTCGTCACCCCGACCGAAAGAGATGTTCTCGGTCAGCGAGAAGATGCCTCTTACTTCCAGCAGTCTCAACTCTCCACTTCTCAGGATTCCAGGGCAGGTCGCTCACCTATCACAGAAGGCGGCTTGACAAGGAACGGCAGTCTCTTCAACAAGCTTCGTCGCAATGGTGGAGGTCAGAAGTCTTCGCCAAAGTCTGCTGAACGTCAGGCTGCTTACGCGTAATCCCAGGCTGCGTTTGCTTCGTCTTCTCATCCATCTTGTCAGATCCGCCAGATTGTACTACGTTTCCTTGCCAATCTCTTGTTCCCACTTTCGTTCTGATCTTTGTTTTCGTTCTCATTTATTGCACTCTCCGCTTTGCAATCTGCCCGTCGAGTCGAGTCAATGTGCATGTTTGACTTGGTGTTCTGAGATTGCGCGTTGCACAAAGAGTTGCTGCCCCATTCTAATCGTGGATTCGCCACCCCTGTGACCGTAGCCTGCCTAAAGAGGTGGGCTAGTCCGGGTCAACATGTCAACCATCCCCATAATCCCTGCCTTTGCCACGAACATCGATCCTATTGTAGCTGTTGCATAGGCTGTCTGGTAGTTGATGATGTGCAGTATGCTCGCTTGACGAAATATATCTTTGGTCCTCTTGTAATAGATCTTGTTTGCTGATTATTGAATTGTGTCGCAATGCTGCTAGACGGTCTTCGCAAGTTTGAGAAGAACCTGTCGCTGCTTGCTTGTCTGCTTTGATATGGTCAGCAAGAAGTATTGCTTCGATTGAGACTGACAAGTATCGTCGTGCATTTGAGCTGCTTCCCCACCTCTGTATCCCACCGTCACCCTCGCCAGCCGAGTTCAAGGCGGGCTTGGTCGTCTTGTCCGGTCAACCATAGCTCCTGTTTCCACGCAAGCTACCAAGTACCACCGCTGTTGTACAAATTCCCTTGTCGCTACGTGTGAACTTTGTCCTACCGTCCCGACGCTCACCCTTCCCATGCCGTAACGACACCTCTTTGGCTTCCTCACCAAGAGCAACTCCCGCACGATTTCACTTCCGTATATATTGCTCAATGTTCCGCCCTTGCTTCCCGCCTTCCTCCCTCCAGTTCGCAGATCCATCTCTTTCAAATTTCTAGGCATCTCTCTCTTTCTCATTCTGAATCCACTATGAAGATCACTCACGCATTGGCTCTACTCTCAAGCGTTCATTGCCTTAGCTCAGCTGTTTCAGCACAACACGAAGGCAATGACCCAGAAACATGTTAGAAGAGTGACAGACTTAAATGGTACATATACCGTCCATCGTCACCACACGTAATAAAACCGCATCCTACAATTCAAGTCTGTCACTCGATCCAACAGGGTGATCATTGCAATCCTTGACGGAGGTGGCTAACGTGCTGAGGAGACTCAGGACCAGGGAGAAGGGAAGAGAGGTTGGTTGAGATCATCTTGATATCGTTTGGAGGAACCGCGCTCTAAGATCCGGAGGGGAATGAGCACGGATGAGCACGAAAAGTCCTTTAAGTACTTGGGTAGTGTGACGCAATCTTACTGCAATTCGATAAGTGGAACAAGGCTTGTCGTCAGCTTGGCGGATCGAAGAAAGGGACACTGTACGTATTTGAGCTTCGTATGGTGGCGAGATTGTGGCTAAATGGTGGGGAGCGATGGGGGAGGCTACTTGGTCTGTTGGTGGGAGAATTGAAGGAGGGGGTATCGACTCACACCGGGAGTCCGATGAACGGTCTTTCACGGGACGGCCGACGAAGGTTCACACGATGATAAGCTTCATTGGATCCTCCGTCGAGTAGTCCCCGTTGAAGTGATCGGCGCACCCGACGGGACGGCCGACAACTTTTCTCACGATGATAAGACTTGTCGGGCTCTCCGTTGGGTGGTCTCCGACGATCAGATCGGCGCTTCCGACGAGGCGGTGGACAAGTCTCCTTCAGATGATAAGCCTCCGTCGATACTCCTCTTGAGGGCCCTCATGCCCCTCATGCTTCAGACTTCTTTCCTATCTTTCGTCAGTGTCAAGATGTATATATAGAGTGCTCGAAGTCGGCTAGTTTGTTTGTGTTATCATCCATCCTATTGTACTTACTCATCAACGTCGAGTGCTCAATACAACCGTGTCCTGCCACAGTCCACTAACTTCCAACAAGAATAGTGTTGACAAGTTCCGCTTTCGGAAAAAGGCGATGTAGCCAGGATTTCTCGGTGGGATCAGTTCATGTCATCAAGGCCAGCTCAGACGCTCTCGCTGGTTTGCATGAGCTGTAAATACCCTCGCTCCCTCATTGCTTCAATGTGTTACCCGACCTTTTCGGGTAAACAGCTTTGTGTGGGTCAGACTGGATCAAAGCTCTATCCTAGTCTCGCCGCTTCAGGGTCCTTTTGCGGCCACGAATGGTGGTGCACAAAACTGTCAACGATCGAATTCGAACAGGTACGAGGATGAGATTGGGATACAATCCACAAAACAGTCGCAGTAGTAAGAAGAGATGAAAGCGAGTCACTTGCCGAGCATGACAGCACTCGAGAAAGTATGGTGTATACAATTCTCCGTCGGCACGCAAAACGGATGAGAGTATGGGACAGGTAGAGGCATACATGCATCATGCTCAAGCCCTAGCCAGCCGAAACAAGCCCCTTTGCAGGATCCAGCTTTCTTGTCACATCGTCATACCTTCTCCAACCAAAGATCAACATAACGATGGCAAACCTTGACAGTCACATCACCGTGATCGTTTGTTTCAAATAACTTCTTTCCGCCATTTGCCACAGCTCCGCTCAACTTCCAATCCCAGGCCCTCTCATTATTTCTGTTCCAGTATAGATCAAAACAGTTACCCCTGGCGTGGGGTTGGTAATACTGTTAGAAGGCTACGGGTATACCGGGTCGCGTCAGGCCGGTCGTCCGGTAAGACACCGGCATACCGGTTAGTATATGCCCGAGGAGGGAGAGTTAAGCCTGATACGAGCCGATACAAGCACGACTCTCCTACACTTTCATCTGATCCACCAGTCGGCTGAATCAGGCGGCTGAATCTCTATTATATCAAATTGATGCAATAAGGTGTGGCGACTGTTTCACAGCCACCAATGGCAACCCACCTGACTTCATCGCGAGATCCGATGGTCAAAGAGGTGCAAGTGAGCGAGTTTACCACTCACTCGTCTCATCTCACCTCTCCTCCCTCCTCACCATCATCTCCCTCCTTACCATCATCTCACTCACACGCTGGCTCCGTGCAGCGCTCTTCAAGCTCACCCGCCCTCCCGTCCCTTGATGCTCTGTTCTCTCATGGAGTTAGGTCTCACGCACGCTCCCCCCCACCCCGCTATCACGTGACGCTCGACCACCTGTGGCCCTTACGGCCACGGCTGGGATCTCGCAAGCGACTCTCCCACGAGCTAGGCAACCTCACGTTTCTCATGTTTCGGTCTCTGTCACCACGTGTGGTTCGTGTACCCGGCAGGCAAACTCTGATGTTTGCGAACAAGAGCTGAGGGCTGGGCCCATAAATACAGATCTCCCAAAACTTATTTCAAAAGTTCTCCCTCACTTCCTACAATACTCAGACAACCTTCAAGACCTTCAAGATTCAGACAACCTTCGAGCAAGATGACTCGAGCTTCTACTTCCGCTGCCAACTTTGGCTTTCCCCGCTAGCTTCGCTTGTGGATATATAAGGTGCAAAACTTAGTTGCTCTGCTCATCATCATGTTAGATATATCACCCGTCTGTACTTACGTTCGTCGTCCCCCGTCGCCATACGAAATCAAACCGCGCCCTACCTTCCAAGTTTATCACTAATTCAACAGAACGAACTAAGTCTTGTGTGTTTTGTGCGCCTACCCTGTGGACTGTTGAGGAATGTACAAGCGAAGAGCAGCGAAACGAAAAGCAATTGAGATGGATCAGAAGACAGCTAAGTACGAAGCAATGACAAGCATATATATATATATATCTGCCGATAGCCAGTGTGTGCGTGTGTGGAATGAAGTGTTACACAGGATTGCGTGCTGGCTGATAATGAGTAACGACGGTGAGCGAGGTTGGCGGAAATGTTAGAGCGACGTAAAAGGTCATGTGATTTCACTTGGACGAGGCTGAAACACGCCGAAGGCCCAGCTCCTCCTCCTTGGGATTGCAGGAAGGAAGGAGGAGATCTAAGGAGAGGCTAGTTTAAGTACTAGCTTCCGTACAGAGCAAAGATAGGTATCGAACTTTCTCCTGCGACGTGTATTCGAGCGAGAAGATATCGATCGAGCATTCTCGTGCGGCTAGTATTCGCGCGAAAGAATACCCAGGCGTGACAGCGTCCTACCACCAAAAGTTTACCACCATTTATAATGACCATCGTGCCCGACATGGATGTGAACCCACTTTGTGCAAAAGGTCTTGGACGTCTCCTTCTGCTTCCAGGTGTCTATGTCTCGACCTTTGCTGTTCTCGTCAGAGACCCAGATACGGAGTTTATTGGAACCATAGTGTTTCAGCGTGATATTGAAGCAGCCCTTCTCCTGGTCGAAGTTGGAATATTCCATCTGAAGGGTGTTTTGGAACCACTTCAATTTGAAGCCCTTGGTGGGGTCGACAGTCGTAAAGTCTATCACAGAGAGAAAGTCAGATTGAAAGTTAGTACCGGGGGTCAAGTTTCGGTGAGAGCCCATGCACTTGATGCATACCTTTCTTGGTATCATCTTTGACGACGAAGAAGTCGTCGGGACCTTTGTCTGAAGCAGGCGTATCGGCGTTCACCTCAAACAAATCTCCGTTCCAGAAGGTGAAGCAAGGCCACTTGGCAAAGTCTTTATGAGGGTCAGTCGGGGCTTCACAAAGATTCTTGTAGTCGTCTTTACGTGGCGGTAGCTTCGGGCTGGGTGAGCAAATGTACTTGTTGCAATACGCATACTCTCCTGCATAGGTTTTTTCAGCACAGAATGCCAGCACGAGAGCGGCGCCAATGAGTTGTGACTTGAGTGCGAGCATGTCGAATGCGTTCTTGTATACTTGGAAGTGAAAAAGGGATGTCTCCTTGGGAAGTGAGTGATAAGGCGGCTTTCAACTTTTCCGTGTTGAGCTGTGTCTTCATGTTTCAGCATATATTAGGACACGTGTAGAAGACGAACTAGGCAGGATGGCCAGCCGACATCCGGCATCGGTAGGACAGCCCACTGGCTCTTGTACCTTCATCTGCCCAATCATCGTGTGCTGGCGTGTCAGTGCTGTAACCCCAAATAAAGAGCCACGGAAGTGAAGTGTGGCGACATTACACAGGCAAGTCTCGCCTCACTGTGGTACGGCGGGACTCAGCCACAGTCCTGGCTTCATTTTTCGCAGAATGAGCAAGCCTATATCGACCCAGTCGCAGCTTTGAAACGTCCCAGAGTCTCCGTGTGTGCGGCTCGAGCCAGAGCTTGGTCGGCCAGAGCCCCTTGTGCTTGTCGACCCTCGTACACTGGGTGGGAGCGGTTGTCTCCTTTTCGAGACAACTCCACCTCAGTTGGTGGGCAGGGTCCAAACAGTGGGGGAAGTTCGCATCAGGGTTGCCTTGCAACCGTTCCCGTTCATTCTGTAGGAGGCCTAGGCTGATAGAAACTGAAGACGTTTCGGTCCCGATACTGGAGATCGGGTAGAGTCTGAGTACGATGTCACTGCTAGTTTGTAGACAGAAACAAATATACTCGATTGACTAAGAGAAGAACATGGCGAGAGCCTCGAGCACTCTGCCTGACATATATACAAAGTGCTGGTTCATCCCATACGTGAGAGTATCACCCTCAATGACAGAGTCCAACAACGGGCGGGGCCCAATAGCGTCCACCCTTCCTTTCTCTCTGATCGACTCTGTCTTATTCCCGATTAGATCTATTCTCTCTCCGATTAGCTTGGGTCCATCTGCTCCCCGATTAGATCTGCTGGGTCGCCATCTTCAACATAGGCTTGTATCGGCTCGTATCAGGCCGGTTTTCGGGATGTCCGATGCTCGTATCAGGAGAAGATAAGGGCCTGAGCTCTATCGCTGCATGGTCTCTTAGTTGAAGATACGTCGGTATTTCCAAGGGCCGACATGTTACATCGGAACTTCAGGACCGGGAGGCCGGAACAATACCGCAACGGTTATGAAAGGTGGCCCACTGGACGCACGACCCATGGATGCGACTCGAAAGACGAGCATAGTCAGCTGTTAAGGTATATATACTCTTGTTTTGCAGCCTCTCTCCCCTCGAGATGATAAGTCTTCTCACTTAGACACACTCGACTGTAAAGAGCGCCTGATAGTGGCCTCTAGAGCTGTGTATCTAATTTCAACTCTCTTGCACTGCCTCGTCATGTTTCAGACTCGCCCTTCGCTCCGACATGTTACTGTATCGTCCCCAGAGTAGACGTATAATACACCGGACTTAGTTACTTCGTCCCCCATTAGTATCCATCCATCCGTCTGTCTGTACATACCGTTCATCGTCGTCACACGTAATAAACCGCGTCCTACCATTCAAGTCTGTCGCTCCAACATAATCGAGGCATCTGGTACTTTCATGCGGCCAGTCTGCCGCGTCGAACTCGCTCGAGCTCAGAGCAACTTAGTTGTTCGGCAGGTAATGGGACAGAAGTTTCGACTATCCCCTTCTTGTTCTCTTCTAATGATGACCGGCTTGTCTAATTCCACTAGTATCCGAATGAGTCCAGTCCGTCTATAATCTCAATCGAGACAAAGCAACAAGTCCATCGAGCCCGCTTTTACTTTCGCCACTACAGGACATTGTTTTTCACTTCGTGAGGAGCCCACAGAGAGCGAAAGAGGTCCCACAAAATGAGGTCCCGCAGACTGTAAGCCAAGAAGTCGTAAACCTCGCCCACGGACGAAGGGCCTAGCTCCACCTGTGGCGAAAGTTGTGGTCCACGGGTAGTTGCTCATCATTCGAGCAATTGTCGTTTGGTGGGTGCCTCAATTAGAGCAGCCTAGGACAGATCCAGTGGGTAAGCAGCAGAAGTTGTCGTGCAAACACGCTGAATCTGAGGCAACCTCAGTCCGGCAGCCCTTGTTGACGTGGCATGGCGTTGAGCGGGCGCAGACATTTTTCAGGTGTCAAGAGTCCTGCATCTTCGCTGATGCTGTATAAAGGGGCTCTTCAAAGCAAAACTCAGCTCGAAGACGCTTTTCCCATTCACACCCGCCACAAGGCTTCCATTTTATCCCGCTCCTCGTGATCATCGGTGAATATGACTCGCCCTCTGCAGTGCCTTACTTCCCTGGTGGTGTTGGCCTTAGTGCTCGGCCAGTCAGCCCATTGTGCTGTAGTCAAGAAGTCGTCAGCCCCAGGAAGCCAGACTCCCCTCTACGACGAAGACCAAAAAAGTATCGACGGCCATTGTTATGTCACGCGACTTTTCGCTGACAAAACTGAATATGAAAAGCATTGTGAGGAGAAGTCAACTTCCAAATGGCCATGCTTCAAAAGTTCAGATTCCGCCTCTCTCAAGTACACCACCATTGAACCTTGGCTTGAACCTTTCGATATGTCGAAAGAGATCGTATTGATGGACAACACAGCAAGCGGTAAGCTATAAGACCAGGAATGCAAACTCTTGGCTGGTCCTCTGCTAACCTGTTCATTTTTTTCTTCAGCTTTCACGTTGAGTGATCCCTCGGTCGCGTTTACAATCACATACCCCTCTGGTGTCAGCCTAAGGTACTATGACTATGACGACAAGACCGGATGCTACAAGATTCACCTGCACACTGTAGTTGATTTGCGTATCTTCGTTTCAGACGGAAACGGAGACGATCGGGACATTGACACCAGACACCATACGGACACGGGCAAGCAACTGTGCTCCAAGTGGATCACAATCGATATTGTAGACGACATATAGTTGGAGATGCATGACAGTGACAATCGCGGCATCTGAATCCGTCCAGCCCATTTCCTTTGGCCGTTAGTTGAAGGTTATAAAGTACGATACGCTGTCCTGGGCCACTAGCAGGCTCCTCTTTATGACTGCCGGCGCATCTTCAACTCCGTTCGACGCTCAAAGTCCTCATTCAGTCGGTCTGTCACTCTGCTTCGTGACGTGGCAATCGATTATATAGCTTCAGACAAATGCGATCTGTTCTGCACATCTGTTGATCATTGAATCAGACAGCCACGTAATAGTGAACCAATTGATCAACCTGATCTCACTTGTTCTCTTCTACCGTGCTGCCTCCCAAAATGCATTTGTCAGAAAACGTAGCACAGTATCTGTATGGTCAACCAAAGTTGAAGCGTTTTGGTGAGAAGCGAAATCCCTTGCGAAACTTGAAGCGCACTTCCGAGCTTGTCACTAGTGAGACTCACCCATGGCCGCTGCTATCAACCATACAGCAATAAGGCAGCATATCCGAACACTTGAAGACAACGTCGAGTCCAGGAGGAGTGTTGCAGTAGAAGCTAGCGCGCGTCTTTTCAACAAGCATTCCGACGAGGACAAGAGCAAAGGTGAGGCTGTTGAAGGTCTTGTGGTGGTAATGAACCTGGATGCACGTAAGCTGTGCAGTGAGCAGTTACAGCGAACAATGATGGTGAGCAGGTGGCTTTCAAAGCAGTTCAGTCATGCTCTTTTATATCTCCTGCTCTCGTAGAGCTACCAATTTGCGACAACTCAAGCGAGGTTTCTCGCAAGTCTTGTCTGGCCCATCGGCCTTCTCCCTGCCAACAAATGCGCTTATTAGAATACTTCAAGGGTAGCTCGGCTTCACTCTTGCTCATCATGGACTCTGACAAGTAACGCTGTTGTATTGCCTCTGAACGTATATTTGAAGTGGAAGGTGGTGCGGTCTAGCTCAGTGCAGTAGGGCTGCGCCGCAACCCCGAACTCGCCAGCGCTAATCAAGATTAGGATTCTTCAGTCGCACTCGCCCGATGGCAATCCTTGTTCAGCTTCCAGCATCCCCTAGTGTATGGGTCTCAAGCGTAAGAAGTGCACGAGCTGGCATCATTGACACAGGTTCTGTTCTCAGTAGCCGAAAGAAAGGTTCTAGTCAGCAAGAATTCGGTCTGATATCAGGAAGGTATGTTGGGAAGGGAGGTCGAATGTTGGCTTACCCTCCATTAGGGGTACGGCAGGGCGAAGCTCCGAAGCACCTTTGACTACAGCCACTTCCCATACTGTCAATCTCGTAGTTAGATGGCTTGACCTCCAGCGGCTGAGCGGATACAGCCCAGAAGCTCGACATGCCAAATGCATGGTGTGGAGTCGGCCGTTTCCGTTCTTGAAGTGCATGCTGAGACGAGCGATATTGTGATGAGCTAAAGCGAACGATTTCGGCTTCAAGAGTTGAGTCTGAAGCATGCGAATGCAGGGATCGATTGGGTCTCTGAGGGTTTAGGCAGAGGCTTTATTCCTTACTGTGGATGAACTTGCATCCTAAGCATCATTTGTAGGTATAACGGGAGAAAGACTGCTGCTGCTCTTAGGCGGAACCGATACCTTGAGCAAGTCTTGTCTCAACTGCTCGCCGCTTACCTCTGCGTCGTGGACCGAGGCTTTTACGTCCTCTCCTGCGGTTGTTAATTCGTTGCTGACCATTCCAGAGACTGAGCTTGATTCCACTGCCGCACCAACCTCCTTCCCTTCCGCCTGCTCTTCTTCCTTTTCCTCTTCATCGCTCTGTCCATCCAAGCCTAGACTCCTGGCTTTGCGGAACAGCTCTCCTTCCTCACTCAACTGTCCTTTGGCTAGGTTCTCGGTTGGTGATCGTGGCGGAAGCTTGTCGCTACCCGTGGGGACCTCTCGATCAGCTTCGAGATTGGTAGTGTTGATCCTCAACCCGCCCATCATGTTCGATAGCACATTTCCTCCCTCCTCTTCTCCACCTTCCGCTCCTTGTGCTGCTGCAGACTTGGATGCGGATGCACTCTTAGCCTTGGCAGCCTTACGCTTCTTCTTCGCCTCTTCATCTTCGTCCGAATCCGACTCGTCCGAATTAGCAATCGAGAACGCAGGCGACGAAAGTCCCGAATCCAACCCCTCCTGATCCGGCGTCGAGAGATGCAACATGGACGGTACACCACTTGCCTTCACCCCCTTTACTCCCTCCGCACCCTCCACCGCAGCACGAACATCGATACTAGGCGTAGCACCATACTTGTAAAACCTCTCCAATCTCGTCGACACATCGCCCAGTTCATCATGCACCGACAAGATCCTCTCTAACAGTCCCTCCTCTTCCACCGTCCCTGCTAGATCCGCAAGCTTTTTCCGCAGCTTGGCACTCTGCAGTGTAAGATCTTCGACAAACTCTCCCGGAGGCGTAACCGTTTTCTGCTCTGGCGCTTCACGCTGTCTCTTTTCCTCTCCCGCTAACAGATCCCGTAGAACGTTACGACACTCTGTCGCAGCAGTAAGCAACCCTTCCACTGCAGCTCTATCCTTGGCCGCCGCCGCAGACACAGCTGTAGCCCGAGCGGTCTGTATTGCCTTCAATCTCTCATCGTTTTCCCTAGCTGCTCTTGCAACGACCGATTTATAGATCGGTGCTGCGATTGGTTGTTTAATCCCCTTTTGCTTCGCTCTTTGCTGTGCGAGCTCGGTATTCCTTACACAACTTTGTAAGATCTCCTGTGACAATCTCGCGAAGTCAGGATTATTGGGGGGAATGTTGAGATCCAAACACCTCAAACTCCTATTCATCCTCAGCGATACCGCCAACGCCATGACACCGGCAATGTCGATATCAAAGTTCTCCGCCAAATCGAGATGAATCAAACTCCTCGCCTCTGGCAAGAACTCGGCCAACGCTATCGCCGCCTCGGAAGATAAGTCCGTATCGTTGAGGAAGAGCCTTTTCAGGTTCGAATTGAGCGCAAAGGCCGTCCTTAGCGTCGTGATTCCTTCCAATCCCGGCCCAGAGCAAGGATTGTGACTCATATCAAGAGTCTCCAGCGTAGAATTGTACTGTAGAGCTTCAGCTACAGCAACGAGTCCTGGCATTTCGATATTGTTATCGCTCAGATTCAGTACTCGTAGCGTACGGTTCTTTTTGAGGACTTGAGCGAGGTATACAACTCCACCGCGGATATCGTTTGACTTGAGATCGAGGGTCAGGAGATTACCTACGCGCGGTAGATCGGCGAGAATACGACGTGCTCGTTTAGCTTGGTAGATGGCAATTGCTTTTTCTTCGCTCTGTCCTCTCGGGGCCGTGCGTTGGATGTCGAGCCGTTCTTGGGCGGTGAGGCGGGGTTCGAGTTGGCCCGCGGGACCGGCGATGCTGGTCTGCATTGCGTCTTGAAGCTGTTCGGTGTGAGCACCGTAGAATGTTGTAGGTCGGGATTCGCTTGCACCATTCGCATGTTGTCCAGGCATTCTGCGGGAAGTGATACCGCCACCAGGACTAGAGACGATGACGGGAACTTCGGGTAATCCGGGAGAATAGCTGCGTGGGCGGCGGTCCGGCGTCGACTGCGCATCTGTGGGGCGCAATGTGCGACCACTGCGGTCATCTGCACTGGAGGCTGCGTTCGAGGCAAAGTAAGACTTACTATCGCGTTCCGTTGGAACACCACCTGCATCTGGAAACAGCGCTACACTGTCCGGATAATCTTTCAGCATGATAGCGAGGGCCACCGATGCTAGCTGTCCGATCTTGTTCCGACGCAGCGATAGATGACGGATATCAGAAAACCGTACTGCTTGCGAAAGCATCTCGAGGGAGGCTGCTTTGAGACCGCAGTTCTCGAGCCGCAACGATATAATGGCTGATGAAGGCGGATCTGGATCATCGGATACATCCCGTAGCAACGGCGCAGTCGGCATCAACGGTTCCCCCGAATCATCAAAGAACTCGTCATCGCTATTGTCACCATCTTCGTCGTCCTTGTCGACGTCTGTCTTGTCGTTCGGCCCTTCTGTGGTCGACGTTTGGGTTCCATTCGTGCCTGCTACCTGTTTGGCTTGTCGTTGTGGTGCTCGATGATGTGTGACAGCAAAAGCCGACTTAGTAATGACAGCCAGCAAGTGCTCCAACGAACTCCTATCGATCGAATTCTCCGACAGATCCAAGTAGCGCAGCGCTCTCGCCCGCCGCATGAAAATCGCCACATACTTCCAACCCCGGAAACGTATCTTGCGATTGCTAGCAAGACTGAGATTCGGCAACGTGCCCGAAACCAGGAGCGCATGTAGTATCGACTTGACAGTGTCATCAGTCAGTGCGCAGTTCTCGAGAACGAGCTTGTTCAATCCAAAGTCGACACTGAGCAGATCGGCAATCGGCTCGACAGCGTGACGGTCCAACGGCACGAATGAGAGATCCATAGTCTTGAATGCTGGTGGAGTTGACTGTGCTGCCTCTTGGAACACGAGACGCATCTTCTTGAGGGGATGCTCTTCGCGAGTTCGACAGCATTCGCGATAGAGTGCTTCGAGCTCTTCAGGTGTCCATGGCTTGTCGCGACGTGCTTTGAGCATGCGACGATGTTCTCGTTCGATTCGCAGACGGGTGAGATCCTCGTCCTCGGGTGTTCCTGCTCCTGCGATAGGGTATGTGACGGCCATATGTGATACCTGGAACTGTACCTTTTTGAGCGGTGCGGCTGAAGTGGTTGAGGCAGCAACGGTGCTCTTGACCAAAGACGTAGCTGACCCATTCTCCGCCTCAGACTGAGACGAGACTGCAGTCGTACCGGTCAAAGAGCTGAATGCGCTACTACTGCTATTCCTGCCCAGCGAAAGACCATCACCAGCGCCAGGATAGAAGCCAGATCCGTTCTGCTTCGTTGGCGAGTCATTCGACAGCAAGCCACCAACCGTAGTCGCGCTCGAGCCACTGACGTTGGCAGCAGCACCGGCGGCGATACCACCGATCTTGCGGAACATGCCACCAATGTATGAAGCTGTAGCCTGAGCTGTGCTACCTTGTGGTACAGGCACTTGCATGTTGACACCCTGCTGAGCAAGGCGTGTGTTGATGTTCTGGAGAATGTCTCTACGGAAAGAGAAGCCCTTCTGTGGAGGTGGAGCTGGTTTCAAGATGCCTTTGGGTTTCAAGCTCATCTTGCGCTTGTAGACAGATCGACGTACTGGGCTGACAGTGGTGATCATGGAAGAAGACAGCTCTGAATTGGGCGATTCAGGTCCAGGAGTTCCGAGCTGCTGTTGCTGCTGCCATGATGTCGCTGCTGTAGTGTCAAGAGATGTACTTGTGGCGGCGGGTTCGGACACCTTGGGCAAAGGCTTTTCCGGCGTGGAAGCTTGCACTGTATCCGTTGGTGTGTTTGCCGAAGTGGATGTCGAATTGTTCAGGGCACCGAATGCTCCAGGCACGATGGGGCTAGGAGCCTTCTCCAGCGTCATCGGAGAAGCATCACTAGTGCTGCTGGAAGCAAGGGAGGGCTCAGCTGCATCTGTACTTATCTGCGGCGAGCCTTCAGCCTGTAATGCTTCTGTCACATCCGGAGCCGACTGTTGTGGTAGTGGTGTGGTAGGTTGCTGGTCCGTCAGACAGGGATCTGTCCCGGTCGACATGCTGCCAAAACAAGGCTGAAGGTGATGTCAGCAGCCGTGCTCTAGTCGCTGAAGGAGTATGTGAGCATCCGGCAATGTTTTCAGACCAATGCAGGCGGTGAGACGAAAGGAGCCAAATTGGGTTGATGATCTCCCTGGCTCTTCGTCGTCAGGTGGGCGTTAGCGGATGACGTTGTGAAAGTGACCGGACTGCGCGAGGATGGTGTGAAAATGCGGTAACCAGTCCGGATAGTCGATGACGCTAGAAGAAGGAGGTGAAGATGGGACAACGACCTTCCTATCCGGCTGAGTGTGTGTGTGTGTGTGTGTGTGTTGGATCAGAGGGTGAAATACGAAAGGGGTCGAGTGCGTGTGTGTGTGTGTGTGTGTGTGTGTGTGTGTGTGTGTGTTGGTAAAATTGGTGGTGTGAGTGTCGGTGCATGATTCCCGCGTGAGTGTGTTGCTTTTGCCTTGCTGTGCTGTGCAATAACTGCGACTGCGACTGCGACTGCAACTGCAACTTGCACTCTCTGATGAATACGTGTTAAAGCGACGCTTTTCCGAAACCTAACAAGTTCCCAATTTCCGGCTCAAAACTCAGCTGCTGCAAATATTCGGATTTCGGAGCCAATTTCAATCAACCAAATCGTGAATCCTTGACCATGAAGGTTTGTGGAGCTCGAAATGTTCTAACACTTCTTCCACCCATCTACACCCCAGCATTGCTTTCGAACCAGCGTCGGCTCGCACTAACATGAGCGAGACCAAAACGGAAGGTGCTGAGGTGCCGGGACAGGTGGCTTCCACATCATACCAACCGCGACCAGCACGCAAGCAAGTGACACTGGCCAAGTTCAATGCCATCCGAGAAGCTTTCAGTGCTCGACCTGAATCCGCTGGCACCTTCAACATCTGGTACGAGAACTATGCGGGCGTCGATCGAGAAGAGAACGAAGCGCAAAAGGCAAAGCGCGAGACAAGATGCGACATTGCTCGTGACTCGGGCTACACAAAGGCAGACATCACTCTAAGGACACAAGCCGCTCGAGTGCAGACAGGCGCCACCATCACACCGGACGAGGCAGTCTACTGCTGTATCCACTTTGCACGAGGATGCTGTCCACATGGAGTCGAGTGCAACTTCTTACATAGACTGCCACGACCGAACGACTTCCCGAGCCAAGGACGCGATTGCTTTGGTCGAGAGAAGCTCGGTAACTACAAAGACGACATGAGCGGTACTGGGTCTCTTTCCAAGATCAATCGCACACTGTACGTCGGAAGGATACATGAGGAGCATGGCGTATCATTACCCACCTCAACCAACTCGGCATGGCGTGATGGAGGAAAGACGCTCAAGGGTGGTCGCAGTGTCAATCATATCAAGAACAAGAATGGGCCACGTCCAAAACAAGATCCCAAATCGTATCGACCTCAGCACAACTCAGTTAGACCGGAGACGGACAACGCAACAGAGCGCGTGGTACGTCGACACTTTAGCGAATGGGGAGAGATCGATCGACTGCGTGTACTGACAGGCCGATCCTGTGCCTTTGTCACGTACAAGTACGAAGCCAATGCGCAATTTGCAAAGGAGGCGATGCTCAACCAGCCACTTGACCATGACGAGATCATTAACGTTCGCTGGGCTTCAGATGATCCCAACCCAGCAGCACAGAAGAGGAATCAAGAGCAGATGCGGCGTGCAGGAGAAGCCGCCATCATAGCCAGCATGTCATCACAAGCTCTGGAAGCACAGCAAGCGTTGCGTGCGCTGGAAGCGCTCGAAAACCCGAATGCTTCGAGCAGCGATGCTAACTCAAAACGTCGACGTATTGGTCAGGAGAGCTACGAGGACGAGATGCGCAGGCTTGATCAGGAGAACCAACGCGGATGGGCAGAGCTTACACAACAGAAACAGGCTGCGTCGGCCGCAGCACAGGCTGGACCGGCTGCTGCTGTTCCGGCTACAAACTCAACGCAGAATGGTGCAGACTCATTGCTGAATAGAGAGACGATGTCAAATCTGGCCTCTCTACAAACGAAGCAAGCAAAAGCCGCTTCTGCGCCTGCCTGTGGTCTGGACAGTCTTGCCGCTTACGGCAGTGATAGCGAGGATGGCAGCTGAACCAGTCGGACACATAACTACACTCGCTTGCACCGTGACACTGGGCTTGTATCGTTCGTCTACAATGCATCAATGCCGATTACGATAGACTCGCTGGAAGTGTCTGTTCCATTGTGGCAGCGGTTGAGGTCGCAGAAAAGCGGCAATATTTCGACGTTTGTTCCTTACTGACGATCTCACAACATTTGTTTGTTTGTTTGTTTTTTTAAAAATGGGCGAACAGGGTTCAGGGTGTAACGCCTGGCCCGTGCAACAAGAGCTGCCTATCAAGGTGGAGGAGTAAGCCGAACAATTGAGCAAAAACCTGGTGTCTATCGCAGTCAACGGTCACAGGCTCGTTGGTGCTGACCATTCGCAATTGTCACCGCTCTGTGGGGACCTTGTAACAGCGCAAGTTATAGGTTTTGTCGATGAAGATCTCAGAGAAAGTGAAAGAAGGTGTAGCTTGGAGCAGAGTCGTGCGACCTTGGTCATCCCTCGAGGTGCTTCTACACCAGTACATGTGAGGTCCGTGCTCTGGTTTGAAGCTGCTTTTGGTTCGGCAACGGCTGCTGTGTCTCTCCATTTGACCCTCTTTTGTAGGCCGAACCCCAGAAAAGTTGCTTCTCTGTGGATCGGCTCTGTCTTGCCTTCGTTGACTGTGCCTGCCATCTGCCTATTCCCTCGCTCAGATCGGCTGTCCCTTCACCGAAAGAGATCCTCTTTGCTATAAAACGAAGCGTTTGTTTCTCCTTTCTCTCTCTACCTCCTCAACACTTCATCGCATAGCTGATATTACAGACGTTCAGCCCCACCGCAACGAATCACAGCAAGCAAATGCCACGAAAGACCAAAATGGATGACACCACATCAGCCGTCAAACGTGCTGGCTCAGCCGTGGATACCGAGGAAGACTTCCCCGCCGTGCCCACTACCACTGCTCCTTCCGAGAGTGCATTCGAAGATCTTGCCATCTCAGAGACGGATTCCAACGTTCGTGTTGCCCCTAGCGATACCGGATCTGCTGCCTCCGCTGCCTCTGCTGCTACCCCTGCAACCGCAGTCACTGGAACGGCAGATAACGTCAACGACGCAGTTCCAGCCCCCGCACCAGCTCGCCAACCTGCCGAACCAACCCAGCACACCACTCGCGCAGACTCTGCCTCTCTTAGCACCTCCTCCTCCGGTCTCGTCCTTTTCGATCTCACCGACAAAGCCAACGGTACAGCCTGTTTCTCCCCTCACACCATCAAGACTATCCTCGACCTAAAACTACTCAATGTTGGATACGAACGTCAACGACTCACCTTCATCCAAATCCGCAACGACCTAGCTGAACGAATCGCAGACAATGTCACAGTCCCCGCTCTTGAACTTTCAGACGGTTCTCACATCGTTGACTCCTGGAACATTGCAGAATATCTTGAAAGACGTCACCCGGAAGGTTATCGCATCTTTGGTAACTCTTCAACAAAGAGACTCGCTGCCATGTTGAATCAGTTCGGAAAGACCGTCTTGGCTCCTCATATCGGTCCGCTAGCACAGAAGGGAGTGCATGAAATGTTGGACGACGAGTCGGCAAGATACTTTGCCGAGGTCAAGATAGGGAAACAGAGGTGGGCTAAGATTTCAGCAATGACACAGGCGGAGAGGGATGCGCATGTTCAACAGGCGATTGCAAAGTTGGAAGTGGTAAATGCCATGTTGACTTGTGAGGGTGGTCCTGATTCGACTCCTAGTCATCCGATCGAGTCGGTGGTCGATGCAAGTAGTAGCAGTCAGTTTGTGGGTGCAAATGGTGGCGCTGGCGGTGGGGTGAGGAGCGCCAGTAGAAGCAAACAGCCATTGTGGTTTGCAGGTGGAGAAGAGCCAACACATGCAGACTTTGTGCTGTTCGGTTGGTACGTCTTCAGTCGTGCAGCGGGGGAGAAGGTCGCAAGGGAGATCTGGTTTGCTCATAAACCGATTAAGAAGTGGGTAGAGGCTATGTTGGAATGGTGTGGTGATCTGGCGAATGACTTTGTTTAGCGATTGCCTTGGTAAAGTATACAGATCAGAATGTTAATGGTTTTGCTTTTACATTGTATTCGTGGTGATGTTACAGGCGTGCAACGGTCAGGCGATCTAGAATGAGACAGAGAGAACAGTTCGTCCGACGCCTTTGGTGATGCTGTGGAGTGGTTTTACAGAAGCAGAAGGGGTGAGTTGTGAGAGAGTCTGTTTGAACGATTCGACTCCGCCCCCCACGCCAAAGTAGATGACTTTTGCCGCGACCAGTACCAGTCCTGTCTCGGATGTTGCTGCATCTGGTTTGGCGTATCTGTTCAACAGCTCAACCAGTGCAGGTAGTGAGTCGAGCGAGTAGATCGTTTCTGAAGTCAAAGTCATATCCATCTTCGCCCCGGCCCCTTCACGTTTGAGGGATGGAGGGAAGTTACTCCATGCTCCGGAGTAGAACTTCAACTCAATACCTCGTTTTTGTAGAGACGAGGAGAAAGCAGCAAGTAGCTCATCCGTGATTGCAAGCTCTCCTTCCTCTTGATCCGTAGCGAGGGTAGATGTGTCGAAATGATCTTGTCCGCGACGTTCGAGCTCTTGTCTTTCTTGTCGGAGGAGGTCGGCTCCTTGGCCTGCACGGAAAGGTGCTGCTTCGGGAGAAGCCCACCAGGCTAGGATAAGATTTGGAAGGGTGACTAGCTGCAAAACTTGTGTGTTGTAGTCTGCTAGGTGCAACGACAACCCCGCGCCCGCATGGGGAGGATCTTTGAGCACCTGACTTAGAATAAACAGTGTTGGTAGGGCTGTTCCGCATCCCAGCTCAAGTACGTGTTTGCTTGATAGACGTGAAGACCAGCTTCCATCCCCTTCAGAACCTCCTGCTGTTGCATGTAGTGCGTCTAGTGTTTCAACGAGGTCGAGAGCGCATTCCCACGTCTTTAGCCCACCTTCGTACACGCCTGGTATCAAGTCTGATTCTGCATCGACGTTCGCCTTATCCTGTGCTATCGGCAATGGCTTTGTGGCCCTCTGCTCTTGATCTTCGTCTTCATCCTCGTCTTCATCGAGCAGCATTTGGAATCGTGCATCGAACAGATCTCTCCTCAAGAGTTTGTGCACCCTACCACTGTTGCTCCCGTCGCGGGGTGGAAGGTTCACGTCAATGGAAGAGTATGAGATTCTTGACGGTAGATTTTGCAGCATGTCGTGAATGCAGTGGGATCTGAAAGGCACTTGATCTGTAGATGGCGCTTGTGAAGAGCTGGACGCTTGTTGTGGTTGCATGGACGAGGATGAAGGGGAGTTGAGGTACTCCTCGTCCATCTCGGATTCGTCGAATTGGAAGCCAAATGACATCGTTGCTTCGGCAACGCCTTCGATATTGACACTCTGAGTCTAATGATGTGTTCCAGCGAGATCAGGGATTGCGGAACCACGTTGAGGTGTAGGCATGGGTGTAGGAGAAGATGTCGAAGCTTTGAAATGAAGTTCTCAGGTTAAAAAATTAAGATCAAATCTCGGATCTCGGTCAGTTTTTCCCAACTCTTCTGGCTGGACCCTGAAGTCCTCCTTGCCCAACTCCACTTGATTTCACACTCTGACAGTACAGACACCGCCATCATAGAGACTTGCACATACACAACGAATGAGACGAAACAATGTGTTTCTTGAATCCTTCCAGTAACATGAGTATTGTCGCTCAGAACAAGTCACGATCAGTAATACATCCTTCCGAAGCGTTCTGTACGTCTCGAGCGAACTTGTACAACCAACCACGCTTGTGCTTGATATGCTTTCCCTTCTTCTCCTTAACCCACTTTTCCTTCCTCTTCTGCTTCTCCTCTTCGCTGATGTGCAAGTTGATCTCCCTTGTGTTAGCGTCAATGGTAATCCTGTCGCCATCTTGTACAAGTGCGATTGGACCACCCTCAGCGGCCTCCGGCACAACATGACCGGTACAGAATCCATGAGAAGCACCGGAGAAACGACCATCTGTAATCAGCGCAACACTCTTACCCAGCCCAGCACCCATAATTGCACCAGTAGGACCCAACATCTCTGGCATACCCGGCCCTCCTTTTGGTCCGACATATCTGATCACCACCACACTACCTGCTTTAACCCTACCTTCAGCGATAGCGTCGGTAACACCAAACTCGTCATCGAACACAACAGCGTTTCCGTCAAAAGTAAGACCTTCTTTACCAGTGAGCTTGGATACTGCACCACCGGGGCACAGAGAGCCACGCATAATAGTGAGATGGCCTGTAGCTTTGATAGGGTTGCTAAGAGGTCGGATGATGTCTTGCGTTTCGAATTCGAGTGGTTCTACTTCGGCGAGGTTCTCCCGCATTGTTTTGCCCGTGACCGTCATAACATCACCGTGGAGGAGGTCGGTGTTGTCGAGGATATACTTGAGAACTCGAGGAACACCACCGATCTTGTGAATGTCCTCCATGTAGTATTTGCCCGAAGGCTTGACGTCGGCCAGCATGGGAGTCTTATCACCGATCCTTTGGAAGTCATCGATGGTGATATCGACCTCAGCAGCACGAGCGACAGCGATGAGATGGAGAACCGCATTCGTTGAACCACCCATGATGTGGGTCATCGTGATCGCGTTCTCAAACGTCTCCTTCGTCATGATGTCCAGCGGCTTAATGTCCTTCTCGAGAAGATTCTTGATGTATCCTCCCACACGAAGACATTCTTGCAGCTTCTCCGGATACACAGCAGGAATACTCGACGTCATCGGCAGACCCATACCCATAACCTCAATCGCAGTCGACAGAGTATTAGCCGTATACATACCTCCACAAGCACCTGGACCCGGACAAGCGTTCCTAATCAAATCAACCCGCTCTTCCGGCGTAATGAGACCCTTTGCATATGCACCGGTTGCTTCGAAGTTATCTGCAACATTGCATGGATCGCCCTTTTTCCTCCCCAGCCCAGGAACGTCCATACCATGCTTCCCTGGCTGAATCGTTCCTCCGTACACTACAATGGTAGGTCTGTTGTGTCTGGCCGCCGAAATTAGGACTCCAGGCATATTTTTATCACAACCTGGAATCGAGACGTTGGCATCATGATACTGAGCCATGGTAATCGTCTCGATCGAATCAGCAATCAACTCCCTAGAGGGAAGAGAATATTGCATACCATAACCTCCCATCGTAATCGCATCCGACACGCCCACGGTGTTATTCTGTAAACCCACCAAACCTACCGCTTCGCATCCTTGTTTGATCTTGCGTCCGAATTCAAGTAGGTGGGTGTTGCAAGGGTTGCCTTCCCACCAAACGGAAGAGATTCCGACTTGAGGCTTGTCAAAGTCTTCCACCGTGATGCCACATGCGTGGAGCATGGATTGGGCTGCACCTTTGTCTTCGGATTGAGTTATAAACGAGCTGATTTTGTTGAGTTTGGGTTTGATTGTGTCGCCAGAGCCAGAGCCATTGCGGGGAGCAGAGAAGGGGGGACGAAGCTCGACTTCCCCGTGCGCCATCTTTGTGATACTACGTTGGGTGGAAGAGGAGGGAGTAGGTTTGAAGGAAATAAAGGAGGAGGTCGTAAGAGAAGGGAGGGATCGGATTGATGGTGCAATGAGATGATGGATTATATCGTGAACCAAAAGCAGAGACGAGGAAGCACAGTCTGACAGTTGGGAGGAATGGAGATATGCATAGACCGGCACCAAGTGACCGAGAACACCATCTCGCCTAGCGAAGACTCATGGTGTAAAGTCATCCCACCGACGTAAGCTGCTTCTCATTGCGGGGCATTGTGCCGGCTGCGTGCGTGGAGAGAACACACATCAAGGCAGATGAGGGGAGAGTGCAAACATAAGGGGAAGCTGTCTCAGAAAAGCCAATACTCACGGTCCGAGCAATTCACCGAACCGAGGTTGCGACCAATCATCTTGCTCGTAATTGCACCATCCTGTCATCCCACGTTTCCTACGATCCTCTCTTCCCTACCACACATAGCAAGCCACACCGGAATCGAGCTCATGATCCCGTGTTCCGTCCGTGCAGATGTATCGATCGATGTTGCCGAGACAGAAGACAAAGTGATGAGGCTGTCAAAAGCCAAATGGGCAGATCGAAGTCAAAGTGGGGGCGGGACCAAAGCGCGCTTTCCGTTCCTTTTTTGAAACGTTGAGGTTGTTGCATAGATATACCCTAACATATTTGGAAAATTGCGCAAGGCATCAGGATCGACTCCCGATTTAGAAGGATCGACTCCCGATTGAGAAGGCAAACAAACAAGATGTCCAACTCTAACTTTGTGTTGTGTTTCTAGCAGCCAATTGCCGTGCGCCTCCTCACTGTTGTATGTGGCTGTCGACTTACCTTTGGACGTCATTGCGCTTTCCTTGCTCCATTGACGCTCTCTGAACCTGCACCATGACAGACGTCTTCAGAGACAAACCTACTCATGCTTTCGTTAGTGTTGGTGCAACAGGCCGAGAGCTAGAGGAGAGGCAAAAAAAGGCAACTTCGGCAAACCAAACATGGCAGCTCGCTTAGACATCTCTCTCACACGCTTCACTGTCGCACCATCAAACAACACCAATCAACGAGTATGTGACACCATTACGATTGATCAGTGACTAAGCAGGTGAGGTATGAAGAGTCTTCCCAAACTATCTACAAGCGAGCTAAGTAAAAGACCAACTTATATCAATAACCCCCAAATCCGGGTCCGCTAGCGCTTTGAACAAACTCGGACTCATATCTAAACTTGTCCTATGACAACCTGGACACAGATCCGCAACCTTTGCAGAAACACATTTACCACCATAACACACCTTGACCCCTCCAAAACAATGTTTGCCACCCTTGTAGACATCAGAGGAGAGAGCTACGATGTAGTCGTTGACCGTGTTCCGTTTTCCACAGGCTCCTTTGTTTGGTTTGAAGAATGTTCCTTTGCCTTTGAAACTACCGCTGTTGTTGGAAGAAGAGGTGGAGACGGAGTGGGATGAGTGGTGCTTTCCGTGTTTGGAGCGGCGATGACTCTTGGAGGAGGAGGAGGAACGGTGTTTGCGGGATCGATGGTGTTTGCGGTGACGATGTTTGCGTGCGCGAGCTTCTAGGTTGGTTTCGGGATCGTCTTCGTCTTCATCGTCGTCGTCGTCATCGTCGAGTTCGACAACTTCTTCAACTACTTCTTCTGCTCTTTTGGCAAAAGAGAGGTTGGTGAGAGAGGAAGAAGACGGTGAGGAGGCGTCTCTGGCGAGAAGCGCAGACAACGATGACTCGGCGAAGTTGTTGTTGGTGTTTGAGATGGATACACTTGCAGCTGCTGCGATCAGGCACGAGTAGAGTGCTAGTGTTGAGATCCGCATCTTTGCTGAATCTGATCCGCTGTATGTATGCTGTTATCTATGCTGACGGTAGAAGTGAGGGTTGTTGGAATCTATAACGCGTAGTGACCGTGTGGAATCAGGATGGTATGGGAAAGAGCATAGATGAAAGGGGAGAGAGAGGAAGGATGATGGTAAGAGATGATGGTGAAAGATGAGAAAGATTTTGATGACGCTCACATTTATTCCAGGTACAGTAGCAAAAGTGGGTCTAGTGGTTTCGCACTGCAGAAAAAAGGGGATCCTCTCTTTGGTACCACCGCCGCCTCGAGCACAGCTCGGATGGATAACCCCACTACCACTCCCCTTGGCTTGCATACATTGACTGAGTAACAGTCGCATAGCCTTTCCGCCGGACAACCATCTCGTCGTTGAAACAGGGGTAACAACAACACCCAATAAGGCAACGATAAACCTCATCGGAGTCTCAATCACCTTCAACACCTACATTCTGTATTCTGCTCTGAACGACAAGTTGCATACACTCCCCCTCTTCTACTTCGCTTCTTTTCCCCCTTCTCATCGCTTCTTTCCTCGCTCAAGATGACAAAAGAACACTTCATCTCCATTGGAAGGGGTTCTATCGGTGTAGCTTCATTACCGGTGACCCTCAACAGTAGCAATCACTTCATGAGCGTGGAGGAACGCGGCCCTCTCAGTCTGCAGTCTGCAGTCTGCGTTCTTGCATGATTGTGTTGTCGGAGTGGAAAATCAATTTGTCGATCTCTGCATTTCTAAAACCCCTCTGCTTGGGTGCTATAAATTGAAAAGAAAGCGAGTGTTGGTTTCAGTTGTGGACGCGTACTTGAGCAAGCAGAAAGCGGTGCTGTGTTTTTTGCTGCTCCGACCCCGAGCCCCTTCCACCCACACAACGCTGTCCTGCTCGTGTGCGTTCGCCAACTTCCCTCGTACTGAACTCAGGTGGCGTTGTCTCAAAGCGAGACTATCGTGAGTTGGTATAGCGACGAGAAGGGCAGAAGAAGATGGAGCAAAAGAAAGTAACCTTCAGCAGCAAGACTTCAAAAAAAAAAAAAAAAAGTGGAAAAAGAGATGCATTGACGGGGACTCGAACCCCGGTCGAGTCGAATCGAGTGGATTTACACAACTATTTGGTGTATGAGACTGGCAACGACTCATGATACCCCTACACTATCAATGCTGATTTATGTAACTACATATTCTACTAGCATCTATATTAGCACGCACCATTACATTTTCATTTACGGCCTGATCTTCGTCTAGCTCGCCCACCATCTTTTCCGTTCCTCAGAGCTTACAAGAGCACCTTGTGACTCAAGTCCGGCGGTTTGCGCCTTAGCATGATAAAGTTGATTGATTGAAAGTTTCATGTTGCGAGTTGCGAACGGGCGATGGTGAGAGGAAATACAAAAGCAAAATATTAAAGGGTTCGAAATTTGGGGGCTAAGAAATTACTTGGTGGGTCGTCTACGATGGCATCGCCTGTGACCCAGCATCCATAACCCCCACCAATCGCAACTTTGAATGAACGAACAGAGTCGAGAAAAGAAATTGTGACAGCTGGTGATCGTAAAGCGGCAAATGTCGATATCCTTGCTGCAGAGCACCGACTGACACGCTGTAAGCAGCGACACTCTCGGCATCGATCGAAGAAGCCAGAGAGGAAGCTGAGGAGATTGCGGAGGATGCGCTGTCTGAACTGGCTCTTCCCGTTTCCTCAGTAGCTTTGTCCGCCAAAATGCTTGTGTCAGTGTCTTTGGCGGTGGTAGGAGCTGTCAGGGTTGAGTCCAATGAAGCTCTAGAAAGAGACTCGGACACAGGTGCGACATTGGTTAAGGCTGGACCGCCGTTTGTATCGGTAATGTGCGACCCTGTGCCTCTGCCTTCGCCATTCAGATCGTCGTCGAAAATCTCGAATCGTACAAAGCAAAGATCGAGCAGGCCCCGACTCAGGCGCTCCAGGTCCGCTTGCGACGAGACTGTCTTGGTGGCTGCAATGAGTGCGATAAGCTCCGGGCTAGCACTAGCGGGAACGTCGATCAGCACGCTCATTTCCGTGTGCCATTCAGGGCTGAAGCCGTTGCCTTTGACTGTGGGCGTACGAAGCAGATGCGTCGGCATCAAAGCACCTGCCTTCGGACGAGCGTTTACTTTAGGCAGTGTCGACTCCGAGTCTTGCCTGGCTGTTCGTTCGTCGGAGAGAGGAGCATTTGCCGTGGTTGGTTCGGCCTCCGGAACAAAAAGGGTGCTAGTCTCTGAAGGCTGAACACTGTCGACAGTGACAACAGATGGTCGACGCTCGCCATCATCCAGCGCACGGCCGGTGTTTACGGAGGCAACGGACTCCGTTGGCGCGCCGGTAGCGATCAGACTCGTTCTAAGGTCGTTTGGCAATTCAATCTTCTGCTCCTGCACTTGCACAGGGAGCGAAGAGCTTCGTTTCGTTGACTTCCGCAACAACCCCTTGGCCTGCTTACCCCAGCAACCTGGCGTCAGCAGTTCTACGACAACAAACGGATCAATCGGCTCCCTATTATCCTGACTAGCACTTTTCTCTTTGTCCTTGCCCACACCCGCTTTACTCTTCTTTGGCAGCTGCTGCGCGGACACAATCTTCAGATCCAGCGAGAACCTCACGATCTTCCCGGCCAACGTCTTACCCTGCTCCTTCAACCGCAATGCAGCCGGCTTGAGCACATATCCGCACCGCCCGTTCCGGCTAAACATAGCCTGATTCAGCTCGAAGCCCAAGTCGGTCGTCTGCCAATTCAATGCCACGAGCTGGCATCCTGTGGCCCACATATCCAGCGGTACAAAGTTGCGACTAGCGTGAAGACGCGCAAAGCTCATCATCGATGGGTAGACACGCGTTAGATGTGTGCGATTGTGCTTGATGAGCGCTTCGTTTGAAATGGGGTCGCGTATCATCTTGAGCGCCGTCTTTTCGGACAGTGAGACCATGTGTTGCCTGGCGTACGACTCTTTCTTGTTGAAGCCTCGACATTTGACGCCGATGGTGTAGATGAGTAGCGAGGCAAGCGCAGTCGACATCATCTTCTTGGCTTGTTTGCCGCTGCGACTGGCTGCACTTTGCAGATCACGCTGTGCATCTAGAACGCCCGTCGCCTTGTTGTTTCGGTCTCGCGCCGCACCACTTTGCGTAGCTTCGCCGCGATGACCACGCCTGGTGACGCGTCGGACGAGTGACTTGGCGCTGGAGAGACGCGACTCGATCTCCGAGTCGGTTGTTGTCGTGGTATCTGTGGCTGAGGTTGAATGCTCAAGCACCGCGGCTGGAACTACGCTTGTTCCATCCCTCTGCTGTCCGGTTTCCGGCTTCTTATCGTTCATCTTGCGCTGTTCGTCGGCCACCGAGACATTCTTGGCCTTGACAAGCACTTTGAATTTAAGCGCTTCAGGCGACGGAAGCTCGTCGTCAACGCCAGGCGTTGCTTGCGAGCCAAGAGGCTGGCTCAGCAACATCTCGCCCAGCGTATCCCTAAGAATGCGTGCCATTACCTCCTGCTGGGGCGGATCAGCATGCACCTCAAGACTGAGGATGAGGGGATAGGGGGAGGTGACAAAGGCGTAGCGTGCAATGGCACTGATGACATCTTGGAAGGGGACACGACTCGTGAGAGTTCGGCCATGAGTGATCTGCGGGACGTTATTTGGGCCATCCCAGCAGTCGAGCTCGACACTGCGTGCGCCTTGGAGCAGGGCACGGATGTAGCCTTCGACAGTGCTGTCGCCCTTCCATTGCCCACCAACGAGATAGGTGTTATGGCTGGAGCTGATGTAGTACTCGCTTAGAGGACGAGTCATGTCGTGCTGAACGGTCGATTTGCGCAAATGGGCTGCCACCTTCCTCGTGTTGGCCATCGAATCGCTTGCACCGGCAGCAATCAGCTCCTCTGTGGTGTCAGCAAAGGCGCGTGATGGTGTGCGCTGCTGCTGCTGTGCCTGAGCTCCTCCTTTGTCTAGCTGCGAGTCGGAAGATTGTGCGCCTTCTGCGGCAGCTGATGTTCCTGGCCTAGTCATGACAGGCACATCGACAGGATCAGCGACCATCGTAGAGAAAAGGGGAAGCTGATCGAGTAGAGGCGGATTGTCGGACGAGGAGAGAAAGTCGAGGAAACCATCATAGTCCATCTGAACCTTTTCAACCGAAGCTCCTATTGGATTTGAAGTCGAAAGGCGACTGTTGCAATGACGGCGGAAGAGATCGTCAATCTGACCGTCGGTGAACTCGCGGTTGCACTGCTCTTCACGGACGAAGCGACGGAAACTCTCGATCGAGATGGCACATGTTCTGCACGGCTCAGGTCCGATACGGAGTGCGGTTTCCTTGATGGGAGGAGCTGCCGAAGATGCTGCATCAGTGCTCGGACTGCCAAACGAGCTTAATTGACGCTCAAACTGCGGTGCTGCTTGTGTTATCGCTGTCTCTGCACCAGGCTCTTTAGAAGTGGGCGGCAAATGATCCAGTGGTTGATCTGCCCAGGCAGCGAAGATAGCCTGCACATCAGCTCGCTGCTTCAAGAGCGAAACGAAGTGCTGAAAGTCATGAAAGTCGAGATAGCCGCGATTGCGCCAATCAGCAAGATTGAAGCAGCGTCGAAGATGGGCCTTGTTTGACTCGATGCCTAGTCTGCGACAGAGCTGCATGACTTCGGCGATCGAGAGCTTCTCGTCATTGGACTGGTCAGCATCCTTCCAGTGGTGACGCATCCAGAGATGACGTCGATGTTCAAGGCTAGAGGAAGTGCCTGCAGCTCCAATCAATTCTCTGCGGAGAGACTGAAGGTGGAGCAGGCTGGTACGCCAGCGCGACAGAGATGCGTCCGAAAGTGCAATGAGATGGAGCGCCTTGTAGATGCCACGATTCTGATAGATGATGGTGATCCAGCGAGGCTCATGCGCGGATGAGATATTGAGCGAGGTGCGGTAGGATGCAGCTGAGGGACCGAAGCGAACCTCACGGATTGACTCGAGGTTGACACGATTGTTCTTCTTGGACTCCCAAATGATTTGCCCACGGTCTGGATCGAGCTTGAAGGTGCGTGGCTTGACCTTTTTGTGCGTGACTTTGAGCATCTGCTCGCCTTCAGGCAGGAGCAGTTCATTGCCAGCATCATTGGTAGGTAGATGAGAGCAAGTCGAGTTGATTGTGGTGGCAGTTGAACTGCGTATTGGCGGTGTATGACCAGGCGGAGCAAGGCTAGAAGTCGGTTCGGACAACGATCTCTCCGTTGAACAGGCTTGAGTGCTCGAGGAATGTGAGGATCCCAGGGCCGAATTGTCGGCAGGCCTGCTAGCCTCTACTCCCGGCTGGTCACCGCAGCGAGGACGTGCTAGCAGCGCAGAGAAGGCTTCGTCTTTCTCAGTCCGAGGCGGTGGGGAGGAGACGAGTGGGGCATTTGAGTCGACTTTCCACGATATGCTGCGGGTAAGAGGAGCGGAAGAGATGTCGGGCTCAGCAGCTGCACTTGGTGATCGCATGCGGCGGTAGGTTGCGCTTGCCCGTCTTTGATGCTGCAGTTTGTCTGTGAAGGAGGCCATACTGATGGACAGGTTGCGGCCGAGCCGAGGGCTCTTGGGAGATGATGTGCTCGTAGCAAGTGTGTCGTGCGGTGAGAGGTCTTGAGAAGTGTGGGAAGGTGCCGCTCTGGGAGTCGCGATTGGTTGAGCCAATGTTTTGCGTGCCGCAGCTTCGTAGGACAAAGAGCCATTGCTAGAGCCACCACTGAAGGATCTTGGCGGCGGAGCAAAGTGGGGCCGATCGACATCCTCCATAGTGTGATGGAAAGAGATCATATCTGTGCCGATGTTGGAGGAGGCATCTGACGAAGCAAGAGCAGGGCCTTGTGAGGGCCCCGCATCTGCGTTTGTATCCGACGGCCTGCGAAGCAAAGATCGAAGCCACGTTCGGACGGAATGGTGGGCTGCACGCTCTGCGACGACGTGAGGATGGTCGTCCAAAGACATTGTGGTGGGCTATACAAGAGCTGCGACCATTCTCTATGTTCCTCAGTGCGCAGCAGCCAGCAGCGAGCCAGTCGGGAGAAGTAGTGACGTCCTTTGTATCCTATCGAGCATTCGTGGCGAACAGAGACTGAGCGGCCCTTGTCCTGAAGAAAGCGTCCGCCGCCTTCGAGGCCGTTCTATGTTGGAGTTGGAGTAGATGGCTGTGATGGTGTTGGTAGAGCGAGAACAGGGAGTCAGCCACCTCGGCTACGCCAAAGAGGTGAGCAAGTGTGAGTTAAAGGTGTTGCAAGTGCACATGCATCCGTGCGTTTCAACTTTTTGTGGAGCAGAGCGCACAGCCGAATTCACGCTTTATCTGATTCCCGATGCGAAGGCGTGGCCAGAGCCCGATCTTCGACAGAGCGGAACTCGGCGCTTTTCTCAAGAAATTTTGGATTGCAGCTTGACTTTTCTGCTTCCTGATCCTGATCTTTTCACCAACACTCTGTATCCTAGACATCCGCCGTTCCAACATAAACATGTTCAAGCGAGTGGCAAAGGCCACCAGCAAGAAGGCTGACGCCGTCGAGATCAAGCATGCTACCGGAGACGACACCGCCATCGGTATCGACAGGCTAGTCGACGAATCTTCAAGTTCTGAAGGCGAAAGTGACGACGAAGATGACGACGATGACAGCGATGTTGAGAATGAAGACGAGGACGGTGAAGAGGATGAGGGTGAGGGTGGCTCAGAATCAGACGATGAGGGTCCAGATGACGCCTCAAAAGCTGGCACAAAGCGCAAGCGATCCAAGAAGGACGATGAAGCCGAAAAGGTGTCAAAGGAAGAGGAAGCTGCCGCCCAAGTCTCGATAGAAGATGCCATTCAAGACCCCATCTACGTACCCACAGAAGGCGAGAAGAAACACGGTGTTTTTGCCTCGCGCTGTATTGTCTGCGAAGCTGCTGTTCTCAAGACGCCTCACCTCGTCACAGCACATCTTGAGGGAAAGGCACACAAACGTCGCTTGGAACGTTTCCAGAAGTACGTGCAGGAGCAACTCTTGGAGACACAACGCAAGAACCTGGATGCCAGAGATGCTGTTGATCAGATGGATGCTTGGAGGAAAAAGCAAGAAGAGCTCGAGAAGAAAAAGCTTGCGGCAGCACCACCAAGCAAGCGTGCTTTGACAAAGAAGCAGAAAGCTGCCGAGTTCCGACAGAAGAAGAAGGAGAAGGCGCTGAAGAGAAAGGCTCTGAAGGAGGCCAATAGTGACAGCAAAGCCGATGAGTCCTCAAACAAGGCGAAGAAGGTTGCTAGTCCAGAGAAGAAGGCAGAGGTCGCCAGCCCCGAAAAGAAGGTAAGAAGCCCTACAAAGAAGGCAAGAAGCCCTACAAAGAAAGCCAAGACTGCTTCAACATAGACCGTCTCAGCAGGCACGGCATCAATATACCCTCACAAAAGCTGATCTCGTGACAGCGATCCTCATCTCGCACTGCGTTGATCGACCCGGATCTGCCAAAGAACCACTGCATACCTGTACTTTTATCACACCATCAGCAAGATTATCAGACATTCCTCAGCATTTCAGACATCCATCGCACAAGTTCAATGTTTTCATTCGGGCCGGAACTACAGAATACTGTCTTTCATTGAAAGGAGAGAGTACATGTCGAGAAACTACCGCATCACAGACAAATCAGTGTCGCGCTTAGGTATACCAAGTAGGAGTAGGCCATCCGTCCTTACCCGGACCATGCAGAGTGAACCTACCCACCTCGGCCCTCTTGTGCGCAATCGGATCGTGCAACGAGTGGGTCCTCAGATCCCTAAACGCCACATCGAAACCATACTTGCCAGCGACAGCCCTAGCACCGGTCAGTTCGTAGATCTGGCTCGTGATTGCTAGACCCACATCAACCGCATTCACCTTAGCGGCAGCTACGCGGACAGCAAATTTAGCACGCTGTTCCTCCGTGATCTTCTGCCTGGGGTTTGTGTGGAGAATCTCGCTCGCTTCGTTGACTACGTTCTCGATGAACGAAGCGGTAGCCCAGAGTTTGGCTTGGAGATCACCGTAACCAATTTGGATGTAGGCTTCGTCGGTGCCCCGAGCGACAGGTGTGGGCTGGTAGGGCCATCCACGGGTGTTTGCCTTTGTGTAAGCGGCGGCACGGGTGAGTGCGCCTTCGGCAATTCCAAGGTAGAAAGAGGTGAAGACGAGTTGGATTTGGGGAAGGTTGAGAGTGTTGTAAGCACCCAAGGGTTGGAATTGCTTGTTGACGTATCCTAGCACATCGGACCAGGGGGCGACAACGTTGGAGATGCTAATGCCGCCAGATTGGGTACCACGCATACCCAAGGTGTCGACCCATTCATCGCCATACTGGATACCAGGCTGTCTGCTTAGCACAGCGGCAAACACATGCTGACCATCAGGCAAAGAGCCCTCGAGAATGGTAACATCGCTGATCTTGCTTCCCGTCGAGAAAGTCTTTTTGCCGTTGTAGATCAGCTGGTCGGGGTTCTTCTCGTCTTCACGAACCTTAAGATCGGCATCACGGGGATTAACTGCACCACCGACAAAGTACTTGTTCTTGGTGATCCACTCCTCATACTTGGCCCGCTGCTCTTCGGTACCGACGAGTGCAGCAGTCCAAGACCAGAGATAGTGGTAGCCGATGAGTTGACCGAGGGAGCCATCGCCACGAGCAATGATGCGGATGACTTGGTACGCTTCCTTCCAGGTCAAACCGGCTCCTCCGGCAGATCTGGGACCGAGGATGGTGACCAGGCCGGCATCTTTGAGGAGCTGAACTTGACGGTAGGGGACGACGTTGCCACGGTCACGGATGGCTTCATCTTGGTGGAGGAGTTCAGAAACTTGTTCAGCGCGAGCGAAAACCTCTTCGGGTGTGACAGGGTCTTTGTCGAATTTGGGGTACTGAACGACTTCAGGGTCGGGTTGGATGCGTGAGGTACCCTTGACGTCGGTAGGAGCGACGTTGGTGGCGTCGTTGGGAGCGACGGTGGTGGCGGTAGGAGCCATTTTTGTGGTCAGTATGAGCGAAGGTGATTTTGTGAGGCTGTTATGAGGCCGTGATAGGGTACAGAGAAGTACAGAAGGCGAATTATTGGGCCAACCTCAATATATACACAGGAGGATGGGCTTGCTTTGCATTCACATGAGCAGAGATGCCTCAGGTTAGGGTCCAACGTGCTTGAGATTCCACAGCTTGCGTTCTCTAAGCGCAACAACATCCGCAACCAATTGCTTTCCTCGGCCCACAAAGCTCAAGAGACTCAAGAAGCTTCGAGTGTGGATAAGCTCTCCTTGATAGAGAGAATCCTGCACGCAGTGCTTAGACGATCGTGACCCGAATCACGGGATAAAGAGCCGCAACGCTCAACCTTGGAGCCAAACTTGCGGGTTAAGCTTCTTTGCCTTGATTCGCACACGATGCGGTCTTTCGAAGACTCGACCAGACGAGACGAATCGTCCTTAGAGCATCGATGGCGCAACAAGCTTTAACTGAAGTCGAAGTTTACCCCCTTAAACACTGCCGACCCACAACGTCATCGACCGGGGAAGGGCCAAGCTAAGATGCTCTCACTCTGGTCAAGAATCACGTCTTTTCATTATTTGCTTCCTTGGGCAAGAAGCGTATGCTTCAGCGCGCAACTCGACGTCTTCCCCCACTCTTTCAACTCTCACAGCTGACGTGCTCGCTCGCCATCGAAGGTAACGCAATTCGCAAGTCCATCATCACAATTTTCCAACCCTTTCACCCGCCGCCGTTGCCGCACCATCACAATCGGATCTGGCGTGTGGATGATTGGTGAGATTGCAATCAGCTGAGTGTGGTTCAAAGCGTTTGGCTCGATGCATCGATCAGAGTGCTGTTGGTGGGTCCTCGACTGCCGGTGATTGTTTGATTATGATCGCCGAGGCGACCAGCAAGTTTCCTGGTGTTAGCGCTGTTTGCGCAAGCTCTGAAACGACATGCTTTGTTCGACTCGAAGGTTGACTCGATCATGCGCAATCGGCTCCCTTTGTGGCTTGCTGCCTTTGTGTGATCTTGGTTCTGAGGAAGCCACTCGTGTCCGTTTCTTCCAGACAACTGTCGCACAAACACACCGCCGTTCAGCTTTCCATTCAGCTTTTCTTCTTGTCCCCGTCTGAGCTGTTACCTCCAGCATACGTCGTCTTATCCCTCTTTCCTTCTCGACGCCATCTTCCACATCTTACCTAGTCTCATCATTACCACCATCACTAACCCTCATAAGTAGTGAGATCGTCGGCAACGATGGCAGAACTAGAAATCATCGACGCAGAAATTGTCTCCCGCCACTCCACATCCACCTCCTCATTTCACCCGCTCGCTAACAAGCACAATGATGACCCTTCAACAATCCCATCTTTCTTCCCAATATACACCAACGCCGAACGACAAGCCGCACGACAACTCCTCTCCCCCTCTGACCATGAAGTAGTCCTCGGTGCAGGATGGGCCGATTCCGACCCATCCTCTTCCGATGAAGACTCACCTCATCGCCGCCCATCATCCGCATCCTCGACTTCCTCCCTCTCACATCCATCTACACCACTTCTGTCTCCCTCAACTCCCTCCAACGACGCTTTCTTGGTCCGATCATGCAGTCAAGGCTGGTCCCTATCCTTCGAGCTCCATTCCTCCCAACCTATCCCCGTCCCTTCGCACCCCGATGAAGTTTTGATTGGAAACGATGCAGTTGGATTAAATCCAGTGGATTGGAAGTCTGTTTCGTATAACTTTGGGATCCCCGCTTTCCCCTGGATTCTCGGACGTGATATCGCAGGGACTGTAGTCCAAGTTCCGGAGAACAACGAGAAAGGGTGGAAAGTGGGTGACAGAGTCTGGACCTGCGCTGATTCGCGCCAACTTAGTGCAGGAGGATATCAAAGATATTCGGTCCATAAACAGGGAACCCTTGCGAAGGTGCCGGAAGGGATGGAGGATGAAGACGCTGCTACGTTGGGCACTGGACTTGTTACTGCTGCGGTTGCTCTATTTGCGTTCTTCAAACTTCCCCCTTTTAACATCCAAGACCTGACGGAGAAGGTACAAAATTTGAAGATCACCGAAGAAGAAGGGAAACATTGGATTGTGTAAGTCCCTCCGCCCCTCCTCATGTTCTTTGCGATAGTCGACGCTGAAACTGACTTCTTCTTTATCCATATTGATATCGATTGGTGATGGGTGTAGTATCTACGGCGGAGCAGCAATCACGGGTATCTACGCTACCCAACTCTCCTCACTTTCCAACCTGAACATCATAGCCGTCGCCTCCCCTGCCAACTTTTTCTACCTCCAATCCCTAGGTGTGACTGTTTGCATCGACCGCCATCAACCCACATCCAACATCCTCTCTTCCATCTCAACTACCCTTTCCACTCACGGTGCACAGGGAAAACTTAGATACGCTATGGACTGCGTTTCCTCTTCCACCGCCAACCTCTGCTTGCAGGCCCTGCAATCAAACTCTGGCGGACAGCAAGCCGAAATGATCTGTTTAGCTGGTAATCCAAAGCCCGAAGCGATAGCGCAAGTCAACAAGGGGGGGGAGGAAAAGGTGAAGATCCATAGGATTTCATTCAGTACAACATTCTACCATCCCAACGGCACGTTCACGCACGCTGTGTTGGAGTATCTGACAAAGTTACTGGAAAGGGGAGAGTTGAAGCCGGCTAGACCTGAAGTGCTAGCGGACGGTTTAGCAGGGATTAGAAACGGATTGGAGCTGTTGAGAGAAGGAAAGGCTCCAAGGGCGAAAAAGTTGGTGGTGAGGGTGAGAGATACGCCTGCAGCTGATGTGACATTGTGCGGGGTGAAGAGTGACTTAGGTTGGAATGGCGTCGTGTAATCCCCACCTCTTCTTTCGGAGAGTCATATTTTGCATCAATATAGATCGTTCAATTCAGTGCGAGGTTCGGTCGTGTGAATGTTGCTTTCGGTTGTTGTGTGTTGTACAAAATGCATTGTTCGCATAGCAGACCCGAAAGGATGAGGAAGGTCTTCACTCTCCTCCTCATCGTCTTCATCCTCCTCCTCCAGCCTCATCATCGCGATCTCCGCTCCCTGTTTAGCAACAACCCACTCCAATCCCAATTCCTCCAAAAAATTCTCCATAACCCCCTGTCTTCTTTCCGCCTCCCTTCTCCCCTCGGTCGTGTACAATCTGTCCCCTCTAATCCTCAGTAATTTCTCATAAAAATGTCCAACCGCACTTCCATTCCACCCCTCCCCCTGTTCCGCTGGCGGGTTTGGATCCATCTTTGCATTCGCCGGGGGCACATACAACGTTCTACCCACCTTGGCACTATATGCAGCACATCTCATGATCCCAATACTTCCTATTGAGTCTAATCTATCTGCATCAGATATCACTTGGAATTCTTTACAGCTTTCCAACCATTCAGAGAGGGCAATGTCGGCGGAGGTGCGATGGGATGGTGAGAGGGTGCGACGACGTTCGTCCTTACTCCATGAAACGTTTTCGACTATCTTCTCCACCGTCACCCTCTGCGTCTCGGAAATGGGGGAGGGGGTAGGGAGAGAGGCCCAGAAAGGCGCAAGGACGGTAGAGGGATCGAGGGAGGAAGAAGAGTATTTGGAATCCGTGAGATCGTGGAATAGAGCTCCTAGTTCGACGACAAGAAGGTCGAGAGGTGTTAGTTCGGACGAACGGGTGAGAGAGAGGGCAAGGAGACGGACACGGTTGACGTGGTGATAGTCGTGGGAGGGATCGTGGTTGGCGAATGCAGTTTTAACGAATGATTCGGCTGCGGAGATGATGGTTGTTCGTTGTGAAGAGGTTAGCTTTGGCGCCGGAGCTGAGGTTGTGGGTGAAGAAGAGGCGAGGCCTGAGGTTAGGTCGTTCATCTTACGCTTTCCTTTCGAGTGGTGTTGGTGGTGAGGAAGAAGGAAAAGGTTCAAGAAGAAACAGTTGGTGCAGGTGTGTGCACGTTGGTTGTGCAACCGTGCGCTTTCGAGCTCAAATTTTGAAACTTATTTTATTTTATTTTCGTTTAATACGTTCCCGCCTGGACTCAATCGCACGAAACATAACCGAAAGTGTATATACATAACACGGAAAAAAACCAAAAGGTATCAAACTTTTTGCGTTTGGTAATCAAGTGAAAAAGGTCACGTGATGTGGTTCGTGGTCAGAGATTCTGCCAAGTCATAGCGCAGCAGCAGAATGCTCTCTCTCCAATCACCACCATTCTCGCAGCTGCTCGCTTAGCAGAATCTCGCCGTCTCTTCAAGTGTTTTCCCACCCTGTATTCGCCCCCTTGTCTTCCCGCTCTCCTGCGCTCATCCGGCATCCCTTATGGAGGTCCTGGAGCCTCTCGAGCCTGTGAGCACACTCACGCTCACCCCGCAATCTTAACCTCCCTTTATGCTCTCCTATTGTCTGTGTATGAATTGAAGGTTCGGTTTTAAAAACGCGGATTTTTCGAAGGGCGCGTTTTTCAAAAAATATAAAAAAAAATTAAAAAAAAAGCGCAAAAGCTTACATAAGCTGCGCCAAGTGATAATAAACGCGCGTTTTCACACACGCACGTCAGGAGATGGAGTTGAAGTTAAGTCGACATTCCAAACGGGATTCATGAGTTTTAGCCGAGACGCCGAGGGACCGAGATCATGCATAAGCGACGAATACAATGAAGCACATAAGGGTTGCCATAGCAACGGTTCAGGGGTACTGCAGAGGGCAACGACTCAGGAGTGCTATAGGAAGTGACTCATCTCGCTCGGGTATGATCAAAGATAGCGATACGGTATATATATGCTCACCCAGACACAACCCATTATAGAAATGATAAGCATTCAAGAAGTCATACGCCTGTGATAGAGGAGCCTGCTAGTGGCCCCAGGACAGCATATCGTACTTTATAATCTTCAATTGATGGTATTATGAAAATGCAGAACGGAGTTCACTCCACAACAGTGAAAGTATGTGACCTCAATCTCACACCTTTACCACCTTTGCTCACTCGGATCCGTGGCATGTTGTCGTCTGTGCGGCGTTCGGCTTGCGTCAGGCCCGATCATCGCGATAGGCATCGGCATACCGGCTATCCAATAACCGAGGAGAAGATAGATGCCATGTCGTGTTTCATATGCTTACTGTTAGGTTACGTCTCTTATTGGCCCTATGACTTCATCGCGTTTTTGGAAACCTGCGTTTCCTTGGGCGGCGTTCAAATTTCCCCCAAAAACGCGCCCTTCGAAAAACCCGTGTTTTTACAGTCACGTTCAAAACCACACATCAACTTTGCTTCTCAAGAGCTGGTATCCTCAATGAAGTGTAGCTTGTGACATACTGTTGGAAAGCTGAGATTGAGAGCTACAAGTACATATAAGTTTTGTTGTGATTGGACCACATTTGTGCACAGTGAAAGTGCCACAACTTTTTTTGAGTGTAAAGCTCCTCCTAAATTACTATATACTATACTTTAGTATTTTGTATGGCCCCCTTTTGCAACCCTTACAGCCTGTAACCTCCTGGGCATCAACTTTATGAGTGCCTGGACTGATTCCTTGGGAAAAGTTGCCCAAAACCTGTTGATAGCTGCAATGAGTTGAGCTTTATTGTTGATAGTATATCTTTGCTGATATAGCCACTTTTTCAGCTGCTGCCACACATGTTCTATAGGATTCAGGTCTGGAGACATTGCAGGCCAGGGCAATACATTGAGTTTGACCTCCTCCAGGTACTCCTTGGTGACTTTGGCAGTGTGAGGGCAGGCATTGTCTTGCTGAAAGATCAGTTTATCCCTTGGTGGAATTCTCTGTATATTCTTCCACTTCAAGATGCTACCAGGCACTGCTTCCTCCAGCAACTCAATGTAATGCTCTGAATTCAGTTTGTCATCTATATAGACCATTAGACCTAGGCCTGCCCAGGTCATACACCCCCAAATCATGATGCTGTGGCCACCCCCCTGCAGTGTAGGTATATATATATCATAGTTGACATCCCTGGACCAGTATCACTTTTCCAAGCCCTTTCCAATGCATTGAACCTTGCTTTCATCACTCCAGATGACATTCTTCCATTGTTCAACAGTCCAATGTCTATACTCCTTGGAAAACACCCTCTTTGCCTTCCTATGTTTATCTGTGAGCAAGGGTTTTCTTCTTTTTGCCCTAAACTTAAGTCCAGCTTGCTTCAGTGCATGTGTAATGGTTTGTCTGGACAAACAAAGTTGATAGTGTCATAGCCAGTAGGCTGAAGCTTCAGTAGCTGAAGTATAAGAATTCTTGCTAATTCCTCTGGTGAGTAATGCCTGTTGGTGTGAGGAGAGGAGGAGGGGCCTCCCAGGGGTCCTTTTCACATATTCACTCTCTGGTACCTGTTTTGCCAGTTCAGCAATGCTGGATTTGTTGATAGACAGTTTAGTTGCTCTCTCCCTTGTTGAGAAACCTGCTTGGAGCAGCTCTTTGACCTGTAATAGGTGAGTGGTGGTGTATTTAGTCCTCCCCATATTGATTTTTTGCCCTCCTTGCCATGTTGACAGCAGTATTGCCATATGATGTCCTAAGCTCATCAAAACACCCTGAAACATCTTTGTTTATATCATACTACAATCATATGAAGTTTCGAGCATGGTCTATTAGCTCAATTCTGTGCAAAGCGATAAGTTACACAAGGTACAGAATTAATTGAGGAGGAGGAGGGGCTTCAAAGAGCACCAACCTAAATTCCAGCATATTCTTTGGTGGGACCACCCTTTTTTTCTCACATATTCTGATAGCAGGCTATCCAAGCTTTGCAACCATACCACACAAAGTGGGTGTTGTCAAAGAGAACAAAGAGTACTGGTCATCATCATGAAAAGGACCTGAGAACACCATATCAAATTAATTAGATGCCGGGCAATTTTGGACATGACTGTAAAAATGAAAAAAGTTCGATAACCCTCAAGTGGAATGCAGGCAAAGACCCGTGAGGTCCTCGAAGCTCGACAAGGAGCGGCCGAGCGCAGAAACGAGCGGCAAGGGAGGCTGCTAATAGTACACCTGGCTTTTGGTGAAGATGTTGTAGTGAAGAGAGGAGAGGAGAAGTGTAGCCCTCTCACCTTCCCACCATCATCTCTCATTTCAGCAAGTGTCGCTACAACATCAACCTTGCCAATCTTTTTTTTTTTTTTTTTTTTTTTTTTTTCCTCTCTTTTTTACTCCACTACGCACAGACGCAACCTCGAAGAATCCGCATCTCTCTCCGTCATGCACTCCAACGCCGCCGTCGAAGTCTCGGCCAAAGAAGCACAACGCCTTGGCCCCGAAACCACCACCCATCTCCTCTCCCAACGCAAACTTGCACTCGTCGTCGATCTCGACCAAACCATAATTCACACAGCCGTCGACCCCACCGTTGGTGAATGGATGGAAGACGAATCCAATCCCAATTACGAAGCGCTCAAGTCTGTCGCCAAGTTCCGTCTCGGTATCGGCGGAGAAGAGATCAAAGATGACGACGACCCCCCCGCTCCCAAAGACTCCGCGGCAGCACTAAAAGCATCACGAGCGTGTTGGTACTACGTCAAACTGCGACCTGGAGTGCCCGAAATCCTGAAGAAGCTATCAGAGAAGTACCAGTTGCATGTGTATACGATGGGGACGAGGTCGTACGCGAATCTCGTGTGCAAGCTGATCGATCCCGATGCGAGTATTTTTGGGAATAGGATCGTGTCGAGGAATGAAAATGGAAGTTTGGTGAGGAAGAGTTTGGATAAGTTGTTCCCCATGGATCATAGTATGGTGGTGATTATTGATGATAGAGAGGATGTTTGGAGTAAGAGTCCGAATTTGTTGCAGGTAGTGCCGTATGAGTTTTTTGTGGGCGTTGGGGATATTAATGCTCCAATTTTGCCTCCAACGCTAGCTCCGCCCGGTGCGGCAGGAATTGTAGCACAAACCGAAAAGTTGCAAAGCAAATTGGCGGAACAGCGAGAAGCAAGACCATTAGCAAAGATGCAAGAGGCCTTGGATGAGAAATTGGGTAAAACAAATGGGTCTGGATCACGGTCTGGCACAGCTATGCCGGATGGGAGTGATAGTGCGACACCGGCTGATGAAAGTTCAACAGAGGCTGAAAGCAGCGATGCGGTAGCAGCGCAAACAACAGCAGATAGTCCGACAGCAGAGGAAAAGACCCAAGCAACAGAAAGCATCTCACACGCAGTTCTAGTAGACGACGATACCGAACTCGACCGAGTTTATTCCATCCTCGACTCCATTCACAATGAATGGTATTCTGCCTATGACAAACTCCAATCCCAAACCCCCACCCCCACTACCAAACCCTCGGTCGTGGACTTCATCTCCGCACGAAAAACAAAGGTTTTGGCTGGCTGCACCATCGTCTTCTATCCCGAGACTTCCGAACTTTGGGCTCTCGCACGCGAATTCGGCGCCACCCCCGCGTTCAAAGAAGAAGCAGGAGTCACAACCCATGTCATTTCTGCTCTACAAGACGATATCGGGACCGTCAAGGCAACGAGATTGGCGAGGGCGGGGATGGTCGAGTTAGTCTGGCCAAGCTGGTTCGACATTTCAACAAGCAGGTGGGAGAGGCAGGACGAAGCGTTGTATAGGTTACCCCGGGAACATGCGATTTTAGATGCTTTAGGATGGACTTAAGCGACAGTGGCCGAAGAGAAACGGCAGGAGGAAGAGAAAGAGAAAGCTAAACCCCAAAAGTGGGGTTATATTGCGGAGAGAACATTTTTGAACGAAGAAGCGAAGAGAGCATTTTATGAACGGTTGTGAGCGAAGGGGGCACGTGACCAACGCGCAACAACCCCATCTTGTCGCAACGCTTTGAGTCATCTCGCTCGCTCTCCCTCCCTGCCCCTTACGGCCACGGCTGGGAGCTCGCAAGCGACTCACTCGAGTTAGGCAATTTAACATTCCTTTTTTCCCCTCAATTTCTCAGCCTCCTATTCCAACAATTTTCAAGCGTTGTCAAGAGCGATAACTCACCGTTGAGAAAGTGGCGCAAGAAAAGGCTCTCGCAGATGCAGATGGAGGCGAGGAAGGAGAAGCACTCTTCGAAAGTGATCTAAACCATATGGATTGGCGTAGCTCAGATTGAGGTCCGGCATCCCTACTTCGATCCCGGCGACACTAGCCCACTCATCGTCCACACCACCTCTTGGCGCGACGTTGGTTCTTCCTGAGCCGCTCTTGTTGGCACCATCCCTGTCGAGACCGCTCTCTGCTGTGCAGCCGTGTGAGTCAAGCTGGGATCTCCGGGTCACCGCCATCACATCCTCACACCAACATCATAGACAAATAAAGAGGGGGAGTATGTAGAAATGCATTGAAACGAGGAGCAAGGTCTAGGCAAAAAGGGAAGCATCAATCCCCTGCCCCCCAAAACTAGTGATACAAATCAAATGATCCTCACTAGCCGAAACAATCCTTGTCGTGTTGAAATCAACATCAAAGATTCGAGCCCGGTGACATTTGATATCCCTCAGACACCGACCCAAGGCCACCTCCCCCTCCGCCCCTTCCTCTCCATCCTCTCCCTCGTTCCCTTCCACTGTATTCCCTTCATCTGCTTCTTTCACTTCCCCCTCCCCTTCAAAAGTGGTGGCAGAAGGAGGGTCGATATGCCAAACCTTAACCAACCGATCATAACCCCCACTCACAACGACCCCTCTAACCGCATCAAAGGCCACGGTCCTTACCAACATATGATGCTCCCCCAGCACATGCGTACATTTCCCTGTAGATGTATCCCAGACTCTAATCGTCTGGTCATTACTACCACTAACCAGCGTAGTCCCTTTAAAGACTATGCAGGCTAACCCTTTTGTGTGACCTGAAAACTTGTGCAACTTTTCGCCCGAATTGAGGTCCCATAGATACATAGAACCTTCGCCGGAGGCGGAGACGACTTGGTTGTGTTGCAGGTCGACGGCGTTTACTGGTCCTGAATGGGTGAATTTGCGCCAGGCTACCAGAGAGGTAGAGGAAGAGGGGGTGGGGCAGGATGGGGAAAGGGGAAGATCGCAACAACGCCAAACTTGAACGGTGGCATCTTTTGATCCGGTGACGATCCAGTTTGAGTCGAACACCACATCGAGGACTGCTGATGTGTGACCTCGCAGAACGCAATGTAGACGGTCTTTGGAATGGTGGACGAGAGCTCCTGACTCCGGGTCCACTTCCACCTTAGAACTCGCCGGAGCTTCTGTCCAAGGTGTGGTGGGAGGAGTGGTGTTGGAGGTAGCAAGAATTGAAGCGAAATCCCAAACGAAAACAACTCCATCCGAACTAACACTAACCAAAATTCTTTCATCGTACTGCAAACTCAACACCGAAGCCGTGTGGCCTTTGAGAAGATGCTTACAGACTCGGGTTTCAACATCCCATACCCTAATCGTCCTATCTCTGGACCCGCTGACGAGTTTACCAGCTGTTCCTGTCCCCACTCCGTCATCTTGTCGAATACAGTAGACTGAGTCTGTGTGGCCGCGAAGGAAGCGTTTGGTTGGTTCGAAGACTCTTGCCCTACTATTACTAGACTGAGTGTGGGCTGGTGGAGTACTAGCTGAAGTGGTCGAGGTGGAAGAAAGTGTACGAGACATTTCTCCGTCACCAGCTGTACGTTGGGTAGAAGAACTTCTCGAACCACCAGCTGTTTTACGCGCAGCACTCGGATGAGGTCTCATCCACCTCTGTTCTAGGATGAACCGATCTTTGTAAAGTCGAATCCAATCCAAAGAGGCAGCGAAAAACTCTTCCGCCTCGATGACCTCTGCGAATGTTGAATCTATAGACTCCCTTCTCGAGTGACCGGGAATGGAGCTGCTTGTGCTGGGCTGTCGACTTAGCCCAAGCCCGCCTTTTGCGCTGGAGAAATAGGAAGCTGCTTCTTGAGCTCTCCTCGTTCCAGCTGGAGTGCTTGGTGTGGGCCTTGCTGGGCTGAGAAAGAGTCCAAACCTCCCAGTTGCTGCTGTTGGCGACCGCAAGGGACTCATCCCTCCCCCAATCGGGCGGCCGGAATCTACATCAACCTCCTTTCCCCCACCATTCCCACCCGCACCTGCAGCTAGCAAAGTGGGAAAAGAAGGAATGTGCAGTGTCTCTCGCCAGCTCTTCAGTGCCGCCAATCTATCCAGGTACGGACTTGAGGTTGAAGCAGCCTTCCTCTGTTCCTGTAACCTTTTCAGTCTCTCCGCCTCTTCTCTCGCTGCTGTTCGTTTCGCCTGTGCTTCTATCCTCCGCAGTTGTTCTTGATGCTGAAGAACAAGCGGTGCGTCTTCACGAATAGCCCAACCTGGTTGAGCAAAGAATAGATGTCGCCAAACCGTTTGATCCTGCGCCAAGGCTCGCCAACGTTTTGAAACCAAGCCGGAGGAGAGGAGATCGAGATGAGAGTTCAGATGGAAGATGATACACAGCGATAACTCCGGTGGTAGCAAGCTCAGGAAATCAATGCGCTTAATCCCATCTTGTGGTGTTCCTGTCTTAATGAGAGAGACTGGAAAATGCGGTTCTCCATCGACAAAGCATGCTTCGTCATGGATCGAAGTAGCCGCTAGAGTGGGAGCAAGTTCGCTATCGATCAAGTCGGAAGAAGCGGCAGAGTACGATCGAGCGGACCAAGAGGCTGGTTCGCGTCTGAGGGTGCTACGAGACTTTGCTGCAGATTGAGTGGGGAGGATGGATAGCGACAAAAGATCGTTCTGCTGGTCGGCGGGGGAGTCGGGTCGAGCAGTGAAATAGCCATCTGCGTCGGAAGAGGAGCTCATTTGAGAAGGTGATCGAAAAAGTTCTTCTGCTGCTGGAGTTGGGAATACGGAAAGGAAGCGGTCGGTGCGTGATGCGATAGAGGCAGTGTCGGCGGAGGATTCTGGACTACGAAGCGAGCTTGCTGTACGAAAGTGAAGCAGTGCTGGTCTTGCACTGTCCAGAAGTGGTGGATCTGGTGGTGGCTGAGAAGGGCTAGGGCTGGGTTGCTGGTGGGTTGCTTCACTAGTTGCAGTGGCGCTTGCGGTGGGGAGTCCGGCTGTGCTACTGGATGCGCTCAACGAGCTGCTACTGCTGTTGGTCCTCGTGGCGTCAGGACTAGGCGCAGGAAGTGGTGTTATTGACCCACTTGTTCCCGATCGTAGCATTTGTCTCCTCCCACCTCTTTCTGATACATCTTCGCCTTTACTCTCCTCACCAGGAGAACTGAGTGGCAAGCAAGCGGTTACGTTCTGTATGGGCGCTGTTGGACTCGGTAGCGAAGGCCTTCTATACGAGCCTGTTGCAACGTCTTCGTTCGCTATCAAAGGTGCGCTTGTTGTTGGAGGCGAACGAAGAACTTCTTCCACGTCAACTTGGCCGATGGTAAGGGTCGGTGGTGCAGCCATGCTCGTAAAGGCCACCGACAAGAGGTGACTGTGTGCTTATTGAAAGCTCGACATCCGTCCCACTGTCAATTAGTGGTAGATGAGATGGTGGTCTCGAGAGGGCTCCTCTGCCTGAATTATTTTTGCATTCCCACCGGAGAACTCTTTGCGCGCCACGGGGACACAACCAACACAAAGCGCATTTCTAAGCAAGCTTGACACTTTGCACTCGACACTCAACACCGTTCCCTCCAGGCAAAAGACTTGCTCGCAACTTGAAAGCTTGAGCGAGTGCTGATAAGATGCTATGATTGAGAAAAGACAGACAATGCAAGATATAACCCAAATAAAGCGAATCTACTGACCTGCAAGTGAGAAGAGGACTAAAGAATCTGCCGACTAGCAGCATGAGAAGAAGACTGTTGCATTCCTCTCCCCAACCCGGCACCCAATGGAGCAGTTGGAGCAAACGAGCTAGGCGGACGACATCTGCGTCGTAGCCATACCCGGTCTTGGCATAGGTGCACCAAAGCCTGCACCGTAAGGCATCGTTCTTGCCCCTGCTCCTCCTCCACCGCCGCTCGTGTACTGTTGTTGCTGCTGTTGTATGCTCAGCATCGGATCGTTCGGCCCCAGTGGTCCTAATGGGCTAGAAGATTCATTTGAGCTCCCGCCATAGGGCGAGCGTTGACCACCATCCCATCCAGGCGTCGGTAACAATCCATGAGCTCCGACATCTGGTAATCCCTCCCTATACCCTCGTGGATTCGTTGCGATTGTCTCGAAATGCTCCTCTTGCTGAACGACCATGGAGGGAATCCTACTAGCGCGGTTGTTGGCGCGGTATCTACTGGACCGTCTTGGATCACCTTTACCGATACTTTCTACACGTCTAAGATCTGCACCTCTCGCAGCACCGTTCTGAGTATTGTTCGAAGTAGTACGACGCATCTGTGACCCACCAGCGTATTCATCATTCGGCATGGCATCGTGTGCCTCGGCAGGTAAGAACATCGACTTGCGGTAGGTTCCAGGTCCGACACTGTCAATCCTGCTCCTTCGCGTTGTGGCCATCTCTGTGAATGAAGAAAGCTGAGCCTGTGCGTATCTCGAACGACGGTTGTTGGAGGTAGCTGGTGGTGGGCCTCGTGGATAGGGTCTTGCTTGTGGGTTGGGTTGCGCTGGACTGCCACGAGGGAGGAGAAGATCGTTGGGTGGACCAGCAAGGTAGCTGCTGCGGGTTTCGCGCATCTCGGCGGAAGGTTTCGGTGCGCCCCCGTTGATGGCGTTGTGGTCGAAGATCTGACCTGGTGTGAATCCTGAACCGTCAGGAAGAATCGAGCCGGAGTGTGGTGAGTCGTAGCTGTCATCACCGTTGGAGTGAATTGGGGGATGGGAGCCACTGACATTGCGTCGGAAAGTAGCGGATGCTGCTGAGGCAGGAAGCTCGATGCCGCTGCTGGAGCCCCGAGCGTGACCGCCACGAAAAGGACCAAAGCGATGCGATCCATCTCGACTCAAGCTGCCTCCACTGTTGCTTGGAATCATACCGAATCCACCGTTTGGGCCGTTTGGGCCGTTGGCCGCATGACCATTCGCAATCGCAATCCCATTGGAACTACCTAAGGAGCTATCAGCCTCTTCAAAGCGACCACCTCTGCCCATAGGCTGAGCGGAATCGAGCAAGCCAGCATTTGGGCTGGATATATCGTGCATGGACTCATTACCCCTATACGCTCCACCATAGGATGCTGCCGCTGTTCCATAACCAGCAGCGGATGGCTGATACATGGCTTTTGGTTGCAACTGAGGTCGCCTGTCGGTGCGTGGACGGTTGGCGAACTTGCAGGTGATACCGATGAGCACAAAGAGAATGAAGATGCCAATGAGACCGCCTAGGATGATGATCACCACGAGTGGGGCGAGACTTGAGGTTTGTTTTGCTTCGATTGCATTTTTGGTGGCAGTGGCAGCTGCATGTGTAGCGCTGCGGGTGGCGACTGCTTGCCTGGCAACAATGTTGGAACGACGGACGACGTGCCTGACAAAGCCTTGTGGCAAGTCGTTTTGCAACGTCATGTTGGGAAGAGGTGCGCGCTGTGATGGGCGACGGAAGAGCGAGTTGGTTGGGAAGAGTTGTTAAGGTGGAATAGGTGCGTTTGATCCTCTGAGCTGATGTTTGGTCTGTGCCAAAGAAGCCAAGTTTGTTGTCGTCGATGAGCGAAGAGATTGATGTTGGGTGTAGAAGAGACAGAGCAGATCCAAGTAGGGAATGTTGCGAGAGTAAGCTTGAGAAGGCAGCAGAGAAGCAGATCAAAGCAAGAGGAAACAGGCAGAAAGGTCCAAAGGAATGACAGGAGAGGTGAAACTGACAGCGTGGGCATGCGTGTCAGCCAGTTTCCTTGCCTAGCTGGATTTTCTGGCTTGTGTGCGACCGTGTCACAACTCTGTATCTTTCAGACCGAGAAGCGAGGCCGTGTGTCGGGTGGGAATATGCACTGCGAAACGCGGCGTCAAACATGTGGCAGCAGCAAACGACAACGGCGACAACGGCAATCGCACCGTAGGTCCTTTGTTGTCCTTGACAGCAACACTCAAGTTTACATCGTGTATGACGCCAAAGCTAAGCCCCTTTGTTTATCATCCGGTCCAACACGGACCGATGGCCATTGTTCATGATACTTTGTACCGCGCAATCATACAGCCAACATGCTCACCACTGCCGTCGTGGCAGCTGTTGTGCTGCCAACACGAGCGAAGAGGCCGCAAAGCATGCCATCCTTCGGCAACAAGGCTCAGCAAGAGGCACAACAAGCAAGACCGAGTTACAGCTCCGCCACTTCAACGACGCGTTAGGCTTGCCCACAACAAACACCTTCTGCCGATCCGAACAATTTTTAAATCCTCTCCGAGCCCAATTTCTATTCTCCAGTCCGAGTTGCGCTATTGGTGTTTATTGGTGCTATTGGTGCCTTGTCGATCCTCACTACAATCTGTGCAAAGTGCATCGCAGACACAGCCTTTTGGCTCTGCTGTCAAAGTTCAAGTGGCAGTCGACACTCGGATGCATTGCCTGCCTGGATATGCTTCCCATCATCCCTGAGATGCCAGTTGCCATGGTTGCCCTACCAGCCGGCAGGCCGCTTCGGCATCTTTCTGCTTCTTGCATCGGGCCAAGACTTTCCCATCTTTCCTCGCTTACATCTCACACAAGCATGGTGTCCGTTCAAGCTCAGTTGACAGCCTGAGTGTCTTGGCAGATTGTCCTGCACATTGCCGATCATTTCGCAGCATCAGACCAGTTTGTGGAAATGCAACCATTGCTTTCGCTCGGAGCTGCTGCTGGTGCGAGTGCTTCGTGTTGACGCTGACATGAGCCCATCGGCCCTATCAGAGATAAGTCACCTGCGTACCCCTATCGAGATCCAAAGCAACACAGTAGTCAAGGTCAGCGTTCATCTTCTGACTCTCAGCATCCGCCTAGCGTGTTGGGTCTGTGCACTTACATTCTGATCGTATCCATAACCTTCCTCCAAACCAAGAACAGCCAGTTGATCCCGATCACTCCTCCACCAGCCGAAGCATGCTTGCCAACCAACTTGCTCCTGGCATCTTGAGCTGCAGCGTTCCTCCTCGCCCTGCCGGCCGCATTGCTCGCAGCAGCAGGCGGCCTCCTCGCAATGCGATAGAAAACGATCAGCATCACAATGGCCGACATCAGCCATGTTCGTGTCTGACTCGCTTTGCGGAAATCAAACATCGACGGAATCGACGACAGGATCGAATCCCCAGACGGTCGCTTCCATGTCAGATCACGCTCGCTATTCCTTCTGTTCGAAGCAGCAGAAGGCTTGTGCCCATGGTCTCCTTCGATATACCTCGAAAGATGAGCGCGAGTCGAGGCGTAGCTCCTGTCGTCTTTGGTTCGCGCTTCCTTACCGGCTGTAGGCGCAGCTTCGCTTGCGGAGGCAGCCTCTTTGCGTGCAGAGCGTCTCGAGTGGTTCGAAGCGACAGAAGTACTACTTTCGTTCCCACCGTCGTAGTCGGATGAGCGGGACCCGCTTGAACGTCGGAGCGAGCGGCGTTCATCTTTTGAAGCCGACTGCTTAGATGCAGACTCGACACTCCTTGTCGAACCAGGCGAGATAGAAGGACTGGTAGAACAACATGCGCTCGACTCGCCCGTACCGTTCCTTGGCGAGAAGTAAGCAGGTGACTGACTACGTTGTCGACGAGAAGAGCGCGTGCCTGAATCCGAACCAGACCCTGATGAGCCCGAAGAAGATCCGTTTGCACTTGCCTTACCACCACCAGCCGTTGCTTCCACTTGCTCCTTCTTTCCCGTCAGGAAGTTTCCCATGCCCGATGCAAGGTCTCTAGCTTTACTACCACTCTTTGACCCACTCTTACTGACAGCAGCCTCTTTTGCCTGCTTCTCCTCAGCTGCACGCTTTGCCTTCTCCTCCAAATACGTCTTTTGTGCATTAGCAACTGCCTCTTGTTCTCGCTCCGACTGAGCCGTCAAATGTGCCTGTGCTTCGTTAATCTGTTCCAACAGCCCAAACTTGACTGATTCAGCCAAGCTCGAGTAGCCGACAAACTCTCTTGCGTACTCCCACTCGTCCAACCGCGATGCGAGCACATGCAGCGAGTACAGTCCAACGATCTTCTCATACGCCGCCGCAGCCTTGGGCGTGGGAGGAGCCGCACCGAAAGCAGAGGAGAACGAGGCAAGGTACCATTCTGCAATCAACCTTGCAGCGTTCCTACCTGTTCGTGCTGCTGGGTTGAGTGCATCGAGTCGAAGTGCAGCCAAGACGGCAGACGAGATGACGGATGCTGATAGCTCGATAGCCAAATGCATCGTTTCCGGTGTAGGGTCGAGCGAAGGAGCATCGTTCTCGCCCGAAGTGTGTGTGCACAAACGCAAAGCTTCGAACCAGAGATGACTAATCAAACTCTGCGGTTGCTTGGAGAGAAGAAGCAGGATGCGATCGATAGCAGCTCCATCGGAGGAGGTCGTGGATGAGGTTTGCTGTTTTGCCTGTGTGAGCTTGTCGTGGATACTATCAGAGATCTGCTTATCGGTATAGACCTGAGTGAAGACGGTGAGACGGAGGATGGCCACCTTGTCGACTAGCTTTTGCAGATCTAAGTCCGAGTCAAGGAACGAGGATGCGGTGAGACTGCTACCGAGCTGGCTAGATGACAGAAGCAGATCAGCGGCGTGCTGACTTTGCACCAGTGCGGTCTGGAGATCCTTGGCGAGGAAGGCCCGTGCAGCTTTGCCGTAGTGTGTCTTGGCCGCCTTGGTTTGTGATATCGTCTGGCTGCCATCGTTGTTCGATGAAGCCGCCGAAGCAGGACGTTTGAGATCCGAGACCGATGCTGAGATGGACTGCGAGAGCGAGAGGACACCTGCGATGCCTTCATCTACAGCCAAGTGGTTGGTCGTTCCATTGCCAGCGAAAGCAGACGATGCGTTGTCTGGCACCGGCATCCTATCAAGATCTCCTGTCGTGAGAGATGTATGTTGATGTCGATGTCGATGTCGATGCCGATGTCGATGCCGATGCTTGATTAGGAGGTAGGATGTGGCGCAATGCGAGGATTGCGTCGATCTCGAGGCTTGCTTTCCAGCCTGTGCGTGCTTGTTAGATGTCAACCGGTCCAAGAAGAGATTTCTCAGCCGGTTCCCCACAGTCATCTTTTCGGCTCTTCTCGCGCGAGTCAAGTGTGGGGGATTCTCGGTGATTTTAGAGAAGAATCTCAGGGTCCACCAACTTGACCGAAAGAGCTCCTTGCTAAAATCACATTATTCGCATTTGACTGAGCCAAGACTTGTTGCCACAAACACACCAACTCATCTCTTCTCACACAAGCATATGGACATGCGCTGACGGCTACTTGATCGACCAGCCTTAGAGTAGGTCTGCGAAAGAAGATGGCTGTTGCAGCTGTGTCAGACCAGGATGCGGTCGAAGCCATCACCTCGCACTTCCTCTCCGCTCCTACCGCCAAACAGCGCCTCCTCACCCGACTCATGAAATGCACCGACAATCGATATCAAGAGTTCTGTCTTCAACTCACACGCTCAGACTGTCCCGATCCTCACGCATGCCAAAAGCTTCACTTCAAACCCGTATTCTACCCCCAAACAGACCCTTCCTATGGCCACTGCAGCTACCTCAACACTTGTCATCGTACCACTACTTGCAAGTATCTGCATTTCCAGCTCGATACCGATCCTCCACAGCAGCCGTTCACTTTTCAGACTACCGATCCGAGGCACCCCTACGAGGCGAACTCGGAGGAAGCCAAGGAAATAGGCTTGATTCATCCTTCGCGCACACTGCGAGAGCATGGATTCGATTCGTGGATTTGTCTTTCCACATCCACCGCAGAAGAGGCAGGAGAGAGAAGGCAAGAAGAAGCGCAATGGATCGACTGCGATCTAAAAAACTTCGACTATTCCATGCTGGGCAAATTCGATGTAATCTTAGCCGATCCACCATGGGATATCCACATGTCGTTACCTTACGGTACGATGAGCGACGACGATATGCGTGCGATGCCTGTTCCGGTGCTGCAAGACGAAGGTCTGATCTTTCTCTGGACAACAGGTCGAGCTATGGAGCTAGGTAGGGAGCTGCTGGCACATTGGGGCTATACACGCATCGACGAGTTGATATGGGTCAAAGTCGGTCAGACTCAACGGCTTATTCGCACAGGTAGAACAGGCCATCATCTCAATCATACTAAAGAGCATTGCCTGGTTGGCGCCAAGGTGCCAAGTCCTCCATCGCCTGGAGTGGAGAGCAAGCCGCTGTTAGGATCGACACAAAAGTATGTGGGTAGTAGGGTAGCAGGCGTGCCTCCACCGTTGCCAGATTGGGTGCATTGTGGCATCAACGCAGATGTCATCGTCTCAGAGGTGAGAGATACGTCGAGGAAACCGGATGAACTGTATGCTATCATCGAAAGGCTCTGTCCTGGTGGCAGGAAGGTAGAGCTGTTTGGGAGGAAGCACAATGTGAGAAGAGGCTGGTTGACATTGGGTAATCAGTTGAGATCGGATCATGTGCTCGATCAAGGGCTGAGGGAGCGGTTGAGTGCATATAGAGCCCAGCGAGCAAGAGTACCTCAGCAGGCTCCATACAGCGGACCACCGACGGGACACATGCAGCATCAGCACCGACAGTAGTATGTCCAACCATCTTCATACCCGGCAATGCTTCCACCGGGAGCTGCCATTCACGCTTCACCTCAACCGCCGGCACCAACACCAATGCGCTTGTTTTGAAGCGTAAAGGATACCTGTTGCAATACCATGCCTTCGTTGACATCCGATATTCATGAGGGTGTGCAGCAGCATGAAACGATCTACCCAAGTCGTGAGATGTGCTCGCGTGGTGATGTGCAAAGAGGTGACCACCGGGTGTCCGCCAAGAAGGAGTCGGCTTTCAGAAGCAAAACAGAAAAAGCGCGCGGTTTGGAATCCGGGGAATGCGCACGGGCACATCGAGCAAAGATCTTCTCTTCTGCCGGTCATTTGCCGGTCTCAATTGTAGTTGACAGAACAGCGGGAGTGATCCTAACAAGTGTAGGATCGTGACAGCAAGTGTTGAAGTAAGCGATCAGTTCGGGAAAAAAAAAAGTCACTCAAGTGAGATATGGAAGCGGAAAAAGTTGATGTACAGGCTGCTGTGGTCTGAATAGCCGAACAGTCGGTGGACATAAACGACGTTCCTCACTTGCCCGCGTTGCTTCCTTCGACCACCACAACCACTGCCATGTCCGCTCTCTCACTCACAGGACGCACAGCCTTCATCACGGGCGGGTCTCGCGGTATCGGTCTCGAGATCGGCAAATCTCTCGCTTCCCGTGGCGCAAACGTAATCATCGCAGCGAAAACGGCAACCCCTCACGCAAAGCTCCCCGGAACCATCTTTACTGCTTGCGATGAAATCTCTGCCTCTGCCCAATCCTCCGGCTCCAACGGCGTTGCTCACCCAATCCAGCTTGACATCCGAGATGCCACTGCTGTTGAGAGCGCGATTAAGGATGCAGCGTCCAAATTCGGAGGCTTGGACATCGTCATCAACAATGCTTCAGCTATTAGTATGGCTCCCACCCACAAAGCTAGTGTCAAGAGCTACGATCTTATGAATGGAATCAACGCCAGAGGTAGTTGGTTGGTTAGTCGTTTCGCACTGCCCCATCTATTGGAGAGTGCAGGGAAAGGCAAGAATCCGCACATCCTCAGTTTGTCGCCTCCGTTGAACTTCAACACCCTCTCTACTACTCCCGGTCCGAAATGTCCGCCAAGCATCTTTCCGCATCAGATCGCACAAACAGGCTCGGCCTATACGATTGCAAAATTCGGAATGTCACTCCTAACCCTCGGTCTCTCAGCCGAAACCCTCGGCCGCATCGGAGTAAACTCTCTTTGGCCTTACACGCTAATCGCAACCTCCGCCATGAAGATCGTCAGTAAGGATGCTGATGTGGAGGAAAGAAGATGGAGAAAGCCATCAATCCTAGCCGAGGCAGCAGTACGTGTCGTTGGAGAGAGCGCGGAGAGCTTTACAGGGCAATTTCTAGTAGATGAGTTGTATCTCAGAGAAAAAGGGTTGACTTTGGCTGATATCAAACGCTTTAATGTGTACGAAGCGACGGAGATGGATGATCTGGCGCAAGACTTGTATATTTCGCACGAGTTGAGGGATGCTGTCAAGGCCTCTCGAAAGCAGTCATAGCTTCTGTACTGTATTGTACTAGTACATTTCATCGTGTTGCATGGTGTGAAAGCCATCACTTTTGTTTTGTGTTTACTCGAGCTCGAATATGGCCTCCTCCCCATCTTCTTGCGCTGTGACCACTGGTAGAGTGAGAGGTGAGTGCGGAGCAGCAGCTGAGCTGCCCGCTCTCAACCTCTGCGTTGCAAGGTGTTGAGCATACCTTCCAACTCCGACTTGTTTTTGCCCCGCTCCTACTTCAGGGATTGCTATTCCACCTTTTCCCCCCTCACCCGCGGTTCTGTGTGAACCGATGGCGTTCAGAGGAGGAGAGAATGGCGATCCAGCAACACTTCCTCCGTTACGGTCTGAGAAAGAGCTGTTTAACCTGCTACCTCCAGCTGAGGGGGGAGGATTAGCAGCGAAGCTAAGAGGAGACCGGTGAGGAAGGACCGAAGAAGGAGCCGTTGGGCCCAAACCATAATCATCCAGACTGCCAGGTACTCTCAAACCGCTGTTGCCGGCTTGAGTGAATGAGCCCGTCGCAAACACACCCCCGCCGACACTAAGAGCGTCGTTGCTAACCGCAGGACCAATAGATCCAAACCCACCACTAGCCAAGTTTCCACTAGATCCATCAGCTGCAGTCCGACCCGTTCGAAGATGTAAGCTGCTCAAACCGGCCGCCAAGCCCTGAGGCAGACTCTGCCCGGGTGCATGATGCGCCGCAGTCCTACTAGCCGAGGTTGACAAGCCACTCGAACTCTCACGGAACGCAATTGAATCCAACCCGCTCGTCCCACGCCCACTACTTGTGCCAAATGGACTGTAATCTTGCGCTCCCTGTTGTTGCATCTGATGCTGCTGTTGCTGAGCAAACCCGGTCGAAAGATTGCTGGGCTTGCCCCTCTCCGCTCCAATCGCAGACCTACCAAAACCTAGCGAGGTACCGAACGCACCGCCAGCATGAGACGGCATACTTTGAGCAACCGTAATACGCTCACTATCGCCAGCAAAAGAGCTTGAAAGTCGGTTGCTGCGTCTCCTCCGCTCTAACTCGGCTGGCGTTAAAAGATCGGACAAGCTCGAGGGAAGGAAGTCTTCTGCGTCTTCAATCTCTTCCTCCTCCTTACTTCCTCCGATAGGCTGCGCGGAAGATGGACCACCAGCGCTAGCTGCGATACCACCCCAAAGCTTAGCTGCATCATCCATCCGACCCATGCTTCGAGCACCAAAAACATCCCGGTTGTTGCGTGCAAACGGGCCTGCGCCGCCTTCCGAGTCCTGACTACCGCTGAAGAAGAGAGCGTGTCCACTTGGGTGACTGAAAGGACTAGTACCGAACGCACGAGAAGCGGATGCCGATGTGCCAAAGGCAGCTGCAGCTGAGTCCATGCCTCCGAATGACTGCGCGGCGAGGGATGCGCTCAAGCTCTGAGATAGAGAGCCGGGTCGACGGAACGATGAGCTGCCAGCAAACGATGCCGACAGGTTCTGATCTTGGGCGTGGCCGCCGGCGGAACCGACACTGATCCCTTCGAAACCAGCTCGTCCAGGGTCTGCAGTGTTGGGAGCCGAGCCGTGAAGATCATCGGGCACACCAAATGGCAGATCGTGATCACGAGTGGTGAGGGAGGTCTTGCGATCGCGAAACGAGGACGGCAGCTGTGAAGAGGCGGCCTGACCAGGCACGAGCGTGTTGCGAGTCGGCGTTCCATGCTGAGGCATCGCCATCTGCTGCGGCTGACCCTGCTGCCCCAAGACCTGACGCTGACTGCCACCTGGTTTCGCTTGACCTGCTTGCTGCTGCTGTTGCTGTGTTATCCCACCCGGTTGGCCTGCCTGCGCACCACCCGCCATCTGCTGCTGCGGCTGACTCGAAACCTGCGGCAGCGGCTGTCCATGCTGAGCAGCCTTCTTATTCTTACGATCCATACTCATCGGCTGTCCAGGCAACACATGAGCCAAGGCACACTTGTGACCAAATCGACAGTTGCCTTTCAAGAACCATTGGCAAACGGACTTTTGCCCTCCATCTCCCGGAAGAGTGTGGGCGAAGGGACAGGATGCGCCGGCCGAACATCCATTACTCCGAAAAAACTTGCAAGGTACTTGTCCGAGCGCTTCCTTCTTCTTGGAGCTGAGCTTGGCGTTGGCAAGAGCGCTGCCAGAGTCTTTGTCATCGATTGCGTCGCCGCTGGCTCGTTCTTGAGACTCTCCTCCAGAGGTGGCAACGTCAGGATCAGAGCTGGTTGCGTCATCGGCTGCTCGTGGTTTGCGACCGCGAGTTTCGGTTTCGGTGTTGGAACGATCGGCTCCCTTTGTTGTCGCTGCTGCTGCTTCCTGCTCTCGACGTGCTTGCTCGATGCGAAGCTTGCGACGGCCAAGCTCGGTGTTGAGCCCGGACTCGGCAAGAATCTCCCATTCTTCCTTGACTACTTGAAGTTTTGAAGGGAGCTGAGATGAGCCCGCGGTGACAGTCGTGGCAGCGGTGGAAGCAGATGCAGCAGACGTAGCAATGGCAGAAGAGACTGAGGCTGCTTGCGACGGAGCAGCTGGCACATTGACGGTTGCTGTTGGTACTGCCTTCTTCTCTGGCGAAGCGGCAGAGCGACCTCCGCGTTTCTGCCGGAAGGCCTCCTCTCTGAGCGGATTACCTTCCAACAAAAGACAGAGTACTTTGGCATTGCATCGATCTTGCATTCTGTCGATGTTGGAGGAAGTGGGACGGTTGGGTACACGGACGAGCTGTCGAGCTGACATGCCCTGGACCGGCTCGACCTTGTGCTGCGCTGGCTGTTGCGCAGTGTCGACGTTGCCCATGGCCTGATCGAAAGACTGGATACGACTGGAACCAAACAGTGCCTCCACCTTGGCGAGATCATCAAGCTCGCATCCAGAAAGGTCGAGCACACAGAGGCTAGGGAAGGTTGCTTTGGAGCTCTCGCTGGCGTTCTGCACGGCAAAGACATGATCTGCGATGCCGCATCCCTGCAGGCCAAGGTCCTCCAACGACTCCAGCTGTTGGAAGAGAGACACAGAGACAGGTCCACGAATGTTGTTGAAGCCGAGATTGAGCGTTCTGAGACCAGCAGGCAGCTGCACGGTAATGTTGTCGCTCGCAGTCGGGTCATTCGCCTTGTTACGGCGGTTGGCGAGGTCAGGAATGCCCAGAGCGGCGTTGGTGATGCGGTTGTGGCTAAGATCCAAAGTTCTGAGAGAGCGCATTGGTGCATTTGACGGTGTTTGCGAAGCTGCATTTAGCGGTCTGCGATCCTTCTTGGAGGGTGAAAGACCAGCCCAGACGCCGTTCTCCTGTGTCGGATTCTCCTTGTCCCAAGCCTCACGCTGCGAGCGGGCCGAGACGAGATGCTCCGGCTTCCAAAGTGTTTGAATCTTGTTGTAAGAAAGATTGAGCGTGACAAGGTTGTCGAGCGCAAGCAAGCATTGTGGGACAGAAGTGAGTGCATTTTTGGAGAGAGTGAGAGTTGTGAGGGCCGTGAGCTGGAAAAAGGAGGTTGGAAGAGCGGAAAGTCGGTTGCTGTGAAGTTCGAGACGCTTGAGACCGCGGAAGTGGGCAAGGTTATGGGGAAGCGATTCGAGTTGGTTATTGCTGAGCTGCAGAGTGTGGACCTCTTCACGCATGTACCAAGGCTGTCGATCATCTTGAGGGATCTGCAGGAACCAGGATGGTGGATCGTCAGAAAGGAGAGAAAGTAGCAATGCAGGTACTTGTTGAAGTGATGGCGACCGCGAAGAGAGGTTGACCTTGCCTGTTGGCAACAGAAGCGGAGACGGATGAAGGGGGGGGGACGAGGAAGGAAACAGTCAAAAGATTAGTATTCGATTATCCTCCGGAAGAGCAAATGTTGCCAGAAGCGAGTGCGAGATGAATGCCGACGTCTGAGCGAGTGATAGCTACCATTTTCTACGCTGAGACGAACGATGGCCTCTTCTGACTTCTGATTGAGATTCATATCTAGTATTGGCGAGTCTGAACTACAGTCTGCAGCGGCTGCAACAGCCCTTGCGGCGGGCTTAGGAGAGCCAAAAGGGCTAGCTATGGAAGCATCGAGTTCGCGACCAAAGTGTGGGCGTTCATTGTCACCATTGGGAGGCGTGAGATGAGGCTTGGAGGGCGAGACGGAGCGAGAGCGTGCTTCGGCTCTCTTGACAGCCAGAGCAGCCCGAACTGCCGCCGACATTCGGCGTCACTGCACGGGAAACCTTTGCGACGTTGGAGGGACAAGCCAGGAAAACGAAGCAACAAGGTCGACGAGGAAACGTCACTTGCAAGCACCAGCAGTCGATAGCACGGCTGAGTCGAGGGCCCGAGAGCTGACGGGTTGAGGAAGGATGCGGTGGGAAGAAAGGTGTTGTTCTTGTGTTGCGAAATGAAGGTCCATCCTGATGTGAGCAACACGAGACAGACACACACACACACATATTCACACACACTCACACACACTTCACCCTCTCAAATCACACTTTTAGCCTTGCGTAGACCGGATCCGAGCACAGACGGAAGCACGAGGAGATTTCTGTGTGGCCGGAGTGTGTGACGACTCTTGGCACGTTTGCATTCATTTGGTTGCTTAGTTGCTTGGTTGGTCGCTTGGTTGCTTTCCGTGCCTGAAAGTTGTGCGTGTCTCGGCTTCACCTTGGCATTTGGCATTTCGCGTTTGTTTTCGGGATTTCTGCACGTGACATGGCGTGCGCATCTCAGCTGGACCAAACGCGCGGTGCTGGGAGCCTTTGGCCCAGCGAAGCCATCTTGCTGACCCGCAATCTAACAGAACTTCCGGATCGTTTTCTGTATCGTCCGACTGATCCTCATCTCGCGCCTCCACTCGCGTCCAATCAATCAAGAGGCGCGTTGCTCCGTGTTGCTCAGCAAAAGAGAGGGAGAGGAACACTTTCGAACAAAATCATCGTTCTTGAAACCGAATGAGATCTAAGCAGGGAGGGAGGACAACATTGAATGACGCCACATTCGCCTTGATTGCAGAGCTCAATTGATCAGCTTCGAGCCTGCTACTGATTCAATATTGCCAATCAACATCTTGCGTCGCTTGGCAAGACGGTCGCGGTCAATTGTCTGCGTCTCCTCATCTTGCTCTTCCACCGCCTGTGTGCCGTTCCGAGTAGATGAGGGGTCGGTGAAGATGTGGGCGATCATCTTGGCAATGTTGCTCTCCCCCACTTCGACTTCGGCTCGACTGCCCCACTTCCATTCCCAAACAATCGTCTCGTCATCGGCATTTGCTGCACCGCTAGCACGTCCTCTTCGCCTGGATTGTGTCTGTGCTTGGTTGATGGCTGCGTCCACATGGTGGCTATCTACATCGGATCGTTGCTTCTCCAGGTAAGACTGCTTGACCATGGTATTCAAAAAGCCGTCGAGTGTGCCTTGCATCGCTCGTGTCCTCGACTGTGTTTGCGTGTTTTGCGATCCAGATGAGTTGGAACCAATCCACGGCCCTGTGCCACGGAGAGCAGAGGGAAGTGGCTTTTGCGGATCGAGATAAAGTCGACGGAGATACATGAACAAGGTCGCTTCTGTGATTGCCCGTCCGTTGACTAGAATGAGTGCCAAAATGATGTAGAGGAGGCCCATCTCTCCATCTTGGTGGTCCGCCGACTTCCAGTCGAGAGCTGCCTTTGGCTGGCGCGCTGTGATGGGTCGTCTTTGTGAGGAGGAAGCAGATGAACAAGGGGCCATCGCTTCCACATAGGCGTTGGTGAGCTGCTCGTCGATCTCTCCAAGCTTCTCCAAGGCTTGAGGATAGAGATTGGATCGTAGGACCCACTGGTTGCTTGATGGTCCTGTTTCGGATAGCGGAGAGGTTTCGCGCTGTTGGTTGCGGGGCCTAAGCCCGTTTGCAGAGGCTTCAGCGGCTCGTAACACTTGCTTTGCTTGCTTGGCCAGCTCTGCGTTGTCGGCTCCTTTCTTTCGCACTTGGACCATCGACATGCCAAAGAGCTTGGACAGTTTCTCCTGAGCAGCGTTGAAGATGACATTGAAGGCGCCGGGCTGAAGGCCTTCAAGGGCAGACTTGGAGACATCTTCTTTGCGGATGATGCCACGCTGATATTCGCAGGCTAATGCAAATCTTGCAAGCTCGGATGCCCTCTTGTCGATCTCGCTTTGACCAATCTGCTCTGCAACCTTTTGAGCCCTTTCTGAGACGTTCAACTTTTGATACGGTATGATTCCGTTGAAGCTGTCGTTATAGTCCTCTCCAACCCCTTCAGCGTTGCTGGAAGGGGATGCCCTCGAACTCGAACTGTTTGTCTCGGCGGCGGCATTTTGTCTGCTTGAGGATGCGGGATTGCGACTTGAGGAGGCGACTGGAGGCTCTTGGCGCCGAAGACGCTGGCTCGACCTGGAGCTGTATGTCGACATGGATTTGATGGCAATCTCGTTCAGGTGGCGAGGGGAAGCGACAGTCGTGGACGAACGGCGAGAAAGAAGAGAGAGAGAGACGATAGGGACCTTGATCGGAGAGCTCAGCTTCCGATTTCAGGGTCCTTTCTGCGCGAGTGAGTGTTGGTCTCTGAAAATGCGACAGGAACGCAATCGCCGCCTGAACTCATCGCAAAGTCGCGACTGCGCGTCGCGGAAATGTTTGAAAGTGGACGCGCTCGCACGATAATATTACCTGTTCTTCTTGATAAGCGCGACACGACTCTGAGCTGACCTGCGCTCGGACACTCGGCCCAAGAGCTTGGCAAGATCTCAAGCCTCGGAAGAGCTGAACGCGAATAGACGATCGCAGCGACAAGATAAGACGTGGTCACGAGGCGCAAGCGCTGACGCATTCATCCCAGAGGATTGCTTCCCAAGTCCACGCTCAAAGCTACACGTTTGTATTGATGACTTTTGTATTCAGACAAAGGGTCCGTCGGCCAAGCAGCTCGATTCAGATTGGTGGTGGCCATTAGGAATTTTACACTATTCGAAAGACGCACATTGGACGCTCTCTGTCAGAGTCGCCTCAAAGCAGGCAGTCAGGAGTGCGTAGTGCGGTCTTGCCAGCCTTTGCCAAGCCACCTCTGAACACTTAAGGGGAGGGGGGGAAAAGGGGTTGCGATAGCTATGAGGAGAGGAGAGAGGAGAGGAGTCGGCGTTTTTGATTTGATTGATTGATTTCGCTCTTGTTGCCCGACAAGCGCGGTCCCGGCATGGAATCAAGTCAGTTTAGTCAGTCAGTCAGTCAGTTAGTCAGTTAGTCAGTCAGTGACAGACAGCATCATCATCGTGTGATTTCATACTCTCCACAGCAGAAAGAGCTTCTCATTCTTGACAGCGATCCTTCTTTTTTTTTTTTTTTTTTTTTTTTTTTTTTTTTGGCCTTTACCACCCTTCAGGTTTCCTTTTCATATCGACCATCATAGCCGCCTCAGCCAAGACCTATGCATTCGTATCTTGGCGCACGAGCATCACCACTTACCATTGTATACCTTGTTCGCTACTCGTATCTTCAAGTGTTCGTCTCTGCCGGCAGAGTATTTTGTCGTCATCCCTCAATCTCCATCCCTCTACGGAGGATCGGAAGCGTATCAAGCTCCTGAATCCGGTCCTTCGACTCTTGTTCATCTCCTTCCGCTCTTCCGTCGGCCTCTTTCATCTTGCTGGGATCGTACGCAGCCAGACTCACTTATAAGCTCGAGTCAAGCCCAATCATCAAGGCCAACATCTCGGCCGGCACTCTCGATCGACCTCGGCATAACGTCTTCTCGGACAATCGCCACCGAACCTATCGCATTGCTTCCACGCTGAGGACCCAGCAATGGTTCAAACTCGCTCCTCTCCGTCCGCATTGCGGCCTCGCCTTGTGCGTTTCACCACCGTGGTCATGCTGCTATGGACCATCGTCACCTACGCAACAGCATCACCGATCGATCGTCCAGCCTTCCTCCCACCAGAAGCACAAACTCCCGCCGAGTCGACACAATCCTCACTCACACAACAGAAATGGATCGGCCTCACCCTCGCCATCAGCAGTTCGCTTGCCATCGGCACCAGCTTCATTATCACAAAGAAGGGTCTCATCGACGCAGCAGACAGGCACAACGCCTTGGCTTCTGATGGACACACATACCTTCAGAACCCGATCTGGTGGGCCGGTATGGCAACTATGATTGTTGGAGAGGTCGCCAACTTTGCCGCCTACACCTTCGCTCCACCCATCCTCGTCACGCCACTCGGTGCACTCAGCGTGCTCATCGGTGCTATTCTCGCTTCCTTCATCCTCAAGGAAGAGCTCGGTCGTCTCGGCAAAGTTGGCTGCACGCTCTGTTTGGTTGGAACCGTCATCATCGTAGTCAACGCACCCGAAGACAAGGAAATTCAGACTATCGATGAGATGCTCAACTATGCGCTTCAGCCTGGCTTCCTCTTCTATTGCACCTTTGTCCTCGCTTTCTCGCTCTTCATGATCTTCCGAATGGTGCCCAAGTACGGTCGCAAGACACCTTTGGTCTACATCTCGATCTGCAGCCTTGTCGGTTCCATCTCGGTCATGAGCGTCAAGGGCCTTGGTGTTGCGCTCAAGCTCACCTTTGCAGGCAGCAACCAGTTCACCCACCCTTCGACCTACTGCTTCGCCATTGTCGTCGTTGTCTGCATCCTCACCCAGATGAACTACTTCAACAAGGCACTCGATCAGTTCTCCACAAACGTGGTCAACCCTATCTACTACGTTTTCTTCACCACCTCCACCATTCTCGCTTCAGTGCTGCTTTTTCAGGGCTTCAACACTTCAACTGCGCCGGCCGTCTCGCTTCTTGGTGGCTTCATTGTCATCTTCACAGGCGTCTATTTGCTCAACCTCAACCGCATCATCGACCCAGTGACCCAACAGCCTCGCATCTCGCTCGTTACAGGCGAGGGCACAACCCGCTATTCCGAGCAGCAGCGCTCAATCACTAGCTTTGCTAATGGCAGAACCAGCCTCAGCGCACCGGGACGCACTGCAGCCGTCTATGGTCACAGCAGCAGCACCAGCGCTGGCTCCTCGGTGCTCTTCAACGCATACGAGAACGAGGAGGCGCTCGGGTTGGCGCGATTAGATGAGGACGAGTACGATGATGATGTGCGCGAGAACTCCCCCATGATCCGACAAGGCAAAGCCAACGCCCAAGGCAATGGTCATAAGGCGACAGCAGACACAACAGCGAGAGCGCAACGTCAACTCCAGCGGCAGAGCTTGATTGACGACTCGACAACGCCTACCTACGAGAACGGCAGACAATAAGGGTGCGGCATCAGCATTCACGCACCACCAGCGCACCTCTCCCGACATGTGACATCAACTTCAGACCGCGGTGCATATAACTGCAACGACGCGACGACGCATTGCCCTGCTTCGACTACTCTTTCCTCCGTTTGCGCATATACCGCTCTTCGCTCTCCGCTCTCCGCTCTCCGCTCTCCGCTCACCGCACACCGCCCACTATTGCGTCTCCCAGTACACGTTCATTCAACTTTTAGCCCTCCTGCACTCCCTCTTGCTTGGACTAGCTTTTCCCGCTCTACATCACCGCAGACTCAGACTGTATCACTAGAAGACGCATACGATGATATCTTGACTATCTCATACGGGAAACTATGCTTCTGCCTCTCCTTTCCTTACGATCTGCTGGAAAGTGTGAAAGCAACCTTGGTTCCACATGAGCCGGGAGGGTGCTTCGCGAATGCGATCCTTGCCTTGGCAGTTATCATGGCTTTTGGCCGCCTCCAATGTCCATCAAGCCTGTCTTCCGGGCAAAGACGTGCTGAGACAGCAAGGCGGAGAAGGAAGGGCAAAGAAACGAGAGGTGAGGGTGGTGTATGCTATGTGCAGGCAAAGTTTGGCGCGCTGGCCTTGTGCATCTGCAGGACGTCGATCGGAGCTGCGTGACAAATCCATCATCGCATACATCGTAAACACCGTAGATCTATGCTATACACACCGACCGGCTTGTAGCTCAAAGACAGAGAGGGTCGCTGGCAGGCGAGAAGAGATATAAGCTTGCATCTGGACGACTCAACAATGTCCTCCCCTCCTCATCAATCCCCTATTGCTACACTAGCTCTTGCTCTATCTGCGCATTCACTCTCCTTTCTCACATACCCCTGACGCTTATCGAAATCCACAGTGCTTCTTTGCATCGCTAGGTATCCCCGGAACCCTCTTCACACAGTAATGATCCCTCGCAGCGACCGCGTCTTCTTCAACAACATAGAGGGTAGTCCTTCCGCCTTTACCAAGCCTCCTCCTCCCACTCCCGTCAAGAATGTCGCCGCTCAGGACATGCAAAGCCTCCTTCCTTCCTCCACCAACACACGCTACGTCGGTAAACGATTTAGTGTCACCAAAGATTCTCGCAAGGCTCGAGCCATAGCCCCTGCTACACCTTGGCGTCCGCGCATCTCTCGCAAGCCTTCCATTACCTCTGCTGCTCCCGGAGAAGATCTAGTAGAAGAGCCCAGTCCGCTCGATCGCAAGCCTCCAACCAATATCGTGCCGCTCAAGCTTGGAAGTAAGACGGAGCCTAGTGCCTTGTCTTCTGCTTCTACCTCCGCAACACTTGCTCCAACTGCAGGCGAGAAAGAGGAAGAACAGGGTGCAGACACGTATCGACGCGAGAGCGAGAAAGTCGAGCCAGGCGCGCCAAAGATCGAGCAGAGGGAAGATCGGTGGGGTCTGCTCAGGTCGGATCTCGCCAACACCAGAACACCCATGCAGTACGAGCAAGTTGCTCATCCTCATCCCTTCTTGACACGAGCTCAAGTCGCACTGCCGTACAACCCTCGAATGGCACACACCGAGCCTCCCTCTCATCCCTTCTCGAAACGCACAGAGCCTTGCTTGGCGATGGACATGAACAACGACACAAACATCTATGTCAATGGATTACCCAAAGAGTAAGTCTCCTTTCCACGCACCATCCACCCATTAAAAGAACCATATGCTGACTTAACATCAATTTGCCCGCGATCACAGGATGAACGACAAGCTGCTCTACCTACTAGGCTCGGCCTGTGGAGTGGTGATCAGTCACAAAGCGATGATGGACCGTCAAACAGGTTTCTGCAAAGGATTCGGGTTCTTGATGTATGCTTCCAACGATATGGCCAAGAAAGCTATCGACTGGCTCAACAGCCATGGTTTCAGCTCGTCCTTCGCTAAGGTATGCACCTTTCTCATCGCTAGCTCTCGTGTTTTCCTTGCGGCCTTTTCCCTAATCCAAATCTTTTTCCTTGATTGAAATGTATCAGGAGTCGTTCACCGCAAGGCTGCGTAGAATGGCAGACACGACCTCATCCAACGTCTACCTCTCCAATCTCCCTCTCAAATTCACCGTCGACCAGCTCGAACAGCTTTTCAATCCTCACCCCGTCGCCAGTCTCAAGATTCTGTACGATGTTCACGGGGAGAGCAAAGGTGTCGGCTTTGTCAGGCTGCACGATCGGGCGACCGCCAAGCTGTGCATCGACAGGCTACACGGGAGAGTGTTACCTGGCACGACATTGCCACTGCAGGCGAGATTTGCTGATAGCGATGCGCAGAAACAGCTCAAGCATTCGGTCAGCCAGAAGCAAACTTTGGAGTCGCTTGGTCTTCTTCACCTGTCGGAGAGTATGCCTGCGCCGAGGGTAGGCGAAGTTGGCGCAGGATTTGGAGAGCAGAAGCAGCAGCCTAGATCCGAACCAAGCTGTATGCCAGCTAGTGCTTTCGGCGGAGAAAGGAGAATCAGAACAGCAAGCGAGCTCGATGCAGCCGTTGCTCGAGGTTGGCATGCTAGACAAGTCGCAGCTCTTGCGCACCCCACCCCACCCTTCCCTCAGCCGTTCATTCCGGGCTCGGCTACTTCTTCGATGCAAGCCGTTCGCTCGTCCGTGATCACTCCTGAGCCCATTCAGGGACAGAACATGGAGACCAGGACCGGACTGGGCATCATGGTCCCCGGTCAGTTTCTATGGAGTCACGTGCAGCCGCCGGCTCAAGTCGTGGATGCGATGGCTTGGTCTTCGATGCAAGCTCCTGGTGCCATGTACTCTGGTATGGAAGGCAGCTATCCTTTGGACCGACCTTTCGTTTCATCAGCCGATGTTGGTGTCTGGCACGGAGGCAAAGATGAAGGAGGTGACGGAGCAGCCTACTTGCCCTTCCCTCTTGTTCCACCTCCTGGTCTTGGCTACGGCAACCCTGTAGACAGGAACAAAGCCGTAGAAGATGCTCGCTCCAGACGCAAGAACAAACGTTTGGCCGCAGCTGTTCGGGCCCGCTTGGCCGGCGCCGCTGATGAAGGCAAGCGCGCAGTCTCGGACCCAATGGCAATGCTCACTGCTCAAGCCAGACTTCGCGAAACACAGGGTCTTCCTGATAGAGTCAGAGCTGCCGTTTCAGCGGATAACTCGATCGATGCTGATGTTGGCGATGCATCTGCTGTTTCGGACAGCTCGGACAGCAGCGAGGAGGAAGAGGACGGTGTCAGTATTGATATTCAGGTTCATGCTCAGCCTTGAGCACGCTGGGCCGTGGTATGGCGCTTGGTTGTGGATAATCTTTTGTCTCTGGATTTGTGAATGATGATGGTTCATGCTACGATTGGGGTTTTGCTGTTTCTCTTCGGTTCATGTCCATACTTTACTTGCTGCTGCTACATGATGATGCTCTCTCTAATGATCACGACTCTTGACTCAATCACAAGTGTCTCCTCATCGACTGCACGAGGGCAGAAAGTGATGCTGAATGGTTTTCGCAACCATAATTTTTGTCGCGATTTTTGACAGCTGCCTTTCCTTGCCTCTCCTAATTTCTGTGCTGTGACAGCGAGCCCATTGGGCAGAGGACGCGAGAAGAAAACACCGCCGGATCAGCTTTGCACCCTTCAGACGACCCACGTTCATCATCGGATCCTCACTTTAGCAACCACTACTACCACCATCTCCCCTTCATATTCAACCATCTCGAGACCTATAGCAGAATCTTGTCTGCTTTCACTCGAGATGTCCTCAGTCGAACCGCTCAAGGCGCCTGCTGAAGGCCTGCGCAACAGAGCCAGCAAGCAACAGACTCCAGTCCACAGCAACTCGCCCATCGAAAAAGGCGACAAGACGGACAAGAAGGATGACAATGCTGCGGACCGACAAGCCAAAGTACTTGGCAGGACACCTGATGGCACCCGTAAGTTGCTCTTCTCCACTTGCCCCCACATTTACACCCCTCGCATGCATCCAAGCCATTGGTTCCGCAGGCATGATTGTGCCGCGGCTTAACTCTGGCCGGTTCAAAGTTTCGCTCTTTCCCTCGGCATCCATTACTCTCCCTTCTCTCCAACCCGAACATCCTGTGCACGCCGCAGAGCTGTCATTCGGCTGTCAAAGCAACATTTTCTGAGCTCCGTTCCGCTAGTATCGCTCGCGTGGTATGAGGATAGCCGACATCTGACACTGACATCTCCTACTCTCTATCGCCCTTCTTGACTTGTGTACCTCCTCTTCCCCCTTCCCCCTTCTTCCTTTTTCCCCTTCCCGATTGATTCCGCATCCCTGCCCGTGCTCCCTCCCGAACATTCTTCCGATAATGCTCCTTCATCCCACTGGCTCACTACGGCTTACTTCCTCGCCTGCCGCCTCAATACGATTTCTGGCCATGATTTGTGACACCAGTCTTCACCGTCCCCCACACCCCGGACATGCTCTCCTCGATCTTTGACCCACGTCAACCCAAAACCCCTCTCGACATCCTCACCATTGTCGCTCTTACCTTCCAACTCCTCCTCTATTTCATCCTGTCCCGTCGATCATCCCAAATTTTCTTCTTCCTCTACTTCACCTTCTGGCGAGCTTCCTACAACGCCGGTCTGGGTTACATCCTCAAACAGCAATCCGAAAAAGGCTGGATCATTCGTCAAGTAAAACACCACGGCTGGCTCGATCCCACTCGTCGACCTCGTGTTCACACCTGGGTGAAACAACAACTCATTACCAAAATGGATCCCGACTATGTCTTCGAAGCTATGCCACTGGACTACAACGTCTGGCTCATGTTCCGTAGCATAGTCGACGCGGTCCTTCTGAACGATTTCGTCGCTTACTCTCTCTTCGCTTTCTCCTGCATCCGACTCCCCGAGGGCCACTCGCTCGCAATGCACCTTTTGCGCTGGGTAGCAGGATGCGCGTTGATCTTTTTCAATCTCTGGGTTAAAGTCGATGCGCATCGAGTTGTGAAGGATTACGCTTGGTATTGGGGCGATTGCTTCTTTCTATGTTTGCAAAGTTTGGTGTTTGATGGGGTGTATGAGATTGCTCCGGATCCGATGTATAGTATTGGATATGCCGGGTATTACGGATTGTCGTTGGTGAGTGGCAGTTATGCGGTACTGTTTGTGAGTTTGGCGGCACATGCAAGTCAGTTTTTGTTCATGACTTTCTTTGAAGGGCCTCATATTGAAAGGACGTATGGGGAGAGGAAACCGATTGCTGCGAGAGTGCCGTTAAGGCAGGCACCGTTTAATGCGGCTAGTAGAAAGGCTGCGCTTTCTGTTCCTCCTGAGGAGGAGGAGGTGGGAGGTGTTGCGGTTACGGCTGATGCCAAGGCAGGTGGTGGTGGTGTAGGTGGGGAATTCGAAAACCCAAGCCTAAGCCAGACCGAAGCTTCAACCGCTCTAACCACTGAAGACGAAATATCAGATGACGAACAAACCCTAGCATTCAAACGTACCATTCTTCGCGCCTCTTCCTCTTCCAACGATGCTATTCGACAACACTCGCACCCTCCGTCATCTCGCCCCATCACCACCTTGCACGACCTTCACCATCGGATTTTCCGGAAAGACACCGTCGTCTACCGCAACCTAGACCCCATGCGGGCAAAAGACTTGCTCCTTATCATCGCTTCCCTCTATTCCCTATTCCCACTCATCCTTCCCACCCTCGGCCGCAACTCCCGCTTAACGCTCCTCTTCGTGAATGCGTTGATTTGGCGTGTATTCCACTCCTTTGGTCTCGGTTTGGCCCTCCGTAGACAGTCAGAAAGCAAATGGGTCGTCCGCCACTTCTTAAAGCATTATCACTACACTCAACCCTCGGACGCCGTCTTTGAAGCTTTTGCCAATTGGAAGATCGTCTATAACACCTCTCTCGTCCTCACTTACATTTCCTTCTCTGCGCTGGCGTTCAACTGCTATACGCCGATCGGACACCCGGATTGGACTGTTGGACCTGAACTTCTCCGCCATACCCTCGGCTTGCTCCTAATCGCACTCCATATTTGGACCGCAAACTCATCATACCAAGTCCTCGGACCCTTCGGCTGGCTATACGGCGATTTCTTCGTAGACGAATACCCCCACCAACTATACTATACCGGCATCTACAGATTCCTTAATAACCCAGAGAGATCGATGGGTGGTGCGGCATTTTTCGGCCTTGCTCTAATATCCGGGTCTAAACTCACTCTCACTATGGCGATCATCTCTTACATTTCCCACTGGATCTTTTTATCGTCCGTCGAAGGTCCGCACATGCGAAAGCTGTACGGAGAAGCAGCACTACGCAAAGACTCGGGTCTGACGAAACAGCTTAAATCTCAATGGGTCGCCGCCCGGGGCTCCGATCTGTTCAAACTCGCACAGGAGAGTACAGCGGTACGAAACGTACAAGGGACTATCGAGAAGGTGCAAAAAGATGCAGCTGAAGTGTTTGAAGAATTCTTTAAACAATCTAGACCGAGATTGGAAGGGATGTTGGAAGAGACGAAAGTTCTGTTGCAACAGAGTAAGGATCGGTTGCTAATCGTAAGGGTGGATGCTGATTTGAATTCTTTGGATAGGTCCAAGTATGGCTTGGAGGTGAACGGTGGCGAGAGGTTCCATCTGGGTCAAAAGATTCAAGTGCGGTGGAAAGCGCCAGGAAATCATTCTAGAAGGGATTGGATCGGGATTTATCTCCTCTCCCGTTTCGGTTCGGTGGAGAAGGAAGGAGAGGGGGAGAGCGAGGGGGGAATGGTAACAAAGATCAGTAGTCAAGGTAAATGGGTTGGTGTTGTGGAAGATGAATGGGAAGGAGATGCTCCTCAGTCCGCTTCAAACTCTTCTGCTGCCTCCAAGGGGAAGGAGGAAGGGGAGGCGGTGAGTGGAGTTGCGGTGTTGAGTGGCAACAAGCTTCCCTGGACACCGGGTTTCTATGAGCTGAGATACCATCACGATGCGAAACATAATGTTCTTGCTCGCTCCCCTCCCATTGAGATCTATGTTAATCGCCTTCCACCTTCGCTCTCAGGAGCAGAGGAACTCGATAAAACAGCCGAAATCATCCGCGAGATTGTTAGGTATTCCACTCCGGCAACCAACCCGACTCGGCTCAGCATTACTTCGCCACAGCCTCAAGTCAAATTGCTGTCCAAGAAAGGAGTTGGGGAAGAGGAAGCGGTAGAGTTAGAGGGGGAGCCGCTGGTCGGAGAGGGTAAGAACCGAGATGATTTTACTATATGGGATAGAGATCAGGCTGACAAGATCAGTAAGGCGATCAAATGGGCCTTCCACATCGAGCTTTCGCCCGAAGTCATTATCGCAGAAGCAAACGTCAAGCGGTTGGCATTGGACGTTGTTGAAGGTCGAAGGGTGCTCCAGCCCAACTTGACACCCCTCATGAGCTAAATTCTCACAATCACATACACTGGCACCAAAAATTTCACCTCGTGCCAACCCTTTCCATTGCATAGACCGGAAAATTAGGGATGCATAAAAGTAACAATAAACTCCCTAAACACATTCAACAATCTCCTGATGTCCCTCCTTCTCATCCTGACCCTATACTCGATCTCATCTATTGTGTGTTTGCCGTTCAAATACGGCAACAGCCTGAAAAAGTTTTTGACTGTGGCAGGTTCTTTTTCTGCAACCATGGTTGAGATGTATTCGTTTTCCCGACGAGAGGCACGGGAGGGTTCGACGATAAGCGACTCCGTGAAATCCTCTTCGCCTGCTGTGGTGGTTGTGTTGCTTTGATGCAGGGCTGGGCTGGAGGAGGTGGGGGAGGAGCCGGAGCAAGAGGTCGAGTGGCGTCGGTGACGGTGACGGCTAGGGCCGGGGGAGTAGCAGTCGGAATCTAGCTCGGATGAAAGGCTGAAATCCGAGGTTGAGATCGAGCGACTGCTGCTGGAGGAAGTGCTACATCTGTCGCAAGAGCAGGCGGAAGGATGTTCTGCACCGCTGACTTCACTTTCGCTCGGTGGTGGCAAATCGGGTCGTTCGCTTGCTGTTGAGATGCGTCTCTTTTTCATCTCTTTGCTGTTCTTCTGTCCGGCTGTTTGTTCTTTGCATCCGAGTTGAAGCGATCGAAGCTTGGAAGCGAGCACACTGGGTTTGGCTTCGAACCTATCATCTCCGTCCGCATTAGCATCTTCCTCCTCGGGTACCGCTGCTTCCTCATCGCTCTTCTCTTCGTCAATCTCTACTTCTGCACCCACACCGAAACCTTTGACTCTCATCCTAGCTCTTGAAGGCGACCTCGATCTCGCGACTCCCTTTCTGCCACCACCACGGCTAGCTGAGCTTGTCGCTCTTCTGGCTCGTCCAGGAACACTCCCCTCTGCACTTGAAGAAACATTGGAGCTGCCTCCTCCCGCCGACCGATCGCGCACATGCAAAGGGATGCTCCTACCGATTACATTCGGCGTTGTGGGTCGAGACTGTTGCGAAGTTGTTGGCGTCATACTGAGCCCGTCACCGCGGTTCCTTCCCTGTGCCAACCCCAAGCCAGCACCGCCAGAGGAAGTCGAACCAGTGGTGTCGGCACGAGCACGGTGACCTAGCTCACCACGCTCGCTGAGATTGCTAAAGCTGACCGAAAGTCCTTGGCTCATTGAGGCTGGAGTCTTCATCGCTGTTGATGGAGATCGTGAGCGCAGAACGGGTCGTCGCTCGAACTTGAGCTCATCAAAAGCCTGTTTAGATGGCCCAATATTGATGGGAACTGGCGACTTTTCTGCTGTAGTAGCATCAGTAGCTGCTGCTGCGCTTGAATCGGTTCCGCCAGTCGAGTCTTTGGGATGTCGGTGGTGGTGGCGATGGTGATGGAGGTGGTGGTGATGGAGGTGGTGGTGATGGCCGTGATGGTGATGGTGGTGATGTCCATCATGCTCACGAGAGGTAGACTTACGCTCTTCTGCACCAGTACTGCCTCCTGCGATTTCTGCAGCGGCCGCAGCTGCCTCCGCCACCCTATCTGGATGGGCCAGAATGGGCGGTCTCGAGACACTCAACCCCGACGTTGGTACCGCCGCTTCCTCGCTGGTGGCACAAATGTCGCAATCATCCTTCATGCCTTCACCTTCCGTCGCCTCGGCCGTCGCGGTAGCTTGTCGCCTTGCATCAGTCGAGCGCGATCGGTCCCCGTCTCTGCTCCTACCCCTATTCTCTTGCTGTCCTACCTCCTTCACCCCTGCCTCAGCCTTCTCGCGCTCGGCCTGTTCCGCAGCTTTCCGTTTCTGCTTTTCTTCGGCCTGCGACTTTTTGATTCGCCTCGCTTCTGCTCTTGCAGCTCTCTCCCGCTTCTTCTCCTTTCTCGCCCTATGCCTTTCGTGCCGTTCGATTCTTCTCTCTGCCGTTCGTCGCTTGACGTTCTCTGTTGCGATGAGCCGCAATCTGATATGCATCTTGACAACGACTTCTCTTCGTAGCAACCAGATGAGCACATCCAGCGCAAGCTCCCTCTGGTGCCTTGACGGGAAGTAGGTGCTGAGTGGACGCGCAGATGAGGAGAGCTGTGACAGAAACACGGGTAGTGGCACCATATCAGGGAACGTCTGCGCCCAGATGGTGGAAAGAGGGCCCAAGCGAGCAAAATCGAACAACGGCGAAATAGCATAAACGTGATGCACACGAGGGATATCGATCACCCTAGCTTGTCTGTAGTAGATCAAGTGTCGGACCATGGGATAGACATCCTCGTACAGATTCCAGCCGAGCATGTCAGCGACTTCGCTCAGGTTCAGCGAATGGTTAAGGTTGAGTCTGAAGAGGCTTGTGAAGTTGCGTGCCAGCTGTTCGAAGCCGTGCGCTTCGGGACCCGTGCTACCACCTCCACCGGGAGAAGCCATTCCTGCTGGACTAGAATTGCCTGGCGTCTGTCGACCACGTGCTAGTGTTTCATCGGCTTGATCGTGCAGCAGGAGCAATGTTTTCCATGGCAACAGATACGGTCCTGTAGTTCTGCACCATTCCTCAAAGCTAAGCTGATGCGGTGCGAGGTCCAACAGTCTATCATACGTACCACCACCGCCGTCTTCATCTGCACCCTCTTTGCCCAAACCTGCAAATCCGCCACCGGAAAGAAAGATGGGATCATTTGGATCGAGCTCCGTCTCGATGTCGACCGTCTTTGGCAGGTTGGTTGGGTCTTGCAAGATCGGCGGTAGCTGAAGATGGACTTCGATTCGGTCATTGATGGTCAAGAAGGCATCAGATGAGGTGCTGATGCTTTTGTGCAGGTCTCGAATGCATCGAGCCAGTGAGGAAATGCCGAGACATTGGGCAGCATATGCAGCATAGGCTTGTCCGTCGTCCATGCATCGCTCGCGAAGGGAGAGTAGCTTCTCCGTTTCGCAGCCTACATAGTCGGACTTGGACTGCTCCGCAAAGAGCGCAGCGGTCATCTTGAAGACGATGTTGTCGTAGAAGAGCTGAAGCCATGACGAAAGGTCCATTCCGGACATGGCAGCAGAAGGGTCGGGCCTGTCCAGGACCAATACCAGATGGAATGAGGACAAGGGTGCATGTGATTTCGATGATGTCGTAGAGTCGGTCGTCAGCTCCATGCAAGATTGAGAAATGCTTCTTGACTTTGCCGATGACTGCAGCTCGGCCTTGTCGTTCTTAGCAGAGGTTGGTGCCGTTGAGTCCTTTGAGGTTTCCTCGCCATCCTGGAGATCGTACGGGCGGACCTCTTTGCGTAGCCCTGATCGACCTCGTTGCTGCGTTTGAGCTTTCGATCTGTCGTTGTCATCATCAGCATCCTTGTCATTGCCGTCGCGGTTGTTTTCCGGATCCCCCCACGTACCAGCTTTGCCCGCTGAGACTGGATGACCTAGGAAAGCAAGGTCATCAACAATCAGCTCGAACTTCTGATGCGCGAGCTCCGGTCGAGGATTGAGGATGCTAGCAAGGATCTCAATATCGTATCCGAGATAGGTCTTGTATGCTCTTGCAGCTCTCTCTTCGCGCCTTGCTTTCTCCTCTGGCGAAAACTCTTTCGATGTCCCTGCATCCGAGTCCGGCGCCTTGTCGTGGGTATCACCATTGTCTCTGTGCCCTCCATTCTGTCGATCAGCCGAGCGAACACTCTGCGTAGACTCTTCGAGACCAGTCATGGGCCTCCTTGCCTTCGACTTGGATCTGCTAGTCGATGGAGCCGCGCCTCCTTTTGACCGGCCATACGAGACTATGGTTTCTGCAGGGTCACGCACGGACCTGTTCTCATCATCGTCGGCGACGGTTCCATCCGAGTCCTCGACATCGGAAGAGGAAGGGGTATCGCTCTGACCATTGTCGGGAGGGTTGGCATCGGCATTGTCGTCTTCATCTTCGTCATGTCTGTCCCACTTTGCTTTCTGGCGTACTGGATCGAGGTCGTCGTCGAGGTGGGAGCGGCCTGGAGGGCGTGCATCAGTGTAGTATTTGACCTTGGAATAACGCTTGAAGAGTTTCGGGTTGTTCGGCCAGCGAAAGACGATGTGCGACCCTCGAGAAGAGGAAGTCGCCAGGATGACTCCGAGCAAGGGCTCCGACATGTTGGAGTTGAAGGGGGCGACCTAAACCCTTACTTCGAGGTCGAAGAGCTGAGCCAGGTACGGGTGCCGATAGATTAGAGGTGACGCATGGCTAGAGTGGTGTAGATAGGAAGCAAAGAGGCGCTAGACTGTTTGCTAATGGTGTTCAAGGTCGGCAGGAGGCTAAGTTGTATGCATGCCTAGTTAGTCGTGTGGAGAAGAATGGCGGTTTTGTAATATTGTTAGATTACATTAATCAACAACAGCAAAATAGGCGCGCACGTCGCACAGAAGCCAACCCTCTGCAACCAACGCAGCGGCTTCCCTTTCTCAACACTTTCCACATCATCATTCACTCGATCGCTCCCTTCGAGTACACAAACCGGCACCATGGCGCTCGAACAAACATTGTTCCTGGACAGCGCAATTCGCGACTGGGTCTTGATCCCCATCCTGCTGGTCATGATCCTCGTCGGTGTATTGCGACACAATGTCATCTCGCTCCTCAATTCGGCACCCAAGAGCATCCCTGCTCCTGCACTTCGCGAGCAGTAAGTACATCCCTACATCGTATCTGACTCTCACTCTTACGGACCTGTATACTGACAATGCTCTCCGTTACTTGTATTGTTGCGCTTGCAGACGAGTGATGGCAAGAGCTGGCGCTTTGAGACAGAATTACTTCCAGCTTCCACCCACTTCGTTTACTTCTCGCAAAGCGTTCCTCACTGAAGCGCTCTCCAACGGCTCATACCTGCAACCCAAGCCAAAGGAGGAGAAGGAAGGACCCAAGAACCCATTCGAGCCTGCAGGAGGTATGGACAATATGATGGACGGAATGAAGAAGCAGATGGTCATGATGATTCCACAGACTGTTATCATGGGTTGGATCAACTTTTTCTTCTCCGGCTTTGTTTTGCGTAGGTACAAGGCAAGGGTCCGCTTATATCGCACTGCATCAAAGGCTGACCCCGACTCTTTTTTCCTTCCCTGCGACAGTCAAACTCCCGTTCCCATTGACACTGCGATTCAAGGTGATGCTGCAGCGTGGTATTGAGACTCCCGATCTCGATGTCACTTGGGTCTCCTCGCTCAGCTGGTACTTTTTGACGCTGTTTGGTCTCAATGCTGTTTACCGACTCGTCCTCGGTGATGACAATGGTAAACTCTCCTCTCCGCTCAAGCAACGGCGCTTCAAAGACATATTCTGACCATCATCCTTGTCTGCTTTTTCTTTTTTTTTTTTTTTTCTTCTCTTTTTGCTCTTGCAGCCGCCGACGGAACTCGCGACATGGCCGCAATGTCAGGCGCTGCCGCTCCCATGCAAGCCATGAACCCGGCAGCACCAGGACAAGCCCCCGACTTTGAAAAGCTCCACCACGCTGAGCGCGACAACCTCGAACTTGTCGGTCTGGAAGACTCCAAGATTCGTTGGATTGGAGACGGCATTGAGGACCGTGTTCTTGCGCTCTACTCGTAGTACAACCTGTTCTGAACAATTGAACCTGTCTCACTCCCGTAGACTCACAATGAAGAACAGTCAAAACACAGAACACGATGGATGAAGTGGTATCCAGAGTGACATTCCCAAGCAATGTGAAGGGGACAATGCGGATGTGTTGTACGAACGAGAGAACCGTTGGCAGTGCGGCTTACTTCTTTCCTGCAGTCTTGGCCTTGACACCCTTGGCAGCAGTCTTAGACGGAGCATCCTTGGCATTCTTGGCAGCTTGAGGACCTTTCCTCTTCTCCGCCCTTCTCACATTACGCGCTACGCGTCCAGCACCCTTGTACGAAACACCGGAAACATTCGTAATGGCCAACGGCGTCCTCTTCATCGAAACAAGCTTTCTCGTGCTCTTTGCATCGACATCAGGTCCACCACTCGGAAGAGCGGCGATCATGCTAGATCGCTTGAGAGCCTCTTCTGCCAAAGCTGGTGCGATGGTGGATGGTGCATTGAGTGGTGCGGATTCGGACAACTCTTCGTGCTGTATACCGCGGACAGATTTGTCGGTGGATTTAACCGAAGGTTCGGATTCAGGTGCACGTGTTCGGTCTTGTGCTCCGAGAAGGCGGTCCATGTTGGATTGGAAATCGCTTTGCAATGGCTTTGCCTGTATCGTCGACGATGGTGAGTAGGAAAGGGAAGCAGGGCATGCGGTCAGTAACCTATCGACTTACCTTTTCGGTTGAAGTGCGATGCTAGGAAAAGGTGTAGCCCCCAATGACGATGTTTCAGTATAGTAAGGATTGTAAAAATTTGGTAACCATGTAGATGTCTTCAAGACTAATCGAAATATTTTGATTGCTCATCATTTTGAGTTGTCACCGAGGGCTCTCCGCAACTGTCAAGCAGCAGAAGCTTTGCAGGGTGTCGGATGATGTACGTACCTGTGATGTCCACTCGGATTCGAGCGCCTGCAACCGCAAAATAGCCTCCATCCGCTGTAGACCGATGGAGAACTTTTCAGAGAGTGCACGGATGGTCCACTGGGCAGGATTGCTGGTGTGTAGACGCCAAATCTCGGCCTTGGTGCCTTGTCGAACGGGCGGTGGTGGGTTGAAAGAAGGGTTGAGAGGGAAAGGAGTATCACCGATCCAGTTTGGACCCATACCAGGCTTGGGATGCTTGTAGACACGAGCGTCGGAATGGATCCATTCGTCGAAAGGTGCAAGCATCTTAGGTCGACCGCGACCTGCAGACTTGCGTCCTCGTCCAATGGCGTTTCTTTCGGTGGACGCTGGTGATGCTTCGGCTGCTGATGTGAAGGGACCTTTGCGGGCTTTGGCTTGTTCTATGTTGGGCGCAGCGTAAGATGTTGAAGATGTTGACAAGGCTACGGCAACGCTTCGGGAGCTCGAGGCGACAGCAGGGCCGGAGCCGAGCTGTCGCAATGCAGAGAGCACTGTAGCTGATCTGGAGGCCAAGACCATTGTGAACGAACCAGAGGAATGACGGCGACGGTAGGCTTGTGGTGAGAAACAGAAGGCAAGAACAAGTGGTGAAAGAGAGGTGCCTTGTGTGACCTTGTGGCAGGAGGAAATAATTTCTTCCAAATCGCAGTTGCACAATCTCCCGTGCGGTAAGTAAGCAGAAAAGGGCACGAAAAGCGATCGGAACCAATAATCCGGAACTCGGAAATTGACGCGACTCCCTTTCCGCCCTTTCCCCACTTTCCGCCCAAGGTGACTGTTGAGAAGAAAGTGGTGTGGGTGTTAGAAGTGTTACTTTGCAACAAGTCGCCGTCGACACATTGCTCTGTGCGTCCTCCTTTCCGCATTCAGGTGGCACATTGCTACTCTTAGTCACAATTGGACAGGCAGCCCAAGCCGGACTTGGCTTCTTGCGACTCGGCCACGTTGAATCATCCCACTCAAAGCTCTAAACCCCACCCAAATCTCGCCAGTTTGTCGCCTTGCTTGTGTTCCTCCACATCTCGCACAACACCCAACTTGCGGAGACTGAGACCTGGATCATGCCAGTTTATATACCTTCTTGAAGCCCAGCCATATCATCAGCACTTTCCTTCTGACGTTGTCCGCCTTTTACGCGGATCTCACAGACGACGGGATGTCGAAGACACCCGTTTCTCCTCCCGCCGTGCCCGGGACTCCTTCTGCAAGACCAAGGATCTGCAAGAAGCTCGTGATCAAGGGCCATGCTTCAAGCTCTGGAGCTTCGTATACTCTCTTTGTCAAGGTACAACTGCCTTTTAGCGAGCATGAAATGGTCTACGGTCTTTTCAAGGATCCCATAGTCGAACTGCAAGAAGCTATCGTTCATCGTCTTGACGCTTCAGGTGCAGCTCCCGCACTTTCAGCCTCGGCTGCGACCGCTGCTAGCTCTCTCGGTATCCCGCTGTCTATCGATCACGAGCTCAATGACAGCTTCATTGACTTCGAGCATAAGCCAAAAGATCGTTCAAAAGTTTTGGCTGCCCCAAATGACCAGTCGAATCTACCGAGGGTCATCAGAGACGATAACGGCAACATTATGCTCAAGACCTTCTCAAAATCCAGCCCAAGATCAAAGCCGAGCACCTCTTCAATTCAAGCCAGCTCATCCTACATGATCACTTTGAATCTGCTCGTTTCTTCCTCCTCCAAGCCGCCTCTTTCTCCATTCTCCGTAAGGCTAGCTGTGCCATCCTGCCTGAACAACTTCATGCGTTTCACAGTGGATGAATCCATCGACAAAGATCTTGGCTCGTGCGGCCTTGCTGTCGAGGTGGATCCCCCTATCTTGCCCGTATCTCGCCATCTCAAGTCACCACGAAGAAGGCCTTCATCTGCAGCATCTTCTCGTAGAGCACCCAGTGTGGTGGCCTCTCTCTGTGATGAAGAGGATGTTACGCTTCTCGGCACTGCCTCCGGGGACGATTCCGACCTGGAACAGGACGACTCGGCTATCGTAGGGCCCTTCCAGGCTTGCGAAGCACTTGTGATTCGCATTGCTGCTCCTCAAGCCGGCGATCTATTCTTGCCAGAGCCTCCCGTCCGCACACTTTCGAATGCTCTCCGAGCCAAGAAAGCCATCAGCTCGATTTCTTACCAGGCACGAGTCATACAAGCTTCAGAGCGATATGTTGAAGAGGCAGATGACGCCCAGGTGGAATTCCGAGCCACAATTCAACTTCACCAGCCCTTCTTTCCCGGTCTTGATCGCGAGGTGATGCTCTATATGCAGATGGATCCTTCAGTCGATGTCCTGAGCTGGCAACCGACTGCGGTGGATGCATCTAGAGGCATTTCGAGCTGGTCCTTCGGCTCAGTGGCCTCATCTTTGTCCTCTCCGAACCAGCTCCCTAGAATCGCATCAGACGGTGCACTTAGCAAGTCACCTAGCTTGGACATTGGAGACGTCGTGATGCTGCCGGATCCCACGCAGCAAGCAGGTGACGAAGAGGATCTTCTCAGTGTCGCGCCGCCTAAGGGCATTGACGACAATGACTTTGACTTCTCCCTCGACAATGCAGCAGCAACCCCATCGAAGCAGAGACGATTCTCACTCCAGTCTGCCGGCAGTGCTAAGCCATACCCATCTCAGCCTCCATCCGAGCCCTCGGAATCTTCGGGAAGCTCAGCGAACATGCTCGTGGTCGCGTTCAACTTGTTGCCCGTCCTGCAGAGCGACGAACCGGTCGTCATCACTGTTTGCGGTACCGTAACTCTCAGCAGCGGACCGGAGATTAATGTCCAAGATGCAGACCCCATCAAGCATCACAAAGGTCTTATAGTTCCCGCTGCTCTCGCTCACGAGTACGCGCTGCCTCCTTTCCCAGTTGCTGCTCCATCCATGACAACACCCCAGCTCCTAGAACAGCCTACAGAGTCTCTCGAAGCATCTCTCGAAGCATCTCGCGAGACTGTTCAACAGCAAGAGTACAAGCATGGGCTTTCGATGCAAAGCTTCAAACCCACCCACGACGCGCCAACGGACGAGATCCTACGCCAGGCACTTGCGATCATCGAAGCCCATAATGCGTCCCTGTCGGATCCTAGTCGTAACGCGCTTGTAAGGCAGACTCCTCAAGCCCTCAAAGAAGAGAGAGGTAGAAACTGGATCCTCCACATGTCGCACTATCTCTGGACACTCTTTCTCGCAGCGCTCGTATTGATGCTCTTCAACGCTGGTCAGACTGCGAATCGCGAGTTGGCCGCCAAGCTGGACGAGCTCTCTCGCATCGTTGAGGCTTCTGCTCGGACGAACGCTCATCAGCTCATGGTCATTTCTGACCACCCTATCCCTTCCTCAACCGTCGTCGAGGCTACTGTTCCAGCGGTTTCGAGAAAGCCTCCGGACTGCTCAGAATGCGACTTGCGATACAAGAAAGAGCTGGAGAAAGTGGCAGATGACTATCTCAGCCGTAGTCGCAAAGGAACAAAGATCAAGAAGCTCGACGCCCCAGCAACCTTGAGCAGCTCAGCAAGCGACAAGCTACACGAAGAGAAGCTCGAACACCTCCAAGCTCATCGCGAGGAACCAATCCCAAGAGACGTGGAATTGGAGTCGGAAAACTTGTTACCAGACGAGTCAATGGAGGTACGACCCAGCGCTGAAATGGGATTAACGTGCTTTGTCTCTGGTTGGCTGCAGGATCTATTGCGAGCGCCGATGCTGATCCTGCAGCGCTTGTTTGGGTTCTTGACCGGAGCGTAGAGGCCGTAGAGCCAGCGGAAGATGTCACCGTTTGAAGGAGAGATAATTCAAAAGTAAAGAACTACATGCATTCCTCACATTAGATACCCGCCACTCAATCGTAATTGCAATTCTCACCATTCTCATTCATATATCCTTGGCGACGATCAAAAGGACAGCCTATGAAGAGAACCAAAGGCATGAAGCTGCATAGGATGAACAAATACCATTAAAACGAAGCAAATCAGAGTCAAGTAAACGAAAGTGACAGTGGAAAACAGTGGGAGAAGAAAACAGCAAGAGGCAGTGATCCGAGAAAACAAAACGAAGCTTGGAAGACAAAGTAATGATAAAAGAGCGTGTATGAGAAGCAGTGAAACGAGCATGTTTGACGTGCGAGATGAACTTGAGGGTCGGGCCTGCCTTTAAGGAGACGCATAGGTTCCATTAGTACTCATCGTAATCTTCCCGCCTATAACCCTGATTCCTCATCCTCTTCTCTCCATAACCAACCGGAACTCTACCAGCTCCCCTCACCGCGCTTTCTTGAGCCTTAGGAGGTCTTGTCATGCCCAAAGCCTTTAGTATCAATGGTAAGAGGAAGTGAACGCTCATAACGAAGAATGTGGTGGCGAGGGTGACAAAGCTGATAGCGGTGGTGACTCGGTAATGTTTGTAGTTGAGGTATCGGTTTTGGGCTAAGAAGGCATTCGCTTGTTCCAGAGTGTTGATGTTAGCCCAAACACCGATTGCTGCTAGTTGTTGAGTTGTTGAGGTTGCAGGGTCTGTGATTTGACCTTCTGCGAAGATTTGGTAGATCGATCGAAGGAACACCTTCTGTCCATCGTTAAAGGGTTCCGAATACTGAGGGCCAGCGATGAAACTTGGATGTTTCTGCACCGCATAGGCCGTATACGCAGCTGCGATAGCCAGGAAGGCACCAGAGAGAATGAGTTCCACCAACCCGACCAAGAGGTATGCGTAGGTACCTTTACCAGTCCTCTCTCCTCGTCGCTTGGGGAACTGCGCACAAGCAAGCACAGCAGCCAGGTTGGCGAACGCAAAAGCAAATGCGGCGATGATGAAAGCAGCGAGTACTACGGTAAGCATTCCATTGTCTTGAATCTCAACAAAGTTGTTGATTCGTGATTTCTCGCGAAGGGTTTGCCAGCGGGCGTAATCCCATGCGTTAAGACCGAGGAGAGTTACGGAGAATGCAGTGATGGCTAGTTGGAGGGGGATTTCGAGCAGTTGCGGTGCGAAAGGCGGGCGAGAGTGCGGTGGGGCCATTGTTAGGAGTTGGATGACACCAGCTGAGTAACTGGGAGACTAGGGTAGAGGACAAGGTTGTGATGGTGGATGAGAGAGAGGTGGTCATGATAGTGAAGAGGGCGGGGATGGATGATACGCTCAGGGCGCCAGAGAGGAGTTGAGAGAGGGTCATTCACGATCAAGGGCAGCGGCTCACACTCGCACCCATGGGGAAATGTTGGTTCTGGGCAGGAACACAGAACTTCGCTTGGCAGAAAGCATCATCAAGGCATGCCAGCAGTGTGCGGGGCATTTTTGACTTGGACTGCAATCTGTGCAGCTCTGCGTCGTGCAACGCCTCTCTCTCTCTTCTCACCTACTCCTGCTCAGAGCCGAGTTCACGTGCTGCCTAGGCGACCATATCACCACCCAAAACAGCGCAAGTAGTAGTTTCGATCTCACACCTCACACAGACAGAGCTCGGAGAGAATGATTTCTATGCTGACTATCATGGTCGCGATCAAGCCTAACACTTTCTGTCAATCCCCCGTCTCGCCTCCTCCTCTCTGTACTCAAACATGACCTGAACCCCGACAAAAAGTGTCGCACAGGCACCAAACATAAACTTCAGCCCTTCCCAATCTCCCAAAAGCTGTTCTAGCATATACTTGATTCCATCAGTCCCGATCGCAAACCCAACCAGATTCCCCGTCGTCATCATCAACACATTCCCCACTCCTCCTATCGCTGCTATGTGTCTGAACCACCATCGATTGCCGTACTCCTTATACGGCAGTGTTTTGCGGGCTATGACTTCGGGTACGATGAAAAACGTAATCAACCATCCCCAAGCCAGCAGCTTTAGCGAAAGATCGTGCCAAAGTGCGACAAAGGTGAATACCAGCAAAGTGGATGGGATCTGGTTTTTCGCTCCACCAAGTGGGACGTAGATGTAGCGTACGATCCAAAGATTGTAGCTCCTATGCCAACTGCGCCAGAATCCGAGGGTGGAGTAGTTGTTCGCCATGCACCTAACCATGTTTTCGGGGGCTTCGACTCCGTCAGCCATTGCCCAGAGACGAAAGAATCGCCAAGGGATTAGGAGTTTCAACCAGACAATGATGAGGTTCCAAAATCCGATCATGGACAGTTCGAGGGGTGTTGCTCCGGTCCATGCCTTGGTGTCTTTGATTGCGTTTACGTAGATAAAGTGCAGTATCAACTCCATGGTGAACAGCGAGATGACGAACCGGATTGCATAGCGAACCACAGTGCGGGTGTCGATTCGGGTTGGCCGTTCGAGTTGATGCGTAAAGTCGTTAAACGTCATTATCGGACCAGCGATAAATAAAGCGGGATAGAGAACGTAGAAAAGGTAGCTGGAAAGGTTGTATTCTTCGAGATGGCGTGTAAGACGGGTACGTTCTTGATAAGTGGCTTCACGAGGTTCGTGTGTCACCTCGGACATTGCTCTTCCTGCCTGCCCTCCAGCATTTGCTTCTGCTTTCGCCCAGTGGTAGTCCAAGGCAAACGAAACGAGTCGGAGCATGGTAATGTTAAAGTTGATCTGCCAGCGCGGGAGCAAGCCTTTAAACGCTTCCAAGAACTCCAATGCTGGAGAGATCTTGCTATACTCGAAACCATCGTTCCAGTGCACAGCAAAGAGTGTGCCAATGTTAAACGCGAAGGCTACCCCAGGCGCTATCCTCCTCCCGCCCAGTGTTTTCGCCAGGGCATAGTTGGTGACCAGGATAAGCAGGAGTTTGAGAGAGTTGGTGCCGTGAAGAGCAAAGACAAAGGCCGAGGTAAAGACGGTGAGGAAGGGTATGCGGTTCGTCTTCACCTGTGGTTGAAGGGATGATGAGCCTTCGAGGCGGGTATATCTTGCAGATGCGGAGGAGGGTAGTAAGGTGAAGATTTTTGAAATAAGGAGGTAGAGACCCATGATGCATATTAATGCTGGGACGTAGTCTCTGAAAGATCGGTATTGAAAGTCGCTGTCATCTCGTAGTCGACCTGCGATCCAGCCTGGTTTGAGGTGGCCCGAGTAGGAGTAGAAGTTGGGGTTGGATGGGGTGCTTAATCGGACAGGGACCCAGACCATGAGAGGGACAGCGATGGCGAAGACGAGGTAGTAAAATCTGAACTCGAGTGTGTGCCATCTACCCCTCTTTGCGCCTCGCGGTGGCTTTGTCGAGGCTGTCGATGTCCCTACTGTGGTGGGAGCAGAACCATTCTGAGTTGTACTTTGACCAGAGAGGGGGCCTGTGTCGATGGTCAGAGATGCGATGCCGCGTGACCCTAGCAGCCGTTTTACGGTTATATTCGACGGTGTTATATCGTTGACAGCGCGAGAGCTGTTGGCAGGTGTGGATGGCGGGTAAGAGGAGGCGCCATTTGAGGTGGCTGCTGTCATGTTGCCTTGGTTAGCAGCATGCTGCGAGGGAAGAACAGGGCTGGCAAAGTATATGGGTAGCATGCCCTGACGAGCGCCAGGTGGTAGGGGCGGTTGAGGCTGAAGCAGCTCTGATCGAGAAACTTTTGTGCTTCGCTCCAGATGATGAGGGGGAGAGGTGCAAGCATGTTAGGGGGAGGCCTGAGCGAGGAAGAGGAAGGACCCTTCAAGCTGTGCCGTGTGTATTGGCGCTGCAACGCACAACGCGCAAAGAAAGTGTTGGTCTCTCCGCAGCTTAGTCAGGCTGACGTGTTCATCATTTCGAAATTGCAGGACTTTACGCCGGAAACACACACACTCGGGACACATTCGAATGGTCCAACATCAACACTTTCGATATGGACCTCATTCTACGATTCTAGTTCAGGCCACCTCCAGCTAGACGGTGACACTGTGGCATCATGGCGGTTAGTATCCACATCACACGCCTTCTAGCACCACCCAGCCAATCATCACAGCCCACTAAATTTGCTCTTTCCCTCTCCTCGGTGCCGACTTCGAATTGCAGATCAACTGGATCCTCCTCATCAGCCGACAAGGCAAAGTACGTCTCGCAAAATGGTTCACCACCATGTCGCCCAAAGCCAAACTCAAGATCACCAAGGACGTCACCCAACTCGTCCTCGCACGAAGAACAAGGATGTGCAACTTCCTCGAATACAAAGATAGCAAAGTGGTCTATCGAAGATATGCATCCTTGTTCTTCGTCACAGGCATCAGTCAAGGAGATAACGAACTGGTAACGCTTGAAATCATTCACAGATACGTCGAGGTGCTCGATCGATACTTTGGCAACGTCTGCGAGTTGGACTTGATCTTTAACTTTCAAAAGGCATATGCGATCTTGGATGAGTTGATTATTGCGGGAGAGATGCAAGAGTCAAGCAAGAAATCAGTGTTACGGACGGTCAGCCAGAGCGATGCTATTGAGGAAGCGGAACAGAGCGAAGATGTAAGTCGCCTTGCAACCAAATGTGTTGCTTTACTGCGGGGAAATGCGAGTGCATTGCTGACACTTACGTTGCTTGTATATCTTTTTGTTTGACCTTGACAGTCTTTGGCCAGGATTGGCAGCAGGTCAGGGTAAGCACCTAGACCTTGCAGTCCTTTTCTGCCGTTCAATCTCTGTCACTCTCGATATCCATCATGTTCCTGTCAACTTTGTACACTATCAACTCGCAGCAATCAGCTTTTGTTTCAACCCTTCTTTGTCGAGTAGTGGAGGTGCGCTCGTTTTGTACGCATTGAGTCAGCAGCAGTGATGAAGGGCGAAAAATTGGGTTCGTGCTATCCCGCACGCTTGGTAAAGGCATACAGCAAAGTACATATACAAGGAAGGAATCAGCTCAGATCGGCGATGAGAAGCCAATGCTCAGAATCTGTTACATCGGAACGCTCCTCACACGAAAGCCATGTGGGCACAAGGCATCGAAGAGACGGGCGCAGGGTCTCACACGATCATCCGGAGTAAAGGCTTCAAAGACCATCGACCGTGCTTCTGGAACTCGTACTCGCACGGAAAGTGGAAGCGAGGAGGCAATGCGAGCATAGAAGCCGAACATGACAGGCGTTTGTTGGGAGGGACCACGGAAGCAAAAGTGCAAACAAAGCCGGAGTCGTGCAAGGTGTAAGTAAGGGGGATCTCGGTTGTGTTTGCTCGCTCGTTTTGTGCATTTGTGCATCACTTCTCTTCCTCCCTCTCTCTCTCCCTCTCTCTCTCTTGCAGCACAGCAAGACTTTTACACAACTGCTCGTAAACGGTCTCGTTCAGAGCTAATCTTGACCACCTAGAATCTCTTCTCCATTGATGATGTTCAAGTAGCACAAACGTTGGGTATCGAGCAAGAGTTGATCCAGAGAAGGTGAGGAGGAAGGGAAAACGCGAATCTGGGCAACTTGGGAGCAAGGCACAGGCAAGGGAGGGCTGATGCTGAGATTTCACGTTCAAAAAGCGAGGGCAGAGATATGGAATAGACGCAGCATGAGTTCTTCGAGGCAGATGGAGAGAGTGTATAACCAACCCATTTTGCAGTTGTATTGTGTGTGGAGTAAAGCGAGCGAGATGAGTGATGCGCGTGGGTCACGTGCTCCTTCGCTCACCATTGAAAAATGCGCATCTATCCATTCGCACGATAATACATTTTGCAGACGCCTCTTTCACGCTCCTTTTGGAAAGCGAAACAAACAACAGGTCCGTGCTACCCTCCTCTCACAGCTTGGCTTGAAGCAGCTCTCGGCCTGTGAGAGAGTGACCGCTCAATTGTTGCTGCTTGTGATGTTGCATCGCTTCCATCCGTCGCCTGCGTTGGCCTCGATTTTCAATCCTTGTCATTCCCAGCGAACTCAGAGAGTGAGATTGGCAGAGAGTGAGATTGGCAGAGAAAGAGCCAGAGTCCATTCACGCCAATCTTGGATTCAATACATATACTCCTGCCCCGCATTCTTGGCTTTTGTTTCTTCCACCATCACCATCACTGCCATCATCAACAACCTTTTCCCATCACCCACCACCACCCCCGACACATCTATAACCAAAAATGTCCGACTTCAAGTCCAAGGCTCTCTTCGAGCAGATCTCCGACGGTCTCAAGAGCATGGATGACAAGGAGAAGAAGGACATCCAGAAGAAGGTACGTTTCATTCATCATTACAGCGGCCTGTATTCTGGCCCGCTGTCAGCTAGCTGCTGCTCTCCGCCTGTTGTTCGCTTGGCGAGGATGTCGAGCATGTGTCAATTCCTCCACACCCATCCAGAATGGCGGCATTCAGCGACGGCGAGCAGATGATCTTCGCTAGCTTCTCAACCTCCACGGCTCACTGCACGACGAATGCATTTGCTGACCCGCTTTTTGCGTCACTTTGCTTCCTGTCCACTCCCCTCGTTGCTGGTACTCACTTTTCGAACAAACCTCGCTCCTGCTTTCTCCTCTGTCTCACGCTCCGACGCTCTTTCGATAACAGACCAACGGCTGCTTCGAGATGCACGTCAAGAACGCTGGCGGCAAGGAACTCGTCTGGACCATTGACCTCAAGAAGGTACGTTTCAATACCTAACCAGAGACTTGCGCCTTTACTCAATCATTTGCGGTAACCTCGGCGCAGCGCAGTCCGATGCAACCATGCAACACAGAAGCAACCAGAAGGCGTGATATTGGTCCTTCCAATCGCCTTTACTGCCGTTCGCGATCTTTGGCCGACATTTGGCTCTGCCATATGACTCTGCGCGCCTCGCTTCAACACCGCCTCACCGGCGACTACCGCAATGGTCGTGCAAAGAGCGGCTCTCCCGCTCCCACCTCGTCCGTTGTTCATCTCGCTGACTAACTCTCCTCTAACCCATCTCTACAATCTCAACAGAACGCTGAGGCCTACGAAGGCAAGGCAAAGGGCAAGGCCGATGTCACCATCAACCTCTCTGACGACACCTTCATCGACCTCGCCGATGGTAAGGTCAACGGCCAGAAGGCTTTCATGTCCGGCAAGCTCAAGGTTAAGGGCAACATCATGCTCGCTACCAAGCTCGACAACGTTCTTAAGAGCCAGAAGGCCAAGCTCTAAACAGTTTTTTCACACGACTGGTTTTCTCTTAAGACATTAACATGATTGGCCTGTAACCTTACCACCCTCGACTTGTGCTTGAGTGTGAATGTGTGTGAGGATCAGTCGTGGCAAGAAAGCTCCTTTTTGCCTGCATCCCAGTTGCATTTGCCACCAACATATTTCAAGGCGATATTATCGTATCCTCCATCACTTGTTGCTGTAAACTTGTTACTGCCCAGGAGGTAGTAGCATCTGAAACTGCCGAGGACCATAAGCACAGAAATGTCAGTCTCTTTTGTCTGCTTTCAAAACTAAACGAGACTGATGTTGGGGGAGCAAGGCAGGACTTACACATATGAAGAGCGAATCCCAAACCATCCTTTCTTGGAGCAAGTGCCCAGTTTTGCAGTTTGGAAATGATCCTTAGATTTATTTTCAACGTGGAAGAGATTGTCTGTCCTGTAGCAGATGACGGCCCTGAGGGAGGAATGCTTGTTATTTTTGAACGTTTCACTGGCCAAATCTTGGGTGCATTCTTTGAGATCGCCGCGTTTCATGTGGCGGTGGAGGGTTGAATGATGTCCGATCAGGGCTCCGGCTTGGACGGTCACGCTGAGGAGCGCAACAAAGAGGAGGCAGGTGAGAGATTTGAACCCAGACATGTTGGCTAACAGCGATACCGAGTATGGATGGAGGAGGAGAAAAAATGTCAAGCAGGCAAGAGAGATCAGTTATATAGACAGTTGGAAGAGCTGATTGGTCACTGATCATTGATCTGTTGTAGACGCATCAAATGAAGCGTGTGGGGGACGACAACCCAAGCCGGAACAACCAAGTCTCTCCGGCAACGTTATCTGCGTGTAGGTGGGTACGTCAACGCAAGATGAAGTGGGGATACAGAACGCCATTGCCACAGCCCCAAGAGCGCTGATGAAGGGCGGGTCAGTTGGCGGCCGATCAAGCCGCAACTTGCAAAGTGTACCACAATTGCAAAGTCTCAGAGCGAATTGCCCAAGCACTGTGAGGCAGAATGGAGTGCGATTGCGCCAGAGACATGCAAGACACTTATAGAAAGCATGTCAAGGCTTGTAGAGGCGGCCATTAGGGCAAAGGGAGGTGTCATAGGCCTTAGGACACGGGCATGGAGGTTCATAGAAGGGGAGCATAGAGCACCAAGACCATAGCAGGCCTAAGGATGGTTGAGCAAGAGGCCGGAGGCCTAGCTGGTACTAGTAGCAGGCGTAGTGGGAGAGCAACTTGACCGGCCTGTATGCAAGGAGGCCAAGCACGTCATGGAGGACCGGCCTGTATGCAAGGAGGTCCAAGCACGTCATGAAGGACCGGCCTGCTGACAAGAGGTCACCGGTAACCGGCAAGCAGCTCATGAGGAGGAGGAGCAGTGTCGATGGAGTCGACACAACTCATGAGGAAGAGGAGCAGTGTCGAAGGAGTCGACATAGCTCATGAGGAGGAGGAGCAGTGTCGAAGGAGTCGACACAGCTCAAGAGGCACAGGGGTGCCAAGCAGGAGAGGCCCCTGAGCAGTACTCGATGAAGAAGGCACTTGTCATGGGCCTGGATGCTCATGAAGCAGGAGAGGCCCCTGACCCATGAGGAGGAGGAGCAGTGTCGAAGGAGTCGACATAGCTCATGAGGAGGAGGAGCAGTGTCGAAGGAGTCGACATAGCTCATGAGGAGGAGGAGCAGTGTCGAAGAAGTCGACATAGCTCATGAGGAGGAGGAGCAGTGTCGAAGGAGTCGACACAGCTCCTGAGGAGGAGGAGCAGTGTCGAAGAAGTCGACATAGCTCATGAGGAGGAGGAGCAGTGTCGAAGGAGTTGACACAGCTCATGAGGAGGAGGAGCAGTGTCGAAGGAGTCGACATAGCTCATGAGGAGGAGGAGCAGTGTCGAACGAGTCGACATAGCTCATGAGGAGGAGGAGCAGTGTCGAAGGAGTCGACACAGCTCATGAGGAGGAGGAGCAGTGTCGAAGGAGTCGACATAGCTCATGAGGAGGAGGAGCAGTGTCGAACGAGTCGACATAGCTCATGAGGAGGAGGAGCAGTGTCGAAGGAGTCGACACAGCTCATGAGGAGGAGGAGCAGTGTCGAAGGAGTCGACATAGCTCATGAGGAGGAGGAGCAGTGTCGAACGAGTCGACATAGCTCATGAGGAGGAGGAGCAGTGTCGAACGAGTCGACATAGCTCATGAGGAGGAGGAGCAGTGTCGAAGGAGTCGACATAGCTCATGAGGAGGAGGAGCAGTGTCGAACGAGTCGACATAGCTCATGAGGAGGAGGAGCAGTGTCGAAGGAGTCGACACAGCTCATGAGGAGGAGGAGCAGTGTCGAAGGAGTCGACATAGCTCATGAGGAGGAGGAGCAGTGTCGAACGAGTCGACATAGCTCATGAGGAGGAGGAGCAGTGTCGAAGGAGTCGACACAGCTCATGAGGAGGAGGAGCAGTGTCGAAGGAGTCGACATAGCTCATGAGGAGGAGGAGCAGTGTCGAACGAGTCGACATAGCTCATGAGGAGGAGGAGCAGTGTCGAAGGAGTCGACATAGCTCATGAGGAGGAGGAGCAGTGTCGAAGGAGTCGACATAGCTCATGAGGAGGAGGAGCAGTGTCGAACGAGTCGACACAGCTCATGAGGAGGAGGAGCAGTGTCGAAGGAGTCGACATAGCTCATGAGGAGGAGGAGCAGTGTCGAAGGAGTCGACATAGCTCATGAGGAGGAGGAGCAGTGTCGAAGGAGTCGACACAGCTCATGAGGAGGAGGAGCAGTGCCGAAGGAGTTGACACAGCTCGAGAAACACAGGGGTACCATGCAGGAGAGGCCCCTGACCCCTGAGGAGGAGGAGCAGTGTCGAAGGAGTCGACACAGCTCGAGAGGCACAGGGGCGCCAAGCAGGAGAGGCCCCTGACTCCTGAACAAGTACTCGATGAAGAAGGCACTCTCTGGAGAGAGAGCAGGAGCAGCATCGCTGGCGACGCTGTGAAGAGGTATATAACCATGCTTTCTCATCATCATAGGTCGAGTGGATCCCCATCCACTCTACTCACCATATAACTAGTCAATACTTAGAACACAAGTGCTCATTAGTTAACAGTCAGCATAGCAGCAATCCATCAAGATTGCTCCTCATCGTAGTGCGTGTGTTGTATCACCACTACCTGACAATCCGTAGGCGCCCATAGCAGGTAGCGGTCCGGATATAGATAGAACCGAAGGCAGTAGTCCACTGCGGTCCGGGGATCACTCAGCATTAGTCAGCACACTGGACACTCGTGTTGACGCGACCAACCTCACCACCAATCTCATCGACATTCACCAACAACCTCATCATCATCAACACCAACACCAGACCCTGGTATCACCATAACCTTCATAACGACATTGATCGTGCCGAGCCACCTCTGAACGGAGTGTCCACAGAGGTCAGTCGAAACCCACAATAGCTGTCGCACAACTTGACAGTCACCGAGCATCTCGACAGACAGATCTGGGTTCCAGGCGCGCGACCCCTGACAGCACTCTCTGGAGAGAGAGCAGGAGCAGCATCGCTGGCGATACTGTGAAGAGGTATATAACCATGCTTTCTCATCATCATAGGCCGAGTGGATCCCCATCCACTCTACTCACCATATAACTAGTCAATACTTAGAAACACAAGTACTCATTAGTTAACAGTCAGCATAGCAGCAATCCATCAAGATTGCTCCTCATCGTAGTGCGTGTGTTGTATCACCACTACCTGACAATCCGTAGGCACCCATAGCAGGTAGCGGTCCGGATATAGATAGAACCGAAGGCAGTAGTCCACTGCGGTCCGGGGATCACTCAGCATTAGTCAGCACACTGGACACTCGTGTTGACGCGACCAACCTCACCACCAAACTCATCGACATTCACCAACAACCTCATCATCATCAACAACAACACCAGACCCTGGTATCACCATAACCTTCATAACGACATTGATCGTGCCGAGCCACCTCTGAACGGAGTGTCCACAGAGGTCAGTCGAAACCCACAATAGCTGTCGCACAACTTGACAGTCACCGAGTACCTCGACAGACAGATCTGGGTTTCAGGCGCGCGACCCCTGACATTAGAGTGGATCGTTCAAGCAGCTCCTCACGATCACCATGACGGATCAGGACCTTAACAACAAGCTAGACCGGCTACTAGCACTAATGGAAGCTCAGCTAGAGCTGACCAGACAAAGCCATCGGGAGGAACGACTACGACGAGCTCATCTGACTGAGGAGGCAACGGACCTCTCTCACTCAGAAGACCAAGCAGGAGGAGGAGATGAATCCATGATAGGAGACCCCCATACTCCTACTCCGGCGCCACGATCAAGACCATCAGTCTCATTCAACTTGAATGAGCATGCTGAGACCAACTATGAAAAGTATGCTTCCCCCACCGGGCCGAAGTATCTCAAGACCAGGGACCCCTACAGCAGGAGCCGAGTGGACCCTTATGTTCAGGACCAGGAGGAGGAGGCAAGCATCATGGCAGATCGTTCAAAGCCCATTGCGACCCCGTTCCCAAAGTTCAATCCCCGAGACATCGAGATCTACATTCTAGAAGCCGAAGCTTGGTTTAGGTTCAATCAAGTCTACGAGCACACCCGGATGATCAACCACCTGGGTTCTCAATTGGAAGGTACTGCTCGAGAGTGGTGGACCTCAAAGCTACGCTTTGATAGAGCTAGAGAAGGGAGGTTATTCAATGACTGGCAGTTCTTCACCAAACGACTAGCTGAACAGTTCAACCCCCGGAATGCTAGGATGGAGGCTTACAACAAGCTGCTAGCTCTCAGACTCACTAGTGATGCACCAGGAGCTGCCACACGACACGTAGAGCAGTTCAGAGACTTGGAAGGACAGGTCAACCTAGGAGACAACTGTCATAGGCCTTAGGACACGGGCATGGAGGTTCATGGAAGGGGAGCATAGAGTACCAAGGCTCGGGTCATAAAGGAAGACCACCATAGCAGGCCTAAGGATGGTTGAGCAAGAGGCCGGAGGCCTAGCTGGTACTAGTAGCAGGCGTAGTGGGAGAGCAACTTGACCGGCCTGTATGCAAGGAGGTCCAAGCACGTCATGGAGGACCGGCCTGTATGCAAGGAGGTCCAAGCACGTCATGAAGGACCGGCCTGCTGACAAGAGGTCACTGGTAACCGGCAAGCAGCTCATAAGGAGGAGGAGCAGTGTCGATGGAGTAGACACAGCTCATGAGGAGGAGGAGCAGTGTCGATGGAGTCGACACAACTCATGAGGAAGAGGAGCAGTGTCGAAGGAGTCGACATAGCTCATGAGGAGGAGGAGCAGTGTCGAAGGAGTCGACACAGCTCAAGAGGCACAGGGGTGCCACGCAGGAGAGGCCCCTGAGCAGTACTCGATGAAGAAGGCACTCTCTGGAGAGAGAGCAGGAGCAGCATCGCTGGCGATACTGTGAAGAGGTATATAACCATGCTTTCTCATCATCATAGGCCGAGTGGATCCCTATCCACTCTACTCACCATATAACTAGTCAATACTTAGAAACACAAGTACTCATTAGTTAGCAGTCAGCATAGCAGCAATCCATCAAGATTGCTCCTCATCGTAGTGCGTGTGTTGTATCACCACTACCTGACAATCCGTAG